AGTCCGCTTTATACCGATAGGTTCTAAGAAGTAAGTAAAGAAAGTATAGAAGCGTATATACCCTACTCGGCCCTAATTCGACTATATAAAGTATATACTAGATAATAAGAAATATTACTTCTACGGCGATTATAACCTAATACCGCCGGTACCTTCGAATAAACTAATTATACGGGCGATACTAATACCGCTACGGACGAATACGCTATCCTTAAGTACTATACTAATTATTATTAACTCTAATAAAAGCGAGATATTAGACGACGAGGTTCTTAACGGACATATTAGTAGGAGCCTCCTAGATAAAGCGCAGCTTACTAGTATAAAGGCAACCTATATACGATAGATTAAGATCGAAAAGGAAGCGGCAATAAATCTACCGAAGTATAAGTACTATATAGGTAATCTACCCCCTAGCTAACGGTCGAAGGATAGTATTATAAAGGCTATCTCTATAATAGTAACCGTATAAATTAGGTTTATTATTACGATTATTATTACGAGATACTATATTGCCCTAGATAATCTAGATAAGATACTAAAGTAAAGTAGGTTAAAGAAAGGTAAGGGGTTCTCTAAGTATACTATATATATTATATACTATTATTACATTTATCTATACCGCCGTATAATTAATCGCTAATAGGATATAGGAACGCCTAAGGACATCGCGGTACCGGATTATAATATTAAAGACATAGTAGCTACTATTCGTAGCTTTAGTAATAAACCGTATATTACTAAGGAGATAGAATATCCGGATAATACCTATATATATATTACGTAGTCGTACAATAACCGAGATAGGCCTATTTAACCTCTAAATATAGACTTTAAAGATAGGAAGCTAAGTCGTATCTTCCTAAACGATATTAATATAAAGGGCTAGCTATCTCGAAAGTAATATAAGGTGTTCCTTATCTTTAAGAGACGTTCTATATCGTAGCCTACGGATAACCTATTATACGAGGCCGAGGTTAACGTAAATCTTACTAAAGCTACTACTACTCTAAAGAGTAAGAGCTCTTAGAAGAAGAAGAAGAAGGTAAAGTAAGAAGTTAAAGTAGAGTTAAAGCTAGTAGTTAAAGTAGAGCCGACCTTAGAAGTATATATACTATCTTTCCGTATAAACATTAGTAGATAAAGTCTAATATTAAATTCGATAGGAGAGTAAAGAGTAGGTTAATACTACTATAGAGTATAACGCTACTAATAATAGTAACGACGAGTTGCTACCTTCGTTTAGTAAGATATTTGTACGTTTCTAGCCTATATAATCGTAAAGATAGCTACTTACTCGATTATAGATTAAAGGAGAGCTAGAAATTAAGGGAGAGCTAGGAACCGAGGAAGTAGAGTAATAATATTCTACCCTAGGAGGTTTAAGCTATAAGCGGACGATCTCGAAGGTTTCGTAATTATCTAAGAATACGAGTAAACTATCCGTAACTTATACGCGTAATCGGTCGAAGCGTCGTTAATCTAAAAGGTTATAATAAGAATAAAGATAGTAGGTGCTTCGTAAGTTTAGAGAGGAGTTATTTTTAGTAGTTTCGTTCGTTCCTTTAATAGATATCTATATAGTACTACTTTAATAGTCGTAAACGCATTATATAGGCGTATATCCACTTCTCGATCTATCTACTATATAAAGGGAGTGCCTAATATATAGTTATAGATATAAGCTTTAGACAACTTTACTTCTACGATTAATCTATCGATTAGGACTATATCTATATATTAGATAGAGAGGCTATATCGGAAGCGCCCGTATAATAACTAAAAATTACCGCTAACCTCTCGGAACGGTTATGTTCCGAGGTGGCGTAAGTAGTATACCTTAGTTCTACTAAAAAAAGATTGTTGCAGAGTTGTCGCTAAAAGCGCACCGTAGTCGAGCAAACAGGTCCACGTTAACTCCACCTCGCACCTCGCATGCTGCCAGACCAGCATCGCGGAATCGGGCTACGGAGTAAAGTTAGACAGTCCTGCGCTCACACAGAATAGATTCGCGATCCTCCTTCATCAATTCAGAGCGTCAAGTGCCCCACCTCACTCGCGATATCACCCGCTACACGATCTTTCCACGCGATGTCTGTGTCACCCACGTCGATGGCACGCAACAGTCGGCAGCAAGGACAATGTTCCAGCTCCGTCGCCGTTCACCCAAACATATCGCTCCACAGCCGATGGTGCTTGAAGTCGGCACCTTTGCTGCGGCGCCTGGCGGGAAAATCGCCCGCTTCGAGCAGCCACCACAGCGGATCCTGGCACGCCGTGTGTGATAAATGTGGCTTTCGGCAGCTGTCACTTCCAGTCCACGCCGGAAACATGCGAGCACGCATGCGAATGATCACGGCGAATGATGGGCAGGCAGCCAATTGCCATCGCCGGATGTCCGCGAGCGCTTCCATGCCCTACAGCTGTCTCGTCCCTTGAGAGGTTACTGCGCCCCGTATATTGACCCGGTTACACGACCTGGCCAGACCCGCCATGCGTCCAATCATCGCTGGCTATCGCTAGATCCGATACCATCACCGCATACTTGTCCCAGCTATACAATGGAACTTGCAAGGGCGCGTCGCACACGCATACGGCATTCAAAGCAATGTATAACCTCGCTATACGGGCCCAGCGTACAGCAGCAGTCGCGTATCCTGCATCTAGTTCCGATTGCCACACGTAGCTCCGCCTGGACAGACAGAACGCCCGATATCGACATGTCGTGGAAGTCATGTATACGAGCTTCAGTTCAGTCGAATCGCTTGTTAAGCCTTCATACGAACTACCTTCGACATGGCCAACTCTGACCTTATCATGCGAATCACGCGTGGAACACAGCCGCGGGGAATTGTCATCAAAGAGCATTTCACGCTGCCCCTGCCCTTCACGCGCGATATTCCACCCAAGGTCATGTTGGCTCCCGGAGCCACGTGGAAGTTTCGGSGACGCAAGTTGCGCGGTATGGAGAACGCTTGCCGTGGAAGATGTCCGTGCAGAAGAGGCCGGCGATGAGGAGCGACAGCAATTGTCGCACAAGCTTCTTGTGGCACTTCGACTCCTCATATCCCGCAGCTGGAGTTGCAGGTGCAGTCGCAGTCGCGCTCATTGCTGACGATTGAGGATGATGGACCTGGCCGATGACTCGCCTCTCGGATGTCAATGTCGATCCTGGACCATTGTACAAGGCTAGTCTCGTGGACTGCTCATGCTTGTTCAACCATCACGAAATCTTTCTTCGTTACGATCGACGTGATACAACAAATCTCCTGAAGGATCTGCCACAGATGACACCAAACTGATTCTCCAAGGCGCACAAAGATAAGCGGTCAATTATGACTTCGATCAGACACGCTAATGACGCTATTCCAAAGCCTCTCGACACTGTCGCATCTCTGTGTTCTTGCCGCGTCGATCGAGGCTGAAGTACTTCGCTTCCATCGCCTCACAACGACGCCCTTGGCGAGCCGTACTTCTCCAAGAACGGTAGCACCGCTTGCATAAAGCCCTCTGGATTGTCAATGTTGATTACATGTCCTCCGTTGGGCACCAATTTTTTGCTGGCGTTTGGGATCTTCTGCGCCATGTACTCTGCAGCAGCCAAGAAAGGCGTATCGTTCGCGCCCACAACCACGAGCGAAGGAACCATGATGCTCCCTAAACTTTCAATCACCGACGAGTCTCGTTGCGTCAACATACCTCTCGCAGCACGTACGAGCCCCTTTGCATTCCGATGAGTGCTTCGTTTGCGTCCGGTGATGTCGCTCTCTAGAGCAGAAAGGCCCTCTCGATCGAAATGATCTGCACTGGCAATCGCCTTTCGATTCCACGTCTCGCGGCTTGCATCTTTCTTGAAGCCTGGTCCGGTGTCGATGATGAGAAGAGCAGTGACTTTCTCCGGATATGCTCTGTGGAAGGCGAGACTCATGTATCCGCCCAGAGAAAGACCGCCAACAATTGCTTTGATTCCATGGCCGCAGGTTTCATCCAGAATGGCGCCGATGTCTTCGACGGTATGTGCTTCGCTGTACGCTGCTTGGTCTTCGGGATAGTCACTCTTTCCATGCCCTCGCATGTCCCTGATATCCGTCAATCGAGTTCTCATGAGCAAAGCTTCTCGCTCAACGATAGAAATATTTGTGAATACCAAAGTCGCGACTTGAAACACTGATGCATACTTCAAGCAGTATCGATCGGTGTCGACGATACCGAGCCAGTCTGGGCGTGTATGTCAGGTTTGCCCAAGAGCACTGTTAGGGTAAGGGTTGGGGTAGCGTCAAGTCTCTCCCCAACCACTCTAAACTCTCTGGACCATCGCATCGCATGTCGTGTGTTGTTAACTATCGTCATCCAGACTATGGTGATGGATCTATGGCGATTGGAACTAGATTTCAAATCTCGGGTTCGTTTTCACTTGCATTGTGCAAACCCCAGCCGTCTTATCCAGATACAGCTCCCTCCAACAAAATCTCTTTCGTCTCCAGACATCCGACGGTGTACAGAATCAGAATCAAACGGAGCCGGTTCCAATTCGAGATCCGCTCAAATATGGAACGTACCTCGCACCAAGTAGCAAAGTTTGTAGTTGTGGACCGCTCAGAATTGCATTCACTGGTGCATCGGGTGTTTGAGTCGGATGAAAGGAGCGAAGAATGTAAGGATAGAAATATCCGTGGACAAGAAGCGTCGCAAAAATTGCCAATACTAGGAACCCTGCTTGCTGTTACGGAGCCTTTGCTACGCACGGCTTTTTTCATTTCACGTTTGGTGTAACCTCACGGTCATTCCCATGTGCAAATCTGCTCGCGTGGCTCTGCGATTATATTGCGACAAGAGGCGGTGCCCCGCATGTAATATACGTTAGCTCCGATGGTGCTGTGCTGAGGAGCAAGGATCATGTGCTTATTGAGGATATTTCTTCTGCGGGAATTTATGATTGTGAGGCCGGAGATGGGATTGGTGCTGGAAAGAGAGATAGGCCGCGTGTCCTTGATCTGTGTTGATACCTACCATAGCAGTCTCGCCCACGAAATATGCCTAAGTTGCGTGAGCGCTTGGGGTCGTTGCATACGCATCTCTGCCATGAGTTTGATGTCCCTGCGATAGTGGCTTCGCCACCTTGCATAAATRTACGATGAAGCATACTTGTTGCRGAGAATGACTGCCATGCCCTCTTCTGTACCATACGGACTCTTCGTGGCAACCTTGTCGAAGCTCTCCCATTCAAAGGCTCAGGACTCCGTGACGGACGTACTAATACCCCCTGGCGGTAGGATTCACCAAGTCCTTAAAACTTACTCTCGGGAAAGAGGAAAGAGCGGGTTCCATATGTACTGCACTCACTTGCTTCCTCCATATCAACAGTAACGCTCGCTGCATTCCGATATGGTGTAGCGGCTAGCATTTGCGGCTCTCAGTGACTCCAGTCCAAGTGCCTGCAAGACCCGGGTGTATGTGGCCACTCCTCTGTACAAGTCATGTCTAAGCTGACACGAGCAACAGTCGATTCCCGGTATCGGAAACTCCTTTGCGGTGATTTCTTTTTGTAGAAATCCTGTCCTTGGGCCTATCAATGCAGTGAACGGCTGTTCATTCTCGAGGGCCTTTAGGACAGTCTCTTTCTGAGCAAAGTTCTGATCTGACAGTGTAGCGGAGGGTGATAATTCATGCAGTAGCATCGCCTTTTAACACGATTAGGCATCATGCGTGCGTGCATGTTCTGTTTGCCTTTTGCCTTCGTAGGCAACGCTCCGACCGACTCTCAAGCTGCGGTCAGAAGGGCTCTGGGGTCACTTCCACAGCACCAACTACTCCGCGATCCGTTCAATCGTACCGCTGTACAGCGCACGCTGGCATTGAGCCGGCGGTTTGATCACCATTGACGCATCGGGAGTCGCAAGAGTAGTGAAGGGGTAACTCGCTGAACGTGCTCTTCACATCCATATCCCGAGAGCTTGCCTGGGTATCGTGGCCTAGATTGCACACATCACCTTCTGCCATTGATACGCTTGACATTTTTTCATCAGCAAGAATGTTGTGAATGATGGTCAGATTGAATTCTCCGAGATGTGAAGATGATGTCGGGACTATGCGGTATCCATTGGCGACCGGGCCGCGACCGCAACGTGGGGAACCTTGCTGATCAGATCAACAAACGCTCTCTACCAAAAGAACATTGCGCCAGGCTGCACTACTGTACTCCACCTGTTCATTCATCATCATACAGTACCCAACCTCACAGCTTTTGGAACCGCATCGTCTTCCGTTTCAGTCAAAAGATGCAAGCATAGAAAGAACCGAACAGCCTCCAGAACATCAGCGTTGGGCCCAGCATTCCAGACGACTGCATTCCTCTCGACATGGCAGCTCCACCAGGCTATGGTCCTCCGCCAGGCTACGACGACGATCTCTCTACCAACAGCCCACATGGAGCGACCATGCGTCTGCTCACCAGCACAGAAGGTAGCCCATACCAACCTCCATCAGTGTCGTCCCCGAGCGCGAACGGCAGGCCTTCGCCGCAAGATCTATTCCTCCGCGCGCAAGAGAGACTGAACAGTCACCACAACACTCAGCCCCCGGTCTCGCCTACGAGTCGCGTAGCACAGCAGCAAGGCACCGAAGAGCTTCATTCGCTGCTCCGTGACGTCGAAAGCGATCTGTCTGCCGCGCCTCGATCCTCTACCGGCGCACCCAGAACGAGGAACTTCAAAGTGCACTTCAACCGGAACAACCCTCCGGAAGAGCCAGCGAGTTCTGTAGACGAWGCATCGTCGTTTAGAACATATGATAGAGAACCCAGTCCTGTGCACCGCGCACGGCAATCGGGGGGTCGACCGCTTTCGAGACAAACATCTACCTTTGATTTCGCGCCTGGTATGCCACCGCCTACTGAGAGCGGGCCCAGCTACGATCCATACAGATCTCCTTCGCGTGGCTCTCAATCGCCTTTGAAGACTTTCGGCACACCACGCGGATCTCGAGACTATGCTCGCCCACCAGCCACCAATGTGCCATACGAGCCGGCCGACATCAATGGGATTCCTCGACCAGGAACGCCTTCGTCACAATATGGCGGATCACCAAAACGACCACTACCTCCGGCGCCACTTTTCGCAGCTGGACGACCACCGTCATTCAACACTGAGACAGAGCCCGAATTGACATCGATACCGATCGATGACGAGGACGACGATGTTTTCGGCCGGCCTTCAGGCGAAAGTGATGCGAAGCGTCCTGATCTCACCGGGCGCGATAGTTTCGTCTCGGACTCCACACTCACAGCCGACGATGATCTGTACTCTCAAAAGGAACATGACGAGGAGTTGCACGGACCGGCGCCGGATGGCAAGCATGAAAGACGAGGTGCTCGACAGGMACAGATGGCGAAGAAGGAGGTTAAGCTCATCAACGGAGAGTTRATCTTGGAATGCAAGATCCCCACCATTTTATACTCATTCCTTCCAAGACGAGACGACGTCGAGTTCACGCACATGCGATACACTGCCGTGACGTGCGATCCGAACGATTTTGTGGATCGAGGATACAAGCTACGACAGAACATTGGCCCGACAGCACGCGAGACGGAACTCTTCATCTGTGTCACAATGTACAACGAGAACGAGATCGACTTCACCCGAACGATGCATGGAGTCATGCGAAACATTTCCCACTTTTGCAGCCGAGTGAAGTCGAGAACTTGGGGTAAAGATGGTTGGCAGAAGATTGTAGTCTGTATCATCTCTGATGGAAGGACAAAAGTTCATCCCCGGACATTGGACGCTCTGGCAGCAATGGGATGCTACCAATCTGGAATTGCCAAGAACGAGGTCAACCAGAGGGAAGTCACCGCACACGTGTACGAGTACACGACACAGGTGTCTCTTGATTCAGACCTCAAGTTCAAGGGGGCTGAGAAGGGTATTGTGCCTTGCCAGTTAATCTTTTGCTTGAAGGAGAAGAACGCAAAGAAACTCAACAGCCATCGTTGGTTCTTCAATGCATTCGGAAGAGCGCTGAACCCCAACGTCTGCATCTTGCTTGATGTGGGGACCAAACCTGGAGACGACTCGCTATATCATCTGTGGAAGGCCTTCGATCGCGACTCTAACGTTGCTGGAGCTGCAGGAGAAATCAAGGCCGCCAAGGGAAAAGGTTGGCTGCAGCTGTTGAACCCGCTCGTTGCTAGCCAGAATTTTGAGTACAAGATGTCCAACATTCTGGACAAACCGCTCGAGTCCGTCTTTGGATACATTACCGTCCTTCCGGGTGCACTCAGTGCTTACAGATACCACGCCTTGCAAAACGACGAAACAGGCCACGGTCCACTTAGTCAGTACTTCAAGGGAGAGACACTTCACGGACAGGACGCAGACGTCTTTACCGCCAACATGTACCTCGCTGAAGACCGTATCCTTTGTTGGGAGCTCGTCGCCAAACGTAACGAGCGTTGGGTCTTGAAGTACGTCCGCAAAGCCACAGGAGAGACCGATGTCCCCGACGCTGTTCCCGAGTTCATCTCACAGCGCCGTCGTTGGTTGAACGGTGCGTTCTTCGCTGCGGTGTATTCTCTTCTACACTTCAAGCAAGTGTGGAAGACCGACCACACCATTGCACGCAAGATCTTGCTGCATATCGAGTTTATTTATCAATTCGTGCAGCTGATCTTCACGTTCTTCTCTCTCGGCAACTTCTACCTGACTTTCTACTTCATCGCCGGATCGCTCGCGGATAAGAAAATAGACCCCTTTGGCCACGGAATCGGGAACTTCATCTTTATCCTCTTGAGATATTCCTGTGTGCTGTTGATCATGGTTCAGTTCATTCTCTCGATGGGCAATCGACCGCAGGGAGCCAAGAAAATGTTTCTGGCATCGCTCGTGACCTTCAGTGTCATCATGGCCTACAACACATTTGCAGCCATCTACATTGTTGTGCGCCAGTTGACAGACGACGCCTCCTTGACGTTCGGCAACAACGTGTTCACCAATCTGATTGTCAGCACGCTGTCRACCGTTGGGCTGTACTTCCTGATGTCCTTCTTGTACCTCGACCCCTGGCATATGTTCACATCAYCGGGCCAATACTTTGCCTTGCTGCCTTCTTACATCTGTACGCTCCAGGTCTACGCCTTTTGCAATGCCCACGATGTCACCTGGGGAACCAAAGGAGACAACGTCATCCACAAAGATCTCGGAGCAGCAAAGACCGGCAAGAACGGTACTGTGGAGCTGGAAATGCCTTCCGAACAACTTGATATCGATTCCGGATATGATGAAGCACTCCGCAATCTCCGAGATAGAGTCGAAGTCCCCGTCCCAGCCGTCGCAGAGTCCCAGCTTCAAGAAGATTACTACCGCGCAGTACGTACATACGTGGTCATAGTCTGGATGACCTGCAACGCGATCCTTGCCATGGGAATCTCCGAGATCTACGGCAACAAAGATGTTGGAGATAACTTTTATCTCAAATTCATTCTCTGGGCTGTCGCCTGTCTTGCTCTCTTCCGCGCAATTGGCAGCTCGACATTCCTGATAATTAACGGTATTCACAGTGTTGCCGAGGCCAAGTTGCGCYGGAAGAATAAGAGTGGAACGAGTGCGGGCACGAAGAGTGTCAAGAGTTCTAGGAGCACGAGTTCCTGGGGAAGTAAGTTGAGTRTGCCGAGTTGGATGAGTTCGGGAGGGAGTTGGGTGAGCAGCAAGGTCAGTTCGATGACGCCGAGCTCGCTTGGAAGTACGTTCTCGGGGAGGTGAAAAGGGTTTAATGCTGTGGCTACTTGATTGATGAGTTCCAAAGGCGAGGCGTTTTGGGGCGATGGGTTATGAGTATGATGGTTATGCCGGACGATACCAAATTAGAGGCTTGTGCGGTTGAAGCGAGCAATGAATACAATGCATCGTGCTATTCTGATCTTGCTCCTCGTGGTGAAGAGCCGAATGAGCGATATCGAGCAAAATATGTCTCTCGCAATTGCTATTACCTTCTTGGCCGTGGAAGAGGATCTGACATGATTCTGCGAGGAGACCAGGTCGAGAGCTGAAATGTATCATACGTCTTTGGCAATGAATTGCGTAGAACGAGGGCGATGCGCTCTGCATGTTGCTCTGCACGACTGGGTTGACTTAGATCTTTCTTTTCTAATTTCACTCTGTCGACGAAGTGAAGCTGTCGGGACGACCCTTGCACCTGCCACGTGCCGAGAGCTGGCTTCAAGGAAACAGCTCCCCAGACATACATCAGCCGCGATAGACGAATGAGTAACAAGTCGTCCAATCTCCTCAACACCCCAGCTCTCACCTACAACAATGTCGCCGACATTGACGGAACAGCTATCGCACTATATCCTCGACGGCATCTGGCAACTCGGCAACTGCTTCTCCTGCTTTCCCTCGACGCCCTCCCTCAAGATCAATGGACGCTCCTTCAAGATCCTCCGCCTACTGGGTGAAGGCGGTTTCAGCTACGTCTATCTCGTTCAATCACCTGGCGATCCAACCCTCTACGCCCTCAAAAAGATCCGATGTCCCTTWGGACAAGAAAGCGTCGCATTGGCGCTGAAAGAGGTCGAAGCATATAGTCTCTTCACGCCTCACCCGAACATAATCCACGCAATCGACCACAGCGTAGAAACCGAACGTGGTGGAGACGCAGGTAGCCGAACAGTATACATTCTTCTACCCTACTACCGAAGAGGCAACCTCCAAGACGCGATCAATGCGAATCTAGTCAACCGCGCAAGATTCCCCGAACGCCGCTTAATGGTCCTCTTCCTCGGAGTCTGCAGAGCTCTAAAAGCCATGCATCAACACCGCGTCGCCCGCGGTCCAGGTGGTGAGCAATCCCGCCGCAAAGCCAAAAAAGTCCGCGAGGAAGCCGCGCAAGCAGATCGAGACGCTCAGGACGAACACGTACACGCCAATCAAGGCCGTCGAAGACGAAATTCCGATGAAGGGGAAGAGGATGTAGAGCAAGAACCTCTCATGGAAGGCGAAGTCATGGCCGCACAAGAAGGACTCGCAGATGGAGAGATTCGAAGCTACGCACATCGAGACATCAAACCCGGAAATATCATGATAGCGGATACGGGGACGCAACCTATATTGATGGATTTGGGATCGCTGGCGCCTTCGCCGACGCCCATTACGAGTCGAGCACTGGCATTGCAGGTGCAGGATCAGGCGGCGGAGCATAGTACCATGCCTTATCGTGCTCCTGAGTTGTTTGATGTTAAGACTGATACGGTGATTGACACGAAAGTTGATATTTGGAGTTTGGGATGCACGTTGTATGCGTGTCTGGTGGGGAAATCGCCCTTTGAGGCACGGAGTGAGGAGACGGGAGGGTCACTATCGCTCTGTGTTTTGGGTGGGGATTGGAGGTTTCCGGATGAGGGACCCGCGGAAGCGAAGAGAGGGAAGCAAAGGGTTGTGGATGCTGATGCGGCTGCGCAGAAGAAGGATGATGTCATTTCTGAGCCGGTAAAGGACGTTGTGAGGAAATGCCTGATTGTGGAGCCTACAGAACGACCAGATATCGATCAGCTGATCGCAATGGTTGAAGAGGTTGTGGCGCACCTCCCGGATGATGGGGATGCGGCGCTGGACATGGAGTAATGTATTAATGATTGTATCACCAGGATTGTACGACCAAAAGCCATGATTGCTTCAACGCAGAAAGCATGCTTTCATTCGATGTCGAGATCTATTTTGCTTCATCGTCTATGCTGGAACTAGAAGCTTAACAAGTCACCCTCGCCGTTCTGGACGTGGGTGGCACTAGGCATAGTCCCGAGCCCCTGTCCTTGATTGACCACATACATTTGCTGTCCTCCCGGTCCTCCAACAGGACTATGCGAAAACCCATCATGGGCCTGCTGTGCACCCTGCGCAGATCCAATACTTGCAAAATAGGCGTCTGCTTCATCAAGAACGTCAGCGCTTTGTGCAGCGCTGCTAACAGGAATCTCAAGCCTTGTAGTCCTCGCTGCCTCCCACCCGGGAAGCGTCTCCTTCTGCAACGCTGGGGAGTCCTGCAATCGTCTCGGTCTCGCAGATCGGAAGACCGTGTGGACAGGTTTGAGATACACAGTCGCTAGCGTGCCAACGACCAGACACATTTCCTCCAGTGTTACGGCGTCCAGCTTCTCGCTCTCGGCAGTGATCGCGGGCTTCTCTCCCATGACAATCTCCTTGGCAGCCGTAGGATTACTGCTCAACAGCCTCCAGTACATGTAGCCTCGATCTCGCAGATCTGGATTGTCTGTATCTTCCGTCGCCCATTTCAGCACCTTTGGCACCAGATCTGCTGCGATCTTGGGCCGCTGGATAAACAGCTTCACCGTTGCTGTGAGCAGTGCGAGCTGTACCTCGTGTGTTTCGTCAGACCAGCTGTCGAGGAAGTCTTCGAGCAGTACCTCTGAGTTCTCTATCCTGTCAGCATATTGTCCGATGACCCAGATCATCGCTGCTTTCGCCTCCGGTTCATCCAGCGAGTCCAGATTCTCGCAAAGCGTGGAAATGATGCTTTCGTATTGATTGGGATATTTGCGGAAGATGTTCCTGATAACGACTGTTGCTTCTTGCACGATATAGCTGACTTTCGTTGCCACCAACTCCAGCAGGGTAGATATGCAGAGTCTCGCGGCCGGTTCTATCTTGATGGCCAGCTTTCCGATCGCTCGAACGGACTTTCGGACGAAATGAACGTCAATCTCGGTGGCATACTCTCGTAGCTCGGTGAGCACTTCTTTGATATTGGACTCGTTCGCCAGCATGAAGATTAGTTCGAGCTTCGTGACTTTGACRTAGATCGGATCGTTGTATTTGCAAAAGAATACCCGAATATCATTCCTTAGCACCTCCGGTCGTCGTTGAAGGATCAGTAATGCATTTCGCAGAGCCAGGTACTGGATTTCGGGTCCTTTGGAAAGGAGGGTGACTAAAGGAGGGGACAATTTGGCGCAGAGCGATGCAATGGCTTGCTTACTCGAGATGTAATTCATTAGGTAGAGTATGACGCGGATGCACGTAAGCACGACAGCAGAGTTGGTGTGAGATAGGCGTGGGGCAATGCGCTCGGCGAGCACGGTTGCTTCTTGGGTATCTTGAGGGACATAAGAGGTTAGAGCTTCGAGAATGTATGTTTGTCCCCATCTGCGAGAAGTCAGTAAAGTGCTTCGAATCTAGCCTGGGCTATGCTTACTCTGAGCAGTCCGGGAGGATCTGAACTATCTTGCTGGCATTTGCATAATCAATGGTGAGTTTAATACTCTCACTTCGTTCCCAAATGTCCATCAACGCTGCGAGTGAGGACGAGACAACGGTTGGGTTCTCATCGCGCAACATTGAGTTGAGCCTATCGATCAAATCACTTCGTTCAACCAGATGCCTGTCGTGGTCATAGACTTTCGCGACTGTGAAAGCTGCTGTTTTCCGTACATAAGGATCCTGGTCTTTGAGAAGCTGCTTGAGTGGGTCGATCGTTGCTTCGACGAATTGCCGCACGTGGATATATGAGAGGGTTCTGAGAGCCAATGCTCGCATTAAGGGGTTGGTGTCTTCCAAGTCCTAATCATATGTCAACAGGGCGAAAGACTTCTCACACTTCAATCCCTACCGTAACAAGGATAGGCAACGCTTTGAGTGCGATCTCTGGCTTCGCACGCGCATAGTTGACCAAATAGAGGAAACACCTGTACATCCGTCAGCCGCTTCCTCGCTTCCATGCCACTCCCCTGTAAGACAACCACATACATCTTCTTGATTTCCAAATTTTGTATTCCCATACAATTCACAATGTCTGGAAATAAAGCCACCATGTCGTTGTTGCTCATGGTCATATTGGCGACGATCTTCTTCAGGGCGATACGTTTGGCGAGGAAATTCTTATCTTTTTTGCCTCCAGAGGTGTTGAGCTCTGTCTTGAGTTCGGCGACCTTGCCCTGTTGCGAACGCGGCATGTGAGCACTCCAGATGGCAATAGCGTAGGGGTTCATCGTGTATTGATGTAACGGGGTACGGATGTGGGCAGGATACAACAACGTACCCTCGCGAAGAACTTCGCATCCTCACCCTTGGAGGAACTCATCGTGGCAGCTGTCCTATCGGGCAGAGGTGTGATGATGGCGCATCAATCCTCTCCTCTGGACCAATGCTGTGTCGCGACCAGGACGGGAGTCGTGCGGGGTGTCCCTCTTAGCCACGTCTTGCTCTGCCACTAGTCGGATATTGTGGGACACATGAATGTTGGATGCACGGCGGAGAGCGGCGGTAGTCGTTTCGTCCACGGGAAATCTGAGACGGAGCTGAAGATGGTGTGGTGATTAGGGAAGGCAGCGGGAGAATAGATCTAGCGCATGAAGTCGGACAACGCGAGCTTCAACTGCGACCTCAGCGCATCGCGCCTCTTGACATCAACCGCCTACACATCTACATCGTCTACGTCTACACAAAATTAACGATGGTCTCCCCTCCACCCCCGCCGCCGAAGTGGCTCGTTGACCTCTCCGCTCCGCCAACATCCAAACCGGCCCGCGCGAGCTACGCTGACCCACCAGGATTCACGTCCGTCAAAGCCACCTCCTCAAAGTCCAAGTCTGCCGTCGCAACCCCTCGCAAACAGCCCACGCCCGAACATATGAACACCCTCAAACTCAAGAAAGCATGGGAAATCGCCCTCGCACCCGCAAAACAGCTGCCCATGAATGCTATCGGCATGTACATGTCGGGCAACTCGCTCCAGATTTTCAGCATCATGATGGTCTTTATGTTGTTCAAGGGACCGATACTCGCAGTCATAGGAATTCAAGGGACGTTTCAAAGATTGGAGAGCCCGGGCATCGCACAGCAAATGCTGCTGGTAAAGGCAGCGTTCATTGGGTGCAACTTGCTGGCTTTGGCGTTGGGGATTTGGAAAGTTAATGGGATGGGCTTATTACCGTGAGTGCTCTCATTTCTCTTTGATTTGGGAAAGACTAATTCATGGTGAACAGTACTACAAGGTCAGATTGGCTTGCCTGGGAGTCTGCGCGGGAAGCTATAGAAACGGCTGTGCCATATTGACATTGAATGAAAGCATTCGGAATTGATGGCACCCATTCGCTCAGCCCTCTCAACTCCCACTCCAACTAAGATTTGACACTTTTCGCCTCCCAGAATGAGTCCCAACGAACCGTCTGGCTGTTCCAACGACGTACCATTACGAGCGTCAGTCATCAGCGCGCTCGTGCAGGAATCCATTTCCATGTGAGTCGCTGGTTTGACAACCTAGACTTCTGGCATCTCCAATGATAAGTTCCGCTAGCGCCTGTCCGTCTCCAGACTACTCACAATGCTTTCCCCCAAAACTAGCAGTATCTCGAGACAAGGAACGGATATTGACACACCCAGCCGGATCGTGCGTCTGAACAACGAGCAAGGAACAGAAAGTCCCTGGAATCCCTGYGATGTGTTCCAGGTATCCGCGTCATTCCGCTGGAAAACAACATTTTATCTATCTAGAGAGATTGCATATGTTTCGAAGAGCAAAATGATAGCTGCAAGATCCTCTCGTCAGCTTCCTGTAGTAAGGCGAAGTATTCCGATCATGGCAGTACTCCACTTCAGGTATCCGAAACCCCAGCCATTCCATCACAGAAATTGACATGAGAAGTGCCTATAACTAAGGACCACGCATGAATCGACTTGAGAGTGACTTGGACGCGTCGGAAATGGCCATAGCGAAGGATATAATAGTATTCAGTCTGATATGGTTTATAGAGCGGCAAGCAACACAGCAGCTAACTCATTACGCTCAAAAACATCATCTCTCAAACATCATCTATATCTCAAAGGTCGGGAGCATGCTCGCCAGACTCGTGCTCATTCATTCAATCAGGATATACAACACATAAACCTTTACCATGCTCTTTAATTCTTTTATCGTGCTCTCGTCGTTCACCGTGCCGGAGAAAAGGTGGAGGTCAGATTACCGCACCACGTAGCCTCCTCTAGAATATGCCAAATTTCTTCTTCTTTCCGAGCTCTTTGGCTTTCGCCTCGGCTTTTGTCATGGGAATCCCAGGGTCACCGCTCGCAGCAGCACGGATGATAGCAAGTCGTTGCTGGGCCGTCTCGTTTCCTTGGTCTGCGGCACGTACGTACCACATATTGGCTTCGAGAGGGTCTCTCCGACAGCCAATACCCATTTCTGTGAAGTAACCGACGGCGTATTCAGCTTTTGCGAATCCTAGAGATATCGTCAGTCAATATGGCAACGCCTCATAAAAGCTCATTGATGAAACTCACCTGTTTCCGCAGCTTCCTTCGCCCACGCATATGCTTCTCCTTCATCCTTCTCCATCACGGGCTCCGCGCCGACCATATACCACGCACACAAAGCCATCATACCTCCCACATGCCCTCTGGTCGCAGCGCCGTTGTAGAAGTGCACACTCAGCGCTGCATCCCGAGGACATCCATACAATCCATTCTCGTACGCCTGGCCCATCATGAAGTYCGCCTGCACATGTCCAAGCTCCGCAGATTGTGTCAACAATTGCGCAGCGTACGCCTCGTCCTTGAAGATGACCTCTCCATGGCCCGTCAAATGCATCAGACCCAGCTCATAAGGCCCCGAGTTGTACTGGAAGTCTGCCGATTCTGATGCACGCTTGAGCCACTTCACTCCCTCGCGATACTTGTCTTTGAGACCCATGTCGCCAGATATACAAGCCAACCCGAGACGCGCAGCAGCACCAGGATGATTCTTGCTGGCGCTGTTGCGATAAAACTGTACGGCTTTGGGATAGGCTTTTGTTGTTCCCCACCCGAATTCGTAGCACAGAGCTGCACGATAGCCCGCTTCGGSATGTCCGTGCTTCGATGCGGCCACAAACAGAGGGAAAGACTTGTCCAGGTCCGGTTTGCCTTTGTTAAAGATGCCGGAAGAGAATCCGTCGGCCAAATAGTACTGTGCGAAAGGGTAGGCGCGGTCTGCAAGTCGTTGCAGGATGTGTTTTGCTTCGGAGGTGAGTTCTGCTGCGTCTACGCCATCCTCGGGTTGCAACTCCCGCGTGGCATTGATCATGAAAATTGCGAATTCATACTGCACAGCGGCGTCGGTGGTCTTCTTAACGTTCGCCCGATACATGTCCAGCGTCTTTTTGGTGTCTAGCAAGCTAGCCGCATTACCCACAACGCTTTGCAAACTGGCGTTGTTGAGCGGGCCTCCGGGAGCGATCTGTTCACTATACGGTAGATTGTTGAGCAAGTCGACATAGCTCGTAGGTCTTGCAAGAGGCGATCTTCGAGAAGACGACAAATCTCGGCCATATGCAGAAAGGGAATCAGAGCCATTGGCACTCATCGGAGAAAGCGTGCGACCTCTCATCTCCGCGCCCAAGGCGAATGACGAGGCGGGTCTCGGTGCACTGGTACGCGGAACTCCTAGTTGCTGCTGCGAGGCTGAGCGTTGATGCTGCGAACTCGAGGAGGAGCCTGATTCAGCAGACTGTGTGGTCACTTGCGAACTTCGATCACGTCCCACGGGTGTGCGCTTCTTACTCAGGTCGTCGAACGCACTGTACCGAAGCATTTGAGCTTCGTGTCCGCCTTGAACCTCCGCGCCATCTTCGCCGTCCTCGTCTATCCGTGGTGTAGTGTATGCATTGGACGACTCCCTGCTATGGCCATTGTGATACGAGGCCTGATGTTCCATCTGGAGGAAACTGGAATCTTTACTCCGAACAGGCAAGGATCCGATTAAATCTCCCATTCGCATAGCTGAGTCCGACGGTTGCGTGCTGCGCCTTGAATCCTCGTCTCCAGATAGAGAGTAGCTGATTGATGCCATCTCAGGCTCCATGATCCCACGCTGACCAGGACTGATACTCACAGGACTAACTGGGGCACCGTGTAGTCGAAGCTCGGGTCCGTTCGGTGATCGTAGCGTGCCGGGGACAGGCTTCTTTTTGATCAAGCTCGAGGCCGCAGGCGGTGTGTGTTGGAGGCTCCCTTCGGACACCTTTCTGTTGTAGGTGTATGCATCGCTGGACGGGGATCCCGCGCTTACAGTTGGATTCGCTGCCCACTGCTCGTCGTGTTGATCCCATTGCTCATGCTTGTGCGAGAAAGGTGCGTAAGATGGACTACGGGAATAGCTGGTTTGCKCAGCTTTGACGGCTTGAGGCATGGCGATGCCAGATTTGTTGGGTCTGTTTCTATCTCGTATTTCCCCCTCCTAGTTCAGCCCTGCAAGAGGTAAAGATCACGTCCACCGGCAGAACTTGTCACTTCCCGTCAATCCTGGTATGCTCAAAGAATGCGCGACGGGTGAACAGCACCCAAAAATGGAGAGGAGGTGATGGGCGTGCAAAAGGTTCTTTCATGCAGCGATTGTAGAGATCGCAAATGTCTAACGCAGGGCCTCCGTAGTAGWAAGTCGATCGACGTAGTCCCAAGACCGGCTTTGGCACACGGCCGGGACGGCTCCTGGGTCCTAGAACAGCCCCGCGGGCGGAGGAGACGCTCGCGGCCGTTGTGCTTGCACCGGCTTCGTGGTTGTACCTCGTGCGGAAGTCGGGTTGTGCTTAATATTGAAGTCTCGTTCTGCCCTACTGTGCACATTGATCATCAGCATAAGCGAAGGGGAGGAGCTGTTGTCGGGGGCAGCGCGAGCATGTACTGAAAGCTAGCGAGCCGCCAGCAGCAGCACGTCCGCCAACCCGCTTGGCCCACGGGCGAGGGCGACGAGCCTCCAAGGAGGCGAATCGGCAAGGCGTTTCGCCGTGCAAGGCGTGGTGAGGCGACTTACAAAGCGGTTTGCTTTCCTCTTTGGTTCAGCTAAATTTAGTCGGCAACACTAATAACCACAGGTCGTTTGGCGAGGGAGAATATGATGTCAKGTCTTCGGTCTAAAAAAGCCGAGCGCATGCAAAGTTGCGCCGTGCTGCGTTGGGCCTGGTCGAAGGATCAAGAAGAAAGAAGCGGATACAACGAAAGCGCGTCTGAAATTAGACAAGGACACGATGACAACATATATGATATCGTTGACTCGTAGCCATCACTTTCCCCTGCGATGATGATCCGTGAAGCACGAGGGGAAATGTGCCTTTGGCAGCGATCGTTTGCTGTTGCAAAATTGCCGTCGAGATCAGCACGGGCACGGAGGAATGCCAGGTCAACCATCGACGTCTCTACCATTGTCAAGTCGCCTCCAGTGTAGCAGATGAGACACAAAGCCCAAGGACCGCCGAGGGTCCGAGACAAAGGTAGGAGCTCCGTCGTGAAGATGCAACTATCCGCTCGATCCCAGTCGCCTGCGCAAGCGCCAGGGATGAAGGTGATCGGAGGCAGGGAAGTTTTGTGGAGTGCGTGGTCTCACAACAAGGATGARAGCGGGACCCTCTTGGGCGCATGCATTGGCAATCATTGACAGATGCGATCTGCCTGGTAAAGCGACGTCTTGTGTCACTCTAGGCAATACATCTCGGAGCCGCGGCTTGACGAGGGAGAGGACAATATGGCCTGTTTCTGGAGAACGAACGGCCTAACAGCGACCAACCAGTGGTGCCGAACCTACATCACGGATGCGTGTTTATAGAAACCTCATGCTGCAACAGAGGCATTGCGATGTCGTCGCACGTCAAATTTACATCCTCCCGACGATCGCTCGGCTTTTGGACGATGGTAGTGATCAGCTGTGCTGCTTGGAAGCCACCAAAGTTGGGTACCGTAGTTATGTGGCTTCTTCTGGTAGTGTTTAACGCCAGTGAGAGGACGCTCAACACGTAGTGTGCGGGCGTCTGAACCGGTTCTACAACCATAGAGTGAGATAATTTGCACAAAGTTGTTGATGTTGAATGTTGAATGCTAGAACACGGTCGTTGAACATTAAAACGGCGAGCGACTCCAGAGCAACTCGAGTTTGAAAACGTTTTTCATTTTCATTTGAAGCAAATGCAAGCTGTATAAACCCATAGACCACCCATCCAACAAAAGAGACTAGAGTACAAGAGGTATCACCCCACCTGACTCCCAACCTTGACTCCCAAAATTAAAGCATATTGGAATCGCTTTCTTCACAGTATTATGATACTAATACCTCATCATGTCGGCCTTGATCTTCTCCATGGCGTCCTTGTAACCGGCCTCATACGCAACATCAAGCTTGCGTTCTGTTGAGAAACCTGGAGTGCGGTTGTTGTTGCTGTTGTTGTTGTTGTTGTTGTTGCCATATCCACCGTATCCTCCGGCCTGGCTTCCGCCATACTGACTACCGCCGTATGACGAGCCATATCCGCTGTTGGCAGAGTTGTAATGTGGGYGAGGGTTGCCGCTGCTGTGGTCGTGTTCCCGCGCGGCGCGCTGGCCATCTCCGTAGGCTGATCTTTCCTCAGGTCTGCTGTACTGCTCGATGCCAGTAGATGATCGGTCATTGCCGTAGCCTCCTGAGCTGCTGTTGTTTCCACCGTAGCCACCGCCGCCGCCAGAGTTGTTGCCACCACTGCCGTAGCCAGAGGATTGGTTGTTGCCGCCATATCCCGATGATCCAGTGTTGGAAGACGAGTTGCCACCACCGTATCCAGAACCGCTGTTGGAAGCTTGGCTGCCACCGTACTGGGATCCGCCTTGTTGTGAGCCGCCATACTGGGATCCGCCCTGGTTACCACCATATCCTGACGACTGGTTGTTACCACCGTAGCCAGATGAGCCTGTGTTCGATGAGGAGTTGTTGTTGTTGTTTCCAGTCGACCCCGAGCCAGAGCCGGAACCGTATCCTGAGGACTGGTTGTTGCCACCGTATCCTGATGAACCAGTATTGGATGAGGAATTGTTACCGCTGCCTGAAGATCCAGACTGGTTTCCACCACCGTAAGACGAACCCTGAGTGCCTGATGACGATGTGTTGCCGCCGGAGGTGGAAGAGCCCTGATTGGATGAGGAGTTGTTGCCAGCAGACTGAGTGTAGTTGCTAGAGTTGTTGTGCGACTTGTTGAAATATCCCGATGAACTTTCTTGATCATTGTTGCGTCCACCACCAATCTTCTCACCGCCCGCGGTAGGAATGGTTGTTTCACGCTTGCTGTTGCTGTTCGAGGACGAGTTGTTGTTCGTGGGTGAGGTTCCACGCGTCACATACTTGGAATCTGTTCTCTGGTGACTGTTGTTCGAGTTGGATTTGCTGTTGTTGTTGCTGTTGTTGTTGTTGCCGCTCGCGGAGCGACCGTTGTTGTCGTTCTTCTTCGCAGAGCTGTAGTCGTTGCTTGCGTTGTTRTGAGTACTCTGAGCAGTGTTCGTGGAGGACCCGCTGTAGTTGGAGGAACCGTTGGACAGTTCGTCCGAGCTGTAACCACCATCGTCGTCAGAAGCTGACATGCGAGGAGTACTGGCGAAGGAAACGGTGCGAGACTTCGACTTCGACCTCTCTTGGGTCTTTCCCTGTACAGAGCTCACGCCATTGGAGTTCAGCCCGTTCTCTCCAGTGCCTCGGCGGGAGTGGTTGCGGTTCGTGTTGGTGGGGCTTGTGCTGTTCGACAAGGTTGGGTTGCTGTTCTTGGAGCTCAAACTATTGAGCCTTGTGTTGGTCGTTGTAGGGGAGGTAGGATTCTCATCAACCACACTCAATCCGGCGACTCCCTTGTTCAAGTTGTTGACTGGGCTACTCATCTTGCGGTCGGAGTTCGCAAGAGAGCCAGACTTGGCCTGTGAGTCTTTCTTCTCGCTGTGTGCAAATCTGGACCCAGTGTCCTTGAAGAATCCCATGCTGTATGGTACCGCCTGGTTCTTGAACATAAGATATGTAGATGTGATAAGCCAACTGAATAATTCTTCAAGTAGATTGGTTGTGAACGGCAGGTATAGGAAGGGTACGAGGTATTGAAAGGACATGCCCGCCTGCTGAAAAGACGGATTTGCAGTGATATAATAGAAAGGGACCAACCRCCAGACCCACCAGTATCATCATCGGCACTGTTCAGTCTCTCATCGCGTCATTGCGTCTGCTCTGAACCCCATCAGGACCACACTCACGACTCAGACAATCACTCGACGCCCAATGGTCGATCCAATTGCGTCGAGCTGCCCACTCGCGTAAGCGAAAAGCACCGGACTGCTGACTCGAGCAACAGCAGTTGCATGAGCGCCGACATCATCATGCCGTGACAGTTCTGTATAGTGGTACGACACGACTCAGGTCCAGGCCTAAAGAGGTAAGATGGCGCACTCCCAGGAAGACAGCCGGTCCGCGAAACGCGAGCTGCGAGCCACGAGTAAGGTTCCTGCATGCCGTGGTTGTTGCCCTGCATATCGCGCTGCGTTTATCAKAGCRAGCATTGGGAATCAAACCCACGAGAGAAAGTCAAATTGAGTGTTTCTGCTCTGGTTTCCTCATGGTGACCGATTCAGGCCCATCGATGTCAGCCATTATGATGCGCGAGGGCTTGATGTGAAGAGTCAGGCCTCCGGATTGACCAAGGGGTCACTAATAACGCTTTCGAATTATAACATATAAGTCCGTCAGGGAACAATTCTGAAACATCAGGCCTTATCTTCAGTCCCACAGGTCTGATGTGTTCGAGATCGTTCGTGAGACTTTTTGAGCGGGGTTGGTCGTTGTTAAACGGAAATGGTGCACGGCCGATCGACTGCCATCGCAAGTGGCATGCGCATCGCGATTTCGGCTTTCAGGCTGTCCCGGTTTCAGTCATCTGGACTTTGGACTCTGGAGTACACCACTGCATGAAGTTGCAGTGTAATAATGAATGCAAACAAGCGGCAGTGCTCTGGCATTTCTTTCCTCGTYTGACGGCGTGGATCATACGTTCCTGTCGCGATTTCCGCGCCGCTTCATCGATGCATCCTGGGCTGGCACCAATGGCCGACCACGAAATGTGAGCTCATGGGCATTGGATGTGGTTGGAGGCGGGTCCGGCCATTTGCTGTTCGCGGGCGCGTGGCTTGACGCAACGAACAGACGAACAGGTGTTGGTTGAGCGACTCCACATGACGGATGTCTCCCAACTCTTCATTAGCACTGCATCCATGATCGAGGTGGAAAGCACTAGGGGCCTTCCGTCATCGCGTGTGTGCCTCTCGCTCTAAAGCAGCCCGCCGAAAGGTAAAGTAAGTAGCACGCCGATTGACCTCTTCAAGATCCCGTGACGTATCCGGGGTTTCGGGAARCGTGACTGAGGTGAAGAAAGCACGTGCTCTGACGACGCCAACACACGGAGGGGCGAAGAGGAAAGGCCCTGGCCGTGGACAGACATACTTATGGTCTCTGGAGGTTTCCAAGGCAGAGAGATAGCAAATTTGTCAGGTCAGCGCTTTCTGGCAAGGCCATTGCCCTTTAAATGATGTGCAGCACGAGTKCCTTTCCGACGGAGCGGCATGCTTCCTGTTCGGCGGGGGGTCTAACAATGAAAGCCGGTCGCATGGAGAGTGGCATGAAAATGGCATCCGAGTTGCAGAAGAGATCCGACGTATCGCGGCAATGGGCGGAGTGAAGCAGCGTGCCAATCCATATTGGAGTACTCCGTACAACTCCAAGGAGTAAGTTAGTTCGGATGTGGTAGCCGTGCCTTCCGTGCAACCTTGGAAGTTGCGACTTCGCCGCCCCTCGATGCCGTGTCACCACTGCAGGGTTAGAGTGTCGATGAGATGAGATCTATGTGTGACTGTAACCCGCACGTTGCGAGCAGTGAGCAGTTGCTGGGGGCAGACCGAGAGTCAGTCGGGAGAGCCAACTCATTCAGCATCAAGTTGAAGCTATCAGCAGACCCAACACTTGCCAACGCGTGTCTTTCGCGTGCAAAAGACCGCCACTGTTGCTGTAAATAAACCTTGCCACCCGCGAAGGAGCTAAGGTAGTCTTGCCTTAGTCCCTTGAAAACTAAAAGGAGTCCTTTTCTTGGCTGTTGAAGACGAGTCCCCCGACCCATAGTAACAAACAACGGGCGTTGCTCTCTCTTGTGTCATGTCGTTTTTGTAATCCCCAACGAAGAACCCGCTCAGCATCGCTCATTCTGCTGCGCAACACACTCGCTTTTTCCGTCCCACGCCGGCATTCTCGCTCGATCGCAGAGGTACAYGACAGGATTGCGCAACGAGGCCTGACTTCCCATCCTTGCAAGACGATCGTTTTGAGGGACACTAGCCGCATCGCAGTACGGAAACACAACACGAGCACACTTCAGCAACCCGCAAGGACAAAACGTCTTGCTGCGAGCCGACAAGGTTGGTTGCCCCCACTAATTCCTCGGCCCATGGGCGCCGCTGGAATGTGTCTGTTGTTGCATAGCTGCTGACCAAATATACACAGGCAGCTAGCATCATGTCTTCCAATAATCCATACCGTGATCCCCGGCGCGAATCGCAGCATCCACGCCAAACCTCGGGCTCGCGACAACGCCGGCAGTCCAGCACTGAACGGGAGACGGTGCGCTCGTCGGATCGCCCACGCCGAACTAGTAGCAGTCGCCGAGACAGAGAAGACCATCGCGACCTCCATAGCCATGCTCGCCGGCGACGAAGCCCAGCGCAAAGAACCGCTCCGAGCTACAACCCAAATCACGACGTAGCGGAACATCACTCGGAGAAGCCCAAGGGAGGCGACGGAGCTCGAGTCCACGTGCAGCCAGCAAGAGACGATCTCTCCTCAGGCATGCCTTCGCCATGGAAGCCTACAGATCAGGATAGAGATCCCATGATAGAGGCCAGCGATATCTCGCGCAAGAAAAGCTTGGTCAGGCCCGAAAGGCGTCGGAATCATCCAGAAGATCCCAACTATTACTATCGCAAACATGCGCAGAACATGGATGTCATGCCCTCCACCACCGGGCGTGACCCGCAGCTGGAGGAAGATATGCTCACATTGAACTCCGAGGATGCTAGAAATGATGCTCTCGACAGGGAACCACTGCAAGAGAAATCCCTGAACCGTAATGAGAGCAAGAGACAGCCCAACAAGCTTTCGCGGCACGCATCACGGAAGGAGCGCGAGAAGCAGGAAAAGGAGATACAGCGACAAAAGGTCCAGCAAGAGAATGGCGCGCTCACGGCATGGGGTTCGTATTGCCATGTGCTCACCTTTTGGGCGCCCAACGTGATTCTATCGTGTTTTGGCAAAAAGCTCAAGGAACAGCAGCGTGCTTGGCGGGAAAAGATTGGGCTCGTGTCCCTCATCATACTTGTAATGACCTTTGTTGGCTTCTTGACTTTCGGTTTCACCGCGACTGTGTGTCCGGAGGGCGGCCCTCTACGGCTGCGCATCAACAAGATTGGACCCGGTTACATGATCTTCCACGGTCAGGCCTACGACTTGACACGCTCCCAGCACCCGCTCGCAAGAGGTGTGCCCGGCGGCAGCAACGTTCTTTTCGACGCCGACCCACCTGGTGGTAGTAAGGACGGCAGCTTTATGTTTCAGAATGTCAATGGTGCTTGCAAAGGGTTGATCACAGCCGCAGAAGGGTCCGATGTGCCAACCGATAGCGATGGAAATCTCGCTTGGTACTTCCCATGCAACCTGTACGAGCAGGACGGCTCGTCCAGCATCGAACCCAACATGTCGATACCGTACTATTTGGGCTATGCTTGTCACACCTCACGCACTTCGCGTAATGCTTTCTATGGTCTACGATCTTCAGGCGATGTTTACTTCACCTGGGAAGATGTCAGAAACACCTCCCGAAACCTCATGGTCTACTCTGGAGATGTGCTAGACCTGGATCTCTTGAAATGGTTCAACACCTCCCAAGTGGCGTATCCCACCAAATTTGATCAAATCAGAGAGAACCCTGCCGTTCGTGGCAAGGACGTATCGCAGGCTTTCGGATCTGGCGAAAACAAGCAGATCGCACAATGTTTCCAGGACATCATCAAGGTCGGGTCTATCGACACCGAGACTATAGGCTGCATTGCTTCAAAGGTCGTGCTCTATGTATCGCTCATCTTCATTCTGTCGATTGTTGTGATCAAGTTCGTGCTGGCCTTGGCATTCCAATGGTTCCTGTGTCGGAAATACTCCCCCCCGAAGACGAGCATGACAAGCGACAAGAAGAAGCGGAATGAGCAGATTGAGGAATGGACAGACGACATTTATCGTGCTCCTCCCAAGATAACAGAGCCCGCATCGTACGGTGGCAGCGATCGAACCAACAAGCGCAACAGCTTCCTCCCGGCGACCTCAAGGTTTACCAGTCCTTATGCCGTCGAGAGGAGCATGAACAAAAAAGGCCTGCCCCCCACCACCATGATATCGCAACAGTCTGCGTCGCGTCTGACCCCTGGTGTTTATTCGGCGACCAACCGATCGGACACCCATCTACCCCTCGGAGGAGACTCGGAAAGCCGCGCCAGCTTGATGGAGTCTCACCAATTTGGTTCACAACGCTACAGCAGCGTCATGAACCCCGAAACAGACATGAGCGGACCTTCGGGCTTCATTCACGAGTCTGTAGTGCCTCAGCCCCCTCCAGAGTGGCAGCCATTTGGCTTTCCCCTAGCTCACACTCTTTGCCTTGTCACCGCATATTCCGAGGGTCCTGAGGGTATTCGAACAACTCTGGATTCGATCGCCATGACGGACTATCCGAACAGTCACAAACTGATCTACATTGTTTGTGACGGATTGATCCAAGGCAAGGGAGAGTCCATGTCGACGCCCGACGCATGTGTCAGTATGATGAAAGATCACTCTGTGGCGCCCGGCCAAGTTGAAGCGTTCTCCTATGTTGCTGTTGCCAGTGGCAGCAAGCGTCACAACATGGCAAAGGTCTACTGTGGCTTCTACGACTATGGTGCAGACAGCATCATCCCGGTAGAGAGGCAGCAACGCGTTCCCATGGTTGTTGTCGTCAAATGYRGCACCCCAGCCGAGGCGGAATCGTCCAAGCCGGGCAATCGAGGAAAGCGTGATTCGCAGATCATCCTCATGTCATTCTTGCAGAAAGTCATGTTTGATGAGCGCATGACGGAGCTGGAGTACGAAATGTTCAATGGTATCTGGAAGCTTACTGGCATATCACCCGACTTTTACGAGATTGTGCTCATGGTGGACGCCGACACCAAAGTGTTTCCCGACTCGCTCACCCACATGGTGTCCGCAATGGTCAAAGATCCCGAGATCATGGGGCTCTGCGGCGAGACGAAGATTGCCAACAAGCGGGACTCTTGGGTGTCTATGATTCAGGTCTTCGAGTACTTCATCTCGCACCACCAGTCCAAGGCTTTCGAGAGCGTGTTCGGCGGTGTCACATGTTTACCTGGATGCTTTTGCATGTACCGCATCAAGACACCCAAGGGTGGGCAGAACTACTGGGTGCCTATTCTTGCCAATCCTGACATTGTGGAACATTACTCGGAGAACGTCGTCAACACGTTGCACAAGAAGAATCTGCTATTGCTGGGTGAAGATCGATACCTCAGTTCGCTGATGTTAAAGACTTTCCCCAAGCGCAAGCAGATGTTCATCCCCCAGGCTGTATGCAAGACTACTGTGCCGGACACGTTCAAGGTTCTGCTTTCTCAGCGTCGCCGATGGATAAATTCCACCGTACACAACCTGATGGAGTTGATCCTCGTACGTGATCTATGCGGAACCTTTTGCTTCAGCATGCAATTCGTGCTCTTCATCGAACTCATGGGCACGCTTGTTCTTCCCGCCGCCATTGCCTTTACATTCTACGTCCGTACGTACATTCACACTACACTCAATTCCGACGTGACATCGCTGACCACATCACCAGTTGCCATTGCGATCAAAGCGGGTGTTGAAAACACTACTGCACCGGTCATTCCTCTAGTCCTTCTCGCCTTGATACTTGGTCTACCCGCAGTCCTGATTGTCATCACCGCTCATCGTATAAGTTACGTTGTTTGGATGTTGATATACCTGCTCTCCCTCCCCATCTGGAACTTCTTACTACCCATCTACGCCTTCTGGCACTTTGACGATTTCAGCTGGGGAGATACCCGTCAAGCTGCGGGCGAGAAGAAGGGCGCCGACAAGGGCGGTCATGGCGGCGAAGGCGAGTTCGACTCTAGCAAGATTACCATGAAGCGCTGGAACGATTTCGAGCAGGAGCGTCGTCTTCACGCTCCACAATACCCGAACCCGACTCAGTACAACAGCAATACTGGCAGCCCGCGCCACCCAGCGAGCATCAGTCATTCCCAGGGTGCCCATGGTCATGAACGGCGCGTTAGCTCGTTCATGTTGTAGCACGAAAGGGTGATGTTACTGGCGTTGAATATATTGGATATGTGTTTCGACACCAAAACGGTTGTATACAGTGTGGGGGCTGGGATGCACAATTATGAAGAGCGATGCATGGTTGAGAATGTGCCTAATGATATTTCCTCGCTCTTGAAGCTTCCTATTGTAGAGAATATTGAAACCATTGGGTGCTTGTTGACGCGCGCTTCATGTTAGAGTGCACACTCAGGCTGTGAATACTGTGGGATATCCATTCCACCTACATTCCTCATGCTCTCCTTTTACTCAACAAACCTTGAAATTCGAGTTTGTGTTTAATTCGGCCCCTACTTGGTTGTTGCTACTGCAGTGTGCTTCTCATCTGCTAACGAGCCAAGCTCATCTAATCGCCGCGGATGTGTATTGAACTTCAGAAAGTCTTCTGCGCATCGGAGTGGAGGAGACCTGAGCGTGGGACGGGCAGGGTCGATCCGATAGGGAGGCCTGTAGTGATTACAGCGTTGCTGAGCTGGTAAACAGCGAAGCCAGTCTAGCCAAGGAGTGCAGCAAGTAGTGCTGCGAGCAAGATTGTCGTGCTAGGCCGATTGTCTGGAATGTCTCACGACTGATTCTGCATCTAAGCTGTGAGGCATCGCGGAGTCGCTTGGTCGTCTCGTCAACAGAGAGCAGCATCATACAGTAGGTGCCTACCTATGCGTGGTGTTTGGTCTTGCGATCGTGATTATTTCTCACGCGGAGCGTCGGCAAGGAAGCTGATGAAACTTGGAGCCTGCAGGTTGGTACTAATTGGTGCGGCTGAGAAACTTTGCACTAAGTCGGGGCTACTGCACCACGGTGCCGAATCAGCACGTTCTGCGCTAATCCTCAAGTAACATTGAGTTTCGCTCTCCTCCCCGCCGTTATCAGCATTTGCGCACATACGAGTTCGATCCCATTGCAGTATTGCTTGTCTGCGTCTGCTCGAGATGTTACGCCGCTGTTCGGAGCGGAGATGACAGCCATCAGCCATCAGGCTCGGGCTCGACGCAGGACGAATCCATGCTCACACCGACGTAGTTGCCGGTGCAAATGGCAAAGCAGTCAGAGGAAGGTGCCAGGCGGCTCATCATGTTTTTCCCACGACTTATGGCACGTTTTTAGCATTTCTGGCAGGCTCCGTTTCGAGAGCAGACACTCGCACCCTCGACGGCTTGTATTCTTTCATTCATCATCTGCCTCTGTACTGACCAGCGATTCCTCTGAGTTCGCTCTGCAATTCCGTCGCCCCACCGCTCATTTCCGATACCACCATCGCCGCTGTCCGCATACCCACCACGCCCAACGTCAACAGGCCACACTCGGTCAACGTGTTGAGGCCTCTGCCCTGCCGCGCATCCCCTCCATGGGGCACCGACACCCTTTGCCAGCATCTTCTCTCGGCGTCGAGCAATCCTCCTGCATTGTGCTCAGCGCTGCGTGAGCTGGCGTTCACCACCAGCAGCGGACGCCCTTTGTCGCTCCGCCGTTGTAGACACCCCAGTGGCTTTGTCCTCGCACACGCCCCGACGGTCGCGGCGCTGTGGTCACTCTGGCCGTGTCGCTCACACGGATCGTGGCAGAGCCATGCGCCGCCGTCCAGACGAAGATCCCGTCCCCTCCTAACTTCCTCGCGTCCTTCTACCGAAAGGATAGCATTGTCATGACAGACACTTCTCTTCCTGTCAAAGCTATCAATGCTCACGACTACACGCGCGGCGCGCTGCCCACTCCACACATCACATCCCTCCACCAGCGTCCATTTGCTGCCGATAGCACGCAGGAAGACGACGGCCAGATTAGCTGCATTTGCGGCTACGCTGACGACGATGGCTACACCGTCGCGTGTGATTTGTGCAATCGTTGGCAGCACCAGCTGTGCTACTACCCACAATACGATGACGGCGGACTGCCTCAGGACCTCCAGCATTACTGTATTGAGTGTAGGTACCGGCCCATCGACAAGGAAAGAGCCCGGACACGACAGCGGGAACATCGGGAGAAACGTGAGCATGCCGAATCACTCACTAACGGCGTTAAGCGGGCTGTATCCAAGAGCCACAAGAAGAAGATAAAGGAGCCTGGCGCGCAGACAAACGGCTGGCCCGCCGTCGACAAGATCCGACACGACCGTAACAGCGCCAGTCCTCGCGACGTCGCGCCGCCCGCGAAACGGCCGAAAACAAGTCATCGTGCATCGGACTCGACCACGACTACTTTAGCCACCAATGGGACCACCACAACAATTCCAACCGCCAAGGGTCACTCTCGGAAACGCAATACTTCGACTGTTAATCACCGACGAAGTGCTTCGCGTCCACCTGAGATCAACGTGGACCAATACTCGACAGAGTTCTTGCGATGCTATCAAGAAGATCAATGGGATGTCACTGGTGCCAATTTACACAACAGCATATCCGTTACCAATGCCTTGTCGGAATGGGTGGATCTTCCAGAAGACGAGTTCCGAGCAATGCACGGGCAGGCCAAAGGGGATCTGCTCAACCGATGGGATGGCGACCTCGAGGACATTCCAGGAAGGGCATGTGTGGCCATTGAGTCACGCCAGGATGAGACTGTTCTTTACGGAGGCCAGCATCCGTCATGGAAGTTCTTGACCGTCGAGGATCCTGTCCCCAATGGCGCTTACATTGGCGAACTCAAAGGTCGCATTGACTTCAAGAAGGAATACCAAGAAGAGACCAAGAACCGGTGGTCTCGGCTGAGACATCCAGAGCCTTTCGTCTTCTTTCACCCCAGTCTGCCCATTGTCATAGATGCGCGCGAGGAAGGAACCGAGCTGAGATATGTCCGACGCAGCTGTCGTCCCAATGCCAGATTGCAGATTCTCGTCACCAACCACGTCGATTATCATTTTTGTTTCATGGCGACTCAGCAGATTGACCCAGGGATGGAAATTGCCATGGGCTGGGATACCAATGACGGCCTCCCGGAGCTCACCAATCGTAACAACATACTGGAAGGAGACATGGAGCTACTCTCTGACTGGGTGTCCACAGCGCTCGCTAACTGCGGGCCATGTGCATGCCAGCAGCCCGAAGAAGATTGCATGATGTCACGCTTCGATCGACGCATTCGTGGCCATGAAAGCGAAGTCCAACCTGCAAAGACCGTCAAGTCTAAGAAGCGCAAGGCCAACAACCAAATATCGCCACTCAACACCAATTCTGTCAACAGCCGTTCTGGGAGCGAGGTTCGGAAAGTGGAACCGGACGATGAAGGCACTGAATCCCGGTCCGTGTCTGGTTCCGCTGGAAGAGGCTCCGCAAGCCGCGACATCACGCCAAACACTCACTACTCTACTAATGGCGGACAGTCGGGGATGATCCCGGAAGTATCTGAAAGGGAACGCAAAAAGATGGCAAAGGAGGAAGAAATTTTTCGGCGTCAGGAAGAAGAAAGAAATGGCAAACGAGGGAAAACAGTGAAGCGCAGCAGTGCCGGCTCAAACCTCAACACACCAAGCGCCACGTCTTCCAAGCAATTGGGGTTCCCAACCTCTGCATCGTCCAAAAACATGGACTCCGCCCCTTCCAAGCAAGTCTCCACGCCGGCAACAAAAGGCGGTCCTGGTCGGAAGCCGAAGGTGCAAAAGCCATTAGTCAGGTCAGCCAATAGAGTGAATAACCGCCCGAAGCCGGTGTACGTCGATGCCAACACGCAATGCGATCTTGATGCGGAAGAAGCTTCCCACCTTGCTTCTCTGCGTCCGCCGAGGTCGCCGCCGAAGAAGCGCTACATAAGCAGCAGACAACGACTACTCGATCGCTGTGCGCGGAACAATGCACAACGACGTCGGGATCCCAATTTGAGTCTGTCGACTGAGCAAAGTGTAGCCGGTCTACGAGGAGACAGCGTGGATATGGCGGTGTGCGCGGACTCGCCATCAGCGCTGTCATCTCACTCTGTGCCTAAGTCATCGGCAGATGTGTCCCGTGGCCATGGACATGTGCCCCCATCCGACATGGACATGCAGGATGCACCAACACAGGACATTRCAAAATCGGAGGCAGGCGTTGAGGGGTCAGCCAGTGTCTCGTCGCCTCAAGAGCTTTCTGCCCGAACGGAGGTCGTCGGGCCGGCGTCGCCGGATGATCCACATGTCCCATCCATCGCACCTGCATCCATCGCTTCTTCTTCAGACGCTGATCCTTTGGAAGTGCCACCGGCTTCGACAGCCATGCACGTGGAAATGCCGCCACCTCTTGCCAGCACAACTTCAGTTGTAGCCGGGCCTGTTGCTCAGTCTCCTGCTGCGCTTGGCTCTGGGACTGTATTCTCGCCGGCCGTTACAGCCGCAGTGTCCCCCAGTCCGGCGCGGAAAAAGCTAAGTCTTAGTGACTACACGCGGCGCAGCAAGGCAAAGGACCATGATGGCAAAGCGGATCGAGAAAGCTCACCCGCTTCAACTGCATCTGGGCCGGTAATGCACCACTCCTCTTCGACAAACGGCGGACCGGCAATTGATGAAGATGTCAAGATGGAGGACGTGGAGAACATTAGCCCACAAGCATGACTGGGCTTACTTGACGTTCCCTGTGAATTCATTGTGGCTGTTGGTTTGATGTTCAGCCCAGCGAGGTGTGCGGCGTCACTTACTCTGTCTTTTTCACGGCTGCCGCATGGGAAGTATGGGAACAAAAGTGTTTACGGCTTGATGGAAGGGAACGAGATGGAATATTCTGGGACGGCAAACACGATTTTGCATTACAACGATTTGCAATGACGGCCGTTTCGGCAGGCAACAAGCCGGCCTTAGTGTACTTTTACTGACTGACTGCTCAGCAGCAATCAAATTTTTCTGTCATAGCTACCTAGAAGAAGTAGCAGCATCAACCGACAAGATTTATCAGCATGGACGCTCTTCTCTCCTCACTTGTGTCTCTAGCTGTATGCATTCGATGTTGCGGCTGCTTTGCGCAATAAGGTGGTGGATGTGCCTGTATTAGTGGCCCATACCTTGTGTGCGTCAATATGCACACATGGTAAGAGGTCTTGGGTCGGTAGTGCCCATTCAAGTACAGCGTGTCTCGTATGTTGCGTCTTTCCGTCATAGGATGCATCATCTGCTTTCCATGGATTGAATGCATGAATCAAGAGAAGCTGGTTTTGGTAGGCACATGGCAATGGGTGTACCATGACACCACAACTCTATTACTGCACACCTCAACCAGATATGCACCGTGGCGTCACAAACGAAAAGGCAACGATGCGGCTCAGACTTTGAAAGGAGATGTATACTTGACGAGTATGTAGGCAATGATGGGTGTCGACAGATCGATTCATGCTACCCCAACCCTAACCCTTCCCGCATCTGATGGTATGATGGCATGTCGGACTAGGGTATGAGCTAGATAGGTGCTCATCGCAGAGACTGAATTCTGCTGTAGCAGCCAATCGCCCAACATTCCAAGATCGTCCAATTCCTGTCACCCTCGTCTGCCGCATTTGGCTAATAGTCCTGTGGCTGCGTGGCCTTCGCACCTGGTTCTTTCACCAGTCCATCTGGTTGCGGCGGACGATACGCTTCGAATTCGCGCTGGCTCACCCTGAAAGTCTGGCTCATCCTCTGCTCAGGCTCAGGTGCGCGGTATGGCTGCTGACCTGGCCACTGCTGAGCTGGAATCTCACCTCCCCAAAGCTCTGWCGGCTCCTCCTGTACTTGACCCAGTGCTCCTCCTGGTCCAACGACGCCTGTAGGGCTATAATACGGTGGGTCACTGCCAGCTGTCATACTCGAGATGGCTGGACTGTGCTGGAGTTGTGCTGGCGTAGATCCGTACAGTTCACTCTTTCGATCTGGCTTGATCGCCGGCAAAGTACTGTCCAACTCGGGAGTGTCGTCTGGCGTACGATACATGCTTACTAGACCGGGTGGCTCGGACAAGGGTGGCTTCTCGTGAAGTTGGCGCTTGCGTCGCAGACGCCATAGAAGGAAACCGACAGCGGCAGCTGCGAGGACAGCGCCAGGGATTCCGGCGCCAAGACCGACCACAAGACTGCGATTGCTACCGCCTGATGCGGGTGCTGGGGTCGGAGTGGTTGTTGGAGTGGGAGTCGAAGTTATGACGGAGATGATGGTTGTGGCGACGCCTGCCGAGTTGGATGTGACGGCAGATGTGGTGACAGTGGTCGGTGTGGCCTTCGGGGCAGCTGATGTCGAGGTCGAGGTCGAGGAAGTCGATGTGGAGCTAGTGGTGGTTAAGCGTGTTGTTTGCATTGTGACCATGGAAGTCTTCGATTCAGTGACAGAAGACGGAGGCTCCGTGCTTGAGATGAAGCCAATCTCGCTACCTCCGGAGCCCAGATCCAGCTCCTCAGCATCACCACTGTCGCAGCAATTGTTCTTGGGGTCTCGATTGCTGTCGCAACACCAGGAGCCGTCTGCACAGTGCTGGATTGCCTCGTTACCTGCCGCGGTGTAGTCTGCACCTAATCAGCGGAAACAGTAGATCTCGAGTGACTGGAATACGTACTCTGTGTGCAGTAGTTCGGGCAAGTGCTGTCGCTTGCCCAGTCCTGAGAAGTGCATGTGTATCGACCAAAGTATCCAGCATTCTCGAGGTAACAGAGGCCATCGCTCAAACACATCCAATTGAGGGGACAGCAGGTTCCTCCTTCAGAAGTGCATGCCGCCATGCCTTCCGCCACATCGCCATTTGGATAGTAGCAGTTTGCGAACGCCGGTTGGATCGTGGACAGGAGAGAGAGGAGCGCCGCGAGAAGCAGACCAGTAGATGAATTCATGGTGATGCTGATTTGGCGGGCGCGCTTGCCGTGGTGCGGATCCTCCAAATTGGACGGTGAAGGTAGACGGGAAGGAAATTCAGAGAGCCAGACAAAGTGAAGGTCACAAGAACGTCGATGTTTGCCACGCTTGGGGAAATCAAGCTTTGGCACTAACTTACAATTGCTGCATGTGAAACTCGCCCTTCTCTGCCTCTCCTCCCATCTTCAACTCTTCACGTTCTTCAGGGCCGCTGCCGGCTATGGCCACATTCTAACTAACTAGCTCGAGTGGGCGCTTGAGACATATGGAAAAGGGGGACAACGCGGATGGATCAGTGTCTCGAGGACCGAGGCACGGATATCTGCAGGTCAGTCAGCTACCATCGCAGTTACACAGGGACGTTATCCGCATACGTACACTGCACTACACAGATGTCGTGAGAAACGGCGAAGCCAAGATGTTGGCCTGAACAACCTCGGACGAACAATACGCAGGCAGCGCAAGTCATTGGGCAGTCTGCGTGGCGGCGAATGTGTTCTCCAAGCTGCATGCAGGTCCCCGTGTACTATGAAAGGAGAGCTTGGACTCGAGGCGAGCACAAATATGATCAGCCATGAATGCCCACATGGCGTCGGCCTCGCAACCTAGGATGATTTGGAATTGATCCAAGACGGTCAAAATCCTGTGCACATCCATGCCCCTTCTCGACCGAAGGCCAACCTGCATGAAGCCGTACAGAGCCAGTGAAACCGACAGGGCCGGCCGGCATGTGTCTGTATCTCGTCCTAATAAGGCATGGAAGTGCACTCGGATCACATAGACCAGGACGATACGCGACAGCCTGTTGACCACCTCTGACTGCCCAGAATATTGTGGTGGACAGATTGTCCAGAAGATTGCGATGTGATGAGGTCCAGCTGCGGGTCGTCGGCTCCACCCGTTTCAACCTTCACCTTTCGTGTTCTTGGATGCCCCTTTGGACATCAATATCTTATTTTGAGTGGAACCGGTGATCGCAAGGTCGTGTTGTGTCCATCGAAGAGAAAGCACAGTCTGCGAGAAACCAAAGCATCTCAGCCGTGCCTTTGTTGACTCCAATGCTTCCTATACAGAGACTCCCGGATGCCAGTGTTGGACGAAACGGAGTTCAAATCTGCGATCAGTGTCACAACCAATGCTCCCGATAACATACTGGGAACCATGGAAGGTTTGCCGTGCGATGTGCTCTAGTTCTTTCTACTCGGTGGCTGGATCACCGCAAAATACGGCTCCTACATGTGCCCGGAAGACCAGAGGATACAGAGCGCCGGTTCGAAGGCAGCCATCGATGCCAATGTAGATGCCAATACGTCGGTGTCATCACAACGTGAAGAGATATTATGCTTCCGGCTCTAAACTTTGTCTTTCGCGGAGCAAAGTCGGGCGCTTCAAGAATTACTGAGTAAGCGCATGGTAGAGGATAGCAATCGGATGTGGCGAAGAGTTACTACATGACGGGCAAGGGTAGAGTGACCTAGGTACGACTGTTTGGCCTATCAGTTGGTATCGCTTCCTTGGTTCTGCAACAACATCCTGCTCCCTCTTCATGAGCAGTATTGATGCAAACATGTCTCTCTTTCCAGGCGTGGCTTTGGTGACAGGCGCTGCTTCTGGTACAGTGGAAAATCGAGAAAGTATGAACTTATCTGATTGCAGACATCAGGTATCGGCCAGCAAACAGCAGTATCATTTGCCGTTGAGGGGTGCAGCAAGATTGCCATTGCAGACCAAAACTCGGCAGGGCTCGCCGAGACCACGACTCTAATCCAGAAGGCGGTTGCTCCAGAGAAAGTCCAAATTGTATCCTCCACGGTAGATATCTCCAAGGAGGAGCAGATCCAGGCGTTCGTCGACCAGGTTGTCGAGGAACTGGGACGGATTGATTATGCCGTGAATGCTGCTGGTGGGATTGCCTCACAAGTTGGAACCACCAAATGCTGACCTCTGGAAGGTATCCTGAGCAACAACGAAAGATCCCACGAGACCTCGACTGCTGCATTTGASCGCATTACAGACGTTAATTACCGCGGCTGCTGGCTGACCTCTCGAGCAGAGATCAAGCAGATGCTCAAACAAGACCCTCTCCCAACCCACGATGGACGGCCAGGTAATCGAGGAAGTATTGTAAACTTTGCAAGCCAATTGGGCCTTGTAGGACGGCCAGCAGCAGGTATGGCTGTTTCTTATAGTACATCATGGCATTGAATCTGACATTTCCAGCCGCGTACTGTGCGTCAAAAGCTGCAGTCATCAGCATGACCCAATGCGATGCCATTGATGTACGAGCCCTGGAACATCGTTGCGGATGGTTTTGCTGACACCCAGGCTAGTATAGCAAAGACAACATCAGAGTTAATTGGTAAGTTGGGCTCTGCCCACACAGTCGTAGCCTGGCTGACCTAGTATCTCAAGCGTCTGCCCTGGCGTCATAGACGTAAGCATCTCAACGATCAATGAAAGGACGAAGGACGCTTATGGCTAATGCATACGGCTTTTATCCAGACACCATTGATTCGGCCGAGCATGAGCACTCTCGGACCGGCCATATCGATAGCACCAATGTAAGTCCTCACGGACGAGACACTTCATCCGGCGCCATCGCTACGTGCTGGCTGACGACATGTTGTCTCACTTGCCAGGAATCGACCAGGGACCGCACAGGAGATTGCGGACGCCGTCCTGTTCCTGTCAAGCCCAAAAGCGACGTTTGTCCAAGGGGCCGCCATGGTGGTCGACGGTGGTTACACGATCAATTAAGACGGCGCAATCACCAGTGTGGATGGTTGTGCAGAGGGTCCTGAATGGATACCAGCATCGAATAGATGAGAAACTCTACCTTTGCATCTCCGACGGGCTTCTTTCCTTAGCGCAAATTGGCAAGAGGAACTTGAGTCTTGATTAATTCGGCTTGCTGGGGTACGGAGTACTAGGTGGCAGGTGCTGTGATCATGTGGATGGTCGTCGATGGCGGTTACACGATCAATTGAAACGACGCCGTCACCCGCGTAGATAACTGTAGGGCAGGTCAATAATAATGGACACGAGCAATGAACGAATGGAAGACTTCATCGTTTCCACACGGGATTGCTCGGATCCGGTATGCAAAATTTCACACCGCATCAAATGTATTGGATTTAGCCCAATGGCTGGATGTCTTTCTCCGCCAGAGAAGAGGGTCGCGGTTGCATAGCAGGCTGTCAAAATCGCCTCGCGCGCGGTGATGTTCCGGCTCATTTGGTTGCCATGGGACTAGGAGGACAACGGTAAGTGGAGGACCTCCTGAGATTAGACGCCGTGCAAAGTGGATCATTGCAATGCAAGGTTAATCTTGGTTAGACGCCATTGAGAAATCCTTGCGAGAACACGGGTACTAGCGCGGTTTGATCTGTGGAGTCGGTGGGGCGCGTGGACGGTGGAGTTGGACGCGGATATATTGGAGGTTGGAGAAGTCGGATGTCTGCAGGCGTCAAGTATGCATCATCACACAGGTAGCACGATAGGAAAGGTGAATGAATCAATGGTAGTAACACGACTTATGTTTTCCTATCAACAATAAGCAAGGTAAAAGAAATTGGTATCTTGAGGTCTAATCTTCATCATCCTCGTCAGTGGCCTTCGCAGCCAAGGTCCATCTCGCGTCTCCGTGCTCATCCCTCTCGTGCTTGAGAGCCAACTTGCTAAGGTGACCAATGATGTTCTCCATCTGGGTGTCGTGCATGCTGCGGTTTTGGCGACCGAGATCTGCGAGACCGGGGATCTTGTTGAGCATGTAGTAGGTAATGGCAATGACAATCATGACACCAATAGAGTACATCCAGACAATGACCAAAGTGACGGGGTCGTTGTGGCCGTTGGCGCTCTGTTGGTAGGAAGCCATTGGGCTTGGAAGAGGCTCCTGGGTGATGCTCGAGTGGAGCCATCCGAAAGCGCAGAAGWGAGTTGCCAAAACATCGACACCGAAGATGGCGCCGACGAGCTGCCACGATGGGAGGGTCTGAGCACCACGAGTGATGAAGATGAGCCAGTTCTCAGTGAGGGCGATCTGCAGGAAGAGAATTTCCTCAAAGTTACCGTAGTTGGCAATGAGACCTCCGTTTGGCATGTACATGGCACCACGGGCGATCCAGGTAGCGATGGCAAGCTCAATACCGAGGACAACGGAGATGATCCAAATCTTGGGCAGCTGCCACTCCACAGGGCGCTGCTCAGAGTGAGCGTTATCGTAGGCAATAGCGACAGTGGCCAAATCAGCGAAGAGGGCAATGAAGACAATGAGCTCCGAAGCGATGACCTCGCGGATGATGATGATCGAGGTGACCAGGTAGATTTCCAAGTGAAGACAGAGAGCGATACGGTACTGAATGTACGCCTTCAYACGCTGGAAAATCTGGCGGGCAGTCTTGATGGCGAAGACGATGGTGGAGAGACCTGGGGCGAGGAAGACAATGTCGGCGGCGGCTTGGGCAGCTTCGGAAGAGCCCTCGACGGCGATACCACAATCGGCCTTCTTGAGAGAGGGAGCATCGTTGACACCATCACCAGTCATGGCAGTCAAGTGACCACGCTGCTGAAGCATCTCGACGACCTGGTACTTGTGCTCGGGGAAAACCTCGGCGAAACCATCGGCACGCTCAACAAGATCGTGCTGGGTAGTACCGGAGAGACCGCCGTGAATGAGCTTTTGCGAGTTGTAAACCTTGGTTCCGAGAGCCAACATCTTGCAAGTTTCCTTGGCAATGGCGAGAGCGTCACCAGTCAACATCTTGACTGGGACACCGAGCTGCTGGGCCTCAATGATGGTCTGGGCGGTGTCCTCACGGGGAGGGTCGAACATGGAAAGCATACCGAGGATGACCCAGGGGTCGTTGTTCTTCTGGTAAGCGACACCGAGCGAACGGAAACCACGGCGGGCGAACTCAGTGGCCTTGTCTCTGAACATGTCGGCGGTCTCCTTAGAACATTCGGTAAGGTTGAGAACGGCCTTGGGAGCACCCTTGGCGCAGGTGAAGCGGTCGCCGCGGAGAGTGCAGACAGTGGTAATACGCTTGGAGACGGGGTCGAAAGGAGTGAATTTCTCGGTCTTCCAGTCGTCCTTGAGGATGTCACGGGCCTTGGGGTAGCGCTTGAGCGTGAGGATGGTAATCTTGTCGATGGGGTCCAGAGACTTGATGTTGTGGGAAGAAGCGAGAGCGGCGCAAGCCATCATCCAGTTGACATCCTCGCCCTCGGCGACGTAGGGCTCACGGATGGAGAGCTGGTTGGCGGTGAGAGTACCGGTCTTGTCAGAGCAGAGCACGTCGACACCGGCCAGGGACTCGATGGCAGTGAGCTTCTGGACGATAGCCTGCTGCTTGGCGAGGTAGGCGGCACCGACAGCCAGAGTGGTGGTTGTGACGACAGGAAGACCGACGGGAACACCGATGATGAACAGAATGAGCACGTAGTGCAGGAGAGTGTTGCTGGAGTCTTCAGGGGTCGCGAGCTTGATGCCACGGAAGAAACCACCGATCCAAGCAACGAGAATCCAGAACATGACGAGGACGAGGAGCGCGGTTCCGATGCTGTTCATGATAGCCTTGAAGTGACCTTGGTCCTTGGCGCCCTRGACGAGAGTGGCAGTGCGACCGACGAAGGAGAACTTGGCGGATGTCTGGCAGACGGCGTAGGCCTTGCCACGCTTGCAGCCAGTGGTGTAGTAGACGACATCGCCCATGAACTTGTCAACAGCGAGGGATTCACCGGTGATGGCGGACTGATCGGTAGCAATGATGGAGTGACCCTGGTGCTGGATGCCCTCACCGTCGTCACCGTCGGCATCCTCAGAACCAGCGGGATCCTCCTCGGGGTTCAAGGCGTGCTGCTCACGCAGCTCCTTGTACTTCTCAAAGTCTTCGGGGTGCTCGTAGTCACAGATGAGACGGGCGTCGGCGGGGACAGACTGGCCCTCCTCAATGACGACAATGTCACCGGGGACAAGCTCACGAGCCTTGATGTCCTGTTCCTGTCCATCGCGAATAACGGTGGCCTTCATGGMAATGTCTCCCTTCAAGCTGGCGACGACATCGGCAGCCTGCTTCTCTTGGTACCAACCGACAGCGGCGTTCAGCAACAGAATACCAATGATGACACCAAAGTCGATCCACGAACGAAGACCGGCGGCGAGGAGGACAGCGAGTTCCATGACTGCCAAACAATCAGCAATGCTCTGTGATAGCCAGCCCTGCATCCTACGACACGCCAAGCTTTTTGCGACCGAAGAAGCTCTACGCCACTACGGAGCTGTAGCTGCAAGCGAGCTTAAACGCAAAAAGCAAGACCGAGCCCTAGATGTGCCATTGCGCTGGGGTTGGTTGGCAAAACGTACCGTAAAGAATGGGACCAGTGAAGAACATCAAGAACTTGATGAACAAGTTCTCCTTGTCGGTGGTGATTTCGTTCCAGCCAAACTTCTTGCGGCGAGCCTCAACCTCGCTAGCGGTGATACCCTGGCGGATGTCGGCGGTGAGCCACTCGTCCGGAACGACAGTGTCCTGTCCCTCCACGGCGGTGGACTCGGACTTCTTCCAAAACTGCGGACACGGTTAATATTGCCAGTTCGCAGACACGGAAATGTCGAACTGCACGAACCTGCCATGGCTTCTTCTTTTGRGATTCAGCGTGGTTGTTGGCCTGCTCCTCCTGCTGAGCGAGCTTGGGATCTCTGTAGGTCGAAATGTACTTTTGCAGAGCGGTGTACTCGTCTAACATTACACCGTCAGTCGCGTTCTTGAAGGACATTATAATGTGGCGATGATGATTTACCGAGATCCTCAATGTTGCCAGGAGCCTGCGACCACTTGCGAGATCTGCGCGTGCATGTCAGTGCGTGGTCCAAACATGGCGATTGCGCAGCTTGCGGGCAATGACGGCCGGCGCGACAGCAATCACAACAACGACATACCTCTCCTGGCCACCCTCACCACCGTTCTCCATGTCCTTGTCGGAGAAGCTGACACGTGGAGCCGCCATCGTCAAATAGCGATGCCCAAGTCAATGGTCGCTGTGATGGAAGGAATGTCGAAGTGCGAGACGCGCAGCTGTGAAGGAAAGAAAGAAGAAGCTTCGGCGTGGATGGGCTGAGGATAAAAAGGACGATTGCGAGCTATGGACGCGGGCAATGCCGCCGCTGCCGAGCTTTCGTCAAAGTGGGTGCCACTCTTAGTGCCAAAGGCTCGTCCCTGCGGGTTATCGATGTGGTCGGACCGTTGATGCAGATTATGGCAATAACGTAACCGCTGCAGCGCCCGCTGATACCGTGCTTTCTTGGGGACAGCGCTCCCGCTGCGTGAGGGACTTTGGACATCCCAGTCCGGCGCGCGCATGCTTTGCGCACGCCCGACTGGCTCGAGAAAGGCCCGAACTCACGCTCGCCAAATCGATACTAACGTCATGCACGCCGCTCCCCGCCGCTCTCTGCTAATGCACTGCACGGTCCACTCAACGATCCAGCCGGCTCGTTCGTCGGCGCTATCAGCAAATGAGCGTGCAGCTGGCAGCTTACCCGATCGGACACGAAGCTTGACCAAGCAGATTCTCGCAATATCTGGCTGGAGAAGCGAAAGTGGCCCTACACGATACACGACGTCTCATTCGCGCACCCGCGCTCGGCCCACGACTATGGGAACATGGGTGACGGGAGGATTGCCAACTGACGTCGATGGGACATGGGTGCAGTGATGGTCAGCATCTGTGCTGATATTGGATCAAAGCTACGGTGTCGGACAGGATGCGGAAGGAAGGCATTGGAAGCGGCGTGGCGCGCTCCAGACACATCCGACACAACGAGGTGGGAGCGCAAAAGTCTCAGACGTGCCCAGCAATTGCTGCAGTAACAAAAAAGGCAAGCAGCCAGGTCTTGGCCAATTTCGCGTCAGGTTTACCTTGTGAACGTGGGTACCCTTACTCCTAGTTAAACTCCATGAGTGGGCCACGCGCCAAGAGCCGAAATGAGTTCGCTGGCTCCCGTTCTGCTTTTGCTGTGTGCAGCTGGCCGAGTTTAGGATGGAAGGATGGATCTTCCAGGGGATTGCCAAATTCCGCGGGCAACAGCCGGCCACAACAAACAACAGCTGGCGATGCGACGCAACAAGGCGATACGGACGAGACGGAAATTCACTCCTCCGGGCCTGTCTCTCAAAGGATGCATCCCACCGTAATGTGGCATGACGATGGTATGAGGTGCCGCTCGACCCGGCTATCGCACGTAGCCTGTCCTGTCAAATCCGCCTCGAAAGGTCGCAAAGTACCAGGTGGCAGGTCGGATCGCAGCGCGGTAGACTTTGCATGCGCCGTGAGCCGCCTGTCGCGTGTCTTTGTCGCCAGCAAAGTAACCCAACGGCTGTATCGGCTCTTAGGGCGTCGGGAACTGAAGGCAACTGTGTTGTGGATCGCCCGAGATCCATGAGAAAACTTTTAATCCCTCACATCCTACGCAGTCGGTGTCGCGGTATCAAGCACGCCGCCGACGATGTGAGGCATTTCTAATCTTCTAGTCGTACATGAGAAGCTCCACTGTCACAAATGCCGTGTTCCAGGTCGTCTCGACCCTCTTGGACACTTGGACACTTGGAAGTTGTTGGGATCCATTCAACCACTGCGACACGGTCCGCGATGAACCYGCATTATGCAGTGAAACTCCAGTGCCCTCCGTTTCACTCAGACTTCACTGATGATCATCGTCCTTGGTCTTCTTGTCAACAACACCTCGCTCGTTGAACGGGTCACACCGCAGTCTTGGACTCTGTTGACCTGCGCCGGGGATGCCGCAAATCAATTCGCGATGTGCTCCATGAATCACCGTGGTCGTGATCAAAGGGATGTCCTTGCGAGACCAACTGGAACCCTTGGCCATTCTTGGTATATCTGCTTCATGCAGAAGATCGTCCACAGTGCTTCCCCCCGGACTTGGCAAATTTCGCGCAGACCGCTTTGCGAATGACTTGTCAAACTTCAGAGAACACAGCAAGCGGTGGTGCAATGCGCGCTGTGCGTCCGACCAGCCCGCATCCGGAAACCGTGACGTTCAATGAAATCGCGAACAACGACCCTAACCTCTAGTCCATTGACTTCGCCACGAAGCCGCGTTGAAAGCAGTTCTGGCGGGAAAATGGCTCCAGCTGATGGAGAGCAGGCTCCTAAAAGTTGCGACCTGAGTTGACAGGACGTCACGGTTGATCGCAATTGCTCTGTCCGTATGCATTTTGAAGGAAGAACGACAGACGAGGTAGGTCTGGTTGCTGTGGCACGTTTTTCGCATTCCTCAAGTCTAGCATTCATATCAATGTCAGAGGCATGGAACAAATCGCGAAGCAGCGCACGAGAGTTCCATCGCATCYCAGACAGTTCCACCATCATACGGATTGCAGCAAGTCGAATGGCCCTCGTACACCACAACAAACGACTTGCAAGCCCCAAACCAGCCCACCCCGATTCAGGCTGAGCCTACGATCTGCTCTCAAGGATATTATTTCCAAGGATTTTCACAGCCTCGCGCTGCACGCCAAACCAGACAAGCCACCCATGGTATCCCAGCCACGTCCAGATCCTGTTCGGATGAAGGACTCCGACGACTACTTGACCGAAAGAGCCGCAAACCCACGCACTGGCCTCATCTCACCATCACTTGTGTCAAGCACTCCGTGTAGAGCAAATACGCCCGATACTCCTGGTGATGCGCTGAAGTTGCTCCGCCACGAGCACGACCATTCCTCGCCCACTCCCGCACCGAAAAGACTGTTGTACAGCACGGCGAATGAGGGAAGAGAGATCAGTAGTGGCAGCGGTCTGGCATACGGCGAGCAAGATGAGCAATACGAGGAGCGAAGGGCAGGCACACCATGTACGCTGCCTGAGGACCGTTTGGTCGTGCACATGCCTTCGGCCAAGGAACCGCAGCCTTTTGCGTACCCGGGATATTCATCTGAGCAAATCGAGGCTTTTGAGCACTACAAACACAAGGCACGGCGCGYTTCTAGTGAGGGCTACGATCGTCGCTTTTTACAGAACCATCGCAATGCGCCTTCGTACAGCGCTACCGACGCGAACCACGAGCATTGCCCCGAGAAGAATGATGTCTATTCCTCGTGTTCTCGCCAAGTTCGTTACTTCCAACCGTACAACGGCGTGCCCGACCGGCCACAATCGCAGTTGGTAGTTCGAAAGCGGAACGTTGTCAAGCCCGTGTGCCAAGCAGGCGAAGCCGTTGCAGCTTTTGCAGATCAATCTGGGCGTGCTCAGTGGGGCGCTGAAGTACCTGATAGTACATCCACGTCAGCCATGACACACGATCTGAAGTTCAATAAGTGTTCAGTTGAGAGCCATGGATCGTTCATGCCCGCACCGAGCGTTTGCGATCTTACCAAGCCCGCACAACAGCCCCACATAGCTCCTGAGAAGATCTCCAAGCAATCGTGCATGGCGCCCAGAAGGGGAAGCGCTCATCAAGACGTTGCCAAGGGCAATCATGTCGACAATCATAATGCTTCCAACGCGCGTTCACAAGCGGATCCAACGGGTTTGGACATGACCGACCTTCGCACGCTGCCTTGTGTCACATTGGTACGGCCTGAGTATGCTGCTTTACCGGGCTTGCGCGGACAGCCGTCAACATGCGAGAGTGTCAGGAGTTGCTCCCTAGGATGTCGCCGGGACGTGAGGAGCGGACAATGCCTGGAGCAGCGAAAGGTTTCGCTCCCAGTAAGTGCGAGCCATCTGACGACTGCAGAGCTGCCAAGTCCTAACAACGACACTGGACAAGGATCTGTCGACAAAGCCGAAGAAATACTTGTGGGCATCTTGAGCTGGTCGTTGTGCTATATTAAAAGCATACAGGTGCCGCAGAGTGACTTGATAGAAACTCTTCGTTCTTCAAGTGCCACAGTGCGGGAGAAAGCCGATGCGTTAAAGGCTGCCTTGTCATTAGCTGGACACGTACTTGCGGTGGGAACGGCGCTGGCTATGATCTGGCAGTTGAGCGCTGCTGTGATACAGTTGTTACAGATCGCTCTCTGGCCTTTGGCGGTCCCTTTTCGGATATTGAGGTGGCTTCTGGGTGCAGCTTAGATCGAAGTGGTGAACTAATCTTTCGCTTCCCGATCGGACATCTTTTATCCTCACTGCTTATCTCTTTCATGGAGTGGGAGCTATTCTTGCGAACTTTCGCTGTGCACGGCATGTTGTGAGTTGATCTCTGAGAGAGAATAATGCTCTCAAGGCATCAATATAATGTAGTCGCTTGAAAGCTCTGACAGGCTCTAGGTGTCGCTTGCGTTGCCCTCTATAGTAATACGAAGAACGTGAGAGGTTGAGCTGTTTCTGCGAAATCTGGTCTAGCCCGTCTCGCCGATGAAGCCATCCAGCCTTGCTTGACAATGTCTCGCTCTACAGAAATCTGATACCTACGATAGATATTTGCTGCTTGTAGCACTATAGCTGAGTCAAGAGCTAGATTGTACCAGTCGGGAAGAACAGGCGAATGCCCCTATCGTGCTTTAAGAATCAGCAGGTGCTCTGGTCGAGCAAGCTCGTCCTGCGAAGATGCTCCTCTGGCATTTAAAGAGCGCAGGCCTACCGGCGACTCACCGCAGATGAGCTTAACGCCTGCGAGACTCACAGAACTGCTTGGAAGACACGCTCACGGGAGGGCTATGATGGGATCTCATTCCTCGTCTGTAAAGGATGAAAAGGTTTCTGTYTCGGTATCGGAACGTCTTTGTCGTCCTAACGGCATTATTTGCAATGCAGCGAAGCCCAGTATTCGCGCAGCCCAGGCCCAATCCATCCTTGGGAGATATCGCGTCGCGGAGATTGAAGGCAGCTTTGCGATACTGTTTGTGGCTGCGGGAGCTTCGCCATATGTCGTGTTGTTACGCGAGTTGGCACTGTATATGCAGACGTTGCTTCTTTTCGCGAAACTCCATGTGTAAGTAGCTTTCGATACTTTCGTCAATGCCTTCGTTCACGCAATTCAGCGAAGATATCTGCATGCCGTTCGTTCCAGTGTTTCCACTGTTGCTCAGTACACCTAGAAGCTTCCGAATTAAAAGTTGGCCCTACTTTTTGACTCCCTCGATCAACTCGCCCACACCACCAGTCCGTTGTGTATTGCTTACCCACCACCKCGAAACGAACACCGTGCCAGGCCAGCGCTCGCCAACAGCACATCAATRGCGGCCAGTGGCGAAGAGGTTCGGGGGTTGGAGGAGGAGCTGGCTCTGCTTGAGGGCGACTTTGCGGCGTGCGGCGCCAGCATGGTGTCTCTGCTGCTGCGTATTCGCAAGCAGACACCGGCGACTGGGCGCCGCACCGCCCACACGCAAGAGGAGAAGCGCCTCTATATCCTCGGGGTCCAGGCCCTCAACATCGTCGCCGGGGCCGCCCTGACGGCCTTTGGGCAAGCATCGCCGCAACTCGGCGCCCAGGAGAAGTGGATCACTCCACGGCTGCGCAAGCCTGTCTTGCGCTACGGCCATAGAGTTGCTCGGCTTTCCTACATGAACATCAGCATGGATATCCTGATGGCATTGACTAAAGGAGACGGGACCAAGCTCGACCCGCCATCGACCATCTACGGCCGCACGACTGGCTTTTGCACCCTTGATTCCGAAGAGACCCTGCTCCAAGCCGCCTCTGAAGTGCTCCAGTTGAGCAGTACTGCCGAGGCCGACACGTACTCTTACGTACAAGGCTTCAAGGTGGTACTGCCTGCCATTGACGACGACGATCATGCGTGGAAGACAGCCGCCTTCGCGTACGTCGCGCGGACACTCACCGCTCTTGCTCAATCTCATTCAGTCTGGTTCAGCACTGTGACCCAGCATTTTACGGCCACTCTATGGGGACAAGTGGTGCCAGGGACTGATGTGACTGCATTCAGGCCGTACACAGGACCTGCCCAGGCAACAGCTTGCGTTTTGCAAAAGGTGCAACCGACGGGAAGATCACTTGCAAATTCCGAAAAGCAAGAGGAGCTTTGGGACCATCTCAAGATCGCGTTGAAAAGATTGAGCTCCTCGAAAGTTGGYCAGCTAGAAGGCCAAGCCAGGGCAGCTTTCACAATCATACGAGATGCCGGCGGCGGCGATCGAAACAACGGCGACACCCTCTTCAGCTCGGAGTACAGCGAAGCAGTCTTTAAGACCGCAGTACTCGGTCTTGAGATCTTGGACAGAAAGTTACGAGATTACTTCGGGATATCAGCCCCCCTTGGCGACGATATCGAAGCTCATCAACCAGCGATTGACAGGAACCCCAGGCCCAAMTGGCTCGACACTCTCAACACACGTCGCTGGGCCATTTTGGAGTGTCTCGACCATCTCTTCTCCAGAAAGGGGGACGATCCAGCGAGGCTGAACACGGCATCATCAATCATCGCGCTATGCCAGGGTGCCAATGTGGGTGCTGCGGTGCACAAGGACCATCCGGAAAAAGTGTTGGCCTGGGCAGTCTCGTCGGCGCAATGGACACAGGAGTGGAGACAGGAGATGATGGGGTATGTTCGGCTTGCGATTGTGGGAGCCGCACAGTTCCTGTCCAGTGAGTTCGGCGACGCGGATGTGAAGCTGGGAGGGAAGATTGTGCCCCGGGCGAAGGACCGGGAGCTATGGCTCAGAGATCGAGTTCGTGCCAACGATGTGTGAGAAGTATGATTGTCGAAGTCCTTGCTAAGCAGCAGCCGGTGCGTTGGCAACATGAAGACCGGAGAAGAAGCAGTGAACCATGCCAGGCATGTTTGTGGCAAGGAGGCTTTGCAGCGAGTTACGACGGCTCATTTCCGCATCGATGTGGAAAGTAGGTAGATGAGATACAATGCCCATACTACATGACTGATCCAACACGGTGTTGAGCAGGATTACTACATGTTGCTCCAAGTACTTTAGATCGAGGGAACAGGAAAGCCGTGACGTTCAATCGCGTCTCGAAGGTTCGCCGGCTCAATAAACCAATCACGCTTCGCGCGAAAAGTCCCCCATTGATTAACTTTCATCCATCGTCAACTTCGTCCTGTTATCACTTTCACTCCCCAGCATACAGTTGACCATGAGTCTAACGTCGCCGGCGCTGCTCCCCAAAGCAGCCAATCCATTGCGATTGCTTGCAGTATCACAGCGCCCGCGACACACACAGCAGGATCGGCCTCAATGTCGAAACCAGCGGCATGGAACCCGGTCATTTTCTATCAAAGCAGCACCATCCCGACCACGACAAGCACCGACGAACCATGAACGGATACAACCACGCAGGTCATTCCATGCCTCTTCTGGGCTTTGCGCGGTGAAAGACCCATATACCGCCCTCGGTATTAGCAAATCTGCTACCTCGAGCGAAATCAAGAAAGCTTACTATGGCCTTGCGAAAAAGTATCACCCGGACACAAATAAGGAGCCTACTGCAAAGGAAAAGTTTGCCGAAGCGCAGAGTGCATACGAGATCCTAAGCGACTCGAAGAAGAAGGAGATGTACGATCAGTATGGCTCCGCGGCTTTCGATCAGAATGGCGAAGCAGGTGGACCTGGGCCAGGAGGGTTTGGCGGGGGAAGTCCCTTTGGAGGTGGCTTCGGTGGATTCGGTGGAGGACAAGCTGGAGCCGGTGGATTCGGCGCCGACTTCAACTTCGAGGACCTTTTCTCTGCTTTTGGTGGCGGTGGCGCACGAAGGGGGAGAGGGCGGGGCCAGCCTTTCCAAGAGGAGGTCATGGTTGGAGAGAACATCGAGGTCCAGACGAACATCTCCTTCATGGATGCTGCAAAAGGTGTACAGAAGGACATTACCATTACGCCATTGGTTCAGTGCAAGACTTGCACGGGCTCGGGCTTGAAGAARGGAACTACCAGGAGTGCATGTAAAAGCTGTGAAGGGACTGGTCAGAGGGTACACTTTATGCAAGGCGGCTTCCAGATGGCGAGTACGTGTGGAACATGTGGCGGGACCGGCGTGCAGATTCCAAAGGGAGCAGAGTGTGGAGGGTGCAGAGGGAACGGAGCTGTGAGAGAGRAGAGAACGGTCACCGTGGATATTCCAGGCGGAGTAGAGGATGGCATGCGGCTGAGGGTCATGGGAGAGGGCGATCACCCTCCTACTGGACAGGCTGCCAATCCCAGCGCAAGGAGCCAGAAGGGAGACTTGTATGTTTTCATTCGAGTTGCACCGGACTCAAAGTTCTCGAGAAGTGGGAGCGATGTGCTATACACCGCGAGCATACCCCTAACGACGGCTATTTTGGGAGGCGAGATCAACATTCCCACACTAGACGGCGAAGTCAAAGTCAAGGTCGCTACGGGTACGGGCACTGGAGACAAAATCACAATGTCAGGAATGGGAATGAAGAAGCTCCAGGCACGAAGAGGAGGAAATGGAGATCTTCGGGTAGAGTTCAAAGTCCAGATGCCCAAGTACCTCTCAGTCAACCAGCGAACAATCATTGAGATGCTTGCGGACGAGATGGGAGACAAGAACGCGAAGCGCATCATGAACTTGAACAATCTGAAGCATGGCGAGAAGGCCGCACCGGAAACCAAGAGTGCTGGAGGTAAAGCCGACGATCACCAGGGCGAGGGTTTCCTCAAGAACATTTGGCATTCCGTTACAGGCCAACACGAGGAGCCGAACAAGTCATCGGAAGCAGGAAAGGGCAACGAGCAGTCGAAGCAGCAAGACGAAAAGCAGAAGAAGAAGGCTTCCGGATCAGGTTGATGGCTGTTGTATAAGCWTGTACTTGTTCTTGTGTATAAATGGGCTAGTTGATTGGCGGCATGAGCGGAGTGTTGCAGGGCATATCCCAGCTCTTCTGATAAAATCAGAGGGATCGCAATTGTTGTACATTAGAAGTAATGGTGTTCGTCCATCGTAGTCGTCTCAACCCGACAATCTCGACTCTTATACCAGCTCCAGAGCATTATCCTCAACCTCAGGCGCCTGTAGGAAGCGCTTAGGCGTCTTCGTCACAGCATCCGCGGCTTGGGCGCTTAATGAGACTGACATTCTTCGAGCAGATCCGATCTGACTGGATCGCCAAGGTTGACCGCTGGTTTTCGAGGAAGCGCCCGATTACTGTACTAACAAATGGGCGCATATCCAAACGCATTTGATGCATGTGGGGGATGTCATATAGGTGAAGGTAGGCCACGAGGTAGGCCGCAGGATTTCCCCAAAAGCTTCTAGGTTGCGCATCCCACTTTGGACACCTCCCACGTCACACAGCAGCACAGTCAGCGTGTACTCGGAAACCTTAGGCTCACCCGTGCATCGTGCCTTGCATCTGTTCCAGCAAACAACGCCCGAACTACTCTGACGCACATCTCACGAGGAAGAGGAAGTTTTGATTTGCTTCACACAACGCAGCGGCGGCCTGTGTATGCTGGACAGCTTGATTGGGCGGGGATTTGGTCGCACAGAAGTCGAGTGGATTCGTCTCGTTTGCCTGTGATGAGCTGGCAGTAGGGAAGCAAGCAGGCAGGACATAGGAATTGCGAGTTGCGATTGGATACACCCTCGATCGACTCCATTGCTGTCTCTCGACTCGACACTCGCTCGACCTTCGACACTTCCCACGTGCATCCACCATGCTTCCTGTCCGGCCAGGACTTTCTCGCCAGCTCTCCGCAGCCGCAATGCAGGTTCCCATGATCAGCGCGCCTCAGAAGCAGACCAACGAAATCGACTGGGTCGCTCCGCTCAAGCAGCACATCCGCAGTGCATATGGCGATGATCCAGAATCCTACAATGAGGAATGTGACGCCTTGAATCGTCTCCGCCAGGATATGCGCGGAGCGGGGCGAGATAGCGCGGCGGGACGAGATCTGCTGTATAGATACTATGGACAGCTGGAGTTGCTCGATCTTCGCTTTCCCGTGGACGAGAACCACATCAAGATCAGCTTCACTTGGTTCGATGCTTTCACACACAAACCTACAAGTCAGTTCTCGTTGGCGTATGAAAAGGCCAGCATCATTTTCAACATATCCGCGGTGTTATCATGCCATGCTGCGAACCAAAATCGTCACGAGGATACCGGGTTGAAGACTGCATATCATTCCTTCCAGGCTTCCGCGGGCATGTTCACTTATATCAACGAGAATTTCCTTCATGCTCCTTCGACCGATCTCAGCCGGGAGACTGTCAAGACGTTGATCAACATCATGCTTGCTCAGGGCCAAGAAGTCTTCATCGAGAAGCAGGTCATGGAYAAGAAGAAGCCAGGACTAATCGCAAAACTTGCCGCGCAGGCTGCATACCTCTACGCGCAAGCCGTGGAAGGTGTGCAAGACAACGTCTCCCGTGCCATCTTCGAACGCGTGTGGTTGTTGATGGTGCAAATCAAGCAACATCACATTGCCAGTGTGGCACAATACTACCAAGCTGTAGCCGACTACGAAGCGAACAAGTATGGAGAAGCCATTGCCCGCCTCACAGCAGCGCAGAATGCCGCCAAAGAAGCCATCAAGCTTGCAAATGCGTTCCCCGGAAACGTTCCTTCTAACAGTAACCTCGTTTCCGAAACGGGCGTGATTTTGCTTGACATGGCGAAGAAGCAGGCTGCGTCAATCACTGAGCTGCAGGCAGAGTACAACCGAGACAACGACATGATCTACCACCAACCGGTGCCGTCAATAGAGAACCTGGGAAGTATACCCAAGTTACCAGCTGCGAAAGCAATTCCTGTCAGTGAACTCTACCAAGGACAAGACATCCACCGAATCATCGGACCGGACATCTTCTCACGAATCGTGCCCATGTCAGTGACAGAAAGCGCCAGTCTATACGACGAGGAAAAGGCAAAAGTGGGGAGAGCCGAAGCGGAAAGAGTCGAGGCCGCAGACCAAGAGCTGGTAGCTGCGTACGATTATCTTCGACTCCCCGGGAGTATCGACATCATGAGGGGAACTGCAGATCAGGAAGCCATGGGTGTGGATGGAGACTTCAGGAACTGGTGCGAGGAGCTTGCTGGGCACTCCCCATTCATCCCAGTCTTCGACCGGTTGAGGGATGATAAGGGACAGATCCTCAACACTTTAGATGGTTGTATGAAGCAGTTGGACATGGAGGAGTCTGTTTGCGAAAAGATGCGCAGCAAGTATGGTGCGGAATGGACGCAACAGCCTTCTTCCCGTCTTACCCAGACTTTGCGAACTGACGCGCGCAGCTACCGTGCTGCGGTTGAGGAAGCGGCGACCAGTGACGCACAATTATATGCCTCGTACCGACAGTATGAGGGAGACATGGAGGAGATGCGGAGTGCTGGAGAGACGGACGAGGCCGATGTGCTGTACCAACGTGCAATGRCCAAAGCCGGTGCTGGCATGAAAGGCGGCATGAGTCCTTCTCAAGAAGGCAATTTGCTCGACGATGACTTTGAGAGTGATGGCAAGGAGAGTATTGCCGAGCAGCTGGAGCGAGTCGAAGGTATAATRAGAACACTGTCACTTGTCAAGCGAGATCGAACTCAGGTGCTCAAGGATCTCAAAGAAAAGGTATGCAGAGAAGTTAGTATAGTGAGGAATGCTGAATTAACACATTACTGCGCAGATCCGAACAGACGACATCTCCTCCGTCTTGATCCTCAACAAGAAAGCGATCACTAACCAAGAACATGCGCTGTTCAAAACGGAACTAGAGAAGTTCCGCCCGTATCAGGWCCGGATTATGCAGGCGTTGCACAAGCAAGCTTCGCTGGTCAAGGAGTTAAAGCAAGTGTACGAGATACTGTTGGCTGACAAGAGGGTCAAAAAGGAGACTGAGAGATATCATGGCTTCACAAAGCAAAGAGGCATTGTTGTCGGGAAGTACAGGAAGGTATGTTCTAGGGGTGAAACAGTGACTGATATACCGCCTTGCTGACCTTCATCCTTAGGTCTGGCAAGCGTACAAAGACCTACAAGCGGGCCTCGACCGCGCTCGGCAGTTCTACGCTGAAATGCAGGAAACTTGCGAGAGCTTGAAGAAGAATGTTGAGGCCTTTGTTGAGAACCGCAGAAGTGAAGGTGGTCAGCTTCTCAGCTCCATCGAGGCCTCTAAGAGTAATGGCGCGAGTAAGGAGCAGGAGAGGCTGAACGCTGTCATGGAGAGGATGCGCTTGAGTGGTAGCAACTCACCCGCCCCACCTCCGCCTCCACCTTCTGCGGGCTACGACCGGGACCACAGACCCACGCCTCTGCAAAGTCAAGCAAGCTGGGGATCTCAGCCTCCAACATACAACCCTGCCGCGAGTCCGCCAATAACCCCTCGATACCCGCCCACGAATGGCAACGGAATGCAGAGTCCCGCACCATATCCGTCCTACCAACAATCACAGCAAAACAACTCCTCAGCAGCAGGAGGGAACGGGAGCTACAACCCAAACTCATACGGCGCGATGAGTCCTCCAGCCCACCAGCTGCACTTCTCCCCCCCACCGTCACAGTCGCCATATGGAAACTTTCAACAACCACAGCAGCAATACGTACCTCAGAATCAACAATCACAACCGCAGTACGGCCAGCAACCACAGTACCCTTCACAGCAACCATCATACCACCTGCCCGGTCCGCCGCCCGGACCGCCTCCGAACGGGGACTACAGCGCGATGCAGGCGACACAGTATCCTGCTGGTCCCGGCGGTTATGCTCATGATCCAAGACGATCGCAGCCTCAACAGCAGCAGAACGGTGGATCGACGGGTGCTGATCCATGGGGATCGCTGTCAAGTTGGAAGTGAGGAGAAGTGAGCATTGTGAGGAATGGGTTGCTGTTAGCATTTGCTGGACAAGTGGTGGTGCATGGCGTGGTGTTTTGAGCTTGATTTCGAATGCTTTCTGGCGGTCCCTGCTTGATGTATGTGAGAGGTGAAAGGAATGTCGTCAAGAATTACGGTCCGGGAAATGTGCATGTGATGCGAACGAGGCGAGGGTTGGTTGGTGTATCTACGTAGACCTTTCACTTCTTTCAACATCGGCAAACATCAAATCTCAATGCACATGTCGCTTTCTGATATCTAGAATGGCAATCTCAAAGTAATTCCTGCCTGTCAACCCATGCCTTCAAAAACCCTTGCCCCTTCGCTCATGCATAATCAGACCACCAATCATCCACATCCATTCCATCATTCCTGATACCTTCAAGTCACTTGCCTTTACATCCCACTCTCTACCCGCTAAATCTGAACCGAACAGCCTCTAACCTCCCCAAGCCTTCTCTGGGAGCCACGTTTCTCCTCCGATACCCATTCGTGAAATCCGCCAACAACCCACGGATCTTCCTAATCTCCCCAGCTTGCAATCTCTGCCCAATGTTCCGCATCAGTCGCTCACGCTCCTGGTCCGCGATGCTGCCTTCAGGAAGCATGTTTACCGTCTTGCCGACCCACTCGCTGACAGGTTCCGGAAGAAGCTGGAAGAGTGCGAGCAAGACTCCGCTGGCGTCTGGGTGGGCATCAACAGGGAAAGTGTACATCATGCCCGTCAAGCAGCGCTGAACGAGACGCTCACCTTCCGCCAGGGTGAGGTCCTTGACGCGAGACTGGATCTCAGGCGGATTGGGCTGATTGGAGTAAGTACCATCTTGTGCGTCGAAGGCTGGTGAGGGCGCAGATTCAAAGCCATATGCGAGATAATCGCGGAGGAAGTGAAGAGTGGCGATAAGGGGTTCCTCCTTGAGGAGGGTGAGGGWGGTAGAGGCTGCGCTCAAGATGGGCGGCAATAATGGTGACATGAGAAGTTTGATTGGATGGTATAGGAGAACATCCGTGGAAAGGCGGAAGAAGTCCTCGATGACATCTGGCAGCTCTTCGGGGGCGAGCTCGTTGAGGATGCGCATAAACGCCGTTGCTTGCTGCTCGTAGAAGACGTAGATGTGGTCCGTGGTTTCCCTCGAGACATATTCCGAGACGTCTGAGAACTCGCGCACGATGCTGTCAGTAGCCCAAAGAAAACAGCCTTGTCTGCTGGCCGTGAAACCCGATGCAAGCTTCTCTGCCAGGATGGGTAGAAGAGGTGCAGTATGGATGCGGTAAGACAGAACGATGTAACGCCAACATCTGCATATGCGCTCGACGATCGGCACGAAGTCAATGTAAGCTTCGCAGACTTGGGCCAGTACCGGAAATATCTCCTGACAATACTGCACGGCGGGGTGAGGTTTTGATGGCTCCACATAAGGAGTTACCCACTGCACGAAGATTGTGAGCAGGTTCAGATGGTCAGCGATGGCGATCTTGTGCTCCTTTTCTGTCGCAGCTTGCGCCATGCTGACCAGTCTCTCCATGATCGGGTCGCAGCAGAGTTTCAGTGACTGATGTAGAGTGTCCAAAGGTTGCTTAGCCAACACGGATGCGACGCCCTCTGTGACCTCTTCTTGGCTGCTCGCGGGCAATGCATCGAGGTTCTGCTGATAGAACTGCTGCAGCTGTGGCATGAATCCTTTGAGCAGATCTGCGCAGTCGTTACAGAAGAACTTGAAGCTGAGCGCTGCAGCACGAATGACCTCGGGTGACGGATGGTTGAAGGCCGCCATGATAAAGTTGAGCTGATCTTGCAGTGTCTCGGGGTGTTGAGACGTCCATTCTGTATACCGTCCCAAAGCCATGACAGCCTGAAATCGCACCTTCTCCTGGTCCGGAATCTGCACAATCAGCGGGATGAGTCGCGGAAGCATGATGTTCTCGTCAGGAGGAACCTGTCTGCCCATGGCGCGCATGCTGAACAGAGGAGCCTCAAGCGTCTGCCATTGTGGGACTTTGCCTGCGCTTGCTTGAGGGCCATGCTGTGTGACCCATGCCTCAATCAGAATATAGCTCTTTTGGAGACACTCAGTGACACCGATGACCTCGCAGCAATCCTTGAGCACATCGCCCAGCTGGTGGCGGAACTCTCGAAATCTGTCTTCTGCTTCGCGGTCACCATCGAAGAGGTCAGCATCGTTGCCATTCTCAGGCAATGGATATTGGAGGTGATGGATCATTATGTCGACCAATTTCGAATAGACGTGCACGAATTCCAGGCGTGCGTCCATGTATCGCTCCAGGGTGATGTACTGCTTCAGCTCGTACCAAAAGTTGAATGTTTGGGCAAGAGCCTCTCGTTCCTTGTCGTGGATACAGCACTCGAGCACCGCTTCGACCAACGCGAGGAAATCTTTGGGCTGTCGCGCGATGAGCACTACCCATGCCTCACCAGCCTCGGCGAAGACTCGAGTAATGCCTTTGTACGTCTCCCAATCCTCCTCCTCCGCGCATGGCTTTATCCGTGTGACCAAGGTGGCCAAGCGTGGGTAGAGGACCTTGATTGTAGCCATGTTCTCGTCGACCTCTCTCGTTTCCTTGAAGATGGCACACAGCGTCTCCACAGCCGCGTCGAAGGACTGATCGGACTGAATAGCGGCCATGACCACATCCATCAACGGCGAGTTGACGATGTCGTTCAAGGGTACTTCCCTAATCCATGATGTGATGCACTCCATGAGCTGCGGGTTCTTCGCAGCCTCGGACGACGACTGGGCGTACTGCACCAAAAGCTGCAGCACATTCTGTCCATTCCTCTCCAGCAGCTCTTCCTGGCGTGTTCGTAGCTCGTCTTCCGCCAGATTAATCTTCCTGCCTTCTGTCACTTCTTCGGGCAGTACATGCAGAAACTCAAGCACGCATGCTATTCCCGCCGCATCACCTCCCAGTGCTGCCACAACCGTTGACAGCACATCCTTCCATTCCAACATCAAAATGGCCAGGTTGGCCAGACACACGCACAACTGAGTCCGAATGGGCTTAGGACCCTTGGCGTATTGTGCAAGTAGGTTGACCAGTGTATCCCGCAGTTGTGGCAGTGATTCCTTGGGCAGTTGGTGGAAGTCGAAAACAATCTTTGTTGCACCTCCGTCAGTCTTTGCCATCCCATGCTCTCCAACCCCAGCTTACCATACCTTTCCCTTCAACGTCGTCGCCGCAAACAGCTTCGCCTCGTCGGTCGAGTCTGGCGACTGCAGAATGGCGAAGGTCGAGGTCCATGCCTCGGACGATTTCTGGAACTGCTCGAGGTAGTTGTGCGCCTCGTGCTTGGTGGCCCGTTCGACACCGCTGCTGGACATGGTTGCCAGCGCGGAGAGGACAGGCGCAAAAGACGCGGTAGAGGCGGCCATCTCGTCTTGAATGTGGTGGTCACAATGTCGATGTCTGTGATTCCTGCGAATGCGGTGGTGGATGCTTGATGCACTACACTACAGCATCGCTTGCTGGAGAAYGATTCGCGCGCTTACAATCAAGCGTGGACACTCGGAGTTCCGGTAGAGACGGTGATTCGTGTGTGTTGTGACAAGTTGAGCATGTGAATGTTCGTGCGGAGAGTAAACAGACTCAGAGATTCGCAAGTGAACTGCCCCTCCAGACTGCCTTTAACTTAGCGCCCTGCCGCCGCGGCCGCAAACCTTAAAACATTGGAGTTTGGAAGTCCAGCGTCGCGGGCTCTCATACGACCACTTCTTCACATCACCAGCCCCGCGCACGCGATCTTCAACCGAACAACAACCTCACCGCGCGTCTATCGTAGCGCACGTACGATTCTCACAATCTCACAGCACACAACATCGAATATGGGTGATCGCAGACCCGGCGGCGGCGGAGGTGGTCGCAAAGTGCTTCTTCCGCCCATCAACTTCATCTTCAAGCTCCTTCAGCAACACAGCACTGTACAGATCTGGCTTTATGAGCAGCTGGGGATCCGTATCGAGGGGAAGATCCGCGGCTTCGATGAGTTCATGAATCTGGTCATTGATGATGCTGTCGAAGTCAAGCAGCCAGGGAAGGGACAGACTGAGGCCGACGTGAAGGATCAGAGGCGGGAATTGGGTGAGTTCTGTGGGCCCAGAGATGATAAGGATCAGGGCTGACTATTTGTGTAGGTCAGATATTGCTCAAGGGAGACAACGTTTGTCTCATTCAAAGTTTGACTTGAGGTTGACAACGCAAGACTGCGTGGCTATCAAGAAAGCTGAAGGAGTTCAAGGCGAACATGGACGTGACCGAGTAGTCATCACGAATGGAGACATGGAGAAGGGATGTATTTGCTCCTCGAGACTTAGTCCGAGAGAGCGTCAAAGGCAGGCCGCGACAAATGCTGGAAGGAACAGACACTGTGAGTCGCCAAAACCGTCGCGACATAGCTCAAGTTCAGATTTGCTCATCGACTATCTTCAAAAAGTCAGCAACGCGCCGTCTCCGGTGGCCACCGCATCGACCTTCCAGTCCCACTCCTCAGTAACGAGGGTCTGCCCTTCAGGCAAGATCTGTTCGCTGAGGCAGAGGCCCACTGTACTCGTGATTAGTAGCTTCCAAGAGATGAGACGATCGAGTTCGCACGTACCAAGGAACGGCTTTTTCCTTGCACTCCCGTTCCCCCAACCTCTCTCCAAGAATCTATCATAAAAGCCCGCTCCGTGCCCTAATCGATCCCCTGCCCGATCAAAAGCCACTGCAGGAACGACAATAACGTCCAGTCCCTCCTCGTCCTCCAACGCATTCTCTCTGCCAACCACTTCAGTCAAGGTAGGAATTCCCCAAGCATCTCGCTCCAGACCTTCCAAAGACTCCAGTCGTAACATGTCCATAACTTTCCTCTTCTCCGTTGGAATAGGCTTGTGTAAATAGGGAACGAATACAGATTTGCCGGCCTTCAATGCGTCTTGCACAAGAAGCTCTGTTTGCGCTTCGCCAGTCGGCATGTTGAGGTAGATTCCGATGCGCCGTGCAGACTTATATTGAGGAAGAGACATCACCTTTTGTTGCGCGACACTGGATTGATTTGTGACTTGTGATTGAGATAATGCGGAGAGAGTTTGCTTTATTTGCTTGCGGAGTGAAGCTTTGGACGTGCCGGTGGCCATTGTGCGTCGTGCTATTTGTCCTACAAGCGGGAGGTTATAACACTGTATGTCTTGTCTGTGCGTAGATGGACGTAGTAATATATAAAGTCCACTCTGAATCGACGAGTTAAAGCCTGACATAATCATAAATTTGCCTCCTGCCACGCGCGTTCAACGCTCCGCGACTGCCAAGCCACWCGACATCAGCGGACTGCCAACGTCTGAGTCCTCTTCAACAACAACAACACCACCACCACCACAGCGATTCCCACGATTCCGCCAACCACTGCCAGTCATTCCCGTCGCCCAGAACGCTCCGCAGCATGCTGCTTTACCATTCCCTTGCCTTCGGGCTGTCATGCCTTGGACTTCTCCAAGGCATTTCCGCGCAAGGCACCCTCCCCGCCGACTTGGTGGGAACCTGGACAAGCAAGTCCAAGAAGACTGTAACGGGACCTGAGYTCTACGATTCCATAAAAGACAAGCTCATCGAGCCCGAGCGACCCGGCATCTCGTACTCCTTCACCGCAGACGGCCACTTTGAAGAAGCGTACTTCCGCGCCATCTCGAATCCCGTAAACCCAGCGTGTCCGGCAGCGATAATGCAATGGCAACATGGCTCATTCGTGAAGAATGCGGATGGCAGTTTGACTCTCACGCCGATCAGTGTGGATGGAAGGCAATTGATGAGCGAGCCATGCGACGCTGAGCATGCGATTTACACTCGATATAATCAGTCCGAGTTGTTCGAGGTACGTGCCGCTGCAGAAACCCCAGAAATGAGGTATGCACACTGACTCGTGATGACAGCGCTACGAAGTTCTTACAGACCCATATCACAACATCCCACGCCTGAATCTGTACGAGTTCGATGGTTCGCCTATGCAGCCACTGTATCAGATTTACAACCCACCTCAAATGCTTCCAACCACAACGTTGCACGCCATGACAACTGCGACCGCGACCGCGAAAGCTGGAAAGGCCAAGCGTGGGCTGGATGGAGAGGACGTCGTGCCGTTGAACTGGAAGTCCAAGTTCGAACAGCGGGGGGATCACATGGTGCATCGCATCAACACAGATCGGTTGTGGTGGGTGGGATTGACGTTTACGGGCGTCGGAGGTCTGCTCTATTTCGGCCCTAGAAGGTTGGGAATTCGGCTTTGAGGGAAAGAGTGAGGAATGACTGTCTCTGCATTTTTGTGCTGCGTCACTAGCGAGCTGAACGCATGGAAGGGTGTTTGGGTGTTTGCGTGTTTGGGTGTTTGGAATATGATGAATGAATGGGCTGCTCTTCACACGCTTTGTACCAGGGCGCAGGATTGGGATGGGTGTGGGAATAACAGTTGACGACTAGCATTTTTAAGCGCCAATATTTGCAGGCTGTGATATATGTCAGCGTACAACCAAGCGATCCGGGCTTTGGGCCGGATCATGATGACTTAATTCGCTATGAGACGATGATCAATTCGTTCGTACGTAAGTGTTACTGTGAGCTGCCCGGAAGCTTCACCTGTTCGCATGTGCCTGTCGCTCGCACAGAACCTAATTGCGAAGAGATTAACTACACATGCAAGACAAGAGGTTAAGGGAAGTGGACTCGAATGCTTGAAAAAGAAAAAAAAAACATGTACAATAGGTAATCTCAGACGTATCTGTTTGACTCTCCATCCTGCTGTGATCAGATCCTCGCCAACCAAATACTCGACTTACCACCAGGAAATCATGTCACTGCCGTACTTTTCCACCATGTCCTCCACCGGTGCTATCCAGAATACCCTTACTCGCTCACTTCCTGCCTCGCAAATGAGGAGGTAGTGACTTGTCGCTAGTCTTCTTCACCGAGGCACTGAATTCCTTCGCGGCTCTCAAATCACCCTTTGGTGCAATTGACGGAGCACCGTTTGTCTTGCTCGCACCAGCCCTCTTTGATCCACCAGATCCCACCGGCTCGTCATCGAATTTGGGCCTAACAAATTTCGTCTTTGCCTCCGGACCTGGGTACTCCTGAACCACCTTCTTCGGCTTCGTGGCCTTGAAGGTTGCCTCCGTAGACAACCCGATCTTTGCTGCGGTACTGCCGTTGTTATACTCAGGACTTGGACAACGCTTCTTCCCGGCGCTTCCAATCTGCAGCCTCGTCTTCGGGCTCGCCTTCATCCCCACAAGCATCTTGTAGAAGCCAGCATCCCAACCTACAAACTGTAGGTATTCCCAGAATAGTCTCATCCCTGGCTCGATATCCGCATCGGCAATGTCGAAGGCGTTGAAGATGCTGTCGGCTGTAAGAAGGCTGACCTTGAATGTCGAGTCTTTCTCCCAGGCCTTGAGCTCCGCAGCGTACGCGACCAAGGCGCGCATGACGCGACGTTCCTGGCCCTTTGTGACGCTACCGCCGTTCTCGACGCTCGTAGCTGGCGAGTTAATTGCCGAATCCGTGGGAATTGGGCCATCGTACGCAGGCTTTGGCCAGAAGTGCTGGCGCAATGCCTCCGTCACCCACGCGGGACGACCAGTCTCTGCTAACTGCTCAGCGTGGTTACGGAGAACTGATTTGGGAACGAAAGATCTAATAGTGTCGTATCCGACCTTGTCCGAGAAGCGTTCCTGCGAGTAATTGCCAAAGTAGGAGTACTCGTCCTTGCCCGAGGTCTTGATGAAGACTGGAACTCCAAGATAGTTCTCTTCCGCGGGAACCTCGACTTCACCGCTGATAGTCATGTTGAAGAATGCCGTGAGTTTAGCACCATGATCGCCGGGCTTCTCGGGAAGAAATGGCTCGTGCGTGTCGTCCAGGATCCAGTACGACTTGCTTGGAAGAATGCTATCCTTGGGGACAAAGTAGAACCCTGGAGACCAGTAGTCACCGCCAAAAGTCGTGCGGATCATCTCGAATGAGAATGTCTCGAGGATCTCTGGAATGGTGATTGGCAAGGTTGGCATGTTCCGCACAGCCATAGGCATCCATCGCGCAGTCTTTTCTCCTTCCCCAGCGGCGTTCGCCTCCATCTTCGTCTTTGCTGCCTGCTTCTCTTCAACGAGTGGCGCAGGATAATCACCAGTTGAGGAGGAGGCGATCTGCTCATCTGGGGGTGACTTCAGAGAACGATGCTCCGGCGCGGTATGCATGCTCTCCACGTGCTTGACCAGCTCCCCAATTGCGCCAAAGTCGATGTCGCAGCACGCAAAGCGAGGAGCGTCGTTCTTTTGACCAACTGTTGGTGCAGCTTCAGCTTGCGAACGACCACCAAGTGCCTCACAGGCAGCAGCATGTGGGCACAACTTAAAAGCCTCATTGCGCAGCCCGGTCGCCTTGTCTTCCAGCAGCTTGACCTCACCAAGGTATGCTTCTGCGAGCTCCTCCACAGATAGCTTTTGCAGCATCTCCTCACTGGGAGTGAAATCTGCGTGCAACTTATAATACTCGTACTTGTTGTCCGAGTTCTCAGTAGGCTCTGCGACCGTGGAAGGCTCGATTTGCAGCTGTGTGGTGGGAATTTGAGGCGACGCGAGTTCCGTGACTCGCCTTTCAAGAGCCTGAAACCTGGTATCCGTGACATGGCGCAGGTCATCGTACTCTCGGCGCAGGCCGCGCTGGCCACGGTCCAATCGAGCAGTCTCCACGAGCTGCTGAATGTTTTGCTGCTGCACAACAGCGACCAGCTCATCATGATGCTCATGGCCGTTAATCAGTCCAGGGGTCTGCCATCTGTCGACTGCGGTGCCTGAAGGCTCGAATGACGACCTTGTAGGGTCAAACTGATTGTAGGTGCCGTTGTACTGGTACACGTTTCTCTGCTGATACGTGTACGGCTGGTTGGTAGGGAGGCTGCCGTTCATCTTGTGGGCAGGTGTGGCTGGAGAACGCCGCTGACCAGAATGTTCTCCATTCATCTTAGGGGATGATGGTTGGTTTTGTGGACGAAGAAAGTCAGTGGAGACGGAGTGTGGCAGAAGAGGTGAGGTTTGGAAGTGAGCAAAGCCTGTGGTGAAAGGCCAAGGTGGTATTGTTCCAAAGATGTCAGGATTTGAAGATGCAAGTGACGCTGACCAGCGTCTGGCAAGATGTTGTGGATGGAAGAGTGATCGAAGGATGAAGAGTGCTCGATGGATGGAGAGTGTGAAGGAAGAAGGTTGTAGGTTGGAGGGTTGGTGTTTGAAGAGCACCGAAGGTATATCGAAGCAAAAGGCGCTAGTGCACTGTGCCGCATGCATGTGAAGGGATCGTTGGAGGGTGCCGAGAGTTAAGGCATGTGAGTATGTTTCGCTTCTGAATAGGGGAAATTGAATGACAGAAATTGGATGAGACGCGAAAGAGTAATTGTTCCGTGAGGATTGAAGTCAGGACTTTGGTTGTATTATGTCCCAGATCATATTCCCAGATCATATGCAAACGCCAAGCGAATATGCCGCAAACCGGTCATCTAAGGGTATATCAGCTAGTCCCCATCACTTCGAATTCGATATCAAGTTAGTATCCCCCTTTCAACTACTTTGAGGACTCTGAAGCGATGATTGCACATGAATATAGTATGATCGCGGGTCATCAGCACTCCAGTGGGATGGCCAGAAGTCTCGTGGTGCGCATGGTTTTAGCCGCTGGAATGAGAGACACCGAAATCGTTGGTGCATGCCAACTCGGAGAGCATTTTGTCACCGTATGTTTCAAAAGCGAAAAGAGGTAGAAAAGTGTAGTGCATGTGATGGATGAGGTGGTCAAGAGAAGTGTCGTCTCGGAAAATCAATCTCGCAAGGCCCGGCCCGCACACTTTCTGGACATCCATGGATGCCGTCATTCGAAATCGCGTCGGCCTCCGCGTTGAAGCTATGGTGAAGCGTGCATATCGCTATCTCTCTTTCACCACCCCACAAGCCAGTCTTGCAATGATCCAATACACTCCTCGCCAGCCCAGTATATAGCGGACATCACTCAACAAACATGCCGYCCAAAGCAACAGACACGGGCGCCACAGTTCGCGAACGCCAAATAGCTGCTGCAGCTCACGCGCGCTCAAAGAAAGTGGCCAACGGCAACTCGCATGCACAACCCGCATACCATACAGGACCCATGAAGGAGCTACCCCCCATAAGCAATAATGCACCAGCACCTCCTCCCACCGGCGTGAGTGCTATCCCTCTTTGAAAAGTCGTTCACGGACGAAAAGGTTGACAAAATTCAGATGGCTTGGAGCATTGCCTCATCCGCTCTCCTAGACACATACCGCGTAGCACACAACCTCCCAAGCCCCGCCGCTTTCACATCACCACTTCGCCAAGCTCTCCTCACAAATTCGGGTATTGGACGCCAATCCCCAACGATGGCGCGGAAGAAAGAGAAGCGACGCGTGCCCAAGGACCAGTTGGCTTTGGCTGTGCGAAAGAACTTCAACGGGGCTGCTGTGAGCGAGATCGATGTGGTTGTGGAGTTGGTGTACAAAGTACGGAATCAGGATAAGAAGTTCCGGATGCGCTCGACGCCTGGAGTGACGAAGAAGATACCTTGATGATGAAGTCTACATTTGATAGCAGAGGGAAGGAAATCTCTGCTGGCGTTGCGAGAACGGATTTGGATATACAGAGGAGTACAGGCGTATTGGATTGGCAGGCTTGCGTGGTGCAAGGCTGCACTTCACCGGACTTTGGGATAATTTGAACTTGTGATGCTGTTAGCATCCGGGAAGGCGTTGAAGCGGTCTTGGACGACAGCGATGTATCGAGTTTGCGGCATTGGACATAATGTAGTTGCATATCACGAAGCAAGGAATGTCCCATCTATTGATGTTGGTATCCTGTTGAGCTTTGCATTGCCGTACCTTAACCCACATCTCGTTCATGCGGGCCCAAGATAGTGTCACATTGCTAAGCATGAATGCTTCCATGATGGAGGATTACACACCGGCTCTTTGATCGGACCTTCTTGTATAATTTCAACAGAGACACATATCCACATCATCCCCAATACGCTACGAGCTCCTACACGCTCATTTTCATAGCCAGGCCCTTGTGAGGCTCATACCCGACGACCTTGAAATCTTCGACTTTCCATCCGTSGATCCCACAATCAGGCTCTCTATTCAGCAATTCCAATGTCGGGAAGTCTCTCGGTTCTCTGGTAATTTGCTCCTCCAGCGCTTCTCGGTGATCGAGATATACATGTGCATCGCCCATTGTATGTGTCAGACTTCCAGGAATTAGGTCCGTAGCCCTGGCGAGCATGTGTGCCAACAACGCATAACTTGCAATGTTGAAAGGCACTCCCAAGCCCATATCATTACTCCTTTGGTATAGTAAAGTATGCAGCGTTCCCTGCTGACTCCCATCCGCTCTTGTAGGCGAGCCGGCCGGGAATGAAACATAGAACTGCGCAAACATATGACAAGGCGGCAGTGCCATTATTCTCAAGTCCGCGGGATTCCAAGCACTCAGGATGATCCTCCGATCATATGGGTTCTCACGAAGCTTCCGGACAACTTCAGCAAGTTGATCAACCCCCTTTCCCGTGTAATCCGCGTGGCAATTCGTGTATTCGGCACCGAAATGTCGCCATTGGAAACCATACACAGGGCCTAGATCGCCAGTCTCTCGATCTKTAAGGCCGATCGAGTCGAGGTACTCTCTGCTGCCGTTTCCATCCCAAATTTTCACGTTTTGATCTTGAAGGGTTTTGGCGTTTGTGTCGCCAGAGATGAACCATAGAAGCTCGGCAAGCACGGCACGGAAGAAGACACGTTTGGTGGTGAGGAGAGGAAGTATGAGTGTTCCATCTGGGCGTGAGAGGGAGTAGCGGTGTTGTGGGGGAAACGGCAGTGAGAGTGTGCCGGTTCCTGTCCTGTCTGGACGATGTTCACCAGTGGTGAGAATTTGCCGGATYAGGGAGAGATATTGCTGTTCTTCGTGAGACACAGTTTTTTCTGTGACTACAGACGGATCGATTGCTGTTGGSGCCATGTTTGAATGTGATTTTACAAATTGAAGATGTGGGATGGGAATGCGTGCAAAACGCGTGTGTTGGACGACGCGACGTTGAAAGTGGATTTGCTAGCGTGTTTTGATGTSAAATTTAGCCGACCAGGCCGATCAAGGATCAATCAAGGGTTCAATGTTGCTTCCAGTTTCCATCTTTTCCATTGTTCCCTCAGACGCGCTTCTGGTCATTGAACCTACCAGGGACTCTTGATTTCCCGTGATGCTTCGGACTCTGGTGTCGGGAGAACCGACGAACTGGTTTCATTGTACTTCAAAGATACACCTCACTCTTCCTTGCTATGAAATTTGACATCACACCGCTGAGAAATCACACCGCTAGGAGCTGGGAAAGTGCTCGCGAATAGGTGGCCATAGGCACAAAAAGAACCAGCCTCGTGGAGAGTCAGGCGAAGTGTCAAAATCTCTTATCGAACAGCATTGTCTCGAGAGTATTATCGTCAATGCAGAAAGCACAACATCTTTAAGTGCTTCAACATTGCAGCGTCTCTTTACATCGAAAGTTATTTTTTCCTAATGGCTAAAGATCCGCTTTCAGTGTGATCTTACAAGAATCAACTCGCTGCAAACTCACCAGAGCTAGGATGCTCGAGAGTACTCTGTGGGTGTATTAAACAACCTCCGATGCAAAGAGATGCTGAAAGGCGACAATCCTCAAAGTCACCGGGCCTTGGTCTTACTCATCCCACGCCTCCTGCCTATTCGGGAAATGAGCTTCTGTCCGAGAAGCGGGGATTGTCCCTGGAATCGAAGTTCGCTGCACAATAGCAATCCTTGGACATGGTTGCATCATTAAAGTCTTGAGCTCTTCACCAAAGATGGTTTCTACCAAAAGTCGACCAAATGGCCAGGTGGCCAGCGAGAAACCACATGTCGTTATCGTACGATCTCCCTAATACATCGATGCYCAAAGACTGACTACATTCCAGATTGGTGGCTCTCTTGGAGGCCTCTTCGCCGGAGTCGCTTTGAAGGCGCACGGCTATAACACAACGATTTTAGAGCGAACTCCAACCTTCCTCCTGGACAACCAAGGTGCTGGCATTGTTGCAGGTGGAGATACACTATCTTTCTTTGAAAAGTATGATCGAACGGGCAAACCAGTAGCAGTTCCGAGCTTCAAGAGGTTGTATCTCAACCAAAAAGGAGATGTCATCCACGAAGAAGTCAATCGTCAGAATATGACAAGCTGGGACTTGTGTTATTATTTACTTCGTGCCAACTACGACCGGGTCGAAAGCGGATATCTGGAAGATGGTGGAAAGCTGCCAGAGGTGAGAGAGGGTGTTGATGGGAGCGTGAATTATCGTTATGGCTGTACGGTCACATCCATCGAAGATCAAGGTGATATGGTCAGCGTAAAGTTCAAAAGAGCTGGTGAAGATGGCGTTGAGGTTGAGGAGGAAATCAAGAGTAGGCTGGTTGTCGCTGCTGATGGTCAGTCTCGTGAGAATCGATCATGTTAACGACAAAGCTGACATGCACAGGCCCGAGTTCAACAGTCCGCAAGTTCCTCCAACCCGAGGTAGAACGAACATACGCAGGCTATGTAGTCATACGCGGGACGGTCCCAGAACTCGAAGCCTCACAATCTGCTCTCGAGGTATTCCGGGAACGCTTCTGCTTCTTCCACGCCCCAGGGATCCAAAATCTGACCTACACCATTGCTGGCCAGAACGGAAATACCAATCCCGGCCACAGACTGCTCAATTTCGTCTGGTACGCCAACTTCCCCGAAGGATCGCGAGAGCTGGACCAGCTCATGACCGACAAAGATGGTCGACGCCGCCACATCACCATCCCACCCGGCAAGATCGCATGGGATGCCTGGGAAATGCTCAAATCCAAAGCAGACGACACGCTACCACCACAAATGGCCGAAATGGCACACAAGACTCGCTCGCCCTTTGTACAATGCATCACCGATGTCATCACCCCTAAGAACCTCTACATGGGAGATAAAGTTGTATTGATAGGTGACGCGCTCGCGGGTTTCAGACCTCATACAGTCGCTTCGACTTCGCAGGCTGCGTTCAATGCTATGAGTCTGGTGGAGTGGTTGGACGGAGAGATAGAACGAAAGCAATTCGTAAAGCAGACTATGGAGTATGCGAGATTGATCCAGAATCGAGGAGTGATGATGGGGACGAGATCGCAGTTTGAGACGCTGGATGTGGAGGAGTATATCAAAGATCGGAATTTGGCTAGTACGAAGCGCTGGGATGATGTGTATCCTGAGTGGACGAGGGAGGGTTTGGAGACGGTGTGAGAGTGCTTTGAGAGGGATGGAAGGGTTTCTTTAGATAGCAAATGTGGCGGTCAAGAACACAGTAAAGGATCCTCAAGATTGGATGTGGTTGATGAGGAAGACGCTCGTCGCTGCAATCAAACCTTACGTGCTTGGACGGCCATGATTCCTTCGTCAAGGGCAGTAGAGCACGTTAATATATCAAGTTTCATCAGGATATCTTTCTTTGGAAGCGGCAAGATATAMATTTTCATGACAGTCACAGTGAAAGGAAACGTTCAGGGTAGTAGGTGGTACAAAGGAGTACATTGCTTATTCAAATTTGGATCGTTCCGTCCATTCCGTGAGGGTCTTCCGCCCAGGTTCACTCCATCCGATTCTACCATCGCTTGAACGCGCCAAATACAACCAAAAGCTCATCATGTTCGCATGTCTTCTACAACGGTGAGCTTATGCCGCACCGGCGCTGGCGGTAGGCTCCATGACCTTGGTCACCTGAGCACCTGCGCGGACGATGCGGTTACCCTCAGCGTCCTTGTAGATCTGGCTGCCGGAACCATCCTTCTGCGATCGCTTCCAGATCTCAACCTCCATACCGCCACGGATAACGCCAACTCTCATCGTGGAAAGAAGGTTGTGTGCGGCGTTGCTGTGGTAGTAGACACCGCCGTTGAACATGGCAGTGGCGTCCTTTCCGAGGCCACTCTTGATCATGGCCTTGCCACCGGGGTGGTCGTTGATGAAATCGCTGACGTCGTGGACAACACCGGCGACAGCGACGAGAGCACGGCCGTTCTTGGTCTGGTCAACGTAGTCGTCCCACTCCATGACGGGAAGCTGCTCAAGAGGAACACCCCAGTCGAGCTGGGCGCGCTTCTGGTCAATCTTCTTCTGCTGTTGCTGGATGCGACCCTTCTCAATCTCGTTGGAGCGGAATTGCTTGAGGTCGTGTGCGAGGCCAACTTGCTTCATTGTCCAGATGAACCACTTGGTTGGGTCGTACTGGTGCCACTCAATGGCGTTGCGGTAGTCAGATGGGAATTCGTGGTGAAAGTTGTGGTATCCCTCTCCGAGAGTGACAAGAGCGGTGATGACGTGGTCACGAGGAGAGTTGCGGTCGTCGAATGGCTGGTCTCCGAGCCAGTGAGCCAGGGAGTTGACACAGAAAGTGGCCTGCTGGACGAAGAAGATGCGAAGAATGCCAGCGTAGACGATGCCGCCGACGAAGTCACCCCAGCCGAAGCCTGCGACAAGCGCGGGAAATATCAGGCCCATGAAGAGGACAACCTTCAAGTAGTTCTTGYGTTGCCAAACGACGACTGGGTCGTCGTTGAGATCGCTAATGTCGGTGCGACCAATGCGCTTGGGGTTCTGCTTCATGACCATCCATCCAAGGTGGGAGTACAGGAGTCCCTTGCGGACGCTGTAGGGATCCTTGTCGGTATCGGTGTAGCGGTGGTGAGCACGGTGGTCTCGCGACCACCATCGTGCGGAACCCTCAACAGCACCACCGCCGACAGCGGCGAGGAAGATCTTCAGAGGAAGGGACGCGGAGTAAGAGGTGTGTGCCCACAGTCGGTGGTATCCTGCTGTGATTCCGAGGCCAGTCGCGAAGTAATAGGCGATGGCGAAAATTGCTGTAGGTAGGCGAAGGGGTGTGTAGGCGGCGGCAATCAAGCCGGCGAGTGGTAGACCAATAATGAAGGTTGTGCTGAGCCCTGGATGACTGTCAGCCGATGCTCCGAATTCGATATGGTCTCTCGCGTGTACTTACAGTTGATGTGCTTCCACCAGTTGCTCCACTCCATTCTTGTCTCTGTAATGTGCACCTTTGAAGGGTCGTATTTCGGGTTCCGGTTGRGCTCGTTCTTGGAGGCCATGGCAGGAACCTGTCGGGATTCCGTCTCGAACTCAGGCTTCACAGCCTGGTTGATCGAGGCGCCCATCTGGTGAGAAGGCATGTTGGCGAGGGACAGCGGTCGCTGTTTCGATGGTGTGCTTGGCAGCAGCTAAGCTGCAGAGTAAGGCCGATGGGCTGGTGATCTCCAGTCGTGTAGATATGCTCGACAACTTGGGTAGGTAGAGCCGTCTAGAGAGAGGTAGTTGTAGGTAAAGGCGTGGAGGAAAGAGCGTGGAGTTGCGCGAGGGACAATCCTTATAAAAAAGCACGGTGGCCAGATCCCAACTAAACTCCCCAACAGATCATTCTTCAATACCACGCGAGCAGATCCCGGATGTCTCGACCGACACGATGATGCGGGCTTGCGGGGACGAAAATCGATGGACAAATCACACAACCGACAGGGTCTTGACTGCTGCTTTCTCTTCACTTTGAGCGCACACAAACACCGTGGGACAACATTTCAGCACACGAGATGTGGTGTGATGAATTGTGATTGATTGTTACACTTCATTGTTCCTTTGTCTCATTCCAATGGCCTGTGTCTCGCGGTAGGAAGCAAAGTGAAGCCTACCAGACCGTTTGTCTTTACCAGGTACCGCCACCGAGAACCCGATCTTTGAGACTTTGACAGCCTTCAAGGGTCTGCACGCTATCGCTCCGGAGAAACGTCTAGATGCTGGATATCACCCGAGCTTTGCGGATGACCAGTCGGTCGCTACGTCAAGCCAGGCAGACAGTTCAACATTGCAGCGTTGACGAAGAGAATTCGACAGCGCTGCAAGAATGCTTCAAACACGCCGCAGCTAATGTATGAATGCCGGCTGATTATTCTACTCTGCCCGCAAGGTGACTTTTCCTACGTTGTGTAGCAAGCATGTATCGGAACGGTAACCAGCGGCCACTGTCAGGCACGACCGCACGCGAAAGCGATGAAAAGCGAAAGCGAGAACGATGACGATGAATTTTGAACAAAACCAATCCCTCGTGTCAGCTTCGCTACGTGCCGAGTCTGGAGGCTCTCCGAGTCTCGAGAACGTCTTTCTCTTCCATCACAAATGTCCTTGTCATTCACTACAAAGTTTCGACTGCAAACCGATTTTGGCAGAGCGGACTTTGGCAGAGTTCGATGCGCGAGCAGCAAAAAGCCGGCACATTGATGATTTACGTGCCCGTTGTCTCGGCGTCACCTCCGACAGGCAGGCAGGTGAGAACCATGCTTCAGATKAACAAAAGAATTGGTCCGGATCAACGAAGCCACAAGTCAGCCTCTTGCATGTGAAACACAATTCTGGCAGCATGAACGCACTGCTTCCTGATATCTATGATGATACATTTCTCAACCGCCGCTCAACGTTTGGCAAACGTCGAGAATTTGTGCTAATATGACGATGGGTGGGTGGGAAGCTGGGGAAAGGTCAGAGCTTCATTGATGTGAGCGAGCTGCATGCGAAGCACATCTTATCGCGTCGCACGATGTTGTGGGACGATGTTCTGCTCTTCTGCGGTGTTTTGTCCACACAGACGAGGTTCACTCAAATTCACTCAGGTAAGTTGAAGCGAAAGGAATGCTTGGAAGTGGCTCTGGTACAGTTTCGCTCCAAGTACTAGTGCGCCAAAAACTTGAGGGATGTTGGGAACGTCGGCTCTCTACTTCGGGCCTATGCCATGAGACGCAGACAGGAAGCGTTGATGGTATTGGCTGATAGCCAGCTCAGGAGTCATGGTATGGACAAGACATGTTCACAAAGACATGATCTTGGTAGCAGTGCCTCAACTCAACGCATCGCTTTTCTTTTTTCTACCAGCGCCGTCTAAAGGAACGACGTGTCTCATGTTCCGGAGATGGCTCTGACCGCAAAGTCCGACTTCCCTATTGCCCTCTTCTACCATATTGTTCATAAATACCTTGGCGGGCTGAAGTATTGGCGCTGCGTCGAGACAATTCTACTGCACTCCTCAGCTTTAGCTAATGTGGCATGGCCATCACATCGAGTGCTGGGTGTTTGGAGGACTCCCCGTCTTGCCTACAAAGACCTTGAGCCCAACCTCTTCGCTCCAAGAGTGTGAGCATCGATCCGCACACTGCGTCTGTCCACAAAACTACACCGTTCCTCGGGCTTACAAGCCGACATTGCCATCATTCAAATCGGTGCCGGTGCTTGCCATTCAGCTCTCACTTGTATTCGAGTAGCAGATTTGGACGATTGTCTCGGCCTAGTTCAGGCCGCATACTACCACCAATAACCCAGAACACTTCGCGCGCCGGGATTACGGAAACATTGGCTTATCCCCTATCCTCCATGACCCCAACCGTATTGCCATGCCGGCAGCTGGCATCCAACATGACCATCATGCTCTCCTCCCCCGTGGGACGAATCGACAGCTAGGACTCGTGGCATGTCTTCCGCGACAAGCCGACGATCGGACTGCTGGTCCAAAAAGCAGCGAAGCGGTTACGATATTCGTGCAGGGTAAATATTTAGGAGCAAATGATCATGATCTTCTCACTTATCCTCGGCCCCATTCAGTTGAAATGTTCGCGGAGCTTAGGATAGACCTTGCTGAAGAGGACATTGACGTACTCAGTCACGATGGAAGATCGCGTCACAGGTTGAATTTTTCTCCTGTCTGTGACTTCCAAACAGTGTAGCCTTAGTTTGGCATCGACGCTCGCATGGTCCTGATACTGTTGGTGCTCTGACAGTGTGAGCGAGGTGGACTGTGATATGATATCGGAGAGTACATTGGACGGGCCTGGCTCGCGCATTATCAAGATATCGTTCATTGCTAATGAAGTTCGAAGAAGCCCGGAATAGATGTTGCGGTTGGGGAACCTGCTTTTACCAGCCTTCCGAAAAGGAATTTGTCCAGTCGAGAGCTGTACGCATTAAAAACAACCTCGCCCTTGGCTGAAATGTTGGTAGGTTGCATCCGAGGTGCGTGATTTTGATTTTGACTGGGGATTTTCGAAATCAAGTTTTATTTTCCCGAAGAAAATATATTTTACTAGAAGGGGGGGTACGAAAATGTTCGGTCGGAGTGAAAATGTGGAGGCGGAGAGAATTTTCGGAGAGAGAGGGGGGGGGGTTCATTTTTAAGAGGTCCGTGATTTTTGTTTGAGGCTGATTTCCTCGACTTTCCCGGTTTTTTGTTTTCCAGGAGGGGTACAAAAAAAGTCGCTCGGTGTGAAAATGAAGAGGCGGAAAGAATTTTCGGAGAAAGGGGGGGGGGGGGGGGGTATCTCCTTTTCACGGAATACTTTTTCCATGAGGGGTACGAAAGTAGTCGCTCGGAATCTTGGGCGCACCACTCGTTCCGAGAGACTTTCGAAGCGCGTCTCATACAGCAATAATTCTTCACATAACATTGGTGCAACGGTCTCAATGGACCAGAGTAAGGTAGCAACTTGCAAGTGGTTGCAACGGCCTGGAAGGGCTAGGTCGGAGACGACAGGGTTTGCTCTTCATCGCCTTGTGGCCCTGTTCATGGGTCGAAAAAGCAGCGCGAGTTCGCCGCCGCGGTCTCTTTCTTTCAACCATTCCAGTACGCTTTGTCTCAAGCACCTCTGCCATTTTTCAAGAACGCCAACAGTAGCAGAGCGGTTGATTTGAGAAATCATCCACAAGATGGGTGTCATCAGCAGCTCTCTCCATCACTTGAGGGACGACTCTGCTAGCAGGGAGGGGTTCCAGCAGTTCCAGCTCCAGGATAGACTCCTTTGCTGAGAGCAGATGACCCATAGAGGACTATCGGTCGGGTCGATGGGTCGGTCACAWCAAGATGGCAGCTTCCTCTCGGCTTGTACGTCCCACGWCATATTTGCGTCGCGTTCGCTTCCTACTTTCTCGCCAGGGGAACTTTCCAGAAAGTACTCAAAACAGTGATAGGTCTCCGAATTGCTACAAACAGTGAGCTAATTGTGCATGAGGCGTGGTCGAAAAGCAGCTACTAGGTAGTCCGCCGTCGTGCCATTCAGGTCGGTTCTTCAAAAAGCTCGCCTGGGATGAGGTGAGGTGAGGTGAGGTGCGAAAGGTGGGGCTTGAATCGAGCTGCTCTTTTCTTGGCCACAGCGTGGAAACAACGTCATCGTGGAAATGACGGCGGTGGTGCCCAAACATGAGAATACATGCGCTACACATGTGTTCTACTTCAACAGTGTCTTGATCGGTGCCCAATGTTGCCAGTTTTTCACTACCATCCCCACTGCCAGACGTTTTTCTAAGCAAGCACTTCGGAGAACACCGGCGGTTTGGGCAGCGATAGCCTTACCGGGGTCTTCCAGTGCAACCCCAGCCACCACTCTGCGACGCTACCACCCTGCGACTCGATCTGCAGCAAACCGGGTGTCGTCGACTCGTGGCCCAACCGGACCTCCGCCGTGTTTATAGAAGTTGGCACCCACTCTTGAAACAGTCTGCTGAACGGGCATTACACTGTCTACACAGCAACAACGATCCGTGAGAGTGGGGTAGACGTGAGGAGGAGGTGCTTCGAGTCCCACTGAGCAAACCTCAGCCATGTCACGATACAGAGACGCTGACCTGGCGTACGGTGATATTCCACAGCGATGGGATCGAGAGCGTTTCGAACGCATTGGCAGCAGAGGGAGCGGACCGCGCTTCGAGGAGGACTTCCGCTATGAAGAACGAGACCGTCCAGGTCGTCGCGATGTGCTCGTGGCTGACCATATTGAAGGCCGCGACTCACGGGGACGCTTTGAAGAGAGCGACCGCTTTTTCGAAGAACAAGAGGCACGAGCACGGGCAGCCTCACGTCGACGACGACGGACGGATAGGGAGTTGTTTGGTGACATCGACCCTCGCGAGGTTGCTGACATGGCTCTCGCACCGTACGTCCCGCCTGCTCGCCCTAGCATCATCCGCCGCCAGAGTAGTCTGGATACCTTTGATCGGCGAACAGTTCGACGAGGAAAGGAAGATTATCGCATCCCGGCATACACGCCAGTGCCGCTGCCTGTCCGTCGCAGACACCATCATGATGACTGGGAGGATCCGGAAGACTACCGAGAGGTAGAAATTCAGCGTGAACGCTCAATACATCGCCGGCGTGGCCCCAAGTCGGTCAAAGAGGAGAGTAAGGCGCCTAGCAAGGCACCCAGCAAGGCGCCCAGCAAAGCTCCAAGCAAAGCGCCCAGCAGCTCAAGCAGCAGTAGCAGCAGTAGCAGCTCGAATACGGAATACGTTCCACCTCCACCCAAGAGCCGTGCAACCAGCCGTGCTCCTAGCACCAAACCGCGCGAGTCGGTCCACGAGACGTCGATTGAGAAGGCCCCGACACCTCCTCCCGCGCCACCTGCACCTAGTGTGAAGAGCACCTCGTTCGAGGCAAGCATCCGACAGGAGAGACGTTTCAAGAAGGGCAAGACCCGCATGCCCAAACGTCTTGTCCGTGTGGAGGCGATCATGGACCTTGGCTATCCTTTCGACGAAGAAGAGGACTTTTTCGTGCTCAGGATCGCACTGGAAAAGGAGCAGATTGACGAAGTCATCCACATCAGTGAGACATACAAAGATGGAGGTGAGTTGGCTGTTTTGAATGTAAATTGTATCGTGTTCCAACTGACCTCCTTGCAGAAAAGAAAAAAGTGTACAAATTCGAGAAGACCGTCGAAGAAGACGACAGCCCTGCAGGCGCCGAACACGAGGAAATTGAACGAACCGAATGGATCAATCCCCCGACCATTATTGGAGCACGCTCTAGAGCCAAATCGATTCGTGAGGCATCCCCCAGCGCAAAAAGTAGCATTAGCCGTCGCGGTTCTCCCCGCACGCGACGACCATCTTCTCCAGGGACTTACGTAGAACGCCAAACAGTCATCGAAGAGCACCGCTCTCCAGCGCCTCCGCCACCGCCTGCTGCGCCCGAGTACTACGAGAAAGAAGAACGCATTGTGGAAGAGCGCACGCCAGCATCACACCATCACCACCACCACGATCATCATGGGGGTGCTCTGATCGTGCAGGAACGCGAATGGCGTTCAGATCGTGACATCAACGCCGAGATTCGAGCTCTGGAARCCGAACGGCGCGCCCTACGATTCGAGCGTGAGGCCGAGCAGAAGCGTGATCTCGCAATGCGGTTGCGCGAACGGCGTTCGGCGGATGACCTTCAGCTGGTCGAGTACCGCCGACCCGCGAGGGAGGAATTGGTCGTTTACGAACGCGAAAAGAGTCCTCCGAGAAATGTCATCCGGGTTGAGAAGGATCGGAAAGGTAGGATGGCCTTGGTTCGGTCTGCGCACTAAATTCCCTCACCGGATTGTTGGGTTCCAGTACCGTCACCTCCGTCCTCCTCCGTCCATCATTCCTCTTTAAAGGCAACACTGGCTGATTCTTACGTGCTACCCGCAGCTGCGAGGAAAAAGAAGCTTTATGGAGCTGCTGTGGCTACCCTTCTGTGATTGGACACCGAATTCGCGATTGATTGATGAGAAGGTATTTCAGCGAAGCGCATACATCAGGGAGCAATAGCGAGGAGTTTTGGAATTGCAGAAATGGTCATGATTGTTGTTCTACTCATTGAATTCTCCACCGACCTCCCTTTACATGCTTTGCACACTGATCTACGTGTGAAATTTTTGTGGCAGTGGCCCCTAATTCTCAAACTTCAGTCCAGCCTCCTGCCTCACGGCGCCATAGACACCAGCAATGTCTCCCTTGTCTCCTGCATGATCAATCACGGCCTTCAAGTGCGCATCAGCGACCTCYAACCCTTTCATCGTCACTCCGCAGCTTTCCGCCAGACTTCTCGCGTGTCCAGCATCCTTTCTCGCCAAAGCAGCTTGGAAAGCCGGCTCCTCGCGGTTCCAGTAATCCCCGGATCTAAGCCTGTTGGAATAAGCCGTGTACGGTCCCGGGAACAACGTCTCAATGAAAGCATGCAGATTATCGACTCCGAGGCCACTCTTCTCGGCCAAGACGTGTCCCTCGGAAAGCGTCTCAACCATGTTAAGGATGAACGTGTTACCGATGATCTTCAATCTGGAAGCTGCTCCATGAGGCTGACCAGAATAGTTGATCTCCGCTCTTCCCATCACCCCTTTACAGAAAGGCAGAACTCTATCGACTTGCTCCTTGGGACCTGCAAGTACACAAACGAGTTGACCTGCATCGGCCATGGCTGGAGCGCCGAAGACAGGACACGCTACGAAATCCGCTCCAGCATCGTTGACGGTTTTGGCGAGTTTGTCTGTGGTGTCTGGATGGACGGTCGAGCAGTCTACGAAGAGCTTTCCTTTCGACTCTGGAGTTGACAGGGCGGCTTTGATGGATTCTTCGATTGCTGCGTCGTTGGAGACGCAAAAGAGGATTATGTCGGCTTCTTTGACGGCTTCGGGGATTGAGGTGGAGATTTTCGATTTGCCGGAGGGGAGGGTTGATATTAGCTTTTCTGCTCGGGATGCTGTGCGGTTGTAGATGATCTTGGAGAAGGGTCAGTGTGTGGATGGAACGATGGATGTCTTGTTCTTCGATATCGTGAATTGACTTACCACAGGTCCAGAGTACTCGCCCTTTTCAACGAGGTTCTTGACCATGCCGCGGCCTTGGAACGTGCATTGCGTCAGCTTCAATTCAATCTCGCATCCAAGATCTTGTATAGTCTTCTCATATCGTCTTTCACATCTCCGCACACTCACCCATATTGCCGAGGCCAATCCATGCTAGACGAGGTGCCATTGTACAAGGAAGTCAGATCTAGATTGAGTGTAGGAAAAGCGTTGAGACAATAGAATAGTTAGTTGCCTTGATAGAGAGGTAAGAGTCCACAAGAAGCAGTCGTGCCTAGAAGATGTATACTCCCGTCGAGCTAATCATTCGATTGTGGGAGAGCTCGCGGCCAATGACATCAGTAGCGAGAGTCGGTGGGTGGTGCGGGTAAACGGCCATTGTACTCCACCAGCGAAAAATAATAATCAGACCTTACAACGGAGTAGGGTAGGTACTGTAAGCTGCTCCAAGGGCCGGTGAAGTTCAAGATTGCCGTTTCTCCCTGCTGTGCTGTGGTGAATTGATGACAACGCTTACGAACAGGAGGTAGCTGCAAGCACAAAAAGTAGCAGCCTTGCGGAGAGTCAAACATGTAGGATCGAATGTCTTATCGAATGATGTCTTCTTAATCGTGCTGTGCAAAAGATACAAGATCTTTGCCTCTTACAGGTAGTGCGGCAACCTTCAATAATTCACTGGGCCTTGCTGCTATCAAGCAGGTTTGGTGTCAGGCGGGAGGTGTATTTATTGCGAACCGCCAGACACGTTGATGATGTGCGTGAAAACTCACTCGACTTTATTTCCTCGATCTGAACGGAAAGAGTAGCCATCACCATCCAACGCATTGAATTTGGGGTACCATTCCGCATCGACGCAGTGTGCCCAGCATACCGTGTACACGATGCCTTGTGACAGTCACATGTGGCCGGCCTCTGACCATACCTGAGATCGGCTTGCGAGATGCTCTTCTTATTGACTGGAAATTGTGGCAAATGCCAAAGAAGTTTCGAGTGAAGAGGCTTCATGAAGCTCGTCTTCAAACTGAGATTATTTCCAGTCCCATTTCGCGATGAACCGAGGCGGCGACCCGGACCGACGTGTGCGCGTCGATCATTGCCCCGCGTGTCGCGGCTGGGATTGATCATTTCGTGTCAACATGGCGTTTTGCAAGGCGTGTGCTCGGCGGGGCGGTTTGCTTGAAACTTTCTTTGTTTTTCAGGGTCTCGGTTGATCGCGGGCTATAGGACTTGAGGACATCTCAGCAGATATATTTCCCATTCCACCCTCACCTCTACTTTCTCTCCCACATTCACCTCGACATCTCCACCATAAACTACAAGATGTCGCACATTACAACTCCAGCACCGCGGAATCCGCCAGCGGTTATGAACACCATCCTCGAGAACATCGGAAATACGCCACTCGTTCGTCTGAACCGCATTCCTCAAACCGTCGGAATCACCTGCGCCGTCTACGCAAAATGCGAGTTCTTCAACGCCGGCGGGAGCGTCAAAGACCGCATCGCTCTTCGTATGGTTGAAGCTGCAGAGAAAGAGGGACGAATCAAGCCCGGCCACAGCGTTTTGATCGAGCCAACGAGTGGCAACACCGGCATTGGTCTGGCCCTCGTAGGTGCTGTCAAGGGATACAGAACAATCATCACACTCCCGGAGAAGATGAGCAGTGAGAAGGTCAGCGTGCTAAAAGCTTTGGGTGCTGAGATCATTCGAACCCCCTCGGCAGCAGCATGGGACAGCCCAGAGAGCCATATTGGTGTGGCAAGACGGTTAGAGAAGGAGATTCCAGGAGGCATCATCCTGGATCAATACGGAAACCCCAACAACCCCTTGGCCCACGAGTTTGGCACTGCCGCTGAGATCGTCGACCAAATCGCAAAGGTCGAGGGCAACTTAGCCGCGGTAGTGGCTGGTGCCGGCACTGGCGGTACCATCACTGGAATCTCCCGCGGTATCAGGAAGGCACATGGAGACAAGGTCAAGATTGTAGCTGCGGATCCTCAAGGCTCAATTCTTGCGGTCCCCGCCTCACTCAATGACGAGCACAAGGACAAACCATACAAGGTGGAAGGAATTGGCTACGACTTCATCCCTGATGTTCTCAAGCAGAGCGAGGTCGATGTTTGGTACAAGACCGACGATCGCGATTCTTTCTACTGGGCACGCCGCTTGATCACCGAGGAGGGTCTTCTCTGTGGTGGAAGCTCAGGCTCGGCCATGAGTGCGACAGTCAAGGCGATCAAAGACATGAAGTTGACCGAGAACGATGCGGTTGTTGTCATCCTCCCGGACAGCATTCGCAGCTACCTCAGCAAGTTCGTCGATGATGACTGGCTTGATGCCAACAACCTCCTCCCGCCCAGCATGCCAATCACAGCACCCTCGACTCCGCCAACTCAGGCAGCTCAACCTGCGCAGGCTGCCGAGCCCGAGCTCCCCCTGCTCACGAGCACTACCAGCAAGGACGAGTTCGCAGACGCAAAGATTAAAGATCTCCGCTTGAAGCCAATCCAGACTATCTCCGAGACGGCCAGCGTTGATGAGGCCATCGAGATGATGCGTGACAAGGGCTACGACCAGGTTCCAGTCACTTCATCGACTGGACAGCGTCTGATCGGCATGGTGACACTTGGTAATTGCCTCTCCTACCTGTCCTCCGGCCGTGTAACGATCCACAACCCCGTCAGCGATTGCATGTTCAACTTCGCCAAGTTGGACGAGATTAAGCCCATCGAGAAGAACCCTGCGGCCACTGAGGGTGACGAGGCCAAGAGGGAGTATGTTGAAATCACAATGAACACTCCTCTGAAGTTCCTGGRGCGTTTCTTCGTGTGGAACGCCGCTGCTATTGTCACTGAGCGGGACGCGGAGAACAACATCAAGGCAAAGGCTGTGGCGACCAAGGTGGATCTACTCCTTTGGCTTGTAAGACAGGGACGTGCTGCGGTCGAGCAGAAGTAAGGACATAATAGGAAACAATGTGAGAAGCGCTGGCGTTGGAGGAGTTCAAGATTTGGACATCGCCAGGCTTCAACGCCATGAGATAATACAGGGCTTGTCTTGGGTAAATATTTGTTCTGATAGTTGACGAATCTAACGCGTACAATGATGTTGTGTATGTTTGTGAAAGAAGTGATGGTCGTGGTTTCACTTGACAACAGTACGTACGTGTCGGATTGAGTCCCCAATGCAAAATATACCCTGGACATGGTAGCTTGAGACCTGATATGCGTACTGCCAAACGCTAAAACGCATGTACACATACGAAGATTCCCACTCCATGAAGCATACCGTCCCACATCATCGCACATAATACCCCCACTGACTCAACATCCACACAGTCGTAACAGTACTAACAGCGACAGGCGATCCCAATCCCTTTCCCCACCTCGCAGACCCAAAAACCAACCACTCGCTAAAGAAATGCGCAAAAGCGATCCCATACGTCCAGAGACAAATCTCATAAACCTGCGGATTGTTGATGTTGTACGCAGCGTACATGCGCACAATACTGCTCAGAGCAGTCCAGGTTCCGAAAGTTCTTGCGCTTAGTGCGTTGACGGGACTACTCGATGTTGATTCTGAGGGTTTGGGATTTGGGCTTGTTTTTTTGGGAGATGGCTTCTTTTTGTTGTTGTCGGTGCCGGTGTAGACTGCGCGGGATCCGTCAAGGGATATGTAGCATTGGATGCTGTTGCCTATGGACACGATTGCGATCTTCGGGGTTGTTAGTTTTGGAGTTGGAAAGGTGTTGAGGATGATGCGTACGAAAAGAAGCCATTTGGGGAGCAGGCCTTCTGAGGGTGGGAGGTATGATGATAGGGAAGACATTGTTGGAGACGATTACCAAGTTGCTTGAGCTTCGAGCTATTATCCTCTTAGTTTTGTTGGGTTGTAGAAGTGAGGAAGTGAAGATGAGAGTTCAAGACAGCATTGGCGCGCCGAGCTTTCAGGAACAAGGCAGATCTCCCGCGTCCTGCAGCTCTTCCGACGTCGAGCCCCCAACAACACCCTTCGGCGACAAAAACATTGTGGGAGATCATGGATGCCATTCCTGTAATTGACAAGTGGGCGTCGCCCACGACGCAGGTGTTTGCCTTTATTGGTATCCTCTTCGTCACGCTGAAAATCTTCTCCTTCTGGAGGTTGATTGCCTCACTCTTCATTCTGCCCGGAACTTCGGTATGAGGCATTGCCCGACTTCCTCGAAATGAACGATGATTCTGACAGCTGCAATAGCTTTCCAAGTTCGGCAAGAAAGGAACATGGGCTGTAGTGACGGGAGCCTCGGATGGCATTGGCAAAGAATACGCACAACAGCTCGCCGCCAAAGGCTTCAACATCCTCCTCGTCTCTCGCACCAAGTCGAAGCTTGACACCCTCGCCTCGGAGATTCAGTCGAAATTCAAGGTGGAAACAAAGGTTCTGGCAATGGACTTTGCAGCAAACAGGGACACCGACTACGCGTCGCTGAAGGAATTGGTCAATGGATTGGACGTCTCCATCCTCATCAACAACGTAGGCCAAAGCCACAACATCCCAGTCCCTTTCAATGAGACACCGGAGGCTGAAATGAAGGACATCATCACAATCAACTGCACCGGCACTCTGCGTGTCACACAGCTCGTCACACCAGGCATGATCCAACGAAAACGCGGTCTCATCCTTACCATGGCATCCTTTGGCGGAATCATGCCCACACCGCTTCTGGCCACCTACAGTGGCAGCAAGGCCTTCCTACAGCAATGGTCCTCAGCTCTGAGCTCCGAACTCGCTTCTTCAAACATCCAGGTGCAGCTTGTCCAATCCTACCTCGTCACGTCTGCGATGAGCAAGATCAAGCGGCCTTCCCTGCTTATCCCAACGCCGAAGAAGTTTGTACGAGCTGCTCTCTCGAGCATTGGGAGGCATGGTGGTGCGCAAGGTGTTCCGGCTACTGGTACTCCTTACTGGTCGCATGCTATTATGCAATGGGCCATTTCTACTTTTGTGGGAACTTCGAGCGAGATTGTGCTTGGGATCAATAAGACTATGCATGAGGGTATCAGGAAACGAGCACTAAAAAAGGCTGAGCGGGATGCTAAGAAGGTGTAAAAAGAATATGATTTGCTGATGTTGTAAAAAATGCATGATACAAACAGCCTCTCCGGCATCATCACCCCCTACCATCTTGCCTAACGTYGATGCACTGGTAGCTGGATTCACTGAAGATTGACTCGTGATCTCAGGGATCTGATCTCGTGATCGCTTCTCAATTTGACCGATCAACCGAGAGCTGCGACAGTACTCCTTGAACGCAATGCGTCTCGTCATTTGAGAGATTGGTTTGTTGAGAGGAGTGACAACGCTGCACGGATCTCACGTCGCCAGCTCTGCCACATTGGGGAGACAATCAAAGGAGAGTATTATACCCTCGTATCAGTCGATTTATCCGCTAGCTAAAAATCCTTGGATGCTGTTAGCGTCGGGGAAGTGAATGATAATGACAGCCTCTTCCTTCGCCAAGAGCGCTTCTTCATCATTGGATCGCGATCGCTCATACAGCATCTTCCCGGTCACCGTCGTCAACGCAGTCCTCCTACGCTGTCTCCGTGCAATTGATTCTGACCCCCACTCTGAGACACAGTGCTCAAGGCGCCTTGATGAACTCGCGGATAGCATATGCGCCTGCATCGCTCCTGGTGTCGAAGACATCGAGCCTGCCGAGAAATTGCCTCCGGGATTTGATTCCAAGACCAGCGGTGGCGGCGCGATTTTGAGTTTCGGATATCATAATGCATGCATGCACGAATGGATGCAATGGCTGATCCCCCTCGTAGTACACGAAGATGTGGTTTCTCTTCACCATCGTGRGACTCGAAACTATCAGCGAGGAACAGCGGTGCTGGATTCGTGGTCGCATGGCTGTCATCTCTGAGCGCCTCGGTATGAACCAGGCACGGCATCTCAGTACCTGACCCACAACGCTCTTGAGCCAAAGATCCGATGAACCGGATGGAGTCAACCAGCGTCGACTGTTTCTCGCTGGCATCGGGTGTGTTCCAAATACGGCAGCCGGACATGATCAGCATGTTAGTCTCTTCAAGAGAAGTGCCAAAGATAATAATATCAGTATTTGTTGACCGCGCAATGGCAGGATGCACGAAAGATCAGTTGCATGTACAAGTATAGTCTCCAGAAGTCCAGCGGATACGCAGCATCCAGGCTTCGAGCAGTGCTTGGAGGCAACATCTCGCATTGGCCATGAACATATGATACGATGTGTGGAAGCAGATTGCTGACGGAAGAACTGGGTAATGTAGCGGAAGGTGCAGTCCATCCACGCAATGGCATGCGATGGCTGCTGGTTTCACAGATTTACACGCGAGGGCCTTCCTTGTGTGTCTTTCCCGGGCCGTCTGGTCGTTCAGTGTCTTAGCCGGGGAAATTTTACGATGGGGAGGTGGGAAGGAGGGAACGAATGGATCGCTCGTTCCCTTCTACCTGACCGTATCTTTGAATCCTGGCTTCGGCTTCATCTTTCCTTTTCCTCCCACAGCGTTCTACAGCGCATCGCAACAATCCTAGCGGCCATTCATTCCTACGAAAGAATCGCACGCAGAAAGTAAGTCCAGCGATACATTGCGAGCAGCAACAGCACACTGACCATTGTAGCATGGTTTCCACCGCGCCCACCAAGATTCGCACAGGAACACCATTGAACAAGAACTTGGTCCTCAGATTACCGAGACGAGTCCGGTCGATGATCTACAAGCTTCGGTTCGCCCATGGGCCAACACCGCTCCRCGTGGACTTCTTGTTGCGCAACGGATCTGTTCTGCGGTACTACATCGGTACCCGCTCCGACAGTGTGGCGGCAGTGCGGAAATATTCCTGCGATCGGAATGACAGAAAAAGATCTTGCCCGATGGTCATAACGGATGATGACCCTGATGATATCTCACCCTATGCCTATGTGGAGGAGTGGCTTTCCAACCGAGGCGTGGCAGTCGAGGCCTGCGAATGTTGATGAGTGTGTCGTTGGAATGGCCTGCAGCGGTGTCTACGAATGGAGTGACTGCGTGGTCCGGGAGGAGTAGTATATCGGTGAATTGGATGATTCCCGATGTTATGAGTAGAGCATTTGCTGGTTTGATATGGTCGTGATGACTCCGGGACATGACATAGAGACTCGCTGCACGCAATTCGGCATCGCGCCTTCGTACTGTCCCGCTTCTGATGAATCTTCCAGACGGTGCTTCGCCTGATGATTCTCGCAATCGATGATCATTAGATGGTAGTGAAGTCCTCTTGGCCAGCCGGTTGCACCAAATCGCCTTTATGAGATCTGGAACACGTCGGTCGTCTCCTCCACGGTCTTGCACAAGGCACTAAGCACGTTGACATCCCGGAACGACTCGGCCACATTCTCTCTTCTCCTCTTCAGCTCCTCAGCCAGAACCTCATACTTCTCTTCCTTGGCCGTGTACTGTCTTATGACCTTATTGGAGTCATGTTCAATATACACCCGCGTGTCTCGAATCCGGACGATCACACCATCGAGGCGCAGAAAGTAGCGTTGTAGGAGCAACAGTCTGTCCGGCATCATCCGCATCTTTAGAGAGAGTAGTGCAATGCCATTGTCGGCAAGCTCGTCTTCGCGGGATCAGGYTAGCACACAAGCATGGCAATTAATGCAAGGACTGAAATGGTAAACTGACCTTCCATCAAATCGACATTATCGAAGAACAGAATAGGATCTTCCCGACTCAGCAGATCCAGCCGTATCGGATCCTCCTTGCCGCTGCTCTTCCTCCAACCCTCCTTCTCCTCGCCATCCTTCCCCACCGTAGTTCCTTTGTAATCCGTCGTATAACTCCAGTCAAAAGGCTTCACCACCTGCTTGACCTCTTCCTGATGACTCCTCTCCTTCTTCCACTCCTCCGCAACAGCGACTTGTAGCATGCCCTCCTCCGTCTTACTCACGCGGTCCAAGGCATCCCGCACGTTGAAATTTAGCGTCCAGCCCGTAGGAATGTGTGTGATTTGCGCGAAATTGTCGCCGAAGATCATCTCGGGTATTGGAATTCCGACATCTTTGTTCAGTGCTTCGATGGGCTCTGCCTTGAGGATGGGCAGTTTGCGGGTCGTTATGCGCCAGATGTTGTTGGGGGATGTGTGGGATTTAATGCCTGAAGAGGCCATGTTGGCTTGCTTGCTTGCTTGCTTGCTTTGAGGGAGGTTCGCTCGGTTTTGGATGATGTGATGCAGCCAGGGATCTTTCTATTTGCGTGGGCGTGTCTTCTCTGAAATCAAATGATGTTGTTCTCGGCAAGTGTCCCGTTGAGGAAGCTCGTCAAGATATCAAGCTATCGGATGCCGGCTTGGTGGGGCATCTTAAAAGTGAAGTCGAGGTCGGCTTTCCACCTTTCTATCAACACTCTTTAGACGTCTACCGTAATAACAATCTTTGGCATTTCATTTATGCTACTACGGCACTACTCTACAGAAATCGATCACTGTTGACGGCTCTCTGATAGAGACAGCATTGCTCAATCTTGCCCAAACGCATCGAGAGGTCTCACTTCATGTGCACGGCAGGAAGCTTTGAGATGGAAGAATTGATTGACAGGTTCCCARCAACTCGTCATCTCAGCGTATCTACCAAGGAAATTGCCCCGTAGCATGAAGGAAGCAGGCGTGCTCCGCATCTCTCTCCCCACGCAGGATCTTGATCATAGGCRCCACACCTTCACTGGTTGGCTTGGCTCCGTTTTCGGTCTTGTTCATCGAGCTCAGATTCGATACGGTGAACCCGGGACAGAATGAGAAGACCTTGAATCCTTCCTCGCTGAACTCGGCCGCCTGGCAAGCAGTGGCCATATTCAGTGCAGCTTTGCTACAGTTGTACTGTGGTGCCTTCATCTTATAGAGGCCATTGGTCGGATCAAGACGCCTCGCGATAGAGCCTGCGCCGGAGCTAACATTTAGGATTCGTGGTGTTGTTTGAGATTTGCGGAGCAGCGGAGCAAATGCTTCGACAACTAGGATCGGACCTGTTGCATTGGTCTGGAAGCAGATTGTCATTTGTTCTGCTAAACTGCCGCCTGGCATAGCGATCGCGGCGTTGTTGACAATTGCATCAAGCCTGAGAATAGTTTAGTAGGCCGATTTGTGCAAGGTTCAAGATCGGGACAACCCACCAACCATGCTTCTCCTCGACCTGCTTTGCGGCTTTCGTAATAGATGATTCGCTTGTCACGTCGAGGGGAAGCAGTTCAACAGTGCTGCTGGACGAATGGTGCTGCGCTTGGAGTGCCTTGACGGCTTTTTCACCCTTCTCGACCGAGCGACTACCGAGAAGTACATGGTTGTTGGATGCTGTTGATAATAGCTGTGAGACGAGCTCGTAGCCAAGACCACCGTTGCCTAGATTATGACTTAGTGTCATTGTCTCCTCAGCTATGGATGTGCACAGAAGGACGGACCTCCAGTAACCAATGTGATGGTCTTCCTTGCAATAGAGTTGGTCGTCATGATGTCTTTTCGATCCAGTCCAGATACGCTGGGTTGTTTGGGTATGTATATATCAATGAAAGAAGGGCCAAGAAAAGGGCARGCCGTACGGCACATTTTCACGCGGCACCGCATATATATACCTAGCTGTCTCTCGATCGCAGCAGAGCACGAAACCTTTATCAGCAAGGACGATCCCGCACAGCATTGGTTACAGCCGTGACGATGCGGCTTGTGAGATCTGTTGTGCTGCTCGGAGTTTGCGCATTTAGGCTTTAAGGATCCTCCGCCATGATCATATCCCCATGAAGCCGGTCGAGAAGCGGTATGTTGATGAGCTTCATTGTTATCTCAAGTCATCATCTACGCCACCCCGGTGGTATGGTACATGGCTTGGAGAAGGTGCCCCCATCTGCTGCGGTATTCAAGGTACGCGTCGTCGGGCACATGATCTTCATTGCAGGAAATTCAATTGACATGATGAAGCGAGCTGGATATGCGGAGGTTGAAAAGAAATGATTTGCTTCCAGCGGTCGATAGCATCAAATGCTTGAGAGTGCTGATGCTTTGTGTCGCAGGTTTGGGTCGTCGTCAGATGTCAAACGGATGATCTTCGGGCCGGTTGCTGCCTAGCAACCCGCAGCCTTCAATGTTGATCAACGACCTCCATTCTTCAATCTTCAATTCAATCTGACATTCACATTCATTGCGAGAACAGCACAGTACAGCAAAGCAATCATGGCAGACCTCGCCGCCCTCGAACAACGCTTTGAAGGTATTTCAGTGCAGGACGAGAACGTCGACAGCAATGCCCCCAAACAGCACAAGGCAAAGGTACTAAAAAGCACGAACCATTGTTCCAACGACCATAGGATGCTAACACTGCATGTGTAGGGCTCCCTCAGCCAAGCAATCTCCCTCTCATCCCTCGGCGCCGCCGCCGCGCAGAACCGCATCAAACTCCCGCTGCAGAAGCTGCCAGCCAATGCCACAACCAAGGCCACACTCACCAAGATCACACTCCCCTCACAGGCCGCCCAGCGACCGTCCGCCGAGTCGCGACCCTCCTCGGACCAACTAGATACTACAGCTCTCATCACAGCCAAATCAAACAAAGCATGGAACCTGTCAATGTTCGAGATCGGCAAGCCTCTCGGCAAGGGAAAGTTCGGACGCGTCTACCTCGCCCGTGAGCGCGCCACAGGCTTCGTCTGCGCCCTCAAAGTCCTCCACAAATCCGAAATCACAGCCGGGAAAGTCGAGAAGCAAGTCCGACGAGAAATAGAAATTCAGTCCAACCTCGCACATCCCAACATCCTGCGGCTGTACGGCCACTTTCACGACTCCAAGCGCATCTTTTTGATACTGGAATTTGCAGGACAGGGAGAGCTGTACAAGCACCTGAGGAAAGCACAGCGGTTTCCGGAATGGCAGGCGGCAAATTATATCGCGCAAATGGCGAGTGCCTTGAAGTTCTTGCATAACAAGCATGTCATGCATCGCGACATCAAGCCGGAGAACATCCTTGTGGGGATGCATGGAGAGATCAAGATTTCGGATTTTGGATGGAGTGTGCACGCGCCGAACAATCGTAGGAAGACAATGTGTGGAACCCTGGACTACCTCCCACCAGAGATGATCAAGCCCGGACGCGAAGAGAACTGGTATACTGAGAAGGTGGACTTGTGGAGCTTGGGAGTTCTGACGTACGAGTTTCTTGTTGGTGAGGCGCCATTCGAGGATACACCTGTGATGACGCAGAGGAGAATCGCGCGAGGAGACATGAAGGTTCCAGCGTTTGTCAGTCCCGAGGCCAAAGACATCATCACAAGACTACTCGTACTGGATCCCGRGAAGAGGTTGAGCTTGGAAGAGGTAGAGGTGCATCCTTGGATTGAAAAGCACTGTCATAAGGGAGAGAGGCACTACAATCGCAAGAGCGCCGACGTGAAAAAGGAGAGGGATGGCAAGTGATTTTGGCATGATGATGACCTTCTTTTCTGATGCATTTGGGACGGAGTCTAAGCGATGGGATGGCATGACAATGGTTGGGACGGCGTTAATACTTTCTCTCTGACGTACGAACGAAGACTTACACACTCGTCCACTCTTGCTTTTCATAGCTCGTTGTTCTTTGTTGGAATAAAGTGCTGAGCAGAGCGTCTTGTTCATATTCTACTCATTAATAGACGAGTGCGCTCTCGTGCAGGATAAGAAGAAGACGCCGTGATAACGCAGCTACATCGGCCGAAGGCCAAGCGTCTGCATTTGCCATTTCAAAGCCGTCAACACCAATCTAGACATTGACTTACAAGTCTTCACGGGCTCACCAGGACAATACTCCAGCCCAGAGACACTCTGATTGCACCCAAAATGGCAACTCAATCTCCAGAGCAGAAAACACTGCCATCCTACCCGGAGCCGTTTATCGTGAGCGCCCGCGAAGAACATCGACAAACTCTCATCCTCCTCCACGGCCGCGGCGGCACAGGCGAGCAATTCGGAACATCATTCATCATCAGTCCAATCTCCTCCTGCCCTGGCGGCGGAGCATCTCACTCATCGCAAATCCTCGCAACCGCTCTTCCAAATACAAAATTCATATTTCCCACCGCCAGAAAGCGACATGCACGGTGGTATGATAATGGCGCACTTCTTCATCAGTGGTTTGATGGTGTCCCGATTGATTTTCAAGATGCTGGGATGAGTCCCGAACAGAGAGATTGGCAATTGGAGGGGTTGAAGGAGTCTTGTGCCTTTTTGGAAGGAATTGTTCGGGAGGAAGTTGAGAGAGTTGGAGCTAGGAATGTGTTTGTTGGGGGTTTGAGTCAGGGATGTGCGATGGGGTTGCAGTTTCTTTTGAGTTATGAGGGTGAGTTGGGTGGGTTTGTGGGGATGAGTGGGTGGCTGCCGTATGTTGATGAGATGGAGGGTGTGTTGGTGGAGGAGGAGAAGGGGAATGATGAGGATGATTCGTTTGCTCGATCTGGTTCTGAGGACCGTGGCACGGCTTTGAAGGGAGAGCCAGCGGCCATGAAGATTTGCGGTTTTGTTCGAGACAATCTGGACCTTCCTCTTCCAGTCACTTCGCGGCAACCGTCCTGGCTTCAGACACCGGTATATCTGGGACACGGAAATATTGATGAGAAAGTCAAGCTAGCAAAGGGTCGTAGGGCGGCTGAATTTTTGAGAGGAATGGGGGTGCAAGTTGTTTGGAAGGAGTATGATGAAGGTCACTGGTATAAAGTGCCGGAAGAGATTGATGATATTGTTTCGTTCTTACGGAGTTATATATCATTGAATTGATGACTATCGCGAACTTTCGAACGCATTGACATCGAGGTCAATTGAGCAAATAATGTGTAATGCTAATGTTGGAAGCATTGGTGTGAATGGCAAACATTGTGACGCTAAAAGTTTAGGCTGATTCGGCAAGCGGCCCGAATCTCAAGTGAATCTCTCGAATTCGACTTCAACATCTCAACTTCCAGCATACTTTCCACAACAATGGCATCCTCGAATCCAGAAACCGCACCGAATCCAGMGACAGACTCAACATTCCTGACCTGGTCCAACTTCTTCTCCATCCTCACCAACCGCGCCGACCCCAAAACCCGCCACGCATACTTCAAAGAGCGCGACATCCTCAACGAGAAGCGTGACTGCGCCCGCTGTGATGAAGACGTCGCCTTCCTATTCAAAGCCTCACCAATCGTGACTTTTCTAAAACACAACATCGACCTCCTCAGTCCTCCGAATGGCAAAGCTTCCATCTCCCCAGCCAACGTCCACTGCCGCCGGTGCGAAGAAGGCGTCCAATCCGGCGGCTTCTCCGCCGACCACGGCATCATGCTCTGCGCGAATCAATTTCGCTCTAGGGGACATTTAGAAGATACTCTTGCACACGAGATGGTTCACGCATATGATCACTTGCGCTTCAAACTGGATCCGGAGAATTTGAGACATGCGGCGTGTATGGAGATTCGAGCGAGTATGCTGAGTGGGGAGTGTAGATTCACACGGGAGTTCTTTACGAGAGGGCAATGGAATATCACGCAGCAGCTGCAGGAATGTGTGAGGAGAAGGGCGAGTTTGAGTGTCGCGGCGAGGAAGGCTTGTAAGAGTGATGTGGAGGCTGTGAGGGCTGTGGATGAGGTTTGGGAGAGCTGTTTTAGCGATACGCGGCCGTTTGATGAGATTTATAGATAAGTTGGTGAGGAGGAGGAGGAATGATACCCATGAAAGCAATTGCATATAAAGCGAGGGCGATGTACAACGATGTATGATATCAGCAGTGGGACACAGATGAATCGACGATACTACACTCAAGCAGCACGAGCAAGACGATGGAAAGGTTGTGTTGGAAGTGATTACTTCTGCTGTCAGTTCAATGCTGCTATGTACCATCAGGCCGTGAAGAGAAAAAAACACCTCATGATCAGCTTCGGCCTCTCCTCAAGATCGTAGAAGAGATTGAGCATCGATGGGAAMTCTGCCCGGACTACCTGCCCGAGGATCTCACCGCCCAAACATCGAACTTAGGCTCTTATCAGCACCGATTTGTCTCGACTGACAAGTGTACGCTTCAAATGCTCCACTTTGTCAAACTCGTGGACAATTCTTAGCAGTAAGTGGAGAGAGCACTGTGCAGGCTAGTCCTGCATCAAAGGTCGCGCATAGGCGTGCTTGATCAGCGCGCAAGGAGAGCGCTCAACATCCGTGGTTTGCTCATACCCAGAGTTCCAGAAACACGGATAGCTTGCGCGTTTGGGTAGTGTGTCGTCAGAGAGCCCGTGAGGTGTCAGGCAGATGAGCCGGAGAGTCCTTGTAGAAGCCCTTCTTGTAGAAATTGAAGGCCTTGACGACATGCATCAATCTCTCCAAAGTAAGAACCTTTTCACCTCCAAACCCGTGGACAAGCCTGATGTCCTCAATTGCCTTGTCTAGTGCTGTCGCAGGCACCGTGATCTCACCACTTTTGTTGTCACCCATCGTGACGGCAGAGTCAGTTGGCCAGTCAGTCTTGTCCTTTATATGATACGTCCAAGGTGGCGATATATGCCAGGGGGGCTGCAGTAAGTATAAGTGTCTGCTGCTGATGCTACTCTTCACATCCGGTAGGGCAACAGCTTTTGCCACGCCCATTTCGAAATCCATCAGTAACCGGATTCGCACTGAGGGATAGGGCAGGGAAAAGTCCTCTCGGAGGTTGTCACTCTCCTCCTCCTTGAGAATGTAGCTGACGATCACTCGCCGCATTGCTTCAATTCCGACTTGCGGGCGGCAGCTCAGCCATGACACCATAGCTTCGTAGGTCATCTGGTCACTTGTACGAAGCTCGAAAGTGTTGGACCCATAGAAGAAGCGAAGTGTCTCGGGGCGGAACGCTTTGCAGACTTGGGTGATTGCCGGGGTGTACGGCTTCGGTTCAATTTGGTAGAAAGCTCTCACGTCGGCCTTGAAAGTCTTTCCGCCCGGCTTGTTTCCGCCTGGCTTGCGCCACCGCGTTTGCCTGTCTTCGCCCAGAAGGGAGCGCAGAGGGGAGCTCGTGCAAATGAAATGTATGCCACCGTCGCTCAATAACATCGATTGTTTGCGCCGCTCTTCGTCCTGAGCTGCGCGGCACTTGCTCGTGTAATCTTCCAGTGTCTGTGCTTGTTTGCTGGCATCGAAAGTCGTCTCGGACGGGATTACCAGACCCCAGATTTGGTTCTTCAACTCAGCTGGCAGTCTGACGAATGGTACTGACGAGTTGTGCTGAGACCGCTGACGGCGGACACGCTTGGAGGCCGAAGCTCGCTGAGAGAGCATGGTGGATGTGTCGGTGTCTTTGCAGTGGGAGTGTGCCATGGTCGTTGGGCGATTTGGGGGAGGTTGTTTGATGGAGTATGTGCACTGTTTGGAGAGAAAGGTAGAGAGAGAGAGAAGAGTGATGATGAGGTTACGCACAGACTTTAATGAACGGACACGTGAAATTGCTGAAGTTGTGAACTGAAAGTGAAGTCAATGGAGGAAAGCGCGTTCTGTGCAACCGCGTAATTATTAAGGCCGTGGACAAGCGCAACCATTATCTGACATATCGATCATTCTGAGCTCTTCGCTACATCTAGTACACGAGACGAGCCAATCTAATCTGGTCAGCCAAGAAACATCAACATCACCACATGCATCAAGACTCACCTAGCAGTAAGAGCAGCCAGCACAACAGAGCTGGTGGAGAAGATGGCGAATCGAGTCATCACGTTGTTGACGAGAGACTGWTAGACCGAGTGCACAACTCTGAGACCGACGTATCCCCAGGCACCGTACACGGTGTAATCGTGTCTGTCACCAAGCTGGGTTAACGCGAGTGCCACTGCGAAGAAGACGGTGGGCTAAAGGAGATGTTAGTCTTTATATAATATGTATATTGATGGTGCTTCGACTAACCTGTTCATGAAGGTGGTTGTAGTTGTCGGCGACCTGGCGGATGCTGATTGGGAGCTTGGTGTTCATGTCCCGGGCGATGTTTTCGGCGGTTCCATCGATGCCATATTGGGAGTCACTAAGAGCTGGCAGGCGCTTGGAATACCTAGACTTCGTCAGAGGGTTTCCTCAACAACAAAGATGCATCTTGAATATAACTCACATCCATGCTTGCTGGATGAAAGTCCATCCAGCCAAAGCAACCAGAGGCTTGAGAAGGGGCTTCTCAAGGCCGAGGGTCGAGATCTGAGCAGAAGACATTGTGGCGATGTTTGATTAATTAGTTCTTCGATGTAAGTATCCTGCGTACGGGTATTCAAGTCATTATAGAAGTATTATTCCCCCTAGCGCTTGATGTGAAGCTGACATGGTGAGCTCTCCTCGTCATTGACCTCGGCAAGCCAACGCGGCTGGACGGACTGAGGTGATGTTCTTCACGCCAACGAGTCAACGACAGGCCTGATCCCTGTGCTGATCCTTCCATTTCTCAATGACCGTCGCTTGCCAATACACGTGCTGTTACATTCAAAGATCATGCTTGCCCTCGACAAACAACACAGACTTTTCATACTGCTTCTTGATCACATCCTTCTCTGCGTTTTCAACAGCCTTGACGAATTTCTCGCCCGATTTCGGATCGTGCTGGAACAAATGATCCTTGACCAGTCGCTGCGGCGTCTCGCCCATCCACTGGAAAAGGGAGAAATCCTGAAACTCATCCGCGCGGAAGATCTCCAGCATCTCCAGCGGTTCATCATCGCTCAAGTTCTCGATGAAGTRGCCCATGTTGCGTGGCACAATGCCGACATCGCCTGCCATGTAGTCGAAAGTCCGGGCATTGCCTTCRGCGGCGAAGATGGTCACTCTTGCCCTACCAGAGATGACAAAGCTCCACTCATCAGCATTAGGGTGCCAGTGCATTTCTCTCAGAGCGCCGGGGGCAATGTCAAGATGCGCGGCTGCGATTGTCTTGGAAATTGGAAAGTTTCTGCTGTCCACAATCCGGGCTGAGCCTCCGCTGCCCTCTTTTGCGGGAGTCTCCAACATGTGGTGCGTGTATTGGTGCTTTGACTTCTTGAACGCTTTTGGCGTTTCCTTCTCAATGCTCTCGGGCATCGAACCTGTCGAACGCACATTAGCGTATGGCCATGCCGGGTCACGCTTCTCAAATGCTTACCTTGGAAAATGTACTTGTCCTTCTCCTTGATCTCAGCAAAGATCTCAGGAGGCAGTCGGAAGTTTTCTGCCACGACAGACTTGGGTGTGTGTTCGATCCACTCGTTCAACAAGAAGGTCGAGTCCTCGGAGAAGCTTCCGCTGTCAAAGACAAGAAGAAATTCCGTACCATTCTCTCCCAATCCTTGCAACGAGTGAGGGTGTCCGGAAGGAAAGTACCACAAATCTCCTGCTTTGAGATCGTCGATGAATGATCTTCCATCAGTGTCCAGAGCTGTTACCCGAACCTCGCCTACGAACAATTTAGCTTGCGGTGCTGGAAAAGACCATCTTCGGACTGACCTGAAAGCACATATGCCCACTCCGCTTCCTTGTGCCAATGCAACTCTCGGATCACTCCTGGCCCCAGTCTCATATTCACACCCGCTACTTCACTTGACGCAGCCAATTCTCGCACGGTTGTCTGTCTTGTCCAGCCGTTTTCTTCAATTCTGATATGGCTGTCTGAGAAACTCCTAGAACACAAGCATGGTCAGTAACTTCTTCTCCTCATTCGATCGATGTGTGCATACCATCGCAAATTCGGCAGGATGCCATGATCTGTGCTTGGAGGGCGAACCAAGTCTGGATTCTGTCGGTCTCGATCTTTATTCACTGGTCCCAGAACACTTGTACCACCTCCGTTGCGTACGGGAAGTGGTTGAACGCCATTGCCATATGTATCGTGTTTCCTATCATATGGATCGTTCTTGTATGGATATCGCTCAGATGCCTTAGCGAGAGGATATTGATCAACAGGAGCAGCCAATGCTGCAGAAAGCAACCCAAGCACAGCGACTGAGCAACGCATTATGACGATGAAGTTTGCGAGTAGGTTCAATGAATCGTATAACTTCCGGACAAAAATACTGAGATCAAGATCAGCTCTTGAAGAAGACGCGACAAGCTCCTCTGGGCCCGCTGCACCCGCGCTGTCCTACACTTCGCCTTCATACCCGCTCATTGATCATTGGAGCGGATGGTGGTCGTCATCCGCGGAGATAAAGCAGCTCAAGGAGCTTTCTCCGACGCTGCCAAGAGCGCGGGGTACCCAATAAGCGTGCGAGTGGGTACGGCGGGTAGATCGGCCTGCTAAAGGTGCAAGTGAGTGAATCTAAAGCTCCTAAAGCTCCGATTTGAGATGTTTGTTTGATGCGGCAGTTCGCAGGCGGTTACAGAATCGCGTCACGCTGGAGTCTCGGTGCGCTTCTCTGCTGTCATTGAGCATCGCAAGTCATCATAGAAAGCCGAAGTCGTCGTTTCTTCCACCCATCTCAACCGACTCGTATGTTGCAGCGCTTTTGGGGCGATTACAAATGACAAGATGTGTGAGCTGTCACATCCACTTGCCGAATTGTTTTGTAGCCCTAGCTCTGATGGCCGTAGGGTTTCTGAGCCACATTTGACGACAGCAGATCCGCGGACCGTGGCAAGACGGCAAGTTGAATTAACATCAAACTTGACGTGACATGATTCTTTCATGTAAAGATTTTGGCGACTCTGTGTCATATCAGCTCAAGCGATCCTCGATGACTCGAATACGGCTGTATTGAACACTCCTTGGAGATAGTGGTTGTTCATATCACACAGCACTCCAAGCTTTCGAGCACGAGGTACAAGCATGCACAAGCCTTGGCATTCGGTGAGCAGGCCACCCATTTCGAGCTCATCAACCCAAAGCTTAGAAGAGACGGTCGAGAGTCAAGACCCGCTCGAACCGCTGATCAAACCGAGAAGCCGCTACGACCAATGAGAAACCATCATGGAAAGTATGCAGCCATTAGCCGGGCACCAACAGCGTTGAAGCATATATATGCATTCGACCGCGTGGACAAATACTTGGTGACATGCAAGCTCTCGTGCAGACCACGCATCCTACCGAGCGGCATGCGTTGTAGCTGAACTCTGCCCATTGGCTATCCAATGGGTCTAGACGTAGCGTCTTATAGCAGACAACCCTATGTTGCTCGTCGAGGCTTTTTCGATAAGTGGGCCAGCATGGAAGAGTACGTCTCCGGCAGGGGTGGCGAGCTGCTGAGGGGAAAGCAGGGGGGAGTACTTGAGCAATCTTGAGTCACATTGAGTGATCCTAATTATTTGCCAGCTTCTTTCAGTATTCGCTCAGCGCTGAGGGCAATAGGGACTGATTGCGCCCTGATTACTTCTCTCGTTGATTCGTATTGTTTCATATATCGGTCTCTGCAGCAGCATCTGGCAGAAACCAKATCTCTCACAATGGCCAAATTCGTTGACCGGGCTGTGAACGATGTTCGTGCGGACTATACCTGGAATCGTGTCGGTCGGTTGGCAAAGCGAGGACTGCAAGCCACGCCGGCAACCGCTGCTCATTACTCTCTCGACAAGTTTCCGATCATCGGGTGGCTGCCGAAATACAACCCTCGATGGATCATCAACGATGTAATCGCAGGATTGACCATTGGGCTGATGATGATCCCTCAATCATTATCATATGCCAAGATAGCAACGATCCCAGTCGAGTACGGCTTGGAGAGCGCTTGGCTTCCGCCTGCGATCTATACCATTATGGGATCCACCAAGGGTACATCTGAGCAACGAGGTTTGYGTGTCAACCACTAACCTTTTCACAGATCTTTCGACTGGGCCGACTTCTCTACTCGGCCTAACGACATCTGAAGTGATCAAGTCTCTCGGCTCGGAAGGATACACTCCACAACAGATAGCATCGGCAGTAGCGCTCTCCATCGGTATTTATGGCATCATTCTGGGGTTCTTGAATCTTGGCTTCCTTCTAGAGTTCATCTCGTTGCCCATACTTTCTGGTTTCATCTCTGCAGTTGCAATCACAATCGGACTCAATCAGATGGACTCTCTGCTTGGCGAGGACAACGTAGGCGATGGAGCGGCGACACAGATCCACGATATATTCCAGCAGTTACCGAAAGCCAATGGATTCGCATGGTGAGTCTCGAAGATGCGTCAACGCACATCGCCAGGCGTGGAGATGGCTGACAATTTGCAGCGCAATCGGTTTTGGCGGCATAGTCTTCTTGACGATCCTGGACCAGGCTGGCAAGCGTTGGGGCACCAAGAGCAAGATCATCTGGTTGTTGTCGATAATGCGCGCTTTCCTCTGTCTAGTCCTGTTCACTGGAATCAGCTATGCTGTCAACAAGAAATTCGGGCAGGACAGTGACAAGTATCTCTTCGAGGTTGTCAAGTTGAAATCCTCCGGCGTTACAAGGCCTGAGATACCCTCTGGAGCGCTCATATCAAAGGCTTTCTCTCGCAGTATTGCCGCCTTTATCGGGAGCAGCTTGGAGCATATAGCCATTGCGCGTGCGTTCGCAGTGAGTGTGATAGTTTTCGCTTCTTGGGATCAAACTAAAGTCGAACAGGTCAAAAACAACTATGAGTCCGATCAGACACAGGAACTCTGTTACTACGGCGTTACCAATATCGTAAACTCCTTCTTCCATAGCATGGGAGTTGGTGGAGCCATGAGTCGAACCAGTGTGAATTCAGCCTGCAAGGTCAAGTCGCCGCTTTCCGGAATTGTCACGACCGCCGTTATTCTGGTCGGAATTTACGGTGCATCCGATGCGCTGTACTGGATTCCGAAAAGCACTCTTGCAGCGATCATCATCACTGCTGTATGGCCTCTTATCCAGYCACCATCAACCTTTTATCGATACTGGAAGACATCTCTTGCCGACTTCATCTCCTCTATGATCGCCTTCTGGGTCTGTCTCTTCTACTCCACGGAGGTTGGTCTCGGTGCCAGCGTTGGTTTCAACATCGTATACGTGTTACTCAGGCAGGTTTTCGCACGACCGAGTTCCATCTCGACCATCGAAGCGTTGGAGGGACCGGCCACGACGACTGACCTCCCAGAAGATGTCCGCATATTCCGCTTCAATGAGTCCTTTTTCTTCCCCAACGCACATCGCGTCAAGACCAAGATGATGAACGACATCCAAACACATCATGCCCCCGCTTACAATGACAGAAATGGTGTCGAGGCCGAACGAAATTGGTCCGTCCAGAGAGAGAAGAATGTTGCTCGGCTCCGCAAGCAGATGAAAATTACGGATCCTAGCAGCTTGCCTTCAATTGGTATCGTTATCCTTGACTTCGGAAGATGTAATCACATGGATGCGACTGCAATTACCCAGCTAAAGCAGCTCGTCGTGGAGTTGAAACTCTATGGCGGTAAAGAGGTTGAGCTGCGATTTGCCGGAATGTCTGACTACGTTCGCACTCGTCTCGAACGTGCGCACTTCAGGGTCGTTGACCACGGTCAGCCCGAGGAAGCTGGGGACGATGAAGAAGATTCGACCTGGCACTATTCTAGTGTTAGATCTGCCGTGACTTTACCAAGGCGGGCGGCTCATTTGAATGATTTGTTAGAAGAAAAGAAGGGAATGGTTGAGATTGAAGAAATTGAGAGAGTCTAAGAGACAGCAAGTCTGTAATGAATTACGAATCATGATGTTACGGTTGTTTTTTCGTATCCATCTGAAGACCCCATGATAGCGGCAGTGTCGGGCAGACAATGTTGGTGATTCAGGCGCTTGGATGTTTGCTAGAGCGGATAAAGCGGGAATGCCAAGACGAACAAATGAATTAAGAGCGGCTAATGCGGCAAGACCCTCCTTTGTCGACATCAGCATGGAGCTCACTCAATATGGTTTGCAACCCGAACGAAGCGATCAGAATTCGCATTGCGAGAGACTTTCGACGAAGTATGAAGGGAAAGTTCGAGAAAGAGCGAAGGTTGACTTACTGAAATGAAATTTTGTAACGAATTGCAATGACCGATTGTGAATGCTGCATCCCCGATTAGCCGATACTCATCACTCACCGTCTCCCGGGGAACGCTCCCTGTCGAATAAAGCATCCGCGCTTCGCTCAGTGCAGTAAGATGGTCGCCTCAACGGTGGGTACTGATCTCCGCTATAGCCAGCGAATGAACCACTGAAGCTAGGAWGAGGAGGATGCGTTTGACTTGTATATTGAAGGTGGACTGGTGCGAGTAGGATAATACCGAGAAGCAGTGAGAAGCGGTTGAGCAGTCGCCATCCATTTCCAGCTACGAGTCCGCAGATTAGAGCATAGGACAGCCGCGTGGAAACCAGTGTATTGGAACCGTGAAGCCACGGCACGGTGCGGTGGCTGGCATAACGAAGTTCGTGAGACTTCATGTGGATTCTCAAGACTCCGGTTTCATCCGCATAATGGCATGGCATGCTTCATTGTCGATGCCTTCATGGCGCTGTTGAAACCGGTGGTGTGCATGGAGTGGCATGGTGACTCGAGACCGAATCTTCTATCCCGAGAGCAACGAACGCACGAGGCTATGCATTAGCAAGCACGCGTCCAGGCACTTAGGATGCTGTGGTTGCAAAGGATTGAGGTAGGGAGAGCGATGAGCATAGGGACTGTGAATTGAATGGATTGATGCACTGGGGTGAAGAGAGGCCAGAGATTGGAGTGGTGGTGAGGTCTTGTGAATAAATTAAGTGTATTGCGGCCCGTGCTTTTTATGCAACCAACCTCCAACAACATTGATCCCACCATTGTCTTTGAACAGCTCTGCATCCACCCTACGCCGGCGCAATGCTGGAAAGGACGGCAATGAGCTCGCTGAGAGCGAGCTTCAGCCGACAAGTCAACTTGAGTCGGCAATTCTCGACTCGACGACCCTCACCGTTCCTCCATCTACAACCACGACGGACACCACAGACCAACTCCCGCCGATACGAGTCCACAACTGCCACAGTCACTCGTGCAACGACCTCTGCCGGATCATCTGTGATCGCGTACATCTATGGAGCTGGTCTTGTGCTGGTATTGTCCTTTGGCTACCTATACGTCACCGACACTCGCGCCTCCATTCATCAATGGCTCGTAGTACCCACTCTACGACTGATCCACTCCGATCCTGAGGAAGCCCACCACTCTGGCATTCGATACGTAAAAGCTTTGTATGATTTCGGTCTCCATCCCCGCGAGCGCGGTAACGATGACCAGAAGCTGGGTGATCTCAAGGTGGAAGTCTTTGGACATGTACTGGACAATCCCATTGGCACCTCAGCCGGCATTGATAAGAATGCCGAGATTCCAGACGCGCTCATGGCATTGGGACCAGCCATAGTCGAAGTTGGAGGTGCTACGCCTCTGCCACAGCCCGGCAACCCGAAGCCGAKAGTCTTCCGCATTCCCAGTCAAAATGCACTCATCAACCGTTATGGGTTGAACTCGGAAGGAGCAGAGCATGTCGCAATGCAGCTACGGGAGCGTGTGCGGTCTTTCGCCTATTCCCACGGGCTTGGTCTGGGAGCCGAGGCGGAGCGCATCGTTCTCGATGGCGAGGCGCAGGTCCCACCCGGAAGCATGGTACCAGGAAAGCTTCTCGCCGTGCAAGTTGCAAAGAACAAGACTACACCTGATGGAGATATTGCTGCAATTGCCAAGGACTACACCTTTTGTGTGGAGCACTTGGCCAAGTACGCAGACATTCTTGTCGTAAATGTCTCCTCGCCCAACACACCCGGACTGAGAGATTTGCAAGCCACCGGACCCCTCACCACTATCCTCACGGCTGTGGTCAATACTGCAAAGTCAATCGACCGAAAGACGAAGCCGGCAGTCATGGTCAAGGTGTCTCCGGACGAAGACAGTGATGCCCAGATCGAGGGTATTTGCGCGGCAGTTTGGGCCAGTGGCGTGGATGGTGTGATCGTGGGTAACACCACAAACAAGCGGCCTGATACCATACCGAAGGGATATGTTCTTCCGGAGAAAGACACGAAGATTCTACAAAATGAGATTGGTGGCTACTCTGGACCACAAATGTTTGAGCGCACCCTCAGCCTTGTGAAGAGATATCGGTCCAAGCTTGACAACGGCCCTCCAGAAGAGCCCGCAGAAGCGCCATCAAAACAGAAATTGCCTAGTCCTATTCCCACTGAGGACCATCTTTCGGATGCGAGTATAGAGCGGGACATGCAGCGTCTAAAGCCGGAGGATACCAAGGAGGATTTGCAGCCGCTCATCCAGATCCCTGACAGGCACAAGACTTCTACAGAACAGCAAGCATCACAAGATGGTGCTCCAATATCCAAAACTCAGAGCTCTAGATCCTCGGCGTCAAAGGTTCTGTTTGCTACCGGAGGCATCACCAACGGCGAGCAGTGTCTGCAGATTCTGAACGCAGGCGCAAGTGTATGCCAAGTGTACACTGCGATGATGTATGGTGGTGTAGGAACCATCACGAGGATGAAGGGAGAGATGCGAGCGGCTATCAAAGGTCAGAATGGTGACAAGCCCTTGTAAGGCATCTTCGTACGACTGCCAGTGTCTGGTGTATATCTGTATAACGTTGATAGGGTTGAAGGGGGGAATATGTATACCCAGGGATCAGTCGAGGTAAGGTCGGCTTGACGTGAGACAGTTATCAGCTCTGGTCTCACTTCCCATGCTCGCGTCGTCGTGTCACCTGTAAGTGATGATCATACCACAATTTGCTCTGCAAGCAATGTAAGTACTCTTTGCATTATCTTTCTATTCAAGACATGTCCAAGGCTTAGATAAGCACGTTCTCTGCACGGCATGTAAATTTATATCTCTTTCGAGATCATTCGAGGGTTGGCATGGTACTGTCCGCCTAAGAAGCCAGGCCGCCTAAAGGACGCTATGTGATGCATTCTTGGCCGATTCTTCGGATGCACTCGTATCGCGTGAAAGCCGGGTTTCGATCAGGTAACATCGCCACGACGTGGTAGGCGGCACATGCACGACCACCAGCAATCCTGCACTTCGTGGGGCGCTGTCAAAAGAGGGTTGGAATTCTGAAAAAGAAATCGTGTTATCGAACACCACGTTGATGTTCAAGTGAAATTGTAACATCCGCATCAGGCCTCAGAAAGTGAAGCTTCTTCATCAACAACATCCACTTGCCACTCCTTCCTCGATCACAACACCAACAAACACTGCACCCGCGCTTGCATCTGGTTGATCTTGGAGACCTCACAATCACTACCTTCCCCTCAATTACCTGCGATCGTCACCGTCAACATCAAAGCGCCGCTCCCCCCGGCTTCTCACTTTAGCGGCGGAGAACGTCGACACATCCCATAACAACATCTCTACAAAGCCTTGATTCGCTGAAGATCACAGCGACACGATAACGTCGAAAAATGGGAGTCTATCAGAGGATCAACAAGAATCACAGCTATCACCGGGCGATATTCCTCACTGTATYGTTGGCCACCGCGGCGCTATGCAGTCTCTCGCCCGTAGCATGCTTCAAGAACTTCAGTGCCAAGGAGCGTCGCAAGAAGGAGCGGGGTCAGGAGGATCTGGAGATGGCGACGATCCAGGGGCAGGAAGAGGACTCGGAATCGGAGCAGGAGGAAGCGGAGCAGGAAGAGGAGTGGCGGCGGTCTCAGATGCTGAGAGCGAGACGTCCTTCCCATTCCCAACCACGCACTTCTCAGCTGCCACCGCATCGTCGCCGTTCTTCAATGAGGGCCCCAGAGCGCCGCGAGCGGATTCAACACGAGGAGATGGAGGTGAGGTGGAGGGGTCTTCCACCATACGATCAGGAGTCGGAGGGCGATCACCGCCACCGCCGACATTCGCGTCGACACTCGAGACAATAGGACCGCCACTCTTAGCAAAGAGTCAATGGATCGATGCAAATGCTCCTTTACCGACGCCAGACTCCGTCGAAAAGTACCGGACCGTTCAAAGAGCGTCGACGACTGCACAATTACTCACCCTTCTATCATCAAGCCCTGCACCTCCTCTTCAGAACATCCCCTCACCGCTGGTACTGATCTCGGAAGCTCCTTTACTGGTCGAAACGACTGCAAACCTCGTGACTTCCGACGAGTCACCGCATTCGGACAGTAGCTTTTCAACGACAGCTTCAAAAGCATCAACAGCCAGCAGCTTTCCATCCCAGATGCGGCACAATTTTCCCGATATGAGACTACTGAGGCAGAAGAGTAAGCCTCCACAGCATACCATCCAGAAAGCATCGATCCTCAAATTGCCCGGCGACATCAAACGCTCTCCAACTCTCTTCGGTCCGAAATTGATCTCTGATACGGCCATTCTGGTTGTGAGGCAAGTGGCCAGACCTTCTCTAGCGCCATCAGCTTCGAAGCCTCATCAACCCAGTCAAATGCCACGGACAGATTCGTTCATCCAAGACCCAGTGCGCGAAATGCCAACGCTTGCACTGCCAAACATCCAACTCAGCAAAAAGCTGCCGCCGCTACCATCTGCGGAAAAGGTAGAACGGCCGGGAACCGGTTTGCGTCAGCCTATCACTTCATCGAAAGACTTCGCTCACGTGCGATCATTTGCCGCACCTGATTCTGTGACACGACAACTTCGGTTTGAGACCCCCACAACAGGCAGTTGGCGTAAGGAGGAGTCACCATGCCCGTCAGTAGAGAGATCTCGAAAGTCGTCAGCCGAGAGATCCCGCAGGTCATCCACTTCAGCCCAGCAGACGTACCACCGCCATAAGAAGCATTATCATGCAGTCACCCCACCTGAAGAGGAGCCTCGTGTCAAACCACTCCACCATGGTGATTCGTATTTTGAGACCTTCCACACACTATCCGAGGCGACGAGCAAAGATTTTGTGCCTGCTCAAACCCCTCAGCCGCGAGAGCAGCCGAAGAAAGAAGATCATGCACGGCGCAGGCCAGAGTCTGAGCCAGTGCCATTGAATAACGCGAGACCGTCAATTCTTGCGACGCACGTGAAGACTCCAAGCGAGACCGCTGCCGTCATGATCTTGAAGAGAGGCAAGCAGGGTAGCAAACTCGGGTTCTTCAGGAAGTACATCAGCGATTCTTCCGAACAAGATCTGGCAACACCATTGGATGCCTCGTTCAGCACGCCGATAACGCCTAGTGTCCAGCTCAATACTTCTGAGGATATTGCGAACAAGCGAAGAGTGTCCAGCGTGGTTCCTGAGATGCAGACGCAGTCCTACTTCAATCGTCCGCGGGTGCGTCGCTTACCCAGCGACAACTCACTGTCGCCGACCGGTGTCGCAACGCCCGTCACGGTTTTCTCAGACGAGTCACCGTCTCCATTACGAGTGAAATCGCGAGTACGCCATCAAGACAGATCCTCCTCCGACCAGCTGTCCCCTATGGGAACTCCGCGAGCAAGGCACAGGCCGACCATGGAAAGCTTGAGGAGCCGCGTGTCTCAGGCGACGATGAACTCAACGCCAGCGTCGCAGACGGACGTGCGCAGAATTCCAACCGACAAGAGCGACAAGAAGAGCTCCGTCAAATCAACAGCAAAGGGAAAGCGAAAAGGCTCTGKGAAATTTGTTGACCAAACAGACACGGCCCGGACAGATCCTTTGTCGCTGGACTTGAACCAAGTCACCTTGAAGAGTAAGCCAAGCAACTACTTTGTTGACATACGCAAGGTTTCCTCCACCGAGCAGCTTCTTAGCGACGGCAGGCCCCCTTCAGAGACGAAGGGGACGCGGAGATGGAGCCTCATGCCCAAACTTTCCTCATTGTCTCTATCAAGGATTTCGATGAGCCATTTGTCGTCTCTCGCAGCCCAAAGATTGCACCGCAAGTCCTCGCAGGTAAGTAACCTGGCACAGGAATCAAGCTCGGGAAAGCCAAAGAGTGAGATGGAGCTCTCACCTCCGCCGAGTCCAGCACTCAAAGGTAGCATCCAGCCATCTATACCAATCGGTCGCCGTTTTAGTGCCGCTCAGCTCGAAGTGACAGAGTTCGAACAGACTCCGTTCAGCCAACGTTACCACGATGCCGAGCGTACTCTACAGCAGCAGATACGTGCATTCGTAGAAGAAGGATTGAATGAAGTCGACGACGCGGAGGGCGACAATGAGCTGGTCTTGGGATTCGAGCAGGATGTCCCAGATCACTTCCCCAACTCCCCACTATGCCCACTGCATCCAAAGCACAAAAGCGGCGGCAAAGCCATTTGTCCGTTGCACGGGCGATATAAGAAGGGCATGCCACCACCTACTCAACTGATTGGAAAGAGGCCCGTCGGCAGAGTCTCCACCTCCGGCGTAGACCCGCATGCCGGGCATCATCGGATTGAGATTGTCCTCGATACAGCTGTCGTTGAGCAACCTTCAGTCAAGGAAGGAAGACCGACGTCTGTGGACATTTTCGGCGTGGTGAAGGAGGACTATCATAACAACCACAACGTCTCCGTCCTGGGAACTGATGGAACGGTCTCTACTAGGATCAGAGCGGCACCGTTGTATGCGGGATCGTCTGACATGTGCCGAGGCCGAGGTAGGGAGAGAGAGATATGCGGGTCTGAGAGGAAGCGACGTCGACGTGCTAGGATGCGCTGACTCTGCTTGATGTGAAGGCGTGCCCAAATCGTGGCATCTTTCATTTGAGCTTTCAAACCCTGGGCTTACGGAAATGCAATCTCATACCTTTTTGCCCTGTGCAAGTAGTTCACTGACCTTTGGTGGTAACACCATCTGACTACGATCGTTCCGCTTGAAGAACTCCACCAGTAAGCCCGCGATTTTCTCCGCCACGTCCTCCTGTACGAAATGTCCAGCTTCGGGGATCACAACGAGCTGAAATTTACCTTGCATCTGCCCAATCATCAATTCCCTATCCAGACGATCMGTACCCGCCAGAATCAAAAGTTTCGCTCCCCTTCCTGTGAGAAACTTCTGTGACAACCCCTTGAACCATTCTTCCCACCAGGGGTTCGTAGCTGCGAGATCTGTGCGCCATGTGAAACCTCCGTCACCATTTGGGACGAGGATGCTGGGAACACTAACTTCCGCACTTCTCTGATCTCTAATTGTGCGAGTTCTCGTGTGCCAGACGATAGCTTCATCCACGGACAAGAAGACTTTAGGCCTTGAGGAGAGGTAGGTTCTCATATGTCCTAATGCTTCGATTGCCGAACCTTCGACAACATCAAGAACGCAGTATCCAATTAGATTTGAGCCGAAAGAGCGGAAGTGCGTTGTTGAGAGGGTTGTGACGATTGCTCCGCCGAGACTGTGGCCTATCAGGATTGTGGGCGGAATTTGAGGCCAGGATTGAGAGGCTGTGGTTAAATGGATCATGGCTAGGGCGTCGTTTGTAAGGGCTTCCAGGCTAAAGTCAATGATTTCCGCGCCGAAAAGGTCTGTAACATGCGAGCCATGGCCGCGGGCTGAGAGGGAGAGAATTCCGGCTGTGGGGAGTTGGCGGCGGAGCTCGAGGGCGAAGAGGGCGAAAGATAGGGCCGAGGCTCCGGCTCCATGATGGCAGACGAAGAGGGGGTCTTTGGATGGGTTTTTAGGCGGACATAGATAGACGAGGTATGTGGCCTTTTGGGTAGCAGTTGTCTGTGTGAGGCAGAGTTCCTGGTCGAAATAGGCGGCCCACGGCTTGGCGGGGGCGGGCTGTTCGCGTGAGGATGGCCGAACTGTGGCGGCGCTGGCGGCTGATGATGCGGAGCTGTCTGAGGAGCTGCTGTGGTCATCAATGTCGGTCGTTGGCAGGTCGTGAGTGTTGTGTGGCAAAGGCCCAGGCCGGCTGATGGCCTCTGGGGAATCCGGGGTCATGCTTTGTCGGAAGAGCTGAGACATTCTGACTGCGTTTTTCCGCTTCCAGTTCCTTGATTCTTGGTTCTTGTAGATGTCGAGCCGGGGATAGCTCTGGGGGTATGGGGTGGCGAGGTGTACACGTCGCACGGAGAGCAATACCAACCTTGAAAGCGATGGGTGATTGCAGGCGAGACAGGGTAGCAGCGGTGTTGCGTCCGATGTGTGAGCTTCGCTTTTCACATGCCAGAGAGCTTCAGCCCGAGACTTCGGCACTTGTCTGGTCTGATTGTGGCTGGAATTCTGCAAAGTCTATTGAAGTGAACAGTTTTGGACGGCGCCAATCAATTGTTTGGCCCAGATTTGACAGATTTGACTCAGATCTGATCGCACAGGTCTACTTCCGGTCAATGCTTGCCGGCATTCCTTGCGTCGATCCTTTGCAGCTTGAGCTCCCGGCTTCACGTTTTGGAGTGGCTTGAGTTGAAGCTACAACTGGAACTGCATACTTCCTCATCCATCTGAACAAGCTTGATGCGAGGTCGACACACCTTGTTGGTCGCATTCAAGTCCGTCGTCATTGGAACCATCGAGGCGCAAGAAGCGGCGTGGCCCAGTTTTTCCCATTTACCTTTGGTTTTGACTTTGTGGCGCGTCATTGTTAGCGCGCCAAAGAGCTCTGGAACCATCGTCATGGTCGAACCTGCCCGCAGCCGGTACGGTCTTCCTGCCACTGCCACACCTCCTCACTTTCTGCAGCTACTGCCTGCAGCTGTCCCGCCGGTTCTCTTCGCTTCCATCTCCCCCAGACATTGTTCGTAGCAAGCCCCAGCAGGACGCTTCGAAAGAGTTCCGCGTCAAGAAAGAGGTCGAGCTGTGAGCATGAGCTCGCTGTGGGGAACGACGAAAAACACCGACGAGCAGACTACGCAGACCAGCAACGCCGGCACTCAGGTTCAAACCAGCAACAGCCACTCCCAAGTGTCTGGAGATTCAATGCGTGAGCCGACTGAAAGAGACAGGCTGCTGCCGGCGGACCGCCGCCGTGCACCGCACGCCGACGGCTACCTCGATCCCGATGACCCAGCGGTGAGAGACATTGCTAAACCATCAATGCCTCAAAGATTATGACTGACATTCGCAGGTCTCTCCATACAACCTGTGGACTGTCCGCTTCCTGCGCTACCTATCCATCCTCTTCCTCGCCATCACTTTCCTCTGGTGGGTGTTGCTGCTTGTGAGCATCTTCGTCTCGCCGCCAGGTCTGCACACGCGGGGCTCGGGCTTCTTCGACTTTGCCTACACATGTCTCACCATTGGCTCCTTGCTCAACTCGCTGCTGTTCTTCTCCGGACCCAGCTTGGCGATGAGAGTCAGCCAGGGTGTGCTTGCCGTCATTCTCCTGGTTGACGTTATTATCATCGTCTCGGTCCCCAGACTACGCGCCGAGGAGAGCGCTCCCGGAGTTGCTAGTGTTGTCTGGGCTACTCTCATCGCTGCCTTCTGTGTCTTCACCGACCGAATCGTGGCTTGGGGAAAGCGTGAGGAGGAGGAACGTCTTACCGGACGTCYAGAGACTCGTCGCACGCTCAAGGAATGGCTTGCCGTCCTCGCATCGACCATCATTCTGGTCGTTTACATCCTCATCACCGTCCTCATGACGGCGACTTTGATCCTGCGTAGCCTTGACGCTGGCCTTGCCCTGGACGGTGACCGCTACCCCGTTGACAGCGGCAAGTATGAGGTCCATTTTGCGTGCTATGGTAACACCACCACGGACAAGAAAGGCAGACGTACTCCTACCGTTCTTCTTGAAGCAGGCGAGGATCCTGTGGAATACAGCTTCGAGCACTGGGCGTACTCTGCTGTGAAGAACGGTACCATTGACCGCTACTGCTACTGGGATCGTCCTGGTTACGCTTGGTCCGACAATGCTCCATCGCCTCACAGCGCTGGTATGTCTGCTGAGAACCTCGCCGAAGTTCTTGCCATTACTGGCGAGCAGGGACCATGGATTCTCGTCTCTGCCGGCTATGGCAGTCTCGTGTCTCGCATTTTCAGCGCTAGGAACTTCCGCGAAGTCGCCGGTATCATGATGATTGACCCACTGCACGAGGACCTCCTCCATCGCATGGGATCACCATTCAATGGCTTTATGCYCTGGGCATGGGGAACTATCAGTCCCCTTGGAATCAGACGCATAATTGGCTCGCTCTTCATGGGCCAGACCAAGGAAGATCGTGTATTTGGACGCGACAACAGGCAGGGTGGAAAGATGATCAAGGTAGGCATTGATCGATTCATTTGAGCTCATCACATGAGACTGACATCATTCACAGGCCATGCTACAGGAGAACCTCGTTGCCAATTCCTTCACCAAGAATGAAGTTGCCACTGCGCGCACCATTCAAGCTGCAGACACCCCACTCGTGGTTCTCTCCTCCGGTCTTCGTATCAAGAGTGATAACGAATGGGCGGAGAAGCAGCGAGATCTGACTAACATTACTGGCAAGCTCATCAGCTGGGATGTGGTTCACAAGGCACCTCACGCTGTGTGGCAGACTCAGGAGGGTCGTGATCTGATGGRGAAGCGACTGGGTGAGATTGTCAAGGATCACCACAATGCGAAGAAGGGTGGCAAGTGAAGAGCTGCCATCAGAATAGTGGCGTACAGGACACGGATTGATGGATCAAACTGTAATGAGACAGCTGTGCAAGGTGTTAACAGGTGGACAAAGTGTGAAGTAACGTACATGTATGAGAAGTAATGTCAAAGCTCTCTAATTTCTATGATGTCTATCGTTATATATACTTCTGGTTACAATTATTCACTGTCATTCTGGCTTAAATATAGCTCGTGATGACGGAAATCGCTCAGCTATTTACAAGGCAGTCTTCACACTACAACTGCTTGATCAATGCACACGCTCATGCATCTCAAATGATTAAAAACGCCGGCTCAAGAATGCACTTTCAACAAACCCATCACCGTCTGTACGCCGACAAATTATTCTGCAAGACCTGGTACGCTCCTTGCCGAAAGTCATCCGCAAGGACTTCATTGCTCAACGCCAGCTGATGCAAAAGCTGTGGAGAGTTGGACTTCCACTGCGGCCATTTGATCATCGTTCCTCGCGGGCTAATAGTATTCGGATCAAGATGATTTACAAAGCTGATGTAGTGCGTTTGGATCGTGTCGGTAATAGGACCCGGGAGGATACCGAATGCGAACAATATATCGCTTGCGTGGAATGTCCCGAGGATTGGTGTGATGTGCAGATATGAGCCCAGATAGGACCAAGCCGGGACTTCGTCTGCAATGGCGTTGAGGTAGACTCTTCGCGTGAGTGTAAAAGTCAGGTCGCCGAGGACAGCTGCCAGACGTTTGAATTGCGGGTAGAGATTGTAGAGGATTCCTGTTCGGAAAGGAGACCCGTCGGGTTGGCCGAGAGGTTGGTCTGGGTATTGGTTGAGGAGAGTACGGACGTCTTCGGCGGCTGTGGGGTTTGTGGGGAAGTAGGTCGTCAAGTAATCGTTTACGTCTTGGTTGGTAGTTAAGTTTAATTGTGCTAGGGCTGTGGCTGTTCCCTCGTCCTCTTGATCGCCTATTATGACGGGTACGCGGGTGTAGGCGCCGCTGCTGATGGATGATTCTGGGGATTGCGAGAAGAAGGTTGAATCGTTGGGGTCTGGACGTGGGAGGTAGGAGAGGTCGACGCTTCGATAGCCGAAGTAGCTGGGCACTGAGGTTGCGGCGTCGAGGAATGTGGCATAGTCTACTTTTCGGAGGCAGGAGAGTGTGTCCTCGGCGGAGCTGCAATTCGCTTTGTTCACGACCGTCGAGTAGATATGCTTGGCCTTTCCTGTCCGGACATCCTCTACCGGGAATAGACTACCAGAGTTCATGATGGCTCCGTGAAAGAGTGGCTTGCCACGGTAGGTGTTGTCGCCACCATTGATCAAAGTATGATCGCACACCGAGACAGCACCCGCGCTCTCTCCCCAGATCGTCACCCTTGATGRATCTCCTCCAAAAGCTTCAATATTTTCTTGCACCCACTGCAGTCCCAGTCGCTGGTCTCGTAGGCCAAGGTTGGTGTTGCCTTCGTCGGCAAGCTCATCACCAGCCAGGAATCCGAATCCTCCTAACCTGTAGTTTACACTGACATAGATAATAGGCTGTGCCAGCTTCACAGAGCGCAATACGAGCGATGAGCCTGGATAGACTGGGGCAGCGCCAGCTACGAACCCTCCGCCGTAAATCTATAAGACGTTAACTTGTGTAGTTTCGGATGGTAGGATAATCATGTAGCTCACCCAGAAAAGTACCGGAAGTTTCGAGCCTGCAGTTGCAGTTGACGGCCGCACCACATTGATAGTCAAACAGTCTTCTCCAGAATTCGAAACTGCCTGGAAAGCTGGATTGTTCAACAGCTTGCCAATTGCATCCTGCGGGAGGTTGCCCGTATTGAACTGCTTGGCGAACTGAGGGCATGATCGCGGAGATTTCGTGGCATCGAACGTCCCGAATGGCTCTGTAATTGCTTGGGGAGCTCGCAGTCGTAGGTCACCGACCGGAGGTTTTGCAAATGGAATTCCTTTGAAGGTATCGGCGCCTAGGAAGGATGCGCCGATTACTGTTCCATTTTTGATTTCCACCTTGGGCCCTTCCAGGAGTCTGTTCGGAGCTGACCATGCCACGGAAACGAGCAGAGCGATCAGAGGCAGGGAGGACAACATCGTCGCAAACAATGTTTGTTGGCCTGGCTCAAAGCACACCCGGAATTGGAAGAAGAGGACCGCATTGCTATTAAGCAGAGCAACGAGATTTCCAGGCAGTTGTCATTTCCTGGTCCTCGGTAGCTGATCCTCGCGAGCCGCGAACGCACGAATGCATGTCCTGCTGAAAGAGCAACGTTTCGCAGTTGATCATTCACGAATCAAGCATCGCGGACGGATGGGACCGAAGTATTTTGGGGTGTAAATCTGCAGATCTGATGCATCCGACCAATACCTTTGCGCTTCGGGTTCACTCGCCCGGCACGCGTTTGAAGAACAGTGGTAGACGGGTGTATGCGCGTTTAGAAATTGCATCCATTCATTGCATTTCCTAGTTACTGAGGTGAGTGACTATATGTGAGCCCGCTGTGAGCAACACAACTCGGTTCATAAAGCTTCGTAGACTTATGAACACATCCGAGCTGCATCCGGCGGTTGTGAACCGATGGAGACTGTCATGTCCTTGCGAATCCTCTTCCGTTTGGCGATTGTAGCCCAGAGACTGATGGTTGAACCCCGCGGGCTGCAAGCTGACAATTTTCGATCGCTGCGAACTCACAACTTTGACGGCTGCTCCGCTTGGCCATGGTCGACTTCTCCGCACATGCGTGATCACACGCAGAGTATGCAGGTAGCGGTGTGCGAACGCTGCAAGCTTTTTCGATCGTCCGACATGCATCGTTATTTCTGTTGATCCGGTCTGTCCTCCACTTTCCTGAAGAAAGAAATGCACACCCCAGCATCTCCAAGCTCTTTCGCCTCTGTGAAACGCCGTTCTCATCGAAGTCTGTCTTCAGGTTTCAATCGATCCGTATGACGCCATTTTGGATTTGAGAACGCCCTGCGCCTGGTCGTCGATGTTGTAAAACGTTTTGGGTATCCGCGGGAAACAAATGTCATTTGACTTGATCAAAATATGACGTCGGCCAATCCATGGTCAATCCTTTGATGGTCTGCAAGCTCCTCTACAGAACCATATCTGTAGCCACAGGCCAAGCACTCGCCATCTGCCATCGAAGCAAAAGAAAGATCCCAGTGTGAGAACTGATCGTCCATGGAGGAGGAAGAATCGGGACTGCCCTTGCTTTCTGTGGGGCTTGCTGCCTGCGAAAGACTCGCGTGCTGTGTGAAGATTTTGGCATCCACTTGCTGCTGTCCAGGTCGTAGCATCAAGCTGGCCATGTTTACGGACTGCACATGTTGTTGTTGTGACGGTGCTGCGCGAGATCCATCCCTCTGCTGATAGTATGCCTGTGCGTTCATATTGTCTTGAGAATGCCTGGTTTGAAGAGCTTTGGGTATCACGGCTTCTTCAGGACAGTTGTCTTAGGAGAGGTCGAGGAGCTGGTTGTTCGTGGCCCTCAATTTTCAACGAGCTGGGTGTAATTGGTGTAAGAAGCGTCTGGACAATGATCACGTCGCGAGCTGTAGGGCAGTCTTTCCTCGTGCATCAAGAAATGACCTCGGGGCACGTAGCGTTATATTCCCCTCGACGAAACAAAAAATTGTCATCGTCAAGGCGCATACTGGATCTCCGTCTCACCAGTGAGCATCCAGAAGGCGTACGGCCTTTAGCGGAGCCAACCGGTAAAAAGCAGAACCATAAAGTGTAATGCCGTTCGCGCGCGTCCGAGAACGCCAAGCACGGTCTGGCATACGACCTTCTACTCGCGATACCCGCAGCATGGTCCGATGCGCGGTATGTGCATGACATAGACAGCAAAGTTACCGAAATCGGCACGTCTCCCAAGGGACGTGTGACCCCTCTCCATCATCGATTTCTCCAGATTTCTGGTCGTTGTGGCGTGTGGCTACAGAAGCTTAAACTCGTTCTTACGGTATGTGCAGTAGTGGAGGGGTATGTGCATGCTGTCGAAGAGGAGCACCTGACTATGCGACAACGTCTTCTCCTAGACGATATTGCTGTCACACCTTGTACATTGTTGATTCCGGTGCCGTGCCGGAAACGACGCAGACCACGTCCTCGTCACAATCGACGCCTTGCTTTCCCGCAAAAGTTGTTCTCCGGATCAGCATCCATGTCTGGGAACGAACTTGTGGCGCCGAACACGGTCCCCCAGGGGTCTGTGGGTCTGCAGTGTTCACTCGGCGGGCTGGCCGGCGATTGCCACGGCATAACGGGCAATGGTGTATCAAAAGTGGCAGTTGCTGTGTTGGGTTTGTGTGGATTACTTTCTGGTGGTGTCTGAGGTACCGGGAATTGCGGCGAAATTCGGGACTGCTTCGGCCTGAAATCGGGTTGGCACGACCACACCTGAGGAAACCTGAGCAGAGTCTGGGTACGAGCATACAGCATACTACCAAAACCATCGTCCTAAGACATTTAGGAAAATCTCACGTTACTGCGGTCGATATAATTAAGGGTCGCCGGTCTCTAATAGCAAGTAAGTCGTATAACGCACGCCTCGTAGGTAAAGACGTGCCTACTACCTACGCGGTAGAGCTTCGTACTTACTCTTCTAGGCGTACTTTATTATTCTTAGAGAGCGCGAATAGCACACTAGTCTACCGGCAATTCTCTTAGCCGGACTACTTTAAGGATGCACCCTTAAGATATAAGATACTTACTCTAGCCTCCCTTAGCGATAATAAAGCCGATATAGTAGCGCGTAATTTCCTAGATAGCAGCGTTAATATAGTCGAGCTTTACCGCACACTTCGAGAACGCTATAGCACCGTTAATTAGCGCCTTATATACGTTTCTACCTATATACTACGACCTAACTTAGAGGACATATAGATATATTCCCGGAGTTATACGATCCTCGTATATAAGCAGATGCCCTTAGCGGTAGAGGTATTAACGTAGCGACGCTATAACCCGCTAATAATGTGTATTAAGATTCTACTCGGAGTAACGAATTAGAGGACGTCTATATAGCTAAATCTCTTATATAGTAGGATCGAATCTATACGGAGAAAGAGTACTAGTTTTAATACTTCGGGCCGAGGAGTCTAGGAGCTAGGTTGCTTACGAGAGAATAGATTATAAGAATTAATATTTTACTAGCGAAATTTAATTCTTGCGTTCTATAGGGACTGCTCTACCTATACGCTTTAACTAGATATTAAGGTTAAACGCGCCGTTATTTAAGTCTATAGGGTTTCCGGCGTACTTAAAAGTGTAGCCCTTAACGATTTCTTCCTAGTCTCTATTAGCTACACGTATTAAGTATAGTCGCGGTCGATAAGCCTTCGTTTCGTAATATATAAGTTTAGTAGTAGCGATCTTATCGAGAACTTCGAATATAGATCCTTAAACGATAGCACCTCTAGGCCCGTCTACTAGAGCAGGATATTAACCCTATAATTTTAGAGAGTAGCCGATTACTTAGGCTCGTCTTAGAATAGGCACGTAGTCTAATTATAGGACTTCGCTTAATATGCCTAGATTTTAAAGCGTACCGTAGAAGAAATAGAGGCTAGCCGGAGAAGTTAGATTATCCTACGTAGACTTTTCGGTATACCCCTTAAAGGCCTATCTAGGAGGTGCGTAGCGGACCTTAAGCATAATAGATATCTTCTCCTTAGGCTTCTACGGTAGGAATAGAGGGGTAGGCGGGATACTTATATTCGAGGAGTCCGCTATCTTAGCCTCTTCCTTTATCTCGCCTCGCTAAAGTAAGCCGAGAAGTTTAAGTAGGTATATAAAGGTTCCGGAGCTATAACGACAAAGCCTAAGGTAAAAGTAGAAGGGGGCTAGTTACCGAGCTAGTTTAAATTTAGCTTAGTACGGCGTGCCTACTAAAGGTAAGGTAAGTACGGGATAGTTCTCGTCTTCTTCTTCGTCGATTACGGATCGTAATTTTGCATCGATAGTTTAATAACCTAACTATAGTATAAGGGAGTAGCTAACCGATCGTATAGCRCTACTTACATTCTAATCTCGAATACGTAGCTGTCTTTTACCGTATAGATTAGTATAGCTATATCGTTATATCGCTATTAAACTAACCTATTATTATAATTAAGAGATATAGTCGTGTATTAAATAGTAAGTTAAGCTATTAATAGGGCTCTAGACTATTAGAGTATCGCATCTCCCCTTTAATGCTTACTAATTAGCTCGAACTAAATAGTAATCTTATCTTCTAAGGAACCCGGTATATACGGTCCGGCTTTCTTCGCTTTAACGACTATCGAGAAGTTAGTATATATCGTCGCTAAGATAGCTCGTAGGACTTCCGTATATATTAGCTATAATGTCCTTTTATAAAGGTGCATATTATATAAAGTATATACGGGCTTAAGACATACGATACTAGGTAAGAGTAGTATTAAGGCAGATCCGACTTCCGCCTCTAAACGCCTATAGAATAGGAGCTTTACTATCCTTAGAGTCTATCTCTAGCTATCTTTTAGGCTGCTACTCGTCGATAGCCGGAACCGTGTTAGGGTTCCGATAAATAAACTACTAGAATATATTAACTCTCGTCCCCGGTAGGATATTATTAAACCCCGCGAGAGACACGGGCCGATCTCCGGGAATAATACGGGGGAGTAGTATACTAGTAGGACGTATACGGAGCGACTCTTTAATAACCGCGGATAGATATAGTAGCTTATCTAAGGTTCCTAGAGGTAGTAGTCTCGGCGTAGGTAAGTCGCTACGTCCCTCCTTATTCTTATTTACGGAAGAGCTATAGCATCGTATACTAGGAGCTAAGAATGCTAGTTCGTCCCGTAGTTTTTACTACGCCTAGCGATTTTAGGATATATAATAGATAGTATATACGAGCATAAGCCCTAGTAGCTATTAGCATTATCTATAATTTTTATAGCCGTTAATATAATATATTATAATCTAGGTTTTGCTACTTACCTAGAACCTCGCGAGCTCTAGCTACAAACTCGTTAGTACTAGTAGTTATAGGAGGGAGAAAATTATACGTATATATATAGTCGAACAGCTCGCTCGTAACTTCCCTTTACCTAGCCTTATAGCTTTTATTAGGCATTTTAGCCTATACTCTATCCTTAAGCAGCTAGTATACGATCGGTATATTACCTAGCCGTCTCCGTAATTTAGCCTTTACTAACTCGTAAGCGCTATCCGCCCTATAGCATATCTAAAGGAGCTAATTCTCTAGCGCTTTCGTAGAGCTAGCTTAGCTTTAAGGGAGCATATTAATGCTAATACGTCTTAAGTATCGTATTATAGTAGGCAGCTCTTAAGGCTAAAACGCTTAATTGTAGTATTACTACTTATAGTATAGAAGCTATAGGGTAAGACTGCTTAGATAGTCGAGAAAGTTAGAACCTAATAAAAGTCCGAATTAGAAACACGTTAAGAGATCTAGACTTAAGGTATAGCTTAAAGAGAGAGCATTAGTCGTAGCTCCCGACGTTGCTTGTCTTTAGAGTATCGGTATTAATCTCTAGAATAGTATAGAATGTGTTATCGATAATAGTAGCTCGGACGCGAATATAGCGGGCTTTATATATATAGCAGTAGTACGTTCCCGTCTTAAAGAGTAGTTATACTTAGTTTTACTATAGAAGGCGTTAGTGTTTCTAAAGTAGGTAAAGAAATCGTAGTAATTATACTTCTTAAAGTTGCCGCTATAGATAGTTTTAGTTCTATCCTTAATATAGCTAACGGAAAGATCGGCTAGTCTAACTCTTAGTATAGGACCGAGTTATCGATGCTTAGTCGTAAGGATTGCTAGTTCTAGGCCTTTATAGCGCGTCTATAAAATATAAATAGACGATATTCTAGAACTCTAGTAGGCATTTAGTATACTATCTAAAGAGGACTATAAGCAAGAGGTAATTAGCTAGTAAATAATAAGCATGTTTAAGAGTATAAGTAGATAATATAGACCGTTAATATCCGGAATGCTTAATATCTTACTTCCTCGCGATACTAGTAAGGGCATACGTAATAGACTATTCTTCTAGATAGTCTAGCTTCTTAAGTCTTATATCTACAAATAGTAGGATTAATCGAGGTACCCTATCCTTATATCCTATACCCTATATATACTATACTATAAAACGTAGGTCGTTAGTTAGTATAACTAATCCCTTTTAACTATCTAAAGCTATACCCTTACTACTTATACTTCCCCCTTCTCTACGATCTTTACGACTACGATCCCCGGTAGAGGAACGTGCGCGTTAGTTAGATTTCCTATAAAGCTGCTATATAAAAGACCTAGACCGTAGAAGTAACTCCCCGGAGTAGGCCTTAGCTTCGGGATCTCGTTAAAGGCGTAGGGAAGTAGCTAAACTATAGTATATTACTCTAGACCTAATAGCTCTAGCTATAGTATAGTAACGAAACGTACTATACTGCTTATTTACGGAGTCTTCTATTTAATAGTTAGAGTATAATGCCTAAAGACCTAACTTGTAATATTCTATCGACTATTATCGGTACCCTTAACGTATATATACGACGGGCTACGGGAAACCCCGCCGGGCTTAGAATATCCCGTCCCTTTATCTTCGCCCGTTCGCGAGCTAAGAGGAAGCGACCGTCCCCCTCTTTACTCTATTTAGCTATAAAGGTTATAGTCCTATTTTATTACATATACGCCGCTTTTTTCTACTATAAAGCCTTAAACCTTATACCTTCTAGTACCTATTATAAGATGTTAGCTAAATTAAAAATATTTACGCCGGGGCATATAGTCTTTTTAATACTAGACGACTACTCCGAAGCGGTTATATAGGCAAATATATTAAGTAGAGAAGAATCTATAAGGAGCGTAAGGATGTCCGCTAAGAGACCTCCCGCGATTACGCTAATATTAACGCCTACTAACCGGTTATACCGCGGTAAAACGGACTATTAGTAGAAGTTTACCGCTAAATAACTTAAATATACTAACTTAATAGCAACGAGTTTCCCGCGGCTAAATTTAGAGTAGTAAGCGGCCTTCGCTTTAGTAGGTGTTCTCGGTTTATTATTTATAGAAAGAGACCTAGTAGGGTATATTAGTAGCGTTATAGAAGGATTTGTTGCCTACTTATAGTATAACCGCGATCGCGTGCTTATACCGCTATAAACTATCCCTTAATTACGGCGGAAATGTCTAACCGTTATATATAGCGACCTCGCGAGGACTTAGTCCTACGATCTAATCCTATCTTATATATCCCTTATCTAGGTCGGTACTAAGTTTAAAAAGCGTAAAAGCGATCTCTAACCTACCGTCCTTATAAGCATAGTATAGCGGAGTTCTACGTATAAATTAAGCCCGTAAAGGAGCGGACTATACATCCTAGTATAAGATCTCGTCGACGGGCTTCTTATATTAATATAGAAGGCGAATAATACTCGTAGAGTCGTTTATGTCTATACGCCGCGTAGTATAGTAGACAAGATGCCCGTTTTAGCTATTCTCGGCATACTAAAGCAATAGCTCGACTACCGAGATAGAAGATCGAGCGACAGCGATAGAAAGTGCCGTAAAGTCGATGTCGTAAGTAGCATTTGGGTTAGCTCCTACCTATAGTAGCTAGTATATAAGCGATACATCGTAGAGAGCGGCGCTATCTTCTATTAGAGTAATATACACTTGTACAAATATAACATACCTTAGGACAGGCGGCTCGGTATTGCTTAAAGCTTTGTTTATATCCTATCCAAGTGCAAACAGTATGTCGAGGAAGGCGGTCGCAAGTAGTAGCGGGAGCGCTGCTGCTTCCTTTACTGCTCTTCCATCTACAGGAACGTTATGTTCTAGCAACGTTGGGAAAAGCAGCTTTAGGAGGTCGTGTTTGCGAGAACGGACCATATTCGGCAAGAGATGCGATAAAGCCCACTCCGCTTTCATCGAATGTTTGGCTGGTACCGCTGGGCTAAGATGGTACGTAACTCTTTGCAGCACTTCTTCTAGTGAGTCGAATTGGATTGCCTCAAGAAGGACRTCGTAGAGTGAAGGTGGAAGAATAATTGTGTCCATTGCTGCTGTGCTGCTGCTAGAAGATGTCGATGAATGTTCGTCCTGGCGCATGGTTTTTCGCAGGCCAGGCAAGATTGTTGTGTGGTCGCAGAGGCAGCACTCCCACCCCAGAGTTGACAGGGAGCAAAGAACTTGGCTTCCTTCTGGTTTTCTAGAAGTGTAAGAAGATAACATGTTCCCATTTCAATACGATTGATGATTGCACCATGTCTAGCCTTGTTGTGTGTGCTTCGCTCCTGCTACTCTCCACATCGGAGTATTCACGTTCGGGACGGTTCGCGTGGACTCTCCAGGGTCGACGGAATAGCTCCAGACTGTGAGCAGAAGTCAGATGAGCGCGTCCGGTGCGTGTCAATGCTTTGGGCGGGACGATGTTCTGGGGAGAATGCGTCATGTGAAGTCCAGACTCGACGACCTCGGTGAGGGTCATCATCATAGAATTCTTGCCCCGCCATGCACTAGACGTATGTACCAAGAAACTGTCTTGGTGAAAACGACGATGCGGAACCGTCCTTGACATACAACCATTTCCAAGGCGACAATCTTTCCTCCATCGTAGTTTCATCGGAGTGAAACTGAGCGAACAGTTCTAGCCAAGAGAAGGAGTTCATCGCAACGAAGAATCCGCCCAACCCCACCATCGCAATGGCCGACTTCGAACCTCTCAAGAACGATCTTCTCCTGCGCACCGCCCGAGGCGAGAAGGTCGAGCGCCCGCCATGCTGGGTCATGCGTCAGGCTGGACGCTACCTCCCCGAGTACCATGAAGAAAAGGGCAGCCACGACTTCTTCGAATGCTGCCGCAGCCCAGAGATTGCCTCCAACCTCACATTGCAACCCATTGACCGCTTCGAGGGCCTCATCGATGGCGCCATCATCTTCTCCGACATCCTTGTCATCCCTCAGGCTATGGGTATGGAGGTCGTGATGCTCGATGGAAAGGGTCCGCATTTTCCCAATCCTCTCGAGAGCCCCGAAGATCCCCAGTTCAAGGAAGTCATGGATTTGAAAGTCGATGTCAACGAGAGTCTGAAGTATGTGTATGAGGCGATCACCATGACACGGAGAAAGCTCAAGGGTCGCGTACCATTGTATGGGTTCTGCGGTGCTCCGTTCACTTTGATGTGCTACATGGTCGAGGGTGGTGGAACGAAGGTGTTCAGGCATACAAAGACGTGGATATTCCAGTACCATGCTGCAGCAAAGCAATTGTTGCAGAAGATCGCGGAGCTGTGTGTCGACTATCTTGCTCAGCAAGTCGTGGCGGGTGCACAAATCTTGCAGGTCTTCGACAGCTGGGCGGGAGAATTKAGCCCAGCTTCTTTCAAGGAGTTCTCGCTGCCTTATCTGGTTCACATTTGTGACAACCTGCCCAAGAAATTAAAAGAGCTGGGTCAGGAGGTTGTACCAATGGTGGTCTTCGCAAAGGGTGCCTGGTATGCACTAGAGGATCTATGCAAAACAAACTACAACGTGGTGGGGCTCGACTGGCTACACGACCCCAAGGAAGCATACGCGGTTGCACAGAAGTACGGAAAGGTCGTTCAGGGCAATGCCGATCCTGGCGTTCTCTACGGCGGTCACGAAGCCATCACCRAGGTCGTGACGGAGATGGTGAAGGGCTTTGGTGGTGGAAAGCAGGGTTGGATCGCAAACCTGGGACATGGTATGTCGTATGCTCTCATGCTAACGACCTTTGCTAATCAACCACAGGTATCACACCTTGGGTGAAGCCGGACGACTTGAAGTTCTACTTCTCCGAGATTCACAGACTCAGCGGTAATTGACTACTTCAGGCCTCGAGAAGGCGCATACCAACCAATCTATAGATCTTCATCAGAAAAACTCTTTCCCCAATCTCAAGGACCTCAAAGCCGCGGAGGATACGATGCATCACCGGAATCTGCYCCACGGGGATTGGTAGCCACATGAGAGGTATAGTCATCGAGACGAGGACACTGCACTCAGCTCTCTCCGATATCTTCGTTCCTGCGGAAACGTTCCTCACGGTCAGCCAAATTCCTTCAGCCTCGCATAATCACCCACCAGTCTTCGGGATGATCTTCAATGAATTGCTTCATCAACTGCTCGCACTCGGCGGACTTGAGATTCACAATCTCAATGCCSCGTTCTTTCAGCTGTGCTTCGCCTCCGACAAAGGTGTTGTTCTCTCCCATCACCACACGTGAGACTTTGTACAGGATACACGCTCCTGTACACATGTCGCAAGGTGAGAGTGTCTGTACGACGACATCACAGGGTTAGCAGAGGATTGCAATTGTTGATCGAGACTGAACGTAGCGCGGGGGGAAATGATCTCCCTCGCAGCCTCTCGCTCTTCATTTTCTTACCGTATACWTAGTAGAGCCTGAGTATGCAGATGCAGGGAGGCGACCAGCAAATTCCAAGCAACTCATCTCGGCCTGGTTCATATTAGACTACGTTTCCAAGTACGCACAGTGCAACAAAGATGGGCACCTTCAACATACATGCAGAATGGCGCTGTTCCGTTGCACTCGCAAGTTGTGTCCACGGCCTATGATCGATCCATCCGCTGCGACTAAGCAAGCTCCTATGGGAACCCCCCCTTCGCTCGCACCTTTTTTGGCCTCCTCCAATGCAATCTTGAAGCCCTCGTCACTGACTGACATACTTCCGGAATGAGTTCGATGTACCTTGATGGGCTTTGGTAAGGTTTCACGTGAAGAGCAKAGCTTGCCCGGAAAATTGACATGTTTGTGCCGATACCGCTCCGACGTTTGAGTTTGAAGTTTGAACTCTGGGGTTAAACTTTAAACACCATGTGAGATGCCAGCGAACAATGATACCTCTTGGACCGCAATCCATCCAGCTTCGACCCTTCTGTGCTCATGACATTTGATGCTCGCGAACTCAGGATCACGGAATAACGAACAGAGTGCTTGAAACACAATCGCGTGAGCTCAATTGCTATCGCTCAGGGCACACGCGCGTCATCGCTTCCCTTCGCGCAGCTCCGGTCTGTTTCTTGACCTTGAATCCACCCCTCGCTTCTCTTCACACACACGCACCTATCCGAGACGACAAACACGGCATCGTCAGATCTGACGGCGATTGGGAAGATATAGGCTTCGGCCTGAGACAGCCGCAAACAGAGACACAGCGTCGCCGTCACGATGGATCCTCAGGGACCACACCGTAGCTGGCCTCCGCAGCAAGGCGCAAGTGCGCATGGCGAACAGCAGAGTCAGAGTCAGCAGAATCAATCACAACCACCGCGTCAAGGACTGAACTTTGGGTGGGTATCTCTCTTGTGGAGTGGAGGAACATGCCTCAGCAGAGCGTTCTGTTTCGTCTTCAACCCTCTATCCTTTCACATGCAACACTCAGCTAATCATCGCGTTGGTCTCACAGAGCCGGGACGGCACAGCAACACCAGTCTCCGCCATCCGCTCCCAGCAATCTGCCCGCCCCAGGCGCGCCTTTTCCTTCATTCCACCAGCCGGCGCATAGTCTGGCCAGTCTGGCGGGCATCAGCCAGGCTTCGCCGAGACAGCCTGTCCCACCGCCGCATCGCCAAGAAGGTCAATCTCAAGGCCCGCAAGGTCAAGGACCGCCCCCGCCCGCTCAGGGTTTCGCATTGCCCGGACTGTCCCAAGCCACGGGTCAGGCCGATCGTGACCGCGAACGTGCGCGTGAGGCGGATCACATCCACATCAAGGAGGAGGAAGATCGGCGACAACGTGRGCGCATGGATCAGGCGCCTCAACACCAGTCGCAGTCGGGTCCTCCTCCGCATCTTCACCAACCCGTGGCGGTGGGTCCGCGCACTGTTCACGGGCCCAACGGTCTCCTGAGCAATCCTGGATTGGGCGGACAACCACAACCCTCGCATCTCCCACTCGGTGCCCCCACTGGCCCAGCTAACATCTTCGCCGGTGGCCCCGTTCAGCCTGCGCAGGGTCAGCAGATGCAATCGAATCTACTCGCGCCGTACAATCTTGGCACTCCTGCGCAGCCCGCTGCTCAACAGCAGCAGCAGCAGAATATGGGCTCAAGTCAAGCACAAGGGCAAGGTCCGGGACAACAGCCAATCCTCAACGATGCGCTGAGCTATCTCGATCAGGTCAAGGTGCAATTTGCGGATCATCCAGACGTTTACAACCGCTTCTTGGATATTATGAAAGATTTCAAGAGTGGGGCAATCGATACACCTGGCGTTATTGGCAGAGTCAGCACTCTCTTCGCCGGAAATCCTCAGCTCATCCAAGGCTTCAACACATTTCTGCCTCCTGGTTACCGGATCGAATGCGGTGCTGACGACGACCCTAACGCGATTAGAGTCACCACTCCGATGGGCACCACAGTGCAGTCCATGCCGCAGCCTCGCCCGCTCAGCAGACAGGACGGTCCTGACAGCAGCAGCAGACCTGCAAATGGCACCTTCACTCCACAGCCCGGCGCTCAGAGCGCTCAGATGATGTTCAGTCCGACCGGCCGCCCGATGGGACCTGCTGCATCTGGCCAGCCGCCGCACCACTTGTCGCCACAGGAGCAACAACGCCAGCAAGAGCAACAGGCGATTCATCAGCAGGAGCAACGCGGCGTCAACTCATTGCAGAGTGCTGCCGTGGCCGCCGCGGGAGGTGCAGGCGGGCATGGCGGTTCTCCTCGCGCCACGCCCTTGCCTGGACAAATTATTGATGGCATCACTGCCGATGCTCCTTCGCAACCGGGAATGGAGAAGCGGGGACCAGTCGAATTTAACCATGCCATCAGCTATGTGAACAAGATCAAGGTAAGCGTTCGAAATGCGAGTTGATTGGGGACAATAGCTAACAAATTACTCCACTTGCAGAATCGATTTTCCGCCCACCCAGATATTTACAAGCAATTCCTCGAAATCCTGCAGACCTATCAGCGCGAGTCCAAGCCCATCCAGGACGTGTACAGCCAGGTGACATTCTTGTTCAAAACAGCACCGGATCTATTGGAAGACTTCAAGCAGTTCCTACCCGAGTCGGCCGCACAAGCAAAGGCCGCCGAGCGCGCGCGACAAGAAGCAGAGGCCAACGTCATGACATCCAATATTCGCGAAGGTCGCTATGGTAGCCCCGTGGCTTCACGTGAGCAGCCCGCGGGCACACCAGGACACGGTCAGCGCATGCCGCCGGTCGGAAACTTTGCGCCAACACCAGCGTCAAAGGACGTCAAGCGAAAGCGCCCTGGCGAAACTAGAAATCAAGACGGTGGCATGAACGGAGCAGGCGGCTCCAAAGTACAGCAGCTCACTGGCCAGCCCACCAAGAGGCAGAAACCCAACCAGGGCGCTCCCAAGGCTTTGACAGATCAGCCGCCGGTTTCTCCTACTCTCATTCCCGATCTCCCTGCACCAATTCAGCCTACAACCACGTCTGCTGCGACTAGCGAAGAACTGGGTTTCTTTGACAAGGCCAAGAAGGCCATCGGCAACAAGAATGTCATGAATGAATTCCTGAAGCTGTGCAACCTCTTTAGCCAAGACCTCATCGACCGCACCGTCTTGATGCACAGAGCAACAGCATTCATTGGTGGAAACCCTGATCTCATCAAGTGGTTCAGAGAGTGGCTTGGCTATGACGAGCGGGATATCCTGGTTGAGAACAAGCCTCGTGTGCCGAGTGGCAGGATCATGCTCAGCAATTGCAGAGGACTCGGCCCCAGCTACCGCTTGCTGCCGAAAAGAGAGAGGCAGAAACCTTGCAGTGGCCGTGACGAGCTATGTAATTCCGTTCTCAACGATGAATGGGCATCGCACCCAACATGGGCGTCTGAGGATTCTGGGTTCATCGCACATCGCAAGAACATCCATGAGGAGGGCCTGCACCGGATCGAGGAAGAACGGCACGACTATGACTACAACATCGAGGCGTGTAGCCGCACAATTCAATTGCTGGAACCTATTGCGACACAGCTGAGGCGTATGGACGATCATGCGCAGCGTCAATACACCCTTCCTCCTGGGCTCGGCGGACAGAGCGAGACCATCTACAAGCGTGTCATCATGAAACTATACGGCCGCGAGAAGGGCGCTGAGGTCATCGAGTCGCTCGTTGCGCGTCCGTATCAGGTCATTCCAGTCCTTCTCAACCGGCTCAAGGAGAGGCTCGAGTCATGGAAAATGGCTCAGCGCGAGTGGGAAAAGGTCTGGCGGGAACAGACTCAAAAGATGTTCTGGAAGTCTCTTGACCACCAGGCTGTCATTGCAAAACAGAACGATCGACGCCAGTTCCAGACCAAGACCTTGCTGGCCGAGATTGTAGTCAAGCATGAAGAGATGAAGCGCGCCATTAACCTCAACCCGGCCAAGGCAAGTCAACCACAGATGGAGTTCACCGTTGACGACCCCGAAGTTCTGCTTGACACAACCTACCTGGTTCTTAGCCATATTGAGAGCTCGCTGTCGACGGAACAACCGAGACTTTTCGCCTTTATCAGAGATTTCGTGCCGCTATTCTTCGGTCTCGACGCCGAGAGCTTCAGAGCACAGATCAACTCAAGATTCGACCATTCGCCAAGCAACGAGCTTGCTGATGAGGATGCTTCCGGTGGCGAAGACTCCGCCTCTGTCAAGTCGCGTAAGGGGGGTGCAGTTAAGAACTCCAACCTGCTACGCGCGGCCCTGATCGGTGGTGGCAGGGGAAGAACACCTCGCAAGGATCGAGAGGACAGTAATGCATCCGGAAGCCGCGCGTCCTCGCCTGACGGGTCTGCCAACATTGCAGATGAAGAGCCAGCGGCAGAGTCTGTGGAAGATCCGGATGCCCAACATGAAGTCGGAAATGGACGATGGATGGAGCATCCCACGACTGGCAATCCATCAACCACCAAGGCCAATGTGAATCCAAACGAGCCACACAACCGCACGCACTACCGTCTCTGGGCCAACACAACGATATACTGCTTCCTCCGTCTTTTCATGATGCTGTACGAGCGTCTGCACAAACTGAAGACGGCCGAGGCAAAAGTACGAGAAGCTGTTCAGAACGCGAAGAGAGTCAAGCCCGCTGTCGAGCTCGGGATTGTCGACAAGCTGCCGGCCGATTTCTTCCACGATACCAGCGATACTGCCAACTACTACAGCCAGATGCTGCAGAAATTCGACGAAGTCCTGAAGGGTGAACTCGAGTTCGTTGAGGTTGAAGATGCGCTGCGTCGCTTTTACCTGCAGTCCGGATATCCTCTGTACCCGTTTGAGAAGATAATCGGCACATTGGCTCGCGATGCAATCTTGGTAATGAACAGCGACAGCAAAGAGAAGTCTGCGGAAATCCTTCATTTATTCAAAAAGGACCGAATCAAGGAGACGACTACGGCGCAGCAGACATCAGACTACCGCAAATCAGTCGAGAAGATGGTAAAGGATGCTGAGCTTTTCCGGATTGATTTTGTAAGTCCCAAGATGATGAACATGGTAGACACCTCAAGTCGTCCTCTAACAGCAGCCGCGCAGGACCAGCTCGCCAACAAGGTCCGCATCTTCCTCACAAAGAAGGAAGATGTTATTGGCGACGACGGCCTTTCAGTCCTCGACCGCGAGAATCGCTGGCGCCACTACATTGCCTCCTTCACGTCTGTGGACAACACGGAGGGCATTGACATTGCTCATGTGTCGTATCCATTCCTCATGCGCAACATCAAGGCTTATGGGGCCGATCCACGATCCGAGTCATTCCCTCCCGCAGCCGCCGAATCATTTCGCAGCGCCATCGCCGACAAGTCTCGTTACTTGGATGTGAAGAACGAAGAAAAGCTGTCCATTCGAATTGCTGTCAACAACTTCAAGCCTTTCTTCCAGGCAGGGACATGGGAGAGTTGGCACTCCAGCCTTCTGGACCGCACCAACGGCGAGGCCGGGGTTGAGTTGGCTCTAGAGACCACTGGCCATCGAGATGATACCATGATCTCTCTGTCGCAGAGTCAGAGCGAGGGCTCAGATGGGGTTTTTTCACAATTGGTACAGGGCGATGCTGTCGCCATTGATGATAAGATGGATGTTGAGTAGTAAGTACTCTTACATACTCAGGCGGCGTTATAGGGCACGGCGTTATAGGGCATCATGGGCCAGGCGTTTTGGCAATCAGACATAGCGCGTGCTCATGTGCATTTCAGAAATCAAGTTACCATTATACTCTTTTCTCGGGCTGGAGTGCCACATGCATATCCTCTACTCCATCTCACTCCGATGAACCGGAGGACTGTCAAGCATGATGGGATGCCGACATCGGAGTGTGCCGGGGTGAGGAGCTCTGGACATATAGACAGCTCCACTCCGTAGCGATGAGACATGTGTTGATCTTGATTCGAACAGCCGGCACGAACTTGATCTGTTTTGCTCTTGAAGCCCACTCAGCACTGCCATCTACAGTCTGGAAACCTGAAAACACAACACTCGCAACACTGAGCGCTTCCAAGGCAACGTATGTGGCTCGTCAGATCGTGAAACGGCATATTCAACTATCTGGACGTCTTCTTGAGTCTATTCGCCGCGACGCTCCGCCTGCATCCCGGTTCAGTATGGCAGCATCCAGCATTAACAAAAAGGACCACTGGTCTTCAGAGGCCTACAGCTCAGCAGCTGGTTTCGTCCCGAAGCTTACTACTACCGTAGTCTCCTATTTGGACCCACAAGCCAATGACACCATTCTGGACATTGGCTGTGGAGATGGTGAACTCACTGCTCAAATCGCCAAATCTGCAGGCCGTGTCCTCGGCGTCGACGCCTCAAAGTCGTTTATCAGCTCTGCGAAAGAAAAGCACGGAGCGCTCTCTAATTGCTCGTTTATACTCAACGACTCAACTCAGCTACAAAGCTGTCCAGAAGCTTTGACGGGGAAGTGGGACAAGGCATTTAGTAATGCGGCTATGCATTGGATTTTGAGAGAGCCGTCTACTCGGGCCGCTTTCTTCGAGAATGTCCACAAAGCGTTGAAGCCTGGAGGGAAGTTTGTCTTTGAGATGGGCGGCAAAGGGAACGTGGCGGAGATCCATACGGCTGCTACGGCGGCTCTCTTGCATGCGGGTGTGCCACTGGAGCGTGCTCGTGAGGCTAGTCCTTGGTTCTTTCCCAGTACGACGTGGATGAGTGCTGCTTTGGAGGCAGCGGGATTTGAGGTGGAGAAGTGTGAGACGGAGTATCGTCCTAGCTTGCTTACCGCGGAAAAGAAGGATGGGAGTGGTGGAATCACGGGCTGGGCGAGGCTCATGTGTGCTCAGTTCCTGGAGGCGGCGCCTGAGGAGAAGCAGGAACAGGTATTGAAGGAGATTTGCGATGTTATCGAGACTGTCATAACAAGAGAAGAGGATGGCAGCAGATATTTGGGTTACGTCAGGCTGAGGGCGGTTGCGAAGAAGTCGTAGATGCAATGTAGTTGGGACTGAATCTCTACCACCTCATTCTGTGTCGACATTGGATAGGTTCGGGATATATACGCTTTTTTAGCTCTCGTCAAGCAGCGCACAGGCCATGCCGACCGACATCACCGAAATGAAGTTTGAAGACAGAAGCAACTTTTACATCTACCACACGAGCAACGGGGATCGATTATGGGCGATACAGAACGTGGATACAATGACTGTCCATTCCCAGATGTTGCAGAATTATTGCGGCCATTCATCAAGCCCAGGCAAGAGATCTCCAAGACAAGGCAGGAGCTCCAGACACATCTCCCACTTTCCGCGTTGAATGTGGCACTACCTTCGGAGAGAGTCAACGCCTCCGCGCTTGGAGGCGTACGCAAGGCTTACTGGAGAGCTTTACAAGCTCACAATGCCGCTCAGGCGAAATACGATGCGCTGAAGGCTGATATTGCCCAACTCAACAATGAGCCTTCAACATTTCCCGACGCTCAAGACAGCTCAGCCTTTCTGACGGAGTGCTATGTGCCGCTGATACGTCAGCGAGAGAGGCAACGAAAACTCATCGCACTGGAGAATGCCTTCGCTCGCACGAAGTCATGTGGCGGTGATGCGATTGGAGAGTCCTTCGACAAAGTCGCGAAACGGGAAATCGGCGAATTGCCTGGACCACCTTCTACTTCCGCTTTCCCAGAGCATGAATCTGAGTCAGGATCCGACTATGATCTTCACAAGCTGAAGAAGGCTATCCTCACGACCAAACAGCAACTCCAGCAGCACGAAGGTAAAGCGACTAGCGTTTTAGGAGTCAGTCCTGATGAGATCGATCCGCGTGCAGACCTTCGAGGCTTACAGAAGGCGCATCTTGAACTCACAACTTGGATGGAAACCCAACTTGCTATTATAAGCGATGTGGAGATACCTAAAGAAGGCGACACAGTTGGATCCGCGAGTCCTAGGTCTATTGATGGCGGACAATTCTCCGCTCGAGATATCGAAGCCTTATACGATCAATATTTGGACGCTAGGGAAAGGCTGCTCCAYCTTGTCTCAAATCCACCCGCGCAGACTCAGACAGAAAATGATGAGCCCTTGGGAGGCGCACAACGCATCACAGAAGCGCTTGATCTCGAGCAGCAGGCAACAGCATCCGAAGCATTACTCCCTCACCTATCCGGACTACTGTCGTTGAAGCAACAAGAGCAGGCCTTGCTGCAGCAGAGCGCTTACACAAGACGCCAAATCGCATCTGCAGAGTCGCACTCTCGTGCCATCTTGACTCGTCTCGCGGATGAGAGCCATCTGTTACAGCCCGATATCAACCGCGCATCGCCGAGGGGCACGGATTGGGCGAAAGCTGCGACAGAATCCAGTGCTGCAACTTCAAAATCCTCGATGCAGCGATTGCAGTCTGGCCAGAACTCCACTGATGCAGCTGAGACGGTGCTGCGGGCGATTAAGAACATGCCCGAATCTGTTCATGCTTTACTGTGATGGTAGATCAACGTTACGTATCAAAGTATTCATATGGGGGAGTTCGAAGAACTGATGTTCCAACCGTTCCTTCTCCAACGCGGTGCTTCTCTGTGGGGCTCGAAAGCGAGTCCACTTGCGGCCGTAGGTATCGTTTTAGCAGACGCATGCCACGTAAAGTAGATGTATGCTGTAGAAATCCGCTGTCTGGACTGTCGCCTCGCGAAATCCTAACCATGGGCCAACTCCGCTTGCCGTTTACAGTGGTATGTGTGTGTTCCGACAGTGACAAGTTTATGATTCGGAGACTACAGAAGGAGTCCTTGCCGTCGTCATAGGGTTAGGGTTGGGGTAGTACCCAGCTCTCGAATTGGGTACACGCGACGACGGGAAGATGAAGGTCGGTGGCCTACAACATCGTTCGGGTTTCCCTGCAGAAGTCTTGTCATGGTTAGGGAAGGACAGGGTCCGGTGTGCTATGTGTGCGCCTTGTTGCTGTGCGAGATCTGAGGGGAATCGGGTGACCTTTCAACGCCTTGTGTAGTGTAACGTGGCTCATCACTATGCGACTAGAACTTCCATCTGTATCCAGTCATCTATACCTGCTTCGTCATTCCTACTCATCCAGCCATCTACTTCGAGAACTGACCCGATGGAGCTCTTCAGACAGAACACGATATTCATTTAGGGGGCCAAAGCGAATGGGGAACAATATAGTGCTCGGACAAGAGCATCTACTGGTTTGATACGAGTCGCGATGAACCGTGAGGGAAGCAGCATGAGCCAGTCCTGATTTACACGGAAGCTTACATCGATAGAATACCTGGTCTTGGAAGTTGGGAGTACCCTAAACGTGGCGGCCGATTTTGAATGCGCTGGGGTTAGCACTGTCGTCATTGAGCTTCGGTTTCCACAAATCAGTCCTGATTCACCCAGCCTGAGCGAGTACTTGGCCGAGAGAACGTTCGGCCGGTGAGTACCTAGAGCTCGTAGAACGTGATAATTCCCAACAATCTGAGCGGTAGCGTTGAGAGGGCCAGAAGGCTACAAGTCGTACGGAACAGTCACAGTCAGTGGATGTTGAAAATTTGCTGCCGACAGTCGAGATAGAAAATATGCCTTTGTTAACGGGACACGAAAGTGCCAGGGGTGTGAAAGCCATCATTACATACATAAAACGCAAACATGTGGTTTCCGACCACTGTATCGAGGGAGTACTAGCTATGTGCAGCGACCTCTAAGAACATGCAATGTGAAGTGTGGTATCAACCGGTAAAAATTAACGCCAAAGATAGCAAATTTGCAAAGGCAGCGCTTGCTCGACAGAAGGAATTGGTATCATCAACCGCCGCTACATCCCCACTCTCCGCGTCGACCGCATCGTCGCTAGGGACCCTGTAGCCGGGCGTGAGTATGTGTAGCCTCGGAGTATCGTCTGTACGGTATGTAAGGAATGCTCAGTTCAGGGCAGATTATGATCAGCGTGCGGCATGCTCCATGTTGCCTGTAAGCTCGGCCACGCGAGCCTTGATGCGGGCGACACGAGACTCGATAGCTATGAAATTTTTGATCAGCAAGAGCATGGTGATGGATGGGTCAGTCAGGATGGAACATACTCTCCTCGCCGCTCGTTTCACCATCGTCCGTCCGCTGACTTTGACTCAACCTGCTTTGTGWGTCGTGGTCCTCACTATCGCGGGCAGCTCGCTTGTGAGCGTTTTCACGTATTGCTGCCCAGCGATCTTTCACGTTGTTACGGTCCTCAGCATCACGGTCTTCGTGCTCCTCGACGGTCATGTCCGAAATGCTCCGCTGGTCAATCATGGGAGAACCGCGTGGCGTAGGAGCGAACTCGGGTGGCGCAATGAAATGGTCATGATCTGCAACCGGCTCGGGCGTTGGGGCCATGCGCTCAGCAGTACTGGTATTGAACTCGCCCTGTGCCGAACTTGAGAAGTCCGCAGGAGCTGCGGAAGGCATGTCGGCCATAGGGCCCTGGTCGAAGCGAGAGAATTCGCGCTCGGCCTCTGCGTGCTCACGGCTGCTGGTACGCGATATGTCTGTTGCTGCATAACCGGGATGGGCAGCAGAAGCATTCATCACGGGCTCCTGGGCCGCGGCCCTCGCGGCAGCGATGGCAGCAGAACTGCTGGCTTTTGGTGCTGCCGCCGGAGGACCGTTCTTCTTGCGCATTTGGGAAAAGCGCCTTCCGATGCCCGGTTGGCCTTGTTCAGCATGTGGCACACGTTCATTGGTAGCGGGCCGTTGAAGATCCAGTGAGTCTCCGTGTCCGTTAGACTCCTTCTTCTTACCGAAGAACTTGCGGAATCCAGCGTTATTACCCGCGATTTTCTTGACGTTGGAGGTTTCTCTGCTAGATTCAATGCTGGCAGTGGGTGACGCTTTTGACTGCAAAGCTTTTTGGGCGGCCAGGAAAGCTGGATTCTTCGTTGGGGTAGCAGGAGACTCTCTCGAATCCTGCGCACGGAATGCTGGATGGTTGTCTGTGCGAGGCACTGGCTTTCTCTCCACTTTGCTCAGAGTCGGAGAGACTGGTGCCGCACCAGTCTCCTTGTCGAAAGCGCTCTGGACAGCAGGCTGCGTAGACGCGGTATGCGACGAATCAGCAGTCGCAGGCATAACGACAGCCTCATCGACGGACGGAGCGATATCGTCCTTGGCAGGCTGGAGGTCTTTGGCKGCCACAGGAGGATTTTCGCCATCTTCCGCTGCAGTGTGAGTGGTTGTCGCAACTGGGCTAGAAGTTGAGACAACCGGAGCGATACTGCGACTATCAGCGTTGATGGTGTTTGACGAAGGCTGTCTGACCAGAGTTTCACGAGACATGCCCTTGCCGGCTGACGAGTCTCCCAGGTACTGCGAACGAATTGCGTGCTTGTCATAAGCCTTTGCCCACTGCATTGCAGGCCCGGCTTCACCCTGTAGGCCTATGGTGAGAACACTGTTGGTTTTGGCGTGTGCATCATCCTGTCTGCCGCGACGCGAAAAGTCAGATTTAGGTGAGTCCCCATTGTTCAATGCACGTGCCGCAGCCTTGATCTTTGCATGCTTGTCTGTTGAGATACTGGTTTTGCTCGGCGTTGCGGACAGTGTGCGTGGCGCAGTGGACTCAGAGGCCTTGCTTGTGGACCGCTTGCGGCCGAGCCTACCGCGTTTGGTGAAACTGCTGAAGAGATTCTGCTTGGGTGGGATCATGGCTCCTTCAGCAGGATCCGGAGACGCTCCCTTGACTTGCTCCTCCATGATCAGCCAGCGGCCGTTCAAGATGGTAGTCTCAAWTAGCGCACAGCGCCCGAACACAGACTTGCGCTCAGATGGCTCTTCCCCGGCCAAACTGATCATCCATACCCACCAAAATGCATCATCGAGTTCAACGGTCGTGATGGCTGCAAGMTCTCCTGGTGTCAAGTTTTCGTCGATACCGTCCATGTGTGTAGGCAAATTCGATCGGCTCCCGAAAGGCGGCAGAACCTGCGGTGGTGGGTAGAGTAAAGCAGGCGATTTAGATGTGCCGTCATCTGCGAAGCCAGAGGAGAGAAAGTCAGCCCACGAAGGGGTTGTTGGGCGCCCTGCATCAATGCCTCTCGATTGAGGTGTCGAACGCAGGCCTTGTCCAACCGTAGTCGTGGACCCGTTTACGCCCTGGTTTGACAGCGCCTTCTCATCGATGTCGCCAAATCCGAGGTTCTGGAAGGACGACCAGGTCTCATCTGGTTTGGCGAGGCCCGGCAGACCCTGTCTTGAGGCCGTGGCCATTGACTGATTGGCCGTGGATATCGCATGGAGCACACGTCTACACTCCTCAGTCAAAGCGTCAACCGGATCTTCGAATTCGGAGAATTCGCGCAGAACTTCGTCACGGTCTCGGTATTCGAAGTTTTGCGCTCTTCGGATGAGAGCGAAAGGCGTTGGAGAGACGTTATCAACCAACATCACCATCCTCGCAGTAGATCGCTGAAGTAACGTCGGTCTCTCCGGAGGGTACTCAGTCGAAGCAACAAGAGCTTGCAACGAGCGGGGAATCCGCTCAATAACGTTCATGGATGGAGCGGTGTCTGGTGATAGAGATCGGAGGTAGGCGAAGAACAGATGACTTGAAGCATCGGCGGCCGCGGTCCAGGATTTGTACCCTCCCTCAAAGCCCTTGCCATCGTCCGAATGCTCGAATGCCCACCAACCCGCTAGCCGGGAAAGTTTCCGTCCACCCAGGCCGTTCAGCTTGCCATGCGCAGCCACCGCAGCTAAAAGGTCGAAGAAATCGAACACGATGCTTCGGCGGGCGTCCGAGTCAACACCGATTGGGATGAATGTGTTGAAGGCATTGCGGGCCATGTTGGCTTCCCTCTCGCCAATCTTGAACCCCTCGTACACTGGCCAAGTAACCACGCCATTGGGCATGCGACTCCAGCACCACTTCATGATACTGCAGAGTACTTCGGAATCAGTCAGCCGCAACTCTTGCTTGAGGGCGTCGCCTCGGTATTGTGAGGACCCTTCGGCATTGCCCTTGTAGTAGTTGCGAATGAATGTTCGAGCTCCTAGAGGGTCGGAGTTTGGACGGAAAGGCAGTAGGAGGAAAGGCGCATCCAAGGCCTCCGCTACAACAAAGTTAGCTGCTTTCCGCATCCGCTCAGTGTTGTATGTTCGTACCCCGAGACTTCATCTCTGCCGTGCATGTGTGAACCAGCTCCTCGACTTCATCTGGCACGATGACCTTGCTTTCCCATCGTGCCTGCCATGTCGGTTTGCGCGGGGTCGCATCGACGCCATCTGTGCCGTTCGCATTGGTTTTCGAACTCGCATGTGCTCCCTTGCTCTTAAAGCGAGAGAAGAGCGGCATCGTGCGGGCTGCCGGTCCTCTTCACTTTGCTGCTGGTATTGCCAGATTTATGTGCCCGTGCTGACCTCGCTGGCGCCCGAATCTGACTCTTGGCTGCAGTGGTGGCAGCGGCGCGTCCAGTCGCGTCCTTGCTGGCTTGAAGGAAGCACACTCGTACGCAGTGAATGTAGGCAATAAAGTTGGCCGACAGGGGATGTTCGCAACAAGACTAGTAGGGACTAGGGTCCAACTTTGCTCTCCTGCCCGCTACGCCAATAGCGTGGCTCTCCGCTGCTTCTGCTTCTGGACTCTGGAGGTCCAGACAAACAGTTGGCAAGTGGTCAAAGCTGATGGCTTCAAGAGGACAAACCGGGATGTTGAGACCTGCGGATCAGAAATCTTGCTGCATTCCAACATAGCGAGCGATCTGAGGTGGGATTTGCAGCAATGCCTGTTCTGCCACGTCCACGGAATACCTCTTAGTCTTAGCATACCCAAACAGGAATCGAGCAATCCATTTATTATTATACAGAGTTCCGTCAGTGGATCTTCAATCAAAGTGTATTTTCCATGTTTAATCTCCTTGCAATCCGCGACCCCTATAAGGAAGTGCTCGCTTATCGCCGGGCTCCACTCCGGACATTATCGTGAACGACGCCATGGCGATTCCAAGAAGCATGTCGAGCATGGTCGTTGACTCGTTGTGTTCAACGGCTGTAAAGGCATGGCTTTCCACATTTGCCGTTCGGAAGAGACTCAGCTATGCATATGATTGGCACGTCTCACGCAGGGGAAAGGTACCCGGACAGACCGGTGCACAATGGCTGGATGGCTGGATGGCTTCGGGGAGATAGGAGCGCACTGTCTGATCAAGAAGGATAGATACGAATCTGGATGAGCGGAGGTGTACGCCAAAGTGTCAATCTCGCGTGGGACCTTGTTTTGTCCAAGTCTGCTGACACTTCTTCAAATGTGCTTCCAGACACAAGTCACACCGCGTCACATTGTCGGATCTCATCCACAATTTGTATTGAGTAAATTGGTCTTTAGTCATATCCTACTATCTCCGCGAGAGTTGGAAACACGCATGAGCAAATTCGCTAGCATATTAACCCTTGTTTCGACAAAGTCCCGCCTCACACATCACAACCCATCACTGCTGCGTTTACTGCGCACCACTTCGAGTACTTCTCTTGTTCACCTCGTCCTTGACCTTATCAGTACCACTAGCGACAGCATCGGCGACCTGATCCTTGGTCTTTTGGGCGGCGGCCTTGCCCTGCTGGGCCTTGGCCTTGATCTCGTCGGCGGAGGGTGCGGCAGCGCCACCCAGACCGAAGAGGAGCACAAGGAGGGTGATGAGACCAACACCGATGACACCAGCGACTTCGGGAACAAACTTGATGGCATCGACCGGGTTCCTCTGGAAGAGCTCGATGAAAAGAGCGGTCTTCTCCTTGACGTAGTGGACTGGATCCTCAGTGAAGACAAGGTCCATGGGYGACTTCTTCCCGGCGGCATCGTCGACAGGCTTGGAAAGCTTCTCGGCCTTCTCCTCGTTGTGCTTCTTGACGTCGAAGGTCTCCTTCTTGAGGGCCTCGGCCTCGGCGACATCGTGACCAATGTAGATGTTGTCGAAAAGGATGTTCTCGTTCATGGTCCAAAGTTCGAAACCGATCTATAGTTACGTATTAGCTGTGTTCGCCTTCCCGAGATTGCCTACTACTTACAGCACCCATTGGCTCAAAGTCGGCCGGGGTCTTGTCCTCGAAGTAAGCTGGGTTGGGAATCTTGCGTGGGGCCCAGACACCCTTGTAGAGTGGGTTGTCGATGAAAGGAGCGGTCCACTTGCCCTTGAAGGCAGGGTTCTTGATCATTGGCTTCTCCCATGGTCCACATCCAGAGACATCGTCGCACTTGGGGTTGGCGACCTGTGGGGCGATCCAGTCACCATCCTCCTCGTCATCCCAATCCTCTGGCTTCTCGGCCTCTGGGTCAGGGACAGTGAGAGGCTCACTCTCGAGCCAGTCAGCCGGCTTCTCAGCCTCCTCATCAACGATCTCGTACGGCGCGTCCTCATCCCAGTCTTCGGGCTTCTTGGCCTCGGGGTCGCGAATCTTCGCCTCGTCAACCCAGTCTTCGGGCTTCTTGTCCTCGGCATCATCAATCTCCTTCTCTGGGTTGACTGCAGGGGTGAAGTTCTCCAGGAGAGAGCCGTTCTTCGCGGACTCGCCGTTGATGAGGATCTCAAAGGTCTGGTCTGGCTTGACAATGAGAGTGTACAAGTTGGTGAGCTTGTTGATGGTGGCTGGTGGAGCGGCGTTGAGATGCTTCTCCTCGTACTCGCCAGTCTTGGGGTTCTTGTGGCGGAAAATGAAGTGGACCTTGTTGGTGGATCCGCACTTGTCTGGGCCGAACATGATCACGTACGGCGATGCGTTGGAGAACTCGTCAGCGCCGAGAGCGGCATTCTGTTGGAGCAGCTTCATGTAGGCACCTCCGCACTCGAGGAAGTTCTGGAGCTTCACCTCATACTGAACAACGAGGGTCTTGCCCTTGTTGTCAATGGGCTTGTCGAATTTGGCGGAGATGGCGTGGTGAGCAGCCTTGTCCTTCAGGACGAGACCTTTGTCACCGGCGATGCCCTTGAATGTGAGGGGCTCCTCAACATCCCATGTGCCAACAAACTGCCACTCCTCCTCTGAATCGGCCTTTGTGTTCTCCTTCACTGCGTGCGATGCCTTCCACCGGCTGTCCCAACCGTCGACGAATTGCTCGAGGAAAGGCGCTGTGAGTTTTGTGGGCTGTAGCAGTCAGCACGTCAATTCCCCAATGCGCGGAGGAGTTTCAACTCACGGTGAAAGCCGGCAACGAGGCATCGAGCGATGAGCTGGCCTTGTCGGAAGCGGCGTCAGCAGCATCTTCTTGCGCAGCGGAAACAGCGGCGTAGCAGCCGAGAGCGACGAGAGAGGTGACACGCATGCTGGGCAGCTGTGTTCAGGATGGAATTGGAGGACGAGGGGAGGGTGGGAAGTTGTAACGTGGAGAAGAGAAGAGCATTGAGCTACGTAGAATGGTTCATAACACCGTGGCCGCTTTTCCAACAAGGTTAGCGGCCTCCACACTTCGCATGCAGGGATCAATGGTTTCACATGCATTTGTAGAGCTACACCACGAGCGCTGGAACTGGAATCGAAGCTGCAGTGAGCAGTGACGAGACGCATGCTCGTGCGTGAGACGGATGTCGAGTCTTCATTTGGCAATCCGGTCAAGTCATGGGTTCCACCTTGTATTTTACTGCACACTGGAGCTGTTTAAACGAGTGGAATCCATGCTTCGCAGCTATTTCGGCTCCCATGGCTTTCGGCAATCATGCCGAGGAGAGCTTCCGAGGATGTTCATCGACGAGGCGTTCATGGTCGAGACGAATGCTAGCACAACCATACGCTGCTCTTGATATCTGCATCACAAGCAGAAACCACATTCGCGGCCATCACATCTGCTCCTGCTTTCACGTCTGATGTATAGCACCCTGAACACCTACACCTCTGACGACACTCAGCTCATCCGCTCACTCTCCATACTTTACTCATTGGTTCCCTGGTCCGACACCACAGCCAAAGCATTGAAATCTTGCAGATTGGGCGGCTCTCGCAATGCCGTCGTGTTTCTCACCACTCTCACCTCCGCTGCCCTCGTCAGCTTCAGATGACGTTCAGTCTCTTTTTCTTTCTCAGCTGCTGCCCCCGTGCCCTCGTTGAGCTGCTTCTCATCACCAAGCTCTTTCGCAGCGGCGTTGTAGTGATCTGCCGTATCCTTCAAGACAGCGTGCATACTGGCCAAGACCTTTGCGGTAGCCTTTGCTAGGGGCAATTCCGGACCCGCGACATCGTCCTCACTCCGCCAGCTAGGCTTATCCAAGACATTTGCTGCTTTGGCGGCCTGTCGAAGTCGGGCGACTAGAAGTGCGGCGAACATGTCACCAGTGCCAGAGAAGAAAACCGGCAGTGCGGGCACCGTGATGCGGAACAGACGTGGCTTTCCCGTTGATGTTGCGGTTGATCCAATCACTGAGAGCTTCGCTGCAGTGGATCGACTCTCACTCCCACCCGAAGGTGAGCTCGACGCTGTTGTTGGCAGTCGGATCGAAGTGATCAGCACATGAGGTACTGTGTATGCCTGGTGAAGCTTCGAGATGGCCTGCTCCATGCTTGCAAGATCACGAATTTTGACATCCGATAAGAGTTCCGCCTCGAATTGGTTCGGCAGGATGAGATCTGCGTCCTTGAGTAGGCTCTTGTATGCTGGTACGGTGTCCTCTGCGACGTATATCCTCCCATTGTCGCCCATTACCGGATCCAACACCCAGAAGAAAGATCCCGGCTTAGTCGTAGCTTTGAGCTTTGCTTCTCTTCCAATCTTGCCCACTTGCTCTACCAGCGCTGCCGAGGGGCAATATCCTGAAAGCATCATGTCGAAGCTGTCGAGACCGGCCTCCTTCAGACCTTCATATAGCTCTGCTACTTCTTCCGGTGTGGTCTTCCGTCCTTTGAATCGTTTGTATGCGACATGGTTGCCTTTCAGCCGACATCGTCAGTTTCAATCGCATGTCCTATATTACGTGCTGCTCACTGTAGTTCACAGTGTGGATGGCAGACACTTCACATCCCAGAGTCTGCATGCAGAACGTGGCCATAGTATTGCCGACATATCTGGTCAACGTTTAGAGCTCGCCTTAGCCGAATGTTTGCCAATCGACGCACCCAGAGGTCACCTTGGTAGATGTTAGCGTGTGTCACGTTGTCGCATGCTGTGAGACGGAGCACCCACATGGCTAGCAACGGCCAAGACATGCGTCTCTGGAATCTCGACGTCGCTTTCCGCCATGATATGTGACTCGCCTGGCGGATGAAGTCTGTGAATGTTGTGGTTGTAGGTGTGACTGAGTTATGGTATTGTTTTTTCCTCTAATCAACAGATGACGCGCAGGGCGCGGGGATTCGAAGACCCTGCAGCAGTTCAGGGCCCCTCCATTTCACATTTTCGCTGTGCTCGACCACCGGGCACCGCATGTACACCGCGTCCTCATGCAGTAGATGCAATTCGCATTCATCGCATGGCGCTCGCTGCTGTTGTTGCGCTCATCTCATAGCACACCACCATCAAACGCCTTCAACTCCTTCCATGCACGTCTAGCAAACACTTCATAACTGGGAGCAGTCTACTCCTCGTCACCAATCTGTGAGGCGATGGTCAGTAATGCGTCGTTGATCAGGACATCGTGAGGCTTGCCTTTGGTGCTAGGTAGAATCGGAGAAAGCTGTTATTGCTCAGAGGATACTCCACCAGAAGTGGAACCTCGTTGCTGAGGCAGAGCTTCACCGACTTGCTAAGGCCGCTAGCCTTGCAGAAATTCGTTAGGTACTTGAGGGAGAATGTCAGAGCGACGGGCTCAGTGAGGTTGATCTCGACGTTGTTCTCCTCCTTGTCGACGTCGGTGTGTGAACGAAGCGTAACAGAGCCATTTCCAATGTCACCACTGCACTTGAAGTTGACACCGTCCTTCGTGCATTCAATGGCGACTATTCAGTTGTTAGTATTCCCATTCCCAAGTTTTGCAAAAGTATGAGTCAACCTACCCGACTCGGAGAGAGCACTAAGATCTCCGGTGATGCGTCTGAACTCGGCACTTGGAAGAGTGATGGTCGCCGCGTACTCTGTGTCCGGGATACCAAGATGCTCCTGGTCAATGTCCATCAACTTGATATCGTACTCGCTGATTCTGTCGCTCTCGGAGCTCTCAAAGGTGAAATTGACGACATCGGGTGCGTCCTCTGCCTTCATGGTCAAGATGTCCTCGGGCTGGGCACATTTCAGGACCTTGGTGAGGGAGGAGAGGTTGATGCCGAGGGCGATGTTTCGATCGCAGCGGAAGGGCGAGAAGGACTCTGACTTGAGCATCATCGACACGAGCGCGACGTGCGAGTTGTCCATTGCCTGGAGCGCAATGCCGGAGTCATTGCAGTCGAAGTTGCAGTCCTGTACGAGATCCTTGATGGCGTCGACGACCTGTGGATAGCATGTCAGATGGCAAGTGAAATGGATGATAGACATGCGAGTCCATCACATACCTTCTTCAACAAGTTGGCCTGCTCTAGACGTGCCTCAAGCACTGTTGTGTGGTCAGCTTTTGCCTCTTTCACGGGACTTGAATGCTTACTTTTGACTGATGTATTTGTGTTGTGGAGGATGACTTTTGTTGGTCGATATGGGCGAAATCTGCGTGTGAATGTGGTGACGGGAGGGAGTGTAAGGTAGAGGCGATGTTTCTGTGGAGGGGAAGATTGGGAGCGCGTTCACAAATTGAAGTTTGAACGCGAGGAAGCGCGTTCTGGTGGGACCAGGCTCTTGGGTCCCGTAGTTGATCCGAGCTTCTATGGCCATCGAATGTCACCTCTCGTCAAGTCTCCCGATGCCAGTCCATCAGATTAAACATCCACAATCGATACACCATCAGCTGCCTAATTCTTGACCGGGAAACACCACTCAGTCAAGAAGCTATAGCCCTCCTTCTCGGAGCCTACACGACTGCTTTGCGCCCCCATCCGTGAAGGAGAGACAACGAACACCAAAAGTCACAAAATGTTGGACGAGCGGGAACTAGCAATAAACCCCATAGTACAAGACAGTGTCCAGCACAATGCTCGCGTAAATTCTCCACCGCTTCTCCTATACCAACATTGCAGCATCTGACTAACCCATCTTAGACCGTCTCAAATATCCGCGCTCTCACAGCCTCACTCTTCGGCGTAGCAGCAGGTACAATGGGCCTGGAATCGCTTCCCGGATTCATATTCTACTTCTTCGGCACTGCCATTGTATCCGTGCTCATTTTCTCCCTCAAAGCGGAACAGAATGCGAAAGCTTACTTTTTCCACCCCGTTGCGGATCTATGGGCGGGGGATCTGTTTGGTGGCCTTATGTCATTTGTGTTGACCTGGACGCTATTCTACGGACTTTGTAAGGCTTGATATCGGACTGTGTGGGCATTCGGAAAGCGTATGGTCTGAAGGTCTGAAGGTTTGAGGATCACGGGGCCTTGATGTCAGACAAGCGCCCTGGGACGTGATCTGTGCCAGATCAATAGAACTTGGCATCACAACTGCGAGGTTTAGGGCGACCGCTGATATGCTCAGCCTCCGTTCGATTGGGCCAGCCGTGACCTTGAGCCTTGGCTGTCTGTCTGARGGCCGGCTGGCTGGCGCAGGCTGGGATGGGACGGGGGTTTATGCGGTCCATATCGTCGATGGCACTGATGGTACAGTGCAGTAACGGCACGTGGAAATTTGGGTACCTAGGTAGCGCATGTCATGCTCAGTTCATTCGCCACGCCAGAACGCGACAAAGATTTTATCGTCATCATCATCAACAAAAAGCGCCTCGCAATGCGTCCACTGTCCAAGTCCAACCAAAATCAACGCCCCCAGTGTAACTCCCCCCATGTCCAAGTAGAGACAGACAAGCAGTCATCAAACAGTCGTCAAAACGAAAACCTTCCAACCAATGAAGGCATGCAACAAATGGTCTCTCCGGTCTACATTGCTGGGGAGTCTCCCCCGTGTCTCCCCACACAAACCCGAYCCACCTTCTTTGCGTCCATTGTCGCCATGCCACCCCAGCTAATTCTCTTCCCCTCGTCGTGGTCCTCGTCTAGACGACCCAGGCCGTCATTGCGAACCCATTGCCCGACAATGTCCTGGAGAAAGGCCAGCTTCTCGGTCATTTGGTTTGCGCGCACGATTCTTTGTCGTAAGCGTCCGCCCTCAAAAAGCAACGCGTGCACATCATCAGCAAGAACAGTCCGACTGTTGACGTGAGCGGGAAGCAATTCGCCTTTGAGGTTGAGGTGAGCTGCGGCCTCGGTGCTGAGTACTGTGGCGCTGATGGCAAGCCCGGAGGGCGAGAGCACAAGCTTAGTATGGTCGGGAAAGTGAACCTATCGATGCCAAGATTAGCCACACTTCGCCGCGATAGGATGTTGGAAAGAGACGAACCTGCAAAGAACCGTCCACAAAACCCCAGACACCAACATTGCCGATTCTCTGGTAGAAACGCACAAAGTTGCCTTCGCCCTCGTTCGATCGATTGGCTTCCTCTCTCTTGCCGCTGTCGTCCAGACTTTGGCACATATACCTCCCAAACTTGACCCACAATACACTCAGTACCCTTCTTCTCTCCGCTTCGACAGCCAGAGGTCCCTCTTTGACGCTTCCTAGCCCCTTGTAGATCTTTCGCCTCACGCCTTCGTCGCCACAGTCCTCGAAGATCTCCAGTGGGACCTGGTCTATGCCAGAGAATGCCTTGTCTTTCCCGATCTTCGACAGCCATCGCTGTCCATTGCGGACTAGGACATGGGTGACGGGCGTGGTAGGGACGTTGAGCTTTGCAGTCGCGTTAATGATACAGCCGACGGTCCCATCAGAGAGTACGTAGCCAACACCGTGTTTGCGGCTATAGTCCACCCAGCGGGAGACAAAGGGTAGAGAGTCTGTCGAGGCGTGATGATGTGTCGAAGATGCCGTTTTGGCCGCCAATGAAGATTTTGACAATGCGGATGCAAGATTGTCGCGGAAAATGGCGAGATTAGCAAGCACCGTGGAGGGATCTGTACCAACTATTGGCGGATTGCTTTCCTCTGGTGTTAGGCGTCGCTGAGGCTGTGGGAGTCTTCGGGTCATTTGAGGTGGACGAGGTAGTCGAAGTGTTCCTGCTGTTGGGACGTCGTCTTTACCGGATGACGAGTCGGGATCTGAGTGGATCTCTATCACCTCCGGAGATGCAACTTTCTTACGATATCTGGACGGAAGCGGACGGGTGTCTTTCAATTCTTCGAGGGTGGAGAACGGACCAAAATTGTTGGTCGATGGCTTCGATCGCACCCTTGCGCTTCTCACTGGTAGCTCTGCCACAGGTTGAACTGATACAGTGTCCACAGGGGATGCTGCACGTTCTTTCGCGGTCTTCGTTGCTCCTCTTGGCCTTCTCGCCAGGCTCGCATCTGCGCTCCTCTTGATCGTGCCTTCTGGCTGTTCGTTATCCTCTGATCCTTRGTATGACTTGGCAGTCTGATAGCTCGTTGACGTAGTAGTTGAAGACTTGTTTGATTCCTTGAGCGCTGTTTGGACTACAGGGGCGCTGCTAGAGGCCACTGGAGCAGGCCGTATTCTGCCGACCTTGAGAGTTGCAGAGGAAGACGGTCCGGATGATGAATCAGATGCAATCTTGACAGTTTCGGATGATTTGGCAGCCTCTTCGCTGATTGTTCTGGCGGTCTTGCGAATGGATCCCGACCGGGCGGCGCGTGTTGGTACCACCGGAGGTGGCATCATCTCAGCGTCCTTGGTTCTTGTCTCTGTCTGCACTCTTGGCCGTGTAATTGCGACCTCATTGTGGGCAATCTCCTTCAACCCTCGTACAGAGAATTGCGACAGGGTGGACTTTCCATCAAGATCGTTCACTGGCGAAGTATACACCACATCTCTCGGGAGAGGCATCGTCGGAGTCTTCCCCAGCGCCTCCTCTACGGCAATGTCGTGCACAACACTTCGTATTTTCCGGCCTTTGTTCAATGGAAAGCAATTCCCAGGAGACAGCTCGCCAACACCCGACTCCTTGCAGAGGGCATACCATGTATCGCTGTACCCTCTTCGGACGATATCTGGTGAGGGAACGGTGACTGCAGGCCACTCAGGTGCTCTTGTTCTCGCGGAATCTGGGATACCGCTGGGCACGTACGCAATACGGAAGAAAGAGTGGCTGACAATCTGATCCGGCAAAGGTCTCTGCTCCTCTGGTACAAGCAGACTTGAAACAAGCTCCCTCAAGTCTGAGCTTTGGTTTGTCGTCGCGCTTAGCTCTGGCCAAGTGTAAGTTCCCGATCGGAGTTTCTTGTAGATTTCCTCCTTGGTGCTGGCATGGAAGGGCGCCTTTCCTACAGCAAGTGTGTATGCAATGACCCCAATCGCCCATAGATCCACCTTCTCGTCATGACCCTTGCCCTTCTCCAGAATTTCCGGGGCGAGGTAGTTTGGTGTTCCGCACATCGTAGTTCGTCTCCTGACCTCCATTTCCTTTTCCGTCACCAATAGAGCAGCCAGCCCGAAGTCTCCCACCTTGACGTTCATGTTCTTATCAAGGAATAGGTTTCCAGTTTTGAGGTCGCGATGTACAATGTGTCGACAGTGAAGATACTTGACGGCACCGCAGACCTGGATTACCAGCCTTCGTATTTCGGGAAGTGTGAGGAATTTACGCTTTTTGAGCATGTCCGCGAGAGATCCATTGGAACACAACTCCAGTACGACATATGTGGATGTCTGAAATGCAAAAGCGCGATAGAAGGTGACGACATTGGGATGTGACAGCTTGCTGTGAATCTGCAATTCTGTGACAAACTGCTCATATGCCGTGTTAGTGGATTGCATCAAGTGCTGCGACAGTGTAGCGTATACCTTTTGAGCGAGCTTCGCGGGCTCCATCTTCGTCTTCACAATCTTCAAGGCCACAATTTGTCCAGTTGGTTTGCAGTCTTCATATCTTTCCGCGCGATGGCAAATGGCAAAACCTCCTGGAGAGGAGTCAGTGTGATGTCTAAGATAAGTTCTCATATATCATACCCTTCCCCAGCGCTGGTCCTGTGGCATAATCGATTCCGGTCGGTTCGGTGACGATGGGCGGCGRAGGGTCGGCGTGGATCGAGGACGACGACATGTTGAGTCGCGCTGTCGCTGGTCACTGCTGAGATTAATCGCACTGCTATCGCATGGGGCGTGTTCTGCGCGGTCGGATGATATGGATCAATCGTTGGTCGTGTGCCGTGGCATAGTGTTTCGACTCGTGTTGAATGGATCCGGATTTTGGTGGTCGTGAGGGGCAACCACGAACCACCGGACCTGAGTCCGAAGCGAACCATCGGCGCTCACTTCCGAACATGCCGTTTAATTCTCAAGATGAGTCCTCCGACGTTGACATTGCATCGAGATTTCTCTTGGTCGGCGCGAGAAATGATTTGAACACTGATACTGGGTCGAAGTACCCCCTGATCATCCGTCTTGAACAAATTCGACCATGTCGCTCACTTTCAAGCTCCTTTCATTGGTCGTCCGGACTGCAGCAAAACCCATCGGAGTGAGTACAATCGCCAACCACCCTCGAAATTGGCATTGACGCTGTGCAGAATTACATTAAACGGCAGACCAAAGAGCATGAAGGCTTCCGTAGGTTTGCCGTCGCACAGGCACAACGGGTCCACCGGATAGACATGCGAATGAGATTGGGAATTCTACACGATGCCGATGCGCAACAACGCATGGTCGATCGAGAAGTCAGAGCCGCGGAGGAGAGAAAACGCAAAGCGGAAACACCCATTGTACGAACCGAGGAAGAACAGCTGAAATACGATGCGCAAAAAGCGAAGGAGGAGCAAGACGCAAAAGATGGCAAGCCCAAAGAGGAGAAAGTGTCGTCTTCTCGGCCGAAAATCAAGCCATTGTCTGAAACGAGAGCCATCGAGCTGGGAGCTAACTTCTTTTCGGAAGCTTTCATCTTCGGGGTGGCTGTCAGTCTATTAATGGTTGAAGCATGGCGCAGTCGCAGAAAGGAGAGCGAACGACGCGACAATGTAGCTGATCGCCTTGAGCAATTGGAGTTGGAGGTGGAGGGCTTGAGAAGTAGACTGGATCCGGATTTGGAGGACGAAAAGGCGTTGATTGAGAGGGTGCGGCAGGAAAGGGTCCGCAAGACTTGGAGCTGGTGGAATCCCCTGAGTTGGAGTTGGGTCCGGGGTGAAGAGGACACCGCAATCATGGAGGAGGATAGGGATAAAGGGGAAATGCCAGAGAAGGAAAAGCCATTGGTTGCGATACACAAACCGGGGCAGAAGATCGTGGTGGACAGGGCAGAGGATGACGCGGTCGATGCGGCGAGGCGGGAAGAAAGGAGAGCGGAGAAGAGAAAGGCAGACATTGAAAAGGTGTTGGAGGACAAGAAGCAGGCAGCGGTACTGAAAAGGCGTGAAGCGGAGGCGCAGTCGGAAGAGAAGAGTCCGCCGAATACCGAGAGGAAGGAGCGATGAAGTGTGTAAGATTTGGAAGAGTCCGCCTCTACCAGGTACTCTACTTACGGTTTGTACATTGATGATACCCCACTAAATTACGACTGCAATTCACAGTGACCTCCCGTGTTCGGGGGTGAGTTGCTGACCTTACATCCAAGCCGATGATATCCAAGACTTCACAGACTGCTCCAAAGCCCGCCACTGCAATGTTCTGCACAAGCCTACGACGACGCAGCTTCGACTTTGCCTCCATCTTGCCGAAGCTGACATCGCCATCAGCTCTGGGTCTGCGCGGTCTGTGATTTCCAATCCAAACGTCGGTGCTGCACTAACCTCGTCCAAAGAGAACGACCTCGCAACGCACGATATCGCTCTCTACGTCGGCCCAAAGGCTGGAACCAATCCACGCCAACTCCGCGTACTCCTTTTGTCGCCCTCGTCCGTCTCGGAAAGTAAAATCAAGCCCACRATCGAACGAATTCGGCATCTTACTCATCTCACTGGTGGCCAAGATATGGCCACCATCTTTCTCATCTCTCCACCAGCAGGTGCTCGTTTCGCATCCGCCAGCACTCTCATCGCCTCGTCTGAAGATCACGACACGAGTGGAATGCTTTCTTTCTGCAAACTGCAAGCAGAACTGAATTCCCACTCAGACCTCMACGCATCGATTATACCACTGCCGACGCTCGATACTCTACCAGCTTTGCTTCAAAGCCATCTTTCCGTGATTGCGAGTCCAATGCGAATGCAAGCTCCCGTGACAACGCCATTCCAACTCCTTCAGCACTGCACAGTCACGCAGCCTTTGAGTCAGCAGACTGCGTTCCTGCTGAGTGACTGTTTTGACGGCGTGCGGGAGTTGGCTGAGGGATGCTGCCTAGTTCTCAATTCTGCGCCAGATCTCAATTCGTCTTCGTCTTTTGCGGATCAAGCCTCTGGAATGACGAAAGAAGAACAAGTAAGACAGACGTTGAAGAAGCTCCGAGATCTCATCGATGCAAAAGACTGGGAGGATCTGGTGGTCTTCTGGGAAAAGGAGTGGGCAGTGGATTAATCTTCGCTTCCGATTGCAAAACCTTCCTCCAGAATTTCCTGGAGAGGGCTGAAATCGCCATGGGTTTGAGATGTCAGACATCACATGAGCCGATGAGTGCCAGCGCAAACGTGATCAAATCGATCTCATGAGACATTTGCAAACACATTCACCATGCCCAATTGGCAATGGTCCGGAACTGATAACGCRTGGTTTTTTCGCGAGTACACGTACCCATTTATTGACAGTCCGACTTGGTCTTTCCCTCTCCATACCAAAGCTCTTTCCTCAAGCCGCACTTGCCACACTCCACTTCCACTTCCATCAAAATTCTCTCCCAACGCTTCAATTCATCTCCCACTGACATCACGAGATTGACCAAAGAAGCACTCAGTATGTTTCTCAAACTCCATCAATCCCCAAAACCACATACAATTTTCGAAACGCCGCCACCACTACCCCTATGGAAGCCCGAGCTGCCCAAGTCGCGTTTCACGAAGGAGGCAAACGTTGTCTCTCAGAGAGCAGAGATGAGGACTCTCCAAGAAGGACACGAACGCGATAGATTGCGAAGTCAGAGCTGGCCAAGAGCATTTGTTGCTGTGCCAAAGGCGGACACGGTGGTGAAGAAGAGGAGATGGTGGCAAGGCAATGGTGGAGATATGGATCTTTGGCGGTGATGGTTTTACAGTCATGATTTCTGCTAATCGAAGAACTCTATGATGGGTTTGTTGAGATCGTTGCGAATGGCCTTATGATTGATGATATCACGCGGACGCGGCTTTATGACCCGAGGAAGCTCGAAAGAGAGATTTGCTTGAGAAATGAGAACATTGGTATGAGCAACGTGATTGACTGTTACTGAAACGACATCAGTCGCTGGAAATTCCCAGACTACATGGGTGCCTATACTCGAAATGATTTAATACCCGCGTTACCTAAAACATTAGTCGATGTTAACCTCAGACATGCATCTCAAGATCGTACGTAACAAACAGTGACTTCTCAGCAAACGGATCGGTATCGAGATCAAGAGCAGATTCCTATCGTCGCTACAAACAGCTCGCGTGTATAACAATCCTTTCAGCATCCTCCAAGAGTGAGAACACAACATGGCTGGACTTCTCACCACAATCCGGCAGAAATTGTCAGCGCTCATTGCTCGTTGCAAGACCAAAAAGAAGCCAATATCAAAGGACAGAATATCAAGCCCAGAGGTCAAGCCTGTTCCCGCGTACGCCGAACCGCACATGACCAGGTCCAGCAATGAAAGCCAACATGTACAATTCCCCGGACAGCCAAGAGAAAAATCTCCGCCGCTGGAGGAGTTGGAAGCATCAATTGCTCAGCGAGAAACAAGGGAGTGATGATGGGCGCAAACATTTATGTGTGGGTTGAGACGGGGTTGACATTGGAGAAAAGGGCAGAGGCGATGGCGAGGCAATCGAGGTTCATTGTTGACATTATGTACATGAAATTTATTTTCGTGCATTGCATGACACATCAGTGCGCCGCATTAGATTGTAAAGATAGGCCTCGGTAAAGCCATTATGGGATTCCACAGGGAAGTGCTGGAAAAATCGTCAGATTGAGTTCCAGTAAACTGATATCAACAGTCGAACATACACTAGTAGGTCTTGTAACCAGAGAGGGTAGTAGCGGTGCTCTTGTTGACAGTCTTCCTGATGGTGGAGACCTGGGTAGCAAGAACGTCGGAGGTGATTGTGTTTACGTCAATGGCAGTGATCTGGGCGTTGAGGGTGGCAACCAGCTCAACGAGGGCAGAGATGTTGAGGCTGACAGTGTCCACGATGCTGACGGCAGCCTGGAGCTGGACGGAGAGTTCGATCAGAGCGTTGATGGTGGCGGTGATCTCAACGGAGAGATCGACGTCTGCGGAGACGTCCACAGAGGCCAGGGCAGTGATGTTGGCCTGGATCTGTGCGAGGAGGTCGAGGGTGGCCCAGAGGGAGACATCAACGTCGATGTCGACGTTGAGCTGAAGACCGAGGGCAACGTTGGCCTCGAGGTCGATGTTGACTCCGAGTCCCAGGTTGAGGCACACGTCGGCCTCAACGTCCGCGCTCAAACCCAGGCTCAAGAGCTGAGGAGCAGCCTCACGCTTGACATCAACAGCGGTAGGGAGGGCAGATGTGAAGGCGGCAAGGGCCAGGCCAGAGAGGATGGTAGCGCAACGCATTTTGATTGAGTGTACTCTTAAAAGTATGTCAGTGGGTGTACAGCTTCAGTAGGCCTCGGTAGCTTACAGTTAAAAGAGTGACTAGGGTGAAGAAGTACGTTGATGCTGAAAAGCTGTGTGAAGAAAATTGATGATGAAGGTGAAGGAGTTGAATCAGAAGATGCGGGATGTGGACTTATAGACGTCCTCACAGATTGTACCTTACCTTAGTCGTCACTTGAAAGTCTAGGCCCCTGAAAGACCTTTGGGAAATCACGCACATCTCGTCTAGCGAACGCATCCCATGCGTGGAATCTTGCTACCCGTAGCTGCCGCCCGATTTGGAGGCTAAGAATAGCGGAATAACCCAAGTGAGTGCCATACGAGATTAACGAGAGAGGCGTGGTTGGAACCAGACCGCAGTCGCTGCCTACCGAATGACCAACGATTGATTAAGCCTATAGCCCGACATTCTGCGTACCGATGGCCCATTGTACCCTTTTGAGTGGATGCACAGGTGCTTGGTCGGAACTTCCTCCGCTGGTATATTCGGAGTCCCYGGATGGAAGAGGCCTTTAGACCGAACGCCCGGTATGTAGAACATGGAGACCGTGTGAAGCGGAGAGACCGGACTCGCGGGGCGGGCAATCAAACGCGGTTCGGATCCTTTTGGAGGCTCCTGACTACACCTATATCGATCTGGCGGCTGCCATGTGCCTTGCGAATTCATCCACTACTAATCCAGTACGGGACCTAGGGGCTCAATGATAGTCTAGCTCCAGGGCAACGTGGCCATCCTTGAGCTGGGCAAGGATGTTAGTCCTGACTCATCGGGGAACTACTCATTAGTTAAGACATATAGGCCATCTCCACGTGCATTTCCACTGCGATGATCGCCGCGCCTTACTTAGTTCCGGCTCGAACTTCCCATGAGAGGGAAATGAATGCGCCGTGTCTTTGTACGTCTCGCAAATATCGATTTTGTGGAGCCTTTGCACATGAATAATAGAGCCGCTCCCATGCCGGAGTTGATCATACTCTCCAAAATATACGGACCGATCAGAGTAAGCGCCAGCGTGCAAGTGCGGAGGACGTGTTCTGGGATGCACAGGAACATCATGCTTAAAAAGGCCGAGCAATTTGCCCAACCTGACGGACTAAAGCGATCGTCTCTGGGCACGCTGTCAGAAAGGTGTGGCCTCTAGACGGATCGGAATAGAACTCTACTGCATGTACCAATCCAGCAAGGCCCAGGGTGGACAATCTTCATTAGCCGCACCCAATTGGTACGATTGAGGACTTTCGAGGAGTTCACACTGTGTACGGGAAAGCATCCGTGTGAGATACTTGTAGATTATAGCCCGATGTGGCAAGAGGATGTAGTTTTCTTGTTCCCGGTGGCCATGTGTATAATTTGGCTCGTGGTCAGGGACTATTCGTATCCGAATGCTGGGCTTTGGGCCGTAGCGCGTCGATCACAAAGACCTCTTCTGGGCCCCGTGAGCTTCCCGGCTACGACGAATCACTCGAATAGGGGATGGGAGATTGGGCAACATGCTGGTAACAGTAGTCGAGACTTGTGATGGAGAGGTGAGGTCGGGCTGAGGTCGGGGCGAAGGACAGGAAGCTGCGGAACAATTGGTAGCGGCCTTGGCACGGATGAGCGCGGGAAGCGAAGCGACCACCAAATCCCTGTAGGTCTTGTCTAGAGCCCGCAACTCCCCAGTCTTCCGTCAACAAACATACGAAGGTCTCGGACTGTGTTCGGATTGATGTTTAGCACCACACTCTACTGTTCAGAGAAACCCTACAGTGTCTCATTCTGCACGAGCCTAACCACGAGCTAGCAACAATCTGAGGGCGGCGACCGAGAGAGCTCCAATAACCGACAGACCTGTCAAAATGATAATGGCATGCGTCTCTCTTTATAGATGGACCTTGGAACCGCAAGTCGCAAAACTGTGCGCCGTCCCGAATGGCACCGAAAATGTCGTTCAGTGTGGATGATTGCTGAGTAATAAAAGGGTCGAGCCATTGGCATGGACAATCTATGGAATCCCAAGGCCWCATGATACTGTGTCCCCAGGACAACTGGCGAGGCTGGCTTATCAGACYTTGACTTGTTCCAGGAATTGCTGACTGAAAGGATAGTCCAGATACCCCTCCTTTTGTTTTGCCGCGTAGAAGGTCGAACGGTCGTAGGCATTCAGGGGCAGACCGTTCTTCACACGGAACGGTAGGTCGGGAGTCGAGATGAAGAATCGGCCGAATACGACTGCCACGTTGTAGTCTCGATATTCACGGTCAACAGCTTCGATTGCCACAGCCGGAGTGAAGCCTCCGGCGACCAAGACAGGCTTCTCCTGACCCCAGGCTTCCAGGAAGGGCTCAATGCCCTCGGTCTTTTCAACATCGAAGCTGTTGGTGACTCTTGATTCGATAATGTGCAGATACCCGATGTCCAATGCTTTCAATAGTTGAACCAGACGCACGAATTGTGGCACCGGATCATCCATTTTCATCCCCTGAAACAAACTCCATGGACTTATCCTGAATCCTACACGAGATGCTCCAACCGCTTCGACTGCAGACTTGGCGACCTCCACTGCGAAACGGGCTCGTTTCTCGATGTCCCCACCCCATTGATCGGTTCGATGGTTGCTGACGCTCTGGATAAAGCAATCGACCAGGTAACCATTGGCTCCGTGGATCTCAACACCATCAAACCCAGCGGCGATGGCATTCTTTGACGCTTGCCCGAACTGCGAGATTGCTCGCTGGATCTGTTCCTCTGTCATCTCACTCGGCGTTGGAGATGCTGCATCGATCGGTAAAGCGCTCGCGCTGATCAGTCTGTGCCCGCCCTCTTTCTGCAATTGGTCTGGATTCGATGCTCGTCCCACAGCTATCAGTTGGCAGAAGATACTGCAGCCTTTGGCATGAACAGCGTCCGTCACTGCTTTCCAGGCTCCAATCTGAGACTCGGTATAGATGCCAGGCATGTTGGGGACTCCGCCATTTTCTGGGGATATCATCGAGGCCTCCGCAATAATAAGCGTTCCGGGGGTTGAGCAGCGCTGCGTGTAGTACTCCACGGCCATTGACAAGATCTCATGGGAATCGCTGGTCCGAAAACGCGTCAAAGGAGCCATGCAGACACGATGTTGGAGCTCAATCTCTCCCAGTCGCATTCCCTTGAATAGCCTGGACGTTGCATTCTTGTTGACTGATGCGGCCATCTTCTTCTAGTAAAGTTCCAGGGGTCGAATGAAGCAGTGAGAATGATCGATGTCGATAAATAGTGGAGCGATTTTCTTGAACCAAAGAGAACGCGGCGGTACTTATCGTCGACGACTGACATTTTCTCGAAGAGTTGATATCATGATGAGATAAGCCACAGACCTCGCCGTCGCCTACCCCGGTCTGATAATGCATCACATCCGAGATACGTCCGACTCTGCTACATAGATAGGGCAACACGAGCTTCTCGAGAAGAATCTGCAACACCACTCGGATTCATTCCTCTTCGAAAGAGAGCCTCGAAGGCTCCTTCGATGTGTTGGAGTACAGCATCACGCAGATTGTCTCCTTTCAGTTAGGAATGAGAATGCACTGTGACGGCCGTGAATTCGTCAAAGTATGCTGCGATGTCGGAAGTCGGTTCTGCTTTTAAAATTTTCGATCATGATTGATCTCGTTCTCTGTCTGGGGACATGAGCAGTAAGCAGAGGTCCGTCTGTATGCGGCGTGCTAAACGTTCCCCTCTCTTGAACAGAAGCCAGGTTCGCCGCGAAGCATATCCAGTCGCGCTATCGTTCGCTTGAGGACCTCGTGCTTCCAATCCCCTCGCCAAGAGCCTTCTCGCGGCTAGATCAGACAACACAAGAGAAGCATTGTAGAGCTCTCATCGGAATGAGCAGAGAGATACTTCGTACAGTGATGGGTTCCGAAAATTCATTGAGCTGAATATCCACTTCCTTTCCTCCTTTCAAATTTGACCTAGTCAGGTTTTTTGTCTTCTTAGTAACACAACAGTGGTAGCCCAATTTCCCACTACGCAGAGACAAAGGAAAAGCTCCATCAAACGCCATGATCCAGAGTCTATGCTTCTATGCATTTAATGCCAACCCGCTTTCAAATCCCTTGATATTACCACAAACTCGACTATCTCTTCTCGACCTTCTCACTTTCAGGGCCATCGAGCTTATCAGCCTGTGCCTTTTGTTGCTTGCCAAGATCCTGCTCCGAGGCCAGCATCTCGAGCTGGGCGTCTTGTTGAGCCTTGGTAAGAGCGGCATCCTGCTTGATGTCCTCCTCTTTTTCATCAATATCCTCCTTGTCACTCACTTTCTCTGTGCGTCCAGAAGCCTTCTGCTCCTCGGCCTGCTGCGCCTCCTCTGCTAGTAGCTCTTCCTGCTCGCGCAAGACCTGCAATCTCTGCTTGTTGGTGACTGCGCCCTCGGCGTTGTGYACCTCTAATTCAATCTCGTGGAATAACTCCTCGGGAATGGAAGRCAGGACGGCCTGCAGGGCAGACAGCTGAGAGTCGAACTCCGTATCCTTGCCCTGAGCGTACATGAAAGCGTTGCTTAGTACAAGCAGAGTACTGGGCACGCCATACTTCAATCTCAAATCCAGCCACAAGGAAAGATCATCCCGGAGGCGACCTGGGCTCATGCCGTGAGTCCTTAGTCCTCTCGCAGCGCATGCATTCTGCAGCTCAGGAACGGAGAGCGTTTCAACGCCTTCGTAGCTGATAGCTTTGTCGTCGCGTTTGATCTGTCGCATACGGTTCCGAACTTGGTATCGTAGCATGGGGTCCGTACCAAAGGTTGTGAGGTTCATGTATCGGCAGATACCGACAAGCTGCGGCCGCGACAAGTTGTCCAGAGTAAGATCATCTTTGAAAAGCTTGCAGACCTTGATGATGTCTGCCTTGGTGGGCTCCTCACCCGTTGCGCGCAGCTTGCGGAAGAATTCCGTAAATTCTTCTTTCTGAGCTGTCACTTGAGAGATGGGGAGACCCGATTCGCGCATGGTCTGTCGGAGGAACTGCGAGACCTCCTTCCTTGAAGATCGAAGCTTTGTGGCTTTCATTTCCTTGCTCTTTGCGCCCTCGTAGGTGGAAGGAAGCATGTTGGGGAACAGCTTCAATGCGACTGGGAGCAAGAGCTCCGCAAAGGGCACTAACACGAACGGAACGAAGGGCACCAATCGCACCAAGTCCTGAACTGTACGGGTGAGCTGTCGGTTCTCTCTCCGCGACAGTTCATATCCAGCAGCCATCTTCAACGCCAAGCGGGAAGAAATCTTGACTTCGGTTGCCAGCAGCTTGGTACCATCCCAGTAGTGTTGAGCCTCGTGCTTGACCTTTTGCCAGATTGTCTTCTTGGGCTTGTCCTCCTTCTTCGCTACCACCTTGCTCTTGTCGGCAGCATTCTCTTTGGCAGTTTGAGAGGCGAGTTCGTCAAGCGCTCGTTTCTCTTCAGCTGAAGTTGGCGCTGACTCGGTGGGTCTGCTCGACGGAATGGCTACTCCTTGCTCTTTTGCGGCCTTCCTTTCGGCGTCTTTGGCGAGTGGCTTCTTCGCCTGGTCCATGTTGAAGCCTGGCGGAGGTCCACTGTTGTCACCATTCTGTGTGGTGGATGATCCGGTGGATATGGCGCGGTATGGCACTAGGATGGCAATGGCAGGAATGCGGGCAGGGAGGCGAGCGGCGCGAGAGATGGCCATTCGATTGCCACGCAGCATCAGAGGCGCGAGCTGCGAGGCATAGCGGCTGGAATTCATGCTGGCCGGCAGCGTATGTACGTACGGTGGGTATTGTTGTAGGGATCAGCAAAACGAGTTAAAGGGTGATGTTGAGGGGACGTTTGCGATGAGACGAGGTGGGATTTGCTGAGCACTTTCTTGCGCCTGGAACGTCACCAAGGTTCCCGCGCCTTCTGTTTCTAGCCGCATTTCCCTGAAAAGCTTAGACGACCCGTGCCTGCCCTGGCGTTCGGTAGATCATTATTGGCGTATTGGGAGGTTTTCCATCGCTACACTAGGCTTCTTTCAGCAGAATACAAGCAAATTGAGCTTGATGAGGACCTTGACATCCGCGCCGGAGAGTTGGCAACGTTGGCCGGTAGATTTCACCGACGAGCAGAATGAGCCCGCGAGAATCAATGGAAGACGCCAGATATGATCAATCAGTCCAACATGCGACGCGAGACACAACGTATATTGAGGCTTTGCGATAGTTTTGGTAAACGACTGCCGAGGAGTGTCACACAAAGTTCTTCGGCCATGCGGAGTTGTGCGGAGGAAACGAGTGGTGCACGCGAGRGAGAGAGCCGAGTCCAGAGGAGCTTCCCGAACTGACTTCCACTCCCCGCCATTTCAACTTATTCTTCACCACTTTCACGAGCTCGCTCTGTCGTCTGTCGTCCGTACGCCCACCTACGACACCTGATCCACAATCACAATGGCAAAGTACGACAGCAGCTAGTCCGCCCAGCGTGAAGGAGGCTCACGAGTCTTCACGTCAGCTATTCGTCACTCACCGTCCCGCTGCCATTTGTCACTCTCACGGACTGCATAAAACGATCGCATACCATTTCTGAGCCGCAGTAACATCCACAACACGGTCGTAAGCATGGCAGGTGCCTCTGTCACGTCACAGCTACGCAAGGCGGCACGCATCATTCTTATCGGCGCTCCCGGCGTAGGCAAAGGCACTCAAACCGAACGCTTACTGCACCGCTTTCCGCAACTCTCCTCAATAAGCTCGGGGGATCTGCTGCGAGATAATGTTCGAAATAAAACGCCGCTGGGTGAGAAGAGAATCACATTTGATATGAAATTCGATCATGCGACTGACATTCCCACCAGGCAACCAAGCTGCCGAACTCATGAATCGCGGCGCTCTCGTCCCAGACTCCATGATACTGCGTCTGATTCGCAACGCACTCACGACCCGCGGCTGGCTGATCCCCGCAGACGGAATGAAGCCCATGACTCTCAACTTTGCTTCGACCCAGATCTCCTCGGATGCTACCATCACAGAGTCGGTTCAACACAACGATTACATCCATCTTCCTCCCGATTTGGACTCGGAGTACCGCTATTCGGACCATCCAGACGCTTCCTTCATCCTTGATGGCTTCCCACGAAATGCTGCGCAAGCCGCACAGTTGGAAAAGATGATTCCGGTGAATCTCGCCATACATGTACATACGCCTACGGAAGTCATTTTGGGGAGGATCGGTAATCGATGGGTACATCCGAAGAGCGGCCGGGTGTACAACACCACATTTAACGCCCCAAAGGAGGATGGCAAGGATGATATCACTGGCGAGCCATTAATCCAGAGGGATGACGACAAGCCCGAAGTATGGAGGCAGAGACTAAAAACATTTGAAGAGAGCTCCAAAGATCTGTTGGGTTATTATGAGAAAAGGGGTGTTCTGTGGAAGGTGGAAGGTGGAAGTAGTGATGAGATCACACCACGACTGTTTGATGAATTTGACAAACGCTTTGGAGCATGAGCGCGATTGGAGGCTCGCACTGAGCCGAGCAGGGCCTGACGAGTGATGGATTGTAAAACTTTGAATGTCACGTTCAGKGTGACTTGTATTCAGAGGACGGACTTCTGTTGTGCAGAGCCAAATGCCGCCGAGTTCACTAGGTATTATGACGGTCAGGCAAACTTGCTATGCTTTGGCTATGGATGGGCACGTTGTTTGCACATGATCTTCCGGTGTACCTTGAGGTTGGAGAGATTCAGCAGACTCGTAGATGTTGTCTGCCCTTTTCCTGATGCAATTGTTCTGTGCCACATTAACCCAACCCTAACCCTTATACTACCAACGAGTTGAACATTGAACGTACCCAGGCTGAGGCGGCGATCTGTTGTGCATCGTTGCCAGCATCCATTGTCGAGTCAACTTGATCTTTCAATCGCAATGGAAGTAACGGCTGCGAAGTCTCCCATGCTATCGGAACATTTCCAATGCCCTACGAAACTTCAAGAGACGAGCATATGGGTTCCTCATCAACCCGAAAACTAATAACTCAACCAACCGCATCCGAGAAAGCTCAAATGCCAACGACTCAACAAGTGACTGCCGGCTGGCTGGTGTCCCATATATTATATGCATGCTATGTAAGATGGAGACATGCCCCGCACCCGCCCTGCTGGCTCGTCTCGTCTCCCGGTCGTCTCGCCATACGTGATTGAGTAGGGGCCAACCTACACACACATATCGCAAGAGCTCACCATCTAGCCAGACCCAGACGGCAGTTCATTCAAGATTTGATACTTGTTAATCGCTTGATGCCATCCTTGAGTGCCATCCCCGCGTTGCAAATGTCTTAACCATTTGTCTTGACCTTGGCAGCAGTTCGCCGTCGTCACATGCTCTCCTGAAGCTCGGTGACCCGATCGTAGAGGTCCAAACAGTTTTGCTGTTTCATCTGTGTTGAATTAGTCGTGAATCAAAGACCACCAGCATTAAACAGCGCTCACCTTAACCTGAAGGAGCTCCAGTCCAGAGGAGCCTTCGATAGTACCCATGAACAGCATATAACCTCCTTGTGGCGGTCCCCCCGTTGGCGTTCCGAACTTCATATCCTTCATGACAGGCGTGTTGAGCACCACCCGAAGCGACCCATCTGCACGCATCAGCAGCCGCGCCTTTGCTTTCTCATCCTCATCGGACAGCTTCTTAACATTCAGCCGCAAGAAACCCAGGCCACGCTCTCGCCACTCCTTCTTGCCTTCGGCGTTGGCGGTAAAGTTGTAGAGCTTCGCACGGGAAGAGAACTCGATCGTCTCGTCCTCCTCGCCTGTTTCCACAGATTGCTTATAGAAGCGCTCATCCTGCTTTTCCTCCGCAACAGCCAACGGACTCTTCATGCCTGTGGTGTCCTCAACATCCCCTCCATCTTCGCTCCTGTCATCATCCTCGACTGGTGGTGCGCCGAAGCTTTTCGCGGCTTTGGAGCTACCTCCCAACGGAGCAGGGGCCTTACCACCGCTCGCGAAGCTGGACAGTCCGCCACCTGACAAGCTTCCAAATCCAGTGCCGCTCAATGCGCTTCCAAATCCGCTGCCCTCAGACCCGAGTCTACCGAATCCCGATGCGCCAGATCCAAATGCACTCGGCGTGCTACTTGCCGCACCTGACAGCAGAGACGACTGACTCAAGGTACCTCCGAAGCCTGCAGCTTTCGGCGGCTCGTTCTCTCCCTGACTCCTCAAGGCACTCTTTGCTCCAGTCGCAAAGGTTCCACCCGAGCCAAAGCCACTGCTTCCCTTAGCAACAGAGCCGAAACCAGAGACCGAGGAGCCGGATAGTGCACTGAAGCCTGAGGCGGCAAATGCACTGGCTGAAGTTGTCGGCTCAGGCGACTTACTCCCAGCGAGAGTGCCAAATGGCGAGGTCGCAGAGGCGTTTGCGAAGCCGCTGCCGGCTGGGATCTGGGTGGTTGGCTGAGTCGAGGCCTGGCTGCCGTTGGACACGGGATTATCGGTCTCAGTGGCTGGGGTCTCGGAGAGTAGTCTGCTTCGCTTGGTCTTCGGGCTGGCGACTTCTTCAACAGTCGGCGCCGTCTGACCCTCGGCCGCTGGCTCGGGCGTGATGATTTGTGGCGGTGTCTTGGAGGCGTCGTCGGTTCCTGATTTGTGGTCCATATCGATTTCGGCAGCGACATCGCCATTTCTTGCACGCTCTCCAGAGACCTTCCGGCGGCCGTTGTTAAGCTGGTCCTCCTCCGCAGTGCTATCGCGTGATCGCTTGCGGGTGTGGTGCTTTGCCGGTGCGGATACTGGGTCCTTGACTGCTTCGCCTTCTATTTCCTCGTAGCTACGTTTCTTTTGCAGTAGGCCTCGAGGCTGAACCTTCAGACCCTCGTTGCTGTTGGCCATTTTTTCGCCCGAGTCGTTGTTAACCATGGTATCGGGTGCACTCGTGTCGTGGGTAATGTGCGCCTGCTGTAGCTTCTCTCGTACCGGCTTCTCTCCACCCTCGGTGTCAGATAGGCGAGAGGTATCTCCACGCTCCAGCGCCATGCTGCGGCCTGACAGTGCACCACTAGGCCTGCGCGCTCTTACTTTGATGCAGCGACAGTGCTTTCCAGATTCCTCCAACCACAAAGCGCCTTCCAAACGGAATAAAGAGGGTTCTTACCAGTGCAGGCTACGTTGAGCGTCTGTGTTGTCCTCGCGCGTACTTGCTCAGCCAATAGCAGCACGATTTGCCGTCCTTCTCTTTCGGCAGGTGACTATGTTGATCTTCGCGGCGGTGGGATTCGTCAAGTCGCAGGGTGATTGTTTCAAAGTGGAGGTTTCGTGAGTTGGACAAGTTGATGGCGCGGTGAGGTCGAGTGCACGCGTGGGACCCTCTTGATCACATGCGGAGCAAAGCGGAGTGCTAGAAACGAAACCTGCACGAATTTATACTTGCGAATTGAAACAAATACAATTCTTTCTATTTCAATCGAACTGACAGTGGTGAGATCAGATAGTGACATTGAAGCCAAGCTGTACATCAATTGCGGCGCGCGCTACATGAAGATTGCGTCTATTTTCACGCTGTTATATCTACGATGCCAAGCATAGCAGAGAGCTCATCAATGTGCACATGTCATCGTGTCAAATGTTAGAGACATTGGTTGCACTACACATGTTGCGTTCATCGGAGCAAAGCGTCCAACTCCAAAAAATGCAGTTGCTGTAATGACCACAAAGGGTGGCATTCGCAGCCAGCAGAGTTGGTGTAAGTCCAGGACCCAACAAACATCGGCGACGCGTGTCTCATTCCATGTCGAGAGCTGAGCCTCGTGCTTATCCAAGTGATAGCATGATGTCCTGCGTACGTAGCGCGCCATCGTATCGCCAGATGTTTGGTCTCTCGACCAGGCATGATCTTACGGCGAGTCAAGCCTTGGACAAGCTGACCATCCGCGAGCATCTACACTGCTTGGTGCGGTTTCCTTTGCCACAGCTGAGCCATTGTACGAAGGAGACATCGAAACCTCCATGACCTTCGAGGGGACTGCAACCATCTTGTCCGTCTCAGTCTTCTTGTCTGGGCTTGTAATACTATGGTGGAATTCCCCAAAGTACTGCACATCGCCATCCGCGTAGAACTGATGATGATTCCGGAGGTGATGTGCGACTTTGCTCAGTGACATCCCATTGACTTTGAACTTAGTGTTGCAGTTCTCCACTGGGTAGAAGATTTCATATGTGCTACTTTTCCTTGGAACAGCAGACCCAGTAGAATACGATTTCCTATGCGCAATGGCACCGCATTGGAATGCTGCGATGGTCGGATCCTCTGAGGACAGAACATACCCTGGTGGAATACGGTGCCGGCTGGATTTCCTTCCAGTGGTCTTCACGACCTAGCACGCGTGGAATGACAGAGCGGGGTTTTTTTTTGAAAAAAATGAGCTCTCCACACTTGACACAGGTTCGAGGCAGCCCATCCCCGAAAAGTTGCTCCCACTCACTGTTGGACAGACCCACCCCCATCAGGTCATTTTTGTCGTCGGTTCGAAGAATCTCGTCGCTACTGCCAGCTGGAGTTCGTCTCGCTCTATGAGCTCGTCGAGGGTGTCGCGCTCGACCGCATGCGTCCATGTCCATGCCGCTTTCAGAAGAGTTGGCACGATCCGAGGGACCATAGCCTGTATTGCTTGAAGCGTAGGAAAGGGCACTGCGGTTGGGAATCCGCCGGCGACATAGCTAGTGGATCTGAGCTGGAGTTCGCGACTTCCGGGACTTTGCGAACATCTGTCCTGATGACAACCAGATGTCTTGCATCAGGCTCTTTGCCACGTCCGAGAAATCTGGTCCAAGGCTTCACGCTTACCTTTAGTGATGATCGTCAAGCAACGAATCATAACTCGACCATACCAGCTTGTTGCTTGCGTACTGAGGCTCCCAACCAGGCCCAAAGCCCATAACAAGCGGTGTTGTTGGTCCCTCCAGCTTTGGTCTTGCGTCTGCAATTGACCCAAAGTTACAACTAGACATCGGATTTTTGGCTGCACGAAGCAGTCATACAGTGTCTGATCGCACCGGGAGCTGTTCTTGATGAACAAAGGTTCTCTCTTGCTACTTGAGCGGGAATAGATTCGCTGCCAACGCACCAGCCCTAGACTGCTCAAGGGGAGTCCGTGTGTCTTACAAGCCTTCGATGTAGAAAGACGCTGTATGCATGCCTCATGCCCAGAAGTGGGGAGTCGTCGGGCACATAGCCTAGCTAGCGGCTTGCTTCGAGGTGAATGCCATGAATGATGCCGACAAGCAGTCCTGTACATGTGGTTATGGCGGTTGGAATTGCCCATTCGAGTAGCGTCCTGAGAATAATACCTTTCCCTCGCAGTCTCGTGTATATCTCAAAGGATGCCCATTTCTTGACTTTGACTTGTCCGAGATGTGACGCACCTCATTGTCCCAATCTGACAAGATACGAAGGTGTTCTCTTGACTGTTTTCATGTAGCTTCTTGACGCATCGGAGTGGAATTGGCAACCCTTCACATGCTGCTCTTGACTGGCTTGACCGCAATTTCCTCTCAGGCTGCGCTTCCCAGGCCGATGCGTCGAGATGCTGTAGTCTTCCATCATTGGCTTGTCTTAAGCGAAGACGTGAAAATCGAGGCTAAAGGTCCAGATGGATGTGATGAACGCAGGGTGAAATCGCGAACTGATGTCCAGCCTTGTACGTGACATCATCATCGGTCGCCCTCGATCACCCCATCCGCATGTCGAGGTTTTGTACAAGGAAGCCCGATTGCCAAAGCTCGGCGGTCGAAAACCCGAAGCTCCAGAGCTCCGGATTGGTACGGGGAGATCGCTGAGGTGTCTTGGCGATCCGGCCAACCACAACAAGAAAAGACCGATGCTAGCGGTTTTGTTCTATCAAGTTCCATGCCTGTCACTTGGTCGACATGGGTCTCGTATCACACTTCACCTTTTGCAGTATTCTTGATGCGTTGTCGCCATGAGGAAAATTCTGGCAGGATCCGATCCCCATTGTTTCACAAGGCGCAAAAATGTGGGTCAACTGCATCCGGACTTTTCTCATGGCGAATGTCCGGGCCTCGCCTTACGCCTCACGCACCCTACTAAGCAATCACTTGTTTGGTAAGCACGCGGAGACATTGTTTGCCCGCCTCGATCTCTCGGCGGCGTCAGAAAGGCCGTATCAGATCGTACGCTGCCTGACGTGTGCTTCTCACCACATGGGCACGGCATTATCTTTAATTAGAGTCCGGACCGTCATCGATGTTTGTGTACATGTGCAACTTACTTTATTTGCGTGAGTATCCAGCTTTGTGGTTCTTCAGTCAATTCCACTCGAGAGGCACRGCAACACTCGATCGCCAACATGACTCTCCAACGGAATGGATCCTGGAGCATGGGAAGTGGAACAGGAGAAGAGATTTGGCGAACCCTTTCAAGAACGATGAGCGGCCGACCCACCTCGGAGCGTCGCTCGGAGCGTCGCTATTCGAGTGCCAGCGATGAATCAGCCAGCAAGGCCGAGGACTGGAAGTACATGAATGAAGTTAGGGAGATGAAGCAGCAAACCGAAAAGGACAACGGAAAGGGACGATCGCTGGGTGTAACCTGGCAAAATCTCACAGTAAGATTCCACCTCGAGACATTGTCCGATTGCAAACATGATCTTCAGTTGTACAAAGCGTGTCTTCGACTGCTAACACGCTTCACAGGTGAAAGGCGTCGGAGCTGATGCGGCCTTCAATGAAAATGTTACATCTCAGTTCAACATCCCCAAACTCGCCAAGGAAGGGCGACAAAAGCCTCCCCTCAAGACCATTATCGACAACAGCAATGGTTGTGTACAACCGGGCGAGATGCTGCTCGTCCTCGGCAGACCTGGAGCAGGATGCACATCGCTTCTGAAGATGCTGGCGAACCGACGAAGTGGCTACGCAGAAGTCAGCGGTGATGTCAAGTTCGGCGCCATGGACCACGAGGAAGCACAACAGTTTCGAGGCCAGATCGTGATGAATACCGAAGAAGAGCTCTTCTTTCCCACTCTCACGGTAGGCCAGACGATCGATTTCGCGACTCGAATGAAGGTACCGCACCACATTCCCTCAAATACAAAGTCTCCAAAAGAGTTTCAACGGCTCAGCCGCGACTTCTTGCTGCGCTCCATGGGCATAGAGCACACTCATGATACCAAGGTCGGAAATGAATACGTCAGAGGCGTGTCTGGCGGTGAGAGAAAAAGAGTCTCAATCATTGAAACAATGGCAACAAGAGGTTCCGTCTTCTGCTGGGACAACTCAACCCGAGGATTGGACGCGTCAACCGCATTGGAATACATCAAATGCGTCAGAGCAATGACAGATGTCTTGGGCCTGACATCGATTGTGACATTGTATCAGGCCGGCAATGGCATCTATGACTTGTTCGACAAGGTCCTGGTCCTCGAGGAGGGGAAGCAGATATTCTACGGCCCCACGCCTCAGGCCAAGACCTTCATGGAAAGTCTCGGATTCGTGTGTATGCCTGGTGCGAATGTGGGAGACTTTCTTACAGGTGTTCTTGTCCCCACCGAGCGCCGCGTCAAACCTGGATTTGAGCATCGCTTCCCTCGAACTGCTGAGGAGATCCGAAATGAATACAACAGGACAAACATCAAGACACTAATGGAACAGGAATACAACTACCCGCAGACCGAAGATGCTATCCAGCGTACGGCCGACTTCCGTGAGGCCGTGCAATACGAAAAGCATCCCAGACTGCCCAAAAAATCGACTCTCACCACCGGATTTTTCACGCAGGTGAAAGCCGCCACGATTAGGCAGGTGCAGCTTCTCAAAGGGGACAAGCCAACGCTCTTTCTTAAACAAGGTACCAATCTGCTGCAAGCCATCGTCGCCGGATCGCTCTTTTACAACGCACCCGATAACACAGCGGGATTGTTCGCCAAAGGCGGCTCTCTGTTCTTGGCACTCCTTTACAACTCTCTCCTTGCGATGAGTGAAGTGACTGATTCGTTTGGCGCTCGTCCTGTCCTCGCAAAGCATCGCGGATTCGCACTTTATCACCCAGCGGCATTTTGCATTGCGCAGATCTTGTGCGACCTTCCCATCATATTCCTTCAGATCACCCTATGGTCTCTGCCAGCTTATTTTATGACGGGCCTCAAAATGACACCGGGAGCCTTCTTCACGTACTGGGTCATCAAGTGAGTCATGAGTGAAAGATTCGAGTCTGGACACAATTCTGACCCCATCTTAGTTACATCTCAGCACTCACTATGACGGCGCTATTCAGGGCTATTGGCGCTGCGTTCTCAACCTTTGACGGCGCGTCCAAGGTGTCAGGCTTGGTCGTCTCTATCTCCTTCACCTATGTGGGGTACATGATCCCAAAGCCTTCTATGCATCCATGGTTTGTCTGGCTCTACTGGATTAATCCGCTGTCTTACGGCTTCGAGGCTCTGCTAGGTAACGAGTTTGGGAACACCAATATCCCGTGCGTCGCTAATAACCTCGTACCCAATGGTCCTGGATATACCGATAGCAACTTTCAAGCATGTACAGGCGTCAGAGGGAACCAAGTCGGCGCAACCTCCTTGACAGGCGAAGAGTACCTCTCAGCATTATCGTACAGCAAAACGCACATCTGGCGGAATCTGGGTATTTTGATAGCTTGGTGGGTGTTCTACGCAGGTTTGGCCATTTTTTTCACGTCACGCTGGAGCCAGGTCAGCGGAAACACTGGCTATCTCGTTATCCCTCGCGAGAATKCGAAAAAGGCTCAACATCTGCTGGAAGATGAAGAGTCACAATCAAAGGGCGCTTCTGACAATGAAAAGGGAACGAAGACATCTTCAGACGACGAGAAGAGCGGCAATCTTGAAGGCCAGCTGCTGAAGAACACGTCTATCTTTACCTGGAAAAACCTGACCTATACGGTCAAGACTCCTTCTGGTGATCGTGTATTGCTCGACAACGTTCAGGGCTATGTCAAGCCCGGGATGTTGGGCGCACTGATGGGGAGCTCTGGTGCAGGCAAAACTACTCTCTTGGATGTGTTAGCTCAAAGGAAGACGGACGGTACAATCAGAGGTAGCATCCTCGTCGATGGTCGTGAGCTACCAGTTTCCTTCCAACGATCCGCCGGCTATTGCGAACAACTAGACATCCACGAGCCCATGGCCACAGTGCGGGAGGCTCTGGAATTTTCRGCACTTCTCCGACAAAGTCGTGAAACGCCAAGGGCCGAGAAGCTCAAGTATGTCGATGTCATCATTGATCTCCTGGAGATGCACGACATTGCGAACACCTTGATCGGAACCTCTGCCGCTGGGCTTTCTGTTGAGCAGCGAAAACGCCTAACTATCGGGGTGGAGCTTGTAAGCAAGCCTTCCATCCTGATCTTCCTTGACGAGCCAACCTCAGGACTGGATGGTCAGGCTGCATTCAACACCGTGCGTTTTCTGCGGAAGCTCGCAGATGTTGGTCAAGCTGTACTTGTTACCATTCACCRACCTTCTGCCTCATTGTTTGCACAGTTTGACACGCTATTGCTCCTCGCAAAGGGCGGAAAGACAGTGTACTTCGGTGATATCGGAGAGGATGCGCGGACGATCAAGGAGTACTTCGGCAGGTATGATGCTGCCTGCCCCCCAAACAGCAACCCTGCAGAGCATATGATAGACGTTGTGTCAGGAACGCTCAGCAAAGGGAAGGATTGGAACCAGGTTTGGCTGAGTTCGCCTGAATACACCGCCATGACCACCGAGCTCGATCGCATGGTTGATGATGCCGCCTCCAAGCCACCAGGAACTGTCGACGATGGCCACGAGTTTGCCACCTCAATGCTGGAGCAGATCAAGATTGTGACGCGGCGAATGAACGTTGCTCTGTAAGTAAAGCAAAAGGAATTCCAGGCTAGGCTTCGAAGACTACGACAATGGGGAGACGTCTATATGATTGACAGCTGCCAGTGCCTCGGAGAGCGAGCCCTGTCGTATGAAACCTTGCTGACCCATCTCTTCTTTTAGGTACAGGAACGTCGACTATGCCAACAACAAGTTTGCCCTACACATATTTTCGGCACTCTTTAACGGGTTCACCTTTTGGCAGATCGGCAATAATGTTGCTTCTCTGCAGCTTCGCCTGTTTGCTCTTTTTGTGAGTAATTCCCTCTCGCGCAGAACTCCATCCCTTTGTCTGACAAACTCGCAGAACTTCATCTTCGTTGCCCCTGGTGTCATCGCTCAATTGCAGCCGTTGTTCTTGCAGCGTAGGGACGTTTACGAGGCGAGAGAGAAGAAGAGCAAGATGTACCACTGGGTCCCGTTCGTGACAGGATTGATCATTAGCGAAATGCCCTACTTGGTCATTTGCGCCGTGCTCTACTTTGTGTGCTTCTACTGGTCAGCAAACCAACTCCCAGGTTCCAAAATGGCAATTTCACTAATGCATCGCAGGACCGCTGGGTTCCCCAATGACTCCTCAAAGGCCGGTGGTGTCTTCTTCATCATGTTCGTGTATGAGTTCATCTACACCGGTTCGTCTCGCTGTTTCTTGTGGAAGATTGACATACTGACATCCTCTCAGGGATCGGCCAGTTCGTCTCCGCATATACGCCTAACGCTGTCTTCGCGGCTCTAGTGAATCCAATTATTATTGGAACTCTAGTTTCGTTCTGCGGTGTTCTTGTGCCTTACGCACAGCTCCCCGTAATCTGGTGAGTTGCGACCCTTTGGCTTGCTCGATACATCTGCTGATCCTGCCCAGGCGATACACACTGTACTACATCAATCCCTTCAACTACCTGATGGGATCTCTGCTGGTCTTCACAACCTTTGACGTCCAGGTCGAGTGCTCGGATTCGGAGCTTGCCGTATTTGATACGCCTTCAGGAGAGACCTGCGCCTCGTACCTAAGGGAGTACATGCAAGGAATGGGTGCAAGAACCAATTTGCTCAATCCCGAGGCCTCCTCTGGATGCCAGGTCTGCCAATATCGTACCGGCGCTGACTACCTCTACACCTTGAACCTGAAGGACTACTACTACGGGTGGAGAGATGCGGGCATCTGCGTCCTGTTCGCCTTGTCTTCATATGCCTTTGTGTATCTGATGATGTAAGTTCCGATACTCGTGTTTGAATGAGTCTGTGGCTAATCAACTTGCGTAGGAAACTTCGAACGAAAGCTACCAAGAAAGCGGAAAAGTGAGGATGATCCGTTTTGGCATGGACAGACATCGACATACATCGTATTAGCGCGGCGTTGGGAGACACGGCCGATTATACCATTGTTGGAGTTTCGAGAAAGGATAGAGAATAGAAATGATTTCAGTTAATGCACACATCAACGTGCAAAGCGCGCAAGGTTAAAGGGATTTCTGCGAAGGCAATGGATAGAATTTATTGCTCGTGAGATGTATCGAACCGCCGCTGCCAAAGCTTGAATGCCAGGATGCCCGAGAGAATTCTGTACTCCGTTGTAAAGAGACGCCATGCAAGACTCCCTACTGCTCACCTGTGATCAGGGCCGTGATCGTTCTGCTGACGCGTACAAGCATTCCAAGACCGGATTGTTTCGCACTTGAACGTCAACACCAAATTTTGGCAGCAACCCTGAGATCGAAAGTGGGCTGAGCATCCCCGCCGACCCACGAGGAGACGTTGATCGAACGTTGATCGAGTTTTGCAGGGTTGTCGGAGCATTGGAGGACTTGATAGTTTCCTCACTGAGGTCGGAGCAGCTTGAAGACTGCATCCTACGACAATGAACCTGGCGAGAGGACTCGATAAAGGCGCCGGTTCCAATGAGATCCTACTCTATACGGGGCCTGAGAGGTATGAGGTAAGTATGAGGTGTAGGGCGGAGGAAACTTTGATGCGCAGTGCCCCGGCTGGGAAGGCCGAGCCCGTGTTTGCTGCACCCGCTGAATAATGTTTCAAGCGAAACAACGTGGGCGGATCTGCGGCTGCAGGCCAGAGTCGCAGGTCTGCAGCACTGTAATTTCGGCGGGACAGTAGTCGCAATCGTGGGGCCGTTGACACGCTCTGCCCGATGGCGAGGCGTCTTCGTAACCTTCAACGGAAGCGAACGGATTGACGATGACGAAGTCGAGATCTCATGTCGTCGAAGAGTAAAGTAGCTGAGATGCCATCGATGTTTTAGAGACAACCACGAAAAGCATGTCAAGTCAGTTTTGTCGTAAACAAAGTTCCGGCCGAGTCCTCCGAGCTTCTCTCTCTCAGCGAAGAAGTGAGAGTGTAAAATTGCGGACTTAAGCGAGACCRATCGAATGAAGCTAAGTGGGTCCAATCGTGGGAGCATGGCGCTACGGGCTGGCTGTGCTGCATCAACTTGCGTCTGCGTCTCCGACCTCCAGCATCCAGCACGCTCACCACCACCATCACCAACCCTCACGCGGTGGACACTCTCGACTGGCCGTACTGCTGGATCCCCCGCTCTGTATCCGCGTACCACTCTCAAATTGCCGTCGTCATCACCGCTACTTCGCCAGGTCATCTCCTCCGGCCTCGATTCCACCGCCCCTGCTCGCCCTTGCGCTACATTCCGTACACACCACGACACTCGCTTGATCGCCACCACCACCGTCCGACGACATCTTCTCGCCCTACGGCACTGTCATATTGCTCGCCCCTCGCCCGTTCAAAGACGCGCCCCATTGTTTTCAAGGTGCCAAGCCCGGACCGTATAATCTGTCGCATACGCTTCTCTCAAAGCGCTTGAACGTCGCGCAATTGGTCTGGAACTGAGCCTCGGATTGGGTGCAAAACGTTCAAAGAACCGCTTCTTTGTTCGTGGTATTGCCCGCCACGTGGATTCTTTGGTCAACGCAAAGTCCTTCGCGCGGCCGAGATTAGAGTCTTCACCAAGGTCGAAACACCCGTCTGGCATTTCACTCAAGCCACCAACTACACACACTCATTTGACTACGATACTTGCTCCGAAGGGATAGCATGTTGTAATTCTGCAGCATCACCCGCGCCTACCTCACATTTTCGGTGGTCCAACCAAACACGCGTTCGGCTTCTGTGACATTCGTCACGTACACTCGTTTACAGTTTTCAACGGTTGGTCGCATTTGCACGCGGATTCCACGACTCGACTGATCTTCGACAGACCGCATCGTCTTTTTCAATCCGATCGATTGTCAACATTCCTTCAAAATATTAATACTTGACATCATGAAGACGAGCACGACAGCATGGACAGCCGCTATTGTGGTGATGTCTGTGCAAGGGCCGTTTGCTGCCGCGGAGGCTGCGCCCGCCCAAAACCTTCAACAGGAGGCAGAACCGGAGCGACCAAAGTACTACTTTCCCCGGCACGTCAAAAGGGCTTACCCCAACGTGACTTCCTCATCCAAGACCACTCTATCAAGTCTCTTGGCGGCATTGACAGACAATGACCCCAACACGAACCTTTTCAACCCCCGGCCTTCGACGGACAGCACCACGACGGATGGCCAGACGGACGTGCTCTCCCAGTTGACATCATCAATCACCGAACCCGCAAGCGTTCCGGCTGATGCTTCAGGCACTACTCCGAAGCCCTCAAACTCGACATCGACAGAACCTACCACGACAGGTGGCCTCCTGGATCTCGGCTCTCTGTTCGGTCCAACATCGAGCGACGATGTCAAGACGAAAATTAGCGAGCAGCCAAACACGACCGACGCCACAACGACTGAACCTGCAGGACAGCCCAGCGCAAACAACACCATTACCACTGTCACCCTAGACGAGCCGGCTTACAGCCCAACTTCTACAACGGCTAACGGCGGCGGCCTGCTGGGCTCTGGAGGTCTGCTCGGACCGATCCTGCAGCCCTCCCGAACGTCTAGCTCCATCGTTCAGCCAACATATGTATCGGAGGACTCTGCGCCTAACGGCACCGAGCTCGACCCACAGCCCGCTGCGAGTGGGTCTGGCGGCGCTCCCTACAATGAGGTATCACCGACCGCACCGGCGAGCACAGAAGCTGCTCTCAGCGGTCCGACAAATACATCGACTGGACCAGTCCTTGTAGGTCTGTCCACCGTCATTGATAATGCTGCGCCGACGACGACTTCGGAGTCTGGCGGGCTCCTCGACCCTCTCCTGAGTGCCCTCAAGCCCGAGCCCACACCGACAAGCTCGACATACGCGCAGGGTACTGGATCAGATGGCACGGCTCCAGTCATTGTGCAGCCAACTGGTTCCAGCGTGCCGAACACGACGACGAAAGATTCGCCTGGATTGCTGGATCCTCTCCTGAGTGGTCTCAAGTCTGAGCCCACACCGACAGGCTCGACGTACGCGCAGGGGACTGGATCAGAGGGCACAGCTCCGGTCATTGTGCAGCCAACTGGTTCCAGCGTGCCAAATGCGACGACCACAGATTCGCCTGGCTTGTTAGATTCCCTACTTTCGCCAACGCCTACCGATTCCAGCATCGGCAGCGTTGTGTCGTCCATGTCATCGCAAGTCTCGAGCGTTTCCAGCACAGATGCACTGTCTGGTCTTGCATCCACGCTCAGCTCCCAACTTTCCAGCATCGTTGCCACTAWTCCAGCGGTATCCTCATCCCTCTCCTCCGAGTTCTCTGGTATCTTGTCTAGTGCCGCATCGTCGCTTGTCTCGTCGAGCGCTTCAAACACCGCGACCATCATTGGAACCGGAATTTCCACCGGTTCCTATTCTTTGAGCACCTCGGGCGCATCTGTCGTTCCCATCCCCGTGGGTACGGTCTCTTCCACGATCCCATCAAACGCAACTGTGACTGCGTCTTCAGAATCCACCGCTACTCCAACATCTGGGCTGACCACTTATGCATCTGCGTCAACCAGCTCGAGCAGCCTAGTGATGCCGAGTATCTCAGTTCCAGGCAATAGCTCTTCGACACTGACCGCAACTGGCCTGGTGCCCACTATCACATCATCGACCTTGTCACTCCCTTCATACGAGTCGTCTTCATCCACGTCAACAGCGAGCAGCGTATCGTCAACAAGCGAACCGATCCCGACATCGTCTTCCGCCATTGCCACCACTTCTGCGCCATCGACAACGTCCACCTCTCAGCCGCCCGCTTCTCTGGTGCCCACAGGAACCGACACGGCCACCACCATGTCTATTCCCAGCTCCATAATATTCGCACCGACAAGCACGAGCACCGCGGCAACTTTGACGAGTGTAGAATCGGGTAGTACTACGTCCAGCACGCACACTGGCATGCCTTCTGCAATGCCGCGACTTGTGCAGCCTCCCGGCGGAATGCCCAAGTCACCCGCCAACACAACCTTGATTCAGGTCGGATTCAATTATGGCTTGAACTTTCCATTTGTTGTCAGTACTGATAACTCTGCGAGCCAAATTTTTACGTACCTTCCAAAGGGTATCGCATACGCCCTTGGCATCTCGAATGACAAGGTTGTGATGAACGCGCTCATGCCTTACGACACGACCAAGTCCYTGAACTTCATCACCACCTTGGCGCAGGCATACATCCCAAGCGATATGGTCAGCCAGCTGCAATTAGATCTGCACACCCAGATGTCTAAGGCATACAGCAACCCCGATGATGCCGTTCACACGTTGATGTCCATGATCAACCCCACCATTCCCATCCTTCCCGGCGCCAACATGGATCAAGGCTACGGCACTCCTTCGGAGAACCCAGCTGCCACARCTCCAGGATCTGGCGGAGACGGTGCGCCCATTGGCGGTGACTCTGGCAGCTCGCAAGCGGTCAACGGTACATCGGTCGGAATCGGTCTCGGTGCTGTTGCCGGTGCCGCTGTCTACGCTGCAGCCATGGTCTACGTCGCTCGTCGTTACCGCAAGAAGAGAGCATCACACAAGCGTGCGAGTTCTGTGCAAGGCACCAGCGACATGGCTCAAAGATCTCCCGCAGCACTCTCAGGGGGCATGGGCGGGTACTTTATGTCTGGAGCCAATGGCGCTCGCGGAGGACCTTCACGTCAAAGCAGCTACGGTAGTGRCGGAAGAGACAGCCGACAGAGCGATGGCAGCAGCAACAACCGCAGTGTTCGGGAGCAGGGAATCAGCGCGCCGATATCCCACGGAAACAGTCTGGGATGGGACTGAGAGATATACGACTGTATGACGAAACAACAGGAGGCGAGCGAAGGACTTGGACCTCAGCCATCGAAATTTTCTCACAATGCCTGATGCTCACCCGGAAACTTTGATATCTTTTATACCCCGGGTCCGTTGCGGATTTTACTTTTCATGTCGTGCCGCGATTTCTTTTCGTGCCGAGCGGCGCTCAGCGCTCGATGAGAGCGTCTACTATCAGGCTCGCCAATGTAAATAGATCCAAAATTAGTGACAAAATTTGAGCACTTCACAGGCCGATGCGTCATTGTCATTGCGTCTTGTCGTAAGCTATGCATCATTGACTCTATTGTCTCCAAGCATCTACCTCATTGCTAGAGCTGAGTGGGTTCACTCAAAGCCGAACAAGCTTGGAGTCTTTGGAATTTGCCGCGCTATCTCCAACAGCGGGAGTGGCCAAGAGTCCAAATGTCATAAGACAGGAGAGCAGGATCCAGAGGATTGTCCTTGGTTGTTGAGGGATTTACTTGGAGGGAACTCGGTAGTCTCGTGATTACTGAGACCAGGATTGATTGGGCAGCACTGGTACAGAAGGAACGACGGCAGACGGGGGATCGTTTTGAGAAGTGGCGAGTTGATGGTTGGTCGCTTCGAGAACCGATCCGAGCGCACCGTCGAGAGACGTGGAGTGCCCTGGTGTTCCTGACTTGTAGAAGTGCCTCGTTGCTCCGATGACACACACGATGGAATTTGGAAGATTGGAAATCAACGTTGTTGCGTGGTGGCAAAAGTGACTGTTGATATTTGACAGCGAAATGATAAGAGAGTGTACGTCGAACAAATTGGAGTGCACGATGATCGGTAGAGCGATGTGAAAATCTTAAACGAGAATTGTGCCACCAAGCGGAGGATTGTTATTGATGGAAGAAGGCAAGTGAGGTTGACGTGTGATAAGAGAAGCTGATAGCAGTATGCTACGCCAGTTTTGAAAAAGGTATGAGAAAGCAGTTACGCTTTTACCTCCCATGGTATGCTGTGCTCTATGGCAAACTCCAGCATCGGCATGAAGTTGAGTTCATGCCCATTCCCAGCAAGCCGGAGGTATCTCATCTATCATGTCTTCATTGCCACGTTCACGCATCCACGACACTTCGGATGTTGCCCATACTGTGYCGTTTATCACACAACGAGGGCGACACAGGCCGGCTTATTTCCCGCTTGAACAGTGCAATGCTCTCGTGTACAGCAACGTACTCCGAGTCCGCGTAACCTATGATCTCTGAGATCTGGTTGCTCTTCACACCGCGAATCCGCTTAATCTCAATGGCGGAATAGTTTACGATCATTTTGCCAACGTCCTCGGCTTCGCTTAATGATGCGCGGCGGGAAGGGAGCACCTTGATCGAGACACACTCATGTTSTCCAAAGTGTCCCTCAACGTCAACAACACCGGCCGGCAGTAAACCGGTTTTGGCAACGAGCGCGGCATATGCGCCTGGGTCAACATATACACTTCCATGAGTCGTGAGGCCATGTAGTAGCCAGAAGTAGCGATCTCGAATAGGATGGAGGTCAGGGAGAAAGCGAGTGTGGAGTGGGGCGATGATAGGCTCGTCCAAGTGAAGGTCCGCCGTGCCGTTGAGAACAGCAGTCTTTTGATGCTGGAGTTCTTCGGCCGCCTCATTCGGCGGTAGCTCTGCACTTCCTTCTAGACTCCGAGCAGCACGCTTTAGGGCTTCCACATATCTCACAATGGCGCTGATGTTTCCGGGTTTGCTGCTTCTCGTTATGACAGTAGTCACGCCCGCAGCGGTTGCAAGCCTCGCGGCTACAATCTTTGTACTCATACCACCTGTTCCAAGCGAGCTACCGGCGCCGGCAGTATCCGCCACGAGGTCTGCAATCTCTTCCACCACCTCAATCGCCTTGGCGTCGGGGTGTGTTCTAGGGTTCTTGTCGTACAGGCAGTCCACGTCCGTCATGAGGAAGAGATAGTCTGCGTGAACCATGCCCGCAGTGATGGCACTGAGTGTGTCGTTGTCGCCGAATTTGATCTCCTGCACGGAGAGTGTGTCGTTTTCGTTGACAATCGGGATAACGCCCATGTTGAGTAGTTCCGTGAAGGTGTTTTGAGCATTGAGATACTGCGTGCGGTCTGCAATGTCATTCCTCGTCAACAAGATCTGGGCCAMAGGCTGACGCATGTGCATGAAGAGCTGATCCCACATGGCCATGAGCTTGCATTGTCCTATCGCCGCGAGAGCCTGGACTTGTGGGAGGTGCTTCGGCCGGCGCTCCAGATTCATCTGTCGCAGAGCCATGCCAATGGCCCCGGAGGAGCAAATGACGACGCGGTGGCCATCATGACGAAGACTGACTGCCGTCTCGACGATGGTGGAGAGAGTGGAAAGCAGCGGTTCGTGTGTCACCTCGTCGACAATGGACGAGGTTCCTGCGGCGGAGTTAGCATGGCTTTTGCTTGACTCAGCGTTGCAGATGGACGCCAATGCCATGCATACCGAGCTTGATAACAACGGTCAGTTCCTTCTTCATCTTGCTGCCCAGACCAGGATTGTCCAACCGCGCTCGAGCTTGCTCGTAGTCGGGAGGCACAGAATCCTTCGCATGATCGCCCATTGTGCGCTGCTCCCCTATGGCCTTGACTCGCTTGTTACCTCGGGGTGTGAGGTGGAAGCTTTGGCGATGACAAACTTTACTTTACCATCTCAACTTCACCTCCATGCATCTGACATCCCCTACATCGGCACTCTCCCATCTTCAACACTCGGTGATGTGGGACCAAAATGTTGCGAATTCAATGAGCAATAGCCAACTCAGGTGAATAGATGAGCGAAAGCGTCCTCACTGCGACAGATATCGAGATCTCCCTCCGCGTGCTTGGCACAAAGAAATGCAAGCCTTTGACCAGAACGGTGTCCTTCTCAGCAACGCCACTTCTTTTGATATGTGCAAGCTGCACATGCTTCGTTAAAGGTCAATATAGGCAAGGGAGGTACTCAGGACGTGGATCTTGTCTCACCCAACATTCTCCTCTTTCTTTACGTTTCGCTCTCCATCATATCGCAACTATCACCAACGRCATACTCCATCGAACAATCAACACAACTACATACTCCACCGAGCTCAACAACAGTATCGACAGCATGATTGCTGTCCAGAAGCATCAACAGCTTCCGCCTCGATAGACGGCTTCGGGAGTGATTCTTGAGCGACGAGCCTGAACAGGATCGCTGGAATGGCACAAGCTGGCTCGCATGTAGAACCCGAAGGACCGAGCTGTGACTCGTCTTCTTCGCGAATTTCGAGGACATTGAGAAGGGCAGAGAGTGAAAGACCTTCGACGTGGTATCGACCACGCCGAGACGAGGTACGTCGTTTATGAAAGTGTATCCACGGAGCGCGCTGTGGTCAGTCCGAGGATGTGGCTCTGCGTGGGACGAATTGACCGAGTGCAACGGCGATGCTCCGCGGACACTCAGTGTAGCTGTGTAAAGGACGGCATCATGATCATTGAGCATCGTGGTTGATCTAAAATGTTCAAAGAACTTTCTCTACCCACAACATCTCATCTATACCACTATCGCGTCARTGAAGGTCCCGCGTCAGCAACTTCCCTCAGTCGTGGCAGTAGTTTTTGTGGGCGGAACCACTATGAGAAATGGTCAATCTCCAATCGGCTCCAGAATCGACAGTCGAGTAGCGACCGGCCCCGAAGAAGTTGCACACTGTCCCCGAACCATGCGACCATAATAAGGTACCTCTGGTTCTGCCGAAAATGTTCGGTGTTAACATGCTATAACGTCGACTCCACAACGGTCGGCTTCGAATGCGCCATGACGGAAGAAGCCGCTCAATGAAGAGGGAAGACGGAAAMTACAAGTCTAACCGCGAGATGGTTATCGCCGTTGTATGACGCTTTGGGATGTTTGCCGATGAGCGCTGCACTCACCCAAAGTCGAAAGCACACTACGATCTGTAACGAAAGCAGCGATCCAAGCAGTCTGTATCGCAGCATCATCAGCCGAGRGACAGTTTCGTGAAGAAAAAAGCCAATCTCGAGCAAACACCTAGAACAGGAGGTGCAAACACCCTAATGAAGGGAGAATCGACGGCAACAGCCGCGACATCATCGCCATGTGTGCGGAGGAAATTGAATCCAGTACCACGGCTAGTAGGAGCTCCAGTTTCATCCTTCACAACTAGCTTTTTTTTCGCGTGCCTTGGTATGATAAAGTTCTCGACTCCGTGGACATTACCGCCAACGTTGGGCCGCGTTGAACCTTTTCTCCTGCTTTTGAAACATGCCACTTCGAAGCCACCCCGCATCAACAACAGATTGGTTGTGCATGTGAACAGCAGACTAGGAAAGTCTAACGTGATGGCGAGTCTCTTGCGCGCATGTTGATGCGGGGATGGTAGCGTGCTGTGATAAGTCCCGCATGTCAGGAGGATGCTCGAGAGGTGGAGAAAAGGGAGACTTTTGTGTCGTGAGAAGGACGTTGAAGCCCAACCACTGCCGCAGCATGGTTGGTAATCGTAACACAAGTAGACCTAAGAGTGTAGTCGTACATGTCAGATCACGCCAGCATAGACAGCTGCGCGTGTCCATTGGAGCTCAAATGTTTCCCTTTTTGAGCTCGTAAATTTTTCCTCCCAAGCGGTCGGTCCCTGAAAATCGACCGTCGCGGCATCATCATGCCAGAATGTTACACCGCGTTATCACCCGCGCGATAGAAGTAACCATGCGCCTGTCTATGCAACCCAAAGAAGAACGCCAGGCTCAAATGCGTTGCACACGCTAAGACAAAGTCGTCATTCATTTTGCTCCGAAAAAACCCGATTGCTAGTTGGATCGTTAGTTTGGTCGATGGCGAGGGAATGGACCGATGAAACATACCAAACAGCCTTCACAGGCATCTCCGGATTCCCCTCCCAAGACATACCCGTTGCAGTTTCGCGCTGTGAAGTAGTAGCACCTCTGGCAGCTGAGTTCTTGCGTTGAAATTTGTGCCTTGTCTGATGGTGCCGGTAGTCGTTTCGAAGACATGCGTTCCGGAATCGAGTGTTGTTGCTGTGGTTGTTGTGGTAGTGCTGGTGCTGATGCTTTACGCATCAACGAGGGACGCTTTCGAATAACCGGCGCAGATTGCGGGGCAGATTGAGGAGGCACGGCAGGCAATGGCCGTGTCGCGTAYGTGTTGATTGCCTGTGGGGGTGGAAAGCTGGCCGGTATCCTTGGCAAGGACGGACGTCTCGTCATGGAGGGCTGCTCGTTGAGTGGTGTGGTCGGTCTCGACTCGACCTCGATCTGGCTGACCGGACGATCGGCCTCTTCTGACTGAGGATATGTCCTTCGGTGCAACACCTTGCCCAACCTAAACCAGGACTTCCCGTTCGAGCTTGTCTTGCTGCGAACGCTCGCTGTATCGCTGCCTTCTTCTGGAGGCGGAGACAGTGATCGCCCGCTGTATGTTGTGTTTCTTGGATTGTAGTTGGACGTGCTGCTGATTGTTGATATGCTGCTTATCGAAGAGTGTGCGCTTTGTGACGTGGGCGCATCTCGGAACAACTGTTCCATGTACGCTGGCCGAGTTGACGATGCAGAGGGTCGGTGCAGAGCTACGGACATTTTCGTCGAGCGGAGTGTCTGAGCGTCGGTATATAATAGTAATGCTGCGACAGATGCCAATGACTAGAGATCGCTGAGTAGGGAAATTTGCTAAAGTCCTGAGTCGGAGGTGGAGTCGGCGAGAAAGAGCGAGTGTGTGTCGGCCTCCAATTCGTACTATGTCATGTAGTTGTTGAGTGATGGGGAAGCAGGTAGCGATGGGAGGATTACGGCAAAGACAACTAGCAGTGGTCCAGGGCGTGGCCACCTCTTTGACCCGTAGTGCTAAGGCTTGTGAGAGTATCTTAGCTTCGAACGCTATCACCAAAAAGGCTCTAAACACTTCACTTCGATTGAGATGCCCTWCTGAGACAGGCGGGGATCGCCAGTCGCTACCTCCTACCGGGAGCGGGACCTGCAGCGACCAGCACACATTCCATGGCCATACACAGATGGTGGCGCTGAGCCCATGGATGCATCGTGCGGTGCCCCGCGCACGAGCAACTCTCAGAATGTACCGGGACGGCATGCTGGTAGGAGTGCCGTGTCAGTCGCTGCGGCGCGGCGCACCCGAAAGGAGTCGCCTGGGGTTGTACACTTTTCGCAACCCGTCCAGCCGTTGACGCAGGGTAGATCCCGCGGCTGCGTGACACCGCCGTCTTACTAGCCGATGGAAACTCAAAGCAGGACACGATACAGCAGCATTGCTGCGGTCGGTGGTTGGGCATCTCGTTGATCGAGGTGGTCACCTCGAATTTCCAAAGTCTGCCAAAAATGGGGATGGACAGCGCGTTGCACAACTGCCAACAAGTTCTTGGTCGAGATGCTTGCGGCTTCTCCCAGGATCTGAGCCGCGCGCGGCGCACGAGCTGGTGCAAAATGTGGAAAGGTGGGGCTCCATGTGCTTCGGCAGCAATGTCCTTCTAGCCTTGCTTCTGAAACAACCAGCCCAACGGCCGCTTTTGCACAAGGACAGCAGGTTTTGGGTTTTTCGCAGTGGCCAGTCGGCGGCCAGAGCATTCTTCTTTGGGGATGTCGCACAGATCACATCCACGCAACATACCCTACAAGTTGATGGAGCTCGGGGCAGAGTCGTCGTATACCGGGACAATGATGCTCAAGGGTATACATCCGCGTCGCGGCGTTCACGGGCCGCCGATGATGCAAAAGCCAGTAGGCGACGAGAGAGATCCGGGGATGAGCCTCCAGCGCGGCAAAGTCCAGCAATGCCATTGCCAGGGCACAGGATCGAGGACGGAACCTGTCAAGGTAAATGATGGCAAGGATTCATCCGCTCTCCGAGTCCCGTCCGTCCATTCATAATACTTCGAAAGACTCGCCTCGAGCCTGCAGAACGAAGTCATCTGCGTGAAAGCTGTGTTGAGAGTTTCCCGATGTCCCATCAGCCTGCCTCCGATGGGCCTCTTCACATCGGACTCATACCGGAGCTCCACTCCTTTCGCGACTCCTTGCATGCCGGATCGATGGCCAATGTCGCAGCTGTTGGGAAAGCTGGGCATTGGCTCCGCTTTGTCCGCCCCCGATCAATCGCCTGTCTATAGGGCTGGCATCGGGCAACCTCATCAGCGGCACAGCTTATCCTTGGACGMACGGTTAGGGCCGATTGATGGTCGTCATTGCACGATTGTTGGCCAAAAGACCTGTGCTGTGTTGTGTGAACGTGCCAAAGTCATGTTGTGGTCATTGTTTCCAATGCTTCCCAGAATACTAGAAAATGCATTGGCGCGAGGTCAACGCGCTCACAATAGCAACCATGACCGGACGCCGGGGACGGGGCATCCCCGTCACGCTGATTTTTCTATGCTKAGCAATCCGCGTCCCCTCATCACACAACGAACTGTTCCACTGCGTGTGAATCACACATCCGCGCTTTTAGCGGCGCGGAAATCGGCGATTAGATCTACAAACCTCTGCAGTGTGCACATGTCGCGGCTTCATGACTTTGCTTCCGCGAGTAGACGAACAATAGTCCATTGCTGCACGCCATATTACTCTACCAAGACATACATGTGCCCAATACCGTCATGACCCGCAGAGCACCGGTGCGAGGTGTGCGGCTCGCAAATCCAGGTTGGCCTCTGCCGTCTTCCGCCCAAACAGACAGAACATGACACCTTCATTAAAGAAATACATGGGTGATGGATGGTGAAGGTTGGATGGAATGAGACATGATCTGTGTGCTAGAAGTCGAAGAATCGAGATTTGACAGCTGCAGGTGCGATGTTTTGACAGGCTGTCAGATGGACATCCCTGAACGGTATACCAGAATTGCTCCACGGCTCCACCGTTCATGGACAACCGTCCAACGATGAGGCAAATAAATCCCAGAAAATGGCAAGCAAACGATTGGATCAGCATTGGCATCGTACAGGGGGGGCTGCATCCAAACACACCGCATGGCAATGAATGGCATGCCAGTTGATGAGGATATACCTGGGATGAAGCCATGATCCGAAACTCAACTCCCAATAAAGCATCAGGCCTTGAAATGCAAGGCGTCCCACGTATATCCCCACTCCAGAGTGCCCGCAGTCCGCAGAAGCGTGATCCGCACGACACCAGAGCAACACGCAACTGCCTTGCCCCAATACAGACTTTCCCATGCCGATCCACAGAAACATTCGATTTTCACAACTCTGTCGTCGTTATTTGCAAGCGGTACAGTACTTGCTCAAGGGTCTGTCGAAGTAAATTTCCTCCTGCTCTCGTATCCATAGTCAAACATACGATCATTCCATGTCGATCGAATCGGATTCCGCCTTTGCGACAAGCATGAGAAATGTAGAATCAAAAGCAGAGCGTTCGCACATAGCTGTGTGCAGGGTATCAAAATGCCTCCCAAAAATCAAAATAACGCCGCCCGGTCCCCCTTTTCGACATCCACCACATCTCGAACTCGCGTGGATGCTTTCTACGCCGCCTCTTTCCCCGCCAACGATAAATTGATGCACGACCCTAGCATATTACTGGCTTCGTGCGCCAACTCCCATCTTGGCAGACGGAAGAGGTTTTTCAGCCAAATCAGCAAGCCCACGTAATGGTTACGATCTTTGAGGTTCTGAAGATCGTCGGGACTTGTGACCTTGCCCACGCGAAGCAAATACTGTCGCGCATCTTGGACGTGGACATCTTCGGGTAAGAGGTCGTAGCCCGGTGCTGTGATTACCGGTCCCTCGAGTGCAAAGCCGTATGACCACACAGTCATCATGGCAAAGTATAAGATCCATGGCCGGTTGAGTAGGTAGTCATCTCTCGCGCTGTAGTCAAAGGTGGCAGTCTCGGCTGGCGGATCTTGTTTCTCGTCAACGCTGCTCGCCTGCATCAGCACATCGCAGAGGAAGCGCAGAGCATAAAATGTCGCGTCGCGCGCCCTCGCACTTGGCGCCCACTGCTCACGCATCTTCCGTTGAACAGCCATTCGATCGCCGTCTGTTACGATTCGACCCAGTGCTCGGTCGGCGCCAGCGAAAACCTCGCAGTCCACAATGTCGACGTGCATGGCCATGTGTGCTAGACTGTGCAAACATGTTCGAGATTCGAATACGTTGTCGTGGTGGTCTGCGTGGCAAGTGGACTTTGTCTCTGGATTCCAAACTTGCGACCATTGATCGGTTTTCGTTAGACTCTCGTCAAAGTCCCGGCGCCAGAAATCAAACGCCCGCGTCAAATGGGAACGCCAGCGCATTGGATTGCCCAGTGAGCTGCCTGCTCCAAGAGATGTGATTTGCAGATCGCGCTGATTCATATGCCAGCTGAAGTTCAACAGCCCGGCCATTAATATGACACGACCAAAATTATTTGTGCGAACTTTCTGGCCGTTGAGCGTCATCTTCAGACCGTCCAAGAAGGTGGTGGGCTTGAATCCGTTGGCGGCCAGGCTAGCTTCGACGCGTTGAACTTCTGCACTACTCGTGGCAGACCAAAGTGCCTCATCGCAGGGGAGCGGAATGCGGATGTCATGCGGCGACATGACTGCCGAATGTCCAAAGAGTGTGGCATGGGTCGAGTCTATCACAAATGCAGCAAACGCCACTCGACGCGTCGCTTCTGCAGTGATCCAACGATTCCAATACGCATCCGGGGTGTTAACGCCGGATGTATTGATACTACCCTCCGGACCAGGGGGAGTTCTCGTCGGATCTAAGCCAGCAGATGAAGTTTCGACTGCGCTTCGACCGATGAGCGAAGATCCCCTTCGCATGACCGTCAGAGTGGTTGCATGGTGAATGTGTGCCCGCTCATGCAACGCTCGTGTGCTATACATCTTTTCAAAAAGCTCCAAAAGCAGCATCGTTTGGAATGTCCAAAGTTTTGCTGTCGGCCTGAATTCGGCATCCTTGAACACCTCCCAGCGAATGTGGTAGGCGGAGAAAAAGGAGAGCTCTGCGCACGTTTTGATGAGCTCTTGACTATGAGTCCGTTCCAGGCAGCAAGCTCCGAGACACATGATGGCAAGGAGAAGCAGATCCGGACACGTCTCCGAATTGAACGTCGGACGGTGCAAGATTGGCATCTGCTGGTGTATATGAATCCAGTAGCTTGTGATGTAGGTCTTCATCATGTTCACGCTCAAAGCATGATACTGGTCATTTGTATCGCCTTTTAAGATCTCCTCCTTCACTTTGCGACCCGGCATGTTTTCAAGATCTTCAAAAGACTGTACCAGAGCGATGATTCGAGCCTGCTTCCGTTCCGTGAGAACACTTTCGCGCATGGTGAGATCCATGCCATGGCTGAGGGAGAGATCTACATCCTGCTCCTTTGCTGGGGTTAACACCTCTTTCTTTGCAACTGGCGGAGGCATGACATGAGCCATTGTGTCGTACGAGAAGTCTTGTGAAGGGGGAGAGGGCATATTCGGATCGCCTCCCAAAAGCTGTTGAAGTAAAGCATCTCCCCAGACCGAATCTGGTGAGCGATTGAATAATCCGTCGCTGAACACCTGCGATAAAAATTAGCACTCCAAAACAATCACGAGAAAATTGCTTGTCAAGTCGTCAATGTGACATACCGGCAGAGCATAGGTGGCATCGAAGTTATCCATGACGTTGTATGCACCAATGCTGTTGCCCGTGGCGTTCGGCATCTGATATTGGTCCAGTGGATTTGGAGGGGGTGACATGGTATTGCTCGATCTCGTGCTACCGATACTGCCATAGTTTGCCGCCATGCTAAACGGCGGCAATGCCGGAAGAGCGGAAAAGGTCTGTGGCGATCTGAACTCCGAATTGTAATTTGGATTCGGGTTTGAATGCGAGCTGGGTGAATGAAAGGTGGATTGTGGATAGGCGGAACCCGATGACTGTGCAGATGCGAGAGGCTGTGGCGGTGGTGGCATGGCACTAGCAGGCATCTGTTGATGTTGAGCATAACCATTTTGCGCTGAGCCAGGTCGAGCGAAATGGCCCTCARAGCTGTAGCGCCTGCCGCCGTTGGTGGTCGGAGGCGGCTCCATCGAGCCAGATGTGTGGTACGCGCTGTGGTAATTGTTGTAGGACGGGTGGTCTACGGGAGCACCGACCTGGGCCTGCATCTGCATAGGAGGTAGTTGCTGATGATTGGCGTAATGCTCGGATGAGGTGGTGTAAGACTGCCGAGGCGGCTGAGGGGCCTGCACTGGCGGCGCCATCTGATACTGCTCTGGATGTGTCGACGACGACGATGGCATCGCATGGGCAGAGTCCGTGGGCGAGGTGTTGCTCGCCGTCGATGCCGTCCCCGGTGGCGAATTGGCTCCATTGGACGACGGTGTCGGAGCGATGGAGCCTCGCTGGCTGTTCAAAAAAGCATCCTTGCGTTGGAGATGCGATCCTTTGGCTGTGTGGCGTTCCCTGTGTCGTGCACACAGGTCCGCGCGAACAAAGTGCCGGTCACACCCGGGAAAGTCGCAGTGGTAGATTTGCYTGGGCGTGTGGTTGAGCTGGTGCCGATACAGATGCTCTGCTCGCGAGTATGCCTTGCCACAGTCGGCCGCCGGACATTCGTATTTCTTGTCAAAGGTCTTGATCACGCGACGCTTCTTCTTGGCCTTGGTGTCCGCCAGCTCGTCTACTTCATGTTCGGCATCGTCCATTTCCACGTCCTGCTCCTCATTGCTGTTGCTGATGCTATTCTGGTCGTCGCCGTCGGCCCGGTCTCGCTGTGCCGTTCCGTCCGTACTCGCCGTGTGGGAACTCATCGTGGTGCTCATGGCCATGTCCATGCGCTATTAGCGGGCGCCGTCGTCGTCGAAGTGCCACTATCGCTGTGGAGATTGCAATGACTGCGGGCGGCGAGCATGCTCCAAGTGCTACAGCGTGGGAGCTCCGTGGTCATGTCCTGGACGGCAAGGCAAGCAGACGGACGAGGGTCACGGAGATGTACGGATGACGGAGGATGGAGCAACGAGGCTAGAGTGAGAGAGTTACTTCAAGGTCGCACGCCCAACCATACAGGGCTCTCCGCATTCACTCGCCGACGTGCATGAAGGCTGAAGCAGCATCAGCCAACGACTCGTCTGGTCGTCCTTCGAGAGGCTTTGAGAGAGGGTCCGACGACGTGGGGGTGGGCATCGTAGATCTTCGGCGAGATGCGATCCACTCAACGATGGAGCCAGCCTGCACATGGCTTTTCGCTTCCAAGTTCTGCTCCCAAAAGCTGGCGCCTACGCGAAAGCTAACTTGTGGATTTCAAGACAATGCCCAGATGACCTGTTCCCGCTCACACATCTCACGGTTGAATGGACAATGGCGGCAAGAAAAGGTGTGCAGCTTGGTACGCGATTGAATTTACCGGCGGCGGCCAAATGTGCGCACCTGCATGCTGCATGCACAAGCCATGCGAGCGCGTGTTGAGACGAACGCGCCAAAGCTGCGAGAAGCATAGCCTTTGAATGCAGTTCGCGGCGACGACGACACCCGCCAACCCGCCAAAGTCAATAGGCCACGAAGAGTACGCAGCGTTCGATGCCGTCCGTGCCATGCGCAGCGCAGCATCACAGTATCGCGGTTTGGTGCCGGTCGAGCATTGGTCGTCAGCGCACGCGCCACCTCACCCTCATGTACCTGTACATGTGACAATGACACTACGATGGCGACCGTTGCACAAATGCGTGGCGTGCAGAAGTGTCCCAAACACGCCTCTCGGACAGTATTGACATTGACATTGATCACTCCCCGAGCGGTGTCAATGTTGAACCCAGCCGGGCGAGATGGTTCAATCTAGCAACGTAGCCCATGGCGAATACCAAACACAAAAAAATAGTGCTTACTGATCGTACTACTGCTCCCTGGTGAAMGGCAGGCAGGGTGTGGATGTACCCGCCGCTGTCGTAGCAGTAGCAGCGAAAACGGGTTGCATCCACTACCGGGCCTTGATGAGACCAGAGAAGAGCCAGCAAACTACTTATTCTCCGGAAGGATAAGTCGACTTCATGTTGCACAACACCTGCAGCTTGATGGAGATGTGCATTGGTATCGTTCAACCATGCAAGGACCAACTGGCATTGACATATTTTGTGCCCCCGCGTCAGTCGCGTCTGCCGCGTGGGTGATTACTTGTCGACTCCGTGCCGGGATCCGGAGACGTGTGCATCACTCTGAGAGCTCCATTTATWGCTGTGATCAAGATTCCGGATACCATTCTCCCAGATCTCAAACACGGAACACACTGTGCCACCAGCCACCGTGACTGTCGACTCCAGCATGCAGCGAAAAATGGTTGACGGCCCCCAGATCGCCACCTGCTCCACGTGGATCAGCTACTGAAATAACGTCTGTTGTTAAGTAAGGCTGGAGTAGGAGTGCAACGGACCAAACTATAGCAAGGAAGACGTGGGGAAAGAGAGTTTTGTGGTCACTTCATTCTCCGCCTCGCTTGACGCGAAGCATCATGGCTATGCACGGTCATTTATTTGAGACTCGTGGTCATTCGGAGCGTTGTCCATTCACCAATGAGACGCGCATCAGGGCAAGGTTTGGTAGATGTTTGTGATGTGTCTTGCAGACCACAAATGCAATTCGTCGGATGATGCACTCGGAAACATTGACGGCCGGGTTCTGCCCAAACTTAGGTTGACAGGATTCACGCCTCGTCTTCGCAGCCCTAGGATTGACTTTGTAAAGTGGTACTCGATGATGGCGAGCCATTTAGGATACGCCTTCTTTCGGGTGATGCACCGTTTTGTCTGACCCCGAGCATGTGAATGTAATCATCATCCGCGATCATGATTGGATATCACCAGCGGATATACCTCATCAGTGTTTGTGCCCGTTAGCACCTGATCCAGCGTAGTAGTCATCCTGCATCCGTTTGAGCTCATCGCTGATGTCTTGCACGCCAGTTGGCTCCTTGCCATGCGAAGCCCAGAATTCCCTCCGCTCCCGCAGCAACTCACTCGCCCACTCCATGACTTCCGGCAACTCTATGCGCTTTGCGACTCTCGAGAACTCTCCCAAGTCCAGCTCGCCTTTGTGACTGCGCTCATACTCAATCATCTGCAATAGCAATTCCATCTTGTCCACATCATGAAMGAAATGGCTCTCCAATGTCTTGGAATCTTCATACTCTTGCCACACTTCACGAATCTGCTGTCCTGCTACCCCACCGTGGACATTGCCGAGTAAACTTGTGCAGAGATAGTCCATCGTATCCGCTTCGCGTCTTGACTTTTCGCTCTTCTCTACGCCATCCACGGGCGTGATGTCTCCTACCAGGGCTTCTGCCATGTCGTGTACAAGAGCCATTTTGGTGCATCGTGCCAGATCTATACGAGAGGCGAGCGAGGGCGGGCAGAGCATGGTGATGATGGACATGCGGTACATGTGGTCGGAGATGGATTCGCCATGGTTGATGTCGAAGCGGCGCCAGCCTTCGCGTTTGGTGGTTTTGAGGCGTTCGATCAGATGGAAGAAGGCGAGAGGGGAGGTGGAGTTCGTCTGTGGGAGGGAGGAGAGCTCAGATTGGAGGACTGGAGAAACGTACGGTGAGCTTGAGATTTGGATTGTTTGTACACGGTAGGCTCACTGAGCGCTCACATGCCGACACATACCACTGTCGACGGTCCACTGCGCTGGCGTTTTCTCTGCGACCAAGCGGCCGGAAGTTGGCTCTATCGTGCTGTCAGTATGGAAAGTAATGAAGTGGGAAGGTGTATGATCACGCACTTGGAGACGAGTTTGTCTCAATGGCATCCGGCGGTGACATGGTCACAACGTCGCGGGGCTCTCGTGGGGCTTTTTTGTTGGGATGCTCGTGGATGTCTTGAAATACTGCCACTGGAATCTTGCCAGGAGGAAGAGACACTGGCAGAGTGGAAGATATGGTGCGATATGGCTCGCGTAGCAAACGCTTTAGTCAATGTTTGTACAATCACCAGGCTGCAGCAACAACAAATGCCTATTGCTGTATGTCGGCGATAAAGTAAAGGTTAAAGATCCTGGTGCCGATCATGTCGGTACCTTCTCTCCCTCAATCAAGGTGGATTGGATTGGCTCATCTTGATTCTTCACAATCACCTCGCAATTCACGGTATGAGGCCGACACGACGACTTGGAGAGAATATGAGCCCTGCCCTCGTTCAACTTCTACTTCAATCATGCTTGATTGCCCTGTCGCAGAGTCCGCCAACCATTTTCCGTGGAGGCCTGGGTATCCTTTGCGCTTCACGCTCAGGAATCATCCGAGATGAGACGATGAACGCAAGACGGAACGGGAGATTCATTCATCTACGTATAAATTACGAGAGATACGTGAAATATCATGTAGAAGCTCTCATCTGTGAGCAAGCCTGTCATTAATACCACAGTCATGATAGACTCTACCATCCACCATCAAAGAGTCCGCATGTCAAGAAGGGCTGGTGTGTCAGGCGACCATGCACAGGTAATTAATGAACATAGCAGGATGCCTGTCTCAGCGGACTCAAGCCCAGCGCTGATGTCGATGTCAACGTCAACGTCGCGGGCGTTTCAGTGTCCGTTGTTTGTCCTGTTGGTCCTGCAAGATGATATGACGACAGAGGTAAGCACCAGTGCTGTAAAGATCTAATCATATGCTCGCCCGGTCTGGTAGGTTTATCACTCGACGTTGCGTTGCTCCGTGTCGATTCGTTTGGATGTTTGAACAACCAAACGGTGGAATGACGTTATTAATGAAGCTCACACGCCAGGTTCATGCTGTGCTGTGAAACATGACATGACTTGAAGCACGAGCTGGATGGAGGTGTGCGGCCAAACACATATATCAATCAGCTTTGCGTGTGGATACGACATGTCTGGTATGTGAATGTGAATGTTCATTGCATTCCTTTTGTTGTCTCGTCGACCCCTCTGTTTTCGCCGATCYCCTGCAGCTTGTACCGCGCCTACAACCGCGCGCCGTTGTTTCGCAATTCTCAAGCGTTGCGCAGGGGTCTTCGCTTCCATCCGTGGTTCGAACACTTGCCAGCAACGGGACGAGAAACTCCTATTCAATATTTACAAAGTCCCGAGTGCCGCCCCTCGTACGGTGAGCTTCCGCTTTGGACATGCCGCGGCCGCAGTGAAGGAAAAATGGAGAGAAGTGCATCCTCGGCAAGCAACACCAGCAACGCCGCTCACCGACAACACAAGCGTGTAGACTCGAGAATTGCTCACGCACCCTCCACCGCCTCGTTGCTGGTCAGGAATCTCCGTCTCTTGGACCTGGACACTCGCTCGGACTGGCCTGCCATTACTCCAGCGAGCTTTGGAAACCAGGATGCACGCACGCGCATGCGATGTGCGGAGTGGGCATTGTTCCAGCTGTTCCGCATCTATGATCCAGCCACCACTGCAGACAAGTTGCAGCCTTTCTTCCCACCTCTGGAGCCCCTGCAGAGCATCAACCTCCGAGCTGCTCTCTACCGATGTCTGAACGAACTGAAGAGGGATGGCGTGCTGGGGCGGGAGACGGTACTGCGGAAAACGATGCTGGATGACTGTCAAGGAGACAAGTTCTTCGAAGTGTGCTTGACCTTTTCCGCCACGGTTCTGCAAAAGGCAAGAGTGGATGGGCGGAATGAGGCCGAAAGACCGGTGGCACAGCGAATTGCAACCTCACAATCGTTGGGGAAAAGGCAGCGGGAGAGCATGTTACCGCTTGCCATTGCCCACAAAGCTGCATTGAGCAAAGTCTTGGCCCAGCGAGATCACAAGCGTCAGGCATACGCGAATTTTGGTGACTTGCTGAGCGAGAAGCAGAGCGATCTGGAACAGAGGAAGATACGGATCGCAGAACAACGACACGACCCTCGTGACAACCCTCCAAACCAGACATTCGCGCAGGACGTGCTGGAGAAGAGATGGGTTGGCAGTAATGAGCTTCGAACCGCTCTCATTGACGGCGATTCCGCAGCTGGTGGAGACGGTGTCTTCACCAAGTCGTTTGAGGCACTCTGGCAAGCTACTGAGCAGAACCGCCTGTTCTCGCAATGCACTGCCGATACTGGCATCCTCGAGGATCTGGAGCAGCGCACTCGCCAACAACGACGTCGACTGCAAAAGTGGCAGAACTTCCACCAACGACTCATGATCTCGAAGAGTCCAAAAAAGTCTGACTTCGCTCCCAAGGATATTCCTTTGCGGTTCGATCAGCATCGAGGATTGAATCTGCGTGACATGGCAGACGAGCCTTCCCGTCCTCCTCCACCAAGCAAAAAGTCCAAAAGTGTCACCGTCGCAAAGTACGATGACATATTGACCACAATGCGAGAGGAGTTGCGGATGAACGCCGCCAAATCTCAAGGCTCGCCCACGAAAGCTACTCCGCAGGCGAAGAGACCAGTGGTGAAGCGGCACAGCCTATCTCAGGACAGCTCTGCACATCCTCCGAGTGAACTCAACCACCAGCGCTCCCATTCCCAAGCTGCTGCTCCTGTCCGTCCAGGCATCCACAAACGTTTCTCCTCCCGCTCTCGATCATACCACCAACCCAAGGTCATCTCACAACGCGAGATTCTCCCTTTGAAGTCGGAAATATTCTCTCCTCTGGCCACTAAGCGGTTGAGCAGTGGATCGTCTAGCTCTCCGCGGTCAGCGTCTGTCGTGTCCCACATGGATGACGCTTCTCCGGGTGCTCGCATGGATGATATACTGGAAGCYACGTCGCGGAGGATACGGCAGGACAACGAACTCACTGCAGCTATGGAGGCTTCGATGGCAGGCGGAACCTCTTCCAATCCAAGTCGAAGTAACTCCGGCAACAACAGTCCAACCTTTAGGAAAGTGAGCTATGACGCGCGTGATAGTGGCATCGAGCTATCCTCGAAACCTAGCGTCACTCCTGGTAGGAGCACAGCCCGACCAAATCTAGCCGACAGAACTCGCATGTCGATGGCGTTCAAGAGTTCCGACGACTTTACCAGCATTATACCAGGAACAGAGCAGCGCAGCCCGGAGAAGCCTGAGACACCAATGGCCACCGAAGTGCCACCCGAACTTGAGAGACGTTCTACGCTGCAGGAGAGAACTCGACAATCAATCATCTCTCTTCCTATTGTTCCACAGAAGAAACCCACCCACGCCCGATCAAGGACATCCGCCTTTCCCGTGAATCAATTTGAGACCCCACAAAAGGAACATCGAAGGTCGACTCTCGCCTTTGCTAACGACATCACCCCGTCACAACGTCGTGATCTCACACCTCGGGAGGAGCTGTTTGATCAGGATGCAGAATATGCTTCGGTCTTCAAGGCGAGGCCGAAGATTGCGCTTAGCCCGGTGCTTAGTCCTTGTGTGGATAATGGAGGTGATTTGATGGAGAGTGAAGCTTCGCCTCTTGTGGCTGTTGGGGACAGGGGCTTGTGATGAGAATCATGTTGACGAAGGTATTGAATTATTGATCGAAATTTTGGGGGTATCATTGAAGTTTTTTTGTTTGTATACCCAACGACGTGGCGAGGTTCATGTATATATCATGTCGAACTGTTCAGGGGTGTTGAAGATTGGCAGATGTGTTCGGCTGTTGTGAGGAGGAGATTCACGTGAAATATTTGGGAGCTTCATGGTGAATTTGTCGAACCGATACAAGAGAATGCATCGTAGAACGCCGTACTGTTCACCCGGCCTCTTGCTATGTAGGCATGTTCATCAGTGGWAGAGGCTATGGCGACTTCACAGAGACGTGTGAAGTGTGATTTACGACTTGGACGCAATCTATAGGTTTTGTCAATCAATTTCCTTCGAACTCTGCTTGCGACAGAAAGAGTGTAGCAAGAGCAAGATAACGACTACGACATGTCGAGATTGTAAATCAGATGCGAAGTGTATACAAGATCATCAACATATTTCATTATTCTTTGAAGATTGTCGTTAAATCATACAGATTCCCGAAAAGAATCGACTATCACCATTCATGTCATGACAATATGTCATCCAAGAAATCTGATCGCTTACTGCGACATGAAAAGCTTCAACATGGCAGGGTAGTTAGGCGTGCCTTGTTAATGTTAGCAGATGTCCATTGTAAAGGAGACGTCTTGACTTACCAAGTCCAGTGACAGGGTCCCAGCCCTTGGAGACGGCGAAACCATCCGTGCCACAACCTGGGTTGCTTCCAACGGTAATGTCGTGGAGCACCTGAGGGTTCTTGTAGAGAGTTGGGTTTACGAAGCCAATAGTCGACTTGCCTGCCTTGAGCCTCTCGTCGTTGATGCGGGTGAGGATAGCGGCGAATGCGGGAGCGGAAGCGCTGGTGCCTCCAATGAGAGTAGGTGCTCCCTTGTTGAAAATGACAATGTTGTCGCCGACGGCGGAGACATCGGGGTATCCTCTTCCAGTTCTGTTGTCTGTTCATATCGAATTAGCAAGCGCTATTCACGTGGTATTCGAATGAACTTACAAACTCCGTTGCCGTAGCTGCTGCCGGAGTATGAAGGGTAGGGTGGAGGAGATGTCGCGAAGTAGTTGGCGACGGCAGCGGACTGGTAAGATGGGATTGGGTAGATGTTGGAGAACCCTCCTCCGCTGGGGAATCGCTGGACGGCCCTCTCCTCATCCTTCTTCACGTTTCCGGTGAGTACTGTAGCTCCAACCGTGGTGAGGTATGGGCAGGAGGCCGGGAAATCGGGGCTAAAGACCTTGCCGCCGTTCAGGCAGCCATTGTCACTGTTGTCGCCAGCAGGTCCTGCAGGTTATTAGTCCCGTGTCATGTCGTACATACACTAGTTATCGTGATGTACATACCTGCGACACCAGAGTCACCGGAAGCTACGAGGATGGAGATACCCTGCATGCCGAGTTTCATGAACTCGCTGCACTGCGGAAAGTGTCAGTTCAAGATTTTGGACGTGTTCACATCAATCGACTTACCTGTCTCTGTTGATAAGAAGCGGGGAGGTCGGCCTCTTGACCACCATAAGAGATGCTGATGACGTTGGTTGGCTTGTAAACTCCGCACTGCAACTGGCCTTTGTAGCCGCCTGGAGCAGGATTCGGGTATGAGGGATCCAACGGGCTGTTGCCAGTCTCGCCGAATGCAGAGTACGTGCAGTACGATCCATCAATGGCGTCCAAGAAGTTGTTGAGGAACCCCTCATAGGTGTAGTTGGCCTCGTAGACCGCGTCGTCAGTCTGGAAAAGGACAGTCTTCTGGGGATAGATGAGAGGGTAGGCGATCTGGAAGTCAAGATCGGACTCAGGTCCTGCATTGACGAGTCAGACGCAATGCTTAGCGGTACGACGAACTGTGGCGACGATTGAAACGCCAGTTTAGCATTGAGACTCACCAGCTTGGGCAACATTGACAGGTGCCTTGCCACCGTCAATACCCTTGAGGGTCGGTCCAGTGCCAATAGGAATGCGCTGTTGCAGGGTGAGGTAGAAGAGGTCCAGGTCGGTTTGAGAGTAGTAGTCTCCCAGATCCTCAAAGATACCCAACTCATTACCAGGCTGCGCAGAAGTTGCCTTGGTGATGTTGTACATTGCGTTGATACACTCGGGTGTGATGGCAATGTCACAAAGTTGTAAGAGAGGAAGGGCGAGGAGGTTCTGGATCGTGTCGGGCAGGTCCTTCAGGAGTGGTGGCAAAGACCCAGTCTTGCCATAACCGAATGTACGCTTCTCGAGCTCGCCAGAAGCAGGCGCTGGGCTTCGTGTAGCATGAAGCTTGATACCAGGGGTGATGTAGTCGATGTGTCTCTTGACATCCTGGTGGACGTGATATCTATTGGGTGTCAGTATGGTGTACTGCTCTAGTTCACACAAGCATCCTTACTCGTCGCAACCGATGGTAGTCTTTCCAGTTGGTGCGTGTTCAAAGAAGTGGTACTTAGTTTGAAGCAGTGATTCCGCTTCCGAAGCGCTGAGATCCAATTGCATCCATTGCTTGTTCACAGACTGCGAGATTCTCTCGGCCTCAATGCCAGCCTTGTGCAACCAGCTGCGAACCGCATCGACGCTGTCTTTGGACGGTGCGAAGAGATCGTGCACCTCTTCAGCAGAGTAGTACTTTCCGTACGACTCGGACTCGGGGTCAGATCTGGAGTAGGATGTCAGCTGTGCAATCCCTTCGGTGACAAACATTCGTGAATCATCACTGTGATGTCTCCATATTGTGGACTTACACTTCCAACAGCATATCATGACCCCTGTGCAGGTTGTTCTGGGTGAGACCGATACGCATTGGCAGCTTGACTTGGCTGTGCACACGATCACCCTTCACCCAGTTCTCCGACACTGAGCGACGTTCATGGAGAACATGACGCTCGGTGTTGGTTGGAGCAGCGATAGCTGCAGTAGCCAGTGCCACAAGGGCAGTGATGGATGAGAAACGCATTGTTCGGTCAGAGCAAGAAAGGAGAAGCACCTACCGAAACAAACTCGGGCTCTGGACTTGTCGCCTTTATAAATCCACACAAGATAGCAGCATTCGCATGGCCGATGACGATCCATGCACRCCTGTCGCGTGCGAATCTTGTCGCAAAGAAGCAGGTGTTTAGGCAAAGTTGGGTGGCCCCGGCTAAGCAATGGTGCTAAGAAAGATCTACGTTGTGCAAGCGCTTGTCAAATACCACTTCGATCAGGTTCAGCCAGTCACGATTGGAAGGTAAGCTGCCCTACTTGCACTGGCGTTGTTTGGTAGCGTGGAGATAGTGTAGATCTATGCGATATGCACTGATGCGACCGCGCCAGCCACATACCGAGGCAGACAGTCCCGGCATGCATCCAGTGAGCTTCCAAGAGGCCAGAAGCTTTGATGGCGCGGAGACTTCTTCTAGGTCGGGTAAACTTATAAGGCAGTCTCTCCGTCTCCAACGACTTGGACGTCCACGTCCAGGGGCTAAGCCAGGAGTTCAAAATTGTCCTCAGCGTAAGTGCCCGCGGCGGTAGTAATGATGTGGGTTGTAAGCTGGGCGAGGGGTTTCCCCGCTGTGATCGGCACGCCCTTGAGCCCTTGAAAGACGCCACAACGGCCAGCAGGGTAATCGCGTGGATAGACCTAGAGTCTAGGGATAGCAGTGGGCGTCACCTCGAAGGCGCCACGCAATCCGTATGGGAGAGGGTCGAACCAGGTTCAATGAGGCGCAATGCTGACCTCGGTGTTGTGAGGGATTCAACTGGCTGCCTACAATGATAGAACTTATTACCAATACGAAGTGGTCTAGATGGTTTTGCATGCATGATGTCTGTGGCTCGCACGGCTGAAGTGCTTTGGTTAAGCTTCTCAAGCTTGACAAGCTCTCAGTGAAGCGGTGACAAGGCTTCTCGGCGTGGTGCCAAGCAATGAGAGGCACCCATTGGTGTCAATTCTCCGGTGTCCATTCTCTTGTGAGACGAATAGCAAAGGTCAAGAGACTGCCCGAGCAAGTTCAATTCTTCCCAAGGTGATAGCTCTTGTGGCGACGACATGGTTGAGTATCAAGAAGCCTCAAGTGTCTGTAAGACTCCACGAATACGTGCGTACAACGCCAGCCGGCCACGTTAAGAATGGAATCTTGTGTCAACAACGAATGACAGCCACATTCTGCGTTGCTCCATTGTCGAAGAAGTAGTACACGCCTGGCCCGTTCCTTATCCACTGTTCATGGTTCCAGATACACTGATGGATGGGCGCCATTGGTCCGCCAGAGATTCCGGTAGCGCTCTTCGTAAAGCTTCTCACTGTTTGCGGCTTGGTAGAGGGATTACGGGCTCATCGTAAGTTTATTTGACAAACAAGAACCGCCTGCTTCTTCTTGCTACGGAGAAGATTGCAAAACATGACCAGCAGTCGTCTTATTTTAGACCAGCCTTGGCATTCGCTTCAATTTCCCGTCGTCTTCCTTCGGGCTTCTAGCGTTCCTTCTTGATGGTACAATACCTAATTTACTCCCTGAACCCGTCTCTACGACRGACAAGCAACTTCCATCTCACAAAGGAATTCTCGAGGTAGCGTTGATGCACTGCCTTGTGTGAGTATAGTAAAGGCGGGCAAACATCACCGACTGCGAATGAATCACGCATGCCAAACCAATGCTGTCTCCTTTTGGGCCGCTGCTCTTTAGCTGCTGACTCTCAGGTTCGTGCTCCTATATTCATGCCCTTGACTTCCTTGCTGCCTGGTATATTTCAGTAGGCGGAGTCTTCGGAAGCGCGCCTTGCGATGGGTAGAGTGGGTCTCTCTGCGTTCCCGCGAGGTAGGGCAGACGGAGACGCGTGCAGTGTATCAGCTACATGCGGTGATGAAAGTCAACTGCATTCATGTGCATCGGATTATCTGAGTGAAAGTGCAACTATGCCCTTCGCACGACCTCTCGTATGGCATGATTTCCAGCCCTCGTGAGCGGTGGTCCTCCAGGCCGAGGAATGTCCTTTGCTGCGTGGATCTGGATTGTCAAGCGAGTCGACTGGGTCATTCCAACTCACAGCGCATCACTGTTATTCGATGTCATTAAATTGAGCAAGCATACAAGGAAAGCAGATGAGATGGAGTTGTAGATGGGACGATTTTCGTGTGAATGCTAGAGCAATGACGCAGAAGAGGCCCGTGCTCCAGCGGATAAAGGACCAAGGACAGCGCATAGCGGCATCACATGTGAATGTCAAGGAAGTGGATACTCTTTCCTTCAACATTGRCTTATTCATTCATTCACCTACCAACCCACAATCTTTCCTTCCCAATATGGGTGTCTTTGAGCGCAAACACGGGCAATGGGTAGCAGACCTTGCCATTGTCATCGCCGCCGTGCGTTCCACCCCCGTCGTTCCCGAACCCGCGGGTCGCCTCCCAGCTCGCCCAACTGACACTTGTCCAGCCCGTCCTTGCCTACTTCCTCGCGCGACAACTCATATCTCGACTTGATCCGGATGCTGGTGCCAAAAGTGAAGCCCAACAGAAAGCACTCGCCGCCACCTCCCGCCTCCAATCAATCTTCCAGTCCCCCGATCGCGACGATGACTTTTCCGACGACTCCGATGCCGACGAATTCCCTACGGAACGCACCAAACACCGCGAAGACCTGACGTTGACACCCTACGAACAGACGATCGCCATGGAAGTTGTATCGCCAGCCGAGATACCCGTCACTTTTCACGATATCGGAGGACTGGACTCGATTATTGAGGAGCTGCGGGAATCCGTCATCTACCCTCTCACTATGCCACATTTATACTCCAATCACTCTTCTCTTCTGACTGCACCTAGCGGCGTGTTGCTCTATGGGCCTCCGGGCTGTGGAAAGACGATGCTTGCGAAAGCACTGGCAAGAGAAAGTGGCGCATGCTTCATCAACCTACACATCTCAACACTCACAGAGAAGTGGTATGGCGATAGCAATAAGCTCGTCGCAGCCGTGTTCTCACTTGCAAGAAAGCTTCAGCCGAGCATTGTGTTCATCGATGAGATTGATGCTGTACTGGGCCAGCGGAGAAGTGGAGAGCACGAGGCGAGCGGCATGGTAAAGGCAGAGTTCATGACACATTGGGACGGGCTAGCGAGTGCGACCGTGGGAGAGGGTGGTCAGAGGATATGCATTCTTGGAGCTACGAACCGGATTCAGGACATCGACGAGGCGATTCTCCGAAGAATGCCAAAGAAGTTTCCCGTTGGATTACCAGATTCCAAGCAGAGGAGGAGCATCTTTGAACTCACCCTCAGAGATACGAAGATAGATGCGAGACCTGGCAGCTTTGATTTGGATGCATTAGTGAGGGTCAGTGCAGGTATGAGTGGAAGTGATATCAAAGAGAGTTGCAGGGATGCTGCCATGGTGCCCGTGAGGGAGTATATCCAGCGGGCAAAGGCTAGCGGAGAGAAGATGGGACGTGGTATCAAGAGTGAGGCTGTACGAGGATTGCAGACGGATGACTTCTTTGGAAGGAGAGGTGGCGTGAGACAACTACAGAGAACAGTACATGAGGCTGATGAGCGGAGCGTGGGAAGTGGAAGTACGGAGGAGGTGGAGGAGTTTGGCGRTGTCGAGGAAGTGCCGAGGAGGTGAGGGTGAGGGAAGACTGCTGAATCTCAACTCAACTGGTTCGATGTGCATGAAGCATTTACACAGCGTGGCACTGATCCACCCATACAGTTCTTGCAAGCTCATGGGAATGCCACTGCCCGGCCGATGGGATGTCCCCCTAGCCGACACTCCTCACAGATATGTTGGCAATGCCAAACGAGGAGCGGAAATAACGTTCCGTAAGCGATAGACAGCACTTTACAGACAGCTGCACTCAAAATACAGAAGACTGCTGTATTGAACACACAAGGAGCAACCTGAAAGACGAAGGCGAGCCAAGTGAGGCAACTCTCGGCTATTTCGCCAAGCCTGCGTCGAGCATGCCCAGCATCAGCATCAATATGCGGCGCCTCATGAAACGTAGGTATTCCATCAGCCAGCTCGGACAATCATGCTTTCCATAGCTCATCAAGGTAAGCGGTTTGCTGTCATGTTGCATGACCTCAAGCGTGGTGCAGCTCATCAGCAAGATTCCAACTTTGGCGCTACGCTGTAGTTCGGACGGCTTCTCCTGTCTACGTCTACACCTTTAGTAGCACGACGCCCTGCCTACTTCAGCAGTCTCTTACCGCCAGATTGTGTCCTCGGCTGGGCGAGAGTGCCGATATATCCACCTCTAGAATTTGAGCCCCTAAATCTGCATCCACCCTTTTAGCCCAAGCTGGAAATGGCTCCTCGGAGTAGTACGGCATCTCCTGGCTCACCCCAATCGAAGAGAAGGCGAATTGATCTTGAGCAAGGCGGCATTGACAATTTACCCTCGGCGATTCCGGGTGTGCTCCCGCACCTTTTCACTGCTGGATTCCACAATCATCTCACGACTGGACACATAACCGAGCTCATGAGGAAGGCAGCAAGAAACAGTTCGACAGAGGCGCTGAAGCCATTGCTCAGCATTTACAGTCACCACGATCTGGATCAATCGCCTGACAGGTTGAAGTACTCGGACTTGATGCACGTTAATGTACGGCCTCTTCCTCAATTGCTTTGCAGATTTGATCGATCTCAGGGACCTGAATCTGGAGGTCCGTTGCCTGAGCTCCTGTATAATGCGATATATCGAAGTCAACTGGAACTAGCTGGAGTACTGCTCGAAGTGGGTTGGAAAATACAGCCATGTCATGTGGTACTCTTACTCCGCGGAAATCAGAAGACGAGCAACCCGGCAAGACATCTCCAGGACGTTCGTGGTATGCTGGCAAATAAATACATGTGACCAAGATTGGATGGTGGAGCAAGCAAACAAGCAAGCAACATTCCCCTTTCTTTTCATTCAACACGCATCGATGTTCCTCGCTGACTTAATCATCATTACCCGGCCCCTGGCGCAAATCTATCATGTGAGGACTGCGCATAATTGACTCGAGCCAGCCGATCACTTGCCATGGCGAGGGGCGTCGTGAAATGCAGTGTGTTCGTGAGGAAAGGAAGGGACAGGGACACACCCACATAGCAATATGGCTCATTAATCAAGCAAGTATGGCGAAGACACGCCGCCCTTTCTATCATACGCGTCTTACAAAAACCCCAGCCCTCCCCCTCCAAGAACCTCCAGATCGCTCCTCAAACCCCACCCATCACCTCCAGCCCGACCCAATACCTCCGCCCTTCTCGCAACACCCAACTCCCCAATCCTCCTGATGAGCGCACCATCCACCACGCCTTTCGCGCCGAGGACTTCGGCTCCTTCGACCCCCTTCCCGCTCCTATAAGCTYGAGGATTCAAGCCAGCGGGGTGCTCGAGCACATTCGTCAAGAGTCCCTGCAGTGCTCCCAGTCGTCGATACGTGCTCTCATCSAAAGGCGTGACCAATCCGATGGACCCTGACAAGCTCGTGGTGAGCACATGGTACAGCGGTGAGTTCTGTTGCGTCTGCTTCGTTTCCTCTCCGTCATGCTGCGGCAACTCCCTTGCTTGCTCAGTAAAAGGCGCCAATGTGCTGGGCAGGAGGAGAGAGTTGGTCGGGAAATGTCCCACGTGGAAAGTGCTGCGGTGAAGTAATCTCATCCCGCCGCTGGTTACGGGGTTTTCAGGGTCGTATTGCAAAACATGCATGTCTTCTTCGGCATCCCAGACGAGGATGAATAATCCGCCGTCGAAGGGTAGGAACTCTGCTGACATGACCTCCATGCCCGTTGTCAGGGTGCTTTTGCCGAGAATGGTGAGTTTGTAGGGCTCTTCCGTGAAGCCTCCGAACCACAACCCCTTCCAAGCATCTCCCGCAATCCACATGCCTTTCCCATCGAGAGTCTTCAAGACGGTGGTATGACACTGTGCATCCAAAAAGGCGACCGGGAGACAGCTTCCATCCTCCCTCATTCCTCGTATCATCAGTTTCAATCCTTGTCCCGTCCCAAGTAGACCGCCGGGGAATTGTGCAAGGGCCGTGATGGCCCCGCGAGATTCTTCTCGTGCGAGAACGTGGAGTTTGTGGTTGGATTCGGGGATGTCCGGGTCTGGAACGACGGAGATGATGTCAAAGACAATGACGGCGCCACGAGCGGGCATATCTTCGCCACGCTGAGAAGCTGTGCTTGCCACGACAAGAGGTTTGTGGTCATGGGTCATCTCTGAGGCTTCTAGATCGAGGACTTTGAGATCTGTGAGAGTCTCAAGGAATGGGAGAGGATAGGTGTGAAGGATACTATGAGTGGTGGCCGAGAGGATGTGTATACTGTATTGTGGTACTTGTGGTCGGAGGCTGATGTCTGCGAGATATGTTAGCTTTTGCAGCAAGAGTCGCGCGTTGTGGTTGTCTGTCTCCTTGAGAATACAATCCACTTTCCCTAGCAGTCTTGCAGAGTGAATTTGAACAATCAAGGACTTCTCTTAATCTCGCATGCTGTTTAACGCAGCTCCCCATTGAAGAGACAGGGTGAGTACGTGAAGACTTTACACGATGCGTTCGCCGCGAAGAAGGGAGTAAACTTACCGTCCTGCTCCGAGTGCCTCCCGTCCTCCTTTGCGAACCAAAAGTCGACGTTGCGGCAAGTACCCACAATCCAAACACCCCTCCCTTTGTGATAGGCTAGCTGCCTTACCTCCTCCGTCTCTCCATTGATCTGCAGCTCGGTTTGATTCACGCTCCATCCACTTCCAAACCAAGTACCTTCTGGTAAAGTCTGCTCGACCAACGCACCACTGTGACTTAGAACCGCGAACCCGCGTTGACAATCAATGCGGTTGAGCGGGGTGAGAGTAGCGGTCGCCCCGGCAGGCTTTGCGACTGGACATACTTCCAAGATCTTTGGCGGACTACTGCCTTCTTTCAGCAAGAGGGACGAAGGTGAGCCGGGTATAGTGACGGCCCTGTATGCGCCTATCGAGATGATTTTCAGCGCAGGCTGACGGGCGTTGGCTTCCTCTTCTGCCTCCTCGGTAGCCGGCACAGTGTCGTTATATTTTGGAGTATACGGTACTGGTACCTTGCGGAAATGTAGACCGTAGAACCATTTTGCGGGTCCGGACTGTCCATCGCGTTGAAGGAAAGGCTCATACAACACGACATCGTCGAGGGCGGTACGAACAATCAGGTAGGGCGTATTGACACCACTCATGCCGAGATCAGCGATGAGCAGTTCGGTGAGAGTTTCTTTAATGCCCGCTCTCCTCTCCTTTCCTCGCTCCCATGCCAAGACCGCTGGGAGGTGAGGAAATCCAGGGAAACCACAAAGGAACTCGAAATCGGGAAGGGAGAATATGTTCACCGCTCCTTCGGCACTTAGAAGGAACAGCACGGGCACATCATCTGTGAGATGGCCAGAGTAGATGCATCCGCTGAGCCATTTATTCTCTGCGACTGGACCTTCATTCTCAAGCGGCTCAATCTCCTTTCCCTGGACTGTCAGAACTAGCACACTGCTGTCATCTCTAATCACAAGCAAGTAAGGGTCACAGAAAGAGGTGTGTACAATGCTGAATTCTGCATCCGTGTCATCGTCCATCATAGGTATGATTTGGTTCAGTCCAAGATTGACCGCGTCATATGTCCTGATTTCGGTCTTTCGAATCTGCACGATTGAAACACCGTCTGCGAGTGTGCCCATCTCAAGCGTCTCGCCTTCATGTTCGAATTCAGATGCTGAGCGTCCGATGTAGCCACCTTCGCCTGACTCATCAGCAGAAGCAGACGTGATGTCGTAGACCTGCGTTTCTGACCCATCGTAGACGAAGAGAAGATTATCGTGGTCGTCATCTGATTCAGGCTGCCTCGAGTGGATGGCCCAGACGTTCTTCGCGCCATCGAATTGACTTTTGCGAATCGTTCGAGGGACGATATCACGATTTAAGCTGGTCAGTCGACTTGAGCGACCTCTTCCTGTACCGGCAAGAAGTTGGAGTTTGTCTTTTGCTGAACCTGGCCGCTTTCCCAAACAGATCTTGTTGATGGGTCCGATAGATCTGAGGGTATCTCTGACATCGAACCTAGCAAGGCTCTCCGCAGAGGTGGGGTCTGCTGCAGAGGTCGCTCTCTTCTTGGTTTCCGGCGCCGCATCATATAGGTCATCGTCATCCTCGTCAATTGCGTCTTCATCGTCTTCATCCTCTGGATCCTTGCCAAGCATTTGCGCGTGGGAACGCTTGCGAGCCAGGGATGGGATGGGCCTGCTCCAGCCAAGTAATCGGGAGGCACCATCTTCACTGCCGACGAAGAGCTTACTGCCATCCAGTCGCGTTACGCATGATGCAGCTGCGGGGAATATTGAGCCTCCGTTCTCTGTCGATACTCTGGCAACATCTACGGAGCTGATAGCCCGACCCAGCATTTGGAATGTCACCGTCGCGAGAGATCCGTCGTTCAATACCACCAGCAGCTCTCCCGTTTTGGAGTCAAGGACCTCTATACAGCAGTCCTCTAGCTTGAGATTGAGATGCGATTGATCTACCATGCCGAAATCGCTCTCCTTTTTGGCGAATTCGTTGACAGCCGTGGCATTCGCCTTGCCGCTTTGGTCGACGTGCACAAACTCGTTGTTTCCCACCAAGAGCGCACCTCCAATGGGAAGAGGTAGTGGGACGACCTTCCACAGCGAGGCAGGAAGTTTGCTCACCGTGATGAGATTTGTGCTGGCTCTCTGCTCCAGATCGAGGGTGAAGACGGTGTATGTGAGACAATCCTTCCTTTCTTCAAACAGAGCAGCCGAGGGTTCGATCGGTGATGAGAGAATGCCCAGTGTGGGTTCTCTATACTCGTGCAAAAAGGCCAGGTGGACCGTGTGACATAGAGTGGGATCGAGTGTGGTCAAGGGAAGCACAAAGGAAGGCTTGTAGGGAGTCTGGTCTCTGTCGTGGTATCCTTCCTCCATCCTCTCCGCCTTGCCCTCGAATTCGCCCTCTTCCTCGCCCATCAATTCATCTCCAAACTGGCGAAAGGGCAGAATRGCCAGCTGTCTCGCGCCAAACTTCAGGGCAGCACATCGACTGCTGGGATCGACGGTCAAGACGCTCTCGTATTCCCCCAAATCCTGCTCAAACGGTGGCGCCACGACATTTTCACCCTCGTAGTAATGGATGCTGATGGTGTTGAGGCGGTAATTGTCGCGATCCCATTGCACTAGACTGAGCTTCGCATCGCGGAAGGAGATGAGGAGAGCTTCGCCGACCGTTTTCCATTCAGAAAGGGGTTTGACGCGCGCGATGGCGGTGACGGTGCCGGCGAGGGGATATTCGCCAATCAGGCGGAGTTGGTCCGAGGAAGTGATGTCGAAGACCTGGAGGAGGCACGTCTTTGCAACGACGAGGTTCGTGGCACTGGAACTGAGAAATGGCAGAGCAATGGCATGCGTCACGGCCGTCGGAGGCACAAGCTCGGTGTAGGCCTGCATGGTGGATGAAGCTTGGGTGGTCCCATGAGAGACACCACCAGTCAGTCAATGGAATGTCGATGTTATGGTTATGGATGGAGAAGCTCCAATCATCGGACGGGTCGTCGCGTGCAGTCGCGAGCTTCCATTGCGCCGGACTTCGGGCCGCGTGCCGAAAGCAAATAACTCAGTTCTTACTTTGGCTCCTGCTCCCTCTCGTCGGCGACATACTACCTTACGTTGAATAATAAGATACCTACCTTACCCTTCTACCACCGCAATTGACGACGCAAGAGCATGGAATCGACAATCTCAACTCCTCTACACAAAGGCGAAGAAAAGAAGCAAGTCGCGAAGAGTTCTTATTGTAGGCACTAGAGTCGAAGGCTGATCAACGTGCCGCTTCCTTCCCGCTTCGGCTCAATATGGTGCTGGTCCAACCTCATGGACCACAATGAGCGCAAAAGAAACATGTTGGCCAGGATCTCTGCCATTGCCGATCTACTGTCGGGCCAAGACCGTCCCATTCTCAAACCGCCCTTGCTAGTGGCCACCCTTTCCAAAGGAAACTGCCGAATTGATATGAAGCTATTCCTCTTCATTATTTCCGTCTTCCTCGTCGTTCTCATCGTCCTTCCCATCGCTCTTCTCATTGCTCTCCTCATTGCTCTCCTCATTGTTATCCTCACCATTCTCCTCGTCGCCCTCCTCATCTTCCTCCTCCGACTCGTATTCATCGTAGTCGCTCCGGTGGTTGGGACAGTCCGATGTTTCAATGAGCCAATCAGCGAGGTCACCCAGTCTGCTGTTCTCGTTGAAATCGGCCCAGTCGATATCATTATCGCCAAAGTGACCTTCGGAATTGACCGTGACATCACGGAGAACAGCGCCCTTATTGTTGTAGATCACCATTCCACGCCATGAGGCATCTGGCCGCAGCCAATCCGAAGGGCCTGTGTAAGGCAAGCTCTCCATGACCTTGCGGCAAGTGACGCCGAATTCAAGAGTCTCGCCGCGTCCGGTGATGAAGATGCGGTGGCCGAAGTCCCTCAGAAAAAACATCATCCATTTCACAGGCGACAAGAACCTCTTCTTGGAGCTTCCGGCGGGATATGCACGGAGGAACATGCGTTGCTGGAGCAGAGTGCTTCTACCGATCACACTCATGAAGAGCTTGTTGACCCTCTGAAGCGGGAATAGCTGATCGGAAGCAAACTGAGGAGCATCATCCTCAGACTCGAGCAGCAAAATGTTCTCAAGGAGCTCCGGGATGGCGAAGACTTTAGCGGCGACCACCTTGGGCTTCTTGACTTCTGCTTGGCGTTAGTTTGTGGCTATGGTCAAGATACAGAGAGTAATTACCTGGGAGGGCGGGCAGTGTGTCGTGCTGGTCAGCCATGCCAGCACTCAAAGGGCTGTCAGGTAGAGGCTGGTGTGCGTCGGAGCTCGACTGAGCATTGACAGCTCCAGTGGATGACTCTGCAAAGGTTGGCGACGACATTGTGGTGAGTGATSACTGGTAATGTTGACGATGCTGAACGGCGGTTGGATGTGGCGAGGTAGAGAGAGCGAGCGATGGAAACAGCGAGGATATCTTGTGATGGAAGCGGATGAAAGAGCGACGAAATTGAAGACCGTGTGGGCTTCCCGTAGCAAACAACGACCTGTTTGAGCGGGTCAAAACGGAATCAGGAGCGGAGCACCACGGACGATCATCAGTCTTGCAAAGGTCTCGGGATCGGACTTCCAGGCAGCGAATGATACACATCTCGCTTGGGATAGAAAGAGAATTGAGGTCAAAGGTCCTGTATCAGCATCTTTGCATTGACTTTACATACTTCCAGGTCGATTTCCCTCACAAGAAATATCCCCCGTTCAAAGCGAGCAGCATCAGACACGATGAAGATGAGTATCAGGTGGAAGTGGTGAGCGGAAGTCTCAAATGGTGAGCAACCGAGATCGTAGAGGCAGGAAACCAAAAGCGATGTTTACCTGTATGTGAATTTGATACCGATGGTAATGGAAGTTGAGAACTTTCACTATCCCTGCCRCGAAGCAGGACGAACAGCATTGAAGCCAATGCCGAGCACAATCTGAGGTAAGGTAAGGTATGGGAATGACATCGATTGTGATCAAAGCAAAGTAGTGGGCAACAGCGTGAGAATCACCGGTATCAAAAAAAAAAAGGAGAAAGCCAAAGTTCAGAGGCTGGAAATGTTGAGACTGTTACTAACTTTTCTGCTCGACGCAGTGCAATCGCTATGTAATATCAAATTTGAGATCACAGAGTGCAGATCTCTCTTAGAACGCTAGAAAGTCTTGAGTCGATCGATATCGTTCGGGGAATCCAGCTTGTGAAAACCGAAGCCCGATCAAAGTCGAAGCTTACCGGCTCTCTTCATAGTGGAGAGCAGCTCTCGAGTAGGATGCTGCCAGCACAAAAGTGAGCAGTCTTGCAGAGAGTCGAAATTTCTGGTCGAAGTGTGTCTTCGTCCCGGAGTAACATGTGTCGTATAGGCACTTCGTGGCAGTTCATGCTAGATGAAGTCCTTGAGCATGTCTTCGGTGTTGTTTGATCGGWGTCACTTCGTCCATTTCCGCTTTTGTGAGTGCCTAGCCGCCGCTAGAGGAGCGCATGTAAAAATATGGAAAAGGCAATCCCCGCCTTTAGGTTGGTCAATCACTATCATCCTCCAATTCTATTGTCGAATCTGCTCGCTCGCGCGGTTCAAGATGTGACACCATGGACGTCAACCAGTCTTGAAGCTCTCCCAGAGTAAGCCAGTCCTTCCGACGGTGGTCTTTGCGGGTGAAGGTCATCTCGAAACCAACGTAGTCGTCCAGCTCGCACGTGAATCCCCAAACGCGCCGCTGACGAACGCAGCACATTTTCATCTCTCGCCACGAAGCTTTGGGGTGCATCCATGCTGCACCAGGTCTCAAATGGCGGAGTTTATACCACTGCGGCGTCAAATGAAAGCCAGGCGTCGAGCTCTCTTGCCAGGATTTCCAAGAAGGCTTGTGGACCAGGTCATACACCAGATCTGTACCTTTGAATGCCACTCGCTCTGCGAACCAGACCAAAGGAGTCATGTGTTCCACTTCTCTTGTCCCTTCGCCGAGAACCTGCATATCCGGAGCGTTTCTCGGGTAGTACTCAAGGAACATGCGTCGTCGAATGGGTATTGATCCACGGATGCTGGCTTGGAACGTCTTGCTCGTCCGTTGGAGCACGAATAGCTGCCGTACAGGTTCACCTGCGTAGCCATTACCTACGGAGCTGCTCCAAAATCGTGGACGATAAAATTTTCCAAGGATCCTGATATTTTCTTGATCCTCGCGGATGGTGATTTCTGCCGTCCAGACCAGAATCATCTCGAAGAGCTCCAGAATGTCGAAGACTTTTGACGCAGCGGATCGGATGGCTATTGGGGAGATTAGAATGGGGTGAAGTGGTAGCAAATGAAGTAGCACTTACAATCAGCTAGTGGAGATGAGGTGGTCGTCATGATCTCGGATAGAACTGTGAGCGACGTGGACGGAGCCATCACGTTCTGCTTAGTGCTGGTGATGTTTGGCGACATCAACATGGAGGTAGTCTTGAGTGCGTGTGTGGTGAAGGTTGATGTTTTGCTGTCGCGGAAGCAGTGTTCAGGAAACGTGTGGATGTTCGCGTCTGCCAAGAGAGAAAGGAGGAATTTGAAAAGACATAAAGTTGAAAGGCGTGGTCGAGACAGTACCATGTGAAAAAATACGCCCGTGAAAATTATGAACCTTGACATGTGATGAACCGCACAATTGATGACAGCTGATGAGAGACTGTTGGCTGGGGGACATGAGGAAAGGATTTGATCATCTCTGCTCGCTGTGAATACCTCGATACCTCACCTACGACGCTGACCCGCGATCGCTCTGGTCTGAGCGACGCTGCAGCAGTGTCCAAGCTTGCAACTGTAATGGAAGCTCATACCCAGGGAACTCTACATGATTTAGCAAAGCAACTTACACCGTATGCTGGCGTAACAGAACTGCCCTTGCTCAAATCCCGAACCAGCAATGATGCCGCTTGCGCTGTTGGACAGCACCTTCACAGCGCATAACCACTTCTTCGATCCAATCGCTTAATTGGCCCAGGGTCAATCGGGTGAGCGTAGAACTTGTGGTAGGGAGAAGATGATGGTTTKCAGCGAAGGTCGAAGATGTTGGAAGTGTTGAAGTTGAAGGGTTGGCAGTGTTGAAAGATGTCAATGAAGTAACTTGAAGTGGCTGACGTGAGGTGAACAAGATTTTGACGCAAGTGAAGCTAGGAAGCATGGGTTAATAGGTACTTACCGGTCACGACACGCGCTGCTATGCTGCAGCCTCGTTCCTTCTGCTGTTACACTTCCGTTGACTGCCCAACTCACATCCATCCCAGCATCCCGCACCGAGACCTCCATATATACCCGAAGGCCAGATCGTACTCAGAAATGGAACTTCGATGCCACCATATATTGACACGGCCGGGGTCGTGGAAACCAAGCGACTCCGACAAGTTCCATGTGAGAGGGGCGGCGACGATCAACTTTCCCGTTGAAGTCACGCATAGGTAGATAGGGGCGCGGAACACCTGCGTTGATATAGTCGCAGAGCTCGTTCCGCTCAACAAGGTATTATCCACGGGACAAAGGACTGAAGCTCGCCGGCTCTCCTTGTGGCAGGTAAATCAACAACGCTCCTGAGCCGGAAGCGAGCAGCACCGAAGCAAGCGGCGTTGTGAAACGTCGAAATGTTCCGATGTCTTGCTTGCTCATCGCGTTCATCGCGTTCATCGCGTTGCTGGCGTTGCAAGGAGTGCCGCATCTCTGGACGGGGTGGCAATCTGCAACATCCCGTATGACGACGCGATCTCTAGCACGGCAACGACGCCCCAACACAAAGAAGACAGTGACGCGGTTCCAATTGTGCAGAGACGCACGGATCTCCAAATCAGGGCTCACTTTTTGGGTTGGGGTCTAAGCTAAGAGTGGAAAAGATCATCTGATTGGCTGACTTGGCGCTCTAGTTACACAACGCCTTCTCTAGCTCTTGGAACGGGAAATCCTCGTGAGGGATCAAGTCGTACTACTTTGATCGAATGGATGGGTATGACGTAGGCTCGATTTTGGAGGCTGAAGTTCGATCTTTGGACTTCTTCGTCCTTCAGCTGCATCTCGCACCAAGGTCGTTTCGGGATGCTTAGCCGCTCTTGTGTCTCTTCTTTGTGTATGCACCCTTGTACATCTTGTTGTGCTGCGTGCATATAGTCTCCCTCTTCGGTGTGTGTGTAAACTCTCTTTCTCTCCCTATCAATCAATCCACTTCCTCATTCCAAGGAACAACCAAAATCAAATTCAAAAATGGAAATCCTCCTCTGGGCATTCAAGGCAGTCGCCGTCATCTTCCCTTTCCTCTCCATGGGAACAGGTGCTCAAGGTCTCTTCGATCCCGTCGGCTTCTTCAAGTCGTTTGGCTTGCCCATCGTACCTGAGGATGGACCTAAACTCACTGCCGAGGGCTCTAAAGCCGCAACATCATACGTCTYCCTCATGGGAATTCGACAGTTCGCAGCAGGCGTCGTTCTTGGAGTGTTTGCCTACCAGGAAAAGTGGACCGAAAGCGCGACGATGCTCGCTCTCATTGGCCCGCTGCAATCGTTAACGGACGCCTATTTCCTAATCAAGGGCGGCACTACATCGGCTGGGCTTTTCCATGCCATTCCAGGACTCGTTATTTCGGGGCTGGCTGCTAATTATCTTTACTGTTATGCTTGATGTAAGGCGCATCCTCTTGAGCTCAGGAAACTGTTTATTTGAGAACGAAATACTGACTTTGTGAACAGTTCAGTATTTCTTTGCAGGTTCTGAGATGGCGCGGTGGATCGATCAGTGATTTCCTTGGTCTTCGCGAGCTACGGAGCCGGAGCGAGACAAAGATTTACCCAAGAAGCTCAACAATGCCAGATACCCAGGTTGTGGTCCAGGGAGCGCAGGCTGTCAGGCACACCGGGACGTAGCGCATGTCAGCGGGCTGGGAGGCGTAACTTGCCCCTACGTGGAGGTAGCTGAGACCGAGAGTTCCACCACAAGAGTCCGCTTTCAGTAATCGCGCACGACGACGGAAGAGAARCTTCGAAGCATGGAAGTGGGAGAGTGAGGTGGGCGTGTCCACGACTAGACACATTGCGCTTTTCGCTGAGCAAATGATGATAGAGTATAGATTATGAATCTACGAAAAACTAAATGAATTAACACAACCCGGGCATGAAACCAACAATTACCCACCAATTCAGCGCATTAACTCCAGCAGCATACTGTTCAATCTTGTGGTCTCAATTTTCATTTCCATCATATCATTATGCATCTTGCCCATTATATCAAGCATCTTTATCATGTCCCTGTTGGCGACTACATTCTCCGCCCTCATACTGCCTATATCATGGGTGGCGGCCTCTGTGATTTCCACCGCTTCTCTGATATCATCCTGGCACAGTAGGTCTCCAGTAGGAAACTTGTCGTTGAGGTCTTCAATCCCGTAAGTAAGACCTTGTAATTGGATCATTGCATCGTCGTGTAGCTCCTGTTGTTTCCAAAGTACAGTCTCGTCCCGCATCTTCTTCGGGGCCTTCCTCATTTTCTTCGCGGCTGCCCAACCTGCTCTTTCAAACGCCAGAGTCGGACGATTTGAGGTAGAGGGGTGCGATTTTGTGATATGTCGCCAGCGCAAAGAATCGCCGGTCAGTGACCACCCGCTGGTCGGTGATCTGCTGCCACGCAAGGTCCAKTCCTGTAGTCGAATGCACCCCGTTTACCATCCGGCTCGAAGCGGTATAAACAAATTTCAGTAAATGATTAACCGGGCGCATAGCGACATGGTAACGTTGCATCTCACGCGTAAGCTGCGCGAAAAGTTCCCTGATCTGTCCCATTGTGATGCCTTCGCTTTCACGTGTTGCGTACACCAAGGTTTTATCGAGGACGTAGACCGTGAGATTGTGCCCGCTATGCTCCCTGGTAGGATACGCTCTCATTCTCCGCCATGAAGCCTCCGGGCGAAGCCACCTTTCTGCTGCAGCGGAGTCTTGTTGGGGATGATTGATCGGGGGGTCCACAAAATACCCGTAGGCCAGAGAACTCGCGAGACGGCCATGATGCCATCTCATTTGGAGGCATTGATGATGCTTGATAAGATTGTGCTGGTGGTATGCAAACCAGCGCGGTAAGTCCGACGGGTCGCACTTCTGGTCTGCAGGATAAGGGGCAAGACACATGCGTCGCCGAAGACGTATGGAGTCGTCGACTACGTTGCGGAAATTCTGGCTGACTCGCTGCACGGCGAAGAGTTGCTCTGCGGGTCCTTCAGGTAGTACCGCGAAGAAGGGCAAACCGTCGTCTTCTGGTTCCGCGACTTTTAGCAGGATCAGCTCCAGCAGCTCTACGATGCCGAAGACTCTAGCAACAGCTAAGTTAATCAGTGTTAGTTAATGACGCTACTGGTAGTGGAGAGGTTTTTACCTGTTTGTGGAGGGGACATGGCTGTCCCGGTAGGTGACGTGGATGGAACGTCGAACGCGTCTTGCTTGGTCGGTGAATTTGATTCCCGTTTTCGTCGTTGGGATCGAGCCTTACGCGAGTACGCAGACGGCATGGCGGCGGTAGGGTTGAGTTGATCGAGACGGGAGTCTGGCGCGATGAGGGATAGGTATGGTTATAGACGCTGGCCTGCTTGTTGAAGTGTCGAGAACCAAGAGAGACGTGAGACGGAAAACTCGGGAGACACCTAGCTGGATTGACAGTCTTTATCGAGTTACCTTGTTGGTTCGTTTTGTCTTCAGATATGCCAACGAGTTGGGTCAGTCGGTTGAGGTGTCAATATGGTGGAAGGTAAGTTGCGGGGATGCGATGGGAAGTGAAGTTCTTATGGTCGGATTCGCGCTTCGGGACAGCTAGCCGAAAGGCACACGCCATTCCCAATCAGGCCGCACTTCAATTTGCACCTCCCGGCTTCAAAGTTTGGGTGCAAAACCTGTGCCACTGCCTCTTTGCTCCACCGCACCACGACACCTCTTCACCTCAACTAACCCCCCAGCACCAACTCGCCGCAATGGGTCGTCTTCACAGCAACGGAAAGGGAATTTCTTCCTCGGCCATCCCATACTCGCGCACTGCGCCTGCATRGCTCAAGACCACCCCCGAGCAGGTCGTTGACCAGATCTGCAAGTTGGCCAAGAAGGGTGCCACTCCTTCGCAGATTGGTGTCGTTCTCCGTGACTCGCACGGTGTTGCCCAGGTCAAGATTGTGACTGGTGAGTGGGAGTGGAAGGAATGAAGGGATTGACGGGGAGAAAGTGATGGCTAACATGTCTGTTCTGCAGGTAACAAGATCCTGCGTATCCTCAAGGGCAACGGTATGGCGAACCCTCTCCTCTCCTCCACTTCCTTTTTTTCCGTCTCTCCTCTCGCGCGTGTGATCAGAAAAAGATGGCCAGCGAAGACAAACTCGTTTGGGAGTGCAACAGAGAAGAGAWGGACAACACACATACACGTTCATGTCGCCCACCACAGCGCATGTACATGAATCATCGTCGCCCTCAAAAAGCACATGATCAACACATTATGCCTCTGCTTGGTCTCAGACTGACAGAGTGATTTTATCAGGCCTCGCTCCCGAGATCCCAGAGGACCTCTACATGCTCATCAAGAAGGTATGTCTGAACCTAGTCCCCACAATGCCCTCTCCACATACTGACACTTGCAACTTCAGGCCGTCGCCGTCCGCAAGCATCTCGAGCGCAACCGCAAGGACAAGGACTCCAAGTTCCGCCTGATTCTCATCGAGTCCCGCATCCACCGTCTGTCCCGCTACTACAAGACCGTCGGTGTTCTCCCACCCACCTGGCGCTACGAGTCCGCCACCGCCAGCACCATGGTCGCATAAGCGTGATCACGTCGGCGATAGTGGTCCACAGGAGACGTGTCGGTTCAAAAAGGAAAGGAAGCATGGCGTCAAGGCGCATACCCCGATCCGCTACAGCGGCATCAATGTCATCGTGCTGGTTGGAGGAAGATGGAATGGTAACAGCGCCGAATGTATRCGGTAGCTTCCAGAACAAATCAAACCCAGAACTTCACGCTTCGTATGAAATTACGGCCTCAAGACGCCACGCCTCCCTCCATGTTGCCATCTCCTCCCCGCGAAACAGTCGATTCAAAGAACCATGGAGCAGATTAATCTCTTCATTCGTGTTCGAAATGCACACTCTCATTAGTCTGTCATACCTGCATTCTGTCGATCTGCGCATACATTTTAATCACAATAACTCCGTCCCAGTCTGTCGTCCTGTGCAGAATATATTACCACAAGTAAATCAGAACCCCTCCACAACACGCCTCGTCCGTTCTACCTCGTACAGCAAATCTTCGGGATGATCATGCTAGTTATCATCACCATTCACCGCACCATATCCAGCTCTTTGCACGCCCTTTCCTCTTGCTCGGCCAGTAATGTCCTCCCAAGTGGCACCGAATCTCCGGCCAGTGCTTGCCAGCAAACCCTCCTCTTCTTCCTCCCTCATATCTTCGTCAATTGCATCTTCGTCCAACTGTGGGACGCGGAAGAGCGTGACGACAAACACGACCAGGAAGATTCCGAGGAAGGCAAATTGGGCGTAGAAGATGACCGCTCCAAAGTATGGGAAGTTGGCCATGATTCTGTTCATGAAGGTGGACAGCACAGTGGGTGTGCACACCAACTTTGCGGCATCGCTCCCGCTTCGCTCACTGCACGGCTTGATGGCAGACTTGTGATGGCTGCAGTCTCCCGTCGTGCCGTTGGCGAGTGGGAGATCACAGTACATCTGTGGTCCGAAGGTGGAGTATGAGGGAGCGACAACCATGGCGAGAGCATAGTTCATCGCCAGGGTCATGAGTGTGAGCAGAACGGTGGCCATGAGCATAGCGTTGGGGGAAGTCTGGCCCTTGCGGATGCGGAAGAGCATCACCCAGAGGAAGCGGATACCGATGCTCGCCAATCCCACTACGCTCGCGGCGAAGAACAGCAGGGTAAGGAGCAGGAAGATGACATAGTCGATGGGGAAGATCTTGCTCGTCTGCATGAGGAGCGCGTTGATGGGCTGGAAGATCTTGTTGCGACCCAAAAGGTAGCCACAAGAGACTCCACATACAGAGTTCTTGATCTTGTCTACCATGGTGATGAGCATGCTGGCAAAGATGATCAAGCTGATGACCAGCAGGAGCATTCCCAAGACGAGCTTCAATGGGCGGAAGATGGCCTCGAGCTTCAACCAGACGCGGATGAAGAAGTTGCGGCCTTCACCAGTATTCTCTGCTGCAAGACGCTCACGACGAACAAGAGTGCGTTCTTCCCGGACGAGGGCTTCCAACTCACGGCGGTCGCGGGGATCGAGACCATCGRGACGTCCTTCGGAGCGGCCTTCAAGCTGACGTTGACGTTCGCGGTTCTGGTCGAGTTGGGATGAGGTGTCTGCAGCGAGGGCTGGGGAGGAGATTGAGGGGGCTGATTTGATGAGGGAGACGGGCAGGAGGGCGAGACCCGGGGCAGTGTAGAGGGCGTATAGAATGGTGCCGACGAGAATCAGCAGGCCAATCGCAAAGGTCAGAGCTCGTTCGCCGTCTGGGAGGGGTGTTAATGAGTGAGGATGAAGATGGTGGGTAGATGGGTACATACGATTCTCCGTCAACAAATCTCTGAAGTAGTCCAGATCGCGGTGTTGGTCTCTGGCCTTCTTTGCAACCGGCACGAAGAATCCAACCAAGAACAGGATCACGCAGAGCACGACGAGACCCACAGTCCACTTGGAAGCAGCCCATAGTCGTCCCAGCACCGTCTGTTCTCCCTCGTCGGTAGCAACTTCATCATACTCTTCGTAGTAAAAGTAGGTGAAGGGGACGACCAAGAGGCACAGCACAGCATCCAAGCTGTACAGCGTGTAGTAGACAATCTTCAACACCAACAGGGTCTGATCGACGCGGTCTGGTGTCGCCCAATCCTTCTTCGCGCCCAATTTGCGGGATGTCGTGGCGCTGACCAGGGCAATGTCGACCGGGAGCAGCAGCACCGTGGCAAGGAGGGCGAGGAGAGTCAACCAGCAGATAAAGGTCACGGCGAAGTTACGCTCGCTGGGCTTCTGGTAGATGAAGACGAAGAAGGCCGAGATGAAGAAGAGCAGTCCCACGCAGACGGCGTACGCGACCCAGATGAGGGAGGTTTCAATCAGCGCCATGGTGGACGGCGGTGGAGATGTGAYGTGAAGGCCTGATGAAGAGGTTGTCTTCGTCGGCTATGTGTCTTGTCACGGAAGAGGTGGTGGATGGATCATGGTGATAGTGATGCGATTCAAGGCAGCAGAAGCCTAAAACAGCGCTAGAGGGAGCTCTGGCGGCAGTGACGTTGATTTGGCGGCAGCTTCCTGCTTGCGCTTGCTTTTGTTTGGGGCTTGCTCAGCTTGCTCAGCCACAGTTGTCAGCATTGGGCAAGTGCTCGTGTGCTCATTACTTATTCTTGGCCATTCGGCTGGCTATTCAACACACCTCATCTGTCTGACAATTACTCAGTCCTCTATGGACCGATCCCATCTCACACCCGGAATGGCTGGCTCCACCGCTGATCTCGTGCTGAGCGTGTGAAACATTCTCAAGAGCTCGCGAGACAACGCCACGATCTGGCTATTACTGATGTCACATCATCCTCCATCTACAATCTTGTGCTGGCCGGTCTGCTGCAAGCAATTACGACCTTAATTGGCTGCCGAAGATTTGCATCCACCCCACAGTCACCCCATTCCCACGCGAAAGGTCTCCCGTGCTTCGCCACAAAGTCCTCCCTCGCCTGATACCATTGCTGCGCTCGTCGATTCTTCGCAGGATCGCTTTGCGTTGCGCATATCAATGGACTTCTCAGCTCGAACTCATGCTCGGCCAGCTGTCTCCCATCAGCAAGGGGTCCCATCAATCGCTCGTAACATTCTTGGGGCTCAAATGCTTCAGCCATGTTCACAGCATGTTTTCCGTCAAAGACATGATTGAGTTTCCGGATTCTGCCATACTTCAGCAACATATGCAGCTCTCTCGTGGCCCATCCACAATAGAAAGTCGCACTGCCTCCAACTGGTACATGGAAGAACACCTCTGAGAGTCTTGGTAGCGTTTCAGCCATCAGCGTGGCGAATGGAGTTATAAGGACCAAACCGTCCTTTTCATACAGCGGCTTCTCTTTGTCCCCAGACCAGGCTCTGCTAGGAGGAACATGCTTGTCGTATAGCAGGTCGATCGACATCTCCAGCGACGTGATGTTGGCTCGAGCGACGTTGTCGAATTCTCGCAGGTATCTCATTGATCGGCTACCATCCATGTTCAGGACGATAGTCGATCTTCTGTAGAAGATGGGCATCGCCTCTGCCAAGATCTGACGATTGACCAGGAGCAAAGATGCGTGCTGGGATTCGACGTTCTGCGACGACTTGCATACATCTCTAGTAAGTCCAACGCCCGAGCTACGGTAGGTGCGTTTCAGCTTATCAATCCCTCGTGATGTTTCAGAGGAACTCACACTTTCAGGTTGCGGTCTTGAGGCTCTTGAGGAAAACTGCGGCGAGCCACTCTCACACGAACAGAAGAGCTCCAAACGAATTCATAAATGCAGTCTCGGATCTCGCGGGGCATCGTCATCATCGTTGGCTTCGAATTCGACATGCCTGCGCTCTTTGCGGATGCTGTTGAGAACTTTGGACATCAGGGTAGATGTTGGATTGACAAAGATGATTCAACCTTGCTGGTTTCTGAAAACAGAGATATCGGTAGCATTCCGGACACACCTTCCTGCTTTCGCATGGAGAACGCCATATATCGTTGCTGCCCGGATTTTACATCGCTGGCGTTTCGGCAAACTTGAGTCTCGTGGACGTCTTGTGCGTTCGGACCGCTCCATCTGCCAGCTCGCCTCACACTGAATATGCACATGGCATTTTGGTATCGAACTTTTTGTCCGAGCAATCAGATGAGCGGCGTCGGGACTCATGGGGGCAGGAGGCTTCGCCGATGGCCTGTGGCTGTCGATGGCCTGTGGCGTGTCCTGCTAATAAGACGGCCTTTCTTACGGTAAACACCTTAGCGTCTATCTACCTCGTGACTTCCCCGGTCCCTAGCATACCTACACCTCTTGGATGCTAAACGAGTTGCGAAGGCCTACGCCTCTATGTTAGAAAGCAAGGAGCCGACGTGCGAGCGCAGAGGGCTTGCCCCTCGATGCGCCGCGAGCACTCGAGGCGGTCCGCAGGGCAAGACCTCGTTTTAGAGGGATTTGATGTAAATTGATGAGATATTGATTAAGTAGCAGGGGGTACGTTACAGGCCATCGACAGCCACAGGCCATCGGCGAAGCCTCCTGCCTTATGGGGATGACGATACGAGGAGACGAGGGAGAATCTCGGTCGCGGAGTGCAGTCCGTGCGGCGTGTACGGTGCGCTTTTAGCGACAACTCTGCAATAATCTTTTTTTAGTAGAACTAAGGTACACTACTTACGCTACCTCGGAATATAACCGTTCCGAGAGGTTAGCGGTGATTTTTAGTTATTATACGGGCGCTTCCGATATAGCCTCTTTATCTAATATATAGATATAGTCCTAATCGATAGATTAATTATAGAAGTAAAGTTATCTAAAGCCTATATCTATAACTATATATTAGGCACTCCTTTTATATAGTAGATAGATCGAGAAGTAGATATACGCCCGTATAATACGTTTACGACTATTAAAGTAGTACTATATAGATATCTATTAAAGGAACGAACAAAAATACTAAAAATAACTCCTCTTTAAACTTATAAAGCACCTACTATCTTTATTCTTATTGTAACCTTTTAGATTAACGACGCTTCGACCGATTACGCGTATAATTTATAGGTAGTTTATTTATATTCTTAGATAATTACGAAACCTTTAAGATCGTCCGCTTATAGCTTAAACCTCCTAAAGTAGGATATTATTACTCTACTTCCTTAGTTTCTAGCTCTCTCTTAATTTCTAGCTCTCCCTTAATCTATAATCGAGTAAGTAGCTATCTTTATAATTATATAAGCTAGAAACGTATAAATATCTTATTAAACGAAGGTAGCGACTTATCGTTACTATTATTAGTAGCGTTATACTCTATAGTAGTATTAACTTACTCTTTACTCTTCTATCGAATTTAGTATTAGACTTTATCTATTAACGTTTATATAGAAAGATAGTATATATACTTYTAAGGTCGGCTCTACTTTAACTACTAGCTTTAACTCTACTTTAACTTCTTACTTTACCTTCTTCTTCTTCTTCTAAGAGCCCTTACTCTTTAGAGTAGTAGTAGCTTTAGTAAGATTTATATTAACCTCGGCCTTATATAATAGGTTATCCGTAGGCTACGATATAGAACGTCTCTTAAAGATAAGGAATACCTTATATTACTTTCGATATAGCTAGCCCTTTATATTAATATCGTTTAAGAAGATACGACTTAGCTTCCTATCTTTAAAGTCTATATCTAGAGGTTAAATAGGCCTATTTCGGTTATTATACGACTACGTAATATATATATAGGTATTATCCGGATATTCTATCTCCTTAGTAATATACGGTTTATTACCGAAGCTACGAATAGTAGCTACTATATCTTTAATATTATAATCCGGTACCGCGATATCCTTAAGCGTTCCTATATCCTATTAGCGATTAATTATATAGCGGTATAGATAAATGCAATAATAGTATATAATATATATAGTATACTTAGAGAATTCTTTACCTTTCTTTAACCTACTCTACTTTAGTATCTTATCTAGATTATCTAGGGTAATATAGTATCTTATAATAATAATCGTAATAATAAACCTAACTTATACGATTACTATTATAAAGATAGCCTTTATAATACTATCCTTCGACCGTTAGCTAGGGGGTAGATTACCTATATAGTACTTATACTTTAGTAGATTTATTACCGCTTCCTTTTCGATCTTAATCTATTATATATAAGTTGCCTTTATACTAGTAAGCTACGCTTTATCTAGGAGGCTCCTACTAATATATCCGTTAAGAATCTCGTCGTCTAATATCTCGCTTTTATTAGAGTTAATAATAATTAGTATAGTGCTTAAGGATAGCGTATTCGTCCGTAGCGGTATTAGTATCGCCCGTATAATCGGTTTATTCGAAGGTGCCGGCGGTATTAGGTTATAATCGCCGTAGAAGTAACATTTCTTATTATCTAGTATATACTTTATATAGTCGAATTAGGGCCGAGTAGGGTATATACGCTTCTATACTTTCTTTACTTGCTTCTTAGAACCTATCGGTATAAAGCGGACTCGTAGATATAGCGTCGTATACGTTTATATAAAGGAAGGAATATCGTCTATAGGAAGGGGATTAAAGGAGGATTTTAGTAAAGGGGTAATCCTTTATCGCTCTATAGGTATAACTACGTAAAGACGGGGGATAGAGCGTACGCTACTTAATAAGTATTATATAGATATATAGGCGTATAAATTTGTTATATAGTTATTATAGAGTTCTTATAGAGATTATAGCCGAGGCCGCTAATACTAGTAGGGATAGAAGTATATTAGCTATATATCCCTAGTATATATAGTCCTATTAGAGTATTAGAACGCAATATAATCCTATTATACCGATAATCTATTCCGACTTATCCGACTAATAATTAACCTCCGATATATCGCTATTACTACTTTCCGAGTTATCCTCTTTTGAAAGCTCTCTATTAATTAAACCCTCTAGTGCCTCCTTAAGCTCTTTATGTAAGCGGTTATTATCGTACTAATTGCGAAACGCCTATATAATATCTTCCGAGTCGACCTAAAATCCTTCCTACTTCCTACCGCTACGGGGAATTAATATCTTATATAGTATATCCTTAGGAATCTTACGTAGCTCTTCTACGAGGTTCTCGTATACGATCTAGTACTACGGCTTTTATACGCTTAGTATAAACTTATACGAGCTTAGTCGACCGAGCGGAAAGCCCTTTATCTTTAGAATACTTAAGTAGAGCTTAAGTATCTCCTATAGAATATACTCCTTAGAATCTATATATATTAGTAAATAATTTAAGATCTATTATATGCGTTCGCTAGTATAAACGTACCTTACTTTACGCAAGCTTCTATAAGACTATTAAAGTAGGCCTTATCGATTAAATACCTAATACTTAGCTTTCTCTCCTTCTCTACCTAGTTATAGCGATRGCTTAGTATACTACCCCTTACGTACGGTCTATTAGATTGTCTTCGTACGGGGTGCTTATTCTATATATATACGAACGAGGCTAGTTCTTTCCGTATAATAGGTATATAGATATACTTTATAGTAATACGGTTAGCCTTCTTTGCTTTATAAAACTACCCCTTCTTCTTTAATATTATAAAGAAGCCTTATAATATTAAGATTAATTAGCCTAACCCGTATAATTAGATTCGGATATAACGGGAGCGTTGCTAAAGTATATATAGATAATATACTCTATATACTTATATACTATATCTTAAACCTTCCTCGTATAAGCTAGCCCTACTATACCTCGATAGGGATATTAGTAGTACTTATTCTAAATATAAAGTAGCGGCGAAAGCGTACTTTACGCCTACGAATAATCCTTACGTATTAGTATTAAGCCTACGCTATAAGGAGTGTCTCTTTACCCTTATCTRTCCGAATAATAYRARGTACTCTCGTAAGCTTTTTATAAGCTTTCGYAAAGTTAGATAGTATAGATACTATTATACGGGTAGAGGGTCTAAGATAGGTATATAGAATAAACCGTATATYTRYATTAATAGTAGYATAGATCTAAAAGCTATAGTCCTTAAGTTTATARTATGYATCTATACTCTAGACTATATTAGGGCTAGGCGTAATATACTTCCTACGGCGACGTATAAACTTCGTAGCCCTATTATACGGGCTAGCGGGATAGACCTCGCGGGCTATCTCGTATAGTCGCTTTCTACGATATAGTAGTATATTAGTAAACCCCTTTCTACCTTATAGATATATATCGTATAAATATACTAACCTACTAAGCGTAAGCCGCGTACGATCGGTTATATAGAAGTATATTTATAGTAATATTATTCTATATGCTCTAAGATTCGAGCGATTAATCTCCTTCTTTATAATCTTTTTATATTCCTCTTAATGCTTAAGGAACTCTCCTTCTCTTAGTCGTTTTTTAATGCCTATACTCCGCCGAAGCCGTATAAAAGTATAGTACTTAATCGTAAATCCCTCCTCGTTTAATTTATCTACGATATACGTATCTAGTAGAGCTTTAAGGTAGACAAGTTCGGCTATTCGAATACGAAGGAGAGGATTATCGTAAAGACTATTCTTTAATAACTATTAGGGTTAGCTACCGTTCTCTACGACGATTATATAGATAGTCCGTTCGGAGGTATATAGCTATTATAAATAGAGGAAAGTTTAAATATCGGTAATACTCGTATTATTATTTTAGAGTTTAACGACTTTTAGATAAAGATTAGGGGAGATAGAAGGGAAGCGGCCTATTATATAGAATATGCGTATAATAGGGTAGAGGGTAGACGGGAAAGGAATTAGCATAGTAAGAGGTTATAAACCTTAGCGAAAACTTTACTAAAAACTATAGGGTTAGGGTTAGAGTAGTATATTTCTTTAATATAGAGCGATAGTAATATAAATTATAGGATATTTATAGGGACAAATTGTACGAACGTATAAAGCAAGGAGGAGTTATATTTTAGGTATAAAAGCAAGTAATTATAAAATAGAAAATATATTTTAAAAGTAGTTTTTAAGTACTATAATTAAGGYCCTCGTAACCTATTAGAAACTCCTAACGCTTAAAGCCGCTAGTATAAAGAACTTAAAAGAGATTCCCTCCTCCTCTAGATACCCTTAATGCCCTAATTACCTCTTTAAAAACTACCCTCTACTCTAATTAAGCCCTATTACTAGTACTCTACTATTCCTATTCTTTAGTAACTACTAATACGCCTAGACCTCGTTACCTACGATATCCTACGCTTCGGCCGTACCTAATCTCTATTTTAGCGATTAAGTAAGTCCCTACGGTCGTAGCTATAAGCCTAATTATAAAACTTATAGTTACTATAGATATTATAGAAGTTCTTCTTCTAGATTATATAGCTCTATTCCCGTTAGTATCGCATGCTTTTATACGGGTAAGAAATATACCTAGAAGTTCCTATCGCTATTCTAATACCGCCTATACCGCTTATCCGTTCCTATTTCTTCTTTATTACTATCTACTACTATCTCGTCGGGATATACCGTTCTACTACGATATTATTAGCCGGCATACTTCGATAATTCTCTAATAGAATTATATAGACCGGCTCTAAATTAATAAAGCGTTAACGTAGGAGTAATAGTTATAGATTTTAATAGCTAGATCGAATATTAGATCTTAAATTAGAAAGTAATAGCTAGTTTTTAACTCTATTAGCTCCTTCTGCTCCTCGTTAATAGTAAATCCTACTTACTCGAGCTATTATACGGATTAGTACTACTCTTAGAATATTAAATTCCTAGCTCCTACTCTATCTACCCTTACGTCGATAATTCTTCTTCCTTTAATAGAACCTCTATCGATTAAAAGTAGGTTAAAGGCCGGTCTAGTAGTTATTCTTACGGTTGTTAAAGTAGTAGGTATTTATACGGAGGAGTAGGAGGAGGGAGGAGGATATAGGTAGATAGTAAAGGGGTAGTATAGTAGTAGGAGTAGTAGATATTAATATTAGTGTTTAAGTGTTAATAAGAGTTGCTAAAAGAATAGTAGGTATTTATCCTACTACTCTTTTAAAGATCTAAATTACCTATATAAAGAGTTAGAAGGCTACCTATATACCTACCTTATTACGCTTTTACTTTTATTATACCTTACTCTTTAGTACCTCTCCTTTATATATATTTAGATAAGAGTCGCTTAAAGAGTAGTAGGTATTTATCCTACTACAAAAGTAGCTAGTATAATAGTCCGCGAGTAGAGTAGATAATAGAATATATAATTTAATAAAAAGAGTAGAAACTTTCCTATTTAGAAAGGAACTATAATATTACTATAATATTATACTAAGCTCCTATTACGAACTCGTAATAGCTAAAATCGAGATTATATAAAAGAAAGAAGAGCACTAATTCTCTATACCTTATCCCTTCCGACCTTAAGACTTACTCCGAGACCTACGAGACTACTTATCCTTTTCTAAACGTAGACCCTTTAACTAATTATCCGTAGCTATACTTATAATTATTCCGCGCTTAGGTCGCCGGTATATATTTTCTAGTCTACTATTATACGCCTTTAGCCTCTCCTAATAGGCTCTCTTACTAGCTATCCTATTACTATACTAGTAGGTACTCTTAGTTCCCTACTAGATATAGTTACTATAGGCTAAGTTTAAATATCTACGCTAGATTATATAGCGCTATTCTTATTAGCGTCGAATACCTTTATACGGGTAGGAAATATACTAGAAATAGCCCTAGGCCTTTAATTATATTACTATCGTAGTCCTTCCGCTCCTTATAATCTCCGTAATACTTCTTCTTAGTTAATATTATTCTACTACGATATTATTAGCTATTATACTTTAATAATTCTCTAATAGGATTATATAGACCGGCTTATAACTAGAAAGGCGTCGACGTAGTTCGAACGGTCTCGGATATTATCGATCCTATTAGTAAAGCTATTATAGATCTCGACGTGCTTAATAGTAGGCTTAGCTATTATCTCCCTCTACTCGCGGTTAAGAGAGAATCCTATTTTCTTATACTATTATATAGGTTAGCGCTACTCTTAAAGTATTAAATTCCTAGCTTATACTCTTATAAAGTTCTACTTAAAATATCCGTATTCGCTATTATTATCCGGATTCTTAGGGAAAGTTCTAGCCCTCTAGTATTTCGTAGTATCGATATAATCTAACTATAAGTATAGTAACTTAAGCTTCTTCGCCTTCTTAGGCTTTTATATAAGTAGTATAGAGGAGGGAGAAGGATATAGGTAAGTAGTAAAGGAGTAGTATAATAGTAGGAGTAGTAGGTATTAATATTAGTATTTAGGTATTAATAAAAGTCGCTAAAAGAGTAGTAGGTCTTTATCCTACTACTCTTTTAGAGATCTTATTTACTTATATAAAGAGTTATATAGCTACCCGCGTAATACTATTATACCTTTACTTTATCCTTATTATTATTACTTAGGTATCGTAGACTTGAATAAAATTACTTTAAAGAAGGAAAGCGAGGATATTACACGCGTATATTAAATTACGCTACTTATTACTTATTATACGGAATACACCTTTAATTACCGAGGTTCTAATACCCTATAATACTAGCGTCGCACTATCGCCTAAAAGGATTATTGCAGAGTTGTTCTTAAAAACGCGCCGTAGGCGTGCCGAGAATGTCTACACTAGGTATATCGCTATATGAGAGTTTACCGACAAAGCATCGGATCCCGGTTGGGAGCTGCTTAACCATATTATTGCAGAGATGAGTACCTTCCGCCCAATCTCATCTTAGGCGGCGGCATGCCATGATATCCTCGACATCCACTCTATGCCAGCGCCACATCAGCCACTCCAAGAAGCACCATGGCCACGACACTGGCACCAGCTCGACTACCTGAATTCCTCAACGAGCGCATAGTCTCGCCCATCACACATCTCGGTCCATCAGAACCCATCCGCCAATTCCAATCCGGTGATTCCAAGAACCTGAAACTTTGAATGCCATCTCGTGGGTTCTGGTTTTCGTCCTGCACTATACAATACTCGCCTTGAACGGGACCATCATCTTCCTCACTGGCAGTACCGCAATCGAAGCGAGTCGGATCGAACCCTCAGCAGTCTTGAAGTGAAAAGTTCTCAACAAGGAATCGTGCCTTGTGTTCCTCACCCCTGTATTGGGAAATGGTGACTTGACTGTAATTTGCTTGTGGATCGTAGTTCTCCCACGCTGTGGCCGAGTAATTGAAACCATCCTGTGCATATGCAGAATTGAAACTGCCGGTACAGCCTTCGGTGTGGGATATCGATCGGTTATCGGAGGTGTAATCTAGTGCTCCTGGTCGGCAGCGGAAGTCGTCATTGTAGTCTGTCCGCTCGGCGGGATCGATAAACGTCTCGTTCAAGTTGAAGCACACTCCCAATGCAGAAAGGGGATATCCGCTGAAACTAATGGAAATGTTGCTAGATGYGACCTTGGCGACTTGATAGCAGCAATTCTCGGTGCTCAGGGATAGGTTTATGTTTCGAGCGTGGCTGCTGAGCACGAAACTGCTGAGGAGAGTTGCGATTGTACGAAAGGTTGACATGATGTGAATRTGGTGTTTTTTAGGTGATGAAGGAGAGAGATATAGACGGTTCGAATCGTGGACCGTGAATGAATGAAGTTATATTGACGGAGAGGTAAACAGAAGGAAGCTTGGCAGGGGATTCCAACCCGACGGCATCGAATGATGAGTCTGGTGGTGAGTGAAGAGGATAGCGTGTCTGGTAGTTATTGTGGATAGCCAAGCGTGTTGGAAACGATGCCGGTTCACGTCTGCCAACACTAAAGATGTTGATGTCGTCTTGGCATTATTTTTGTCGAGCATGTAGTCTGTATCGTAGGAGCGGGTGGGTCTTGTGGGACAATGAGAGCGATTGATACCGACGAGCTTCCGTTGTAATCGATCGAGGCTGATCGGAGTCAGAACTGCGGTTTTTGCTCGCTTGTCATTTATCTGGCTTTGAAACATTGACGTTGGTTAGGTCAGATTTGAGTAAGTGGCTTCCTTCGTGGTGAAGAAGACATGATCAAGAGCTGGCCATTCCCCCGTCTGATCAGAGCGGCGTTCTCATTCTTCAAAACCGTTCTCCAACATATTGTCCATTCAAGAAGACGAACTGTTCCTGACATGCGACTTTCCCGAACCGCTGGCAGTATCTCGACAACTCGGCCATGTCTTCCGCTGGCAACATTCCGTCAGCATCAATCATTACAACAAAACGACCACAGTAACGTAACGTATCATATACTAAAACTTACGTTTTGTGAAGGTAAGGACTCGATCCGCGTCTTCAGTCGATGCGATTCTTCGGGTTGTGATGAAAGCTCTATTTCGTCTTATACAGAAGATAACTGGAAGTGTGTTGTTGTTGTTGTCAGTCAACATAGTGTAGTTCTCAGGGAGAGACTTCACGAACCTTGCGCGTTGTTGTTAATATGGAATTGAGGTGAAGGAGAGCTCTCTGAGGGTTTGGTGATGGAAGGTATAGAACGATTCGGATCGGGCTTGTGATGGTGGAAGAGGGTTTGGAAGGTGAAATCCATTTGTGTAATCGGTCTGCGAATATGGAACAGGAGGTTGAAGGAAAGTGAGAAGATAATAAAAGGAAGATAGCCATGCATCGAAGGAGTCGTCAGCAGGTACCTGCCGCTGTGGCCTGATGCTTACTCAGATATGCCTTGCAATCATACGCCATGTGGTTGGTCGGATGGAGGTCCGAATCAATCATGAACTATACAGCCCCACCTGAGGCAATCTTGCATGTGGGAAGCCGAGCGGGAATGATGAACCAGTCCGTGACAGAATGTAATGCATACTCGTTGTATTTGGATGGAAAACCTCCCTGTTTCTTCAGCGTGCTTTCTGTATGCGTGAGTCTTTCCCTCTTTGCTACGCAGTCGMTATCTTTCGCATTGCTCCCTGTTCACTATCCGCTGTCAACCATGCGAGATGGATCGGGTAGCGGCAACAGATCGAGATGGTGTGAAGGAAAGCGTGGCGTTTGCTGCATACCACCTCACGTGGCGAGAACCTTATCGCTATCAAATTAGCAGAGCAGAGAATGTGCAGGTCGAAGCGATCGATTTTGGTGAGAGGTGCCTTTGACGATGTTTGTTACTCGCTTCGAGTCAACCCTTCGTGTATGCATGCACTTCCAGCGAGAGAGAGCACATATTTGAAAATGCTCAAGTTTTTGTTTCATACGTGACGTTAGATTCGTTTTTCGTAAACCTTCTCTGATCAACTAGACGTCAATCCACCTAGCCATCCAAAAGTCCACAATCTCCTTGGCTTCATCCACCAATCCCATATCCAGCAACAACTGACTCGTCCCTCGCACCGCACTCTCCAGCGCCGACCAAATCCACGCATGGGTATAAGTAGTGTGCTCTCCGACAAAAACCGTGTGCTTCTCCGTGTGGAAGTAAGCGGGCAAATACAAGTCCTGCTGACCGGTAGCTGGGCCGCACCATGCTCCAGCCTGGAACTCATTGTGTTCCCAGCAGATACGGTCGTAGTTGCCAGTGTACTGCTCCGCGGCGACTTCTCCGTGAATCTCCACCATGGCGCGTTGAACGTGTGCGACGTGCTGCTCTTCCGTCATGGAACCTACAGAGCGCGCACCAGTTCCCGAGATGTATGATGCGAGAATGACACCTGGTCCGGTGCCGTTGATGTTGTAGGAGGGATAGCAGACGCTGCTAATCTGTGGGATGTTGGTTGAGCCGCAGCCGCCGATGATGGGACGTTCCAGATGCTCCCAGAAACGGGTCTCGTAGTGGAGTGCGACTTTGCATGATGGGTCGTAGTTGAGACGGCCGATGGCTCGGGTGAGAAGACCGGTGTATGCTGGTAGTTTCCACAGACGAACTTTGCTAAAGGGAACGGCGACGACGACATAGTCAAATTCCTGACTTTCCGGTGTCATGGCGAACAGATCGTTGTTGCGGTACTCGACGGACATCTTCTGAGTCTCTCCATTCCAAGTCATTCCTTGCACTGTGGTGTTGTACTGGATGCGACCCTCCACCGCCGGTGTGAATGCCCGCGGGAGGCGAGAGAGACCTTGATCGATCGTGCGCCACTCTGTGGCGGAGAAGTAGACCGAGTCATAACCCCATGAGATCTCCTCGTCGGAGATGTCGGCAGCCTGGTCGGTGATGTTTGCACTGAGTCCCAGAGCATATTTGAGATAGCCGGCTTCGGAGAAGTGAAAGTAGCCATTGTCCACCGCCCACTTGTGCGCTTTGTAGACATTGGTGGCGATGTCACGGTAAGCGTCCCGATCGAGGCCCTTCCACTCATCATACGCGGCCAATGCTTCGGCAACTGCGGTTGCATTGGAGTAGGTGAGGTTGGCATTGGTTGCATAGGCAGGGTTGGCAGCTACTTCTGCAATACCAGGCACAGTGCCATCGGGTCTACGCTTGGCGGTGCTCGAAGGATCATTCGCGGCGGATTGGATCCACTTGATGAAGTTAACAACGTATTCCGAGTTGTTACCATTCTGCTTGTTCAGCTCATCCGCGAGWTGAAATACCATTCCTGGAGGTCATAAGGTTAGCCGCGTTCCAACGTTTCGAGTTCGCAATGCAATTCTTACTGTGATCCATAATCTGAATCGTCTCCGCGGGATCATCATACGTGATGCTGACGGGAAATCGCATGGGGCCCATTTCTTGGTATTGGTAGTCGCTAGGTTTCGAGCCGTTGAGGTACGAAGTGTGCACGCGACCTCCAATACGAGCCGACGCTTCGATGATCTTCCAGTCGTGAAAGCCAACACTCTCCAACAGATGGGAAGTCATGAGTCCAGACATGCCTCCACCTAGAATTCCAATGGACTTGGACTTTGCTGCTGCCACAAAGACCTCATCGGGCTCCTTCTCCTGGAGATAGGCTACTCCGTCAAACCATGGACCCTCAGCATCCATGATATCGGCGGCCTGTGTATGTGCTGTTAGCTCAAAATCACCTCGATGAGATGATAGAAACATACCGCCACCCATCTCTTTTGCTTCTTCGATGCGACTGTAACAGGTGCGGATCTGCCAACCAATGTCTCGCCGGAATACGCATGCAAACACCCGCCCGAAGCTGTATCCCGGGGAGTAAGCCAGACAAACTTGGTCGGTCTTTGATCGGGATGGAGCTCGTGTCGTTTCGCCATAGGATGTGACCCAACATGTGTCCTGCCAAGAGTGTGGTCGAAATCGTCCGATGTTGTTGCATCGCACGGTCCATAGTGCAAAGACAATTCACCATCCAGAGGAGCGTTGTAGGTGACATGCACATTCTGCATTCCACCAGCTTCGGCCACGAGGCCATTTTGAAAGGAGATGGTCGAGGATCGCGGAATGGCATTCGCTGCCACCGCAGCAGCCAGCCCAATGGCAGAGGCAWGAGATTTGATGGCCATGATCTTGAAGGGAAAGAAGGAGACTTGCTGGATTCCGTTCAACTTACCACGTGGGATCGCAGCCTACCTTATAGCTATAGCCACACATAGTCAATGCTACCAAAAGAACGAGCCATCGCGGCAGCTCGGCCAAGGCAACGCGAGCCCTACACAAGGATATTCATAATAGTCGACTTTGCGATTGCTGAATGCAGAGGTAGTCCAGTTGGGAACGATGTTTGTRAGATACGAAGGGCCAGATAAGTTGCCGCTGCGAAGCAGATCCTCTAAGCTCGCCTATCTCGCTATCACTCCGATGAGCCAGGTTGAGAAGGCGGTGGTGGTTCACGGCAAGATATGGCAAGAGTCTCCACCAGCCGTCAATGTAACATTAGGAGGGACGTTGAGGTTCCCGACACTCATGTCCCATCCGGCATATGATGCTACGGTGTGTGGTCGGCCGAGCCTCGACCGGTCTGTCGTGGAGTGTTGTGATAAGGCCGGCAGGTAGCACTTGAGGCGCCTGTCGCAGGTGCCCGGCAGAGTCGATGAAGCATGAGGACGGTGTTCGTCAATGATAACGCGGTAAAGATGGCGCAATTTTCGGGGTGACGTTCAATATATAGACCATGGGCGAAGCACGAGGAGATTAGGCCATCGCAGGGATCGATGGTGTTTTCTTGGTGCCAAGCTTGCGCGAGTCATGCGGTCTTTCTCGATCAAGCAGGTCTGGTACATTTCAACTGACAGCCTATGCTCGTACTCCGTTGTACGAATGGTTTGCTGGATAGTGTTGAAGATTCTCACTTACAATCTTTCACCAACGTGGAGAACGATGATTGGAACGACTTGGCGTTTCGGCGACACGGTGGACATCTAGATCTATGAAAATGTAATGTCGCATGTAGAGCTCATACAAGAGCATTGCCCTCAAGTGCTCCTTTACACTTCCTCCCCAATCCCCTGCCAACACCTACAAACTTTGCTCTGGCTTTGCCCAAACCCTTCCCAATCTTACCCCTTTCCCTCCTCCAATCGGCGCCCTCTATCTCGACTGCCTCTACCTCATCAGGGACTTCCACCCACCACTCCTCTACCCTCTGATTCCGATGCACGTAATCACCTTTCCATCTGCTCCGCATATGCGCTTCTGTAAGTTCATCATGTGAATCATCGCATTCCTTCTCCCCGGTTCCGAAAGCAAATTCCACAGGCTGTGTATTTGTACAGTAGAAATTCCTCTCTTCTGGCGGAATGGGTTCTCTATCGTTCCGTCTCTGTTCCGAGGGATTCTGATTGGGAGAAGAGAGTGTGATTGAGTTCAAGTTGTGTGGATTGCCTTCCCGCCTCCAATCTCTGTAAAGATAGCAGTCCATGTTCTGTTGGGTTGTGTATCGTTCCCTTGGATGAGGTGATTGGAGTGAATGATCGGAGCTGCCGCCAATGCGCTGGGATGTTATTGAACCTTCTGGAGAGAGGTCTGGAGTGGAGTGAAAGATTCCCGAAGGATTCGTCCGACTCGAGACTTGTCGTAAACTTTGCTGAGGAGTGTCTCGACGATGTCGACTTCCAATCTTCTTGGGTAAAGGATCAGCGCTCGGGGATTTTCTCAAGCTCAAGGACGAAAGCGCTCGAGCGAGAATGTTGGTGGATGGCATTGAGTCCACTTTTGTTCCTGCACTACTGTGCCGCGTGTTCCGGCTGTGGGGGCTAGGTCGGGCAACCCACCAAGTTCGGTGAAGGATGCGAGTTATCGATCCTCGAGGCGTGGGGAAGCGATTGGTATCATCACAGATGTGAGTATCTCATGACATTTGGAATGGAAAACATGACGCAAAGTTCATCGCACTCAGAGCTGAGGATGAGGATTCCAAGATTTTCTTTTCTGCGCAATGGCCGGGTGGTGTAAGCATCATAATAGCTTGCCTGATTGATGAGTATTGGTAATAAGCCTATGGTAGTAGGGTAATCTCAACCAGACTTACTCTACTATTCCTAAGGCCATGCCAAGAAGCTTGATCGGTTGCTTGTATTCACTTACTTCCGGACTAGCTTGCACCCCTGCTCTCGGCGCGGAACTCATTTTAATCTTCCATCCTCAATGATCCTCACGTGAAGTCTTCGGCGATCGAGAAGGTAAGGTATGCAAACTTCGCGTCCCACGCATGCATTTGCGAGTCGGATTGCGGCACGTCCTGGTCGTATGCAATCCTGTCGTAACTCTCACCAGGTCGAGTGAGGAGACCCATCCCAGTCCATTCCTCACCAAAGTAGCATGGCTTTCGCTTTCCGGCGAGAAGATCCGTGATTGCGCATATTCATCATCATGGTATGTCAAACATAAAGTAAGGTATTGGAGGAGATGGTTTGGTCTTGCCGCCAAGACGTCCCTTGGACTGGCCTCCACTTTCCCGATAACATCAGTTTGCAAAAGCAGTGTCGCCCGACGTACAGTCTCCTGCTTCCATGATCCCGTCTTGGGTGCCTCTGCGAGCAAGGAAGCGTCACGCCAGCATTGCAAGAATGGCCAAAAAGGAACCTCAAGCGAGATCGTCATGCAAGCTTGTGCAGATCATTGATGCTATACTCAATTGGTCCGCCGACGCGAGTGGCTGCATGAATCACGGGACTCGCAGCCTGACGTGCTGTTGCAACTTGCAAGAGACAAGGCATGCGCGTAAAAGCTTACATTGGGATCGGACATGGAGTATGACGAAGAGATTGAAGAAGCTGGGCCGCGGGTCACGGGCATTGAAGTTGGAGGCCGCGACAGGAACGGACATTCCTTTCAGCACATCCAAGCCACGGGGTATGCACGCATACACAATGGCGACGTGATTGTTAGCGGTGGGGGTGAGTATAGGGTGTGCGTCTGACATGGTGCACGCAACGTTGATCGTAATGCCCGTAGGCGATTATATCTACAACGAGCGAAGCACGGATCCTGACCTTGTCGCTGCTGCTGTGGTGAGACAGCTGGTCGATGAGGGTACTATTGTGCAGCTTGCTGGACTCATGCAGCGAGCTCAGGCCTCCAACACACCCATCCATGAGGCACGAAATGCGCCTTCCTCAAGACCGCATTACCAATTTCCGCGGCCAGGAAACAAGGGGCGGTCCAGAAAGTGGTCGCTCACCCTGCGACCTTGGATGGTCTCCCATATTTGGCAAGCCTCGGTCAATCGCTCATATGCCGGATGGGATGCAAGCATACGAACGTGGAATATCGTTCCCTTCCGATCGGCGATCATGGAAATGGCTCGGCGGGGAGACGTGCGCGGCATCCAAAAGTTGGTCGATTGTGGGCAGGCGTCGCCGTTTGATGTCGACGAACTCGGCTACAACATCGCAATGGTAAAGTATCCATCCAGCAAAAGGGAAGGGCACCGCGACGCCTGCTGATTCGTCCAAGGTGGCCGCCCTCTACTCGGGCCTCTACCCTGGCGTCTCTTCCGCAGTGACCCGCTACTTTTTGGACTCGACCCATTCTGATCCGGGCGAACTGCTCAAAGTCGACATCCGTAGCGCTGATCCCCTCGATGTTGAGGGCGGGTGGTATGAGACGTTGATCCATGACTTTGGGGCTGATTCAAGCGACCTGATGGACCCTRGCCCCCCTCCACTGTGGTGGTGCATGCTGCAACGCATCGAGTCCGTGAACATAGTGTTCCAATCCCTACCGTTCGCGTATAGCTCCCTATCGCCAGGAGAAAGATTGAGCAAGGCACTTGCCATAAGAGACCCCAATCTCTCGCTTTTCATTGCTGCGACTGGCTACGAAGCCGACCCTGGTGGACTTGCAACGGCGACGACGCCCTGTTATGGTGAGACGGCGATACATGTCATTGCGAGGCGCTTTGACCCGAATAGCAGCGAACGCGACGAATACTGCACTTTTTTGAAGCGTTTGGTCCAGAACGGAGCACATTTGCATGCGTTKCAGTGGGATGCGTGGGTTGACATCTACAAGACTCCCTTTATGAAACTTCTGGAACGGGACATCCAACGTGTGGGTTCCTGGCTAGACTTGCTGGTGTCTGCTGGCGTTGATCTTGAGGGTTATGGACGMAAAGAATTCGAAATCTGGTCGTCCGAGTCAGCTTACAGACCCATCACAGCCGGTGTGAATGCATGTCCAAGGCGCAGGCGCTTTCACGAGGATTTGGACCGCAGTTACACCGTGGTTGGGTTTGACTATGGCTCGTCGCCGTCCGACTGGAGGCTCATCGTGCAACCGTCCGTCACCATTCCGATCTACACCAGCATTTCGGTCCCAGGATCCTGGGTCGATGAGTGTGTGGGTGAGAAGATTTGCTGGATGCCTAGTAGCGACGACGAATCTCACACCTTTTGGGCCAAGGAGGACACGGTACGTATGCATTATCGAGAGCGAGTGTTGCCGAACCAAGATTTGTGGGAACCTCCTCCGGCCCCGAAAAGCGATCAAGGGACATACGATGACGCCAGTCCATCCGTACTGATGCTACTGCGGCCCCGTGCATGGACATGCCTGAGGAAACGTGGGCAGAGCCAGCCCCCAATGGACCGAATGGCGAAACACAGATGTCTCGGCGCAGAGGCTTCATTGCGTAGAGATCATCGAAGCGGGCTCCACTGGTGTAACTTGACGTCGAAAAGCGCSTTGCACTTCCAGAACTATTTCTTCACGGACGAGGATGCGCGAGAGTGTGTGAGAGGACGCCGCGAGGACCATGCCGACTACTGGCAACGACATTCCATCAAGTTTGAGGGGATCAAACCTGGAGACTACTTCAATACCTCCCGTGCCCGCAAGCAGATAAGAATGGTTCGGCTTGTATCGGTCATTGCCGGGGGAATAGCTCTCTAGGATGGACTGCTGTGGGGGATTGGGTTGCGGTGGAGGTATTGCACGTGGTCGGAAAGCATCGAGTTCTGATGGGGCATGTTTCTTCATCAGCGATGGAAGACTACCTTTGACATGCTGTGATGGGCTTCTGCGGCCCCACGATCCGTCCATGCTCGTGGGACATGCATGCTTGATTCCCAGTCTTCGTGTGTAGGAACATATTCTTCCTCAATCCTAGTCTGCGCGTTGTGAGCGTGTCGAGCATTTCTCGATGCTCTTTGCTCGGGTAGTCTGCGATACCGTCACCGCCATGTTGCTTGTGATGAACAAGTTTCTTAAGGGTATAATCGTCGTTGCATTTTGTACAAGCCTGCCATTTCCATCCCCTCCTCCACACCATCCTCTTTCATGTCACCTCACCCGGCTCCAGCACTACCAGCCCTGCCTCTTCATCCTCACCACCAAGGCAACCGTCTCCTTGAATCCCGCCTTGAAATTCCGCCTCCACCGCTCGCCCTTCAGCCTCTTCCTCTTCAGACCCGGGCGTTCATGAAACCTCTGGCGCATAAAGTCCTTCCGGACGGAATTTCTCGCACACGACATCTCCAGGGTTCGAAAGGCCCTGCCGACATCCATGCCGCGGTTCATGTCCACTTTGATCGTCCTCCCAACCGTCGGATTCAGTTTGACCGTGGGCAATTCACTCTCCGGGGAGACTCCCGAGGGAGGGGGTGAGTCAGAGGGGTTGTTGAACCAGGCATCAATGTCTAATGCTGCGGAGGAGGGGTTGGTGGATGGGGATTGGGATTTGGAGGAGCGGCCGGGAGCGGTCAGGGTGCGGGCAAAGTTGGAAATGGACGATTGCGTGGTTGCGGGGGCGGGATGTTTTCCGGGAAAGCGGGATTGGCGGGTCGCGTGTTGGCCTTTTTTGAGGTCGAGGGATTCATCCAGGACGGTGGAGATGGAGGAGGAAATGGTGGAGCGGGAGGAGGGGGGTGTAGGTGTGGGTGAGTAGTCGGAGGCGTGGAGGGAGGTGGTGGTGGTGAAGGCGCGTGCTGTTGATGTGGATGTTGATGTTGATATCCTTGAGGAGGAGGAGACTCTCAAGCCTCGCATGCCGGAGGCGAGCAGTCGGACGCTGGCTTCCATCTTTGTGGTGGATGGAATGTGCTGTGATGATGGGTTGTGAAGTTCAATGGCCGATTCTCGATGCGATGCGGAGTGGATGTCGGGGGAGAGGCGGGAGGGGCCGCGAATTGAAGATGCAAGCTGAAGATGTGGATTGCGCTTCACTTTCTTCTTCTTCTTCTCCTCATCACCGAACAATACTAACATTGTTCCACCGCAGACATGGCCTACAACTATGGCCCTCCACCCGGTGCATATCACGGAGGAGCACCGCAATTCCCTCCGCCGGGCTTCAATGCCCCTCCAGGAATGGATCCCTCCCAATTCGCGGCCAACATGCCCAACATCAACCTCAATGCGCCCGTCATCCGCTTGGGCGTCGGAGCCGATCCCCACCGGCCACACAACCACCACGACCGAGGCGATGGTAGAGGGAGAGATGGTGGTGGAGGGGGAGGCGGAGATCGACGTGGTCCGCGCATGGGCGATGACGGCAGGAATCTGGACCGCGAGCGACAGCAGGTGCGCGACTCGATGATGGCCATGCAGCCACCGACGCGGGAGGAAGTGGCGAGGACCATCTTCGTGGGAGGACTTGTGGAGGGAGCACCGGGAGACGATCAATTGGACAWGTTGTTGGCGTGCGCGGGCAAGTTGAGGAGATGGACGCGCGCGAGGGATCTGCATGACCATGCGTGCAAGTTTGGATTCGCCGAGTATGAGGATGTCGAGAGTCTCGAGGCCGCCAGTGAGATTTTTGGCGAGGTCGAGGTGCCACTCTTCCACCCCGACGGCACCCTGCAACGCGAGACGGGAGGCGAAGGAGAAGAGGCGGGCAAGGTGAAGATGTGCAAGTTGGTGGTGGTGGTGGATGAGGCCAGCATCAAATACATCGAGGAGTGGAAGGGCAAGCGACGGGAGAGTGACGATCAACGCGCCTTTCGCATGGAAAACTGCCGGGAAGAGGTGCGCAGTGTCGTCGCCCGCATGCTCAATGCCACGGCCTACCACGCCAATGGACAGAATGGAGATCGCGATGGAGACGTGACCATGGGCGACGATTACAAGGTGGAAGTGCTGAATCTGCCCAACAACATGGACGATGAACTGGCCGACATTCCCGTCGAGCAGCGTGCCACCGTCGCCGAGGAAATCAAGGCCTTCCGTGATCGATCGCACCGGAGGGACATTGAGAGGACGGACCGCGAGCAGGAGGCGGAGAGGGAGGAGCGGACGAGAAATCCTCGGGTCAATCGTCTCCAATCCCCACCTCCCAACACCAGCTCTTCCAACGGCATCCCCGTCGGCCCACGGGGAAGTCAACGCGTGCAAGGCGCTCCTTCGGGGCCCAAGAGTCAGCGTCAAATCCCCAGCGACTACGTCAACGGCGTCGCTTTTGTCGGGCAAAACGGTGGAGCCAGCTACGTGCCCCTCCGCGATGATGAAGACGCCGAGGAATCCGACGATGAGCTGGAGAGGAGACATCAGGCGCGGAAGAAGGAAGAAATGGATCAACAATTCACCGACCACGTCCGTCGCTGGCAAAACCGCGAGCGTCAGCGTGGGGCTGCGCAGGAGCGGGAGAGGAAGCGAGAGGAGGACGAGAAGAGAAATCTCCTCAAGGCGAGAGAGGACATGCTCATGCGTCTGGCGAATTGGAGCGATGAACAGGAGCGAAGACATCCGTACTACAAGGATCCCTCGCAGTGGTCTCGCAATCGCGCCTACGCGGTGGAGAGGGAGCGGAGGGAGGACGATGACGACCGTCGGGCGGAAGAGCGTGAGATGGAAGAACAGCGACAGCGGGAGGCGGAAGCGAGAGGTCAAGCTGGAGACTTCCTCTCCCACATGATGGATATCGACAGCGATCCCTCTCGTCCTCCACACCAAAACTACCATCAACAACAACAAGATCAAGGCGGACGTGTCAAGATTTCCCTCGGAACCGCAAAGGCCAAGACGGCGCCTGCGCCTGCAAAGCGCCAAATGGTGGATGTGGAAGGATTGCTAGACGACGAAGAAGACGCCGCCACTTCGGGTGCCAAAACTCAACTATCACTCAAACCTCTCCAAGATACCTCCACTCTCCCCACTTCCGGTGCCGATCTCACCGACGATGAAAAGGCGGCGGCGCGCAGACAATTGGCGGCGGAAATCCCCTCGGATACCGACAAGTTGTACTCGCATCCCGTCAAGTGGAACTATCTCACCAAGGAACTGGTCGAGGAGCAAATCCGGCCGTTTGTGGAGCGCAAGGTGTTGGAGTTGTTGGGCATGCAGGAGGGGTTCCTGGTGGATAGTATTGTCGAGGGGGTGTTGAGTCAGATGGATGCGCGGGAGATGGAAGGCATGGTCGAAGGGGCGCTGGATGACGAGGCAGGTGGGTTGGTGAGGAAGGTTTGGAGGTTGTTGGTCTTTTGGGGCGAGTGTGAGTGGAGAGGGTTGAATTAGGTGGGTTTGTTGGAGTGAGGGAGTGGACATCAAGGGAGTGAACGTCAAGGGCGTGAGTGATGATAAAGGGATAAAGGGAGAGCGAGAGCGAGAGAGAGAGAGAGAATGWGAGAGAATGAGAGAGCATGAGGTATGTAGAGGGTAATGGTTCAATTACCGTCACTACTACAGCTTCTTCTTCTTCTGCTGCTGCTGCTGTTTACTTCCCGTCGTCTTTCCTTTTTTCGTTGTGCAGTCCTTTTTTCCCTTTTTCCCTTTTTCTTCTTTGATGCACGTTTCTTCGCCAATCCACAAATTTTCGACGGGTTTTCTTATTCATGCGAGCTCTCCTCGCATGAACAAGACAGAGCTCTGGTTGTTTTTGGGATCGTTCACGATGATCGCGGTCAAGGAAAACTTCCTTCCCTTTATTCTTTCTTGCTGGCTGGCTGGCTGGATAGATTCTGAGAGAATGGGCGGTTGGAGCGTCGCTTCCACATCTCGATCTATCCCCTCTTAACACATCTCCGATCTCTCCTCGTCATGATTGCGTAGGATGCATCGAGAATCGGATTCGTTGTTCGTTGGAGAGCTATTCTGAGTACGGGCGATGAATTTGTCGCGTCGATTCTCACATATGCGCKTCGATCCATGAATGAAAGTGGGAGTCAGTTCGCTCTCATCTGMTCTGTTGCTACTGCCTTTGATGATATCCCTCATGGTCGGGTGTTAACAGGGATCGAAGCCACGGGCATTAAGGCACTCAAAGGATGCTATTGCGGTCGTGTGTTCCCACGGGCCAATATTGGTTTCGATTCGTCGACGGAAGCTGTACTTGTAGGGGAGTTGTCGAAAAGTACATATGTGACCGACTATGCACTAAAAGCATATGGGATCAGAGATTGCCAATGTTTCAATAGACATGAATAGTGTAAGATTGACTACTTCTTGTAAGTTAGCCTGTGCTTCTTGAAGGACGTCTGGTGTTCTGATTTACGCTACCCCAACCCTAACCCTCCCGAGGTCTCGATTTGTCCAAGGACAATAGGAGGACAAACGAAGCCTGCCGGGCTCTTTCTCGTTACTGCAATCAACACTGAAGCGTGTGCATTGCCGTGTCGATGTCTGTGATGGGCTGGGAGCTTGCTGTCCGGTCGCTGGTACGGCGTAGACCCGGAAAAAGTCATAATCGTTGCGGTCTCGACTCGGCACCCAGGAAAAGTGTTTCACCACCTTTCATTCACGCCCTCTTAGCTCAGTTGGTAGAGCGCGGCACTAGTACTCACTGGCATGCCGAGGTCGCCAGTTCAACTCTGTCAGAGGGCACTTACTTTTGCATCCGCTTCCGTATAACGGGAGTGCTCTTTTTGTTGTGTTCTGCGCTTGTGCGGAAGATGCAGTGGCGCAATGCGGCTCCCTTTTTGCCCCTCCATAGCAGCATACCACCCGACATGCTCTTAGATTGCAGGCTGCAGCGACAAGCATATGCACGACAGTCACGGTGTACAGTATCTTCCAATAGCCACCGCGGTAATATAGTCGCACCTTCCCAAAACCAAAATTTTCATTCACTCAACAATTTTCACTTGCGAAACTAGACCCATATTATTCAAACTCTACTGTGCCATTCGCACGGGATCGAATGGTTTTGATGCACAAGCAAAACACGGAGACCTCTCAGCGATAAGGTCTGCCGGACAAGCCACAGAGAATTTATCGTTGACACGGCTCGCCGGCACACTCCCTTCGGAGCACTGCAGTTTATGGAATTATGGAACATCGGAACCACACTTCTTTACCGACCTTATCATGGCACAGCAAACACACATTTCAGCCCTGGAAGGTCGTTCTGTGTTACGTCAAAAAAGTCCTAACGACTTGGCGCCGCAACATCCAAGACACTTGTCCACCAATCTGAGTGTTGGTCGCAAAGAGGGTCCTACTGAAGATATAGCCAATCGACATCGTGGTATGTTCCTCGGAGACCATTCTGAGGAGAGGCCTACTCGCTTGACACCTCGCCAAATTGAAGGACCAACAACACGAGACCCAGTACATTTCCAGCAGCTGCTCACCAAGGCCGCCTCGCGCATTGGCAAGAATCCTTCGCAATTGGCGAATCCCTTTATGTGGTGTGAAGCATGGAACGGTCTTCGCTTGCCAGGGCATGGCATGGCCGTGTATGCACAGTGCCACGCGCTCGCCACGCCTTTCAATGTCGCCTTCTTATCAAAGGTAGGGTCTTGAACCGTCTCTGTGCGCGAGGCAATCTTGATGCTTAGCATTGACGGGTGGATATAGCTGGTCGCAGGTCCCAGAAGTAGACCTTGTCTTTTGACAATTCTGCTTGATACCATGGCGACGGAAGGCAATCACTATGAAAAGGGTGTTGCAGCGGAGGAAGGTCTTACACCACCTCCACAGGATCGAGGGCATTCGATCGATGGCCAGCCTGAAAAGCTGTCCGTGAAGCAGCGCTTTGTTCGAGCTCTTGTCACTCCTGGGTCTGCAATTCAGATCGTTATCGCTGCAGTTCTTGGTCTGGGAATTGGACTCGTGAGTCCTATTGTGGCATCACATTCTGATTAGACACAAACTGACTTCCCCGACTCAGGCGGTATCCTCGACGACTGAGGATATACCAGAGGCTGCGCCAGTACTCTTACAAATCCCCGGTCAGCTATGGTTGCGTGCATTGCGGGCCACGGTCTTACCATTGATCGTCACTGCCATGATCTTAGCCGTGCAGAACCTCAAAGACATGTCGCAAGGAGGATCAAAGCTCGTCAGATGGAGCATCGGCTATTACGTTCTCACAACCATTTTCGCGGTTGTCCACAGCATGATCATGGTCGACCTGGTTTGGACGACTCTCATGGTACAAGGTCAGTACACGAAGATCGCCATCACCCCGAACGTATGACAGCTGATCAGATTAACAGCTGATGAGGCGACTCTCGGGGATATCTCTGAAGCAGACCAAGAGACGATTGACGAGAGGTCTTCAAACGCTCCTCACGACATCATTGTATCTGTCTTTACGTCGTTTGTGCCCCAGAATGTGGTTCAAGCACTCGCAGAAGACCAGCTTCTTGGTGTCTTGGTCACTGCCATTGTAGTCGGCTGCCTGCTCAAACGAGATTCTGCCCTACTTCGCGCTGTCAAGGAGATTGACAAGATTGTGTTCATCGTCATCAACTTCTTGATCAAGCTGGCACCGATCGGAGTCTTCTTCCTCATCCTGTCGAATCTGCTAAGACTGAATATTGCCGACGTTGGGCAGAATCTTGGGGTACTTATTGGAGCATCAGTGGTAAGCTCTGCAACGGTGATATCCATCAGCAACAGCAGCTAACATACGCCCGTCTTTTGCCAGGCCGGAATGTTCATTCACCTCTTCATCATGCTCCCAATCATCTTCTTCGCGTTCACGCGGAGAAATCCATACACCTGGTGGATGAAGCACTCTCCCGCGTGGTGAGTATCAGTCCCTGCTTCGTGGAGCAGACTCAAGCTAAATGACTTCACAGGATCACAGCATGGGGCTCAGCATCATCGGCCGCGACCCTACCGGTAACGATGAGATGTCTTCGAAAGAATGGAGTGGCTGAACCAATCGTCCTTTTCACCGCACCGCTCGGAGCACTTGTCAATATGGATGGGTGAGAACAACAAATGAGATCTCGCAGGGGCTCTTGAGCTGAAAGCTGACTGGTATCACAGTACCGCAATCTACTTTCCGGTTGTTGTTGTCTTCCTGGCTGTAACGCAAGGCCAAACATTGAACGCCGGTGACTACGCTCTGATAGTCATCCTTTCCGTCCTCAGCTCCATCGCCACAACACCGATTCCTTCATCATCGCTTGTGCTTACGGTTGTTATCGCCAACTCTGTGGGCATACCCGTGACTGGCATGTACGGGGTTGTTGTAGCAATCGATTGGTAAGCTTCACGACTTTTTGTCTCGCGATTCCATGCTTGAACGGTACTAATGCTGCCGAACAGGTTCATTGATCGTTTCAGGACCGCGCTCAACGTGAGTGGTGACGTGTTTGCGGCAAGCGTTTTGGAGAAGATGTCAGGCATCACGAATGAGACGGGGCAACTGCCGGAGCAAGCAGTGTTCGACCGCCAAGTAGCTGGCGAGGAGGCGACTCCCACGGTATCAGAGAATTCGGCAACGTCAGTCGATGTAATTCAACCTACCAAGGTGTAATCGGGTCGACTTGAGCCTATTAGACTCTTGCAGCTTCTCTGCGAATGAGGATCGAATGTCTAGTGTTTTCGACGTGCCGCTCGTCGATTGCGTGTTTGTCAATAGATACTAAATGAGAGCAAGCGATTGAGAGCAATTGCTGGACCTACTCGAATGATCTGGTACGAAACGACTTTTTATATTAACAGAGTCGCATCGATGCTGAGATCTTGTATCATCTTTTCCAGTGTCATTCAGACGACAATTGACAAAATGTCACAGCTGTCACCAACCTCAGGGGAGGTTAAGCCAATCATTGTCGGCTTGTTTGGACTTCCAGGCTCCGGAAAGTCAACCGCCAAGAAGCACCTGCAACAAAGTGCCTTTGCGTCTCAAATCAACACATTCGAAGGGTCTGAAGTCCTGGAGAATATTGCAAAAGAGGGAGGTACAGCTTTCCGAAGCCTCGACGAAGGGGAAAAGATATCGTTGCGGAAGAAAGCCATTGCAGCAATCTCAAAGCAGTGTGCAGACAGCAACAGGATTGGAATCGTGACTGGACATTTCATGTTCTGGAGAGAAGGCGAAGATGCTCCAGAAACTGTCCTCACACAACAGGACTGGCGAGTCTTCACCCACATCTTGTATCTCAACCTTCCCGTGGCAAAGATTCAGCAACAGATTCAGGAAGATGACCAACGCAAGGACCGGCCCCGTGAATCCTTGATGCATCTGCAGAGGTGGCAGGTCGCTGAGAGAGACGGGTTGCGGTCTTCTTGTTTGGACAACAACGTCAAGTTCTGCGAAACCACGGCAGATTCGAATGTTCTTGCTCAAACGATCGAATTTCTCAACCAGATCTGCGTCGAGGCCCGGCTAGACGGTGTCGTGAATACTCATGATCCTTCCAAGCTCCGCACTGTGCTTCTCCTTGACGGCGACAAGACGATCATTCCCGGCGACACAGGCGAGGCTTTCTGGAAGCTCCACGACAACAGCAGTCCTCTGAAGGAGATTTTCGAAGCTGGATACTCCTACGACACCTTTCGCGAAGCCATGAACCTGTATCGCACAGTAAGTAGCAAAGCATTCGACAAAGCCTCTCGCGAAGTAGCCGAATCCGCATTGATGCATCAACAATTTCTGGACCTATTGAACGATGTTGGCAAGCACGAGCACATCGGCGCAATCGTCGTCACTTGTGGATCGAGAAGCATCTGGGAGAAAGTGCTGTCTGCTGCTGGTGTGTCTGAGAAAGTAAAGATCATCGGTTGTGAAGTGGACGGTATGATCGTCACGCCGGAGTTGAAGGGCATCCTGGTCAACCGGTTGCACGACGTCCACAAGAAATTCGTGTGGGCTTTCGGCGACAGTCCCCTGGACTTGCCTATGCTGCGGAATGCCGACCAAGCAATCGTCATCGTCGGCGAGAAAGGTGCTCGAAGTCGGTCGATGGAAGGGAAACTGGGCGATGCGATTCGCAATGGTCTTCAGGTACGCCAGCTCTTGATGCAAGTCTGCAAGGATGGTCCGCTGCTCGATACCGATCAACTGCCACTGGTGCAACTGGACGATGTCGACTTCAAACAGTCGATCCTCAAGACTCCCCATCGACTAGAATACCTCGATGCAACCGACAGAGTATCCGCCAAGCTACTCATGTCAGCCACACGCGATGCAAAGTGCCGTGGTCCAGCATTGGTAGATGCGCATCGTCTTGTGGGTCGGTATCTGGCCACGGAATATCTCGGCGCAATTCTTGGTCTGGAGACGTACAAGATCATGCATGTGCAAGGCGGCGAGGTCGATGGACATCGCTTATCATCCGAAGACAAGACCGTCATTGTCCCTCTGATGCGCGGAGGTGAGCCCATGGCACGCGGGGTGTGGGAGGCGTTCCCAACTGCTATGTACGTCCATGCGAAGGAACCTGTTGATCTCCACAAGAGCGATCATATTGCCGGACGAGCTGCGATTGTCCTTGTTGATGGAGTTGTCAATACTGGCAAGTCCGTTGTTGATTATGTTCAGCACATTCGCAGTTGCGACGCGAACGTGAAGATTGTTGTGCTTGCTGGGGTGGTTCAGGGTCAAGCAGTGGAGAAGGGTGGTGTACTTGACCGCTTGTCCAACCGGTATGAAGGCATCAGCCTCATTGCTTTACGCATCTCCGCGAACAAGTACACGGGCAGTGGCTCCACAGATACAGGCCATCGCTTGTTCAACACCACGCACATGAATTAATGGTGGGCTTGATGGTGGAGGAAAAGGCTCCATCGCCTGACCGGGTTGCCGCTGCAGGACACCTAGATACCTAGTGAGAGTATCTGACTACGCATCAAGTGCCTCTTTCTTCTGTTTTTTTTTCGGCTCGCAAAGGTCCCGCTCTTCACCTCGTGACATCCCCGGCGCCCAATGCGGATGCAATAGCAGGCTGCATCGTGTTATCCTGCTTTGCACTATGCGCTGTTTTGTCCTTGTCGTCCTCGGCGAACAATTCCGTCCAGTATTCCTCCTTGAATCCATCCATGAACTCCTTGCCCAAACCCGCCTTGACCCATCCTTTCACCCCGCCTTCCAATACACAAACTTGCATGTTCTCATCTTTGGCCGTATTCCTCACGTGCTCCAGGAACCAGGCCGCACATCTCGGCCCACRGCCGTTGCTGGAGCCGCAAGTAAAGACGACCCACTCTATGTCAGCTTTAAAAGCCAGCTCGTACAGGGCTCCACGATTCCACCAGAAACCTTGGGCAGGAATGTTGAGACTGCCGCGTATGGCTCCGCCTTCGTAGTCGGTTCGGCGGACATCAATGATAAGCATGGAAGCTATACGCATGGAGAGGATCATGTGCACTCGCTTTTGGGGCATGATCTCTGCATTCATAGTCGGAGCAGGGAAAGCTGCATGCCATGGCTGCTCAGTGGAAGAGGCCATTGTGCGTTGCCAGGAAGTGAATTCATCCAAGTGAAGGTGTTCTGAGATGTGTGAGGGAGACGTGGTTTGTAGTCGGTGATCTGTGATCTGGTCCAATCGCTAGGGTGAACCTAATCTCTCTTGGCGGTGCTAAATTTGGATGTGATCTGGTGGGGTGGGGTGGGGTGGCTCCTTCTACCTTACCTTACTGTGCGCTACTTGCTCTACATACACATGTGCAAGAGACAACTGCCCATTTCTCATGCTCTTCAGCGTACAGAACATCTATCAATCGCCAATGCACGACCGACTATTGGAATTTGGCTCCCGATGCGGTCGCTTCTCGCTGCTTTGATGGCATTTCCAGCGAGGCGAGCTTCCATTGGGTCCCACTCGTCAGTATCAGCGTATTTTCTAACTTATCGGTGTCGCTTGGAGTTCCAGAAAAGACTTACGGACAGGGTCTCTTGAATCTCCACCACATGCACCGCATGTTCCCCATCTACCAGGGGGCACTGCGGACAAGTCGCTGGACCTACGGCATCGTCAACATAGCAGCAGCAATGATGGACGAGCGATTACCCCAAACGTGGCTCACACATGTTAGCCACGGCCCATGACTTTGTGAGTTGCACAATCCGGTCACTGACTGGGCGTGCTTACCTAGAAGCGAAGCAGGGGGTACTACAGTATGCACTATGCAGTACAGTACTTTGTGTCGGGTCCCAGAAACGTGGTCCAGGGCATTGACCTCATGATAATTGACCGACTCACGCATCGAATCGCGTTGCGGCATACCTCTCCACTCGTTGCCACATGTCGTCTGGCAGCATCGAATTGGGCTACCGGCATGAGACGAAAAAAGATATAGTGGATCCAGCGCAGGGATGCCAACCGATCGTTCCTGAACGATGGACGGCCCGAAACCTGCATCCACGCGGATTTCTTCCTTGCAACAATCACGCCTGCAAGGTCAACAAAAAGTGACCTGCGTTTCACAGAGATACATGGCGCGAAGCACTCTATCTGCAAAGGGGCTAAAGGTCCATCGTGGGGAGCGCCGTTTGTTTCACGGAACTTGACTGGCATGCAAACAACACAACGCGAAAAGTGCTCATTGCAACCGCTACGGACATGGTGAACCCTCATCTCTACTGAATATCGTGGACATGGCCGTACGACTACTGCACGAGCTGGGAGAAGATTCCCACCGGGGTCTCTTTTGCCAGCAGCACTGTTCCACGACGGTATTTCTTGAGCGCCTTTGTGTGTCACACCCGCGAATCCACCTGCGCCTTTTGTGGCGATAGCGGGACCCAACATATTCCTGCTACGCGCTGCCACGAACCGATGCTCCACTTCATTGGTGAGGTTTGAAACTGCCCATGTTTGCACCCGGAGTATTCTCTTTCTCCATTCGATCTTTTGCTGTAGGCGTTTTACCTTTTGCCCGTGTGCTTTTGGACGTTCATATCACGACCCTCACCACACTCGTTTCTTCTTTGGAGTTCTTTGGTTAATGATGCATCTGTTTTCTATTGTCAAGTTGCTTGCAGTGGCAGCTCCAATCGTTGCATCTGTCCTGCCGACCTCTGAAGGACCGCACGTCGAGACGGTACAGCGAGCCACATCTTTTCAGCCTTTGCGACCGATATCACTTCCCGACAACCGAGGAGTCAGGAAACGACAAAACGTACCCGTGGCCATTCCGATTCCAGTCACCTTTGATATCCTCGTGTCCACACTCTGGGGCGAGAGTATACAAGTCGTTGGTTCGACTTCTGAGCTGGGAAGTTGGGACACTGTGAGCGCCGTGTCTCTCACCGCTGCGCAATATACTTCTGGAAACCCACTATGGTCGATTACCGTGGACATAGCAGCGGATACAAAGCTGACGTACAAGTTCATTCGAATCCTTACGGATGGTAGTGTGGAATGGGAAGCGGGTCCTGACCGCACATATACGGTCCCAAGCAATGGAGCTACTGCTGCCGAGATCTCGGCCTCGTGGCAAAGTAGCATAAGCACTACGCAGACGAGTACCGCCACACCAACGCGCTCTGTCTCGACCGCAACTTCTGTGCCAACTGCAGTATGCACGAATGGCCCGACGTCTCGCGGATGCTGGGACAGCCGTTTCTCCATTGACACGGATTTTGACGAGGATTGGCCCAGCACGGGCAGGGTGGTATCCTACGATTTGACCATCACCAACACAACATTGGCCCCCGACGGATTCTCGCGCCCAGTGTTTGCCGTCAATGGACAATATCCAGGTCCCACAATCTACGCGAACTGGGGAGACACCATCAAAGTCACCGTCAACAACCGGATGGAGAACAATGGTACCGCTATTCATTGGCATGGTTTCAGAATGTGGCACGCCAATGGCCAGGATGGCGTACCGGGTGTAACTGTAAGTCATTGTTGAAAGGATGCGGCGAGCGCAAGCTCTAACAAGTACAAGGAATGTCCCATAGCACCCGGAAAAAGCAAGACGTACACCATGACTGCAACCCAGTATGGAACCTCGTGGTACGTTCCTTTCCGCATTGCAATTACATATGCTGGCTTCTAACAGTGCCGCAGGTATCATTCCCATTTCTCTTCGCAGTACGGCGATGGTGTGGTCGGGCCCATAGTGATCTACGGCCCAGCCACCGAAAACTATGACATTGATCTGGGACCCCTACCCATTACAGATTGGTACTATCCGACTGTAATGCGAACAGCCTCGATAGCGATGCATTCCAACGCTCTCGCGCCTACTGCTGACACCGGATTGATAAATGGCACCATGGTCTCCACTTCTGGTGACGGTGGACGTTACTCTCGGACTGTACTCACGGCGGGGAAGAAGCATCGTCTACGATTGATCAACACTGCGGTGGACAATCATTTCATGTTTAGCCTTGACAACCACATGTTCACTGTCATATCTGCCGACTTCGTCCCGATTGTTCCATACAACGCCACCTGGATTTTCATCGGCATCGGCCAGCGATATGATGTGGTGTTCACAGCAGATCAGGAACCCGGCAGCTACTGGTTCCGAGCGCAGTCGCAAGATGGCGCAGGTTGTGGTTCTAATTTCCGTAAGTGACCCACCACTTTTGCARAGTCACCCTCGCTGATTTAGCCCCACAGAGAACCAGAACATAAGGGCTGTGTTCTCATACGAAGGTTTTGAATCTGTGCTTCCCGAGTCTTCTACAACGGGCTATGTGCAGCGCTGCACCGATGAAGCCGACCTTGTTCCTTACTGGAACTCATATGTTCCGCAGGGCGACATCCCGGATAGTCTTTCGGAGCTCAACGTCCATCTTAACCAGTCCACGGGGGCGGATGGAACACTCACGCTGTACTGGCAGGTCAACGATACTCCGCTCCGGACAGATTGGTGAGTTTACTGTTGAGTAGTGGATGATACACGCTGACTTGATGAAATCAGGGCCAACCCCACAACCATGTCTGTTCGAGAGGGCAAGACCGACTTTCCGGACCGTGCCAATGTCATCAAGCTGCCAACATCAAATGTCTGGACATACTGGGTCATGACTCAGGGAGGCGGCGTCCCGTTTGATGTTCAGATTCCCCATCCCATCCATCTCCACGGACACGACTTTTACATCCTGGGCGCGGGTACGAGTGCGTGGACGGATGCAGACAGAGAAGGGCTAAACTACGACAACCCCATCAGGAGAGATGTGGCGATGCTGCCGTCCAACGGATGGCTGGCCATAGCATTCCTAACCAATAATCCCGGCGCTTGGTTGGCCCATTGTCATATTGTAGGTGTCGAGTGCATCTGAATGAAAGGATGTTCATCGCTAACGTCTTCATCTAGGCATGGCATGCGGATGAAGGGTTCGCAGTGCAATTTCTGGAAGCGGCCGACACTATGCTTGACATTGATCCTCTGCCGACGGACTTTGACGAGCAGTGCGATGACTGGGATTTCTACTACAAATCTGCTATGTATCTGCAGAGCGACTCTGGCATATAGAGAGAAGACGACACGAGACGGGTAATGTCCAAGTAATGTATAAAGTCTGCACGATGACGGTACAGATGAGAGTCAATTGACAGAGATGGAGGTCATAGCAGGACGGAGCGACTCCTCAGCTTGGAAGTCGGGAGGCTTTATTAGGCCAGGTGGCACGCCACGGACAATTAATTTTCCGCGCCTATGAGCGTCTGTCTCAAGTTTGCGGGGTATGCTGATCATTGACTCGGAATGCCGCTTCTTTGCACCCGCCGATTCTCCTCCACTATTTAACTCTTATCAAGATGAGTCTGCCAAGGCACCTCTGACCAGGTGATCCCAGGAATCCTCCACAACCCATGCTTGCCACGCCCGGGTCAAACAGACAAGGTATTTGATCCAGACGATCCCCGCTGACCCTCCACTTTCGATCTCGTATATTTCCCTTGGCCAGGCTTTTCGTCAACAGCCAGATTGATGGGTATTGAAATAGGTTCATGCTGCTGCTACACTGGCACAGTTTTTCTCCTTTCCGGTAATTTCTTTGATCTCTGTTCTTTCCCAGCATCAAGCACCAGCGATTACAAATGCTTTCCCGTATATTCATTGCCGGTACGGCGCTTGTTGCATTGAGTGTTTCTGCAATCATCCCTCGACAAGACGCCCAGTGGCCATTTGCTCCTTTCACAACCTCTGGTAGAGATATCTTGAACAACAAAGGCGATGTCGTTACGTATGCAGGAATCAACTGGTCTGGGCACGGCGAGGCAATGATTCCCGAGGGATTGCAGTATCAATCCATCGAGACGATTGTGTCGAGAGTTAAGAGTCTGGGTATGAATGTCATTCGATTGACATATGCCATTGAGGTAGAGCCTTTTCAGCGTGGTCAATGGGATGAACACTGATCGTCAACAGATGATCGACGACATCATTGACAACAACCCAAACTCTACTCTCAAGAACTCTTTCGTCAATGCTTTGGGAAGCGCCAATGKGACTACGGTGTTCCAGGATATCTTGAAGAACAACCCGCAGTTCACCGAGGAGACCACCAGAATCCAAGTCTTCGATGCCGTCGCAGCTGAATGCTTGAAACARGAGATGTAAAAAAAACCCCCATCTCCCTAGGACTACCGATTATCTGACTCGTGGATTAGTTATGTGCATCAAGACAACCACATGAGCAAAGGAGCTTGGTGTTGCAACGCGGACGATGGGAATGCTTGGTTTGAAGGTACATAAGTCTCTTTCTCACTGGTAAGACAGACTTCTCACATCTCACAGACACATACTTCAACACTGCCAACTGGAAGAGAGGAATTGCATGGATGGCCGAACACGGCAAGAACTGGCCCGCAATGGTTTCCGTATCCCTGCGAAACGAGCTCCGACAGCCTGTGGAAAGCTCTCCTGCGAGATCTCGCTATGGCTGGYCAGATTGGTATACCAACGTAATTGATGCTGCCAATGGTGTTAATGCTKCCAATCCAGCTCCTCTGTAAGTGGAATTCCTGCTCGATATCATCATTACGCTGACATGTAGAGTAGGATTTTCTTCTCTGGCTTGAATTACGACACGGACCTCGCAAATGTCACCGCAGGTCTACCCCTCAATGAACAAGGCGATGTTTTTGACATTAAATCATTCTCATACGCCGATAAGATTGTGTTTGAATTGCACAACTATAACAACGGACTCGCGGATTCCAACTGTGCGAATTTCAACATGTATTCTCAAGGTTCGTGCATGAAGAAGCTGGCATCAAGTCAAGTCCCATACATACGCTGATATTTTTGTTCTGTCTAGGATACAACGCAATGGACACAAGCTCCACTTCAACAGCCAAAAATCTGGCTCCTGTACTCATGACCGAGTTCGGATTCTCGCAGACCGAAACCGAATACCTCCGACCGTACGCGCAATGTATCAAGGAGTACGTGACCTCGCTTCGAGGCGGCTGGATGGTAAGTGCGTGCGGTGGAGACCGAAGTATCTTAAGCATGGAAGAGGACAGTTCCTGACTGATATCAATTCATATAGCAATGGGTCATCTCTGGCTCGTATTATATCCGACAGGGCCAGCAAGATTACGATGAGACGTGGGCGATTATGAATCATGACTGGTCGGATTGGCGATCGCAAACGGTTGTTGATGAGTATCTAAGGCCGTTTGTGAGCGAGACTTTGGGGAATTGAGTAGTTCGGCGGTGGAGGTTCGACCGACTCAACATGCTTATTCAAGCGTGGGTATGTAAGATGGGAGATGTCGTCGGAAGTTCGGTTGGTCTGGTCTGTCTGTCGCAGACTCGCAGTCTCGTAAGGGCAACCGACGCAAGGGCCTGGGCTGCGGCATGGTCGGGAAAAGAACAGCTTCCATGGTCCATGTCCATGTTCATCGGTCGGGGCAGTCCGTGATGAGCACATCTACCGAGCAAGGGCTGTAATCGTGTCGGGATGTGGCTGGTGGCTGGTGGCTGGTGGGTGGCTGATGCTGCCAAGATTGCCGTAGCTGCCGGTACCTGATGCATGGATTTCGGCGGCAGAGTTGTTCCCATTCATCATCATGACCGAAGTCACCGTCGTCTCAACGATTGGTTCACCTGCGTGCACAACACTGTCGGAGTGTCGATGGAGATTATCCTGGCATGGCATGACATGACATGACATGCCATGACAATTCACTTGTTCGCTGCACGAAGACATATTGTCTGCTGTCTTCTTGCTTGATGTCAGCTGGAACATGCACAGGGGACTACCTCCAGTACAACGCTGGGCTACATCTATATTGATCGTGTGCCAGGCAGAGAGTCTTAAAATACGCACAAACAGCTCGCGAGAAGGGAAGAATGAAGATGATGTTTCCGACAAGGCAGATGGCACATGTACAGTGCCTCCAGACATGAGAGGCCGCCAATCTAACTTCACATTCAAGACAGATAGATGGAGGCCCTCCCACGCGTACAGCTAATCTTATGAGGCGGACTACACTCCGCACCCTTGATGTGCAAGCAAGTAAGCAAGCTGATGACCATTCCGTTCTAGACACATCGGAGACAGCGAGACAGCATGACTAGCACGCGGATCTGTCTCTTTCGTGCTCTTCTCGGCTGGATCGGCTGAGACTCCTCTATACTTTGGTAGAACGCGGCTCGTGGGTGCTACGTTCCACTTGGATATGTCAAKACGCTGTACGCTCGGCACTGACGTGTCACGACTTACCGGCAACCCATGTAGATAGGGACTGACCGATGCGACTGTGGCTGTGGCTAGTACGAACGACAAACGACGCGGCGACCTTGTTAAATCATGTCAGCGAATCCTCTCGACTATAAGGTTTTCATGGCCATGCCCTGGCGTGGAATACTGGGACTACGTCGGACTTTGTGAGCTTCCACAGGAACACAGTTCCAGTCGAGAAGTAATCCCGACTATGTACTATCTACGGCCGAGGTGGGGTTCACCTCTTCGCCAATGATGCTTGAGTCTCTTGATCGGCACAAGCACCACCTCTTACAGCAACAAGCTTCGGTGTCCCCGCCGTATCGGGCAGGTCAGTGTTCAGCCTCGCGTCTAAATGCTAATCTACGATGCAACTCCGTCATAATAAGCATTAGAGTGCTGGTCGGGCTGGGATCACGCAGGTCTTGTTTATAACCCTCGGATCGCCGCCTGTTTCTTCTGCTCCTCCACCGGATTTTCGCCATGCATTTCCTTCAGAGTGTTGCCGCGTGTCTTGCGCTGGGAACGTTGACCGGGGTTGGCGCCAGCCACCCAAGCGACGTCTTCAAGCGAGCCAAGAAGTCAGTAGCCAACAAACGTTTGAACGTTGACCCGATAAACGAGGCAACGGCTCGCCAATGCACATGCTAAACGTGAGGGACTTTGCAGGTATGAGCAGAAGCCTCGTGTGAGAGCTGCGCCACCTGTCGCTGCCCCGAAGCTGGCAAAGCGTGATGTCCCTTTCCTCACCGACAAGACGAAGTCCTTCTCCGTCAACGGCACTGGCATTCCTGATGTCCCTTTCGATATTGGTACAAGTTATGCTGGTCTGTTGCCAATCTCGGACTCTCCCGATGAGACGAGAAAGCTTTACTTTTGGTTCTTCCCGACGACGAACCCAGAGCCAACCGAAGAGATTACATTTTGGTTCAATGGAGGTCCAGGTAAGTTTGGATAACTTGGCATCAAGAGACATAGGAGCTATGATTGCTCTCCGCCATCCCAGGCTCGCTCTCTGCTCATTTGGTGGCAGTTGGGCGTTTGAGGCAGGGCATGTTCTGAGAGATGTTATCATTAGAGAGTCCATCTTCACTTGGCTAACATATAATCCTTCTTTGCAGGTTGTAGCTCTCTCTCTGGCCTGTTGACTGAGAACGGACCGTTCACGTGGGGTAATTGGGACAATGCCTTGTTGGTAAAGGCAATTGCTAATGGCTTTGATTGATTACTTCAGAGGCCGGTACTCTCGCTCCCGTTCAAAACCCCTACACATGGGTAAGACATGAAGAGCCAAAGGGCTGTAGACGAGTCGTAGCTGTTCTTTGRGGAATGCTGGGGCTCTATCTGCATCGACAATCTCGGAGACATTGCTGATCTCTCTGCGGCCGTAGGTGAATTTGACGAACATGGTATGGATTGAACAGCCGATTGGCGTCGGATTCACACAGGGTAAGTCACGCCGAACAAGAAGTTTCTGCAAGAGAAAGGGCTACGATACTAATCAGTCACCGCAGGAACGCCGAACATCACCAACGAAGTCGAGCTCGGCGAGCAGTTTGTTGGATTCTACAAGAACTTCATGAAGACGTTTGACCTTCAAGGCCGCGACATCTATCTCACCGGAGAGAGTTATGGAGGCTACTATGTTCCATACGTTGCAGATGCAATCTTGAAAGAGAACAGCACCGACATGCCTCTAGCGGGCATTGCTATCAATGACCCCATCATCGCAGATGGCACAATGCAGCAGGTTTGTACTTTACACCATCAAATCGGCCAAATAGAAGCTAACGTCATGTGATGTTTTTAGCAAACCGTCATCTATGACTATGTTGAGTACTGGAACAAGCTTCTATACCTCAACGAGACCTTTGTGAACGTCCTCAAGGAGCGGAATGATGCATGTGGCTACACCGATTTCATGGACAAATACTTCAAGTTCCCTCCGCCCAACGAGAAGTACCCGGTTCTCGCCGATCCATACGAGGACGAGAACGCGACTTGTGCTCAGTTTGACAATGCCTTGGAAGCCATCCTCCTGGTCAACCCATGCTTCAACCTATATCACATCACTGAGACATGCCCACATCCTTACAGCCAGCTCGGCATTGTCAACTCGGGAGACTACACACCACCAGGTGCTGAAGTCTACTTCAACAGAACCGACGTGCAAAAGGCGATCAACGCTCCAGTCGGAACCAACTGGGAGCAATGTTCAAGCATCAATGTCTTTGGATTGGAGGGCAACAACCAGTCGATTGGCGATACCAGCTTGGGCCCCGCTCAGAACGGTGTGCTGGAGCATGTCATTGAATGCACCAATAATGTCATTATTGGATCAGGTGAGTCTCTAAAAACGAGAATCATACGGATCTGCCTAATTCAGTTATAGGAAACCTCGACATGCTATTGAGCACCAATGGAACTCTGCTCGCCATCCAGAACATGACCTGGAATGGTCAGCAGGGTCTTCAGGAGTAAGTTGATACCCTCAAATTCTCTAACTCGGMGAGAGAATTGGCTGACATTATCACTTTAGATATCCCGGCAAAGAATTCTACGTGCCCGATCACCCGGAATTTAACGGCGGTGCTCTTACCGGCTCAGGACTTCAAGGGTACTGGGGCACCGAGCGAGGTCTGACTTTCTACCAAGTTCAACTGGCCGGCCACGAGCTTCCTGGGTTCACTGCGGGCGCTGGATATCGATCCATCGAGCTTCTGCTTGGAAAGATCAAGTCCTTGTCTGAGCGAGGAAGTTTCACTACGCAGTCGGGTAACTTCACGGCGTCTGGAAATCTTACGGGCGCCACGGAGATGTATCACCTGTGACTATGAGCAGTCATATAAGTTAATGTCATAGTGGAAGAGGGCGATCATGATGGAATGAATACTCGACGGCTTCTTTTGCCCCTCGTGTTGAAATTGTAACATACGAAGGGCAGAGGCATTCGCTGAGGGCTGTGGACTTTCATGGTCGTTTCTTCTGGTACATAGTCTTGATCGGATCTTATGCCACAGAATGAATTCCACCWTATTGCCCTCACGCTTCGACGAATCGCGACTTATCTTGTGAAATCATTTGACAGCCTCGGAGCAGGTCAATTTTTAGGCTCATTAGTCATGGTTCCACGCACTTCACTTTCCATCTTCACCTACCTTACCTGTTACATCATTCATCCATTCGAACCCGGGTCATCCCTTTGCACAACTCGCATCAAGCCACAAAGGCCACAACATCTGGTATCTGAGAAGTCGTAGCCCATAAGACTTGTCTCCCTCAATCTGAATCCAAATCAATGACGTATTGCGAATGCTCCTCCTCAACCGCTCTTTGATACTCGCTTCCATCGCAAAACTCACCACAAGCCAGTATCACAGACAAAGCATACATCACCCCTTCCACACCACAGCCATGTCTTGGATGGATTCCTGGTCTCGGCCTTCAGCCAACAGCAAAGTCCCGGCTCCCCTCTACCTCACAGGCGAAGATGTACCGTATTGCCACACCTGTGGGCGGGTGATGAGTACCAAGAAGACCGACAGCAAAAAGAAAAACAGTAACAATGTTGTCAAGTATTGCAGTGACAGATGTCGAAATCGAAAACCTGGAGCACTGGATCGAAAAATTGAACATACCGTCGCTAGTCTACTTAATGGCGAGGATGATGCTGGACTGGATCAAACTCTGGCGAGGACGAGAGCCGTGAAGGGGGACCCCAGGTTGATTGTGACTTGTGATGAAATCGAGGCGATTGTATTCGGAAGTCGATTCGATCCGGAGAGGACATCGGGACGGAGGAAGAACCGGAGAAGTCGTGCTATTGGCGAAAAGTCGGAGTGGAAAAGTGTAGATATGGAAGACCCAAAGGAGAGTGATGAGGATGATGGTGATTATAGTGATGAAGACTCCCGCTCATCCACACATTCCGAAGTTGGTGGCGTGCGGGTGCGGTTGCCACAAGACATTGCGGAAGAGAATTTCAGCGCGATGGGTGGCGAGAGGGGTGCAAAGGAGAAGATTGTAGAGAGTGAAGAGGATCTGGCTCGGAGGAGGGCGGGCGCGAAGAGGGCAGAGGAGAGGGAAATGGTTCGGCGGGCTGTGAGGAGAATTGTGATTTTCGGAGTGGAGGTCCCGAGAAGGGAGGAGAGGAAGGGAGGCGCGAAGTCTGAGGGTGGGAAGGGTGCATCGAAGAAACATAAGAAGCTTCAGGCAGAGGAGGAGGAAGTGGAGGAGAAGGATACGGAGATGAGGAAGGGGGAGGCTTTGATGGCTGGGATGGTCGTTGAGCCTTCTTTTGCAAAAGGAAACTGGTCGGTGCGGTGGCGAGACTGAGAATTGTGCCTGATCGCTGAGAGATTGAGACTTCAATCGTTGGGAGGCATTCTGCTGGTAAAGAAAGGCTGAGGGACCATGTTGGATCCGCGATTCCCGTGTGAGACCCAAGAACTCGTCAAAACGATCTTCCTCGGAACTTGATGGGAGAAGGTCTTGTCACTCGGAAGGGGAGTCCATTGCTCACGATGCTAGACTAAAGCGAGGCGGTCCACAAACATGGAAGAAGCGTTAAGAACCAAAATAACCAGAGAAATCATCTGCTGTCATAGCTGCCTGGTCTACTCTACCCATTGACCAGCACGGGCGGTGGAGATCATGCTTCATCACAAGAAGAAYGCAAGATGTCGTTGCTTGTCTCATGCATGTCAGCACCCCGCTCGCACTGCCTACTTTCCCGCAGACTCCTCCACTTCCGTCTCGCAGATATGATGACAGGCAATCTTCCTGCACAAGATATCGAGTCTTCTTACATCAATTATTGCATACCCCATGCCATCAGTGGATATTGACGTTACACTGAGGCGAGCATACTAGCCCGTTGGGCCATCTAGAACGTCAGAACTGTGTTCCTCGATCTTGTACATCTCGACAACCTTCCCGGCATTCTCTGACGACTACATGAGCTTCTGGTCATCGGTGCACAGTCCGCAGCAGATTCCCCCAGCCAGGATCCCAATGACCATGACCATGACGGTATTACCAGCATTTACACGGCATCTGCCGTGCCCGCCAGTGCCCACTTTGGTAAGCATATGCATATTCCAATGCTCCGTTGCATTGGCCCCCAGCGATTATCCATCAGCTGTGCTGCGTCCAAGCACAAGGTGCATCGACAAGCGTCACGGGCAGAAGCATCAGCAGGAGGCATCAGCAGAGGTCATCATCAAGAGGGCATCAGCATAAGATGCAGACCTTGTCTCGAGAGAGAGCATCTTGTCAAATCGAAATCTTCTCTTCCATCGACACGCCGAACATCAACATGGCTCCCCAAGAAAAAACCATTCCAAGTGCGATATACACGCCCCTGAATGCAGCCGAACAGGAAATCCGCTTGATAACCATTGCTCCATCCTCGCTGGATTCCGCAGTACGAGTAACCCTACGAACCGTTCCTCATGCATTGGTCAAAGGGAAATATCACTGTTTGAGCTATGCTTGGGGCAACAATGACGATCCCATGCCAATCATGATCAATGGACATCGGAGTCTAGTCCGCTGCAACTTGTATTCGCTGATCCGTAGACTGCGAGCCTCGAAGAGAGCCACTGATATTTGGATCGATGCTCTCTGCATTAATCAGGATGATAAAGAGGAGAAGGCGAGCCAGGTGTACATCATGTAGGTGCGGTCAATTCTTGGAGAATCTCCTGTCGAAGCTCACACATCTCCCAGGCAAGCTATATACTCAGAGGCAGCTGGAGTCCTCATCGGTCTCGACGATAGCCGATCGCAGATTATGGCGGATATTCCGGGTCAACATGCACTGGCGGCAGCCACTCTCCAGGGACTAGCCGATGGCTCTCATCTCAATGATCTGGCTTACTTCGCGGCCCAACCCCGTTCCAACAAGGCCTTTCGAGAAGTCTCCAGCAGCTTCGGACAGATTCTCGATTCAAGATGGTTCGGCAGGACTTGGGTCGTGCAAGAGACATGTCTCGCAAAGAAAGCCATCTTACTCTTCCCATCGGGAGAACTAGACTGGGAAGTCTTCGAGAAAGCCTTTGTGAAATGGAATCAACATTCCAGAGAATGCTGCCAGAAATTCACAAACACGCTGAGTGATGATTTGGTCGACGCCTGCAATCGCATGTATCTCCATGTCAAATGTATCGCTTACACACGCAATGGTCTCAAAAGCGACCAGCAACACATTACGGAACCGATGCTCAACTATCAACATCTAGAACTATCGGATCATCGAGATAAAATATATGCTTTTCGGGGATTACATACAGAACTCACCCTACCTCTCCCAGAACCAGATTATGGATCCAACGAGAAAACTTTCATGGATTTCGTACTCTGGTATTTGGAAGATAAACAGTCACTCCTCATCCTTGGCTTCGATATGTGTTTTGGAGAAGTCGCAAATTTGCATCTCCCGAGTTGGGTGCCTACATGGCCTACATTCACCGCCGAGCAAGGAATTGAGAGGGGCAATCTCGCAAAAGCTAGGGGCAAGTTTCTTGATTGTTATAACGCTGCCGCGGGTCTGAAGATGGCCTATCGATGGAATGATTCACAACGCAATCATCTACAACTGAATGGTTTCAAAATCAACGACAAAATCATCGCCGTATCCGAGAACCACTTCTCCGGAAACGAGAAATTCCCCGACCGACTCGAGTTGATGAAAACCTGGTATCAATTCACATACGAAGAAGAACTATCCTCCTTCCAAAACCTCCCAACAGAATTCTGCATAACAATCCTAGCCGGTATTATCCTCAACGACCCCAAGACCGGAGGAAAACCCCATCCCCTCCACGATGAAAACGACCTAACAATCTCCGAATTAAAATCCACTTTCACAGGGATGGAACGTCAAGGTTCTCAATTTCGATGTACAGCCTCCCAGAAAATTTTGATACATTCTCAGAATGTTGCGCTTTTAGACCGCGTTATGTTTCGCACTGAAGAGGGGCGTATGGGGATTGGACCGAGCGGTGTGAAGCCCGGGGATGAGATTTTTGTTTTGGGAGGGGGGAGTGCTCCGTTCGTTTTGAGGAGGGTGGATGATGCGGATTTTTTGGGATATCGACTTGTGGGGCATGCGTATGTGCATGGGATTATGAATGGGGAGGTTGTGGTGCATCATGGTGGTGGACAGTGGGTTGACTTGGTCTAACCAGCGTTTCTTGGCGCGGTGTGGTGCAACGATGCACACTGCAAGCGTTTGTTCTGAGATGGGATATCATTTACTTGTGATAAGTAGTTAGTAGTAGTAGAATATATGTGCGTTGACTATCTATCCCGGCAACGAAGCCAGCATATGCCATGGAGAAAGAATTCCACGTAATCGAGAGGACGGGATGGATGGATGGCACTTTCCATTCCCGAAGCCCAACAAAACAGCACAAAAGAAAGCACAATCACCAAGCAAATCTTTGATCCCTATAAACCTAACTAACCTTCCAGCACCCCATTCGTTCCACCTCTGTATGAACAGGCTCGCGCCTTCCAACAATCTAACCCTCCCTCACCTCCTCCACCGACTACCTTCGACTTAGCCCTTGGTATGCATGGACTTCAAGAAGGCTACTTATTTCCATGCGTCGTATCTGCTGCTGGTTTCTTCTTCCCCCAACTCGGTGGAGACTTCACAGGAGTCTGAAAATCAAGCCGTCCAATATCATCTTCCTTGTTCGTAGCAAGGGGGTCCTGGTTATTCTTCGAATTCGACGCATCGATTCCCTCGTCTGGCTTGGATGCCTTTGTATCGGGATTCTTGGGCTTATAGGGATATATCAGCAAGAAAGGTTTCTTGGTTGGATATTCGACTTACATCTTTCACATTGGTGGAGTCATCCTGCTCTTGCTTGCGAGAAGAAGATGATGATGCCGTGCTTGAATGAGTGAGAGCTCCAACAGGTTTGTCTTTGATAGGAGTTGAACTTCGTAGATTGGTGGGTGTTTTGGGCGATCTCTCGTCTGTCGCTGGGGTTTTCGGCATGGTTCTTGGAAACAGACTGCTACTACTGCTGAGTGAGTGAGTAGGAAGAAGAGAGGTGAAAAAAGCCCCGAACAAGAATCGAGTCATATACAACGATGAACAAAAGCACCAGCTACGGGGTACCTTCCACTGCTTTCTGGTCTGGTCCGCTGACACAAATGAACGAAGAAGACACTCATCTACATCGTTCCGTGAAAAGGTTTCCACACCGATGTTCTAGTCGTTCAGCATGTCCTCCTATCCCAGGATCTAGAATCAGCCCGAGGCTGCGTTGAGGGACGCATGACCTCGTTCAACTACTGCCAACTCACACCTCCTGCTTCCACACACCGGTCCTTGAGGAGAGTGGGCGGTAAACAGTCTGTAATCTGGAGCTCTCTGATCGGCCCTTCTGTCTACTTCACGGTCAGCTTGGCTGGAGGTCACGAAGGCTGCGTTCTTGCGCCGGTTTTGGTGCAGTCGAAGATGGCTTGCAACTGGTGATCAAGCTCTGGGTGGTCAATTACCGTGAACAAAGTAAAGGATCGCTTCGATGGCGTGACATGTTCATTGGCTGAAGTCGCGAACGAGTCACCCAATACTAGACTCCAGCTCTTGTCTCCAGGCTTAACATGCAAGTACTGGGAGGTATTCGCTGTGACATCATGACCAGACAGCAATGTGACTTGAACAGAGAGCAGTCAGTACCGGTGACGGACACTGGCTGTTCATCGCATATGATAGCAAAGTCGCCACTCCAAATGTAGCCGAGCAGTGTGCTAAGCGACCTTCTCAGAGTGGCAGCSCTTAGATCCCTGTGGTGCCAGATCGCAAGCCTGGAAAAGGGTAGATGTAGCTGCATAGTCGTCTGATTCGTGGAACGTGACGTTGATTTACACTGCAAAGCCTGAGAGTTGTTGCCTTGATGTGTTCGCCAGTCCAAGATAGTTGTTGACCGTCTTTCTCTGTGCTGTGCTGGATTCTTATTCGCCCCAATGTGTTGAGTATTCATGCGAAGGTCATGTTTGTTGATCTCCAATCGGCTTGAATGGCAGTTTCGAAAATACCAAAGCCATGCATGCCAGCTCGGTCCGGAAAAGCCCTATCGTTTAGATTGACCGATTCCGCTGAGGAAAGAGGAGCGGTCAAACAACGGGGCAAAGCCTGCCTGTCTTGGCTCTGTTTATGAATAATAGTAGGAGTATCAAAGGCAGACAATCTACGCTCTTACAGATCCAATCGAGCCACAATGAATGGAGTGCAATCAAGACTGCCCATGAAGCACCACACCTCACGGAGGCTCCACGTGGCTGATCGGGATCATCGTGCAGACCTTTTATGCCCATACATATAGATCTTTATGGGACCTGTGAGACGAAGTCATCATACCTTGATCTAGGCCTCGGAGGCTTGAGGCGGAACGGTCGTCGTGGCGTTCTCAGGGCGGTCTTGGTACTTCTAATGCTTCTAGACATGAATCACTCCACAAATCCATGGAGAATGAGCCCCGAATGGTGGCATGGAGTGAAGTGACGATGTATGTGTGTTGTGGTGATCACCATGAGAGGAAGAAGACGGGAAGGTTTTCAAAGTCTTGGCAACGGGCCAGCAAAAACCATCCCAGCCTGTCGGATCACGGCCCCTTCCCGTTTCAGACGTTGCACAACTGACCACCACCTCTTTCCTTCCTTCCTTCCAGTCTTCCAGAAGATCCCTCGTCAACCCCTTTTCGACCTCTCTCAACTATGCGTGGAAGGGATGAGTCTCAACGGCTTCTTGATCTGGACATGGCATCACGCCAAGTCTCTTCCGTTGATGAATCTCCCTGCTGCATGGCCACAGGCTTATGAAGGATACGAAACGTTTGAGACCACATCTTCGAGWCAGCTCCACGCATCCATCTCCGCTTCATCATGTTCATCACGGGTAGTCGTTCCTGCAATCTTGGGCTGGGCCGGCGTTGGACTCCGATTTCCTGGGGATGACGATGGCCGACACCCGCCGGCCATTATTCACGCCACATGGCGTGCCAGTTCCATCCATTCATCTCAGTCCCATCTCATCCGAACTTGTGGGAATTATCATCCACCCGCCTGTCTCTTGGCTCCCTTGGCCAAATCACCACTTCTGCTCTGGCCCTCGCGGATCTCAACCCTGCATTCCTTACCGTACCTGAGTCTTTTCGTATGTCGAATCGTGCTCTTGACTCCCGGTCAGTCCYAATGTGACTGTCGCATGGCGTTCGCCCGTCCGTCTGTCTGGCACTGGCACAGGGGTGACATGAGCACGGCATTATCTGCTGCTTGTAAGTGTTTCGCTGCGTAACCACCATGGTTGGTATATATCTTCCCACGCCATGTTGATTGCATTTCTTGGTATTCACACCTCTCATCCAACCACCCACACCATCTCCGACACCCTCGTCATCAGAGTAGGACGGCAATACTGAGAAGGTCGTGCACTGGGACGCCTCTCAAAGCCTCACCACCTCTTCCCCAAGCCCAAGTGACCAACATGTACAAATCCTTCCTACTCATCGCGCTGGTCGCACAGTCATTAGCGGCTCCAACACAGTCAGCACACAACAACAGCACAGTCGAATATCCAAGACAAGCATCCATATTACCCCAACTGAAACGAGCCACACTCCTGGCGAATGTCACCCAACCCTCCATTGACCGAGATTCATGCGGATCTTCCCGAATAGGCAACCGTGTGTTCTGGACATGTCGAGACACCCTCCGTTATGACCCTCTTTCCATGAAAGGTGTGCTTCCTCTTGCCGCCAATACCGGGGGATGGTCGGACYTCACGCCTTCAGGACCGCTGATCTCGAGCGGTAACAATGCTGTCGGAGTTGCCTCTACCGGGAACAACAGCATCCACTTGATGTATGGAACCGACCCAAACAACTTGGTGCCCTACTTTCCCTTTCAGACAGACTCGTGCCCGCCGGCAGGAGTCTGCGCAGATGGATCCCGCTATGTAGTCTGGCCAAATCAACCTCCTCTCATCACAGAGTCAAACTCGAGAAGTGCTGTCGGATACTCTTGGATCGCCAAAGTCAGTCCCTCATCCCATCTCCATCATGGAACTACACACACTAACCCCATTTTCAGGAGCGCCTGAAAGGTCTCTCCTCCCTAACTCCTCAACCAGCCCACACTCTCTACAAACTAACCTGGTCCTCGACTCAATCCCGCACCTCCCTCCCAAAAATCTCCACCATCTCCTCCAACTTCTGGAAACCCAACGAGATCGGTTTCGGCCAATACGGCAGCGTCATACGCAACGGATACGCATACCTCTACGGCCAACTCCCCAACACAGGCGGCACAGTCCTCGCGCGAGTTCCCACCTGGGCGGTGGGGAACCGTTCCGCATACCGCTACTGGGTAAAAGGACGATGGACGACCACGGTGCCGAAAATCACCGACACGTCAAATGTCATTCCCAACGCCGGGACAGGCTGGCAGGGCACTTTCTATTATTCTTCCGCGTTTCAAGCGTATATCTGGATCGGGCAGCAGTTTATGAATCCCGTGGCAGATTTCTGGATCACGACGGCAAAGCATCCACAGGGACCTTGGGTGAAACCTTATATGCTTTGGTCTGGGAAGAGTGGGGATGGATTTGTGGGTGCGTATACGCTGCAGGCGCATCCTTCTATGCTGCCGAGTTTGACGGCGACGGAGAGGGGGATTTATGTTTCTTGGTACGTACGAGCAAGGTGTACATGTATTGGGAAGTTTTGAAGGTTTCTTCCGAGACATGTCATGCCTCTCTGCCCATGTTGGAAAGTGTCCTAGACATCGCTGACCTTTTTGTTCTTTCCTTTATAGGACACAACAGTGGAATCCGGCGACTTTGCCGACGTATGTTACGCCGTTGGCATATTTGGAGTTTCAATGATTCTGCATGAGAGGGTTTTTGGATGAGGGAATGAGGGCAGGACCCGATTACGAAGAACGATTTGCATGATACCCACGGATGATGTATTCATATGAACTTATAGAGTGTACGAGGAATAATTTACTTAACGGATGAAGAATGCGCGAGAAATGTGATGTGGATTGATATGTGGTTCGAAGATCTGAATGAACTATACAATAGCCTTGTCTCCGGGCACGAACACCTAGACTAATAAGGTATTTATCTAGAAGTGCTGGGAAAGATATGATAGAAGAACTTATCGGAACAGGGCTCATTATGCTCTATCTCTAGGAAGCGTCATCTCATACATCATTGAACCGAAGGCGACTCCTAACCTCAGCCTGTACAACCCAACCGATTTTCACATTCCCACACTCGTCTATTATCCAGCAAGTCTAACCGCACAAGATTCTAAAATCTAAAGTACTCGGTCAAAAGCATAACATCATCCTAAACCACACTCCAAGTCAGCCAAATTAAAAAACCAAGGGAGGGGAGAGAAAGAAAACAAGCCCTCAAAATCGAGACGAGACGAGACGAGACAAACTCACCGGATCAATCCTCCTCCTAACCTCCTCAATCCTCCCCAAATTCCCCCCAAACAACCTCTCAACCCGATTCCCCATCTTCATAGCATAATTCGGATACAACAACAACCCATCAACATCCTGTCCCTCCCCCTTTGCCGTCTCAGCAATAACCCTACAACTCTCCAACATCGCCTCCCGCCAAAACTCATCTTCCTTAACATTTTCCCAAGAAAAAAATAAAAACAACGGCAGCGCATTATCCCCATGCTCCCACGCCGCACTTTTCGCGAATTGCGAATATGCCAAAAAAGGCTCCACGTCAAAACTTATAAAAGTCCCCGAATGCAAAAGAGATTGTCCACCCCAGAATTTCGTCTGGTTGGCAATTTGATCCATTACCCCAGGCGTGAAAGCTTGTAGGGAAAGAGTATTGAATGCTCCGCGTTGATTAGCTTGTAAGTTTGAAACTCCGAGACTCTGGACAAAATCATTGAAAGATTGTTCTTTGAGACTGCCGACGTTGAACATGCTAAAGGGGTCGTAGGAGGGGATTCCGTCGTAGTAGGCTAGGAGGATGTTGGTGGGGATTGCTCCTCCGAGGAGGGAGTTTATTGTTGGGATGATTTGGGCTTTGGGGTCGTGGTTTGAGGCGCTGAAATTTGCTATTGCGGCTGTGAATTCGGCTGTGCTCATGTGGGTTATGAATTTTGTGTCGGCGTAGATTTTTGGGGGGCGGGGGACGGCGAGGAGTCTGGGTGTGGTGATTGTTATGGTTAGTGAGTTGGTTCGTCAAGGTATGCTCCATCGATCGATCGATTGATCAATCAACGACAACATGCCCTTTTAGCTTGTGGGAAGGTACTGGGAGGTAAGAGAGGAGAGTGCACAAACCTGAAATTGTAAACAACCCCAAAACTATTCCCACCCCCTTTAACAGCCCAAAACAACTCCTCATTCACCCCCTCCGAAGCCCTCGTCAAAGTCCCATTAGGAAGCACCATATCCACCGAAATCAACGTATCACCCGTCAAACCATATTGATTCGTCAACCAACTAAACCCTCCCCCACCCGTAATAAACCCCCCAATCCCAGGCCCCGGAACCCTTCCCCCCACAACATTCACGGTGGAAGAATCCAATTTCTTATAGACGTCCGCCCAGGAAATCCCGCCTCCAATATCCACGTAAGCATTATCGGGGGAAACGACGACGTCTTGGAAATTTTTCAGGGAAATGTGTACGCCGGGGGTGGAGGAGAAACCTTGGTTGGAAGCGTGGCCGGAGCAGGAAATGGCGAATCTGATGCGGCCTTGTCCGAGGATTTTCATGGCTGTGGCGAGATCTTGGGGGGTTTTGGGGGTGTAGATGCATGCGGAAGGTTGGGAGGAGGTGGTCATGTAGTGATGGCTGTTGGGGGTGAAGGGGAGGAATACGACGTCGAAGGAGGAGGAGGCATTGTTGATTATTTTTTGAATGGTTTGACAGGCGTTGAATTCCGTTCGGTTGGTGGTTGTTATTGCTGCGAGACCGAGTTCTGTGTTGCTGAGGGTGTTGTTGAAGGTCTCTGCGAGGATATCATTTTGTGCAAAGGTTGTTGTGATCCCTATAGCCAAGGAGAGGCTGTAGAATGTCAGTTTGACCATGACGATGATGATGATGATAATGATGATGTTAACGATAGTGGTGAGGGATCTGCAAAGGAAAGATGGAGGGATTGCATGATGTTATWTCATCATACATCCCACACGCCTCGGTTCGATGCATCGCTTTGCAGCTCCACCACCGACTCACACGAGGTCTGTTACGAGGTAGATGCAGCAAGTCTAGCCAGACAAGTTTCCAAACTCGTTCTAGCTCTTTTGATGAGCAAGGCAAGGCTAGGCTTGTTTGGGTGTTGCAATRGTTAGCGAAAACCTTGCAATGGCAGCTTGAAACGACGGTAGTTGATGGTAAGCAGGGTTCATGACTAGTCGATCATGTCTGGCCTCTCGCACTTTTTTAATTCATCGACGTGGACTTTTACCTCCCTCCTCGCTTACTTATCGTCCTCGTATATTTGACATATACCCTAAATAGATGAGAAATATGCATCTAGCGTACACCCATCCATTTAATCAGCATTTCACAGAAAGCGTAACCGGCAATGAATCCATCTTCACGAGATCCAAAAGTAAAAAAAAACAACCAACCCAATGAAGCACCGTACTAAGCCCTATAGAACTACCCGCCAAGCCTTCCCGATATGACATAACACAAGACAAGGATCTCCTGACTGGCAAGTTTGGAACTTCACACACTTTTCATCTAAACAGAGACAAGAAGAGAGACAGAAACAAACATGCAACATGAAGAAAAAAAACGGAGTTGAAATGAGAATATGACCACTTCATGACCATTTCATGACGACTTCCTCACCACTTTCATCTGCCCTTCTGAAATTGTCTTCCGTCGGGAATCCTCCTCAGCCTCGCGACTAAGTCTTAACCCCTCTCGAGGCATCCGCTATGTAGATTCCCCACCCCAGCGCCGTCGCTAAACAGTAAAAACAGCAAAACACACGCTTTGCTTCAGACCCACGTCCTCTGCGGGAAAAATGCAATCTTCACCCCATCCATCCACCCACATTTATTCATTTGCAATCATCTTTCTTGATCGTCYACCATCCCAACTCTCTCGAAAGTTGCCTTCTCAACCTCTCGCTGATCCATAGAAACCCCCTTCATAACCACCGTCTGCCTTCGCACTACCCCGGGTGGAGAAGTGCACTTTGATTCATAGCAAACTTTCCCATACCGCCGTCTGCCTTCGCATCACCCTTGGAAGTCTCTTGATTTCTTCCCCCAAGACATCCCTTGATTCATTTCGTGGCCCGTCCTTTATCGACTCGCGATCAACTCGAGTGTCCTACRCACCCGTTGATCCAGGGCTCCCCTTCGGACTAGGACTGGGTCCAGGACTGGCATTGGCGCTCGCAGGCTTGCTCGCGCTCAATTTGAGCGTCAGCTTCTTTTTAGGAGGTGGGGGAGCCATCGAAGAAGCACCGCCGCCATTCGAAAGACTTGGCGCCGGCGGACTAGCGCTCAAGCTGGTGATTCCCTTGGACGGCTGCGACGATGGCGCCGTGAGACTCGTCAACGAAGCTGGAGGGGGACTACCCGCAAAGGCCGTCGGAGAAGCCCCGGTCGGAGTGAACCCGCTGCTCGGGAACGAAGGGGATGCGGACACATCTCCTCCTCCAAAACTCCTGAAAGCACCAACATTCAAATTCGGAGGTGGAGCGGTGAAAGTGCTGACGCTGGTACTCTTAGGAACGGGAAGGCTTGGAGTTCGAGCCTTGAATGTGATGAGCTTGTAATTTGCAGGTGGATCTAGCTTGGGCATGCGTCCCTCTTGAGCCGGAGCATCGATGATGGCCTGRGCGCGCCTCGAAGCGGAAATGCCAAGGTTGAAAATGACCATCTTCTTTCCTGGTTTCATTGTAGATGGCGTGGGTAGCWTGACCTTCTTCACAGGCATTGGCGAGGCTGCGGAACCAGCGTTTCCACTTGGGGCGGACCCAGCGCTCGAACCATTGGTGATCTTGATCGTCTTTGGAGTTCCGCCATTCGTGGCGCCCAGATCAATGGACTGCTTCCTCTTGGAGCCTGCAAGCAGATTGAGCTTGATACCAGACTTGGGTGTACCTGTGCCTCCTGAAGTCGACAAGCCATGCCCACTTGTTAAAATGCTGAGAGCTGGAGGAGCAGGCGGTGGCATTTGAGCTGGACCGTGAGATTGCACTTTCGTGAGGTCCTGCCCAACGCGGGAAATCTGATCCTGCAGAGCAGCTGCTTTTTCAGCGCTGCGCTGGTTCCGCATGGCTGTGACACCGTCGGAGAGAGGACCAGAATAGCGTAATTTGAGGACCTCAAGACCCTCGTAGTCTTCCACATCCAGCCCGAGACAAGGCCTAGTGCGGAACGGGCGATTGACATCCTGATAGAATCTGATCTTGCCCTTGCCTTGGTGGACCGCTTTGTAAGGTCGCGGCAGCTTCAACACCACAGTTTGGGAGCGAACAGGCGCGTAAATGAGCGCTGCAATGTCGCAAAATGCCGCAGTCTCGTCGATGGAGATGAATGGAGACGTGACAGCATACCAGAGCGCTTTCTTAAAGGTCTCGTCGTGCTGCAACACCGACTTCAGCTTCTCGATTGCTCCCTCTGGCGTGTTACGCCGAGTTGCTTCGATTCGACGAAGCTCAGCAGCATTGCTAGCTTCTTGCTCCAGGACAAGGCCGTCTGTAGCTGGAGGAAGAGCAGCTGTAGCTCCAGTGCCATCGTCGTTATCGAGAGCAATGTGGCCCAGCGCTTCTCCGAGCAGGTGCAAAAGTCCATCACGGAAGTATGGAGATGGGTCGTCGACAAGTTGGTGAAGCAGATGGCGCATCATCGCACTGTCCTTCTTCTTTGTCAGGCCCATCTCAATCAGACAGCGGAAAGCCTCGAGCCGGACATTGGGAGCAGTGGAGGGCAAGGTGTACTGCATCAGCTCCTTTGTCTTGTTCTTGACGACTCCCGCGGCGGTCAGCTTTTGCAGGCACCGCAGGGCGGTGGTGGAGTACACATTTTGGTACGTGTTGATCCACTCGTCGATACGCCTATAACGTTCAATCTCACCAACGGCCATGCTCTCAAAGTCCGCGTCGGGGTTCTCCGGCTCAAGCGGTTCGTCATCCTCGCCGAAAGCAAAGTGATAGACGGGAGCCACCTCGCGATGAGAGGCGACAAGACTGTCTGATAAACACGTCATGAGCTGACTGACATAGTGACAATCCGAGAAGGCATTATCGGAATTGTCGTTGAACTTGAGCTTGTCCACGAAAAATTGCATGACAGCCCTCGGCACGCGGTTTTCAGCGTCTCGCAATTGAGCCATGGCCTTGGGGATGGCGCATTGCATGATGAAGGTGATTCGGTTGGAGAAGTCATTCGGACGCGGCATGACGGAGTTCTCATCACAGAAGAAGTGTTCAAACGTCTTCATGAGATGACGCTGTCCGACCTCGAGCAGTGCATCCTTGGCGAGAAGAGCAAGGCCTTCGGCTGCCATGACGCGGATGCCATGAAAGTATCGCTCATCAAACAGCGTTCTGACGAGAATCGTATGGCTGACTTGATGCGGATGCGAGCGGAGGATGTGCTGCATGCTCTCGTGTTGCGCAACAATATCCCTATCTTGTTGCAGCTGGGAGACGTACATGTAAAGTGGAMACTCGAGATGAATCTTGCCAATCCACTCGAAGTCGGCGTCCATGCGGATCCATTCATAAGATTCGTTGCTCATTTTATCTTCGTCCTCGGGCGTCCACTCCGATAGTCCCCACTCGTTGACTTCAGCCGCAGTATCAAGAACATCTCCCAGTGAGTAGAGGAGAGCGTCCTCCCCCTCGGCGGTAGGCTGTCCTTCCGCCGCGGCTCTCTCCTTTTGCCGTCGCGATCTCTTCAGACGTTTGTACTTAGTATTGTAAGGAATGTCGAGCTTCGTGACGGGCTCTTTGATGTCGACAATGTGTTCATACGGCGTGCCGTCTGCTTCGTGGATGCGGATCGTCATGGGTCCGGTAAAGACATTTTGAGTTTCTGGCGCCCAGACCTCTTGGACGTGCTCCTTGATCTCGCGCATGAAGTTTTCTGGCGCGAAAATGGGCTTTGTTTGGCGATGCAGCTGCTTTTGAGTGATGGTCATCTCGACGACAAGCTTCTTCTTGTTGAATCGCTGAGTGACGTGGAATATGGGACAGCCGGCACCCATCACCCACTGACGGAAGAACGACTCCAACTTGTTGTGACCGAGACGCTCGCAGGTGCGTTGGAATTCCTGTGTAGACAACTCACCATTGAGCTGGTTGTTGACTTTGGCATTGAGAAAGATTTTGTTTATGATTCGTGCAACTCCGGTGGAGCCACTCGATTTGACGAGACGACGATCCAGAATCGCGAGTACGAGAGCGGACTTGAGATCAAGAAACTCTCGGACTGACGGATCGATGTGGAGGAGGGCCCCCAGTTGGTGGATGGATGGACGGTCTGCGTCCAGATCAAAGACCTTGTCAGACGCCAGCTTCTGCTCCCATCGGTATTGATTGTTCCCAGCCAGCTTCTTCATATACTGATCGGTCATGTAGCCAGCGATGCCGGCGATTGCCCAGGTGTCGGAAGGCTCCTTGGGAATGATGTTGACACCACACCACTGATCAGCGACGGCGCGGACCAGTATGCGCGTGTTGCGATCCRGCGGCTCGATGATGTCTTGTGGAAAGAGGAGACGATTGCTGCAGATGGAGAAACCGGCGGCAGCGGCGGTTTCATAGACGAGGTCGTCCACAAACAAGAATTTGTAGCTTGCAAAGGGGAATGTACCGTACTTGGGAGACATCTGATCAACGGCTTGGCAAAGCGGGAAACATGTATTCTCCAGCTCATGTGAACGACCTGGCAGGCAGTAGCCGTCGAGTTTGATGGCAGTGCCCTTGAGTGATAACTCATCCTCGTTTGTGCGAGACATGGTGAGGTCGGCGTGCTCAAAAGGACCAATGGCGAAGCCAACGTGACGTGCAGCGAAGGGATTCGCCATGGCAAAAGTGACTGTATGTCGAGTTTCATCCTCTGGATCAGGCGAATCGTCGGAGACGTCGCCCACGCAGAGGACAGTCAGCTCCAAAGCGGCGTCTTCTTCGTTGAGGTTGATGTAGAATTCGTCTTCATCGGCTGGCTCCTTGACCATTCCATTCGCCATTTCCACGTCTCCGTTTGTTGCAGCGTGATCTGCGCCCTGTTTGGGCACCCGAAAGGCGTCTCCAAGTGTGCGCGGGCACCGAATGGCAATTTCCCAATTACATTTGGACGTGGAATCATCGAGACATGGGAAGATACACGAGGTATTGCCAGCCCACGGAGCGATTTTGGTGTAGAGATATGGATACCGCCGGTCACCGTCCTCACATCCCACCCAATGAATGCCGTCACGGAAGTTGTCCACCTCGAATTCAATGGTCAGCTTGATCGGAGCAAACTGCGGGACGTCGCCTTGAAGGAGAGTTTCGGCAGCGAGGACATCGCTCTCGGTGCGCTGTAACGCTGGAGGGATGTTGGCCGCCACGGCCGACTCTTGACGCAGCTCTTGGATCTTGAGTCGTGGTGGGAGAGCAATCTCCAGAGTGGGCTCCGGGTTGGGACGCRGAGATGAGGGGTGCTGCAGACGCTCCTTGACCATCTGGTGTTGGTGCACCGTCGCCGTCTCCAGCCGCGTGCTCCTCCGATATGGGTCGTGGTGCTCCCATTTGGAAGCGATGCCGCCAATTTGCACGGAAGTGAGCCGGCATTGACGAGCATGCAGACGAATGTGCTTCAGGTCGCGGATCTGGGGCAAAATGGTGATCTCGGTACTGCCTTTGATGGTGCGCCCGGGAAAATCAATGTCCAGATCCACCCGCTGCCGGTCAATCTTCCACTCGCGCGCGGAATCGACGTCGACTACCGGCTCAGCACCGCCATCCTCCATCGTGCCGGGCGGGAGCGACGAATTCGCCGCTCATCTGAGGTTGGTAGCTCCCTCCAGGTCGAGTGTGGATTGGAAGTGAGCTTCGTTCGGGTTGCGCTCGTATCGGCGTGCGGAGTCGATGGATGGACCTGWGGATACCGCAATGTAGGAATATGGACGTGTGGCGATTTCCGGCGTGTCGGGCGCGTCGTGAGCAGCAGGAGGGAAGATGTGGTTGGCGGCGCAAGTGGCAGTCGCGATTGTCTTGGAGGGCGCGACAGCTGAAGATGGAAATCGGAGAACGGCCCGAGTTCGGGAGACGCGATTGTCGGAAGTGACGACAGAGCTCCGAATTGTGAAGGAGCCATCTCCATCATCACCGCGAGAACAATAACAGTTCCCATCGCCAACAACTAATCCGTACCGTAGATTATCAAGGAGATGGCGCGTGAGGCTGAGAGAATACAGCCCATCAATGTCCTTCATGCGCGCCACCGATAAAAATATTCACAGGCGACGACGGCACATGGCTGAAAGGTGCAGCCTCACTTCCCTTCACTTGACCGCCTGAACATGTGCCCCCTAAGCTTCTTCATCTCAATCTCCATTCGGGTGACAAGCTCATGGTACGTCTAAGCGCTTAAAGATGAGGTCGGCAGTGATAGACCCTTCTGTAGGCAGCGGGGAACTGTAAAGCCCATACACCTATATTCCTGCAACACCACCTGGGCCAGCCTCTCACTCTACCTTCGACAATCATGTCACCCTCCGAAATTTTCCCCTTCAAAGTCGATATTCCCTCCTCAGAGGTCGACCGCTTGAAACGCAAACTCCTCGACACTCGCCTACCTCCAAAACCAATCGTACCTGATGCGGGTTCCAGATATGGACCAACGTTCGAATGGGCCAAGAATCTCTACGATGCCTTGATCAATGACTTTGACTGGTATCCCATTCAAGATCAGATCAACTCTGCTCCCCATTTCCTCACCCGCCTTGAAGACGTCAAGATTCACTTCGTGCATGCCAAGTCTCCACGTCCAGACGCCATTCCTCTCTTGATGGTCCATGGCTGGCCCGGCTCATTCTTCGAGTTCAATCAAGTTTGGGGTCCCTTGTCAAATCCTTCCGACCCATCTCTCCCAGCATTTCATGTTGTATTACCTTCCATGCCGGGTTATTGTTTTTCCGACTGGCCTCCTCGCTCGGGTTGGACTCTGCAAGACAATGCACGAATCTTCAACGCTCTGATGAAGAGGCTCGGGTATAAAGAGTACATGATCCAGACGGGTGATTGGGGCCATTGGGTTGGGAGGGGATTGGGAAGATCACAATCAAATCACGGTGCCGTTTGGCTACACAGGTTTCTACTGGGACACGGAGCCAAGTTCGAAAAGAGCTGTGGAGAGGACGGGCAATCTGGTCTGGTATAAAAGTGAGCCAAGCGATTGATGAGGAGAGACAGTGCTGATTGGTTGGGTAGAGAGGAATGATGGCGGCCACTATGCTGCGTTGGAGGATCCAGAAGGCATCACAGGTGAGTAATGCCCATGACAGCATCGTTTGCTGGAGAATAGGTGATGTATGGCGGACTAATGCGTTGCGCAGAGGACGTTCAGGAACTCGCAGCGAAGTACTGGAAGAGTGATGCCTTGAAATGAGCATGTCCCAAACGATTCGTGCTGTATCATTATTCGGATTATCTAGCGGATGTTGAAGTTCCCCGGAGTCCCAGCCTCCATGGTGGGGGTATTTTCCACTGCTCGTCTCGACTCGCATCATCACCGCAACACCTCCTCACTTCCCATACCCAAAAGCCTCAATGACACTCCAAGGAACGACTCTACCATCACCCAACCTCGCCTGAGGATAACCCCAAATCGGCACACTCCAAAACATGAAAAGAACAACCCACACTCTCCCCAACCAAATCTGCCACGCCGTYTGATTTCCCTTTCCAAACTGCATCTGCCAGAGATACACCACAAAATCTTCAATGATAATCCCTCCCGCTTGTCCCACAAAGAACTGCATAGCTCCACTGTCCTCCCACATGTCCATTCCACTCGCATACTCGCCCGCAACATGAGCGACTCCCGAAAGCGCAAAAGTCAAAACGATGAGAGAATACCTCCTCAGGWTTGAGCCATCTGGGAGATGTAGGATGTTGTCGCAGAGGTATTTGCAAGGAAGGTAGACTTTGTCCTTGAACATTTGATGCCAGAAATGAYTACAAATATGCTTGTCAGATTCGATCCTTTGATTGCAGCATTGAGCTTGACATACCTCCAAAAGCGCCTCACAGACCAAGGCATACCCTCTGCGAAGTTAAAGAGTGGTTTGTACTGCTCCACTCGCTGTAAGTCGAGAGCCACAAACAAGATCGGAGCAATACGCTTGGAAAGATAGATGACCGGGACGGCGAGAATCCAGACTGATATTGTTGCTGCCAGTCGTTGGAAGACTTCTTCAAGTGTTACTTCAGACAGTCGGGAGAAAAAGGGGACTTTCTCTGCCGCTGCCATTACAGCTGCCATCTCCGGATCGTTGGCCACAGCCACAATGTCCAGCAATAAGTAGGATATTGCAACATACATTGCTGTACTTGCAAGCCATGCAATTCGTGATGGTTTCTGCGTCGGATTCCTCTTCGAAAAAGCCGGAACGTTGGAGACTTCAAACGGAGTACCGCAATGGCGCTGACTGTAAGCGKCATCGTAGCCGAAGAGGAGGCGGTTGACGATGGTATCTTTGGGCGGCGTGGGAAATTTCGTGTTCTTCAAAGCGTTGCTGACTTGTCCTTGCCTGCGGAAATCCCACGGCTCAATCAAGGCGACGACGAGATATTGGAGAACTTCCCACGAGGTGATGTAGCCGAGACATGTAGAGATTGCGAAGTTACCGGTCCATCCTGAGCGGAGGGAGGAGAGTGCCTTGGCGCATAGTAGGACTGAGGCGGGGAATAGACCGTAGCGGACGATGGATTGTGGGCGAGTGAAGCCAACCGATATGGCAAGTATGCTGGATTGTGCTAGGATTAGAAGGTATGGGTTATTTGTAACCGTGAAGGTAAAGGTAAGATCTCGAATAAGCAGGAACGGAAGTATGAAAAAGGGTGAGATGTTGACATCAGGCTTCCACAAGAATGCAGGCGACGAAGTGGAAGGGATCTTGGACATGATGGAAATAGAAAAATGGACAAAATGGGCAGGAAGTGTCAACGAGGCCGACTGGGGTATATGTATTGATACATGGTCCGTGGACACTCGAGCACCCAAGTGCTTATGGTGACTTGGCTATACTTTCGCCGAGCTGCCTCCACCGAACGAGAAGCAAGAGGCCGCTCTCACTCCTGTCGCGACTAGTTGACCACTGATTTCGAGAAAGCCATTCGGTGGTTGTCAATCGGCATGCGAGGATGTGCAGGGGTCGAGAACGACAGATCCTGGTAAGAACGTGGGCAGGGATGGGGTAGCCAGCAATCACAAAAGCTCAGGGTAATGCTTGTTCTTCATCTCGAACAGGGCTGGCCGGCTTATTTTAGATCCAAATGAAGGCATTCTCGATCTACCACAGCTACCTTATGCCGTTACGCGTTAGCTGTTCGAAAGAACTGACCGAAAAACGAGGTCAGAAGAAAACACCGAAGACCGTGCGTTTCCAACATGACATCCATGGATGTGTAGGAGGATGAACACTGTAGTGGAATTGAAGGGTCAGCTAGACGATATGTGGTTATGAATAGGAGCGACATACCCCGTCTGAGCTCTGCCTCATCAGCRACATATGCGCGCGACGAATGCCTTCGGTTCATCGGTGAGACGTGCGTCAACTTCAACAAATGTGCATTTTCGAGCTCGTGTCATCCATTCTTTCATTGCGTCATTTATCATGCATGTGGCCGTTCTGTCTCCATTTCTCACGAGAATCGAATCTTGTAGCGAAAAGCGATCTGAAAGGCCGGATCACTTACAGCGACCTCCTCCCCATCCTCCAGTAATTCACTCAGCTTTCTCTTGAGGTTCGGCTCAGTCTGTATTCGAAGTCCTTCAGGCGTGGAGTAGAACAGTGACTTTTCACCCGTTCGCAGATTCGGCTTCTTCAGTTGAGCCTCGGGTCTCTCAGCAAAGCTCTCCACCAACTCTCCTAGTGTGGAATCTGCAGGGATTGAGAGGTCTTTGGGCAGGTTTCCACACACCGGACAGTCGGGCTTCCGCTTGTGGCCAAAGGTGTAAGTGTAGACACTGTTGTCGCCGGTGTAGAGCATGTAGTTGTTCGGGGCGGGTGAGAATTCGTCTTCCGGGTCGTAGGTTTCCGGATCAACGTCGTCGGGCATCCAAGAGGGATTTGCGAGGAAAGGTGCGGATTGAGTGGCAATCTTGAAAGCCTCATTGCACGAGGAAGCGGCAACGATGGCGTTTGTCGAGGCAATGGCTGGGATGATGTTCTTGACGACACCTTGGGTCATGCTGTAGGTGACGCCTTGGATGTTGAATTCCTGGGCTCGTTCGAGAGCGGTTTGGTAGAGCCAGGTGATGTGTTCGGGATCGTCGGTGTCGAGGACGACTTCTTTGCGATCTTCCTCCCACTTGATGATGTGCGCCCATTCGATGCAGTGTTGCGGCTGGCGTGGAATGGTGGCGAGAGTGCAGAGAGGGACGGCAGCACGGGGAGCGTGCATGTCGAGTTGGCATTCAATACACGAGGACATGGTGGGGAAGATAACTCGGCTCTGACCTTTGAAGCCCTGTGGATGTTGGGTGGTTAGCTACATTTCCATCTTGCAGTGGCCTTCCTCACCTCTGTGCCTCCATCAATCAACGGTTTGAGCGAGTCAGGATTCTCGTCGTCGACCATCCCGACCAACATGGCGTTGATCCAGCGGCGGGCCTCGATCGAGTCCAATCCACACACGACCAGATTGAATTGCATGTAGTAATCCTCATCCTTGTCTTGAATCTTGCCGACATACGCATTGATCTGACAGCCCGGCACGCGTTTCATCACGAATTCGGCGGCGACGGAGGCCTTGGGCTTGCCGACATCGCTCTGGCGGAAGAGAAACTGGCGATTGAGGTTGGAGACGTCGATGGTGTCCATGTCAATCACGTCAATCGACTTGAAGCCTGAAAGGGCCAGGTTTTTGAGGATTTCACAACCCAATCCGCCTGCACCAATGACCAGCACGCGAATGGCCGCCAGAGCGTTGATCGCCTMCTCTCCCGGCGTGAAGGCCTCCGGGTCGGTAAAGGCACCGGCTCGGGTGAGGATCTTGTCGAGGTGTTTCCATCGTGCTCGGGGGGAGGATGTCGATGTTGTCGTCATGGTCGCCGCCATGATGTGATGTGATGTGGTGTGGTGGTGGAGTGGAAGAAGAGACAGGAAGCCAGCCCGCTACAATCGCTGACGAGCTAAGGTACCTTAGGTACCCTGTCATCCCTGCAATCGATAACAGCTAGCGCCGAGTTGAATCACGTCGAAACGTGACTAAGTCGTGCATCTTTCTTCTAGAATTACACCATCAACAGTCAACTCCATCAGCATAGAATGTGCCCCAGTAGAGGACATGGCAGAATTTCTGACCGCCGTCAAAACTACGGTGCGCAAGGAATCGGAGAAATCAGCGGAATCCGTTCTCACTGCAGTCTCGACCCGCCAGATCCAGGACAAGAAACGCATCAACCCTTTCATCGAGGAAGCACACAATTCCGCACCGGAAGGGATTGGTCTTGACAAAGACAACAACATTATCAAGAGACAGCCGTCAAAAGATGTCGGCACTCTGGAGGATGTCTTGCAAATCTTACGCTCCCAACCGGATACAGAGAGCTTGCTTCGTACCCTGAAGCTACTACAATCGAAATATGATTTCAGCCTTCACAATCCCGGATCGGCGCAAGCTCAAGTCACCAGCACACTCATCACCGCAATCGTTCCCGCATTCTGGTCTGCACTACGACGCTTGGATCGTGATCTGCTTCTTTCCTGCTTGAGAACGGTCACGGGAGCCAATGCCATCATCGCCAGAATCAGGCTACTTTCAGGAAGCGCCGGAAAGTCCTCCGCTGAGCTGTCAGATCTCGTATCCCTCGCCAACGAGTTCCTCACTAGAGATGACTTTGCTCTCATCATTTGGAGTGGTCTGTCGGAGGTTGTGTCAGAGGAGATCAAGAGGAAGCTGGCATGGAGGGAGTTTGTGAATTTGATTGGCTCTGGCAAGATTGTTTCTACTATCGCTAGTGCTGAAGATGCATTGAAGGCAGCTGATGTGTCCATCAAGACGTCTTCACTGGCCAAAGGAGCAGAGTATGCTGCATGGCTGGGTAAATGTGTTGCGCGACTTGCCGTGATCATACCAATCGATGGCGCTGCGGCTTCTGAGGGTCGGGAAGAAGCGGCTGCTCGGTTGCTTCAAAAGGCATTTGGTCTGGGTTACTCAGTTCCATTCATCAAGGCCTTTTTTGTCCATGTCATGCACACATCGCCAGAACCTTTCACAACACTAAAAGGACTGTGTAATCATCTCCCACTGTTCTCGCAACGGCAACTTCTCGAGAGCACCTTGCAATGGCTTTCGGCAACGACACACGGCTCGGCGAGGATATTTGAAGCAACCAGACAGGATGAAGATGTTCGGGCTATCAGTGGTCTCTTATCTCTCATCATAGTCTCTGGAGAGACGTTTCCACAACACCTGCTCGCCTTTCTCGCCGATCCATCGTCTTCCAGCTCCCTTCCGGTGGCCGTGAGGCGATCATGTCTCGCAGCTTTGGGTCGCTGCTCACCCGACCTTATTGACGCACTCCTTGGAAAGACAATGAAAACATTCGGAGACTCTCTCTTCATCAACCATGCTTCCATAATTCAACAAGAGAGCCTCGCGCAAACTCTTCTCATCGCCGCTGGAACCATCCATCGTAGATCATCAGTGGTAGTATCAAGTATTGCTCGCTCCTCGACCCACATGTCAGGAGTAAGCAATCGTCTTGACAGCCCCAACTCGAAAGCCCGATGGCTTGGCATGGTTGTTGGGACAGCGATCTCTACATTGGTGGACAAGGAAGGCTCAAGGATGAACTTTGGCACGGATGAGTTGGAAACTGATGAAGGCCAGTGGTATCTTCATCTGGTGGAAGTTGAAGATGCCATCGGCTCCGTTGCTAATGTCAAAGCTTTCCTGGATTCTAAAAGGGGTGTATTGACGACACGGAGAAAGCCACAAACCAAGCAACGGCTTCCCATGATCAACGGAAAACCAGTCTTTGGTCCGCCACGTCCCCCATTACCAYCACAAACCGAAGTCATCGGCGAGAGGATTTCCGAAATCCTAGATGAAGATGAGGATGAAGACGACGATGACCTCAAACCGTATGCAAAACCGGATTCAGATCCCGAAGACAGTGATGAGGACGCTACTCTCGTACAACGCAACAAGCCTCGTCCGCCAGTGTACATTCGTGATTTGATGCGTATGCTTCAGGAYGACAAGGATGTTGCACGCTTCCAATTGGGAATCACTCATGCTGCTGCCTTGATCAGAAGAAAAGCGGCATTCGGAAGGGAGGTGATCGATCATGCGGAGGAGTTGGCCGGAATGCTATGCAATCTGCAAGATCCTTTCTCAACAGACAATTTCGACGAGTTGAAGCTGCAAGGACTGATCGCCATTCTCTTGGTGGATGTGAAGAACATGGCGCCCTGGATGAGTACGCAGGCTTTCATGGGTGACTACTCCATCTCTCAACGCTGCACCATCCTCTCGGCTCTGGGTCTTGGTGGGAGAGAGCTTGCCGGATTGAAGAACCTAGACGAAGTTGCTCCTGTACCTGCTGGGATTGGGTTCCCCAGTAAGAAACTCCCTGGAAGACTCCACGCCGTGTACAATCCAACCTCCTCCACCAAGAGCCTGGAAAAAGCCAGCGCAACTGTAGAGCACAAGATGATAGCTCCACTTGCTCTCTCCGCGGCGGACAAGACTACGCAACATCTCGACGCCGTCAAAGTGAGAACATTCTCCTCAAGGATGGAGGTCCAATCACGAACGAAGAGGAATACACCTGCGAACGATCTTGCGAAATGTTTTGCGGAGAGTTTCTTTGCTCCGCTGATTGGGAGGTATCAACAGGAGATTGCTGCTTATGGACAGGGAAGTATTTACGCCACTACGCCCTTTCTTCTTGTTGCATTTTTAAAGACGTTGGCGTTGCTTTTGCATGCTGCTGGACCGGCCACGACTGACCTGGGAGATGTCGTGGGTGTGTTTTGGAGCGTGTTGCTGGGTTTGAGAGTGAAAGCTGGCGGGGATATCAGTGTGTTGGAAGCGGTGCTGTTTTCGATGTTGACTGTGTTGGAGGTTGTTGGTGAGGGCGCCGGCGGTAAAGAGCGATTGGCGAGAGATTTCTCGGGCGAGCTTGCAGAGACCAAGGGCTGGGTCGAGGGCGTGTTTGAGAGAACGGGCAGTGGTGGATTGGTGGAAGATGGAGGTGGGGATGAGGGGAGGGTCAGAAGATTGGCTGCTGGAGTGTTGGTCAGAATTGGGGAGGTTGGAGAGGCATGGCAGAAAACTCTTGCGGGGAGGATGTGAAGAGCACGTATGCGGCGTGCAGCTCAGGCGCCGAAATTCTCCCTTCCTTCGAACAGAATGCTCCACGTGAACGGTGTCTTCATGAGCGGAGCTCGAGCCGAGCTTGCGTCAAGATTGTCCGGTTGATGCAAATCGCACCCACCCACAACAAGGAATGGCTTTGAGGAACCAACCACATGCCCAAGATGTCGTGGGGCGTCGTGCAGGCTCTTCTCTATTATGGTTGTTACATCGTTCAGAGTAGCGGCGAGACTTCCTAGCTGCATTCATCACAGCTTCAGTAGCTGCGATATCTGCCATAGGAGAGTTTCGGAGGATAGGAGTATTGTCAAATGCTCTTCCGACCTACAGTGCGGTATAAAATCCGGCGATGCTTCTCACTGGTCAGTTATCCTTCGTGGCTGTCGACGACGTAGTGAGGCCAGAATGGAGAATCAGCGTCATTTGCAGCTGACAGGCCCCTGAGCGCTAGATGAGGAATGCCAAGACTTTAAAACTTCTTTCCCACCTCTTCCATTCGGCCGCCTAGGCCAGCAAGATGCGAAGCAGGGTAGCAAATCCAGCTGTGTCTTTGCTATATGGCGAAGCGTTGACACTGCATGGTTGTTGGGTGTACTCCCAAAACTGGCTGGAGAGGCAAAATTTCTCCCATTTGCCCAGACCTTGAGAGGGCAAAAAGAAATGGACATTCAACATTTGGGATTCCCCAGTGGTCACCCACCTGAGTACTGAWCAAACGATTACATGGTTCAATAGGCCAGAGCGGACGGGATGGCTTGCTTTCATGCATCTGTGGTCGAATGTGCTCACCCTCTCAAGATCATAGATTATGACGATGTAGCAGAAATGTGGCAGCTAGGAGTAGAAGGGAGCCAAGACAGGGATGAAGACACCACAGACCATACTTCTCACCACCTTAACTCGATTCACACCATCCTCTACCTAAACGGGCCAAAGCGTGCAAAATCTCCGACGCCGATCGATCCAGCGAAACGACGAACGCTTCCGTTGAGCGACGGCTGCATATTTGATCGAAAGGGCGCGGGAATCACGGCCGCGCGCGACGGAGGACGCTGTCCCTGGACTGCACAAAGGATAAGAGTTGGTAGATGGAGTATGTCTCTGTACGTCCGAAGCGGAGAAGGGAATGAGTACTTCAAGAGAAGGGAATGAGTACTTCATCAGACCTTGTTTGAAACCAGAAATAAGCTTCAGGGTGGTGAAAGCTGGGAGTGTCATGCAACGTACAGAAGTGTGCTTTGCAACCACAATATTTCTACCCATGGTTTTATCAATCAGTCTTCAATATCCCAAAGCGCCCTTCATTTTCCCCAGGAAGCCGTTCCCTTTGGCAATATTCTCTGAAGCTGATGCCTCCGCTCCCTCTAAGGCGCTCAAAGCAAACTTATAGAACTCACGCATGCTCTCCGCTAAATCCTCCTCTGGCATGGCCAACATCTCCACGACGTAGTCTCTAGGAGTCCTGCCCTCGCGATCCTTGATAAGCGGATCCGCCCCGTTCTCCAGCAAGAACGTGAGCACCTTTCGATTCTCCCATGGGGAACCGTGCTCCTCGACCGCCCAAAGAAGTGGTGTACCTTGGACATTCCGGATGTCAGCAAGCCGGTTGATGTTAGAGCTGGGAGCTGCGCGATCAAGATCAAACTGCATCCAGGCAATACGTTGAGCGGGTGACATGGAGGTATGCAATGCTTGAAGATGGAGTATGCTTGGTGCCGGTTCGTCGAAGCCCTCGACGGCAACGAGAGCAGTTTTATTTTTTGGCTGTAGTGAGGTCCATTGTAGACGCAAACTGTTCTTCTCCTGTTCTGAAGCCCAAGACGCGGTCATAGGTTTGTTAAAGAACTCTTGGGCGGCTGCCGTGCCGATGAAAGCTACTAGAGGCTTGCTGTTGGCTCCGTGCTGTAGTAACTTTTTGCCTACATCTGCACGGCTAGAAGCGTAGGCTGCTCTGAGGCCCAAGTCTAGATGTTTTTGCGGCGTGTCTTCTCGTATTAGAGCTTCGACTCCCTCTAGTGTGCTGAAAGCAGACGAGAAGTACAGAGCATCAGGCGACGCTGGCCCGAGGGAAGTGATGAGAATGTCGTGCTGCGGCAATGGGGAGCGAGAAAGCCTGCGATATGTAGACATCCTGTCGTTTCTGGGTAGATAGTATCTCTACTGATCTTTACCCGCACGTGCTGTTTGAAACGTGTTGGACAGAAAGGTTAAGACGAAAGAACCTCCTCCGAGGGTGCTAAAGTCTGGCCCGGCTAGTTCCGGCGACATTTCAACACTACTACCACACATACTAAATTGGCTGTAACTTCACAGCCTCTTAATGTATTAACTAGCTAATCGATTTATGTTATTGCTAAGGCTTCTAAGAAGGTATACTAAATTCGGTATAGCTTTTTACCGTTATTATAGCTTAATATCTATATACTTAGTAATTATTATACGTATTCGAGTAGCTAATACTTAAGGACCTATCTAGTAACGTTAAGTACGTAAAAACACTCGCTCTTTTCTTTACGTTATTATCTATACGTATACCTTACTATATAGTCTTTAACCGTAGATCTATAGTATCCTTAACCTTCTATATAGCTAAGCGAACTAAGTAGATATACCTTTTAAGGATAGTTATTATATTACTAAATAACGTCTTAATTAGAGCGTAATTAGGTAAGTTTACTAGGTATCTAATAAACTCGATATTACGCTCTTATATCTCGGCCGTAAGTAATTTACGAGCCTTAATATATATACCGTCGTTATCCTCTTAAATAACTACTCGACGGCCTAGATTATTCTCTCTAAGTACTTTAACGTAGGGGAATAGGTGCTTCTTATATATAACGAAGGCTATAAATACGAAGTTAAGGCCTAGCTTATCGCTTATATACCGTAGATCCGGTTTAAATAGATATATACGCTCTATAGTAAGGCGGTGTTTTAATATAGGCTTAGTTACTCGTTCGCCCTTCTCTTTCGTTAACCGTCGACGTATACGGTTAGCCTATACGTTATAATCGGCTACCTCTTTATTACGCTCGTTAAGTAGCTACTTCTTAGTTATTCTATTAATCTTTGCTTTACGTCGTTATTCTCTTACTACTACTCTTACTATTATATTAGCTTCGTTAAGCTATTGCTATAAACCCTTATAATCCGTCGATTTAATATCCTAGAATATAATTAGCCGCTTAATTAATATATCCGCTATATATATAGCTACCTATACCTCTCGTCTAAAATGAATAGGCTCTTTATATTAATATAGAGTCGTTCCTCGTATAACTATCTTTCGTTAATTTTCGGAGCCTCCGAAGTAGAAGGTTTTTTCGTCGTAATATACGATAATTACGCCCTTAGTATATAGCTATTTAATCTCGGTATAATAGGCCTCGCGAGCTATAAGGTACTTATCCGTAAGGGCGTTCTTCGTAATTATACGGTTCCGTAATAATTAAGCCTACTACTAAGGCCGTAGATCTACTTTAATATAAGCCTAATTATAGATTATATAAAAGATCTGCTTCTTCTTCGGTATCCGTAAGTTAATATCTAACTCTCCGAGAGCCTTACGCTTCTATATCTCTTATAGAACGTATATATAATAAAGAAATAGAGTAATTTAGTAGTATGGTTATTAAGTTATTAATTGTTAAAGCTATATAGTACGTAAATTAGAGAGGTTGTTTTAAAAGCACGGGCCAGACTTTAGCACCCTCGGAGGCTTGGAAGGTAAGGTACGTCACTCTTCGTCGGTTCGGCTCGCAGCAAAGCTCACCTCAAGGCAGCGTTCGAAAGATCCCGAGGCTCCCGTCCTCTCCTCAGCTCGCTTAGCTCGTATCTGCAGTACAAGCCTTCGAGGCTGTGGACGATTTGTGGAACGCCCACAGTGCACATGTCAAGGAGATGTTCGATTATTTCCAGGGTGTCCACTAACTTCGTCTAGTCCCAACGCGGCTATGGCGTACTCCACATTGGCTACCAAGCTCGCGCTAACAAATTCAAGCATCGAATTAAGCCGTGACAAGCACCACGCTAACCACAGATTTCAGAACCAACACCATCTACACGTCAGCCTGGAGAATGCCATTGGCGCGGAGGCGACATATGACTCGAGTCTCGACCCTCAACGCAGCCCTTTTGAGCATTCAACAGTCGCCCCCAGCGCCCTGATCTACTCCCGGAGTCTTGTTTTCCAAACTGACTCCAATCATTGTCGTCCACGTGTAACGCCAACCAGTCGACTAGGGGAGCCACAGCGTTACATAATCCCCTCAAGTCAGCCTCGTCTTGCCGACGTAGCCGTGCCCCTTGCGCCTCGGCGAGGCTATACTTTCAATTTGTCTTCTGGAAATCCTTCGAAAAGCCCTATCTCTCTCCAATGTAACCCAACCCGTAAAAGACTTCTCGAAGGATCAATCGAACAGCCTTTTTGTTCTGAACATGGCCACTGGAGGGAGTCTGAAATGATTAGGTCCAGTAATGCGAGCCCTCGTGGGGCGCTTGGGAAGAGATATGCCTCAGTATATATATATGTGTGCGTGACTGGCCACATGAGGCTTTGATCATTGATTTCTCGCCGTGAGGGCTGTCCGTTTGAAACCATGTCTGGGTTCAATCTTTACCCACCAGTCAACGCTACAGGTCTCGCCAGTGTACTGGGAGTCTCTGGCGGCTGCCTCAGCTCCTTGTGAGGGTCCCTTCTCACTCCTTCGATTCGTAGCTGACCGCATCTTTAGAAATGCTACCCTTGCTTGTGACCCCAGCACGTTCGCTCTTACCCTCGACCCAGACCAGTACTACTGGACGCAGGACAATATAACGGCACTTTGTACTTCAAGCTGCCAGCAGTCGGCGGTACAGTGGAACAACAATGTGCAGACTGCCTGTGGTGGCTACAACATCACGCTGGACTCCAGGTCCGTTCCCATCGCAACAGTCGCCGGTCGCTATCTCGACGGTCTGAACGTAGCATGTCTTGGTGATGGGAGCGGTGGAAACTGCTTGCTGGATAGTCAGGAGTGGGTAGGATCCGACCTGTTTTACAATTCAGATGGGTCTCCCGCTACCGAGCAGAACCTGACCGGCATGTACCCTTCGTCGTTGGTATGTTCTTCAGACTCCGTTGGTCATACATGCAAAGACTGATCGTCAATGTCAACCCTAGCTGTGCGGATCTTGTTTCTTACCTCTGCTTCTTGAACGTCTGTCATCACCCTTTGTAGGAACGGGCGGTTTCGCTTCTTACCTCAACTACCAATATTACGACATACAGGCGTTCTGTAACGTCACCAATGGCACCACAATCCCGCTCGGGGGTGAAGGGTTCATGTCCGTTCCTGCAGCCAACATCAGCGTGCCCGACTCAGGCGCCGTCAATTGCACCGGCCAGACAGTACCGACCACCGTATCGAGCAGCTATCAGTGCGACACGTTGTCCAAGCAGTACAGTGTAGGAACCGGCGATCTTCAACTTGCCTCTGGCAACGTCAACTGCTCTTTCGCAGCACCCGCGTGCGCGCCTGCAACTTGCCAGCTGGGTCAGGTCCCAGWAAACAGCACTTGCGATGGCTTTGCTGCATCGCTGTCTAGCTCGTCGAACAACATCACAACGGTCCAACTCCTCACATGGAATCCGAATGTCGTCGGATTCTGTGATGCTCTACCTTCACAGTATGCCTGTGTCGCTCCGCCAGGAGGTGCTTATACTTTACAAGTATCGAATGCCACCAATGCAGCAGCTGGCAACCAGGGCGAAATTTCGACGACATTCTCATCTGTTGCGCCATCTCAAGCACCATGTACCGCCGGCAGCGCGGCACCTGGCCCGACACCCAATGGTGCAATCAGCAACTGCTGCAAATGGTACGAGGTGCAGTCCGGTGACACATGTTATGCCATCTGGCAGAACAACTCCATCACCTCGACCCAATTTTACTCGTGGAATCCTGAAGTCAACCAGACCAGTTGCGGAATCTGGCTTGGCTACGACTATTGTGTCAGGGGTCCTGCCGTGGTACAGTCATCGTCAACTGCCTCCTCAGTCAATACGGTTCCTACCTCCACTGCCGCTTCACTGGCGAGCGGGAACACTCAGTCCAAGATTACGAGCAGTACTTCCACCACTCGATCAACTACATCGGGAGGAACAACAAGCTCTCAAAGTGGATCGAAGAGCACGATTACGACTCATGCAACCACATCAGGAGGTACAACCAGCGCTCAAAGTGCGTCAAAGAGTACCGTCACCTCGCACACCACCACTTCAGGGGGAACATCCACCACTCATGCCAAGCGTGCCCTTCCCACGGACTCGTCTCTCTTAGGTACCGTTTATGAGTATCTGACAGGCCGAAGCTTGTTGGAGAAGCGCGACTGTTCGAGTATCGCCACCGGATCCTGTTCATCAACGTGCCCATGTTCCAATGGGGCATGCTGTAGCAATTCAGGATTCTGTGGCTATTCGCCCTCCTTCTGTGGCTCGGGAAACTGCACATCGAATTGCAATGCAAAAGCGCAATGTGGACAGTAAGTGAAGATACTTCACCAGAGTGTACGATTAAAGCTTAACATTCACCAGATATGCTCCGAGCGGGCAGCAGAGCTGTCCTTTGAACGTTTGCTGCAGCCAATATGGTTTCTGCGGCAGCACCGACGAGTTCTGCGGTACTGGCTGCCAGACTGGCTATGATGGAACCTGCGGTCGTGAGTATACCCCTTCTCAATGCTCCATACTAATATTGACGGACTCTCGCAGCTGCCCATCGTCCTGTTGGCACCGGTGCTACCGCTAACAAGCGAGCCATTGCATACTACGAGTCCTGGGCCACCGAACGACCCTGCGACCAGGTTGAGCCAGAAGACCTGAATCTATCAGGATTCACCCATATGAACCTGGCTTTCGCTTATYTCGACCCAAATACATTCCAGATTCAGGCCATGGACAGCCAATCAGGCGCTCTGTTCCCTCGCTTCACTGGCCTGAAGGCCAGCAACCCGGGGCTGCAGACTTGGATCTCGATTGGAGGCTGGTCCTTCACTGATCCTGGCCCCACGCAGACGGCTTTCTCTAACATGGCAGCTAGCTCGGCCAATCGTCAGACCTTCATTAAGAATGTGATGCAGTTTATGAAGACATATGGCTTTGACGGGTATGTGCTCTTCATCCCCAGAGAACAACATGGTTTCGACTGACATATAAACGCAGTGTCGATGTCGATTGGGAGTACCCAGCCGCGGACGACAGAGGTGGTGTCGCTGCAGACGCACAGAACTACGTCTCGCTGCTTTCAGACATGCGAGCAGCATTTGGTTCTCAGTATGGCTTGTCCATTACGATTCCCACCTCGTATTGGTACATGCAGCATTTCCTGCTGACACAAATGGAGCCACATGTTGACTGGTTCAACTTGATGGCCTATGACTTGCACGGTACCTGGGACAGTACCGACAAATTCGTGGGGCCATACATTAACCCACACACCAATCTGACAGAGATTGATGGCAGTCTTGACTTGCTATGGCGTGCCGGTGTTGATCCTTCCAAGGGTAAGATTTCCTCATTCTTGCAATGCTCTCGAATTGTAAGGAAGTGCTGATACAAATTTCCGATACAGTGGTCTTAGGAGAAGGGTGGTATGGCCGTTCTTTCACTCTCCAGGATCCAAATTGCAACACACCCAACGGAGTCTGCCAGTTCAAGACTGGTGGCACAGCGGGTCCATGCTCACAAGCATCTGGTATCTTAACGAATGCTGAGATTCAAAACGTCATTGCACAAACTGGTGCGCAGCCTGTATATGACTCCGTTGCCGGCGTGAACTGGATAACTTGGAACTCCAACCAATGGGTATCTTTCGATAATGCCCGCACATATCAACAAAAGCGTGACCTTGCCAATTCCCGCGGTCTGGGTGGTACGATGGTATGGGCGGCTGATCAGGACAACCAGAACCAGACCACCACATACTCCTCAGTTCCTCTTTCTCCCTTGTCTCTCCAGGACAAGTCAATCGTGTCCCAGCTGTCCGGAGGACTTCAGGCGACACTTGCCTGCTATTCGTCGCAGTGTGGCGATGGTTGTCGAATCGGATACAATGAGATTGCCAAAATGTCCGGTCAGACGGGTTCGCTATCCACCAAGGACCAATGTAACTCGGGTCATCATCAATCCGAGTGCTGTATCGGAGGTACCAAGACTGGAAAATGCTCGTGGCGAGGTTATCGTGGCCACGGCTTACCGTGTTCTGGCGGATGCAATTCGAATGAGGTGCTGATCACCACCAACACCAATTCCATCACCAAGCATGGTTTGAAGACGCACGATTACACCTGTGCTGGTGGGTTCCAGAGCTTGTGCTGCGCTGGCTTTTCCGCCTCTTTGAATTCCCTCAATCCCTCATACATTGCCAGCTCGTTGGCTGCTCAGGCTACCAACGAAGCAAAGAAGAAAGCCAAGGAAGTGATTGACAAAGCAGCTGGACACTTGTGCGATGAGCTGGTTCCCGAGATTCTCGCTCCGATTGAGCTACTCGAGCTCGAGATCCCCGTTATTGGCGAGCTTGCCGATCTTGCCGAGACAATTGCGATTCCAGGTCTCATCGACCTCTGTAAGAAAGAGTTGGAAAAAGCCGGTAATGCTGTAATTGGCTGGAAGGGAACTTCGAGCACAGTCTCCCTAGCACAGCCCGCATCAACGCTCGCTCCAGAAGCTCTCTGCGCCCCTGAAACGTGCGGTACATCCGGGACGTGTCCGAACAAGAAACTGAGGAAGCGCTTCATCACAGATGGGAATGAAGTCGAAGCCAATAACCGACATCTCCGCCGCGATGGCACCGGACTCTTCGCCCGCGCTGGCACACCACTAGATGCGCCATCAGGATCCCAATACGACAGATGGTTCTCCGCCGTGTTCGAATCATCTCGCACCGCAGAAGTCCTAGTCTCTGAAGTCCAAGGTGCAAATGGGGAAGCCTCCTCGGACGTCGAAGGCTTCTTCACCCAGCCCTTCTTCATCGGCGTCCAAGGCCTCTATGGATGTGCTTCCCTAGTCGTCGTCTCCCACTCCGGAGCATACCTCACTCACTTCTGGGAGAAGCCGAATTTCTCACGCTCCGACACCTCAACCTCCCTCAACTCTAATTTCAGAAACAACATCCTCAAACCCCTCACGGGCTCCAGCAAATTCGAAGGTTTCGCCGGCATCAAAGACCTCCCCGCGGGATGGTTCACGGGCTCCGACACCAAGATCGCCCTTGTGGTGCCCACGAATCGAGAAGCGTCCAGTTACCGGTACCCTGTTGACAATGCCGCCATCATCAATGCCGTGGCACAGAGTCTCGGAGTCGCGGCGAGCAGTATCCTGACGGTTCCGTATGATAATAATGCGGAGGATTCCACCAACATGGGGATTGCGGCCGGGAAGGTGGCGTTGACGTATGGGAATAACATCGATGGGTCGCATGCGGCGTATCAGGTGTATATTGGTTCGCCGACGAATGGGCAGGGGAACTTGATTTTTAAGGATCAGTGGGTTAGGGGAAGTAATCAGTGAGCAGGATTAGGGATCTCGTTTTTCTCTAGCGATGCTTGGAGGGAAAATGGAAGGATGGCCTTGCGAATACTTTGAGGGAAGTGGCAACATGTGGGCTCGTCTCTTCTCGTCATCTTGTGGGCAGGAAGAAAGATATGGAATTCCATTGGGTGACGTTTGCCAGGAGATGTTGGAACGCCAGCCGAAATATCTGGATGTTAGGGAGCAAAATATGAAACAACCGTGTTTCGTATACAATGTTACTATAGAGGATGACCCGGCGCCGCTAAGAAGCCGGTGAAAGTCCGTTTCTAGGAGCCAAAAAAGACCAAAAAAAGATGAGACGGACATTCAACATTTGGGATTCCCCAGTGGTCACCCACCTGAGTACTGATCAAATGATTACATGGTTCAATAGGCCAGAGCGGACGGGATGGCTTGCTTTCATGCATCTATGGTCGAATGTGCCGACACTTTAGCTAGACCGGTATATGAAAATTCTCAACACACAGCCGCCATTGAGCTTCCAAACTCTACCAATCAATCGCAGACCAGGGAGTGCATAGACTTGCAGAGGCTCTACTCGGCGCCAAGAAAGTCCACATTGCTTGAACGTAGTGAACGATAACTTGTCGCTTGTTCGATTTGCCATTTCTTAAGGCTCATGTCTTCAACGCCCCGGGAACGAGTCGTCTCCCTCATTGGATTCACATGTCGCAGTACATGGTCAAGAGAGAGCGACGCAGTACTACTGCCTCCCGGCTGTGCGAAAGGAGGTTTCTTCGGGATGTCTGGGTTCTGGAAGCCACGTTTTCGCAGGCATGTGGGAAATCACCGGCCTTGGCGCAACTACAACAACCGGCGAAAATGTGTTGAAGTCGAGGAAGGATGCAAAATCATAGATACTTCCCAGTTTCTRGAGTCCAGCTCAACGCAATCAAGCTCGACTGCTTTAGCATTGCGCAACTCTGACTTAACAATCTGCAGAGATGTATTTCTGATAGTGATCCTCTACAYACCCCGAACTCACTCAAATGCTAACCAAATATATAAGTGACAGGGAGGAACTTATAATCGAGCACGTGTGTACATTCTACGGTCAGCGATCGGAGTTGCTGAGCGAGCCTATATTGATGAACTCCTTCAACCTGATGCCTCCTGTTAGGATATCTTGCATGGGCGTCGGACTCCGTATCGGGCTTCAGCCACTAAAGTTGGACGCCGTAACTCGTGGCGTCCAGGATCGTCACCTCAAGATGATGATGTTTTTGGACTTGAGGTACGGAGCCAGCGGACCAATGGGAATAACGTTCTATAGACCTAATGAGTCCTTCGCCGACGTCCTGTGCTAGAGGTGGTGTCAATCCGACCTTTTWKCGGTGTGATATCAGCATTAGCGTGGCTGACAAGCTGTGGAACTCGGTCGATGAGCTAGTGACAGATTCTGCCATGTAGCGATGCAACGAGCTGGCCATTGATCCTCCTTCTGAGCTTAGGACCGGATCTCCATGGAAACCCAATGCTCAAAGTCTTTGGCATGCCAACAACAAGAGTCGAGGTAGCATAAAGAGGCTCCAGTAGAAGTTCTTCGAGAAAAGACTATTGGCTTTCTTGCATGAGCCAAAGCCGGTCCTCATGGACAGGTCAGGAGAGGAGCCCCTGAGATGGACGCAAGGCAATATCACCCGGCACACTGGAGCATGACTGCATAGGCAGGTCAAGGGATATATATATACGCCTACACATCTTGCTGTTTGTTCCAGGAAACTCATCATCCAAGCATTGATCATCCAAGCAATTCCGCCGAACAGCCTTACTATCGAAACTACTACATCTCGCAATGAAGGGCTCACTTTACTTCCTTCTCTCCTTGGCTGCAATGGCGTTGGCTGTCCGTAAGTCGTGTCACACTTTCCGCATCGATGTCGATTGTAACTTACACCGCCCTCTCTAGCCAACGTCGCTGTCCGAGACGACGGATACTCTGTTAATCGTCGAGCTCTGAAAGGACTCAGTAGTAAGTTGGAACTCCCTGGTAGCATTGTTACTCCTATCCAAACGAGAAACTGACAGTCACGGCAGTTGTATGCAGGTTCGACAGCGAATGTATCAGCGGTTGTTGCGACGCTGTTTGTCAACACCCCGAACACTGCGATTGATGCACGTTCGTATTGTTGATTCTACTGGGAGGCCATCTAGGTAGGACTCAATCAGGAACGGATGGGCGAGAGTGCTTGTGAGGTGGAGAACAATGAAAGGGTCCTTGAGAAGAATGATTAGAAGGACAGATCATAGATCCGATCTCAATCTAGGGACCCATGACTTCCTCTGCCTTCTCAATCCCTGCGTCTTTCGATTGGCTTTTCCATCGGAGCTCTTTTCTGCGGAGTTTTTCCTGACCGAGCCTCCGCCGTCCGAACAGATGATCTTCAACGCTCGATGTGGGGAGTTTTTGCATAGAAGGGTCGTTGCTCTCACTTAGCCTTATAGATGCAAGCAGCCTCCGTGTACTCTATTGCGCTGCCTTCGGAATCTGGCCATGCACATTCGTACCTGCATCTTGTAATCACAGCTCCTCCGCCATCGCCTCAATCCCTCTAGTAGGCGAAGCATCACGTCTCGGACCGAGTAGTAGTGGTTGTCGATGCAGTGCTGGCTACCGGGGAAACTCTCTCTGCTGTGCTGCAACTTCTCACCCACGCCGGAGTAAGCGCCGAAAGCATAACAGTCTTGGTTGTGGCCGACTTCCCGTCCATTGCGGTCGGTGACCCATGGAGGATTGTCCGGCATTGGATAGTAGGCACCTCTTTGCCATGGAAGAAGCTACTCAACTGTCCAGGGCTTTGACAGTCCCGCTGACCCCTATTCCGAGCATCAAGTACCTTAGTCGGAGAGACGATAGAGCGTGACCAAATCGAAAGAGGCAGTCTCAATTTGCCAGATCCGGATAAGAAGTGGTGGGACCTGGCGTCCAAAGCTTCCGATTTACCAACCCTTCTACCACGACGGCCAATTTCATATCGAAAGTCGCTATTGTCGGGCTACGTCTCGATGTAGCTTCCCAAACAACAAGGCAAATTTATGAGATACGGCCGGAAATGGTGGCAAGCTCATCACTAGAGCACTGCCCAAGATTGGCAAATACACAAAATGACTTCCATCTCGCGGACTGAAAGCAAGACCTAGCTTACCCGAGGGATCGTCGTCAAGAAAGTCAATTATACGGAGCCCAAGATCGTCACTGAAGCTCTGATCAAGATGCTTGAAGGAAAACAATGATGGCTCGACCATGAACGGTCAACTTGAAAAAGAATATGCACGACACAACACCTCAGATTGTCGCTGGTTTATTAAACATCTATCATGATCTATCCGTAACTCGACCGTATGATACGGTACACAGGCCCTCAACAAGCGTCATACWTGCGCACATGTTTCTTTTCATGGCAAGCAGCATCAGTTCTGGTAGGTGCAAAGCTTGTACGAGACATCGTCGAATGCGACAAGCTCAAGGACAGACAGGATGCCCTGGTTGATCACAGAGACATAGTCAAGGTTGGTGAAGGCGGCAGACAGCGTAGCGAGGTGCATCTCCGAAGCCAGAAGGGAATCCGGAGCGAAAGAGAAGTCCTGAGTAGCGACCTGTGCACCGTTGCGGAAACCAGCAACGGTGATGCTGCAAGAGGTGGGAACGCTGACAATGCTGGTCGAATCGGCCAAGACGCAACCGAAGTAGAAACTCTGCAGGTCTACGTAGTCAACACCGTTGGCGTATAGGAAGGGTTTGCCTTGGGTGAGGAGGTTGACGGGCCCGAAGCCAGCGCCCTGGGAACCGGAGTGTGCGCTCAGACCGAGGAGAGGTGGGTCTCCGAGGCCAACGAGGCTGAGAGACGAATAGTCGATTCCCTTGTAGAGACCAAGCTGGGTCACGCTGACGAGGTTGAGGAGCTCCAGGGAGACATCATCGAACTGTGCATGATGGTTAGTATGACGATCGAGATCAAGGGTGGATTGCGCTCTTACGTTGGCAGTGATGGAGGTGCATGAAGGTGTAGCCTTGGCTGTCTGGGTAACCGTGGCAGTGGTGGTCTTCGTGGCGGTCTTCGTGGCGGTCTTGGTGAGTGTGACCGACTTGGTAGCACAGTATGTGGGTGCGGGTTTGCCGTATGCGGGTGCCGGTGCGCCGTATGCAGGTGCAGGTGCGCCGTATCCAGGAGCAGCGAGCACGGTAGACGCGAAGCCCAAGACGGGGAGAACGGTTGACAAGAACTGCATGTTGATTGACAATAGAGTGAGTGTGAGTTGAGAGGATGTTGGATGTTCGTGCCAGACAGAATCTGAGGAGGTCTCTCACTAGTTCTATATGAACTCCAGCGAGCTGCAACATGTCGGTCTAGATTGCAACATCCTCCATGAGTGGAACTCTCAACATCGCTTCCGCTACCTACTGTGCTGTTAGCTTTCCCCATGGTACCATCTGACGAATGAAGTCTGTAGAGCAGACGGGACGGGGATCTACCCTTTCGACTCCAATACGCCACACTGGACTAGCCCACGTCGCCCTAGAGGCACATTTCCTATGTTTCAGATGCACGAGGGGGCGGTATACGAAACCTTCTTTCCTCGAGCTTGCTGCTGCGGTGCCAGTTCGAGTTTCCAGCAAGTATTTCCGCTATGGAGCCACGCCTGATGCTCCAAGGTCTGAAATTTTTGAGGCCATATTCACGGGATGCGAGCGGCTCTTTGGCTGGTGTGAAGGTGGAATCCCGACGCTTTGAGCGCATCGTGTTAAGCGTGTATAAGGGGTGGCAGTACGAGTCAGACCAGCGGCACGGCATTCGGAAGTCGTMCGACGCTGCATCAAATGCCGTTGATGCTACATGATGCCGTCTTGTGGCATTTTTCACATGCGAATGCGGCTGATGTTGATGTGGGCTGTTCAAACTTTAGCAAATTGGCGGATCAAAATATCTAGGGGCAGACACAGCTCGAGCAGCCCCTTACTACTCAAATGGGGGGGGACACTAAATACGATACCATCCAACATTGCACATCTTAATGTTAGAGACGCCTTTTTCTCGCCATGACATCCTTATCTTGACTGCGTCGGAAGCAGAGGTTCAAGTATGCTTTAGGCCAGGCGGCGCCACACACCTCCTTTCCCTTCTCCACATGCGGTACGGCGAGTACCGAAATAGCGACGCCACACGTGGTAGATCGTCGACTCAAAGGGGACGTCGCATCTTGAGATTGACTCGTGTGTACGAAAATCTTAGGGTGCGATCGGGTCGATCAAAAGCCTATTCGCCTAGTGGTATCTGGGTTGTTTGACGAACGCTAGACTTCAGTAAGCTTTCTGCAGAGCCCTGATTCGCGGTATGCAAGGCATTTCTTGGCCAGAATTGTAGATGGCATACGTCCGTCTCGTCGCCCGCCACATCAGGGACTCTAACACGATCAATCGGCCGTTCTGATAACATGATAACCGGCGTAGATAGTGCCGTCAGGACTTTTAAGAAGTACCCATGTAAGATGACGTTGATCGAATGGAACGTAACGGTCGTGTCAGGCACGTGCGTATCTATGCCGTTCGGACCAGACACCGCCGTCGGGACTTGGTACATCGATCTCGTTCTAGTCGGGAGGCGGGACTCGGGAGCCGCGTGCGATATGCGTGATGGTCGAATAGGCGACCGCATGCATGAGAGAGTTGGCATCATTTACATCACCCGGAAACACCCGACCACGCCTGGAAGGCACTTTTGCTATACGACCGGCTTCCAAAGRGGCTGCTTGGTTGGCATAGATGGTTTGCATGCCCTTGGATGACAAAGACCGATGGTACCTCGTTACTCTGGTTTCGTATTGCAGCGAAATCTTGCAGCCGGGTCAGACTGGCTAATGGCACGATGCTAAGAGGAGTCGACTAGACTTCTACTTCTAGACCTGGTCTCTCTGCGGTGTTCTGGCGATAACGTCCTGGTTCACCTAGGCAAATGCCGTCATCAGGTCCAATGAAATGTAAATCCCATGAGTCAGGTGTATAGGAGATGCCATGACATGGGGAGAATATTGGCCTTGCAGAATGACAGCTGGGCTATCCTTTTATCGAAGTTGTACTTATCGGAACCGTTGTCACAAACCTCGATTATATGCCTCCTCGAATGCTCCCCCGAATATGATGCCTTCATCAATTCCACTCTCTTGAAAGCCTTGCTTCGTAATGTCGGTCAAGTTCACTCCGGTAGGTTTCTTCAGTAGACCGATGTGAAATTGACCATTCCCAGTCAGATCATTGGCAACAGCACCACCCTGTGGTACTAGCTCCTCATTGTCGATACTGTAGTAGACCTGCAATACATTCTGAGAGAAGTCGAGGAGGAGTGCGACATTATGCCACACGCCGTTCGCAAAGGGTGTCTTCCAGATTGTCCTCTGCGGCTCTGCATCATTCGAGCGCAGCCATAGCTGTTCCGCCTCTTCTGCTGTTGTCTTGTTATTCCCATCGCCGAACAAGGTTCCTGTGCCTAGAATGAACTGATTGTGGCTGAAGTCCCGAGACTCCAGCCAAAACAGATAGTACTCATGAGAGTAATTGAGTTGCCGACTCTCGTCCCGCCTGACTGATAAGTGCCACATTTGCACCCCCGATGTGCTGGCGTTGACCGGTATAGCATTGTTCTGTGGAAGGAGCTCGGTGCGTCGGAATCCAGTCTGTTTGTTGGTCGCGGACGGGGCGAAGATGGAATTATCGTTCAAAGTCACTTCAACCGCTTTGTATTGGGTTCCGTCGTTGAGCGAGGGAGGGATGGTAGGAAACTTCAAGACTTCTGCGAAAGTTTGGTTCTGGCCAAGAACGGAGGTAGGGCTGAATGGAAGCACGCCTTGGTCAACATCCTGCCCAGTCGTATTCAGTGGTATCCGAGCTTCGAGGGTGATGGAACGGCCGGTACAGCAGTCCGTAAGGCTGGTGGCTGATGCTGCTACCAGCACAGATGCGAAGTAAATGTAGCCGAGCATCTGGATAGCTGTATATACATGTGATGTTCGTAAGCGTGAGGAGAAGGCTGTTGTCGAGCGAATGTTGAATAAGGTTTCGACCTGGCAGGGGATCCCTGAGGGAATCCAGACATAATTTCATCATCTCGCCCCTTTTTAAAGAATTCGCCCCCTTCCACAAGCTTGTGGCTCAAGACTTCTACAGTATAGCCAAACCAGGAGCAGAAAGGTGAATGTAACCATGTATAGCTCTCTGCGCCCAGAGCATCCGTTCCTACAATCTCTGTCACGCATACGGGAATGGCCGAAAAACTTGCAGGGTATCTCACAGCCAATGTGCGTAAAGATTCCAAGCATCCATAGCTCCTATTAGCTTGAGTTTTTTGATATGGAAAACGGAATATTCCCGTATGCATGACAAATATTGTAGAGTGCCGTTCACTTCGGCGCTCGGGAAAGAGTTGTTCCGGTGCGAGGCCGAGCCAGCAGACATAGGTGCACTCGGTAAGGCGATGGCAAGAGGAAGAGAAAGCTCTATCAATATGAACCTTTGGCTTAGATCTTCAATATCGATAGCACAGAAACCCATTTTCCGTATCCATCACCGCCGACACARCGATGTCTTCGGCAAAGTCACCGAACATAAGCATATCATTGACGGTTGCATTTCCCGTCGAATTGAACATGTGTTTCCCCTGGTATAGAGTCGATCTAGTAGGCCATGCTTGCTTCTGCCAGAGCCACCACATGCGATCCAATTGTGCATGATGCACAAAGAATAGTGGATCTGTAAAATGCGTCAGATGAGCCATCGTTGAGATGGGCGGGAAACACGACATTTCGCCGTAACCGTACCATTCGCTGCTGTCATGGCTTTGAAGTCCCAATTTACAGATTGATGTATAGAACCATGCAAGTATTTCTCCAAATCCCGAACGAATGTGTCGTATGTGGGTTTTCGTAGAATCTGCCCTATCTTCTCAGGCTTGTAAGCTTCTCCAGACAGACGGCCCGCTGCATTACCATCGTGGAAGTCCCGGGAGAGACAGTGCTCGATGAGCGTGTGGTTGTACAAGATGGGGCGGAGGTGTGCGAATGGTCCGTCAACGACACAGTGTCCTTCGCCTGCTGTTTCTGGGCTTGTAGGATCCACATTACCCCCGAAACCTTCCTTGCTGTCCCAGATTGACGAGTTTGCTAAATCCATCCAGTCCAGAGACCAATCCCAGAAGCTACGAGTCGATAACTGTGTCAGCCGAAAAGCTTTGCGCAGAGATCTCATTTACGTACGGGATACTACCGGTGAAGCCAGCATGTCTTAGAGAGCTTTCTCATATAGGATCAAGGTATATCGATGCCACGGTAAGAAAGATGCGGATCGGTGGACTATTTTATCCTTTACGTCAACAGAGAACACCGTGAGAAGACACATCCACTTACACATCCGACTGATTGCTCCGTGTAGGAGGGCAAAATCGTCGTAAATTGTTCCATTCTCTCGCCGCTGGGAAGTAACTTGAGCCAACACATTTACCGCACGTATAAACTCCAACCTTTCACCCGAAGTGAACGCACGCCATTCGCGGCGTATCGAGGGACTTTGACATGTCGTCGCCTGCGCAGGCCGATAAAGTTGTGCAACAGATCCAGCGACCAAGATCAGAGTAACGATGATCACGACTGTATGGAGAGCGGAGGATTGAGTATACCGTGCGTTCGGTCTGTGAGAGACCCCTTGATCAACATCTTACAAGCGGCATAGACAATACTGATCGAGCGACATACCGATCCGTTGGTCTCTCCTGAATCTGAAATGTCTTCTGTAAGAGCAAAGTAAGTTGGTTTAAAGGTCTTTATGTTGTCCAGACGCATGCTTGGAATGTACAAAAAAGAGGGGTTTCCAGGGATTGAAGTCGTCAGGGGAAGATGAATATTATTCCGTGAGATGGACTGATGGTTCATCAACCCAGACCCGATCCCAAACACCCCGGCGACAAGAACAAAGGGTCCCTACTAACGCCTTTGACACAATCTAGAACGCTGGATATTCTTAACGTGCTCATTTCCAAGGGTTGGGAGGATACCGTGGACTTTGGCGACACCACGGTCATTGAAATCAACAAACCGGCAGTAGTCTGTGTATGGGCGTTTTCTTATCGACTCTCACTACAATAGATCTCCCGGTTCTATTCTGTAGACTACTACAAGAAAGAACTTGTGATTGCTTGATTGACTGCCTACAAAGCGAGTGAAATGATCCTCCTTGTATGCCCTGCTAGAATCTTTCCTCTAAGCCCCTGATTACAGATCCAAGTGAGTGAATGAATCTTCATTCACCGTTATCTCAAGATCTGCGATCCTCCGACGATCTGAGTTAGGACCTCGTTACGCTACTTGTTGACCTAGTTAACGTAGTGCTCCACTGTGGAGTCACGCTTGTCGACCCAGATATGATAGTCGTCCACAGAGCCAGGTACCGCATTCGGCTAGTCGCTTATTAGATGAAATGCACAACTGAATACATCGGGATCCGGAGACGGCATACCTGTGAGACCGGAGCGGCAAAGATCACGGCTGGGATACTAGCGGCGATGGCGAAGATGGAGAGATACTTCATTCTTGCAAGAACTGGATTGAGGAAGCAAGCTGTAGGATACCTACTAGTGACTACAAGCCCTAGTCTTGGCATGAACCGTCTGATATAGCCCCACATATCTTGTATCTCCCCTTGTCGACCATGCCTTTGCACGCTACCATCAAGCACTACGGCCCGTCATTTAGCGGGCCTAGTAGGTCCCTTCAAATTGATAAGTCCACTTTTTGTTTGTTGGTTGACGACACTTTGCCAACCAACATTGGACTAATGGCATTCCCGAGGTGTGGCCGTAAGCGTTGCAACACACAACAGGGTTCTTGAATCCTTTGCAGCACGGTCTTGAATCCTTTGCCACACACAACAACAGGTTTCTTGAATCCTTTGCGGCATGGTCTTGAATCCTTTGCAGTATGGTCTTGAATCCTTTGTAACATGGTATTGCATCCTTCGTAACATGGTATCAAATCCCTCTCAACTGGAAGCACGTAGCTCGTGGTCTGTGTCAATCCTGCGCAAGCCTATAAAGTGATCCTCCCCGTCTTTCCAGAACACGCTCTACAAACACACACATCCACTTTCTTCCATTACACCGCAGCAATGGTCTCATTCTCTTGGTTCGTCGCAGCTGGCTTGTCCCTCCTCGCCAATCTCGCCTATGGAGCTACCCCGGATTACTGCATTCCCCTCGAGAGTGGAACAGGGCAGTTCGRGGCAGGATTCTATTATATCGATCTATCCCAGGGTGAGTGACACTATAGTCTACATTACACCAACACCTTACTGATCTCAAGTGCAGACTGCATAAACGCCGGCATCGGCGACCAGTGCTGCATGATATTTCCGAAAAGTAACTACCCTAACTCGGTCTGGACAGAGGACGATCGAAATGACCTGTTATACGTTATCTCCGAACAGTCGACGAAGACGGGAAGGTTTAAGGACACGTCTAAGGGAAGATGGAGGGCGCATTGGAATTTAGTGGTTTTTGCAGCAAACGACTTAATTCCGAGTGAACTTCTCCAAGTCTGGTTCCACACGATTCAGGGCTTTAAATTGGAGGAGACTAATGCTATTCACGATATCGTGTTGAACTTCGCTGGAAACGGTATTAGCAACTACATGACGATCAAAAACTACGATTGATCCCGTCGAGAGGCATGTAGTCAGGCTTCGATCGGCTTCGGAAGCAAGATAAGGAAGGCATCAATGGCGATGGATCAAGTTGTGCAGATAGAAATCATTCAATGTACGGCCGGGCGGGCCTGTAGATAGTTCAGTTAATTGATGGCGAGGAAGTCTGGTCTTCTTCAATTTCTGCACGGGTGAAAGGAAAAGGCGCACGTTTTGTGATCGCGTTCCTCGACAGCATTGATTCCAAGCTTGGAGTGACCTACACTTTCTTCCAGCCACTCGCTCGGCACGATCTTACTTCACTCCTGAACGGCTCTGTTGATGCAAAGAGGCCGGTACTTGGTGAACTCTCCCTGCAGGCCATGAAGGGTGTTGGCGCCCTCCACCAAGCTGGGTACATGTACCGCGACCTCAAACCGGCTAATCTTGGAGTGTACAGTATCGGTCCCCGCACGCCGTCTTCGTTCTGGATTTGGGCTCTTCGATCTACGTCGGCGAAGAAGGCAATCTGACTCCATCTCCAGGATGCTTCGGCTCGATCGGGTTCATCGCTCCTGGTCCTGATGTTCTTCACCTYGCGTTCCCTCTKCAGCGGTATCAAGGTCCACTGCGGCGGGATATTTCAGCCGACTCGCTTGTTCCGTGTCATGCATGTTYAGTGCAACTTCCCCGAGATGGCGAAGATGGCGGAGGGGGCAAGATCATGAAGAAACGGAGAGATGGAGGAAAGACCACGGGTTTCTGAGGAGCCATCTTACCTACGTTCMGCCTTCGTCAGTCAGTCAGGCTGGGTCATGTGCAAATGGATCAAGTTGTCGTCCATCCCACCATCCATACCGCAGTAGATAGATGCTTATCGTCATAAGGCGGTGGGCATCTGCGCCTGCGAGTCGCGCCCGTGGATGACTGGCGCGCCAAAAGGGCGATCGACCCACTTGCACCTGTGAAGGGAAGGGTCGACGTGGGATATCGACGCACAAGATGGAGGTGAGGTGACCAGCATGACGCAGGTGCGGAGGTGAGGTCCGAACCGAGGAGTGCTCCCGTCGCCGGTCCGTCCCGGCTCGAACCAGATCAAATTCGCAATCAAATTGAATCAATTGAGCCGATTGATTCGATCCTCGGTGAGAACGGCCCGCGCGCCTTCATCCCGTGCGCCCCACTTCCTGCCCGCATCACATCACCCCAAGGCGAGGTACCTCGACCCACGTCAAGCACGTCGGCGTTCCGCGCCAACGGGGACAGACAAGATTGCTCCAAGCGAAGCGTCAGCTATACCATAGCTGAATTGGAAGGCCGGAAGAAGCAATGTCGACGAAGTGGACGGCTGTAGCATTCGCCGTCTTTTGCCCCCAGTTTGCATGAAAGCACCCATCAATTGTGTGTCCACTAGCGGATGGCATAGAACTACGTACCTACAGAGCACGCCCGATCCATCTTGCGCCACGTCCAGACGTATGCAGGCGACCCGGCGTCTATTCAATGGGCCAAGTACGCCTTCAAGTGATCCATATCCACTTTACTTCTTCCCAAGACGATCCCGATGATTCAAAGTCCGACTCGTGTTGTTCCCGAAGTGGATACACTTCTACAGTGCTCCCTCCATAGGCCGGAGCTCGTGCGAATCTTTCACGTGCCGAGGTTCAAGCAATGCTTGGAAATTGTCCGGACTTGGAGGGGGGTGCGGGAGGTGGAGAGGGCGTTGGACATTGGCTGCGGACAGGGAGATTTTTGCCTCGCCCTGGCATTGCGAATGGGCCCACGGGGACATGTCACGGCCATTTATCCTGCACGACCCGACTACGGCAACCCCTTCACTATGCAAGAAGCCCACGAGCACACCCGAAAGTCCATGCTCGGCCCGCGCATCTCCTGCCACCCACTCGACACCCCATCCTTCTTGGCAACATTGGCCGAACAACCCGGTAAACATACCACCTTCTCCACGTCCCCGCGGTAAAGACGGCAGCCATGGTACATCGCTGCAAGAAACCGGGCGTTCCGGGTCTCAGAGAACAGAATGTGTGTGCGGGCATAGATCAGCCGTCCATCATGGCAGCCGCCACTAGTGCCGGCTTCACTCTGGTCAAAGAGACCTTGGAGCATCCCGATAATGATGTGCTGCTAGAGGGTCGTTTCGAGGTGGATTATGTGCTGGGAGATCATTCCCAACAGTGCCTCCAGGAGACGGGCTGCAGCCGAGAGCAAGAGGCGGAGATTCAGGCTTTCGTGCAGCGGCTACGCTACGAAGCCAAGCGGGCAAGAGCCCAGGTTATGGCGGCCATTGATGTATGGTGCGCAGTGTTCGAGTTGGAACGTTACGATCCAGTGCAGGACATCTTCACCACCACGTTCCCGCCTCTTTGTCGGTAAATGTACTTTTCTTCCGCCCGAACTCATTCAAACAGCGTGCTGTGTATGTTGTGCCCCTGTCCTGACAGCACCGTCTCCCAATTGCACGACGAAGCGCCGGCGTCTATGATCCGCCAGCACTCATTGACCCAGAGTCTGATGATCTGGTACTCAGCGAGCTCTCGGGTATAGTGGGTTTCTCAAGTATTTGACCACAAACCAAGACCTCGCGTCGTCGTAGTATCTCATCTGTTCTCTCTATCAGGGATCATCGCATATCGAGGCAATCGAGGTCAGAAAACCGACTACGAAGTGCGGCTCGATATAATTTACGGGCTGCAGGGGAAGAAACAGCGATGAGGATGAAGCTAGAGGCACTTATGCTTACGAGAGCAGTGGAGATGACCATAACGAAAAGTGAAAAGGCATGATGCTGACGACGAGCGGGCACTATCTGATGACGAGAACGATGACGACTGGGCGTGACAGTCGCCCCCTGAGGGCAATGGAAGAAGATTGACCGACCAGATGTACAGCAACCTCAGTCATCAGATTCCGATATTGGCGATGTATCTTCGATAAAATGGTCATTTTGGCATGCACTGAAGAGCTCTGGAGAAGCAAAATCGTTCATTCAGTAGCGAAAATGCTTCGGCGAAAGTTGAAGAAAAAAGTTGAGCTGCAATCCTCATATTTTGGTCTCCAACGACTTCGTGATTTTCCTGGACGATAAAACTGGCAAAAACCAAGCAATCGAGTCATTTTTTGAAGATTCAATATCAGCTCACTGGTTCTTTCTAGACATGGTTTCCGCACATGGTATCATCAACAATCAGGCCGTCCCTCTCTTGGGAGAACCCGGTCCTGGATTCCGGGATCTTCAAGCGAGTTCGGTGAACTCATACAATCGAAGGAGCACTGAGCCTTCTTTGCCTGTTCGTCCTCGAGGCTCCAGATCCGGAGCTTGAGCGGTTCATTTCAGCTCAGGCGTCAGCGCCGCAGGTCGAAAGAGAGCTGTTGGAGGTAAGCTAGCCACGAATTGGTCGTGCAAGAAAGCAGCACATCTCACTGTATTATTCGATCTACGATATGTCGTTAAAGTGAGTTTGGTTGATCCGATCAAACTCTAGGGCCGTATTAATTACATCCGGWGCCGACGCTCTTTCACAGGTGCACTAGGTGAGAGTGTGATTGCCGGATGTTGAGTACAAGTTTATGATTGATATAATCGAAGCAAAACCAACGGCTGCCGCTAAGAACCTGTTCAAGGACGTTCAACGGCTAATATGTGTGCTCGCTTCAGCGGTTTTTCACGATTCCTCACTCTCAAAACAAAATTCAACGGTCCGCCCGTTGTGGGAATCCCCCATCCGGACTCTCTCTGGTACTTACTCAACGCTCTGTGATATGCATAGTAAATACGGGCAAAAAGATCAACATCAAGAGCTTCAAGACCGTACATAAAGAGCGTGAAAGAGACGAGCAAACAACACAAAAAACAACCTCCAACCGMCCCGACCACGATGAAATTCTCTCTCAGCTTGACGACCCTCCTGATCTGCGCTATTCACACCCTTTTACGCCATCGCACAATGCGGCGGGGAACAGTTTTCTGCGTGCTGCACTACTGCTGAAAGTGTTAGCGAGATGCGGCGTCGTAAGTGTGCCGCCTAGAGAAAAGGACTCACCACGATCTGACTAGTCTCTTAGCAAGCCTTCCTACGCTTCTGGGAATTGGAATTGGACGTAGAATGCGCTCTTACTGGACGAACTGCATGCTGTTGTTACACTGAGACTGAGACTTTTAGAGGGGTAAAGGAAAGGTCCAGGACGATATGCGGAATCGTATGAGAATACTCTAGCTACGTCGATTGTGGATATGCAGCGAGCAAAGCATTGGAGAGGTTGATGAAGAATGGGGACATTATATGGCATGGAGGAATGCAAGATGATCTGGAAATTCGATGCTCAAAAAGTGAGCTTACCGTTCCGGCTCCAACAAGCTATAAGTTTAATACCCAAGACAATGATGACTTTTGATCGGGCGGTGTCTAGTCCGAGACCATGGCCTTTTACAGATGCGTGTGGGCACCTCCGTTTGTATTTGTCTTTCCATACCCAGGTGAAATGCCTTTTGCCCATCACTGTAAGCAAATCCAACTGCATCGTCTTCCTCGATCTCACCCCCAAGGCCTCCCACGTTCGATTCATTCATCTTACGGTCCCAGTGATTTTAAAGAGAAAGGGCTCAGACCTCAGCCTCGCCTCGTGGTTGGCCGCAATATTCCCAAAGTCAAAACTCTTGGGATGGAATGTCTTCATCGTCGCCTCTCCACTCGGAGGAAATATCTGGGCATTCTGATCGCTGTTGTTGCCTGCAAGAGCCTTGGAAACATCACAGGAGTATTCCCACCCTTCGCTGGATCGGTAGCGCAAATCCTGATCGCAAGTGTCGGGATTGAATCTCTGCAAATGCTGCGCGACCGTGATCGTGTCCGTGCCGCCTACCGTCGGTGCGGGATGGATACCGTCGGTGGTGTCTGGGGCATTGATTTCGAAGAATCCGATTTGGGGACTGTCAAAAGAAGTGAGTCCTGGTTCGCAGAAGCGGCGTCCGTTGTAATTGGAATCATCCCCGTCCAAGTAGAAGATTTRCGTTTCGGACCAAGCCCCATTGGCAATCCTGTCCCGCGAGAAGTTGTTGATGGTCTCGATGATTTTGGCTCGCAGGCGGTAGGCGAGGCCGTTGATTTGAGTGCGGAACTCTTTCGTGATCACAGTGGCGGGATATCCAGGTAAGCTGGAATTGAAGTGTACAAGTTAGTGAATGTTTCACACATTAGAAAAAAAAAGGGGGGAAGGCTCCGGGGAGCCATTTCTGCCTTCCACACTTCAAATGACTTACTGGTTGTCCATTCTGTGCGTGTCGCACCAATCTTTGTTCGGATCGTTGTTGTCCACGTAGAAGAAGCTGGGATAGAGCTGGATCATCATACCAATGTCCTTTTCGGAGCCACCGCCACTCATTTTCTTGAAGGTTGAATCATACGCACGGGTTAAAAGGCCAGGCAACGCGTTCTCGATGATGTTGTCAGCCTCCTTCACGTAGCGGGAGCACTTTCCGAGGAAGTTGTTCAAATAGACGCAGTACTTCACAATCTTTCCGAAGAGGATATCGTTTCCGCCAATCGAAAGGGTCGCCAACTTGTAGGCCGTAGACCCTCCAAGCATGGGTAATTGGTTGTCAATGAGACCTTGTACCACATCTCCGGTGCACGCGTATCGCTCTGCCACCAGCTGGAAGTAGTTGGGTCGAATTGGTACCGTCAACTGGTAGGGATACGACCCTTGATTGCGAAGGCATGCTTCCGCGCCGGACTCTTGAGCCCTTTGTCCGGCACCTGGCCCCGCGGCATAGGAGTCACCCAGTGACACCCAGTTAAATATTAAAATCTGGCTGCTGGGGTTCACCTTGATTATCAATAGGCTCCAATGGCGGCGGGCCACCACCAGAGCCGGCGGGACAACGATCGGCGGGAGCGGGACACGATGGTGCACTGCTCCCGTCACGGTATTGCTCTGAGACGACCTTATTGCTCGAGTCACTCTCRAGTGCACCGTTGGTAGCTATGACTTTGTATCTGTACAATGAGACATTAGTCTCAAAGTYCTCTTGCAGTATGCTTGGCACTTACTCCCAGGTATGGACGCCAGGAAACTGAAAGTAAATATCAGTGCATGTGGTATCAGAGGTACCAACTTCACTAAACGTCCGGTTGCTGCTGGTATCGGTGGAGCGGCGGAGAACCGAATAGCCTCCGGAGCCTGCGACCAGATCCCAGGTCAGATGTACAATCGTTGCACTGCGAGGTGCTATCTGCAAGTTGGCTGGGGTCGAAGGCCGGGCATTGTTTGTCCGTATGGTCCTAGCAATAAACGGAAGTCCAGCACCAGCATAGTTAAAGGTCTCGATGGCAACAAAATAACGGTGGCCGGCCTTCAAGTTCTTGATCCGAGCGGGCGAGGCTTGAAAAGCTGCACCATCTACGAAAGAGCAAGGTGTGTCCAGGTCCCACCAATAGATCTGATAGTGTCGTATGGACTCACTATTGGGACCAGTTGGACGTTCCCAGGATACGCTCAGCCCGCCTTGTTCGGGCGAAGTAACAACGTTTGTCGGGGGGGGGCAGCAGTTGTAGGTCGAGCGGTTGCGCTGAGCCGCCCTGTACAACCACCCTTTCTGTTACCTGCGCTCGAGCATACCCGGAGTTCGTAACTGTGGGTATCACTATCAGCAGACTCGCCTTCCGAAATCGCGCGGGTAGTACGTACACGGAACCGTCGAACGCCCATCTTGAATCCCATCTATTGGACTTGACCTGTCCGGGAGAGAAGCGGTAGAACGAAAAGCCATCAATAGTGTACTCGACATCATATTCGTAAGCTCCAAACACTGCATACGGTTAGCGATGGACAGTACGGAGGAGAGCAGATTGCAAGGAAGACATGCCCTTGTCCCACGTCGCGGTCACACCCAGATCGGACGAGAAAACCTGAAAGTTGGACGGTGCTGGCAAGGGACGAGATGGTATCTGGCCAGGTACCTCAAGTGGCGATGAACCTATTGCTAGACCACTGACAAGAGCCCGGCTGAAAGCGCGAGCAATCTGGATTTTACCGTCAGCTTCGAGCCAGCGCTACGCTTGGGAGAATGATGTACCTGATATTCGCCGAGTTCGTTCTGGAGGGCAAAAAAAGAGGAACATGTTAGTCCATCACTGCTGCAACATGGATAGATTTGCATCGTTGGACTCACGGGGTGAAGTCCATCGTATGCCGCCGGACAATCTTGGCCAGAATTGGGACCGCACTCGTACTCCTCTCGAATTGGAGCCCAGTGTACCTACGACAGACAGGTCAATAGGGCATCACCATTGCATGAAATCGACGAAAGTGTCGAGAGTGGTCACCACGTACAGGAGATGACGAGGTGCTCCAACCTGGAACGGCATCCTTCAGCATCCGGTTGTACGAGTCTGTGTTGGTGACGAGGTCTTGTCGTCCTCCGATGAAGGTGCGTTGAGGAACGCTTCCTACAATGATCTTGATATCGGGCTTCGCGCGTCGAGCTTCGTCGATCAATGTTTTCCTATAGCATAGATAGTCAGTATTGATTGTGAGCATTGACGGACACATCTCACATGTTTACTAGTAGCCCGTCGTCGTCGCTGAAAAACCAGCCTAGATCATTGAAACCAAGCATAACGAGCTAAATCAAGTCAGGATCAATAAACGATGGTTCCAATGAATCCGACATACCATCACATCTGGAGGATATGCCGACACCACACCGTTGATGAGTCCTTTATCAACAGCTGCTGAACGTCCACTAATCGCAAAGTGATTCCAGATTCGTGTCAGTCGTCAACGCTCCATGAAGAGGCTGGGAAAGGATACTTCGCACCCTTTGAATCCGGCTGCTTGAGCCTCTGGGGCGTACTCGCCGTCCACATTGATCCGTGACGGTGACTTTCCGCCCTGGTCGTAGAAGTCGAGGCCTGGAGGCTTGACGGCCTCTGGAGGAGCCGCCGTTCTAGGATAAGGACCAACATAGTTCATGGCGATGTTTTGGCTTTGGAACCATTGCTCCAGTCGATACCTCCACGTAAAGTCACCTCATACCCGGTCAGCAAGGTCCTCGATTGGTGTGCGCGATACATACCTTCATTGCAGTGAGTCATGCTGTCACCAATGGCCAGGACCCTCAAGCCACTTTGTCTTTGCTCAACTTGTCCTGTGCCGTTGTTGCTTGGTGGGCTGATCGTTTCAAGGTAGCTGTCAAAGTCCGGTTCAGCGGTCGTTTGCTGTACGGCTGGAAAGAGTGCTCCGAGACGCCGAGCATGTTCTAGCTGTATCGTACGCTGGATGTCGACCGTCGAAGCTTCGATGGTCTCGTTCGTGGTGCTAGCCGTGCTGACTGCAGTTTCTGTAATGTTAGGAGGCAGCAAGACAGGGTTGGACACATTGGCCTGGAGGAGCTCTGGCAGAACGCGGGCTTCTTGCAAGACCGCATCCCTGAAGCTGTCGCCTTCTTGTCTTGGACGGTGATGGCTCTCGAGGGACAGCGCGTCGGAGAAGGAACAAGCGAATAGGTATAGTAACCCGAAGGCGAAACGCCGGTGGGTACGAATAGAGGCCATGTGTGCAACTGGGTGATCTGGTTCGATAGAGGGACTCCAAAGCCCTTCTTATCTGTTGACATGTTCAGGGCCCCGATTTGCTGCAGTGAGATTCACATACCTCCTAAAGAATGTTGAGTTCGCACGTGGGGAGGAGTTGCCGTGCTTCTGCTTCTTCGGATTGGTGGCAGTCGACAATGCCGATCTGCCCTCACTCGCCATGCTGGTGTAGGATCATGTCAATGCCTTGGTATTGCCATATCCGCCGCGAAGGTAACAAAAAGTCATCGTAGGACCAGTAACATCTCTGCGCCCAGAGGTGCCAAGAATAGATGGTGCCAACAATGGCCGACGCCTTCGAAACAGCAAGCTTTCTTCGTCCCGTGGCATGGTATTCTCCGCGAGCTTGAGCTAATGCAGCCATACCTGAGCTTCGCCGTAGGGAAACAGGTCAGAACGAGAGTTTCGTACGCTCTGAACAGGTAAGGCGTACGCCCCTAGCTCAAGCCATGGTCAGCACACTTTACAGTGGTCAGTTGTTATCACAAGCCCATCTGAACTGCTAGTTTTACTCATTCGTGCCGCGAAATCCTTCGGTGCTGTGATGGCTTAGGGCATGAGGTTGATATCTTCGAAAATCCTTCGGCGCTGTGGCACAAGGTCGATCGAGAATCTCTAAGCCTTGTGGGAGGTAGTGTTTGGGGGGAAAATACATCCTGTTCTCTACAATGTGGAGGTTAGGTGCAACACACACTTGGCATGAGATATACCATCGCCGTTCGGTTCGCCACTGTGCGAAATACGCAGGTTTGAGGCAGAACGGAATATAGTTCCTCTCGCCGCAGCTTGCGGAAGATACCTACCTAGGTAGAAAGGATTGTCATGGAGTGATAGATATCTCGGCATGTGCCGCACGTGGCGCTCCGAGGGAGGTTCGAGACTCCGCCCACGTGCACGGAAGGATTCCCACTAATTTAGGTAGCTCAAACTCAAAGTCGAGGGTGAAAGTGGCAGCCAGGATGCGGACAGGCGGAGTAGGTAAGTACATCTTCTGAGAGGATAATGAGAACAGCACCTCTAGCAAGTTCAGCCGACCTCGCTCCTCCAATACGACGATGAAGAGAACCAACACCGTCCAGCGCAGCTCGTTCGACTTTCCCGGACCTCGAGCAGTACGTTTCGAATTCCTCGAGCAAGATACCATCCAAATCACCATTCCCCCAACTAGCGACTGGCGAATGCCTGAGTACTGGAACTACCAACATCTCGACGCTCGGCAAATTACCAGCCTCAGCGGTCTCATCGTCGTATCCGTTGGATCGATCCACCACTCAGGCGGGGGAGGTCGCTATACTTCAGCTGGAGTCACGTTGAATTTCCAGACAAAGGAAAGGTATAGCTGGGGCCCAACCTCCGAGCAGAAGAAGACGGGTGGCGATCTAGTCGTGCTGTTGATCGCTAACGAAGCCCTCCATCGAAATGTCTACAGCGCGGAGCTGGACCGCGAGAGATTCCCTCGTTTGGATTCTACACCTCTCTGGCTGAGAGGCGTCTTCTCGTTCCTCTCGAAGACTTCTCCAAGAAGCTACGAGCGTCTCCTTTCCTTGACTTCGAGAATCCAGCGGACTATGACACTGTATGCTCACGATTACCACGAGGATCATGGACGGATCTGGTTTAGTCGGCTAAGGCTTTCCATTCTTCCTATAGACCCTGTGCCACGATGGGTGCACGATTGGGAAACGAGAAGCATGATTTGGATATCGAAAACGGTGGGCTCGGGATGTTATTGGGTAGGAAAATTGCTTCTAGGGATGAATGACTATTATGCGGAATATACGCCGTCGGCGGKGAGGAAAGCGATGGCTGAGATTGTGCAGACTTATGAGAAGTAATGGTTGCTTTTGCAGAAAGGATGAAGAGCMTACCGCATTACAGGAAGCTTTCAGCGTGTGGAAGTGAAGGAACGAGTGTAGTTGGCGCGTCGGCCGCTTCCAAGGAAATTCGATCGAGGTCAAGGTATGCGGCCTCTTCAAAGAGGTGTTGCTGCCCGGCAACAAATCGTTTGATAATGCGAGTGTCTTGGACGCAAGGTGGAAGAGATGATGCTTTGCTCTGTTTTTTCAATCGTGCACATCAACGCTAGAGGAGGAGTGATTGAGGATATGCGTGTGTCAGGAATGTTGTCACAACCATCTGGAATCTCACGGATGTAGGTTTAACGATGAGAACGAACGTTAWGTCATAGGTAGCAGTTGAAGTCAAAAGTGTTAAACTTGGTCATGGCGTTGTACATTGGCGCTAAGGTCTTAAGAGCTACAAAATTTTCACTTGCACGTTCTCTTCCAAAAAGCAGCAAAAAAATGAGATCTACATTCAACATTTGGGATTCCCCAGTGGTCACCCACCTGAGTACTGATCAAACGATTACATGGTTCAATAGGCCAGAGCGGACGGGATGGCTTGCNGGTCACCCACCTGAGTACTGATCAAACGATTACATGGTTCAATAGGCCAGAGCGGACGGGATGGCTTGCTTTCATGCATCTATGGTCGAATGTGCTCAAGAGTTGAAAACTGGAAATTATGATTGTAGATTTTTACCTCGACACTTGGCCCCGGTCGTTGCTACCTAGTCCCTCAATGTCAATGTCACAATCATACAGCTATAAGCAAACTTTACAGCTGACACATTCCAGGCGGAGAGTCAGACGATGAAGACTGGACGTCGATTCTAGGCGGAGCGAACAGCAGGTCACGATGATCGTAACCCTCTTTACCGATCATTCACAACATAGCATTTACTCGATTCTAGCATCTCGCTTTCTTGGCTACTCCGATCATTCCAGAGTATCGTTGACAAAGAACTCCTTTAGAGGCATGATTTCATTCAACCCACCTCCGAGATCTTGTAGTCATCAAACGTTCGATCATTGCGATCTAGCTCTTCACCTTCATAGATCAATCACTACCGATCAGCGAACAAACATAGAGTAGATGATGTGTGTCCCTTAGTCTGCAAGACCACATGAGCGGGAAAGACGTCTAGCATGATGTTGCTGCAAAGTAAGGGGCTCGTGAACGAGATCGGCAACATCTCAAGCGTGTACACCACGAAGAACCTTGTATCCTCTTACATCTCACATTCTTTGGCCATACGGTCCATGTGTCAGTCTATTCTTCTTCCCTTAGCGAGGGCTTTATTTTGACCAGTTGTGACCAAGCCCACGTTTCTGTGGCTTTTAGTGGTGGGTGGGTGGGTGGATGTTTCCAGGTTCTGGTGAACAAGTCTGCTGGGACTTCGATCCAGCCAAAGAAACATACAAAGCATAGAAAATGCCGGGCACCGCAACAAGTGGCAGATTCTCCAGAGCCAAGCACAGCAGACTAGATCAGGGGTTCCAGAATTTTGATTGTGTGGCGGGATTTTTCACTACACGACAGATTGGTAGCATGACGTGAGAGAACACAGCATGTTTCGACTTAACAGCTTCAAACCGAGTCTTGGGACGCATAATGACTTGAACATGAATTGCTACAAGCCTATCCGTTTTATCGATGCCCTTCTCCTCAAAACTTTCTCCAACCGCGCTCGATTCATCTTCGGAAACTCAAGAACAAGGTCTTCTCTCCCAGGAAAACCAGCTCTGAAACAAGCTTGTTGTTCAACAGCTCCGACTTTCGAATCTTCAGACGCTGGCCACTCACTGACACGCCCATAGCCTCCCCGATCAGTTCTTTGATCCGCCGAACACTATCGGAGGAATCCACATCCACCGTTATTTCTTTGGTCGTCTTTCCTCCATGAGTACGATGTCCTCTCTCCACCCGGATCACTATGATCATCTCGACGGGATGCAGGTGATATTGATGAAAGGTGTAGTTCTTGAGAAGGCGAAAGGATTGAAGGTCAGGTTTGATTGGAGGTGTGGTTGGTATGACCAGCGTGTTGTTGTTCCAATTCTTGTGATTTTAGAAGATACTCTCCAAAGCTGCGTCGAGTCGTCTCCTGTTAAGTGCCTCAGAAGGATTCGATTGCTGGGCAAACTCGAGCATCGAGTCATCACGGAAGATCAAGCTGTTTCTTATTTACTCCTTACCTTCTAAGGAGTGGAATTCATCTTCGCAGCAGTATAGATGAGGCTCTAGAATCCATAGGAGAACCGCGGTCTTAGCAGTGTTTGTCGGAGCAAGGATAACATCCCATCGCAAGCACAACAGCCCTTCCTTATTCACAGGGATCAATTGAGATTTGAGAGGAAACTGTTTGCATWTGGCGGGGCGGACATTCCATATGGCGCTACGAATATAGTAGCTGTGAGGAGTCTGGTTCACGAATATCAGATGACAGATGACAATTCTATGAAATATTGAGTCCTGCACGCATCTCAAATCCAAAAGTCCATGCCAAGCTTGTCAAACTCTAGCAAGTGAATGTAAGAAGAACGAAGCATTCACGATCTTTCCAGAATCTCACGCCTCGCTACGAATTCCACAGCTGAGAATGTCTGCTTTCCGTCCTTTGCAGATCTGYCCCCTGAATTACGTCTGCGGGTCTATGGCTTGTCACATGAGTTCTTCCGGCGCTGTTTGCAGGAGGTCGATTGGCCTGTTTCTGGCCGCACTCAGATGTCGACCGACGTGGGAAGAGACGATACGAGTGGAGAAGACATCCGGTATTGGATGGTAGAGAACAGCGTTCACGCACATTCTTGACACCTCCGAGTCAGCTGACGCAAGCTTGTGTAGACGAAAGAACATGGAACAACAGCGAAAATCTTGATCCTAAACATCCGATAAATATACACTCTCATACCTCTCTCTACCCTTCCATCTCAGCATCTCCATCCCCATCTCCACCCTCCTCGTCACTCTCCTCCACCCCTTCCCCAACGTCAACCACGAAGCTCGGCGCCTGATCAACCCCGACATAACAATCACTCATCAAGAAAACCGTCAACTCCTTCTTTCCTTGTTCCTCGACCACAAATTCCAATTTGGTCTTAAGCTCCCTCAGAAGCGTAACCCTCTTGATCGCCAACAAATTCCTGCCCTTCTCCTCCCCAATCACCAACCACCAATTCTCCATCTTGACCCCGGGGTAGAAAGGTGCTTGAACCCTCAAATCCGCCTCCTCGTCCTCTTCCAATTGTCGCGTGATGCTCACATTAATGTAAGCAGGCGATCCAGCTGTGATGTTCTCTTGATCCTCAACCTCGAACTCCAATTCGACGTTCGGGTAGCGAGAGTTGATAAATGTCGCTACATCTCCCAATTGTTTGGGATTCCATCCGAGACCATCCATCAATTTCTTATGGTCGGGATTCTCATCGGGATCCATGGCGTCTTGGAATTCGAGAACGTCTTTGATCCCGAATTTGGCGCATGTCTCCACAACCTCATCTGTGGCGTGAGGGAGTTGTTTGAGAGGAGAATCACGATCCCACATGGCTTGGACGACCATCTGGCTGATTTCCATGGCGTTCATGGCGTTGAGGTGTCCTTCTGAAGATAGGACATCCACGCAAGCGGATAGGAGATTCAATACTTTGCCGAGGATGAGTTCTTGGTCCTTCGCAAGATCTGTAGGAAGTTGCATGCGAGAGAAGTGTGCTTGCAAGAGGATAAAGGCCTTGAAATGCGGTGATTCAAAGTTTGGTTCGGAGAGCTTGACGGGTACGCGATCATAGATGCGTTCCAAAATGTGCTCTTCATGCCGGCGGATCTGAATGTCTTCAAATTCCGTGGCGGCCGTAACAATCTCGAGGATACCCTTCAATTTTGTGCCGCGTTTGAGGGAGAGGAGTAATGTCTGCATGGTGATGAAGGAGATGTTGTAGTATGCCGCGATCATGGCTGCGTTCAGAGGCGCGACAGTGTCTTCATCCTCATCAAGCTCAATGATCTTCGCGTCAGAGAGGTCCTTCAGCGTGCCTTCGACTTGCTCGGAGAGGTACGCGCTCAGGCCATCATGTGAAGTGTCCAGCATGCCGTAGAAGCTGGGGTTGGCCAGCRACCTCCTGTACAAGAAAGTATACGTTGTCCAATCCACGGCATCCTGCGTTGACTCAATCGTCTTGGTACTGATCTCCGTGACAAAGGCATCATGCATGTATGATTGCAGTTGACTCTCAATTGGCAATGCCTCGCCCAAGAATTTCTTGTAGTAGCTGCGCTTGACATCCGGACACATGAGCACACCTCGACAATCGCGATCCGTGAGCGGGCGTCCGGCTTTTCCAAACATCTGCAGAACATCACTGATGGGGTAGTCAATGTAGCGATGTTCCCGACCCTCGAAGAATTGCGTGCCCATGACGATGACAAGATGTGCAACACTCTGCACTTCCCAGCAACAGTCTCGCGAGACGAGCATGACTTGTGCTGCGCCTTGTGTGAACAGTGTCTCCACGATGCGCTTGTCCGAATCACTCAGAGCTTCATGGTAGTAGGCGATACCATGCGCGAGGGATTCCGCCAGAGACTTCTCCTTGACGCGTGCGAGGATGGGTGCCAGTTGCTCTGCGTCGGTGTGCAGAAATCGATCCTCGTCATCATCAGCAACGCACGCCGCAAGCAAATCCTGTGCAGTATTCCGGACTTGCTTTCGACTGGGCACAAAGATCATTGCTGGCTTTTCTGGGGCGTACTGCAAGACGGCTTGGTACGTGGGCTTGGTCATCGCCAGCATGAGCGAGGGGAAATGCGGGATGTTGAATGTCTGCAAGTGCAAGTTCAACGATATGGGTCTGCTGTTGGGGCTGAAGTTGAAGATGGTGTGCTTGCTGCAGCCGATCCACTCGCCGACATCTCTCGCATTGGTGAGGGAGACGCTGAGACCAACTGTCCGCAAGTCGTTCTCAAGCTGAGCTTTGATAGCTTGAGRGCGAGACATGACGGCTTCATAGATGTAGCCGGCCTGTCCTCCGAGCATGTGAAGGTCATCGGCGATGATCAGGCTTACGTTTTGGACGTTCTTCCTCCGCTGCCATTGTCTTGACATCATGTCCCACTGTACTGGAGTTGCGAGGATCAGGTGACCCCTCTCGATGAGCTTCAGATCAGCCGTCGTTTCGCCAGTGAGCTTCACAATCTCTTTGCCACCAGCCAAGGGTCCCAGCCTCGCCTGCCAGATCTTGTGTCTGGCATCAATCTGCTGCTGGAAGGGTGCAATGTACACTGCCTTGCCAGCGTTGGCCTTGGTGAAGTGTCGCAGGAGTGCGAACTCAGCACAGACAGTCTTCCCAGCGCCAGTAGGAGCGCCAACGAAGACGTTGTCATCTGACTGAAAGAGAGCGTTGAAAGTCTGCGTCTGAATCTTGTTGAACTGCGACCAGTCAGGGAACAGATCAACGTAGTCTGCCCGCTTCAGAGCCTGCACCGGAAGAGGCTGCATATCCAGCAAGGGTGWGTGCGGTGGGAACCTCTCCGGCAGAACCAGCTTCTGGAAGGAAAGGGTAAGCTTGCTCTCCGCGTGCATCCACCTGTCGCTGACAACCGAGATGAAGTAGTTGGGAGGCATGGGCTCGGTGATGGGAATGGTAAACTCCACAATGTGCTCGTTCATCTCAGCCAGAGCGTAGTCCTTGCGGAGAATGAATTGGTCGTGGAAGAGTATGTCCTCACCATCGCAGTCCTCAACCAAGATCCACCATGCTTCAGCGCGGCCGTGAATTGCATCATCCCACTCAAACTTGGGAGTCAGTGTCAGCTCGACCCGAAGCATACTCCTGGTGATGGGTTGACATTGCGCTTGAATATCCATTCTGGGGAATTTCGCAATCAAATTGCAGACCTGGCGGCCCTGCTTGGGCATGCCGAGTAATTCTCCCATGCGAGGTGGGTCCAGATCAAAGTAGCTGGACCAGGGAACATCCATACGCTCGGCCTTCTTGATAATGTCGGGCGAGCAGTCTGGGAATTGACGAAGAGGCGTCATGGTCGGCCACATGCGCTTCTCGGCCATCTTACAAAGAGCCAACGCATCCTTTGCTACGGATGCCCAACCTTTCTTCAACGCAATCTCAAACATGGCTCTCAGAATTCGTCCCGCGGATTGAGTGACATATACAAGATCTGCCATGAGTGCCAACCCCTCAAGCTTCAGTCTGCTGACGTATGCTTGTAAGAGGACGTTGATCTTGCATTGCGGCTCATCGATCGTCTCCTTTACGGGGATGGGAACGCGACCAAGTAGCTTTGCGAGTTCTAGCTTCTCGTCTTGTCGAACGGGAATATACTTGAACTCGTCGCTAAGCGCAAACACACGGAAGAGCTCAATGGGGCTGACCGAAGGCTGGATGTGCATGTTGTAGGTCAACATGCTGTTGTGGGTGATGTAGTAATGACTGGCGACCCGACCGAGATCCGTAGATTGCAGGCGTCCAGTCTTCTTGTCGTACTTGGCCAGACTAGCCTTCTCCAATACCACAGCAGCGGAGTGAATGAGGTCGACTCTCCTCTGCTCGAGCGTTTCATCCTCTTCGTAGTCCGCACCGACTTGATACAACGCCGRCGATCGCAACATTCGAACGAAGAGATATGTGTATCCAAGCCATTCGACGCCTTCGTCGCGAGATCTGATATTGCCGAGGACAATTTCAGCATTGAGATTGTCCGCCAGTTTTGAGACAAACTGCGACTCTATCGGAAGTTGCTGATTCATCAATGACAGATAGTACTGAATCTCGGTCTGTGTCGTGATGATGATTCCTTCACCATAGGTATCATACTGCGGACGTCCAGCACGACCAAGCATCTGGAGGACATCCTGTGGGCTAAGCTCCACCCAAGAACCCTTTTCGGGAGAGTAGATGGATGTGCCCTTGATGATGACAGTATGTGCTGGTAAGTTGACACCCCAAGCAAGAGTTGCGGTGCAGACCAGCACTTGGATAGCACCATCGGAAAAGAGATCCTCCACAGCAGTTCGATCAGCCCGGCTCATACCAGCGTGATGGATACCGAATCCGTAGGGAAGCACATCCTTCAGCTCCGCATTCTGCACACTCTCAGCTTCCTCACGAAGAATCTCGCGACTAGCGGCATCGGTTCGAAGAATCTGTCCAATGGTTTCCAGCTCCATCGCCTTGTCACGAATGTACTTGGCCGTCTTGGCCGTCTCTTTTCGTGAATGCACGAAGATGAGCATTTGATTCTTGTTCTGACCCACCTGCTCGAGGACTTTGGTGTAGCAGACGTCGTTCATCGTCTTGAGCTGCTTAATGGCCTTCTTGTCTGTGACGCCGATGAATTCTTGCTTGAGAGGACAAGGACGGAAAGTACCGTCAAAGTGGAATAGATCCTTCTTGTCAACTCTCAGGAAGGTCGCCACATCGTGGTAATTGGGCAGAGTAGCAGAAAGACCAACAATGCGGACTGGATCGCCAGTCTGCTCCGTACGGCGGATGGTTCGAGACACAATACTCTCCAAGACCGGACCTCTGTCATCGTGCAAGAGATGAATCTCATCGATACAGATAAGTCGCACAAGATTGGTGTAGCTTGTGTCTGTGGCCTTTCGGGTGATGACGTCCCACTTTTCAGGGGTTGTGACAATAACATTGGTGTCTGCGATTTGCTGCTTGGTGAGTTGTCTGTCACCAGTAAGCTCAGACACGGTGATGCCGTAAGCTTCAAGACGTTTGCCAAAGTTGCCGACCTGTTCCTGGACCAGGGCTTTCAGCGGTGCAATGTAGATGATCTTAAAAGCTTCGAGGTTGATGTGACCTGTCGTGGGATCGCGGTGCTTGCCAATCTCTCGCAGCATCGTCAACATTGCCACGTTCGTCTTTCCAGACCCAGTAGGAGCGCAAATGAGCATATTGCCATCATCCTCAAAAGCGGATGGGTAACACTCGGTCTGAATGCGGTTAAGAGATGTTGAGCTTCCAAATCCTGCTCTGGCCCAGGCAGGGAGGTCTGTGGTAGGAATCAATGGCCGCTCATTCGGACTAGGCTTCCGCTTCGGCGCAGGAACGTGAATTTCCTCGTATCCTTTGAAGGTTCGCTTGGTCGATCCTTGTGGAAGCTTCACATTGTTGTTGGTCATGAGGTGATTGCCCTGTTCAAACTTGAGGTCCTCCAGGTTTAGTGTCTTCCTCGGTTGCAGACCACCCACAATACCCTCCTTYTTCACATCTTCTTCGTCTTTGGCGGGGRGTCTGGCGTCCAGATCCATTGGATCAAGTTTGACTTGCAGCTTGGTTGTCTTCGCAGGGGCATCATCTCGGCCACGAATCTCCTTTAATATACTTGCGTGCCCGGCATTGACCATTTGCTTTTCGACGGCCTCCCGAGCAGCATCGTCTTCTGCAACCCTTCGCCATCGTGTGACCCAAATAATCTTGTCCCGGTTCTTRAAAAGCTTTCCGACCAGTTCGTGGTGTTCATAGTCGAATAGCTCCATGAGGTCGTTCTCCACCTCGTTCAAGGCCTTTTCCTCGCCCTCAGCATCCGTTCCAGCCATGATCGTCTCCGCATCTCGAGTCTTTTCAGTCTGGATGTGAGCGTCTTCGTAGATTTGTCCAATCTGCCGTTGCAGCCAGTATGCATCGATCTCATGTGCGGGGACAATGTCCGGATCTTGGCCTGCCTTGCCACTCCTTCGCGACCGATTCTCTATTACCATGCCGTCATCTTCCTCTTCCTCGCCACCATCAGCATCGGGAGGTGGACCAGCGCCATCCTCGGCAGCCTCCTCCTCCTCGTTCCCCATGGCAAGATCATTCTCCGACTCGTCATCCTCCTCTCGAACCTCGAATGTGCGACCAGCGTCCTCATCCTCGTCCTCGGACTCAAACTCCACAGCCACGCCCTGTTGTTCGTCCATGTCGGCCTCTTCTTGCGCACCTTCGCCCATTTCCTCATCCTCATCCTGTGCATCATAATCCGTAATCTTCTTCCCCAGATTCACCAACTGGTTGAATTCCTTACTCGAAGTGGTGATTCCCAGAATGTCATCAATCTCCTTCTTCTTGTCGAAATCCTTCAWGCTGTCATCTTTGAGATATTCCAACACGGAGTCGGTCGCAGAGGCAGTAATGGCAATCCCATAATCCCCTCCCATTTTTTGCGCCACATTCGTCGAGATCAAATCATAGACATCTTTCGTGGCGGCGATTCGTGGTCGATATCGCAGTCCCTCAATATTCATATCCTGCTGACTGAGGATTCCTGCCGCTCGCGAACTCTGTACAGGCTCCGTTCGTTTTCTCTTCCGCGCCTGATCCTGTGTCGCGGCAGAAACTGGAGCCTTTTCGCGCGCTGTTCGTGATCCCATTTCGCCAAGATTTATCCTTCCAGCGAGTGATTCCGGGTCACCGGTGGTCTCATCGCCGCGACGACTGACGAATCGTTTGTCGGCTTGCAGGACCAGGTTGGACATGGCTCCATATTTGTATTGGGCCAGATTGTTGTCGCCGCCACCCCCGCCGGCGCCGCCGCCGCCTTTCTTCGAGTCCGCCATGGTGGAAGTGTCACCGGGGAGGACTTGATGTGAAAGGGAAAGTTGTTGTTTGTGAGAGCGAGACTCTAGATGAGTCGGCGCGGTGATGAACTTCGCAAGTGGGAGACCTGGATCGGAGCCAAACGATTTCTCGAAATAAAGTTTACTAGCTCAATGGCAGCTCAGGTCCGTGGCCTCACTCCACCTTTCCGCCGTCGTTGTCATTGTCATATATTTCATATTTATTTTTATTGCATTTCTTGCGGCGAATCGATTTGATCATGGCAGAAGACGGTGAAGGAGATCTCTGGCTCTTTGGATATGGGTACAGTCTTGGACATGTGTCAATAGCATCCACAAACAACTAAGATGGAACAACAGCTCGTTGATTTGGAAACCTCCACCACATTATGATCTTCGTCTTCCAGGCTACATAGAGGGCTATGTTCGTCGTTTCTGGCAGGTATGACATGTGTCAATGGATCGAATCATGCACACCAACTAAAGTCGATCTTCACAGGCCAGGTGAGAGAGACTCCACATCGAACATACTTCCATCGACTCACAATCCGAAAGTGAAGACCATCGCGGAACACCCGAGGCTCCCGGTCGAGTCTGCACATTGATAGACCGCGAGCTCTGGGAAACGCTCACAGACCAAGTGCGTCGCGTCGCCACAACAATATGACACATCTTCCTTAGCAACTAACATTTCAACCTCAAGCACGCCTCAGCCCCACCAAAAGTCTGGGGAGCAGCCTATCGCATCCCCTCCCAACATGTTCCCGAAGTGAAAGAATACCTCGACATCCGCGAGATCAATGGTTACAGCATTCAATACACTCCCTTTCAGATCCCCAAACCTCAGGACATGACTGGGACTTACCAACCTGTTCACATTCCATCTTCCTCCCAATCCTCTCATGCTGGAAAACCGATAAACTGTTTGGTGTACATAGGGTTACCGGACAATCCTCAGTTTCTCGGACCGCAAGATCCGCAGGCATTGGCGGAACACATTGTGAAGTCGAGAGGACCGAGTGGAGAGAATCGAGAGTATCTGTATCAATTGGAGGAGGCGTTGAATGGATTGAGTGAGGGGAGTGGAGACGAGCACATTAGTGACTTGGCGAGGAGGTGTAGAGAGGTGGAGGCGCGAGAGCAATCCGCGGAATAGAACAAGAAGATGGGGATATGAGAATGATGAGAATGATGAGAAGACGACATTGCTTCATTTTACATGCATAGATAGATCCTTTAGAAAACGCCACTGCTGCTCTGGTACAATAACATGTCAATTCCCATAATCCGGTATATACACTCTACTTCCTCGCCGTGGGTCCGCTCACTCCCGCTCCAATAACACTGGGAAGCTCCTCACTGCCCATCTCCCACACGCTGCCAACGGCGAAGCTCACCAGGAACATCAAGCCGACAGTAAAGAGGGCGATGAGCCAAAACTCAATGCTGATGTCCTTCTTTTGACAAGCCGGACCTCCCCACTTGGTTGTCTTCTTGCCATTCTTGTTCTYCACGACCGTATCCTTGCACGAGCAGCTGAAGCAATCCATTCCGCTGGAGCCCGAGTCGGGGTCGTGATACTTTTTGCTACAGCTGCCGTGGCCGGAGCAGTTGCGTGTGGCCTTTTCGCAGTGCTCTTGGGTGTTGTAGCAGGCGGGGAGGATTCCTCTGAGAGGGGTGGTGTTGTTGGATGTCTTGTTGTTGTTCGAAGCGAGAGGTGCGGCGGATTGCACGGGTTGGAAGTCGCGAACGTCGGTCAAGATCTGCTCTGAAGCACGCTGTTGTCTCTTCTTGAGGATGGCTTGCTGGTCAGGCAGCCTCCACGTTCCCCAGGTGTTGTCGTCGTTGCGTTCGTGGTGGGCAGGGATGGTGATGGCGGTGATGCYCCACTTCTTGCTGTCGACCAGGCTGCGGAACAAGGTCTCCATTTCCGAGGTGGAGTTTACGAAATGGTAGGAGTTGCCGCTGACATCGGGTGATGGCTGTCTGTGATTCCGCATGGGAGTGATGATATCCACGTCACTGAGAAGGACATTGGTATGAGGATCCGACTGCTTGGCCAGGTCGATGAGGAGGCCTCGAGTGGCCCATGTGGCGGGGACTGGGGAGACGGAGAAGGATGTGTAGGCTTCTAATGAAGGGATGGAAGCTACATTTTGTTAGTAAAGTCTTCCTTTTCTGGTTGGATTGGCTTACCATCTTCCTCCAGCAAAATGACGGCCTGACCCAGCTTCGTCGTCTCCTCCGCAAACAGGGGAGTCCGTCTCCCATAATCATTAATGGCAGCGATGATATCCTCGGGCTCCTCTCTCAGGTCATCGCGATGATAATCCTCGACGCCCGCCCTCTGCGCCACGACCAATCGCGCGGCGACGGGGTCGAGGGTCCTGGGCTGTGGTCTCGCTGGGGATTGCGGGTCGAATGTGTAGATGTTGGCGGAATCAGCGGAGACCAGACGGGCAGACCAGCAAAGCCCGGAGAACAGGGCGGAAGTGGTGACCTTCATGGTGCATTGATGGGGGAAGGGGAAGTGTGGTTGGATGGATGGACAGACTGGAGTTGGAGTTGCTCGACCAAAGATCGTCACCTCGATCTCGAACTAGCGAGCGTCTMCGCCACCTTCGATCATCACCTTTGCGAGTCCAGTCTTCTACATGTGATTGATTGATTGCTTACAACACCGTACATGACCAGCACACGACCTCCATTACTTGAATTTTCCACCCTTTTACATCGGCATTCACAATCCATTCATCCTGCGCCCTGTCCCTCCCACCTTTCTTCATGATCTCGCGGTAGACGAGCATCGAATCCATTTCACAATCAACAATGCAACGTCTGGCCTTGCGCCTGCGGTCCTCGCCTCTCCCACGCCCACAACCTCCCACATATTCACACACGCTACGATCAATACCGCCATCAACAACCCCTCGACTCATCCCGCGAACCCATCATCGCCGAATCTCCTACCGACAACCGCACAGCCAACAACACCATGAACCCATCCCCTTCCAACCCGTGCGCTTCCAAAAGCCGGGCATCTTCACGCGGAAACGACAGATGACCCTCGCCCTCTACATCTTCGCCTGCATGGTCTTGTTCAAGCAGATGAGTCAATACGTCACCATCGATGTTGAAGTTCAAGACGCGGACCGGGACAAGGAGGAGAAGAAGGACGGCGGCGCAAAGGGTGTGCTCAGCGACGAGGACGACGATGACGAGGAATACACCTTCATCCCCCTCACATGGGGTAAGAAGTTGCCCCGAGAATTCTACAGAGGCAGCGATCCCGAATGGCAGGAATTCGTCAAGGTCGCAAAGGACAAGCCGCGACATAAGAAGATCCAGGACGCTCTCGTGCAGCAGGTTTTTGCGGGCTCGCAGAAACATCCGGGAGTGGTGCAGCATCTAGGCAAGGACTTGAAGGTGGGAAAGTATTGGCTGGACATCTCCTTTCCCGACGGTCCACCACAAGAGTACGAGCGCTATGGCTTGGAGATTGGTGAGTCCGCGATCCACTGGTCTGCCGAACGAATCACACCCGAAGAACAATTCCGTCTCCAACGTGCCCTCTGGCCCGCAGCCGTCTTCCGCGCTACATGGGCCGCTTCAAAAGCCGTGGCAGGCATTCAATATCGTCGAATCAAACAGTCGTTGGGAGTGGAAGGCGTGGACCCGTTCAGTCCCGAAGAACGACTCCGTCTGGCGTTGGAAGTGGCCGAACAGCAACAGGCCGCCAAGAACCAAAAAGGCCGTCGAGGAAGCGGTGACATCGATCCCGCCGGAGCAGTAGTTAGCAGATCCTCCCCCACGGACACCGCAGAAGCCTCCGACGAAGCCAAGAAGCGATTTCCCTGGCAAATCCAAGTCCCCATGCCCTCGTTCGACAACACCCGAGGACAATCCATGGACTTGCCCATCTTCTCCATCGTTTTCCAAACCACCCTCAACAAACACTGGGCGCCCAAGAAAATGGAACCTCCGCGAGGGAGCTTTGTCGTTCAGGGAATGATGGAGGTGCGGGGAAGCAAAGGGCAGATTCTGTTTGATGTCCGGGGGTGTTACGATCCCAAGGAGGCGAAATTCGTCATGGTGCAGGCCAACAAGAGAGGGTTCAAGTTGTGGAATCAGAGGCCCAAGGGCGGGCCGTGAAGATTTGATGTGTGAGGCTCTTGAGGGAGGCAAGTCTGCTTTCTGATGGGATTTGATGTAGCGTTTTAGCGACGGATGGAAGGGAAGAAGCATTACGATGAGACACGGGGTGCTCTACCATTGACTCTTTTTTGTGGTTTGAATCAAGTGCATTTAGCGGTCATTGAGAAGTTCGCTTTAGCTTGTGAGAAACGATATCCCATATTTGCATGCTTGGTTCTTGAGGAAGCGACGTTGAAAGCAACGTTTATTGTTTTCTTGTGAGCGCCGCATATGGACATGAGAAAGGAGGAATGCGTTCTCTGGATCTTGATTTTGAGATTGCTCGATACTGTGCCTACGGATCTTGAGCCCGGCTTGTAGGGAGTAAAAAATGTACTACGCTGCCTTTGATATCATGGCCAGATAACGACAATATATGTCTGATGAAGGTCTCTGCAGTTGAGGTTTGGTACTTCTCCCCTTCAAACGGCCGGTCATGTCGGGTTGAGAATGGACATTTTCTGTCCAGAGGAGGTTGGACGGGACGCTCTTCTTTTCGAAAGCTCTACCAGGGAATGATTGCCGCGCCTCTCAGTGCTCTTGCCGGCATTCACAGGTTCTTCTGATGAATCTCTGGACGACTCATCACACGGGCTTGCTGCTACTGGCATGAGGAGAGTGATGATGGTGTGGTGTTGCGGGCAGCATCATGCGATGTCGACGGGACTTGCTGACAATTTCGACGACGACTTCGCATGTACATCCGGCGGACGAAGAGGCGTGTCTTCCAGGGACAGTAGGGAAAATTCGCAGGATCATCTCACTTCTCTGTTTCGCCCAGGACTGATGTTTCGTGTGGTTCACGCCGTTTAGGAGGAGTTGGATTGGATGTTTCACGCATGTAACGACTGCGATGCATTTGGAACTGGTCACATGTCTGCAACACAACACACAACAAATCTCAGCTGAAGATGAAGTCCTTTAATATAGGCGACGAAGCGAATTCCGGATTGAGGAGAATACAGCTGTGAGCACGATTAATTAGCACAACATCACACACACAGCAAGCAAAGAAATGTTGAAGGTAAGCATACTTTAAAAACTGCTGCAACCCATCCCTCCGCTGCTGCAAAAACTTGGGCCGGAATCGACTGATGTGGCTCTTCCGTGGCAGTTCGGGTATCATGGCTTCAGCATACGGGAAAGCTCTACAGAGCTCCACTCGCAAGCGATCAAACTCGGAGTATCTATGACACGTATTAGATGTGCTGAATCTGATGGACGCATGATGTGTGTGTGTGTGTGTGTGGGGAATATAACTTAGCAACTCTGCTAGTTCAAAGAAGAGGAATAATAATAGTGACCTTTTACGAAGACTCAGTTCGCCACCTTTTAGTGTGCGAACGGTGCATGCCCAGACAACATATGCTCCAATGCCCGTGGGTCCAGAAACAATCACATAATCATCAATGGATACGGACTGTGCCCAGCAGGAGAGTGTTTGCTGGGAGTGCTCTGCTGAATGATCTTCCAGGACTATGGCCGAAGGTCGGATGTCGTGGAGGGATTGATGGCTCATGGAGCTGGTGGTACGAGAATGTTGGGAGAYCCAGTACGGAGGTGCGTCCGTCACATGATTATGATGATGATGATGATGATGATGATGTTGATCTCTGGTTTGGTCGGACCCACTTTGGTTCATGTTTGAAACAGGCCCTCCATGCGGGTGATCCATCGTGGCGACGAGTGGAGGCAGCTCATCCTCGTCGACCTTCCCAAACGATGAAGGATCTGAGGCGGGGAGGTGGCGGGAGGACATCCGCGAGTCGCAGAAAACGAGCAGGCCAAGGCGTCTTCCGGCTCTCCTCTTCCCTGGACCTTGTTGCTGCAAAGGTAAGGTATGCTGTGCCGTTCACACAGCGTTTGGGTCTAGGTTCTTTGCTCAACAAACGCGCGGCCTTTGCTTTCCTCGGGAGGTAAGGTCCTTGGAAGTGCGGCGTACAAACGATGGGGAAATAACCAAGCAGTAAACTAGAGCTTCGCGGGAGAGCACGACGGGATGCAGCTCTCACGCGACTCCAGAGCATTCTTTACCGGAAGGGGTTAGACACAGGCCTATTTTCTGACACCCGAGACGCGTGAATAGATAGATAGCTTCGGAGCGGGAGAGGAGCTTGGATCTCTCTCAGCAGAAAATGGGTGGTAAGCTTGCCTCACAGGGCCATCTAAGATTCTTGTGATGGAGGCGGGGGATTATTATTATTGATGAAAACACGCTTCCATCCATGCCTTTGGAGCGAATGGGAGGTGGCGACGACGACGGGCGGCGACGGGAAGTCTTGTCAACGTCCGAGCTCGTGGGAAATGTTTGATTTTCGTCCGCCGTGGTCCCGTGGAAGCGGTTGTGAAATAGGTAGGCATGGCATGGCAAAGGTATCTTAGGATACCTTAGGTTATAGCTCCAACGGTTTCCCATCTCTCTCGACTCGCCCTCTGTGCTCCTCTCTCCGCGACTCAATCATCACCCGGACTTGTTCTATTCTTCAATTCAATTCTGTTTTTGTTTGATTGAACCTTCGTTGCATCTCTTCTCCACGCTCGCTTCTCGCTGTGACGGAGTAGAAATTTGGGGATAGAAGGTACCGACATCCCCTGGAGATTGTCAAACTCACGCATCGACCCATCACATACTATTATACTCATCAACACGCAGAATTGTAAACACCACACGACATTTTCCATCCCATCCCATCGCCGCCACAATGAAGACCTTCGCCGTCGTCTCCCTCGCCACCGCCCTCCTCACCACCTCCGTCGCCGCTCAAGACCAATACCGCATCAACCCAGAGTCCGTGAGCGAAAGCCTCCGCACCTTCTGGTGCGACCAACAACTCGCCCAATGCCCTCTCATCTGCTCGCAAACGGTGGAATCAGCGAGCTTGGAAACCAACAGCAACGACTGCACCGCCTCGGACCTCACCTACTCGTGCGTCTGCGACAACGGCTTCTCCCCCAACGTCTCCGAATACTCCCAGACCCTCCCCTTTTTCATCTGCCAGGAATGGGGCACCCAATGCGTGGCCAATTGCGGAAATGGAAACACGGCCTGTCAGTCTAGCTGTACGGCCGACCACCCCTGTGGTGCACAGAACCCCACGAGGCAGAACACGAGCACCTTGACATCCACCATGTCGAGTACTGCGAAGAGCGGCGGTGCTTCGGATGCCTCCACAACGGCGAGTGATGGTGGGCAGGTGGTGACCAGCGATGGTGTCACGGCGACGCTGTATGGAATGGCTACTTCCAAGTCGGGTGGTGGTGATACTTCCAATGCCATTTCCCACGTCAGAGTGTGGGCGCTCAGCGCTGGGCAGACATTTGGTACCATGGCCCTCTTCGGTGCCATGGTCGGTGGCTTTGCCGTTCTCTTGTGAGACAGGTCTTGGATGAAGGGAGATTGATTGGGTGTCGATGAGACGCGACTTGCGAGCTTCTGCATGGCTGTTGTCATTTTGTCTTGAGCGTTCTAGCAGTACAGGGATATGGTAATTGGGATGGGACGGAAAAGATCAAATGTGAAGAGACATAGTCATCAACCAAGTGTATCATAATGCACAACATCACGCCACAAACGTCTTCTTCTCCACCGCCACCTCAATCGCTTTCTTCCCACTGATGATGCATGTCGTACCAATGACCAACTTCCGTCCACTATCCTTCTCCAATTGATCACTGATGAACCGCAATGCTGCAACTTCCGCATACGTGACGCCTCCCAAGAAGAACACAATGGAAACCTTGGGCCCTTCCTTGTTCCCACGGAGCGTCTTGCGTGCATGCGAAACATCGGCATCACTCCCCTTCTGCGTCACATCCACTGTCGCGCCTCGAATGCGAGAGAGGACGTCTTCGAAACCTTTCCAACCCGTCCCGCCAGGTGCGGCAGCAGCATTCTTGGGATTGACCAGTTGTTGCACATGCGACTTTTGCAAGATAGACTGAACCAAGCGGACGCTCAATGGTGCGTATCCGCTGAACACATATGCAGTGTCGTTGGGCTCGGATTCTTGCACTTCATCAACCCACAACTGCAGGCCTTTCCGCACCGCATTCCAGTCTGTGGCGCTCTGTCCTGCACTGCCTGCAATGGGATTGAGGTATCCTCGGTGGCTCTCCCTTGGAACGAGGAGTCCCATCTTCTCGAGGTCGGAGAGGGTGAGGGAATGTTGGTAGCCATATGCTTGGAGTATCTGACGCTTGAAGTGATCCAGTTCACGCTGTCGAATGCCATTGGAGAGACAGCTTTCCAGGCAGAGGAGTCGGAGAACTGTCCCGAAAGGGGCGTCCCTCGCGATCATCTCGTCAATGTTCTCATGGAGACTGCTCGGATCGGAGCCGGCGAGGAGATTCTGCTGAACTTCTAGCATGCGGCCGAAGCTCTCACTTCGTGTCACTTTCATGACCTCTTCGGCAAGGCTGGTGTGGATTTTGAGACTTGCGGACTCGGCTTGGTAGGAGGGAAGCTTTTGTACGACGTTCTTCAAATCGGCTACCGTCTGATCTTTGCTGTGCATGGCCTCGCTGTCGGACGCCAGTCTGCGTGCCGTTCTGTTTAGTGTAGGTCCGACCGTCGCAAAGTTCATGTCGCGAAGCTCTGGGTAGAGCTTGTCGCTGCTGTCTAGCAAAATCTTCCGCTTGGTTGCTGCTGTCGGTGCGGATCCGTTCTGTGGCTGGGATGGTGCTGGTGCTCCACCAAGGATTGAGGAATCGACCTCTGTATTGTTGTTGGCAATGCCAAACACTTCGTCCAGCAATCCCTCGTATGTGAGCTGCGTCGATAGCACGGTGGGGAAGTCCACCTCGCGATCGATTATGATTAGATTCTCCACCAGCGAACTTGGTGTCAGTCCGAAGGAGGTAAGGTAGGCATTGTTTGGATCTGCGGATGCATTGACATCTTCCTCATTCCGCATGCGTTGGAGCAACTCGGCCAGTCGCTGGGCATTGTCGCCTTTTCCAAGTATCCTTGGAAAGAGACCATACTGCTTTTGAAGCAGCATCAGGGCTTTTGCAGATGAAAAGATGCTGGTGGGATCCTTTCTCAAACAAAGCCCGCTAAAGGCATCCTCCAATTCCAGCGATAGAAGATCCTCCTCCAGCGGGACAAAGTGGAGCGCGAGTTCTGTAATGTTCGCCTCGCCCAACACCCCGTGCTCCTCTAGCACCATGTTGCTGACCATGGTTCGGCGAGGTACCCATATTATGGTAAATTCATGATCAATCTTGCTTTCACTTCGCACGAGCTTGATCTGTTCTGCTACCATGCGGATCTTGTTTGCATCTTCTCCCCGAACCATGAACACAATGTTCCGCTGGCTGGAATCGATATTGTGATTCTCGAGGAAAAAGGGCTTGTCCACGCCATATTCTTGCAGAGTGCTGAACTTGACGATCAAGCCAATGGTTCCAGCCAATGACTTTTCAAGCACAATGTTCTTCTTGCCTCGGACCTATCAACGACGGTAAGATGTCTGGATGTGATTCAGCACGAGATGGAAATCTCACCGTCTCGAGAACATGGAGCAACTCCCGGCGAGCCTTGTCGGTGATGTCGTGCGTATTGATGGCCTTTGCGGCCGAGTATGCGGCCATTACATGTCCATGTCAAGTGAATGTCTGGTCTGGATGAAGTGGTCGACGGGTGGTGGGATCGAGGTCCCCACCGGCTGAACAACGGTTGAACTTTCATTTCTTTGGCGGGACAGGAAAGACACCAAACGTCGTCGACTGACTTCCAAGTTATTGATTGAGTCACCACACGCTCTTTTTTTCTTGATTGTATGAAGCAATTCATTCGAATTTCGTGTCGTACACCTGTCATCCGCATACCACGCCGACTTCCTCCCCTCCGATCATTTTCGCAAACCGTCCACTTCCGCTCCCAAGACATCTTCCACACCCCGACAATGGGCAAAGAAAAGGATGGCAAGGCCAAGGGCCAACAGCTCAAAGTTCCCAAGGGCACCAAGGATTGGGGTCCTCAGGACATGGCCATTCGCGACCAAATCTTCGAAACGATCAAGACTGTCTTCAAGCGGTATGACGGACAAACCATCGACACGTGAGTTTGGGTATGCAACATCTCATCTCCGACCAGCTCCATTGACTGGAGCATTATTAGTCCCGACTTTGAGCTCAAGGAAATCCTCACCGGCAAATATGGCGAGGACAGCAAACTCATCTACGACCTGGCCGACCAGGGCGGCGAGCTCTGTTCCCTGCGATACGATCTGACCGTCCCCTTCGCTCGCTTCTTGGCCATGAACCCCGACATTTCCCAGTTCAACCGCTATCACATTGCCAAGGTGCACCGGAGAGATCAGCCGGCGATGAACAAGGGTCGCATGCGTGAATTCTACCAGTGCGACTTCGACATTGCCGGTCTCTACGATGCCATGATGCCCGATGCCGACATCATCAAGCTGACCTGCGATACCTTTGAGGCTCTCGGATGGGAGGGCAAATACACCATCAAGATCAACCACCGCAAGATTCTAGATGGCATCTTCCAGGTATGTGGTGTGCCAGAGGACAAGCTACGGACCATTTCATCTGCCGTCGACAAGCTGGACAAGTCACCGTGGTCGGAAGTGAAGAGGGAGATGACGGAAGAAAAGGGTCTGGAGGCAGAGGTGGCAGATCGGATAGGAGAATATGCTGTGCAAAAGGGAGGCGTGGATTTGTTGGAGACGCTGCAGAAGGATGAGAAGCTCATGGCGAATGAATCTGCAAAGGACGGTCTGTCGGACATGGCCCTGCTGTTCCAATTCCTGCAAGCACCACGCTTCCGGGATCGAATCTCTTTCGACATGTCTCTGGCTCGTGGGCTTGATTACTACACTGGCGTCATCTACGAGGTCGTCACCGAGGGCTCGGCGCCTCAACAACAACAGGGTGAGGAAGCGGGCAAGAAGGAATCGAGACCGAAGAAGTCGGCGACCGACGGGGATGAGGATCGATCAAATGACCCAACAGTTGGTGTTGGCTCAGTGGCTGCAGGAGGACGATATGACAATCTCGTGGGAATGTTCAGCGGCAAACAGCAGATTCCCTGCGTGGGCATCTCCTTCGGCGTCRAGCGAATCTTCAGCATCACAAAGCAACGCTTGGCCGCCGACTCCAACGCAACGCCCATCCGGACAAGCTCGACAGACGTCTACGTCATGGCATTCGGTGGTAAGGGGTTCGAGGGATTGTTCGTCGAGCGGGCAAACGTCGCCGATCGTCTGCGTGCGGCTGGCATCAACACGGCCTACGCGCGAAAGATGAAGCCCAAACTTCCCCAGCAATTCAAAGAAGCGGAGACAAAGGGCATTCCTTTCGCCGTGATTCTCGGAGATGAGGAACTTGCTGCTGGCAAGTGCAAGATCAAGGAAATGGGTCTGCCGAGCGATCACCCCGAAAAGGATGGGGTGCTTGTGGAGCTTGCGAATGTAGAGGAAGAGGTCAAGCAGAGACTTGCGAGACAGGCTCGGGCGGGTTGGAGTTCCACGGTGGTTATGAGGTAGATACCCGGATTGTGCATGGCGTGGGTGCATGATAGATGGTAGCATGGTTGATAGATATGAAGCCTATGGACATGATCCATCAAACATTCCGATTGATTTCTCGATAATACAGCATGACCCGATGATGGAAACTTTAGGGTTAGGGTTGGGGTAGTGGTGATTGCAATAAATCGACTAAGGGCGACGAGTTTCACTACATGCGAGCGTGGCAGTCCAGGCTCGTAGCAATCAGGATGTTTTTGTCTCTTTATCATGTCCGCTGCTTGAGTTGGGGATGCGTGGGCGAATCTGTCAAGGTATTGCCGGATTTTATTCGAATCGAAATGGTCTGGATATGACTTTGTCACGACACATTGATCAAATCATCTTCACTACCAACCCCACGGCCATGTAGAGAGCATTGGTCACACCCAAAAACAACTCGCTACTCAGAAACAGGTCAAACGCTTTACTACAAGTTACGTAGAACGTTGGCACTTGTTATCAACAGACTTGCCGCACTACGCCTGGTTACACTGGGATATATCTTGATCTAATCTTCGTCCATGCTCTCCGCGCTCTCCCATCCCCCCTCTCCTCCATGCTCCTCGGCCTCTTCCTCCTCCTCCTCCACCTCATTGTCTAATTCAATGCCGACCAAGCGCTCCTTGATCTCACCGTCGGCCGACAAAGGCAATTTCATCCTTGTAGCAAAAGCTTCCCGTACGGCTTTATTGGTGCTGGTATCCCAAACTTGCACGGCACCTTTGCTTCCTGCAACTGCGAGTCGGAAAGCAATCTCATCGTCGGGCGCGAAGTTGGCGGAGAAGACCTTGCCGACTTCGAGATCGCGAGATACCACCATGGAGGGTCCTCCATCGGCTGTGACGTTCCAGAGCTTGACGGTTCGGTCTGTGGAGCCGGTCGCGATGTAGCCTGGAACGGTGGGATTGAGAGAGAAGGATGACAAGCTCTGCTCGTGGGCTTGCAATCGCCAAACGGGCTTGCTTTGCTCCGGCGTTGCGGGCAGCATTCGTGCGTCGAAACAATGGAGCATGCCATTCTCGGTGCTGACGTAGAAGCGGTTCTCGTCGTGTGGATCCCACCGCAACTGCTCGACATCACTCTCAACACCCCATCGCGGGACCACTGCGCCGGGAGCTCGCATGTCTGCGGCAACGATTGTGCGGTCGTAACTTCCTGATAGGAGAACGGAAGATTGTGTAGGATGCCATGAAAGAGCGCAGACCTTGTCTGTGTGGTGGGCGTACGAGTGTGCGGCGGTGCATGTTGTGAGGTCCCATAGCTTGATGGTCTTGTCGGCCGAGGCACTGGCGAGGAGGTTGCGATGTTGTCTGTTGGCTGCGAGAGCGAGCACCGAGTCAACATGGTAGGCGTCGTTTGCCTTTTTGGTCTTTTTCTTCTTCTTCTTCATGATGGGTTCKGGCATGTCCACTCCAGCACCGGCGTTCTGGCCGAGAACTGCATTGGGGTACATGCAGTCCACAATGTCCAAGTCCCATAGCTCAATGTCTGGATCCATTGTTCCCACGGCTGCGAAGTTACCGCCTTCGCTTGAGCCTGCGTCCTGGCCGACCTTGGTTCCCACCCACTCCACACACAGTGGGATGGCGGGAAGCATGACATCGTGGTGGACGTACAGGTTATCCGCACTGTCTTCATACACGTAGACTTCAAGATGCGCAACCTCGTCCTCTATCCTCGCCGCTAGCACCACACTGTCTGTGGGGRGGATTTGCAGCTCTTCTCGCTCCTCATCATCTGATGCCTCGCCTTCTCCAGGAAGTGTCAGATATGGATCGTCATTGTTATCTGTGTGGTATGCGAGATCCTTGATGTTGCTGAACACCCCCCCTGCAGGCTCATCGTCTTCCTCGCCCGGAACGTCGGGCTCATCATCGTAGTGCTCCATGTCGTATTCTTTGAGGTCGTCATCCTTGGCAATTTCGTCCTCGCTGTCTTCGTCTTCGTCATCGTGCTCGTCCGCACCCTCACTGGCGTCTCCCATGTTGACTTTGTTCAACGCATCCCGAGCCTTTTCTAGATCCTCTTTCGCATCATCCAGCTCCAACTTGGCCAATTTCGCAATGCGCGCATACTCGTCGTCGTCCATTTGGTACTTTGTAGGGTAGGCTGCAGCATGGCCTCGAGGAACCCATGCCGTGGCCGTGATCATGGACGTCATTTTGGCCGAGTCTTTCAAGAAACGTGGTGGTGGAAATGGAGAGGATGAAAGTTCAACTCATTTTCAGAATCGTCAAAAAGATTAAAGTTTTGGCATGTGGAGCAGGCCGCCCGCGTTCCGAAGAAGGCGCGCTAGGACCGAAGATCCCTGTCGTGGTGTGAGCAAGTTGTCGATGTATATAGCAGCCCGTCCTCCATCTTCCTCGCTCCGCACACCGCTCCCCTCCTTCTTTACCGTGACAATTGTGAAATTACTTGCGCCAGCGAAGAATATCCTTGATCGACCATCTTTCTATCCATCCTCCATCCTCAAAATGGCCCACTCCCACATGGACCACGGCGACATGGGCCACGGCGATATGGATCACGACATGCCGATGCCCATGTGCAGTATGAACATGCTCTTCACCTGGAAGACGGAGAACCTCTGCATCATCTTTGAAAGCTGGAGAGTCACCGGTCTCTGGTCTCTGATCGTTACTCTCTTCGGCATCATGGTTCTTACTGCTGGCTATGAAGCCGTCCGAGACGCTTCCCGCAGATATGAGCAGAGACAGGCCATCGTGCTCGAGAGCATGCCTCGTAAGTGTCTCCCCTGAGTAGTAGAGATTGTCTGGCTCGCTCGTGGCTCTCAGAAACTTATGTGCTGTAAGAAGCTGTCGATAACGAACGTCGCTCACTCCTCGGGACAGGCAATGCTGTCGCGGATCAAGAGGGCAAGGGAAAGGTCGCAAAGGCGGCATTTTATGCTGTGCAGGTGTTTTATTCGTTCTTTATCATGTAAGTTGAGCCCTGAAACAGTTCTTAGAATCCTGCTGATATGTGAAAGGCTTCTATTCATGACCTACAACGGTTGGGTCATGATTGCAGTGGGCGTTGGTGCCTTTATTGGCTATCTGTTGTTCAGCGGTTCTTCTGCCTCCAAGAGTGCTGCCTGTCATTGACGATCGCTGCCGATCCGCATCATGGGTATATACGTCCTTCACAAACCCTTCCACGCCACCTTTGCAACATGATCGACCCTCTTCCTTGTTCCCTTCACAAGACCGATGTATCGTAGCTCCGCCAGAGCTCTCTGGAAAAGCGCCATGGTGTGTTGTATATCTTCCTGAGCGTCGCCCACCACCGCCTGGAATGCTTGCCATAGATCGCTGGCATTGATGAGACTGCCAGACTCGAGATACAGCTGATATAGCACAGCAGTCGCTGGTTGCGAAGCTGCCAGTGTGGCTTCTTCTGCTTCACCCTGTCCGGGAGCGCAGCAGTCGCAATCCAAATAGTCATGCGGAGCCGCAAGAGCCCGCTCAATGGCGTGGCGAGGCCGCGGCGTAAACACTTCCCGGTAAGGTGACCGCAGATCATACATGAATATCTCGTGCAAGACGAGATGCTCAGAGCTTGCCAGCTTTTCGGCGAGGAATGACTCCAGCAAGTCTGAGAAGCGGCGTACAATAGTGGTGTAGGCTGTATCTTGTTTTGAGAGAGCGGACTTCTGCTTGCTGAGCTCCACTTTTTGCGCCACAACAGTCGTTCGCATAGTTGAGTTTCGCACATCGTCAGCACTTCGCAGTGGTTGTTTGGAGTTGCCATGCGCCTCGATTAGKTCCTCTAGCTCGCTACCGATTTCTTCTGCTTGAGTCTTCAGATCCTCGTGCACCTCGAGGCAGGCGATGGTCTTCATGAGCTCCAGGGTGATGTCTGAGGGTGCTTTCCGGATGGTCATGAGCAGCGTGCGGATCAAAGGAGATCTCGCCAATTTCATGGACATTGCCTGGATGTACAGCTTCGACTTTGCCGTGACCGGAGTGTTGGGAAGTGCGTTTTGAGCCGCACGAACAACTTCTGTTGCAGCCATTGTATCGGCCAGAGCGACCCGGCCGTCACGAATAGCTTCCTGAGTAAAAGTGAACAGCGACTGGTCTGAATCTAGCAAATGGCGAAGTTGTTTGGTGTCGCCATCGCTCAGTGTTTGTTTTGCGTAGGCTCGGAAAGAGTCCAGGTTGCGTATTGCCTCGAAATGATCCTTGGGCACGTCTTTGAATGACAAAGATGGGTCTAGGAAAATGCTGGGCGCATTTGCAAAGTAGGTGCACATGTATGCATATTGCGCCGCATCGACTAGTGAGTTGATACTTTGAATGTAGTCGCTCTGCCTCTCGAGCATGTTCGACGCTAGATTTGGTCCCAGCCAGATGGGAGCTTCGGGACTTGTTATGGCCTCAAAGACCTGCTCCACTTCATCGGTGGAGAGTTCCGCATCGAAGAGTCTTCCCTCTAGACAGCTGACTGCGGACTTGGACAGACGCTGCTGCAGGAATTCGACCGAGGTGGCCACATTGAAGAGACACGCAAAAGGTATGCGGCCATGCCAACAGCCCAGAAGCTCGATGAGTTCCGAGAGCAGGTCGCTGTCAAAAGCTTCCGTATCTTCAATAGCGATGACGACTTGTTGGATGTTGCGCTCCTGCACATAATCGTGGAGTATCTGAAGGTCGTAGTTCAAAAGCTTGGGTCCTTTCCGCGATGCAGAGTGCTCCTCCAGCTCATCGTCGTCATCATCAACAGGTCGTGAAGTCGCTTTCTGAATTATGGTTTTCAATGCGCTTTTAACGTTTGATCCCACGCTCGAAGATATGGGCACCAGAAGCCGTTTGATGCTACTTCCTCCATCCTGAGCCGATACATGTGCTGCAATGGAATTGCGGAGAGCAGAATTTGGCCCAGCAAGAATCAGGCCCGTCGGGATACGGTCCACCACTGGCTCACCTGCAGCTGCGTCCAGAAAAGCAGCGATATCGTTGACAGTGGTGGCATTGATGGTATTCACTTTCGCATCGATGCGTTCCTGTTGTGCAGACCATGCCCGTTCGTAGGCCTGTTTTCTCAGCTTCCATGATGCCTGCAGTCCTTGAGGCTCGGTWCGCCTGCGTTTTGTCGCTCTGGCATCGTCCGGCTGGAAGACATAGCACTTTTCGTACTCCATCGTAAGTCGATGTGATGTTGTATGCTGAAAGTGGTGTTTGGTTTGGGTTGGTTACGTGCAGACGCGCTGCCCAATCAAAAGGGGTCTGCGGGCCAAGCCGCTAGCTCGCGTCTGGGTGAAGGGAGCTGGGTGCATAAACCCTCCCAAGCCATATACGCAAAGATGAACATGGTCAAAAGTTGTCAATATCGATACCATTCGCTCACCTTAACCTGTCTGTTGTGCTTCATGGCCAACGTTAGTCCTGTGGCGAGGCATCGCGGCGATGCTGGCTCTGATGTGGGACGGTCTTGGCTCGGCGCACGTAAAATAGGCTATATAGAATTTTGCAAATTTTCAAATTTCATCTCAAGGGAGCCACAACAGCTTACGAGCAACGTGTAATATGGGACCTTTGGCGCAGCGGTAGCGTGTCTGATTCCAGTATCCGTTAAGGACTCAATCGGGACATCCAGAAGGTCATCCGTTCAAATCGGGTAAGGTTCAATACCATACACAAACTTTTTTTGCTCTTCTCGTGCTCTCCTTTTGGCCTCAATGACGCTCCCTCAAGGTTATGATCTTAGTGCTCCCCTCTTGACCTTACTGAWGCTCCCTGAAGGTCATGTTCTTGCAAGTAAGCCCTATTGTTGGATGTGATAAAAGTAGGCATATAGCAATTTTGACTCATTTTCGCTGTGGACGTCTTCAAACTCGCCCCCGCTGGGCTGAATACTAACACTAACGTTTTCTATCACTCAATGCAACGATCACTCAATGCAAGTGGCGTCCGCGTATACTCGCTGCATGAAGGATCCACGGACATTGTAGCGGCATGCGAACCTCTTGCCCCCGGCCAAACAAAAATCGGRAATTCCATCATTTTGGAAGAAGGTGTATACCATAAGTCCAACATAAGCYCCTCCCTGCAATAGACAAGCCTCACCACCACCTCTTCCAATCGCTAGTCTGATGGGAATGGCACGAACAACTACGAACAACAATTCGATAGCAACTCCGACGTCTGGTGCCTCGCATCCCAAAGATTGAGTGAATATACTGCTGGGCGATGTGAACGATGTAAAAAGGGCCCCGTGCTGATTGAGAATGTTGGCTTTGCTTCGAAGAACGGCATATGCTGAACATATCGCAAGTACAATACACTAACAGGACGTTTCAAAGTACTGCGTTACCCTTTGCATTCTCACTCGTCCAAAGTTTCGCCAGCCATGCGAGCAAGCGCTACGTCCGATGCATTACAGATGACCTCGTAGCGGAGAGGATGCACCGTTTGAGACACCCCAACCTTTCTCAGAGATGATGTGGACGACAGCATCAACCCCGCGGTGGCATTCATTCATTCCTATTCCCTCTAACCATGCTCATCCTCGCTCGTCCCAGGACAGCCATCCATAGCCTCGTCCGGGTATCGATACTTGCACCAAAAGCAATACTGATACTTTTCTCGAAGATGCGAGAGCAGCTTCTCAAGCCGCTCCCCAACGCCCAGCGCCTCATACTCCTCCAACTCCTTGTCCTCATCCTCCAAGTCCTCGACAACTTCCGTACCAAAAGCAAGGTGATCGTCCTTTTCTTCTTCCGGGTCATCGTATTGGCGACTGCGGGATCGGCTTTGTTCCAGATCATATCGCATCCGACGCTCGCGCTCTTTCTCCAGCCGCTGCTTGAGAAGCGGTCGCCAGAGCACATTCACCGACCGCAGAGGCACGTGCTTGCTGTCAACTTTCTTCCCTTTTCCTTCCACTTTCTCGCCTTCGTCTTTGCCCTCTCCCGGGATCTCACCTGTATCGAAACCCTCCAAYACCTTCATAGCAGACCACATGCATCCCTCCCGTCGTCGTTCTTCAGCCTCTTGACGATTCCGTTCTCGATATTCTTCGGCAGTGAGCTTCACCTTCTTCTCCTTGCCTTCCAGCTCCTCAGCGGCCTCGCGGAACTTGCGCTTCTTATCACYCTCCATACCGATACCACCTCGATCATCCTTCACCACGACCGCTATCGGCTGTGTTCGAGCGCCCTCGGTTTTTCCCAGAGCACCGCCCTTGAAGCCCATCTTGGCCATCATCATCGCACCCTTGTTGGAGCTGTCGATTTCCGTGGCCAGTGCCTTTTCACGTGCTTCCCTTGCCTGCTCCTCCCGCTCTGCCTTGGAGAGGACTTTACCACGAGCAGCCGATTCTCTCTTCAGACGTACCGTGCGTTGCAGAGGTGTCTCCTTTGCAGGCCGAGGCTCCTCAAAGGTCATGTTGAGGTAGTCATCCTCATCGTCGTCGCCGGCCATGTTGGCTGGTATTTTGTGGTTTGGTGATGTGTCGATGAAGTAAAGATGGCTTCAACGAAAAAAGATTTGCGCAAGACTTACTTGWTGGATTGGAGAGTTTCACTCGACGTCAATCAATATGCACGTGATTGATTTTCGCTGGCTTGCCAAATGGCATGCATGTGATGCTCAAGCTATACACGAAGATCTCTCCGTCGTGTAAACATAATCAATCGTGTGTTTGAAAGCACCACGGTTTTCAATCCGCATCAGCTTTGTCAATAGATGATGGCTTAGTAGTGATTTCTCGCCTAATTGAGCGATTTATGCGTGATTATATGAGCGAACGTGCGTGCACGAGGCAGAAAGAGCCGGATGAAGTGGGGAATGGAGTGGGGAATTAGCCCCGCAGATGACGGAATGGCGGGTGCGAAAGAACGATGGAAGAGAATGGAAACAAATTCACCGCAAACGGAGCTGTATGCATGAGGGAAAGTAAGGTACACTGCACTATCAATCCCTGCCCGCGCCAGGAACCACAAGAAGTCGTAGAGATATATATATATATATATTCCCCGGCCTTGTCCACCGTCTTACTTTGACCATTCCATTCATCCTTAAGGTACCGCCCTACACAGTCCATCATCATCATGGCTCCCAAGATCGCAATCGTGTTCTGGTCTCTTTACGGCCACGTCCAGAAGCTCGCCGAAGCTGAGGCAGAGRGCATCCGAGCTGCTGGAGGTACCGTCGATCTCTACCAGCTCCCAGAGACTCTTCCCCAGGAGGTCCTCACCAAGATGCACGCTCCTCCAAAGGTATGTCAACAAGGCAACAGTTGGTACAAACTTCATACTGACATACAATCTAGGACGCCAACATCCCCACCTTGACCGACCCCAAGACATTGGAGCAGTACGATGCCTTCCTCTTCGGTATCCCAACCCGCTACGGAAACTTCCCAGCGCAGTGGAAGACCTTCTGGGACTCCACCGGTGGTCAATGGCAGACGGGTGCCTACTGGGGCAAGTACGCCGGTCTGTTCATCGGCACCGGCACCCAGGGCGGTGGCCAGGAAAGCACTGCTCTTGCCGCCATGTCTACCCTGTCCCACCACGGCATGATCTACGTCCCATTGGGCTACAAGCACACCTTTGCCCAGCTCGCCAACCTTTCCGAGATTCACGGTGGTTCGCCATGGGGCGCCGGTACCTTCTCCGTAAGTCATCCCCGCATCCCCATCTCCATCCACACAACTAACCCCTCCACAACAGGCCGGAGACGGTTCCCGCATGCCAAGCGCTTTGGAGCTCGAGATCGCTACCCTCCAGRGCAAGGCCTTTTATGAGATTGTATCCAAGGTCAACTTCGCATGACTAAATGGTAGTGCCGCTGGAAAGCAAGAGCCTGTTGCCGCTGCGAAACAGGACGCTCCTAAACAGGAGCAGGGCGTAGCGAGTAGTGGACAAAATGGTTCTGCGCCTCAACAAAAGTCCGAGGATGAGAAGGAGAAGGGTCCCTGTGGTCTTCCGTTCAAGTGCTCGGTTGCATGAGCAGGTCTGCGTTTGTTAGTTATGAGATACCTTTTGGCATGAATGAAATGCATTGACATGATTGAGACTACTGCCATCTATCTTCCAGATCAGTATCATYGGCAATGCTTTTCGTGTTGGTCCATTCGTATCATTCGAGCTTCGTGCAGAATCTGTTCACCGATGACTCTGGTCACATGAAACCCAGCCGGGTGTGTCCTGCATACTGATTGTCTATCCCAATCCATTCGTTGTATCGTTATATATCAGCTACTGTGTATCATCATAGCTGTTCTCATAATCTATATTCGTAACCTCGTCACTCCAAGCATCCACCTCCATAACATTCGCGCCCGAATTGAAAGATGCCTTGGGAGGCGGAGGAATAGCCGGCAGAGCAGTCGAAGGAGGCTTCTCCGGCAATCCTCTCAACATCTCGCTGGTCGCAGCCAATGTCTCCAACGCAGCTTGTATCCAAATAGCCTTCTTACTGCTGACCGTGAGCGTCCATTTGAACTCATTCAAGCGACAAGCATAGAAGAGTGCTTCTTCCTCGGAAGGACTGGTCGCCATGAGCAGCGCTCCAAAGGTGCCGATCAAGGCAAAGTTGGAAGCGGATGCGAAGAACCAAAAGGCATTCAAATGCTCTGGTTTGAGTCGATTGACAAAGTCCAATGCACTGATCAGACGTGTTTTTGCTGCAGATCGGCAGATGCTCAGCATGTATGGATCGGTCACCGACGGCTCGAGAGATTGGACGATGCGGCGGTGGATGCTGATCTCGGTAGCGAAGTAGGCAAGATGCAAGTATCCGTGCGAGGAGATCTGACCGGCGGTGAAACTGTCCATCTTGCACTCGGCAGGCAACTTCGCAAACCAGTCCTTCAATTTGATCTGTACTGGCTTCGCACGGCTGAGGACGAGTTGCGTGGCATAGCGGCCGGCACGAGCATATTCCGCCTTGGCCGTCTCGCTGTAGAAGGTCTCGCAAACCTCTGCCATGATGCTGGTGAGAGCCATCATTTCCATAAACACAACGTGCTCTTTCGGTTGCTGGGAATCAGCTTCCTCCGTCTGACCGGAACCAGCACTGATGTTCTCGTCAAAGTCCTCCTCGGTGGGCTGAGGTACGTTCCAATCTGCTGTGTTGATGTGAGATGGGCGACCATGCACGACGGCACTCCACTTGTCCTGCATGTAGAGCGCCCACGCCAAGCGTTTGCGCAGCAGTCGCTCCCACAGTGGGATCGACCAGTCGGAGCAATCCAAGTGAAGCCCGATGTCCTGACCCAGAGCGACGAGCTGCACCGTCAAGGTCCATGTACTGGACTTGGCCCGTTGGAGCAACAACAAGCCGGCCTGTACCGCAGAGATTTTGGGTCTCTGCATCGAGATGGTCAGACTGGTCATGGCAACATACTCCAACTTGGCCACGTCGGGTCTCGGGTGTGCGGAGACGGCAGGCTCGAGATCCCACCAAGCCAGCGCGAGCAGATACATGGCGGCCAGCAGCGGCGGGTTGAACTGTCGGTCACCGTGTCGATGGCGATCGAGAAAGGCCTGTTTCTGAACAATGGGGTAGCTGGGATGTACATTGCGGAAGTAGATGTCAATCAGTGCGGTGCCGTGGGAGCCTACAATCTGGTCGATGTCGGCCAACGCTCGAGCCTCATCTTCGGGAATGGCAAYGTCTGCATCGGCGTGAGTGCTAAAGTACTCGGCACCTGCGACTTGACGAAGTGTGCCCACCCGAGACTCGGTCTCGTTCTTGTCGTTGAACGACCCCAGGCCGATGAGTGAGGCGTCCAGGGCTGTTGTCTGCCCCAGATACTTGCAATGTCTGTGCCGTTGTAAGCTGAGCGTTTCGTCAACGGCAAAAGGCTTCCTCATTGGGGGCTGAGTCTGTGCAGGCGGTGCGCTAGATTCTTTCTTGGCAACCGGGACAGGCGCCACAGGGCTCCCTCGTTGCGTGGTGGGAGGACTCTTCTTGACGGGAGGCTCGGACTTTAGACCATCGTCTGCTTTGCGTTTTCTGGGCTGCGCTTCCTCCAGAAAGGTGCAGTCCTGTTTGTGGAACTCGCAGAGGACACAGCGACGAGCTTCCTGCAAAACACACTTTGACTTGCGTTTACGACACCCGTCACACGGACGTTCTCTTCGCGATCGATTGGGAGGGGTACTTTGTTGCAGTTGCTTCAATGCAGGTCGGTTCTCCTTCCCTTCCAGAAGATGCGTTGGAGGCGAYCAAGCCGCCAGAGGACGAGGAGAAGGTCGTGGAGCCAGGGAAGGCGCTGATGGCGCTCTTACGGCTAAAGAGGGTGCGGTCATGACAGCAGCCATGGCGAAGATTTCCAGATAGGTGGGAGAGATAGGCAACAAATCGCTTGACGCACGGTAGTTCGGACGTGTAATGGGAATCCGATATGGGTTACACCAGCGCTGGAATGGCCGGTCCAGTGATATGTTGTGCAGACTTGCGGGTTCCTGATTGATCAAGAGGGGCGGGACACCACACAGGTTTCGTTCGGTGAAGGGGTGGCTTATCAGCCAGCAGGATAAGCGTCAAGACTCTTCAGGCAGATGTTCCCCAGCCCACAAAATGCCAAACACTAGGCGTGACTGGACGATCCGCAAAGGCCAGTGATGAGAAAGAGGTGATTGAGAGTCTTGGGGGTCATTTGGTCGACTTGGGAGTGAGGAGGAGTGTTCTCGGATCTGAGAGATCGTCGTGAACGTTGGGTAAGTTCTTCAACAGTAGTAGTATCGATGAGGCATATACAGTAACAAACAACCTCCAAAAATTGGCGAGGCACGCGAGATGGTCGTGTGCGCGAGAGATAAGTATACTCCGTAAAATCATGAGCAAAACGGAGGTAAGACTGTTTCCGAGATCTTCCTTCTGACAACCTCCCGCCAAGTTGGATCTGGAGAGAGCGACGCACAATTCGTGCAACCTTTGCRACTGATGAATACGTAAAAAGAGCGTGGAATTGCCTAAGAGAAACGGCAGGCTCCTGGAACGAAACGAGGGCTCAGAGATAAGGAACGCTACGGGCCAATGAGCTCGGAGACATTCCAGTTTGGCAAAGTCACACAAATTCAAAGCAGACTGGTCASCTAGGGGCACCCAAGATTAAGTTGGGGTGCCGAAAGATACCGATCAGACGATGTGGAGGGATGATCGCTGACCTCATCCCTCATTATTCATCCATGCCATGCCCGCTTTTTGTCCCATCCAGGGCATCCTTCCTTCCGCGTTGGCATCAGGGGGTGAGTAATGAATGATATTAACACCTGATGATGAGGCCCGACATCATGCTGTTGTCATCGAAGGAAGGTGGAAAGTCGGCAGTTGTCTCTATAAGGAAGGTACTGTTTTGTTGCGAAGGCGGTGTGCTCCCTGCGATTGGATCCTGAGGATTTTCAGGTCTCATCCTGCGCCACAGAAATCGAATTCCGTCTCGTAATTCTTGAGTCTTGACCCATCTGCCATGTCACACCAACGGCAAGGCTTTCGTACTGTGTCATTGTCGTCAGTCGTCCGGTTCAGGTGGGGAAGATCAGGAAGCCAATAGTGTTGAAAGGTTGAAACCTAGGCTAGGATTCTACTCCGTGTCAAGCATTCCGGAGTGTTCAGGACATTTACAAGGCGAGGATCGTCCTTGTCGTTCGTTTGGCATTATTTTCAGCTTGGCGCGGTGGTGCCACCGACTTGCAAGCACAAGAGCGATAGAAGGAAGGCGTATCGAGGCTGAGATGCGGCACGACAACGACATGTCTGCACAATCCACTTCTGTCAATCGGGCTTGTCGTGTCCCTGWGAGATGACTATCGGAGGTGAACGAACTCGAGGGATGGCAGAGAAAGGCCATCAAGGTGGGGTTAAACTTGTCATGCCCGATGGATCAAGAGCGTCCAGCCAGTGGCCCTACATCGTCAGTTGCAGAATCACAGAAGAAGGCAGGAGGTAGCATGGCATTCAGCACATACAATGGTCTCACGCATCTACAATGGAAATCTAGTCTTGCTGACGAGCGTTCACATTCTTGTATCATATTCAAACGAATTGATAATGTTCAATCCAAAGCAAGTCTACTGACATTCAGCAGGTCGAAATATACACTGCCGGCCTCTTTCTCCTCGAATACCCACTTTGCATACAAGCTGCGCTAGCTAGAGGACACAGCCAATAATGAGCCTTTTGAGCCGCGAGGCTCAGCGCTATATGCAGTGCCACCTCAGCCTCTTTCCAGCCGGAACAGGACGCACATTGCTGTCCTTTTTGCTACCCGTGGGTGAGCACGTAGAACCGCGGATCTTGCAAAAGTCACAGACGCAAGGAAGATGAAGAGAGTACCATGCGGCGATGTCCACCTCCTCCACTTCGGTAAGTCAGTGAGCTTAATGGCCGCCAAGCGTACGCTCATTGGGTGGAAAAGCTGCCGGATGCTGGCTGCGTAAAAAGGTCGCCCTACAGGAGCTTTCCAGTCTCCGAGAAGCGTCTGGCTCAACTGTACTGTAAGTGAGTTGCAAACCAATGGCAATCGCCAAAGATGCTGCAGGTGTATACGGTGGCATCGGCTTGGGGCAAAGGTCGACTCGWTCAAGCAAAGAATGCAGTACACAATGCCCTTTCAAGTCTTCTCTCAGCTGACATGAAGCCAGCTTCGTGAACACGAAAGATAGCCAAGTACCAATAGACAGTCGCCTTCGCGAAGCTCTTGCCACAAGTTTTGGCGTCCCGGCCTGGTTTTGGACCAAGAAATCACAGGAGGCGAGCGGTTACTGGTATTACAATAATAGCTCTGACAACACCGCTGGAAATTCCGCACCGCGCCCTCGCCACATCTCCGTCTTTCGCTTCATCATCAAATACTCTACTGGTGCTCCTTGGGCAGCACATGAGCCCGGACGGGCAGACTCCTACGATTGGCATCGCATGAGTTTCGTGACACTATACCGTCCCTCGACGTCCACCGCCACACTCCTTTGTATCGATGTGCCTGCTGCTTTGGAGAAGAACATTCAACAAGCTCTGATGGACATGAATTCGAACGATGTGCTTCTATCACACCCCTTTGCATACCACGAGCTTATCCTCGAGCATGTCGTTGACATTTACGATCAAGGTAGGTGCCATGGTAATCATTCYTGTCTGGTCGAATCTTCTTCAGTCGGTTCGTCACGACTAGGGATGAAATATGCTGACCGCGGTCTGCGATAGCAATATGGGCCTTTCGAGACTACGTTCGAAACCATGAAAAACATCGCCCATTACTCCCGAACCCACGTCCCGATTACGTCGGTATGCATGAACTGGCTCGACATGTTATGCACTCTTCCGAGGTATCAGCTACGGCACTTAATGTAATCGAGAGTATGCTCGACTCGCTTTCGACATACAGACACCACTCGACGGCAGGTTTCTTAGACCCGGCTCCCGAGATTCGACGACAAAAGTCTTTGCTCCAATGCATGAATCTACGCTCCAAAGCACTGGAAGAGCGTCTGCGCAACGAAATCAATTTGGCGTTTCACATCAGCGCACAGGCAGACAGTCTGATCGCGGCGAAGATAGCACACGCAGCGCAAGTGGACAGCAGTGCGATGAAGACCCTATCATTCCTTGGCTTGGTATTCCTCCCAGGCACATTCATCAGTGTGAGCATTCCATCTGCACGACTAGACGGATTAGATTGGAGACTGATGAGTACAACAGGCACTTTTCTCCATGTCATTTTTCAACTTCACGCCTGCTACAGAGGACCGACCCGAAGCATGGCGAATCTCGAATCGTTTCTGGATCTACTTCGTCGTTACCGTACCAGTCACGATGTTCACCGTTGGAGCTTGGGCTTACTGGCAGAGAAATGTGCTGGCGAGGCTGCAGAAGTCGCCTCTACGCGACGCCGGCGCCGAAGAGCAAGAGAAACCTGGCTCAATGAAGTATCCAGTAGTGTGAAAGATATCRACATTGACGAGTCGCAGAGGCGAGTGATTTCAAGCCCGCCATGCACAGTAAACAAGCATATCTGGTGGACTTGCTGTTTCTGAGATTGAGGAGGAGGTTGCTGTTCGATGCACGAGCACAAACCTCACAGCATATCCCACGCTCTGTTGGTACCCCGAATGATCTTCAGTCTATCTTTGTGATGTGCTTGCCCTCGTGGACCATCACATGTAAACAGAAAAAGAAGAAACACGAGCACGTGAGCTAGCCTTGGCAATGTCCAATAATAGAAACCACAAACATGCGTCAGCCTTCTTCGAACGACAAGATCGTKACGACCTGATTCACCATCATCAAATTTATCCCACCTACTTTGCGAGATGCAGACGTGAACACGAGTATCCAGTGGACGTGACCGACTGCGGTATCGCCGGTGGTAGCAAAGCAGAACATGAAGCTTTTGCTGCTCTATTTTTAGGTCTGCTACCGTCTACACTGACGGTATACGGTCTGGTCTCAAGCCTCATCGTGACATCGATACTACCATACAGCACACCGACGACTGCAATGCTACGACATCGTGAGAGGATACGAATTGTAGGTGGCCAAAGGTCACGCATGATGAGCACGCCCAACCAATCTCGGCACGACTACTCCTATCCGGTACAGACGTCAATCCCGTCTGGATTTCAGGCTYCCAGAGTTTTGGCATCTTGAGGTTTACGGATGTTATTTCCTACCAACCCGTGTGTTGTGCCTCATAGCATCCGGTCGATCAGCATTCAGGATGTTTGCGGGAGTCTTTGCCGCCGACATGTCCGCGCTCTCACCAAAGCTGAGGAGTCTACATTCTACTATATCAACTCCCCTTCCCTGTGTTATTATGATCTATATCTCCTACATCATCTCCTCACACTTGCCTACTACCTTGTCGATTCCTTAGACCGGTAGCAAGAGTTTCTTCCCACAATCGTTCCAAGMAACACATACATCTATCTACTACATTGTCGATTCGTTAGACTGGTAGCAAGAGTCCCTTCCCACAATCGTTCAAAGCAACACATACATCTACTACCAGTATGCATTTCTCTCGCTCTACAGCTACTACCGCTCTTGTGGCCTTGCTCCCTGCATACACACTTGCTCAGACGTGAGTATACCACCTCAAAAGGATATGAACGATTGCTGATCTCAGACCGCAGCTTCACCGATTGCGACTCCACCAAGGAGTCTTGCAAGCCTGAAGTAGGATTGCCATCGTCGAAACTGATTTCCGATTTCACAAAAGGCAAGAGCTCCGGCGAAAGCTGGAGTCCCGCCGATGGTACTTCTCTCAAGTATGGCAGCGACGGTGCCGAGTACGCCATCATCAAACCTGGAGAGGCACCTACTGTTGGCAGCGACTTCACCATCTTCTATGGTACCGTCGAAGTGGTTATGAAAGCTGCTCACGGTCTCGGTGAGTTGAATCGCTTCGTACGAGCTTTGATCGCTTCTCATGCTAATCTTCCGTTCCCCTTTAGGCATCGTCTCGTCCATCGTTCTCGAATCCAGCGTCCTGGATGAAATTGACTGGGAGTTCCTCGGCAGCAAGCCCAGTAAGTGAACGGGTACCTTTGATCCTGACCACCTTTCTAAACTTCTACTTCAGCCCAGGTCCAGACAAACTACTACGGCCTAGCGAACACAACAACCTACGACCGTGTCGGCTACCATGACATTGCAGACACACAAGCTGATTTCCATGCATACACCATCGACTGGTCACCGGAGCGCATCGACTTCCTGGTCGACGGCAGCAAAGTCCGCACCATCTCTCGTGCCTCCACCGAAGGTCGCAACTACCCCCAAACGCCAATGCAAGTCAAGCTTGGCAACTGGGCTGCCGGTGGACCCGGAATGGCAGAGGGAACTGTGGCATGGGCGGGCGGAAAGACCAACTACGATGATGGCCCCTTCAACATGATTGTCAAATCTGTCAAGATCACCAACACCAACCCAGCTTGCTCGTACAAGTACAGCGATAAGACCGGATCGGACACCAGTATTGATATCATCACGAAAGGTGACTCTTGCAATGGCGGCAAAGTCGCTGGAAAAACCGCCACCGAAGGTCCCACTCTCAGCCAGACTGTCGCGGACATTGTTCCAACAGCCTACATCAACAGCAGCACTTCAAATGGAGCTGCAACTAGCACCGGTGGTGCTTCTCCTTCGGCAGGCACCTCAGCTGGCAAGCCCAACTCCCCGTCTATGGAGACTTTCACTGGTGGTGCTGCGCTTCACAGTGTTGGAACTATCGTGTCTTGGTTGGCTATTGCTGCTGGGCTCTGGGTTTTGTGAACGTCAGAATGGATGGATGATTGAACGAGATCGGTGAGTGTGTTGTTGGAGCAGAGACTATACCCTTTGGATTCTTGTGCAAATAGCGACGGCGCTTCCGCATATTAGCGATGAGCACTGTACATATTATAGATTATATATTGGAGCTGACAGTATCAAGTTGGAAAGATGATGAATAATTTCGACAATGAGAAACACGAGGCTCAGTTACCACTTTATCGACATGTGAGTGAGTTTGCAAAGCACCACCCCTAGAGGACATCTGAGAAGAATGCTCGAAGGTTTGCACCTTTGAACGGCCCTCGTATGGAAGACTCTGGCCACACGTAGCCCACCTAATGCCCCAAGCCAGCATAATAGCACCCTACAACTTCGCCCTTACCACCTCCTCATCCCTAACACACAAACCCCTCTTCCTACCCACCTCCCGATCTCCCGCCTTCAGCACCCTCCTCAAAAGCTTTCCTGTCGGACTCTTGGGAATGCTCTCCGCAAACTCAATCTCCAGCACCCACTTGTACCTCACCTTTCTCTCCCGCACAGCCCCCAGCAGCTTCCTTCCAAGCTCCACCGAAGCTTCCCGTCCCTGTYTCAACACCACATAAGCCTTGGGTTTCTCCCCGGAATAGTCATCTTCGATGCCCAAAACCGCGCAGTCTTCCACTGCTTCATGGCCGAGGAGAATGTCTTCGAGCTCGGCTGGAGCGACTTGTTGGCCGCGTACCTTGATCATCTCTTTTATGCGATCTACAATGTGGATGAGTCCTTCCCCATCGAAGAATCCCACGTCGCCTGTGTGGAAGAATCCTCGGGAATCAAAAGTTTCGGCCGTGGAAGTGGGATTGTCGAGATATCCCATTGCGATTTGGGGACCTTTGGCTAGAATTTCGCCAACTTCTCCGACATTTAATTCTTTGTCTGGGTGGTCTAAAGAGATGACTTTTGCGACTGTGTTGGCGACTAGCTTGCCGCCTGTATGAGCGTATTTGTAATCGTAATGTGAGGGAGGATGGCATGTGATACAGGCTGTGCTTTCTGTTGCTCCGTAACCTTGCCGGAAGCCTGTGTTGGGGAATTTCTGGCGGAGGAGTTCGATGATTTCTGGACTTGTGGGTGCGGAACCCGAGGACCAACGTTTGACTGTTTGGAGGAGGGATGGGAGATACTTGTCAACAATGGAATCTCTGACGAGGCGGATGATGATTGGAGGGACGAGGATGAGTTCTCGGATGGAGTAGGAGATGATGGTGGAGAGCATGGAGTCCATTGTGAAGGAGGGGAGCATGATGCAGTTTCCGTTCATGAAGATTGGATAGTGGATATAGCGCACAAGTCCAGTGATGTGGAAAAGCGGCGTGACAGCCAAAGCACGAAGTTCCTCCCCGGGTTCGATGACCTGCAGTTGTCGAAGTTGATGACACTGCGCAATGACATTATGATGGCTCAGCATAACAGCTTTTGGATGGCCGGTGGTTCCAGAGCTGAAATTGAGATAGCCACAAATGTCCTTGTTCGTCTTGCCGGCAGGTATGGAGTATGATGGTTCCGGAGTGAATTGCTTTCCTTCTTCGATGAGTTGATGAATGCTTGTGAACCCATCCCTCGTCCCTTCGAGTAAGAAGACGTGGGAAGAAGGCATCCCGACGGCTTTTGCTGCGGCTACGGCAACATCTAGAGAGTCGGGGAGGGTGAAGAGGAACTTTGACTTTGCGGTTCTCAACGCGTAGGCCATTTCTTCCGCGTTGTAGRACGAAGAAGCGCCATTGATACGGCCGCCTGTGAATGTCGAACTCGTTAGTATTGCTTGCGTGATGATGAAATGAAGATAAGGAGTGTTGTGATGATGAACGAACCTCCACGAATTGTGGCCCATAGAGCCACGGGATACCAGATGGTATTGGTGGCTAACAGGGAGACTGTATCCCCGACTTGGAAAGCATGTTTTCGAATCAATGCGGTACTCAATTGGGTAGCCCGTTCTTTCACCTCGGAAAAGTCCAGGCGTTCATGTGTGATTGCATTTTCGTAGTGGCCAGTCTTGTTCTTGGCGTATACGATGGGAGAGAAGTCGCTGCTTTCAAAGGCCCATTGCCAGGTGGTGAGGTCGGTGGGGACTGTGGTATGTTGGCCAAGTGGTGGAGCGGGTGAGACATGGGGAAGTGTGACCTACTGTCGAGTTCTGGGTGATCTGATTTCCAGAGAACCATGTCTGTTGTTGGAATGTTGCTTACCAGTCAGGGCTTCATCACCAATTGATTCTACTGTATATCAATGTCGCATGAACAATAGTATGCATTCCAACCGGCTACATCCCGCCCCGCCATCCCACAGCCATATCGACACCCACAGCAGGCGGAACGGAACCTACAGTACAGTGCAGCTTAGCTTGGTGGGGAGCAATTGCAGCCGAGGTCGGTTTTCGCGGGCAGCAGCGATGTCGGGGATAATCAATTAGGCTGAATTGTGACTGTGGTGTGTCACACATAAGTACTCCTATCCTGTGATCCTTGTCTTGGTCTCCGGGTTAAAGTAGTCCTCATATCATCGCAGACACTGCACGAGACGTGTCTACCCACCCCCTCGACATGTGATGGGATCGTTCTAGAGGAAGTCACAATTGAAAGTACCTCGAGCACTACAATATATGGTGGAAATGCGGTGTTCCAAGATCGCTGGGAGTGGTTCGCGTAATTTGATTTCTCGAACCAGATGCTTTTTTGAGTCAGAAGCAAACCATGGGCATCAATTGGCCGGCTCGTAGGGACATCACGTCTTGCCCTTGAGATTTACTTTGGGGCGTTGACATGGGCAAAGTCAAGACGAATTAGCCGTTCAAGCCACCCGGATCTACAGGGCTAGATGCATGCTCGAGCGGTGGGAAACCTGATCGGGGGAGGTGCGATGAGATGAGAGATCAACAAGGCAACCTATGCATTGACGACTGCCTGCGTTTTATAGTGCACGCGGGGGTGGGTTTGGGGTGGATGTGCATGCTGTACCTTGGGATGAATAGCGGCGGTCCGGCAGGCTTGCCGAGAAACAGGTTCGAGCTACAGACAGACGTAGCTACCAGATTTTCCAGGTTTTGGCTGCTGTGCAGGTGGATACATGGCCTTTCGTCGATCCAATTGCCATGGCGGTGGGCGAAGATGCGGACGGAGCGCTGACCTGATCCAGCCGCTGTGGTGATCGCGTGACCCACAACTACTGTATGAGTTGCAGGCATCAGCGTTGGACGATGCATGCCGGAATCGACGCCGAGCCACGCAGGGACGTTGAAGAACTGTGATTCCCGCACGGGAGATGATGATGATGGTGATGATGCTGATCATGATGAGAGGGAAGAGTACGTGCACCTAAGGAAGGTACCCGAATTCGATGGATGGTGATGAAGGAAGGCAGGGTCCGGTTGGAACGACGACGATCTCCTTGTGCGTGCTTGCCGTTGTGCCTCGGCGATCTGCACGAATTGAGGTAGGTAGGTTGAAAAAGTGGCCTCCCTGTACATGGATGTAGCCTACCTTACGTGCGTCTTGGCAGAGTGCCGGGTTGGTGAAGAGCATCGCATCGCATCGGGAGCAGACGGAAGGGACATGTAGTTTTCCGTAGAATCKACCATCGGATCAACGTCAGCGCGCGGAAGCAGCGCTTTCCTGCGTGCATCGATCTACAGTACATGCCCCGTCTCTCAGCAGTCCCCACAGAATCATAATAGCTTGCGGCAAGGCAAGGCAAGGCAGGGAAGGGGACGGAGCTGTTGCACCCTAGGCGGATACCTTACCTTACCTTAAGGTATCCCCTTAGAGGTTTGACGGTGATAAGGTTGGTGCGGAGGTGCGGTAACTAGTTAATAAACCATATAAACTAGCTATTAGCTTGCATGTAATAGGGGACGTAATTGGCCGTAAATTAAAGCCGGATTAGAGCCGTTTTAAAAAGCTTTTAAACATTACCTTCTTAATATAGCCTTACCGTCTAAGTAAAGGGAAAATAGAGTCTCCTTATACACGCAAAACACGTAAGGTTAGTATAATATAGCCCTCGTTATATACACACTACTAACGTAAGTAATTAGCTAGTAATTAAGGAYTCTTAAGCCCCCTTACCGTTCTTATTACCGGCTCTAGCTCTTAAGTAGGAGCTAGCCTTATCGTTACCGCTACCTCTTAGACAGCGTAGCTTAATAGAGGATTTAAAGAACGCTATTAAAGCTATCTAGCAATTAAATTAAAGGATAAATAAAATAGAGCGTTAGTCTACGGAGTTTTAGCGGTCGGAGTCGCTAGAGTTAATAAAGCCGGAGTCTAATTTAGAGGCCGTACTAGCGTTATAGGATAAAGTAAGTAACTTAGTAGAGTTATTAAAGTTTCTTTAGAAGTGTATAAGGGGGCTTAAAGAGCGTAAAAGTAGCCGTACGTTATAGGCGTACGAAACGGCTATAAGGGATTTAGAGCGCCGGTTCTAGGAGTAGTATTAATTACCTAGTAGGTAGTAGTTTGTCGCTTTAATTTAATTGCTTCTTTATTAAGTAAGTGCTAATCTAATAAACAAGCGTAGTAAAGGGGATATTAAGGGCTACACGTTTTATAGTAATATCGTATATAGTATTACTTCTAGCGGATACGCTAGCCTATCGTCGTTAACCTATAGAGGTAGTAGATCCTCTTCTTTAGAAAGATGTTTACTATACGGTATAGGTAGGTCTTCTATAAACGAGGAGGGTTTAATAGTATATATTTACTACGGTAGACCTATATACGGCGGCTACGTCTAATTAATACTAAGTTGCTAGCGGTAAACTAGCCCTAGCTATTCCGTAGAGTAGCTAGCTCTTAAGCTATTTTATTTCGTCCTTACTATRCGAGTTACTAAGCGAGCTTAATTCTAAAGGCTCGTTACTCTCTAARAGGTAGATTAGTATTACCTTAAGCTCTAAATTCGTCGCGGTAGAGGATAAAGCTATTAATAGTAGCTATATCGAGTAGGAAGTAGAAAAGCRGATACTATAGCTTACGAGCCTTATATTATRTATTATAATAAGAGCGGAGTTAATTATAGATATTAACACCCCCTATATTATCGTTATAGAAGGCCGTAATCGTCGGAATAACTATATTCTAAAGAGGGTATATAAAGCAAGGCTATACGTAGTTCCGAATAAATATAGTAGTACTCTAGGGTTTTCGTCTTAGTCTCGAGATGCAGTCTAGCGGCTAATATCTAGTAGTAACGAACTATATAAGGTTCCTATCTTACTATAGGATATAGTATACGTTATAGACAGCCCTCGCCTATATCGTATCGTAGGGGAAGCGTATTACTAGCCTGTTTAATCTAACTAAAGTAACGCCGCCCTTCTAAGTTCTCTTTCTAAAGGTAGCTCTAGCCTAAGGCTAGCTTTTAGAGCCGGCTCTAATCGTCCCTATTACGGTAATTCCCTAGTATTATAGAATAGCTAGTAGCGGTATATTATTAAATAGAGTATCTATATAGATATAGAAGACATGCTTTAAAAACGGTAGTTAAAGGACGAGTACTAGTATAGCTCTAGGAATCTTCGAGAGCTACTAACTTAGTAAGATAATTAGCTCGGGTTCGTCCCGCTACTCGTATACGCTCGGACCGAAGTAACTCCGATATAGCTTCCGAATACGGTTAATATTCGTCTAACTTAACGAAACTTTAATAACCTCCTTCTTTACTATAATACGCCTCTTAATAGGCTAGCTACTAGTAGCGACACGCCGAGCATCTTCTACTAATTACTATGCTTTTTTCTTATCTATAGCGGCCTATTCTATAGCCGTTAACTCCTCTATAGCGAAGATATCTATATACTAGGGATTATCTTTAAAACTCTCCGCCCTATAGTTAGACTCCTTAAATCCTTCCTTCGGCGACGAGAATAAGTAGCTCTAGAGGTATCTACGCTTATAGAGGGCTAGGATATAATATCTAATAGGGGTAGGCTTTCCCTTTATTATTATCTTATAAGAAGAACGCCCTATAAAACGAACTAATACCTCGTCTACGGATACGTAAGAGCCTAGAGTTACTACCGTTTTAAAGGCCCTACGAAGGACGTCCGCTAACGGTAATATCTACTACTACGGCGGTGTTCCCTTCTACTTAGCCTCTAGGCTTCTAAACTATAGATACGCCTTAATTTGCTTCTACCTCCGTAGCGATATAAAGTTAGTAATTTTATATAATAGCTACTTACTATCCTTACGCTAGTAGTCGCTTTTATCGTTTATTCTAACCGCTAATATATATAGGATAATTACGATAAAAATCTTTATCTCTATAATAGTTACTAGCTTCTATCGATTGCTATATACCTATATACTAGCCGTATCTCCTCGAATACGATCCTTATACTAAGCGAGCCCTTTAATTAGAGCTAGAACTATCCGTATAAAGCGGAATATAGCGTACTCGTTAGTATATATTACTATTATCTCGAATACCGCTTCTAAAAAGAAGAGTTTAAAGAGCCGTAACTAGATACTAGCTACCGCTTACTAGAACGAACTTAGTAGGTTTACTTTACGCTCGTACTYCTCGCTARTAGGGTRTTTATAAGGCTAGAGCGGTTTATAGCGCATATTATTTATAATATCGCCTTAATTACTAGTAGTAGCTAGTYRCTAATCCTCTTTAAYACTATCCTTAATAATAGCTTCCTTAGTTCCGGCTTCTTCGTTAATACTAGCCTCTTTAATAGGCTYCTTATYTATACCGGTAGGTTCGAATTTATCTCTAAGAGTAGCTCTTATTCTAGTAGAGCTAACGATAAACTTAGGCCTATCTAACTTAGGCCTATTAAACGACTCGAATTAATCCTTAACTATACACTTATTATCGCTATCGGTAATATTACTATTACTATCTTAATCCGGAGACTAGTCCGCGTAGAAAGAAGCTATAGCGCTATTATATACTAGCCCTTAGTTATTTATCTAGAGTAAGGTTTGAATTTAATAGGAATTACGCTAATTACCTCATTAAACAGGGGGGTACACGGGCCTCTTACATCCTTACAGGCGTGACATTAGACGAGCGCTAATCAATGCTAATGCACGCTACTCCGGAAGCACTATTGGCCATGAGTCTGTACAGGGATGCCTGCATGCGTGTAAAAGCTGGGGTCAGCCTTAATAATCCGCCAGTAACGACAGCAGCAAGCAACGCAAAGCAAAGCAAAGCAGAAAGCTCTGGCACTTCTCACCGACCGACACCAGACCGGTCTTGCCCTCCATTGTGCTACCTTCGGCCCAGCTCCATGGACTGCGATTCGCGACCGTGACCTCGCCCGACAGACCGATACCTCGCTCGACACGTTTGCGACGTTTCTTGCGCGACATGCCCCGCGACGCTGCTCCTCTACGCTGAAGCGAAGCCCGTCCGGCGCCAGACACCACAACCACAGCCCCAAGAGGGCGCGCGCACTCCTGAAGACACCACCACCACCACTACCTCCTCCTCCGCCCCATCCTCGCTGCCATCATGGCCGAAGCACCGCGCGAACGTCCGCTGGCCGTCGCCGTAAACTCCAACCCCAGCGTCAATCCACATCCCACACCTCCTACAAACAACGAAGGAGCAGGCACCAACAACGCGCCCAAAGATCAGCTGCCGGGTCATCCCAGTTTCCGCCGACAGCGAGCTTCACGAGCATGTGAGGTGGGTGATGCGCATRCCTGTTGCATGGAATCAGAGGTGGAATAGCTAACAAATCCCTCACAGACGTGTCACGCCCGGAAGGTACGATGTGCTGGCGGGAAGAAAGTAGGCGGAGGATACAGATTCTGACATGCACAGGTCCGTTGCGATGCCGCTAGTCTCGGCGTGCCATGCACCAATTGTGTGGCCTTTTCCATCGAATGCAAGATCCCGGCTCCCAAGAGGAAGAAGACTGCGGGGAAGAAGGATACGGACAGGTAGGTGCACTCCTGCGCGGCCATGAATTGGGCGGGTGAGGATACACACTGACCATCAATCATATGCAGCGATCGAGCAGAATCCAACGCCGACAATGATCAATCCCCGGGAGTCAACAGTGAAGCCTTTCCCGGACGCAACGAGATGCCCATGAGTCGTGATATCCCTCCAGAGAAGATTGGCCTCAACACTTCCGCCGGTATGCCCAAGGCAGAAGGATCGGAAGCCTACTACGCCAGCCATCAAGCTATGACGGGGGTCTACGTGCAGTACATGAAGCCCAAGTTTGCCAGAGCGCCCATCAAGGAAGCTGGACGGGTGGCATATCTTGGCGAATCCTCAAACCTTTCCCTCCTCGTCCAGGATCGACATGGCGCGAATGATGTGGTCCACTATCCTCTTCCAGACAATGTTCGCGGAGCTCGAGCGCGCATCAACGAGCTCGATAACGTTGAGATTGACATTCTACATCAACGAGGAGCTTTCCTCCTCCCTCCACGCCAGCTGTGCGATGAGCTGGTCGAGGCTTTCTTTACCTGGATTGCACCCGTGGTCCCTGTCATCAACCGCAGCAAGTTTATGCGGCGATATCGGGACTCGAAAAACCCGCCTTCCCTTCTCCTCCTTCAAGCAATCTTGCTTGCGGGTTCACGTGTGTGCAAGAACCCTCAGCTAATGGACGCAAACGGATCAACAACACCAGCCGCAATGACCTTTTACAAGCGTGCAAAGGCGCTTTATGACGCAAACTACGAAGACGACAGAGTAACGATTGTGCAAGCGCTCATTTTGATGGGATGGTATTGGGAAGGTCCAGAGGGTGAGCACCGCCAAACGCACATCTCTGTTCCAGACCCAAAATCTAACATTGCCGCAGACGTCACGAAGAACGTATTTTACTGGAGCCGAGTAGCGGTGATTGTTGCTCAAGGCTCCGGTATGCATAGGAGGTGAGTGGGACATGCCCTTCACACGAGGCATAACATACTGACATTCCCTCCAGCGTCGAAGGCTCACAACTCACAAAGGCGGACAAACGACTGTGGAAGAGAATTTGGTGGACATTGTTCACACGAGATCGCTCTGTTGCAGTCGCACTTGGCCGTCCAGTTTCCATCAACATCGACGACTCTGACGTGGAGATGTGCACCGAAGACGACTTCATCGACGACGAGCCTGATCGACCCGCAGAGTTTCCTCCGGACCCCGTCCACGTACAATTCTTCCTCAATTACGTCAAACTGACAGAGATCATGGGTCTCGTTCTCTCCCAACAGTACTCGGTAGCATCCAAAGGACGACAGCACAATGCGCTTGACCTAACACACAGCGACATGGCACTTGCGGATTGGCTTTCGCACTGCCCAGCAGAGGTTCGATGGGATCCACAAAGGCACCATTTCTGGTCCGCACTACTTCACGCAAACTACTAGTAGGTGTCACGCTAGGCTCTGTCCTGTTTCCACAATGATTGACATGTCGTAGTACCACCCTGTGCCTCCTCCACAGAGCACACATGCCACCAGCAGGCGCAGGCGACGCCAAGCCGATGAATGGCTATCCCGAAGAAACGGCCTATCCATCTCGCGGGATTGCATATCAAGCCGCCGCCATGATCACGTCCATCATTGAAGCGTTGCARACACACGACCAACTACGTTGCACTCCTGCATTCATGTGAGTGCACACAAGACACAAAGCGCGTGGCGTCACAGTTACTGACAGCGGATGCAGTGTCTACAGTCTCTTCTCCGCATTGATCATGCACGTCTATCAGATGCGCTCGACCAATCAGTCCATCGTCACCGCTACACAAAGTCGGCTGTCCACTTGTATGACGGCGCTCAAGGATGTCTCCAAGGTTTGGTTGGTCGCGAAGATGGTGCACACCCTGTTTGAATCCATTCTTGGAAACAAGGCTCTGGAGGAACGGCTACAGAAAGCAGCAGGACGTAAGCACAACAAGCACAAGCCGAATGGCAGTAAGAAACACAGTGTCGATACGCCACCAGTTGATCCAGCAGACCACAAGCGGAAGTTTGATGACATGGAACTGGGATACTCGAATGGACCGCCTGCTCCGCAAATGTCGTACGAGCGATCGCGACCTCAATCACCAGCTTTGTCACCCCAACAGAACCTTCCATCGGGCAGTCAACCACCCGAGATGCCAGGAATACCAAACATGACGGCCAGCAGTCCAGTTATACGACACGGAAATGACGCATTCATGGGGCGTTCAAGACCGCACACCCGACCGACATCACCCTTCAACAACTTTTCATATCCCGGTACACCTCCCGACTTTTTCCTTCACACCAGAGGATCGCCCAAGATTGCCGAAGATGTATGGCAGAACTACCAACCCGATCAACTCTTCCCGCCGGAGTCAAATCAGCTCTTCAACGCGTTCTCCGCCAGTTCCCCCCAACAGATGAACGTCGACCCTTCACTACGCACGCAATTCTCACCATCACAGGCGGCCAATCTGCAAAGCCCACAAGGCATGCAACCCATGTCTGCTGACGGACAGAATTTGACTCCACAGATGGGGTACAATCACGATCCCGCGGCATGGGCGCATTTACACACGCAAAATCAACACCGGCCTGATGACCAATGGAGTAATTCCAGCAGTACGGGCGGACCGATTGTGCCCACGACGCTGAATGTGGGAGATTGGTTCGAGTTCTTTGGGATTCAGAATGCGAGTGAGATCAATGGGTTGAATGGGTTGAACGGGATGAATGGCGCCGCTGGTCCTGGTCCGCCTCCTCCCCCGCAGCAGCAAGGGAACTTTGGGTGATGCACATTGGCATGATGAGTGTCTGTACGATGGAATTTGGTGCGTGTCTGTTTGCATTGGGCGGCTATCAGCATGGAGATGGTATGAGGGTACATCTTGTCGGCGAACACAGAATTGGCGAGGGTCGTTAATTTCGAGAGAGATGCATACATACGGCAGCAGCAGCGGATGTGTGAGGGAGCCAGTCATGAACCCCGGTGGTTCTGCTCTGGTGCAAGGGAGACGAAGCAGGCAGAGTTTGGCAAGGTATGGAATTGATGCGGAGGAAGCAGAGATGGGAGTTGTATGCATGCATGGATGGGATTTAAAGGAAGCATTTTGTGAGGCAGTAAGACATTTTGAGGAAAGGGAAAAAAGTACGATTGAGGTCAATGCTGGACTTTTACTTTACTCGCGCTGCCTGTTTGGTGAAGGACATTTGCCAAATTGCTTGGTGGTTAAGTTGTTGGGACGACGAGGCTCTGATCTGATCACTCTGCAGAAGGTGTGAGATGAGGAAATGGAAGTCTTGTAGGCACTTCTCATGAGCTGTCTGTACGGAGTAATGCTCTGTTGAATACGTTCGTTCGGTCTATCTCTCCGCGGGATCTGCGGTCTGCAGGTGGACGTCATCTTTTTTCTCCGTCGTCCTCGAGTAGCTATCTTCACTTATTTGATATCCTTTACCAAGGAAGCATTTCCTTGATACGCAGCATATTCATAGAACAGCGTCATCGTTCATCGACAACAAAACTCACCAGAAGTTCGGGCACAAAGAGATAACAATGCCCTCCCTAACGACTCACCTCCTCTCCCTCCACCCTTCCCTTCTAGAAGAAGCTACTACCCATCCATTTCTCCAGGCCGCCGCGACGTCCTCTCTTCACCGCCCTCATCTCATTTCCTGGCTCGCTCAAGATCGTCTTTACGCTTTGTCGTACATAAACTTCATTGGATCGTTACTCTCGCAAATCCACATACCTACTACCTCTCCCTCGGATCTAACGAACCTGAAATGKAGAACTGCAAGCACGCTCATAGATTGTCTGACAAACATCCGGAGGGAGATTCATCTTTTCGAAACCATAGCGAAAGGAGAGGGAGATTTCGAGGAGATTTGCGAAGCTAGAGAAGGTAGAGCCACGAGGTGTTATCGTGACCTCTTTGCGGGAGCTACAGCTGGCGGAAAGCCGACGATTGTGGGGTTGGTGGTGCTGTGGGCTAGTGAGGCGTGCTATTTGAAGGCTTGGAGGTATGCGAGGGAGCATTTGAAAATCGAGGAGGGAAAAGGGGATTCTATGCAGAGGGTCTTTATCCCGAATTGGAGTAATGACGAGTTTGAGGCTTTTGTCTCACGTCTGGGAGAGCTGGTTGATGCGTATGATGTTGATGAAGGAGGGGAGGTTTGGAGGGAGTGTGAGGAGGCTTGGGCGCAGGTTTTGTTTTGCGAGAGGGAGTTTTGGCCGATGGTGGAAGGTTGATTGTTGTCTTGGAGCAGGTGTAGATGTCGAAGTATCTGGATGCTATGCCAGGACTACCAGACCAAGTGTTCTCACACCTATCTTTCGATAAAGAGGTGCGGCTGACCAGTTTCCTTCTCGACCGCCGACGTTAATCAAATTTGACCCCTTTCAGTTTGTGTACCTTGTTCCCTTCTCCGGAGTATTCATCATCTTAAACATTTGGGCACAACCCTAAGACTGCATAATTCTCTCCAAAACTAAACTAGAATTTTCTTTGTACATATATAGATAAGACCTAACCTTCTAAACTCCATATTGCGACAAACGTGAAACGAGGGTGCTACCCAAACCCTAACCCTAGACTACGGAGGAGGGCATAAAAAGGAGGCAGCGGCTGACCTAGTTCTTAACACTGCTGAACAAACAAACAGATAAGCAAGCAAATAAACAAACACTGCTTTGTTTGATAAAGGGGTTAAACTACATTCGACAAGCCCGGTCGGATTGTTTAATTAATCAGACCGTTAATCAAGTTCGACGGTTTAGTATTTAGTGTATAGTTCGATTATAGTATAATGATACAAACCTCCCGATCTGTTCGTTTCGCTTAGCAAACCAGTCCCTAAAGAGCCCGACTGTTCGGGTGGCCAAACTATGAAACTACCAAATCGGTGCCTTGTTTGTTCAGCATGCTTTGTAGGCTTATAAGTCCACGAAGACGAGACAGAGGAACATTATACCAATTTCCCTCTTTCAAGGAAGTCAGTATATCGAGATCCTAGGTAAGTCATATCGCTCGTGTGATTGCCGCCCTTTTTTAGCACGACAATCCAGGTAGACAGGCACGACTGAAATGCTAATTCAATCACTAGGCGAAGATGATATACACATATGAAATACGCTCTCTTATACTGTATCTCGAGAACAGTAGTATATACTAAGCTACCCATCAACACCGTGAAGTAGCAAACGCCGACGACCAAACGTAGAGAAGGTGTGCTAAAAGGGGCGATAAAGGCTAGGGTGGCGCCAGACAACATGAGACGCCTAGGTGAGGCGGTCTTACGTGCCTACTTTACGCCCCTTTCCAGCACGGCCTCCTAAGCCAAAGGACGTGCCGAGCAAAGAGGCGTTCATTAGCTTTCCATAATTCTGTCCATCAGCATTGATCTTGCGACTACAACCGAGACATGGATTGTAAGCCATGCCTAGCCATCTTCTGCAAAGATATTGCTCACCCTCTTTATCACATCGACAATGTCACTCCCATCCAAGTCATCGAGGCGGACTTGGCGAAGCTTGGATACAAGAAGGAGCTCTACATGGGTCACTACGACAATCCTTTGGCCCTCCATGAGGAAGTCATTCAACAAGCCATCCCACCGGCCACGTCAGAAGCAATTGCTGGCGGACCATGCTGCGAGACTAAGCGCTCTCGATTCATTCATGGGTCGCTTTGCTGATGGCAGGGAATCTAGCAGGCCCAGAATCGTCGAGCCTGCAGAGAGCGAGGTCTTGGGGGATACATCGGAGTCGCACTGAGTCCCATGTGGGCAGCGTCTGCTCGCCTCTCCAGACAGCATGTGAGGCCTGCTTACGACAGGATCCCACCACGCTCAGGCAAAGCAAGAGGGAGGATCGTGAAGCCACTCGATCCTGCAAATGCGACGGATCTCAAGTGGCGACGTCTGAATGAGAACATTCAAGGCCCCACTGGAGGACCCAGCCTCGTGGAGCGTATGAAGGAGTCCACTGTCAATATTCTTGCCGCTCTTGACAGTGGCTTCCACGCTCGCATGGGTGATATTGAGCGGAAAATGCGCCAAAACATCCTCGAAACTTTCGACAACTCGTTCCCGATGTATGAACGCGAACCCAATGCAAAGGATCGAGAGGAAAAGGTCCTGGAGGTCGTCGACAAGGGCCTTCAGAGATATCACTACCTCAAGCGACTCGTGGACAACCCTAAGACGTATGAGCTTGACAAATGAGCATTGGATTGAGTGTCTCAATGTTCAAACTAGTCATCATAGTGGAGCTCTACCTCGATAGCGTGCAGGGATTGGCAGGGATCATTCACATTTGTATCTAGGCATAGCATACTGGTTGAAGAGGTTCAATATGAATCTTGGGCGTGGGCCTCGACCAGGAGGATCTCATCCATCCCACCCCATGTAGCTAGCTATATCCCCAGATGACGATTAACGGCTGTGCAAGACACGAACTTTCGCCCGGCGGATGTGATCTAGCTTCGTGATGTCTCTAGGTTCTCCAGCGTTTCACACTCTTACCAAGGGCGGACTCCGAGTCTAGGGTGGCAGCATCCGGCGATCTGGTGTCATGCAAATTGACGCTACGACCTGTCCCGGTATCTTTCTTAATCCGCTTCACCGGCCGCTTCTTGCTCTTTGCCTTCTTCCGCTTCCTCCCAAGGTAGATGATATCACCGTCCGAATGCGATCTGCTACAAATCTAATGGTCCGTCGTTCTTGTCCCCGTCGGCGCGTAGTACTCCTTGTATGTTCCCAAATCGTCGGTACATTTGACCAATGCGGATCGTGAGTGCTGATGGCTTGGTGGCATCAAAATCTCCCTTGGATTTGTCCCAGTCTGTTAGCAGCATATCAACGCTATCGGATTGTTGTCGGCTCTCAAGTTGAACACGACGGCCGCAGCAGCCCTGGATTCGCGTTCGTCGGTCATTCCACGCACGCCTCCGTGAAGTTGACACGGTTGTTCGGCATGGCTGGCCAGTAGAATTGAGTGATGAGATGATTGATGATTGATGATTGATGGTTGGTGTTTGGTAGAGTCGAGTGATGAAGTGGTTGATATTTGCGGCAGATGAGGAAGTGAATATGTGTACAGCAGGCAAGATGACGTGTGCTGAGCGGCACAGAATTGAAGCGGCTCGGAAGCACAGAGAGATATCCGCCAACACGAAAGGCCGGAAAGGGGGTCTCTCCGCAACACTGCTGGTTCTGATAGGGGTAGCACCCCGTCCCTGAGCGTAATCGTTGCTCAAACATGAAGAGAGTCGGCAATGTCCCAGCAGAAATAGCCACCCGTCCATTGATCATCGCCTTGCTGATTCAGTCGTCGGCCTTTCTCCTCTTAAAGCATTGGCTGACATCATGCCATCGGCTCAGCATCCTATGGATACTACTCATTATGCTTCTCACCTATCATTTCGCATCCAGGCATAGCCTCGATGCAACTACAAGAGCTTACAGCAGGAATAGCTTCTACCTTTATATTCTATTTACTGAGTCTCTCAGCACGCTCCTCGCTATTCCAGAAATCACACTGAGCTCTGCGATATGAATCATTCTCCACCACCGTAAAATTGCCTGGACTGACCAATAGCTGCTCAGCGTCTGCACCCTTGGCCGCATCGTATTGCGGCCACTTTGGTGTCCCTTCGAGCCTTGCAGTATTGGGATCTCCAGTGGTCACAAAGCTAGCTAGATATGCGTGGTAGATATCCCCAGTCACCGTGTACGGGACTTTCCTCGAAGCCCAGGTGTATCGCGTGTCGGAAGTGTGCGGGATACCACGCCAGCTCTGATATTGCAATGGGGCGTCAGGAGTGTTGAAGTGCAAGCGCCAGACTGGCACACCAGCAGATGAGACTCGGAAGGCGGTCTCTCGACTAGGACAGATGTATGCATAATCTGACCAGGCCTCTGATACGCGGTTGTATTGTGTCGAGTTCGGGGAGCTGGAATAGATGGAGTCTGGATGTGCGGTTGGATCGGGGTAGAGATCGTTGATAATTGCAATATCGGTGAGGTTAAGGTACGGGCTGGTTTGGAGCATGAACTGGAGGAAGTCATCATTTGTTTGAAGATTGCCTGGTGTGTAGTATTTGCCCTCATTGCTGACGTGGGATGTGATGGCTGGGAGATGGAAGAAAGTGCCCTCACGTCCGGACACCGAGCCAGGTCGCTCCAGTAATGGACCTCCCAGAGTAGGCTGGAATGGCCAAGCGATGAGGGGGGCTCCGTCGCGGTACATCTGAGCACTCTCGGACTGGATCATGTCGATGGGCGCTGCTCGAAGGCACTCTAAGGTGGCAGCGTTACTCGCGTTAAGGGGGCAATCTATGGCGTTCATAAAGCGGTTGAAATCTGACTGGTACTGCGGAAAGCTGGAATCGGGGAATCCTCGTGCAGTGACAGATCCAGATTGGTGAATGACCCGAGCAAAAAGGGGATTGCCAGTGTCGTTTCCATAGTTGTGGAAGTAGTGGATGCCGACTGAATGGGCTCCAGCAGATCGACCACCAATTGTGATTTGATCTCGATCGCCACCGAAGGAGCCGAGATGGTCTTGTAAGAATTCAAGGAGGAAACGCTGATCCAAGAGTCCCAAATTCAGGAGACCTTCCTCCTCGAAAAGAGCAGACGGTAGGAAGCCAAGCGAGTTGAGTCTGTAGTTGAATGTGACAACAACGATTGGATTCTCGGACGAGGCTGTAAACGAGGCACCATCGAAACTGCGCGCCGATCCTTGCACGAATCCGCCGCCATGAATCCATACCAGAGTAGGGAGCTTCTTGCTGAGGGGTACATTGGCTGTACGAAAGACGTTGAAGTTCAAGCAGGCCTCGTCTTGTTCATACGAGATCACCGAGGGGTCTTGGACACATACTTTCCCATAAGTTGATGCGGATCGACTTCCCTCGAATGCTGTTGGTCGTGCCTCGACGGGACGGAATCTGCGATCGCCTACTGGCTGGGAGGCATAGTCGATACCCAACCAGGCATCTACCGATGCGGGTAGCGTGTCGTTGGTCAGGGAGTCGTTGACCGTCAGTCCTTGAAAGGATCCATAGCCTGATAGGCTGACAGTGGGGGTCKTGGCGGAGGCCGCGAGTACGTGCTGGCACAAACCCAAGAAAGTCGCCACCCTACGCATTTTGAAAGTGGCTGTGTAGTATGTGTAAAAGTCCGCGAAAGTACAGCAGAGTCCATGTACCCTCTGCGGCTCATTCTTGAATCTTCCGTCATCGGATCGGATGTGAGAGAGACGATGGGGCTGGCTCTAGCGACGTCTTGGCATCCTCTCTAGGAGCCAGCCTATAGGCTCTTTTCAGGGTGTTGAATATGGGGAAAGGGGCACAACGTCGGTCCGGGCTCGGGATAACCTGCTCACAAGCACCTCAGCTCGTCTGGCTCCTGCATCGGATGTGTTTACTGCCCACCAAGCTATCCAACATGAAAGCCGAAGAACCCTGCAAAGCTATGGATACATTTCCAGTAGTCGCAATACGTCGTGCCTGGTGCAATGCTGGACTAGCAGACACGCAAAGTGGTGGGAGCTGTTGATGGACACGTTGGAGCCTGAGAGATCTGGGTTAAAGGAGACAACATCACACTTTGGCAGTAGATGAGGTGTCTTGGGTATCCAAGGTAGAGAGGATTCAACATCCGAGTCGCAGCAAGGTCAGGCCTGCTCCTCTATATCCTCACTCGCGTCCTGGAAGTCCTGGTCCGAGCCGGCAACTGCAGCAGCAGCAGCAGCTCCATCTCCGTCTTCTTCGCTGCTTACTTCACCCACAGCCGCTTCTTCCCTATTCCCCAACACCTGTTCCCTGCGGAGAGACTGCGGCGCTGGGGCTGCTGCTGTTGTCCTCCGTCCAGGAGTCAACTGCCCCCCTCGTTCATACCATCCATCTCCGAGCTCCTCTGCTCACCCGACACATGCCCTTCGTCTTCGGCGCCTGGCCGGGTCATCAGAATGACTCATCGTTATCTTCTGTCATTGTACCTCTCAAAGTCGGCGCCTGGAACAGACAAGCCTGCAGTGGTCAAAGTCGTCTCGCCAATTGGAACGGTGGGAGTCGAGTCGGGGTCGAGTGTTCAGGCAAAACAGCAAAGATCGAAATTCCGGGGCAATCTGTGATGTGAGGTTGTGATGTTTGAAAGAACACTTGCCGATCAATTTCTTCGCTTTCAGACTCGAGTAAACTCATTGTGCCATGAACCGTCCGGTCCCAGTAGATGAGAGCGTCCCCAATGCCTTGTCAAGGTCAAGATCTCAGGCGTTGACTTGAGTCGCGCTCTTCAGATACGCGTTCAAGACCCATAGACAGTAGGTGATAGTTGTAAAAGGCTCCTGCCTCGTAGTGCTGCCAGCTGCAGTAACAAGATATGGACGCTCGCTCACCGTCCAGCTTCATTTCATGGTCACGAAGTGATCTTTTCGGCCAGGTAAGCAGCAATCGATTAATGTATCCAGCAGCAAATATCGACATTGAATGTCTTGGTACAGTCATTATGTCGTCTGCAAACCTACGGACCGCCTACCAAGTTCCCGAAACTCCTAGGACGACCCTACGGACCTTCTCTGTTTACTTTATAGATTCTCTACGAGTCTCTATTAGATTTTTTTAAAAGAATATACCTCCTTCCTTCTATTCGAACCGAAGAAGAAATAAGTATTTTATAAAAAAAGAAGTTAAAGATAATATATAGTAATAGCTCGGATATTTACTAGCTCCGCGGTAGTAGCTTAGTATAGATTATAGTACCTACAAAAAGCAACTTATATTCGAAATTTATACTTAAATCTTCTTTTACATTAATAGCCTATAATTCCATCTATTTAACTACTTTATGTATATATCTTTTTAAAGTAGAGAAGTTAAGTGTTCTATAGTAAGCATTATTAGTACTATTTCTAAAATAAGAATATTAAAGCTCTCTTATCTCGATTATTATTAGAGTAATAAGGACGTTTAGGGTAGTAAATAGAAGCTAACGGATAGCTCTTTTAGATTAGAGTCTAAGTTTGCATTTAAGATAAATACTAGGTAATATCCTAGCACGCGTAGATCCTAGTACTAAATTTACTAGGGATATAAGATTCCTCTTATCTCGCTTATTACTAGACCGATTAAGACGTTTAAGGTAGCAAATAGAAGCTAACGGGTAGCTCTTTTATATTAGCAATTTAGTTTCTATTTAAGATAGATACTAGATAAGATCTCAGCACGCGTAGATCTAGTACTAGAATTACGAGGGATATATAAGATCTCTCTTATCTCGCTTAGTACTAAACCGATTAAGACGTTTAGGGTAGTAAATAGAAGCTAACAGGTAGCTCTTTTATATTAGCAATTTAGTTTCTATTTAAGATAAATACTAGGTAAGATGTTAGTACGCGTAGATCCTAGTAGATTTACTAGGGAAATATAAGATTCGTCTTATCTCGCTTATTACCTAACCGATTTAGACGTTTAGGGTAGCAAATAGAAGCTAACGGATAGCTCTTTTATATTAGGGTCTAAGTTTGTGTTTAAGATAGATACTAGATAAGATACTAGTAGGCGTAGATCCTAGTATATTTACTAGGGAAATACAAGATTTCTCGTATCTCGCTTAGTACTAAACCGATTAAGACGTTTAAGATAGCAAATTAAAGCTAACGTATAGTTCTTTTAGATTAGAAATTCAATTTCTATTTAAGATAGATACTAGGTAAGATCTTAGTACGCGTAGATCCTAGTAGTTACTTAGGATATATAATTTGTTAATATAGCGTATAAACGCTACTTAGGCCTTACCTACTAGCGTATAATAGGCACGTAGGATATATAGAAAGACCTAATTACTTTACGTATAAAAGGGAGAGGCTTATTTAAACAGGCTCGTATAAGTCTACTAAACGAAGAAGGAATAAGAAGGAGCAAATAGGTTAGGCCTAAGAGGAATAAGCGTATTTACTATATAGACGGTAAGAGCGTTTTAAACTATAAGCAAGCCGTCTACTATAATATTAGCAAGGCCTAGAAGTAACGTCTATACGCTACGTAGCTTTTATATTAAAAGGTGTTTAGGTGCTTAGACTAAAGGCGTAGAGCTAGCGAAACTAGCTAACGGATTATTAACTAATCTAGCTAGCTAGCTCTATAGCTAAGGCCTAAAAGCTACGTTATGTACGTGCGCTATCTAATAATAATAATAATAAGAAACGAAGGGTAGGTAAAATTAATACGTACGGCTAAGTTTAGATAGCTTAAGAGGTATTCGGTTACATCTTCGGCGCATAGACCCTTTCTATGTATAAGTGCGCTATCTTATAACTACCTCCAACTCAGCTATCTGTTCTCTTTATATCGCATTCCCTCCCATCCTATCTCCACCTCTATCTACCACTCGTATACCCAGAACTCCACCTCCACCTCACTGCATAATAGACCAAAAAATAGCGCTCGTTTGCAGGGCATCGCCAAAATTCAACGACAGCGGCAACGACAGCGGCAACGACAGAGGTTGTCAGAGGATCTCGCGACGAGCATGGAACACGTCTTGCGGCTGGGTACCAGGCAGGGTTTCAACTCATCCGCCGAGGTAATAGAGCAGGCCAAGCAAATCGTTTGGAATATGTTCCCAGAAGTCAAGGAGCAGATGGTTCGTCAGGAAAAAGAAATCACGGCTCTCATAGCTGCCAAGTTGGAGGACAGCAAGCTGCTGGACGGCTTTGACAAACAGGTCGAGGATCTCAGACAAGGACTGCGCGAGAAGGTGCCGCTCTCTCTGTCCGTCTGTTATTCATCCTTGCTCACGATGAATCAGATTCAGGGAAATTCTTGAATCGCGACACGCTCTTGCTGCCGCTAAGGGCAAGGCCGATCAGTGCTCGAACCGCATTGCCCAACTCGACAATACTGCGACCGAGGCCGAGCAGATGCACTCAGCAACCGTGACGGAGCTCAAGCAAGAACTTGACGCCGGCAAGAGACAGACAGCATTCCCGCCAAATCGTCGAGCTCAATCAGCGATTGGAAGGCGTGGAAAAGAAAGCTGGAGGGAACGACGGCCTCGCACGGGAGCTCGGCGATGCTCGACTACGCTTCAAGGAGATCAAAACCGCGATCAGCAAGCGCGAGAGGCAGTGGGAGGCAGTGGGAGGCCGTCTGGTAGGCGTGGCTGATCTTCATGGACCGCTTCGTCCGTCAAGGCTTCGCGGTCACACCAATGACAGCTGCAGAAGTGGCGACAAAGACAGCAGGTCACAGTTTGCGCAAGGAATCAATTTCTCGAGTGGGAGCCGAGCTCTACACTTGAAGGTGCTGCTGAAGACCGGCAGCGAGCTGACGCAGAGGCCGAGGAGCGGACTGAGCATCTCAACGTGCAGCTCCGCGACGCTCTCGGTATCATCGATGATCGCGCCAAGGACGCGAGACTTCCACCTTATGTCGTCAACGCACTCATTTTGCAAGATAGACGCATCCATTCGACGAGGGATGAACTGGCAGCCATGATCAAGTCAGCTGACAGAGCCTGCACCGGGCAGCAGAAGTTGGTGGACGAAGTGCTTGCCCGAACGGCGCAGTGCTGCCTCAATCGTCGCCGTGTTGCCAACACCGGTGCTCAAGGTAGTGCTGGCGACGCTCTTGGTCAGAACGGAAGCGGTGCCATAGGAGGCGCAAGCGGTGGTTCCTGACACAGTGCCGGTCTGGTTTAAGGGTTCAGGTGTCGATAGAAGTGGTCATCAAGGTGTTGGTGTGTTGCTAGAGGCAGCCGTGGGATGCAGACCGATGAGCTCGTCGTGGCGCTTGAGAATGAAGGGCGTTGTAGATAGCTGCAACTCTGGATGTAATACCGATGAAATTCGCAGGAATTACACAAGCTCGACGAAAATTTCCATTCCCATCGTCGAATTTTCAAAATCATCCGACGATTGCGGGCTCTGTGAGCGTCCAATCGAGGCGCCAGTTGAATCGAACACTAATGTAGATGTACTATGCCATGTGTGCTGGTGACGAGGTGGTATTGCATGGTCCTAATCCTAGCACTCGTCAATCACCGTCTTCGACAATCACACCGATCCAGAGGTTCCATCAGACTTTCGGATTTTCCAATCTCAATCAACGACCATGCAGCATATGGAACACTGGAGCACTCGATCTTGACGTTGCCAATATACAGTATCTTGATACGCTCTCCCGATTCCGATTTCGACAGGGCTGTGGGATTGACCTTTCTGTATGGCTTTTCTGAAGGAGACCAACCGCCAAATTCGACAAATTGAATACATGATTGCACTCAGAACAGTGAGCAACTGAGCTCGCCCGCTGACACCCCAATTCATGAAAAGGCAGTCTACAATCACTTCGAGAGAAATAACATGAGTCTTCATTTTCCCGCCTTTCTCGAATTTGAAAATTTCAATTAACGGTTGCGGACGCTACTTGTGACCGGTCGAGCTGTCCTTTGGAATCCTGATAGAATGGTAAGCCCCCTTCGTTTTGTCGCAAGTGTTGATGGCTCACTGACATCTTCATGTCATGTTTTCCGGCTTCACATATAAATACAAGGAAATCACGTAGGCTTGCTTGTTTGGGCGAAATATCTAGACACGAGGTCCGGCGAGGCTGATCTAACCCGAAATGATCAGACATGCGACGTGGGAACGCTCGGTAAGTTCCTTCCTTGGCAGAATCGCCCTTTCTAGGCATCCTCTAGACACTTTGTGCTTTTGATTTGCAGGGAATAGCAATGCTGATACACGTTCCTGCACGTTCTTACACACTACTGCTCTCTCCTACACGTTTCTAATGTGTAGTGCAACCGAATATAATCACACACGAGTGCAACTCGCTACCAAGAGCTGTTTGCTACTATACGTTGCAACAGTTGCACGAGATGGTGGAGAATTACACAGAATAACGCTAAGTCGCATGGGATATCACATGCTTCGGATGGATTTCCCCAGTTCTTGAAAATCAATTCCCAACCAAGGTCGAGGTGCATTGTTGATTATGTAGATTCAGCGACATGGTTCTCAGCATTTTGCAAATCAAAGATCACGTTCTCCGTGGTCCAGGATGTCCAAATGAGCGCAAGCCACCCACGCAATCTCCCAGAGAAGGCGATCAAGAATCAAAATACCGAGAAAAGTCCAAACATTGATATCAAACTCCAATTCAGACATTCAATATCGTTCATGTCTTCTCGGTCGAGACGTTCAAACTTGAAAACATCACAGTCGGCGACAAGGCAGATTTACGCTCGAACTCTGCAACAATAAATCAAGCAAACGAAGTACTTTCGACATGAATCAGAAGCGTTAGGTCTACTCCCACCGTCTCCCACTACATTCATGGTACGCCATCATCTTATAGTTGTGCCACTAAAAAGGCTCGCCCCAGCCATGCATGTCCACCACAGAATCCTCCGAGGAACTGCGCGATGCCGCCCAGACACCCTCCACTTTGCCTTCCACTTTGCCCTCCACAAATTTGGGGTCGAGCAGTCGCGCGAGTCGAAGCAGACCCAMCCACAAGTACCATCTTCAGGAAAGGGTCTGTGCGTAAGAGGGCGTTCTAAATCTCTAAGAGTTGCTTACTCTTACCTCTTTATCTAATAAGCCCTTTTACGCTATAGGTAGTATAGCCGTTCTTTTCCCACCCACTAACCCTATAAATTAGATAGACGCACGTATATACGTAGCTTAGGCCTAGCTGTTATAGCTTCTAGCACTTAGCATCCGTACATACTAAAATGTGGGTGCTCGCAAGTGTCTAGAGCTACTACCGCTTTAGTCTAGCCCTAAACACCTCCATCCTTCACTGCTTGAGAGTCCTTGTAAGCGCATAGAATTAAGGTCAAATGGCTTAGTGTCCCCTTCTCCGTTGAGATGTCGCTTTCTTAGTGTCTCTGCTGCGCACCAGCTCCAATCTCGAGCCTAATGCTGAACGCTTCTCCGAACGTTAACACTGCGTCCACCGGCAAAGTGGCGGATGGCCGTACTACTGGTGATGTATCCCCGACCAAGGCGCGTGAACATGCTTTCACCGAGCGCGATCTCCTGCCGACCAGAAGCAAGTCCAATCATGTCTTGTCGGATGCGTCCAGACCGCGCAGGACGCGTGCCTTCAAGCATCGTAGAAAGATCTGCATCAGCTAGTCGGAGTCCTTAGGGTCAGTCTTCATGATCGTGCTCTGCCATACATGCGATGAGATTACCACTCACACCGAACTCGGCAAAGATGTCGGCAAGCTGCTCGTCGTCTTGTGCATCATGCAGTTTGCGTTCGAGCCTTTTGATGAATGTTTGGGCAACTTGCCTGCGGCGAAGAATGAGGTGACCCGGCTTGTCAGTCTTGAATTCCGTGACCGTCCCAGTCCAGAGATATCTGCGGCATCCAACCGTGGTGTCACGTTTACGTACGCGAGGCTCGCCATCATCGGCCGCGTTGTCAATGTGGTTGATAAGAGAAACGTAGTGCTTGTCACCAAAGCAACAAGTCTTGAACCGAACGATTGCCTATCGGATGAAATCCACGGGCGAGGAGAGGAGCATTGCTACCTGCCGCATGTCGATTAGTCTACCAGAGAGCACGGTGCATCAGAAAACCCAGTGACTTCAGGGCACGGTCGAATGGGGCAAAGGTACTGGTTTTTGTCTCTTGTTTGTTCCCTGTCTTTTCTGTTGAAGAAGGATGCTCCACAATCAAACGACACGATCATTACAGATTTGGAAGCCCATTGAATATTATATTCGAGGAGATCAGGGAAAAGGACGAGGGCGCCCTAGCTACGGAGGACATCGCGTTAGAGATCTCACTTAGCTGCGACGTGCTTCGCTCCGCACTTAAGAAGATATGCGCTTTCGAAGAGGGAGATGGTGCCGAGGACGCAACACTGCTAGAAGGGTTGCTTCTCCATAGCGACGAAGACCTAGGGCGCGGTCTTTTATCGAGTCTCCGGCCCCTTACGTTGAACATTAACAAAGTTCGCCTTTACGCACCTCACCTCTACCTTAGGGTCTCGAGTTTACAACATGTCGGCGAAATAACATGTTCTCTTACCTCGCGTCGTTACCTATCGACTAGAACATCTACGTAATAAGGCCTAAGGAGTCGCCCCTTCGTATAAAACACAGTTCTTTAATAAGCTATCCGTGCTTGCGCAGTTATCCCTTCTCCGTCGCCTAAAAGACAATCGCATTGCTACTATTACATTCTCCCGCTTACGTTAGTTGTGTCCACGTACCACTTTCCTAAGAAGTCGAAGTTAGAACTTGCGCATTCTTTCTAGATACGCATTCGCTCTCTAGATACGCATTCGCTCTCTAGATACGCATTCGCTTCCTAAATGCGCATTCGCTTCCTAGATACGTATTATCTTTCTCGATGCRCATTGTCTCTCTTATACGCATTGTCGCTTATGCGTATTATCTCTCTAGGTGCTAATTCTCTTCTTAGATGCGCATCTTACTACTAAATGCGCATACTCTCTATTAGATGCATATTTAGTAACATAATACGCATCTAGCGGCTAAATGCGTAATATGCGAGATCTGTGCTTTTATCGCGTTCTTGGCATACACAACTAAAAGAGGTTTAGAGGCTTAGAGCTTACTTATATTACAGGGGCGGTAGGGGCGTTCTTTCGCAAGCAAGCCGCCCTTAGCAGTATTAGTAAGGCCTAAAAGCAACGTTTATACGTGCGCTATCTACGAGCTAAATAAAGGGTAGGTAGGCTAGACAAAGCTATAGTAGTGCTAATACGCGTAAAGGGCGTATAGATAGAGGGCTAAGTTACTTAGCCCTTAGGAATTAAGATAACGCCCTTATGCACAGACCCTGTCTATTATACGCACTCGGCGACATTAGGTGCATCTAATAATCTTACGTATTAGGTACTAAGATAGACATTAGAAAGATAAGTAGAACCGAATATTATAGTATTTTYTCTTTTAGGGTTACGTAGATCTACGCGTATCTCTATCTTGTCTATTATAATAAGAACTATATGCTACGATTCTTATCTAAAAGCTATATATACTAGCTTCTATTTACGACTCTAAACACCTTAATAGGCTAAGTAGTTATTAAGATAAGGGAAATCTTATATCTCTAAGATTTTTCCTAGGAGAATCTACGCCGATTCTAATCTTACCTAATATCTCTCTTAACTATATACTATAATTCTTATCTAAAAGCCCTATATAGTAGCTTCTATTTAAGACTCTAAACGTATAAATAAGCTAAGTAGTTATTAAGATAAGAGAAATCTAATATTTCTAATCTTTTTCTTTAGGAGAATCTCCGCCTACTCTAATCTTACTTAAAGCTTATCTTAACTATATACTACGACTATTATCTAAAAGCTATATATGCTAGCTTCTATTTACGGCTTTAAACGTATTAATAAGCTAGGTAGTTATTTAGATAAGAGAAATCTAATATCTCTAAAAAAAAACCTAGGAATTCTAAGTCCACGCCTTCTCTAATCTTACCTAAGTCTTACCTAATACTTATCTTAGCTATATACTACGACTCTTATCTAAGAGCTCTATATACTAGCTTCTCTTTACTAATCTAAACGTGTTAACTACGTAAGCAGTTATTAAGGTAAATCTAAAAGCCTAAAGAAAAGGCGAGTATTCTTCGAAGAAGAGAATAAAAGAGGGAAGAAGAGGTGAAGAGAAGAATAAGAGAAGGCATAGTGGATCGAAAGGCAGCCAGAGGTGTAGGTTCGTTTTGTGAAACTAGCTTAAATCAACCAGGCGTTCGACGCGTTACGCTCAATTTTTCCAAACGCTTCACTGCCATTTCGACGATCTTCTAGTTATATCCAATGATGTTGAGACACACAGGGCAAGTAACGGACGGCCCTAGAACCTTCACATACGTGTTGTCTGTGTTGCAGATATCGTTTGCAGGATATCGTTTGCAGAATATCGATAGGCAGACTACATCCCCGGTCAAAACCAGTCTTGCTTCATACCTTTTAAGACATCTATTTGACAGTAAAGCACATCCAGTGATTCCTTCGACCACATTGTATAGATTCGTGATACCTTATCATTAGGGTCGTAAACGTCTACTAGAATGTTTGATCTACTACCCAATGCGTAGACCGTCATATGGCAGATCGAGAACAATCGTGGCGTGCTTCTTAAAGTACCGACTTCTTCCATGCCAGTCTTTCGGCTGTCTCTTTGCTTCGACAATCAGCCTTCCGCCGTCACAATCCATACTAYGCTCACATCGTCTTGAAACAAGTAACATAATCGAATCCCTTCCCTGCAAGCCATGCCTTTGAAACGTCTCCTCATCCCATCGCTCTATCCAAATCCGCRATCAGATCAGCCGCGGTTTCCAAGCCAATCGACAAACGAATCACATCAGGTCCAGCGCCCGCGGATTGGCGCTGCTCGTCGCTAAGTTGTCGATGGGTAGTCGATGCTGGATGCAGGATCAGACTGCGGGTGTCGCCGACATTGGCAAGATGGGAGAACAAAGTGACACTCTCAACCACTTTGATGCCTATCTCGTAGCCGCCCTTGACGCCAAAGGTAAAGACGGATCCTGAGCCTTTGGGAAGGTACTTGGAAGCCAGCTTGTTGAACGRGCTAGTCTCTAGGCCTGCATACGACACCCAGGCGACACGGGAGTCCTGGGCGAGGTATTCAGCGACAGCCTTTGCATTGCTACAGTGCCGCTCCATCCGAAGGTGTAGTGTCTCAATGCCTGTGATGGTTAGGAAAGCATTCATCGGCGCCATCGTTGGACCGTAATCGCGCAGGGCGACTGTGCGGGCCTTTGTTGTAAAGGCGAAATCGCCGAAGTTCTCATAAAAGCGCAGTCCATGATACGCAGGCTCAGGCTCGGTCATGGATGGAAACTTGCCCCCCTGACTCCAATCAAATTTGCCCGACTCCACAACGATACCACCCATGGCATTGCCATGGCCGCCCAGAAACTTGGTAGTGGAATGAACGACAATGTCAGCTCCCCATTCAAACGGTCGGCACAGGTATGGGGTGGCGAGTGTGTTGTCGACAATCAATGGCAGCCCGGCGGAATGAGCGACTTCTGCGATGGCGGCAATGTCGACAATGATGCCTCCGGGATTGGCAAGACTCTCCACGAAGATGGCCTTGCATTTAGGCGTGAGGCTACGTCGGAAGTTCTCCGGGTCGGTGGGGTCGACGAAATGGCAATGCCAGCCCAGCTTCTTGAATGAGAGACCAAATTGGGTGAGGGAGCCGCCGTAGAGCTTGCTCGAGGCTAGAAACTCATCCCCTGGCTCCATCATGGTGGCAAAGATGAGGAATTGTGCGGCATGACCTGAGGCCGCCGCGACAGCAGCACGGCCCCCTTCCAGACTGGCCACACGCTCCTCCAGTACCGAGACAGTCGGGTTGGTCAGTCGACTGTACATGTAGCCAAAGTTGTGCAGGTTGAACAGAGAAGCGGCGTGTTCGACATCGTCAAAAACGTACGCGGTGGTCTGGTAGATCGGGGTGCCACGAGCACCGGTAGTCGGATCTGGGGCGGCACCAGCGTGGATCGCGCGTGTTTCGAAGCCATACTCGATGTTGACCGCTGGCAGCTCGCGAGGTTTGTTCTGACGATCCGTCGGTGCCTGCGCAGGTTTGTTACGTATGATGCCAGTGTTGACGCCGTTCCAAGATAGTTCGCCACCCAGACGGCCAAATTCGATTTTCGGGCAGCGGTTCATAATCACTTCAATACCTGCTGCCTCTCCTTTGCCAGCGGCTTCGTCATTGCGAACACCTAGCTGCATCCAGACCACCTTGATCCCGACGGCAATGGCATCATCCATGATGGGACCGACCGAATGTGACGCCCGAAACACGTTGACCATGTCGACCTTGTCGGGGACATCACGCAAGTTTGCGTATACCTGCTCGCCGAGTAGTTGTTTCCCAGCATTWCCGGGATTGACAGGGATCACACGGTAGCCTTTGCGCTGCAAGTACTTCATGACAAAGTAGCTAGGACGGTTCCAATTGCTCGAGGCACCGWCGACAGCAATCGTACGCACTGTCGACAAGATGCGACGCAATTTGGCATCGGAATATGGGATTGGCTCCATGATGACCTGCCTTTTCCAACTGCTTTGCGTTGGTGAACAAGAGCGTAGAATGCGAATTTTATGCCAAGGTTGAAGGTCGCCACATGCAGGTGAGGATGTATGAGATATGAGGGGCAGAGGAGGGCGCCCCCGCCATTTGGTTAGGTTGGTGAAGCTTATATAACGATGGATGGCGTGATAGCACAGCCGAACGGACCCAACCTTATAGCAACCCCCTCCCTACAGCCCGTTATGCGATCCGACATCGACGAGGAACATTTGACCAATTGCTGACATCCATCGCTGTTGACAGCCATCGCTGCTATGGACTACATCCAGAGTCGCCGTAGTGCCGAACTTCGGATTGCACGACCAAAGCTACGTGTTCTATGTAAGATGGAAATTGGTTCGAAGGGATTGTTAAAGACAGGACGAGAGTCAGGGCTTTAAATATGTTCGGTATATTCTCTACTACCGAAGAGACTTCCTATCTGGGGCATTACGAGCTCCTAACTAACAGTGTGTATCTATCTGTAGCAAGCGTTTCTCGCATCGTGCGTTGAAACGGCAGTCCAACTTATCACCAAACTATTTCGTGAGTCCGGTACACGAACGCTTCATCAACGACATAGTGAGCAGGTGAAGCTCTCGATCGTTGATATACAGATCTGCATACCTTGTGGCCTAAATGGGGAGAATCAAAACTCGGAAAGTATCTTCTAAGATTCCGCGACAAACGTCACATGTTCGATCAACGCTGCATCGAGCAACGGTGATATCGTTGTGCAGTTTGTAATTGCGAGCAGGTGGCTTGTATATAATAGATTCCTGAGCTCCGCCATTCCTTCTGATTATCCGATATCCTCTACTAAGTCCCCGTCCATCCATCCAACCAACACTTCAACCAAGATGCTCTTCTTCAGCCTGCTGTCTCTTACAGCATTCTTCCCCCTTTCCGTCGATGCTGCTCCACCGAAATCGAACACTTTCGCGAGAATTGCTAGCGGCTAGGTCGCCATTCAGATTTTTGGAGGGAGCAGCACACGCAATTTGATAAGTCGCCCGAACGACAAGGTAGCAACTGTCTCTTCCTCGTCATGAGCAAAGAGTTCTCACTAATGCACTTCAAGTACGCGGCCGAACAGGTCGTCTCCCAAGTCACGCTATTTAAAGTTCGCATGCAAGAGGCCATCGATTTGACATTCGACAGCAAAGCCGCTACTCCTTCATGCGAAAAGGTAGTAAAGGTCTACAAGGGTGTTGGGGGAGCCATTTCGACAGTAGTTACTGGCATGATACTTGCTAGTTGCGCCCCAGCTTTCAAGGACGAACAGCGATCGCAAATTTCTAGCGATGCTGCAAAGGGGCTTTTGCTTTTCGATGAGCTGGGCGTGGTTCTTACTGAGTATTGTCTGTCCAAGGCAGTGGATATTACAGAGGGCGCAGTCAGTTTGGATGCTGCAATGGCACTACTCCCGGTCGCGTACTCGCTGCCATGTGATTCATGAAGGGCTTTGGAGGATGTCGGCAGATCGAACAGGGAGATATCATGTGCATTAATGACTGGCTTCGAGTAGACCTAATTCTGAAGATTCAATCTCTGCCTCACACACTCTCGTCGCAAGCACGAAGTGCCGAAAAGCTCCATGGAATAGAAAGAGAGCTGCCGGCCTGCGATGCGACCTGTTTTTCCAAGTAATAGGTTGACACAAAGATGGGTTTCCTGTAAGAGCAGCTCTCTTGATGTCGAGAAGAATTGTAAGGCCCCTACGAGAGCTGCCTCATCTTCCACGGCCATTGTAGCGCCTAAGGTCGTATCAGCAAGCTGTTAAATTCCCATCTACGAGCAGCAGAATGTACCTTGTGATATCGCGTGGGCAGCGTCGCTCAATGTAGCCATGGTACCAGACTGTGACACCTAACGATCCTGGAAATCGACAGTTGCGAGCGGCCATTTCTGTGSGTGCGTGATCAGAGATATCCGCCCCTTTAGCTACTGAGCGATTAGCATGTAGGGAGTGCGTCTCAGCATTCTCAGAAGACTTATTGACGCTCATTCACTTGATCTGAGCACATTCGACCATAGATGCATGAAAGCAAGCCATCCCGTCCGCTCTGGCCTATTGAACCATGTAATCGTTTGATCAGTACTCAGGTGGGTGACCACTGGGGAATCCCAAATGTTGAATGTCTTCTCTCTTTTGCTTTTTGGACGAGCTGATGGAAACTTTTTAGCTGTCCTCAGAGAGTCAGCACGACACAGACTTCCAAGTTCACGCCGATCCTCCGGAGATTGCTGATTGGATGGACCGTAGTCTTTCTGCTTGAATCTTTTGAATTTTTTCCTTCGAATTTTTTCCGTACCTCAGACAGCGAGCAGGTGCTCCTATTTTTGCATGATTCAATGAACGCCTTTCTCTTTGTCGTGTTGTTTACTTTTACGGACAATAATCCAATCAGCGCTTTGACCAGCGACTAAAGAGCTGCGAATGGAACAAATTCAAAGTGGAACGAAAGTGATAACAGATGGCAAAACACCAGAGGTCAACAACTGACTGATGGCCTAAGGTAGTATGCTTACCGACAGCTGGTGTACTCGGGATGGAATGGCATGACTTTGCCCCAGAAATCTCTGACCCTTGTGATGAAATGGGAAATGCTGGATAGACCAAGAGTCCGGGAACCCCATCACGAGCATATTTGCGTGCGTTATCGTCTCACCAAACGTTGCGAAGCGGGACAGCTGCTCACATCCTTCTCGCCATGCTGTTCGGGGTGGAACATCTCGTTCTCGGCTCTGTGTACTCTTGGCGGCAGTTTCGCTCTGGTGGAAACGAGACTTCACTATGTATCCCAATTTTGAGGCCGAGAGGGAGTGTGCATAAGGGGGGTCTCAAACAGAAAGGCAGGCTAGATTGGCCCAGCTGTTCAACGGAAAATTCACATTACCCATTTCGGAGTCAAGCCAACGTCTCCCATGGATCGCACTCGTCGCCATCCTTCGCCTTAGGTACTTTAGGCTGTGTCCACTTGGATTACATGACATGTACATGAGGGCTCTCATGCCACGCAATAGGCTCAAACAGCTGCGTGCACACTTCCTACATGAGATCTACGTCGGACATGGAGCCACTCAACCACGCTACGGAGTAGTATGAGTATTGAGTTGAACGGCGCCGCGGGGGGGGGCGGGTTCTATACCAGTCCAGTAAGGTAGTGTTTGAAAAACCTCACGCAATGCGGACACCTCCGGAGGTGTCCCCAGTGCCCTGGCAGCATGAGATTTTCAAACACACCTCTTGTGGATCGCGTTATTCGTCGACTCACGTGATGATATGGGACGGTACGCTAACCTCTCACGCAGACACTACCGTTCGCACTATATGAGCTCATGTACGCACCCATCAATCACATGTACTTGCAATCCAAGGCGGCACAGCCTTATCTTCCAACACTGTCCGCTGACAATAAATCGCGCAACTACCTGGCGGGACTTTGTACGGCTGTGCCGCAATGCTACCACGGGAAGCTACTGGCAATCACTCACGAATACAGAATAACCAACACCTGCTTCGCGTTGCAGAAGTTCTGGACGCAAACCTTCGCTACCAAGTTACCCTCCTCGTACCAAGATCATAATTCAAGAGACCGTCGAGAGTGCCAACGGGATGTCCCATTCCACTTCTCACGTGTACAATCGTGGACATCCTACTGCATGTCATTGACGTTCGGAACACTTGGACGCACGAAGACGCTTCATACTAAGCTTTATCGAATCCTTAGGCTAAGCTTGGGTGAAGCTTGGGTGAAGCTTTCAGCTGGTATAGACTCCCGAGTCTATCTATCATGCACGGGAGTATTTCGTTTTCCCATCAACAAAGTTAGGCCAATAGGAGTCGTGGTTGGGTGAGCTTGCCGCGCAAATTGGCTAGTATACGAGATTCCTTACGACTTTTCCAGCCATTCCCGTATGCACGACAGACTCTGTAGCGCCTATTCGATGGCAGAGCGACCGACACCAACCAGTAACCGCAGCAGCTTGGAAAAGCCGGCTTATCTGCAGTCGCTGGCCCGCTGGCGCCGGCATAACGATCCATCGTGCGAGTAGTCCTTGATGGGGCGAGGCTTCTATTCTCCGCCAGAATGTTAAAAGAGGACCGCAATCCACCGTCCGGCCACGATGTGTCTATCTCCAAGCTCGGAGAGCCGTAAATGCCACAGCCTGAGTATGAGGTATTCCCAGTGATCAATACAGTACCAGCGACACAGTTACTATGGCAAGTATGGACGGCATACTCCGTGACGCCTGTGATATTTGCCATTCACGCAAAGTCCGTTGCAGAATCTCAGAGGGCGGGGGCCTGCATGAGCTGTCGGAAAGCTGGTATGTTCGCAAAGGGAAGCTCCCAAGGTGCACTTCACTGATGTTTGCCAACAGGAGTGCAATGCGTTTTCAGTCCTCGAAGCCTCATGGGTCGCCCAAGAGCGCGACGTCACCGAGGCATCAGCCAGACTGAGATGCAACGTGAAGCATCCGCGGCACAGGCGGAGTGGGCCCCTGGTATATATCCACCGCAGATGGCCGGCCCCTATCTCACCGGGGTGGACATCTCTTTTGATGAAGCGTGCCTCACGGGTGACAAACAACGCAGAGTAAGACACCCATGGAATCTGCATCACTCCATCACTCACCGCTGACAACAATATCCATCGCTAGTGTGAGACCGTTGGAGCGATCATTTCATAGAAGAGGTGATGCTCTAGATACCTATTTCCCCACGCCCAACTCCGGATCCGAGCCTCTCTCTCTATCCACCGGGAAGCACGACTGAAGTGCTCCAAGATTCTTCTCTCGACACGTTCATCAGACCTTCCAGTATAACAATGACTGAGCAACTCTCTGCAGTGCTCTTTGACCTTCATCGTGTTCAGCATCTTCTACCGGAAGATGATACTGGTGAATTCGAGCACCAAATCTTGTCAGATCAAATACTCGGACTTGTCACAAAAGGCTGCGATCTCCTACCCTGGTCCTCAACGGCCGTTACAGTACCTTCTGCTCACTCAGCACCACATATGGCATTTGGGGTTTGTACTCATCAGTTCTGTGATCGACATATATTCCCGGCTCTGGAGGCTAGAGGACGCCGCAAACTCGATCGAGCATCATCCAATTATTTCTAGCCAGGCATTACCAATGATGCAGACGTTCTCGAACCCCCGGGCCCTCAACACAACCAGACGTGTGAAATCATACTCCGCAGCCGCCACAATGGTCTGTCATCTACAAATCTTTGAAATGGCACTGAGCTGGTTATCACTGGCATGTCCCGGTTCCAGACAAGCGCTGAGAGCTCTTGTGGAACTCMGAGAGAATATTCATCTGTCAATAGGTATGCTGGGTCAGCATCATGGCGAAGTCTTCGCATGAGAGTCGCCATAAGACTTTATATTATTGATACTACCAATACAATACATCGTCTAAACACTCCAATAACCCAGAATTGTAGTGCCTCTCGCTGGGATTATAGATGCCGAGCGTAGCACAGACTTGCTTCCCTCCACGTGGAAGCTTGTACACCTGCTTCGACGACGCATTCGTGCAATGTTGCGTGCCGTGGAAGACGGTATATGTACATGATCTGCACCACGTCAGTCAGCGCTTGGGGCATCATCTTCCTGGTAATCTCTACACTGACCTATCCGCGAGCGGCAGGATCGATACGGAATACGCCCCGGGTTTCTCACACACTCCGCTCGTGACATCGAAAGGCCCTACTGCGGTCTCGCCGCAGTACTCGCCTGCTGCTGTAGGTGGCTCGATGTAGTATGTGCCGTTCGTGGTATAGACTAGTTGTCCCGGTCCCGAATGGTGGCACAGCAAGCGTGGTCGCGGTGAGTAGCGCAATACAACTGCTGATGAGGGTGAACATTTTGATATTGGTTTGCAGAGAGCGGGCACGTGAATCTATTATTGGGAGTCGAGTTTCTAGATCTAGGGCAATGAAATTGTTCTTTGTGGACAAACACTTCAGGTGTGTATTGATGATGATGATGCCTTCTCCACAGAACGGCGAGTTGATTTCTGCATCCTGCTGATCGGCCGTGTGTCATCTCACAACGTGGTATGGTCTGTTCTCACGGTGTCTGACATCTTTCGGGGACATCTTCCAACGAACGTAAGGATGCGGTGAAAGTGTAATTCCACCAACCTGTTTAGGCTTGCATGCTTCGGCGACATTAGGATCGTAGCTTTCTGGACTGACATGCTCACGGAAGGTGCCATGCTAAAAGATTGTGCTTAAAATAGTGACTTTCAACCCCAATATGTGCAAGGACCCAACAAGCCATTAAATCCCCCCAAAGGCAAGATCTGACTGACTAGYGGGTAATATTTGCTCGCATTGCACAAAGTTGGAAGGTGCTTGCGGGAGAATCTATTGCCCAGACGAGCCAGATCTGGTTGCTTTGATCGGCGAAAAGGATCTGATGAGATATGCGGCTGAGAGAACCCGGCCAGGCTGAGCACGCGGAGGCAAAGAATGTTGCCCAAAAAGGGCAAATGCTCTTCTAGCCGGAACTCTCCATTGGGCAATAATCTGCTTTTGTTGAAGATCCCCTCGGCGTGTCTTCTGTTCTCTGCCGTTAAACGTCTATCCAACAATGCAGCCGAATGAAGCCACGTGCAAGTAGCTTTATTGCACGATGCCCGAGGTGTTCAAGTCACCGATCCGTGTTGTTCTCGTTGCTACTTTTACCTTGGCACGCCGGAGGGTGTTTCATCGTCTTGTTCAAAGCTTGGGGACATTCACTCACTTGCTGATTTGTACTGATTGCAAGGTTGCTTGTGGATAGTGTAACGCTGCATACATGGCTGTATTCTCACTTGAGTAGCTGGTTTGAGTTCATTCATAGTCAATTCTACAATGCATCCTTCTCATCTGTAGTCGTTCGTAGTAGGAGAAGAATCGAACATTTCTTCCCTCTCCATGCTTGAGACACACCCAATCAGTTCACAATAGTTGTGACGGATGTTGACTGTACAGTCGTCGTGACCGTAACTGTTGCATCCGTTGAAGTCCCGTACGGACAGAGGATCAGCGGGTCAATAGTTGTGAGTGATCCCCCAAAGCCTTGCGAATTGCAAGTTATGGTTAGGCCGGTAAACGGATCGGACTCACAACCCACAGTGACGTCTTYCGCGCAACGAAGCTCACTGTTGGTGTAGGTACACGATGATACGGGCATGTACGATTTTTTGTACTCGATGTCGGTGTAGAACGACAGCGATGTGGGCACGTCGGACCACTTTTTCGGCTTTGGCGTTTGGTTGGMTTGGACGTTGTAGAAACCCACGGTGCATACCCTCAGACTCGTCGTCCCTGGTTGGTAGTTGAGATTGTAGTAGCTTATCGACCGGCCACCGCCTCGTGCAGGGGCGAACAGCGTCTTTACTGCGGCAATACTCAGAAATCCGACAATGGCACTTGTGGGAGTCACTGTTGTGATCGTCTGAGTCTTGACGACGGTGATGGTTGAAACTGTCGTGTGACCACGGCCACCTCCGCCGCCTCCACCACCTCCACCACCGCCTCCGCCTCCACCGCCTCCACCGGATGCGAAGGTGGTGGATTGGATGGGCGCATTGTTGGGGCTGATATATCCACTAGAGATCAAATTGCCCTCCACAGTGGCAGCCGCGTCCAACTGGTATTGAATGTCGGTGGGAAGGGCAGGCCAGTCATCGAATCCGCTAACCACAGGAGCCGGGGTGACGGTTGAAGCGAGATCTGTATCAGTCTTGGAACAGCCGACCACAGTGTGGCACGACTGTGTGCAAGAGCCGCCTGAACAGAGCTGAGTGCATGAAGAAGCAGTGACTGTCGAACATTCATCGTCGTCATCATCGTCATCATTGTCTGGATCGTTGGGTGGTACTGTGCCGTCATTCGCAGGGCCCGTTCCAGGAGGACAATTCGTCGTGCAAAAGTCCGAGCCCGTACAGCAATTTCCCATGGGGCCACAAACAAGCGGAAGTGGATTGCAAGGGCGGCAAGAATATTTGCAGCGGGTTCCACATCCTGAAATACAAGTCGGCTCGGGCACACCAGTTTCGAATGTGATGCTTGGCAGCATCGAATCGTGCGAGTTTGTATTAGTGATCCAGGGCCATGGTGGTGGGTAGATTGTTCTGGTAACCGGAGGGTGAGTAACATCTGGCTGGCTCAGAGGGTTGGGATTATCAGTGACGACAATGAAGGGTGGCAGGATGCTACTCGTCGGGTATATCGTTGTAGTCGTGGTTGCGTTTATTTTCCACGTTCCAGATTGGGATCTCGGTCGTTGTCACCGGCGGGATTGTCAACACAGTCGTCTCGTAGATGCTGGTGAAGAACGACGTTGTGATGGTTGCAGGGCCTACACTGTCAGTAGTGGTATAGGCCGAGGTTGTGGTCCAGCCGACTTCCAAGGTGGTGGTCCAAGGAGGGAAGGTGATGGTAGTTGGTGTTGCGAGTGTGATCGGAGGCAGAACAAAGGTACATGGGGGAATGCAGTCCACAGTTCGAGAAGCTTGAGGTTCCATCCATATGGTCGGGTTGATGTAGACAACACCACTGCCGTTGCCGCCTCCAGACCCCAGTTCAGAGCCTAGTGACTGGGCAGACAAATCAGCTAGCTCCAGGAAAGCGGCAACCTCACTTGTGTAGCCGTTCTGATTCGAGTCGTTGAAGAATATTGGTGGCGGCACTCCTCCAGCTGGTGAGATGATCTCGGTGGCTCCGTACCTGAGGCGATGTTAGACTTGTAGCTTACATCTTATGAATGGAAGCGCTTACGTGAAGATGTTGTAATAGAATAGCTCGCCAACGTAATTGGTCTGGATCAAACGCTCCTGACAATTCTGCTGTCCACCACAGCCTAGCTGCTGGTCGTTGAAGAAAGAGTAGAAGCCAGTGGAATAGATCAGGATGATCTTTGAGCTCAGTACGCGCAACGCCCAAGCAGACAGACAATTCGGTTGCGAGCAGTCCGAAAATGTAGGGTCGTTGGAGAAGCCTCCAGAGTTGGGAGAATATGCAAAGTCTCCGATGCTTTTCTTTGGCTGGTAGTAGGGACTTTCCGTTTGCATGTGGCTGAAGAAGAGCGTACTGGCGTTTTGGATTTGGTAGTTGTAGAGCGAGCTCGCTATGCTCAGAGGCACTCGCCCAGAACCACGTCGGGCCTCCGGACTCGATCAAAATACCTCGGCCGCCATATATATTCAGGTTCGTGTCTGCATTGACAGGAATCCCTTGCTGCGTTTCAACAGCTTTTGCGTTGCCTGGGTTCTATTCGAACATTAGTACAGGTGACATGGACAGGCTTGAGGATCGTCAATTCTCTTACGTCCAAGTCGTGATCTGCAACCCATGCCCAGACCTGTGCACATCAGTTAGCATGGCGATCTAATGGTTAATTGAAAGGTGCTTGCATTTTCGAAGTAACCTGTAGCTCCAGGGGTGATGTGCATCATCATCATCGTAGCAGCGTCGCATTTGCCTCCTGAAGCCGCTCCTTGACATTGTGCCACCTGGAGGTCAGTCCCTGCAGCACACGATTGTCAGTATTGTTTCTTCAATACTGCTTCAACGAGCAGCTTACCCTCAGCGCCGCCAACACGGAAGTGGCTGTTCCACATCGCAGCCGAGCCTTGGTTGGATTGAGCAATATTCCATTCCATTAGAATACATCCGGCCGTAGGACCCTGTACTGTGAACAAGAAATCCTGGATCTCAACGACTCCTTCATCGCCCTTATTCCCGACTCTGACCATGACGTTGGGCTTGGTCTTGTCTTGGAAATATGAGCCAGTGGCCATGATTTGGCTGAAACCGGATCCGATGATCTTGGATCCCATAGGGACAAAGACCGTTCCCTCCACGAGGTAGATTCCAGCCGGAAAGAAAATCACCTTGCCAATGTTGTTTGCGAGAAGGGTATTAATGTTCTTCGTCTGGTCTCCACCCATTCCATTGGACACTCCGTTGTCTGTGGCGACGACAGGCGATACGTCCTGGTATAGTGGCTTCGATTGAGTGAAATACTTTGCGGTTCCATCAAGTAGACTGGTCGGCTTGTTGGGAGTAGGACTCAGGTAGCCAGTCAGATATTGTCGCTCTCCGTTTTGGTCCAAGTATGCTCCACCCATGGACCAAGAGGAGACATACAGATCGCCGCCAGTTCCGGCGAAGATGGTCTTGCCGTTGACATCCTGGACGACCACAGATGAAGACTCTACTTCGAGGTTGTCGAGGACGATACTTGGCAGGTCCCCAGTTGCCGGTATGGTAATTCCCTTGGGGACATTGTTGAGATGAGAGTCGATGATGCTGACCGAGCCGGTGCCCTGGCCAGTAATCCCACCATGAGCAGTCATGTTGAAACCGACATGGCATGATTCCATGTACACGTTTTGAAATGTCATACCTGCATTCTTGTCAACATGAATCAAATCGTTGCTCTGTGGTGCGTAAGTTCGTACCCCAATTCCACAACAAAGAGATTCCTTGTAGGCAGCCCGAGAAATGTAGATTCCCTGAGAGCAATCAGCTTTTTTGCTTCAATCGCCATAGTTGGGCAGTAGAAGTAAACACACTGAAGGTGAACTGCTGAGAGCCAACAATCATGCCAGCGTTGCCGCCAGAGAACAAAAGATCAGACATGAAACCTATGCATTGTGTAAGCACAGTCATTGATAGCCTGTGTTGTAGGCTTGATCATATCGTACCTCAACTTCCGTTCTCCATAAAGATTCCAACTGCTGTGGGTCCGGACATTTTGAATGCACAGTTGGTGATACTTGTGCCCTGTCCAACTAGATTTGGGACTTGGATTAGCTCCATGCGGCCTGCGCATCACAAACCGGTTCACATTACTTACCTWGCCAATGGATTCCAGTAGGCACGAAAGGCTGCCCATTTTGTCTGTTCGATCGGCCCTGCCCCGACAAGTCGAAGTTGATGTTTTGAATGCTGCGTAAGAAGTTACTTTGATTGATGAACCACTCCTGGCCGTTGCCACCTGGGATGTAGACATCCGAGTCCACCATAGCTATTCCGGTGAAGCCAAAGGAGCTTTTCAGCGTGGGTGGAGTTGAAAGCATCGCCGATGAATTGTTGGTGGTAGTACTGGATGATGGGAGTGGATATCAGATAGGTACCTGGAGGGCTTGTTAGCAATGAACTGCACAAACAATGGATGATACCGACCCGGTGGGAAGTAGACAACACTACTACCATGGACTGTCGATGMGCCACAGTTCGCGCCGCACACGTTACCATCGCTGGCAGCTTTGTTGATGGCAGCTGTGTCATCTGTGGACCCATCGCCAACAGCACCATAGTCCTTGACGTTACGGAAAAATTTGAAGCCAGATTCTGCAAGAGGCATGGCACCCTTGCTTCCCAAAGAAGCAAGCCAATAGCCTTCATTTTGGCGAGATGAGAGAGGAGGAACGCCTGATATGATCGATCCCAGAGTGTCATTGACGAGTCCAGGAATCGTGTCCAATAGTGTAGCAGCCACGAATGTGCCATTGGGAATCTCAATCTCGATTTTTGAGAGGTCTTGCTTACTTACTCAAGGGGCCCAGGACGGGCCCATTGAATAGTCCGTGGTCTGGTGCTGTCCCGTACTCATTGTTGATGTTATCTCTCTCATGTAGCTGGGCAGAGTCTGGAGTTGAATTTGTATCAGTATTCGCTTTGGTTAGGGTGGATCCGTGGATCAGACATACGCCAGGAAATCCAGTTGGAAGCGGGATATGCGTGTGAACGAACGTTGCCGGGTTGGTGAATGTCACCGCAGTGGCCAACGGGATCAGGCCATATCCGAGAAGGTATGAAAGTTGTCGCATACCTGCGATGGAACAACTTCTCGTAGGTCGCAAGAAAGCAGAGTTGCAAGGTCGAATAACGATCGTTGAAAAGCCGCCCTACTCAGAGTCAGCAAAGCTTGGGAACATGCCGTTCTTTGAGTGCAACATCCACGGTGCGGTCTAAAGCCTCATCAGATGAGAGCCGCTTGAGTCGACGATCTTCGAAGCGTGTTCTTCAGCCCGAAAGCTAACTCACCGGAGGATGATAATCGCCAAAAGCTTAGATACCAACATGCACAGTGTTGCAGATCTGCCGGTGACTTTTCGGCAACATTGTGTGAAGGATCGCATGAAGTATCGAACTCAATTATGTGATGGACATCGTGCATTCTGTCTGCCAGGTTATGTTGCTGTTCTTAGGCAATCGATATATGCAGTGCTGTGCTGCTGCTGCTGCTGCCGCCACCAAAGGCTCCCAACCCATACCAAGATGCGTTTCATACTTGCAGTGACTCTATTAGCCTGGTCTTTAAGTGCCTCTGCTGTGAGCGTCAATACCTTGTTCGATATCGATCCAAATTGCGCTTCGTATCCAGTCCAGCAATGGGCCGACGAATCTCTGGCAATGATGCAATCGGCAAACAATGCTTACTACAACGCGAAGATGGATGCCAACGCCAGAGTCTCTAGAGCCTACTTTGCTGGCCTGATRAATGTTAAAATCGTAGCACCGGGACAGGACACGACTCCCAGTATGAAAATTATAGAAAGTGAGTTGAGTATTCTTGCATGTCCTCGATAGTCGCTGATATGTGAGATCTGTAGGTGTTTTTGCTAGGACCACGGCCTTCCTAGCGTCTGGGACCGTCCCACAAGGCAATGCCAGACCATATCTCTCATGCGGCGACGGAATTTTCAAGCGAGTGAGCCTGGATAGTCCCGCCAAGCAAAGAGATGGGAGAAGCAACGTAGTGAACCCCGAAGGCGATGCGATAACTGTCCGGCAAGAGTACGCAGAACTCATCACCAAAAAGCAGAAGAAGCCTTATGCTGTGAGTGTTTCCGTATCCATCTATCGTTTCTGCAGACATGTTTGAGCACACGCACACTGACCTTCGCTGCGCTATAGTACCTCGTTCAACTCGGCACCGTGTACCAGTATGTCATTACGGAGTCGCCCCCCCAGCATTTGTAATCTCGCTACGCTGGGCGAGACGTTCCTGTATCCTGACGATATCCTGGAGTCCAAAGATGGACAGCCAATAATCGTGCTGTGTCCAGGAAACTACGGAAGATGGCTGCTGACGAAAACGCTCGGCGATACGAGTCCCGCTCCTTCGAACAACCAGGACCCCACCGATCACCTCCAAGCAATCTTTGTACCGTGTACTCCCCCGCTCACAAACCCTGTTGCACGAGATCTTGCATTATGCTCCGTTTCCGCAGGTCAATCTTGAGGACGAATCGTACCTCATCGAAAAATGCCAAGCCAAAGCAGGCCCCCTGAATGTACGGACACCACAATGCATTGTGTACCTGGCGCTTGGAACTTGGTATACGGAGAACCGGCAAGCAACCGTCAATGGAAAGCAAGTTGTATGTACCACTCTGTTCTGTACAGCCGCAGGGTTGATACTGACAAACGCGTAGGCTGTCACATACGCTTCCGGAGCAGCCTATGTGCTGCAATGATCACTGTCGGCGAATTGCAGAGATTGAGTGCGACAACATGGCTGTGCCAAGCTGACATGCTCGTCTTTGCTCATGCACTCCCGATGTGTGATCTTCTTCGAAAGGGACGAGAAGTTGACTGGGCGTGGTCAGAAGTGTAGTAGGGATGGTATACGACTTGACCATTTTGTAGAAGTTCATGTTGCAAACATCACCTGTTGTGGCTGACTGGGCGAGTGAACAACGTCGTAAACTCTCCCATTCTTCTCCGGAATCCAAGATCTAGAAAGCGTCGCTCAGGCAAGCTTGTGTCGGCAGCGGTTCGCGTGAACCTCAGTGATGGAATTTGAGAAGATGTTTCTTGAATGGATACATGTTGTGACTGGTCATCTGTCTTCGTGCAACCTCATCTTCGCCTGCCTATCCTAATTCCCAGGAAACGTCGTTGGGGTGGACTTGGTGGTGCCGGCGGTACTTCGACCGAAGGCCTGTCGTATTCATGTACTTCATCCCATGCAATCTCATCGAGCGAGAGCGCATCTGCGAAATGGAACTCGGTCGTGAATATCTCTCCTCGTATCTTGAATGTAGTTCCACAGAATCCATATCTTTCGTGCCTTTTCTGCGAACGTTCCCGCTCAGCAATAACTTCTGCATGCAACTTCGATCGCTCGAATTCTGACCGGGTATCAGGCTCGAGCTCGATCCTTACCAGCCCTGCACGGCTTCTTGCTGAAGCGCGGAGCTCATCAGAGATGACGGCGTCTTGTGGGATCCATTCTCTGTGGGGCCTTTCTGTCAAGGAAGCGCTGGGAAAATCGAATTTGACGCAATGAAGACGCCATGGCTTGGCCTGGTACCATGCGCATTCGACAATATCGTATAGCATACCAAATGTGAGCCATGAGGGATGGGAAGGTCGCATGTCCTGCGTATTCTGATTGCTGAAGTTTAGCCGTAAGAACTTGCCTCCCCCTTTCCCTTCGCCAGAAACATTGACTAGCAGCTGATCTGGTGGTGGGTTAATCGGCAACATCCTCCTCCAGCTCGCGGCTGGGTGCTTCAAGATTGGAAGCAAAGCGGGACTCCGACGCACCCACATGTCCCTGAATGGCGTATCCTCCCAGGTTGGAAATACTGTGAAGTAATCCTCGAAGTTGCAGGTCTCGAATATGTACGGAAACGTCTTCAGCAACAGAGGGTTCACTTGTGTCGTGGCCTCCTCGACGTGCGTGGGAGGAATCCCGGGATGTAGCCACATTATCGTCAAGAGTCTCGAATCGGTCGAGATTAGTCTGTTCCACGTCTGGCATACCATCTGCACGCGCAAGAGTTCTTGTTGTGACAGTTGAGAGAGGATGAGGTACAGTATTGCCGGTTCTTGGAGAGCTCTCATGCTCGTGGGAGTCGACATTGTTCCGTTCCCACGAAAGCGCCCACTTTCCACCAAAAGCTCGATGCAGTCGATCCGTGAATGTGAGTGAGGTAATGATGTCTCGAGTTGGAAAAGATGGGGTGCTGGCGATGGACGAACACTGCCACCGTCCATGCCCTTACCCCTCCATTGAGCCTTTTGATTGGTCCTGCTCTCGGCGACATTTGACAAAGTCGGAGAGAGCCCAGATCGACATATACCTTATCTGATAACCCCCGCCTCTCCCAACAACTTGGAACACCACCAAGCGTGGTCCAACACCCAACAGAAATGGCGCATAGTTGGTTGCTCGGAGACTAATGCGGAAGGATGGACCGCTCCCCCTCGGCGACTATTGTCGAGGTGGAGCTCGGCGACTACTGTCGAGGTGGAGTTCTCCGCTCCTCCTCTTTGCGAACGTCATCTGTTACAAGGGAAGGACGAACCACGACGGTTGCCGGAAGCATTCCAGTAGGAAGATACTTGTAGTGCTCTTGTTCGGATAAGTAAAGTACAAGCCAGTGACCGACATTCGCGGTGCTGCTGTGCCGGACAACCTTCTCACCAAATCCACCATTTTTAAAAATGCAAAAAAGGATCCTCTCCTTTTCCACACACTCGTGGCCCTCTGCCAGCTCAGCTCGGCAGCCAACTGCGGTGAAACCACAGCCTTGGTTTGCTACAACGGCTCAAACGGCAGTACTCCCCAGAATGTCTCCCTCGACGATGTGAGTCTGTCGTACTCCTCATCCTTCTTTCTCTTGAATCAAGACCAACATTCATATGCTGACATTCTCCCCTGTCAGATCGCCTACGCAGCAGCCTACCTCCGCTACATCGGGCAAAGTAACACAGGCCTGAAGCAATTCTGGACAATGTCCGCAAAGCTTCTCCTGTCAGGAATTCGAACTCCCCACCAACGACGACCAGACTGTGCTCCCGCTCGCTGACCATCTCGACGGTCGATACAATTCCAGTGTACTATACACTGAGATCGCAAACGCCATTGATGGAGGCGAGAACCCGACTGCGGCCCAAAAGGCAAAATCTCTGCTCGGCGCCTGTGGAACTAATGGAGGAATGGTGGGCGTTAAGATTAATGCGACGAACCCGGCTTATCATAGTAAGGAGGAGTTCAAGGCCACGGGGAATGAGCCCGGTGGGATCTTGGTCAAGATTGTGAGGGCTCCTAATAGTTGATCTTGCTTGTCGGTGTGTGTGTGCTTGCGGGAAGATAGTCTCAGGGAAGAAAGGGATCATCCTCGTTATACTAACGAGAGTATAGTCAAGATGACGGTGATGGGCCTGCCCTAGGATGCGACCCAGATAAGTTGATTCGAAGCAGCACGGACTTTTCCGCCTCCCATCTTGTCTCGAGGCTAGAGCTGCCAATAGGCTTAGCAACAGACTTGGCAATAGACTTGGCGATAGACTTTGCGATAGGTTTAGTGAAGGTAGCGCGGTGTAGATTCGTATTTAGGATTTGGAGAGGAAGATAAGGTACGATAGAACTATTCAAACTACGAAGTACTCCGTACGCCACGCCAATCACGCCACAAATCACGCCACAAATTGCGTCAGACCAGCAAAAGTGTCGTCGATGACCCGTACGACGCGGCTTACAATATCATCAATATCCATCTCGGAGACAATGTATGGTGGACAGATCAGAAAATGGTCACCCGCGTACCCATCGAATGTGCCCGAGGCGTTGAAGAGAGCAATCTCATAGCCCTTGCTCATGCCTCTCGCATGCAGTAGACCGTGCAAATTCATGGCGATAGGGAAAGGCAGCTTGGTCACCTTATCGCTGACGAACTCGACCGTCCAGAATAAGCCCCTTCCTCGGATATCTCCCACGTAGGGATGATCGGAGAGTCTCTCGCGAAGGACCTTGCCAAGGTACTCGCCCTTCTCGCGAACGTTGGCGACCAAGGCCTCCCTCTGAATGATGGTTTGCACCCTCAACGCTGCTGCAGCCGCCAAGGGATTGGACATGTATGTCTGKCCATGAGCAAAAGACTTGCCGGAAGATTGGAGCGCTTCGACGAGCCAGGAGTTGATGAGTACGGAGGAGATGGTTCCGTAGCCAGCACCGAGGCCCTTGCCCACCACCTGAAGATCGGGGACAACGCCTTCTTGCTCCCAGGCGTGAAGAGTGCCCGTTCGACCCATTCCACACATGACTTCGTCGAGAATCAGCAGTGCACCATACTTCTCGCACACGGATTTCATCGCTCGGAAATACCCTGGGACAGGAAGTGCACAGCCACTCGCCTATACACAAATGTCAGCTTCTTTCTACCCGCTGTGATCATGATTGAGAGACATACACTTCCACCCACGGTCTCGGCAACGAAGGCGCAAACCGTATGGGAACCAACCCTCTGGAACTCATCGTCCAACTCTTGAGCCAAGCGCTCCACATATGCTTCTTCGCTTTCGCCCGCTTTCAAGCCGCGATATGTGCTGCATGCAGATACACGGGATGCATTCTGGGGAATCAGCGACATGAACGGGTCCTTGCGATTCTTGAAGTCTCCGAGAGTCAGAGCGCCCAAAGTTGCGCCATGCCAGGCCCCATTGCGGGAGATGAAGCGTGTACGCTTCGGTTCGGGACTCCTGCGGCTGTCAAAGTATGTCTTGGCCAATTTGACGGCCACCTCAACAGCTTCCGAACCTGGCTCTACGGGTTAGTTCGGACTCCAAAGAGGTGCATCAAGGAGTTGAACACCAACCTGATCCGCAAAGAACAGCCTTGGACATGCGGCCATCGGTGGAGTCGACGAGAAAGTCGGCAAGATCCTCGGCGGGTCCTGTGGTGTAGAATCCGGGATGACAGTATGATACACTCTGCTGCATCTGATCAATCATGGCTTCTTGGACCTCCCGGTCTCCATATCCCAGACAGGCCACTGCTGCTCCGCTCGTAGCATCGAGAATACGTCTTCCATCGTCAATGTTCAAGAAAATGCCGGCTCCGGACTCGACGCGAGCAGCTGCGTGCTTTTCGAAGTTCTTGTAAAGAAGGCTGTTCTTGGGACTTTGAGGTTTCATCGTAGCTGTGGAATATTTTATCAAGGATGAAAGATTAAGCGGATGTTGAAAGGATGGTGGCAATCTCCCACGAGGTCGTGGTCTTGATATAACGAAATAACGGTCCCTTCCAGGCGAACAGGGTTCAACTTCTCTCGCCAGGGCATGACGGACACGTTGAGAGCGTGCATAGGTACAGTTCCCCGTTGGATGTGTCGTAGGTTTCCCCTGACCTCCCCGTTGCCCAGAGCACTCGCTGTGACCATCCCAACGTTGACCAGGTTGTTGTCGTGTGCTTCTAACATCCAAAAATGCCTCTGGAGCGGTGAGGACTGGGCGATGTTACCGAGAACCGGGGAAGTCGTAAAGGGTGGAGTTCTCACGCGGGGAACTACTTATAATGGACAATGCAGATATTTGGCACGTGTGCGTTGTCCCGCCCGTTACACCCTCCGGCCCTTGCGAGTGGTAAGCGGATCTCCACGAAAAGTCCGTCCTTCTCCACCACTACCACACGGTCTTCCGGGGAAAACATGCCCGTATGCACATAAACGATCTATGGCGTCTTCGTGTATGCGAGTGAGAGCGGGACCATCAATCTCACGGAGGTCCGTCTCGATTGATGAGGTCAGCCTTTGAAGCCTGAACTCCACAGGCACAGCACAGCTAGATGAATGGAAGTCGTGCATGCCGGAAGCATCGCCGGTGGAACTCCGTCCCGCCCCACATCCTCCCAAGAGCATCAGCTTCTTGCCGAAGCTAACGCTAGCCGTACTCTGGTCGAAGGAGGTAGGATTGACCGCCTTCTCTTCATCGAAGAAAAATTTCCGAGAGACTTTTCTTTGGATTTCTCATACACTTCCAAACAACCGAACAATGGAACAAGTCCCCTCCGTGCCGTACGAATTCGACACATCAGATGTCGAGGGCTCGGTCTTTCGATTGGCTCGCCCGCTATTTGGAGCCACAGAGCCGGCAAAAGAACATATTCGCGTACAAACGCTAACACAAGGTACCACGAACGCTGTAAGGACAACACCTTCATACGCATTGCTAGGGTTGTTTGCTCATATGGCAATTCACAGCTCTTCCGGGCTTCATATGAACCACATCCGGCGCAACGGTTGGATGTCCTGATCAAAATCTACGGCGAGGGCACAGATAAAACAATCGACCGGAACAGTTCGTTTTGATTTTTCCTTCCTGACTATGTCGCCAGACATCATCTTAACTCGTTCTCAGAGGAGATCAGGCTTCATAAGATGCTTTCCGATCATGGCCTTGCCCCTTCACTCTTGGTCCGGTTTCCCAATGGTCATGGATATCAATTTTTGAATGGAACGGTATGTTCCGCCGAAGACATGACCACGAAGAGGGTATGGGCGAACGTCGCACGGGAAATGGCAAGATGGCATGCCACTTTGCCCGCGGTAGAGTTGGATACGCCGGAGCGCATCATCAACTTTGAGCCAAGCATTTGGTCGACTACGAGGAAGTGGCTCAATGCACTTTCAACAGACACGGACGCACAGCGAAAAAGGCTGGCTTTGCTGGAAGAGGAATTTGCGTACTGCGTGAATAATCTCACGAGGAATGATGGTCCCACGTACTCCATGGTAGGGTTCCCTTGCGTCTTGTCTTGAAGATCGTTCGTTCCAGTACATACATACTCATCACATTTAGGTTCTTGGCCATGCCGACCTTCTTAGCGGCAACATTGTTTTACAGACGCAGGATGCTGAAACTGTCGATGGTGACATGGATAAAATCCCTGCCAGATTCATTGACTACGAGTAAGTTGGCCCAGTTTCTAATCCATGGGCCTTCCCCCATAAGCTAGCTTTCCAGCTGCTAGTGCTAATTCAGGGGCAATTACTCCAGGCATTCAACCTACTGCCCACGGGCATTTGAGCTAGCAAACCATTTCGCCGAGTGGGCTGGTTTCGAGTGCAAGTACGAGCTTCTACCAACGACCTCGACACGCCTCGGATTCGTCCGCGAATATTTACAGGCCTACGAAGATATCAAGGAGCAGCAGCGAGGAACCAGCGGATTGGCCCGCTTACCTGTATCTGATGCCCAGGTCAACCGCTTGATGTCCGAGATTGACTCTTTTCGAGGCTTCCCTGGCTTCTACTGGTACGCTCTTCCCTGGACGAGTCTTCGTGCGTTGTTCATCTGTCATAATGGCTGACATGTGTTACGTTTCTAGGGGACTCTGTGCCTTGATCCAAGCCGAAGCCTCCACCGGAGCGATTGATTTTGACTATGCGGGCTATGCGGAGAAGCGTTTCTCTGAGTATTGGGCGTGGCGTGAGATGTATAGGGGAGGTTCAAGTAAGACTGCATCGGCGAGAGAGGAGAACTGGGCTTCATTATGATTTTACATTCTGTACGAGAGTAGATAGATGCGTGGAGTGCTACGGATGCTTTGTTGTCGTTTTTTTTTTTTTTAGCATCATGTAGAGAACATCTTTCTCCGCTCGATCGCCGCTCAACTACCCCCTTGACGTCCCGGCTACTTGTGGTGACATCCGGTATGCCTTCTTCAACACTCTAGTATGGCATGACGTTATCGACTCCACAGCCACAGTACTTACCCGTAAATCGAATGAATTTGCCAGCGATTGATCTGGAGGACGACACTTTATCGGATGATGAATCATGGCAAAGAGGGAATCACACAATACCTAGATGGGGAGGAGATTCATCATCCAGCAGGGGGCGGAGCATATTCTACTCATCCTCGAGAACGGCAAGTCTGCTTCCAGCTTCCTTCCGACTGTTGCACGAATCTTAGCATGAGCCGGATGAGTTCCGGTGTGACTCTCTTTCTCGGCTTTCATCGGGGTTTTCATGTAGTGCACTATGGATCGATTGTTTGACACCAGAACCATCGATGCCACTCACTTGWACCATGTGCTCAGCAGTCTTGACCAAGATGTTGCCCGGCCGTAAGGAGTCACGCCGGAAGTCCTTCCATTCATCCAGCGAGTGGATGCAGTCCCGGCACATCCTCCGACGATCGCGATCCCCCTGAACTTACGAAAAAAGTGAGCAAAGCACCTCGACAAAACACTTTTTTCGGATTGACAAAATAAATCCTGCCGACGGATTCAAGTCTTCGTCCAGCACTAATCTCGCGGCTTCATCCTCGAACTCCTCCTTCTGCTACGATCAGGCACGTACGCACGTCTCCCACCACGCTCGACGCACAAATGGCGAAAATGGAGACCGAAGCCCGAGCTCTTCCCCATACCGGAGCAAAAATAATATGGAATTCCAGCTGGGATGTCAAAGTCCTCCTCCTTCTCCGCATGATCAGACTGGTCGGTTATGGAGGCACAACTTTTGTCCTGGCCTTGTACCTCAATGCTCTGGGCTTTTCCGATCCTGAGGTCGGAGTTTTCATGACTTCGACGCTTCTTGGAACCCTCATCATAGGTGTTGCCCTAACTTATGTCGGCGATGGCCTCGGAGTCCGATCGACGGCCATTGTAGGCGGACTCCTCATGTGTGCTAGCGGAGTCGCATTTGCGTGGTTGGATAACTTCTGGCTTCTCCTGCTTGCCAGCATCGCTGGCGTCATCAGTCCTAGGTAAGAGAGCTATCCCGTGCCGTTCCTCTTCCTCCTCCTACCTTGCTGATCGCCTGACTTCAATCAGTGCCAATGAGATTGATCCCTTCAAACCCGTCGAAGAAGCAGCCCTCGCACGCTTAAGTAGCCTGGAGAGTCGCAATGCGGTCTTCGCCTGGTGGACTATGCTCGGAATGCTCGGGACGGCGGGAAGCAACCTCCTCGCGGGCTGGATCATCGACGCATCACAAACATGGGGATATCAGCCCATTGACTCCTATCGCATCATCTTTCTCGGATACTCCTGTATCGGCGTGGTCAAGCTCCTTTGCTGTGCCTTACTCAGTCGAGAAGCCGAGCTGGCGACGAGTGACCGAGAAGCCACGAGCTTTCCGTCCGAGTCGGATGCAGAAGCAGAAGCAGAGAGGGAGCCGCTGTTGGGACGGTCGTCAGGATCGAGAGGACACGCCAGCGTGGCAGCAGGCACACATCCTTCCAAACCCCTRGCGGCTGTGAGAAAGAGGTCGCCTGTGTTCAGTCCTACGTCCTTCACATTCATGTGGCAACTGTCGTTGGCCCTGGCCTTTGACTTCATCGGCTCGGGTCTGGCACAGATGTCGTGGATGACCTACTTCTTCAAGCGCGAGTATGATGTGAAGGAATCTGCAATGGGATCCGCTACCTTCATCGCTGGAATTGCCTCGTCAATACTCAATCTGGCGTCTTCATCGTTGTCAGACTCCATCGGACAGGTCCAGACCATGGTGCTTTGCCATTCCCTCAACGCCATTTCTCTCCTGATGATCTCCGTGCCCGGCAACAAATATGTAGCACTCGCCCTCTTCATCTTCCGCATTGTCACGCGCGAGGTAGACAACGCCCCTCGACAGTCTTTCATTTCCGCCGGTGTTCTGGACAGTGAGCGCACAGCGGCCATGGGCGTCGTCAATATCGTCAAGACTATTGGCAGCTGCATTGGTTTGTATTCGACGGGCATTTTCGCGGGTTGCGATCTTTTCTGGCTTGCCTTTATTGTCGCCGGAGCATTGAAGTTGGTTTACAATCTTCTGATCATTGTCTTCTTTTGGAGAAAAGCTAGGTGATCTTGGGAGGCTCAAAAAGGGGGATCTAACCTATCAAAACGTCGAATGTATACGCAGTTCTATGTTCACGCCAACAAGTAAGTTAACAACGCCTCCTGAATGCGCGGCACTAACAGCATTCCAGGCGTCGTGATGAGGTCTAGAGTACGATGATTCCGAAGGAGAAGGAGACGTACTCGAGCACGATGAACGATGAACGATCGAGGCTACGAAGGATGGGACTTCCGCTTCACCCATTAGATTGAAATGATGATCGATGGCGAGGTCAGGTTAATTAGGAGCATGTCAGCGTGAAGAAGAAGAGGAACAAGAGCTCTCCGGGCGATCACCAGAAACCACTACCGCTTCACGGTACAGTAGTAGATACACGTCCTAGTGTAATCAAGTACAAGGAGTATAAGAGATTACAGCCTCCGAACGATCAGTATACGGATCGCTCAAYGGATGCTCTCACTTGTTGGACCTGAAATGGCGTTCAATGGTGATGGTGACTCGAACATGCAGAAATGGCACAATACCGGTCCCAAGTTCAGGGGCAATCAGGGCAGCTTCAGATGAACGTGTCGAGAGAAGATTTTGTCGCACTTCAATAGCATACATCGTGTTTCCGGTGGATAGAGAAGTTCGGGTCCGGAGTTGGTAGTGGAGAAATAGGGATCTAGAACATGACCCTCTTCCAGGAAATAATCGCTCGTTTATTTCCACACGAGCGCCAAGACCTGTCGGGTCCGCTTAGACCTACCTCCACGCTCCAGTGCCGATGTCTCGCCGGACGGGAACAAGAACAGGGACTACAGAGGTCAAATATTCATGTGCTTTCATCCCTCCAACTCCTGACTCTTATTATCCCTCTCTCCTGACTCTCGTTGCGCTCTCTCATCTCCACACCAGCCCATCCCATCTTTGATACTGCATGGAATCTGCTGCCTTCAGATCCTCAAACAAGTGACCAGCGAGTCGGAACGGTGAACTCGATTTCCTCAATGGGAAGCGCTTCAAGCGAGTCGTCCCAATTAGGACAGCGGACGATGCTTCTGGGCCCTCGGGTGCTCTACCGCTTGCTGCTCTACCGAACGCCTCCAACCCTCGCCAGCTCGCGTGTCTGACATCGGCCTCTCCGCTTAGCGAGTACCTTTCACATCCCAGTCTGAGCGGTATGTAGATGGCTCTGGAGTTGCGCGCGCGTGCGCAAATTCGTGGAGAGTATATAAGGTAGGGTTTGCGAGTGTTCGGATATTGCATCCATCCACCTTTCTCGCGTCAAGCGTCTTCTCTTCTGCATATCAGGACGTATCTCTCGCTCTCTTGTCATACGTTTCTGTCAGCATGCGTTTCTGCACTCTTTCTGCTCTGCTTCCCTTTGCTGGATTGGTTCTGGCGGTGGCAGAGCCTAATGGACAGTCTTCGTCTGCCCAGTGTATCAACAACAAAGTCGTCAATGTCAAGGGGAGGCAATGCCAGCAGCAGTGCAGCGTCGGTATGCTTCAAGGCTATACACCCACAATGCCAAAAACAATCACTGATCATTCGTGGCGTAGAATACTGCGAGAGTTCCTACCGAAGCCTGAAGACGTCGTGCTTTTCGGACTGCATCGATGCTTGTGCTGCGGATTCCAAATGCTTGACTGCGCGATTTGATCGTAAGACTGGCTCCTGCTCCCTGAAGCCCAAGGCAAACAAGTCACCCAAGAGGAAGTACGGAATCGATGCCGTTGTGTGCCAGCCGAAACCAAAACCGAAGCCTTCGACTACTACTAGTAAGAAGACGACTACCTGCTCAACGACCACCAAGCGTCCTGCCACGACCACATCCACCAAGCGTCCTACCACAACCACTACCACTAAGCGTCCTACCACTACTACCACCACCTCGAGCAAGCAAGTTCCATCCACCACCACCACAAGCTCGACGACTTCTTCAACATCATCGATCACCTCTACTCTCACGTCTACCTCTACCACAACGACTCCAGTGATCACAACCTCAAGCAGTACCACTTCTGATACACCAACGACGACTTCAACCAGCACCACTTCCGATACCTCAACTACCTCAAGCAGTACCACGGAGAGCACAACAATGACCACCGTAACAACCACTACCACCAGCTCAAGCACCACAACAACGTCAAGTACCTGCTCATCCCAGCCAACTACAATCTCAATCCCACCATCGCCAGGTTCATGCGGATGTAAGCAAAGCTCATTGAGACATGAAATAGCCTTGTCAAGCACACCTCCATCCCAAAAAAGCCACCCCTATCCCATCCCTTCTCACCATCCTCCCATCGAAATCCCCAAAACTAACTCCATCCTCACCAGGCTCATACKCTCAAGACTGCGGCACATTCGACCCAACAACCAATCTCTACTGCGGATACGACTATGGAATCCAATCCACAATCAACGACTGCATCTTACAGTGCGATTTTTTTGACGATTGTTTCGCATACACCTACGCTGTCAACGGACAATGTAGTTTGTGTGGAGCCAAGCCCATTGGCGAGAAAATTTCAAGCACGGATTTCTCGGGATTGCGTGTCAGTGGCAGCTGTACTGGCAGGGAAGGTTGTTTGAGTTGAGAGATGGACGAGTTGGGTCTTGTTGATTTTTTTTTCACATGAAGTGTGCTCTTGGATACTTTGATTCATTGACCTAATTTTCACTTGAAAGATTCATGTCTGGTTGACTTGTTCACGCGGAAGATCTCTTCACTCGTGAGAGTTTATAAACGCCAAATAAGGTTCTCTGCCACATTCGACCACAGATGCATAAAAGCAAGCCATCCCGTCCGCTCTGGCCTATTGAACCATGTAATCGTTTGATCAGTACTCAGGTGGGTGACCACTGGGGAATCCCAAATGTTGAANGCAAGCCATCCCGTCCGCTCTGGCCTATTGAACCATGTAATCGTTTGATCAGTACTCAGGTGGGTGACCACTGGGGAATCCCAAATGTTGAATGTACATTTCTTTTTGGCTTCATTTTTGCTTCGATTTCGCCATGTGGAGATGGCTATCTAGCCCTAGATCCGATGCTATCGAGATCTTAGCGATTAGATATATCCGGGGCTTCGTTAAGCACTACTCCCCTCGGTTCCTACCTCGGGGTTTTAGGCTAAACGCTAAGGTCCAAATTTTAGTAGGCTATACGCTAAAACCTCGACTTTAGAGTTCTAGTAACGAATAACCTTTAGGATATTAATAATGTTAATAGTATATAGGGCTAGTTCGTTTTTAAAGGAGTAGTTAGTAGTTATTATTAATTAAGGCTAAATTATATTAATTTTTATAGCCTCTATAGCCTTACTATCGCTTTAATCTACCCTTACTATTACTTTAATCTACTATCTATAGTACCTACGTACTTTTGCCCCCCTCTAGCTCTAGATTAAGTAGCTAATCGTTACCGTACGGTAGTAACGAGCCTAGAGGCGGAGGTATTTCTTCCTTAAGTAGAGGAGGGGTAGTTAGATAGGTAAGTACTTAAGAAGCTAGAGAGGCTAGCTCTAGTACTTATAATCGCTTAAACTAAGGGAGCTGTTAGAAAGTGCAGTTATAGAATAGCTATACATCTGACATAATAGAGAGCTAAGTAGCTATAAGGTTATATAACTCTATATAGGGTAAAATCTCTTCTTAGGAGATAGAGATACATCTCTAGATAATAAACTTAATTAACACATTAGTTCCTACTTTTAAGTACTGCCTGTCGGAGACAGTAAGCTAGTTAAAGATTAAGTTACTCTTGTACTCCACCTCTAAAATTCCGCGAACCTCCGACTAATATTTAATAGGTTATAAGCCCGGGTTTGCCGAAGGAAAAAGACCTTAACCTTAAAGTAGTAAAGGTTTCTCCTACCTTATAAAGCTAATATAGAAAGGACACTAGTTTCTAGTACCCTATCTTGCACTGCTAGGAGTTTTAATAGCAGGTTAGACAAGAAGAAAACATAGAAGACAGATTAGTTCCTAAGGGTTTAGAACATTTAACTATTAGGACTAAGGGATTATCTAATAGCTATAAGGAGTAGAGGACTCTAAATCTAAAGCCTTAAAACACATATATACCCTTTACTTTACTACTAAAGCCTTAGCAGAACTAAGCTATTTATATATTAAAATAGAGGAAGAGAAGGACAGTTAGACCTATATTAGGATTCTAATCCTAATAAGAGAGAACTAGAAAAGATAGTTTAAACTATAGAGGGATAACCTAGAAGGAAAAGGCATCTTCTATAATATTAAGGGATTAATTAACCTAGACAATTTATTACTCCTTAATCTAGATACTAGGGTTGCAAGAATAGCTAGCTAGCTAAACTTTTAAAAGGAGAATACTAAGTGCAGGTATAAGCTAAGATTAAGAGTTAGCTTAGATAAAGCAGATAAGATTTAATTATTAATAGATACAAAGATAGCTGCTAAAATGTAGCTCTTCCTCTAGAAGAAGTATAGTAAGGTGCTTATAGCATATACTATATTAATAGTATAATAACTTATAAACTTCAGAATAGAAGAGGAAGATATAGTAAGATTAGCCTAGATATAAATTAGTATAATAGTAAAGAGGATTGTAGAGGTTAATAAAAGGGAGTTATATATAAAAGAACCTAAAAGGAAAATTAGGATCCTTCTTTTAGTACTCCCTCCTAAGTTTAAATTAACTAAGAATGCAATTATAACCTAGCTAATGCTTGCTAGGAACTATAAACAGATCCTACTTATCCTTAAATCTTAGGAAGTAAGGGACCTCTATTATAAGGAGGACTTTGCAATAGCAGCCTTTAGAAGGACAAGAATATACTTCCTCTATAATAGACAACACTTTATATAAGATTATCTATAGCTAGAAAAGGCAAAGAAAGTAATTAGACCTTAGGAAAATTTCCTATTTAGAAATAGGGATTCTCTAAAGCCTAAAAAGAGAAAGATCTCTAGTAAGAAATACTCCTTCTCTTTATTAAAGAGGGTTAAGAAAAGAAGAGACTCTCTTAAAGAATTTAAGAAGGCAATAGAGGAAATAATTAGAAAAGAGGTTTCTAAACTTAGAAAAACAAGGAAGACTACTAAAAAAGCATTCCTTACTAAATAAGCCTAATCTAGGGAATTATCCCTAACCTTATTAAGTGCTACTTTATCTTAATTTAAGGAGGAAACTAATAAGATTGCACATTCTTCTTTAGAGGCAAAAGGCAAGTTAACCTCCTTAGAATAGTTACTAGACTCCTATGCCTTATCCTATATAACTAACTAACTATAACTCTTTAGATCTATAATTCTACTTTAAAGGAAGAAATGGATTAAGGTTAGGGGTAAATAGCTACAAGCTATATATAAGGGAAAAGCAGTTATAGGAGGCTAGAATAGAAAGAAAATCTTACTTAATAAAGTTTTGTTTATACCTAATTTAGGAGTTAATCTTATTTCTTAGAATTAGTTTAGCTATTAGTATAGTATTTAACTACCCTAGTTTACTCTAGTATTATAGGATAGAACTCCTATTATCTAGACTAGAATCTAGAATAGTGTTCTATTTATTTTAGAAGTTTTAGAGTCCCTTTAGGAGAGGGCTCTTATTTTATTAGTAAAAGAAGAAAAGGAAGAGAGTAAGGAAATAGGATTTACTATAAGGGAGTTACTAAATTAGTAGGAGCTTTAGCACAGAAGATTTAGCTATTTTAGTAAGAGTCTTCTTAAGAATATCTATAAAGTAACAGACTTAAAGAATCTAATCTAACTCCTAGAAGACTATAAGGAAAAGTGCAGAGTCTATGCTCTTATAAAGATAAAGAAATATAAAGGAAAAGTTACTAAGAGAAAACCTTAGGTACTTAAGCTTATATCCCTAGACATCTATAGCCCTCTCCTAAAGTCTAGATTAGGATATTAATACTAGCTAGAAATTGTTAACAACTTCTTAAGAAAGAAATAGGGATACYTACTTATTAGTAGAGAGGATGCCCTAGCTACTCTAAAAATCTAGAAGCTAAAAGCTAAAAGGAAAACATCTTTAAAATTAAAGATAACAAGATTAGATAATGCACCTAAACTTACTAGTCTACTAAAATAGTAGGAGAAGGATTTAGGAATCCACTTTAATATAATAGATACATACAATTCTATTTAAAATAGAGTTGTAGAAAGATCTATCTAAATATTAGAAGATGCAATAAGGGCAATAATTAAAGAATTAGGAATGCTAATTAAGTTTTAGCCTAAAGCCCTAGCAGCCTAGTTTAAAATAAGAAACAGGCTGCTAAATAGTCCTAAAGTTAAAGGCTTTAAGCTATTACCTAAAGAAGCATTTACAGGAATTAAGCTAATTATATATTATCTAAGAGTTTAGGGGTGCTAAGCTATTATATATATAGACCTAAAATCCTAACCTAGATAGGTAAGGAGTAACAAACTTATAAATAGAGGAAAGGATGTAGTATTTATAGGATATGTTAAAGGAACATTAAAATCCTAGCTTTTCTAGGATCYAGATATAAGAGCTGTAAAACAGTACTTAAATGTAGTATTCTTTAAGGAAAAAAGGGGGGGTGATTTAGATTTAAAGTTTTAATCTAAGCATCTTTCCTTAAATGCACTACAGAGAAAATTACTTAGAAGGCTAGCTAATATACTAAGACCTAAACCTATTCTAATCTAGGAACCTATAACTAAAAAGTTAGCCCCTACAGCATTTGTTTAGATTCCTCCTCCCCTAGCAAATGTAGGGGAATTCTAGAAAATTAAGGACTAAGTTAATTCTCTACCTTAGGTAGAGTAAAGAAAGAGAAAAGCGATAAGTAATATAGAAGGATTTAAATCCAAATCTAAAGGACTAAAAATCCTTTAGGAGATAAGCTAAGAGAGGCTAAAGGATTAGAATCCTAATAAAGAAGCAATAGAGATTATATAGGCCCTATTAGCTATAATCTCTAAACTAGGCTAGGACCTAGAAATGCAAGATATCTTCTATAAACTTGCTTTCTCTATAATAGCTACCTAAACTATATACTAGTAGAATATCCTAGTCCTAGCTACCTATAAGGAAGTAGTAGGAGATAAAGAATAGGGAGCAATATAGATAGAAGCAATCTAGAAGGAACTAGATTTACTTATAAGCAACTAGACCTAGGAACTAACTATTGCTCTAAAAGGATTAAACCTTATAACCTTAAAATAGGTCTTTGCTATAAAAAGATTAGCAAGTAGTGCCCTTAACAAGTTAAAAGCAAGACTTGTAGTAAGGGGTTTTTTATAGAAATATAGGA